GGAAAATGATGAAGGCTCCAACCATTCGTAAACGGATGTTGTATGGTTTCTGGACACAAGCGGCTTGTCAGAGCACAGGCGTACTCGTTATTGCCAACTATATGGTGAGAAAGTCTCAGCAGGCCACTGAGAAGTTTCGTGTCTTAACATCGATTCCGAACAGTTTATTATACTCGGAAACCTGGGCATCAGTCCTGCAAACTCGCTCATGCTACTCGCCTTCTACAACACATGGGCGGCATTCTTGAACTGGATCAATTCATTGATCATTGACCGCTTTGGGAGGAAACCGATAATCATTGGTTGCTTGGTATGATCATGTTGTCCTCCTCCACGCCGAGTTTAATTTGAGTTGACCCTTCTCACAAGGTCGGATGCGTGTGCGTGCTGATCGTGGAGACTATTTTGGTTTCCCGCTACGGAGGTGCTGGAAACACAAACAAAGTCGGTTCTGGCTTCGCGCTGTTGTTCATCTTCTTGTTTGCGACGTTCTACGGCTGCGGTCTAGATGTCTCGAGCTACGTCTACTGCTGTGAGATCTTCCCAACGAGCGTCAGGGCCAAAGGCGTGGGGTTTTCCACAGCCGGATTGTTCCTAATGACGACAAGTAAGTTGGCCCCCCCTTTTTGTTGCCGCCAGCTATGCCTGAGAAAATAGACTTCTTCCTGACCTCCAAATCATAGTTTACACCTCTACCGCGGGAACTGCTTTCAATCATATCGGATATCGGTTCTATATAGTGTTCATCGTAAGTCATTCTGCCAGTCCTATGTCAACAATTCAACATTCAGACTTTTCGTGTGCCCAGGACTGACTGATTCGGGCGCGAACAAGGTTGTAACCTCGGCTATGCTGCCTTTGATCATCTTCAAGTTTCCTGAAACGAAGGGTCTGAGTCTCGAAGAAATCGGCGTACTGTTCGGCGACGAAGCTCCCGTGAACAGCTCACAACCTGGCGAAAGAGATGACATGGAACTCCGTCAGGGGAGCAACGACACAGACCTCGGTACAAAAAAGACTTCGGAGCTAGATCATGTTACCTCAACATATCTGATTGAGGATGCTGAGAAAGGCCACCCCCTATAGTGCCTCAGAGCATAGAGGGAAACATCCTTGATGGTTTCCCTTGGAGTGGTACTGAAAATGGGAAAACTGAGCGCTGTGGAGGACGAGGCATTCAGAGTTCCAGTTGGTAGGCCTTCTGTTCTTTTTCCGTAGCTTGTCGGCTCACTGTCGAACCACACAGTAGGAATCGAGGGTATTTCGGACCTGTCAATTGCTTCTGAATGAATAGAGGCCATAATTGCACCCCAAGCAAGTGTTTCAATCCCCCACCGTCCTCCATGTGATTTTTCAGTACAACTTGCAGGGGTTCGTTCTTCAATTATGCTCTCTTCACATAAACTCAGATATCCAGGAAAAGTTTCCACTCAGATTTACATAAATGGCTTCTCTATTCCGTGGCGGTGTTGCCTTCATAAGAGGGGGCGGCTTCTGGTAGCTCAAATGCTGTCTCCTGTAACCTTCCGCTCCCTGGGGGGTACGGTGGAAGCTAAATTGCGAAACCTGACTACAAGAACTGTCAGAGCTACAGCAGGACAATTTGCATATCATGCAGGAAAAGAATTGATCCTGGCCGACATTGGTAAGGCCGGTCTCCAGCACGCTAGAGATGACATTTCATTCATATCCGGTCCAACGGTCCAAAATACCGAATGCTGAGGTACATTTGGTTTCTATGTCAAACATAGTCCCATCCGGAATTGAAGTGGCACTCGTTCCTTGACCTAGAGGCTTTTAGCCATCCTCAAACCAAAAAGTCCAGGCACTAGTCAAAGTGAACACCAGTCGAGTCGTTGCTGATATTACAGACAATGAATCCCTTCGAAAACATCCCCCCAGCAATGAGCTTTTTATGGTAAGGGTCAACCGCAGCCCCTGTGAGTACACTCAACTGGGAGCCATCGTCCCAGAATAGTAGCTCTGGCGCGTAACCCTTGGCCTTGTCCAGTCGAACCACTGCCGATTCACACAGAGTTCCATAGTCAAGACCGCCCGGGCCAAAACCACGTTTGAACAGAGACTCTAAATTCGGAAAAACTGCCAACAAATCAAAGAGTCAGCGAGGTAAAAGTGATTCCCAGTGCACCGATATTGACTGGCGAGATCTCGCCCGGTTTATGGCAGGCTGCAAAATAATCCGTGTTGGTGAACTCAACTCACCAGGCACCACAATGTCCCCACTGATGGGAATCTCTGCTAGATTATCTGGAGTTCCCCCAAGTCTCTGTGTAAAAAATTTCGTCAGCGAATGGAACGTTTCCAAAACCTCGAACTGATATGCTTTTCGACGTACTACTTTCCTCTCGAGAATCAAGTCCTTGGTCACTGGATCAACATCGTATATAATGGTTGTCCCCTCGTACAAGTCGTTGACTAGAAGAGTCTTTCCGTCTTCCGTCAAAAGAACACCATTCGCGTATTGGAAGTCACCTGAGACTCTGCGGCACGTTGTCTTTGAGGAAGACCCATCGCAGTGAACTACATGGGATGCCCAAGAGAAAGGTGCGTAAGCATCCTCCAGAGCCCGTCGGATGCCATTGTAGTAACAATGATCATTGGAGCTGAAAAAGGACCTTTGTTTGTTACTATAGTCAGCGGGTGTAATTTTGACGGTGTTTTTCCAAACTCACAGTGGCCCCGAGGGAGTCACCGCATTAGGGGTCTTCAATAGGGGATTGCTGATGTCCTTGACGAATTCCAGAGTGTTGGAACCGAGCTTATGGGAGAATACAGTGATGGATTCTCCTTTGCGGCCATGGTTCACGGCAAACAAGTGCACCTAGGACAAACAGTGTTAGGAAATTCTTTTCCGTCTGATTATATCACGAAAATACTGATGCTTCGCACCTTGGATGGGTCATCTTTAAATCTCCATATATCGATTCCATGGAGAACCAGGTCCCCGTCCCAACCTTTGACCTCCAACTTCGTCGTGGTGTTTGCCTGGGCATCAAGTTGTGGTGAGTATTCCAGGAGGCTGCTGATGTCTGGAGCCCTAGTGGCGGACTTACTTTGAGGTCGTATTTCAAGAAATACTCGCGAAAGTCTTTGCGCTTCGAAACTTGATGGTTATTGATTGGAGGATAAAACAAAGACCGGCCAACAGGGTCACCACAAGCTAGAATTCAGTAGACAATATCAGATGTTGCATGCCACCAGCGAAAATGGAATCTCACCAAGAAATGCGGTGTCGGTTTCATGATGGATTTTGACGTCTTCACATGTCTGTCCCTCTTCGTATATGTCAGTACTCGGATTTGTCCGGTGTAATTAAAGAGTTGTGACCGTGTATATATCTCTCATACTAACCGTGGTTTATCCAGCAGTGTCCATTGTTCAGACCTCCGTGGCCCAGATATCGGTTCTTGAGGTCTTTACTCTGTACTCGGCCATAGTATCTATTCAGAAAAGCCGTCGGATCGGCCAGCAGGAACGAGAGGACCAGGGCTGCTAGTCCTAGTGCAGCTGTCACTACCACACCGCGTGATGGATTTCTCATGATCGCTGTGACTGTGGAAGACGACATGGCAGTGTTTGAATGGATACGAATTTGGACGAAAGGTTTCGTAGAGCGAAGGGGTTGAAATGTTTCCGGTGGTGGAAAATTGAATAGACTAGGAGGTAGAGATGCGGTCTACTTCTCTGTCAGTCTGTCCTTCACAGTACAACCAATGTAAGAACTACCTGATTCAACCAAACAGTTGGCCCTGCGATCCGGAAACCCCCATGAACATTGCGGGGGAAACAGTTTTGCTTTGCACACGGGATCCGCGACATCTGCGTATATTAAATAATCCCCACCGCAGACAAATCGGCACTCCGTCGCTCTCCATCTGACCAGGGACTCGAACTCGGCCAGCAAGCACATAAATGCTCCTCCATCTGTTATCCACGTCGGTTTGACCACCCGTTGGAGGCAGAAGAAAACCACATTTGACAGCTTTTCACAATCGAAAAATGTCGTCGATTGAGTTCCCTCCCATTCCCGAGGACCAGTTCGAGCTATATGCGGATGTGAGTAAACCCTTCCTTCCTTCCGGAAGGTCATCTTTGGATGTGTCTCGCCACTATGTTAACAACGAGTCTAGCTCTACGCCAAAGAAGGGCGTGCCGAAGACCTGGAAAGGCATCTTCGAATCTTGATCCGTCTGACGAAATCTGAGCCGGGGACGCTGGAGTATGCCATCGCTCGCGACGATCAGAATCCTAATCATTTCCACGTCTTTGAGCGCTACACGGGAAGGGAGGCGTTCGAGAAACACATAGCCAGTCAGGAATTTGTGGACTTTGCCAACTCTGGTGCTTTGGCACAGCCACCACAACCAAAATTTCTCCACGCACTACGGCCACTGTGACGAAATAGGGTGGTTGAAAGACACCCTAGATGTGGAGTAGCCATCTGGGATCACAGTGAAGATCCTGAATAGAGACCATCAGGAGAGTCTCCCCACGCAACTTGACCAAGAGTCCAAGATGGATGGTAGTGAAACATAGGCCGATACATACAATCTCGTTCGCACTTCTCATTCTCTACTTTTCGTACTAAGAAGACATGTCGTGCTTCAAAACTGACGATCCGCATAAAGTGAATGAGGGTCGCAAACACCACTGTGAAGCCACGGCGGTCTGGGGGAACATGATCGTCCAGGAACTTTGTCTCTGTATCAAGTGGATCCGTCAGACATTTGGGGTCCGAGGCGGGTGATCCCACCTGTTGTGGAGAAAGGATGAAGTTGGTTGCACAGTATGGAGTATAGTACGAGTATAGTCCCGAATGGTCGACGCTCAGAGTCATTTCGCTTCCTCATCTCTTACCGCTTCGTTCTCCCGCCAAGAACTATTTGGTCGGATTCGCTGCTCATCTTGCCCTCTAGATGTACGAAAAGCGAACCGAAATCGAGCGACTTAGATTAACGTTGTAAGTACTGAGTACTTCTCTAGAATTGCACTGTTGAATCCATCAAAAAGTCCCCCATGAGTATATCATCATTGGAGTTAAGTGCCCGGAATGGAGCCGCCGCCAATGACCCCAGTTCATCTCTGGCCCAGTTCTCTCCCACCGCCTTTTCCAGATTGAAGATGTCATCCATCGGGGTGTTCTCGACCGCGCGAGAGAGGCGGAACCTGATGCGGTAAGCCATGGGAAAGTGCTTCTGAACGGCATCCAATGCCTCAGACAGGACAACGAGCCACTGCCTATCCTTGTCCAGCCACCAGTCCTGGTGGAGCTCTGTTGAATCAAGGTTTCGCCGGATTAGGACCATGGCGGCGACAAACATATTATCCAACATGGTCGGACTCATGTTTTCGACTCCATGGATTTCCACCGAAATTCGGACCAACTGAGCGATACGCACTGCGTTGTCATAGCAGATGCGCTGCGACAACTCGGGTTCGAAGCCCGACAATGTCGCTGATGGAGATTGAACTCTCGGTGGGTTGGTGTTGTTGTTGTTGTCGTTCAGGCCTCTCTTTGCCGGGCGGCGGCATCGGGTGGGAATCTGGTGGATGATAATCTGCAAAGCGGCGGCTTGTGTATTGAGACTGTAGGCGGACGAGTCCAGGGGTGACATCGTCGAGCCTTCCCACTTCACACCCGGTGGCAGGGAATCTTGAAAGGATTGAATGTTGGCACACAGCTGCGAAAGCTGTTGTATTGCTTGGTCGTCCAGGGGAAGGGCGTCATTGACAATGTCGGCCACAAAGGCCATCTGGATACAGAGTTGGACCCAGCTGTAGAAGACCACCGTCGACGTGTTTGCCGGATCGTAGATCTCCCGCGATGGGAAGTTCAAGCTCACCGCCGAGATGGGGATCTGTCGAGGCCGACCGAGAAACCAGGCGCCGACAGTCTCGTAAATGAAAGCGGAGTACAGCAAATCTTTTCGGCAGCTGGCCTCGGCCTCCGTGAGTTTGCCTTGGGTTACAAGGTCGGAACAGTCTTCATGAAGTCCCAGGTCGACCAGTAACAGAAAACCAATACCTGCTTGGGGAATTAGCCCAGAGAACTGAGCGAGAGAGACGAAATGGATTTGTGCTACTGGTTAGGAAGGGTCCTACTTACCACCGTATGTCCAGCCCACCCGATGAGAACCCATGCTTGAGTCAAAATTGCTCAGCAACATGAAGCCCAGGATGGATCCAACGGTGGGAGATTCGAGCTGCATCAACAAGCCTGCCTTCGCCCGCTTGACATATCGGTGTCCAAGACTGCGGATGACGGCCGATGTGCTGTTGCGTGCGCCACAAGCTAGAATAACATCCTCGAGAGCCTTCGAATAATACTCCGAGGCGTCTCCGGTCTTTTGAGAAGCCATAAAAAGATCCCGGTCCACGGCGCGGCCAAACACCTCGTTGGATTTCCAAAAACAATCCATTATTACCCTTTTGATGTGAGGAGAATCAAGATCGATGTCCATGTCCACACTTTCCAGAGGGTCGATTGTGCAAGGTTGGCCCTGGATATTTCGATCCGCGCATGGAGACGAGTGATAGTTCTGAGATGTGGGACCATAATAAGATACTTGTCTTCGTTCGGGATCAAGATGAAAACGGGGTTTTTCTTCCTCCTCCTTCTCCTCCTCCTCTTCTTCTGGCCCATCACGACCAGCCGTATTATTATATTCCAAGGTGTTGGAGTCGATGCTCAGGGGGAAGGGCATGGCTGGAGATTCCAAAGCGGCCATATCCATCAGCGAAGTCGCGTAGCGGCTCTGAGTGTCCAGCGTCGGTGACGGTTGCACGACAGTCGCTGGAGCCTGAGCTGAAACGACAAGCTGACATCCAGCGGACGCAGGAAGTTGGTTCGACCGAGACAATGCCTGTATTTGTTGTTGTCGGCTGGATGACAGGTCACTGGAGCCATAATGGCCAAGCACTTTTGTCCCTCGATACTCTCGATTATTACCTGTACCACTGGGAGGGTCCTTCTCCGAAGAGTCAAGTTGATATTCGTGGTTGGATGATTGTCGCAACATCGACTGAAGGGTTTGAACACATTCGCGAATGCCAACCATGTCCGGCTGTGCATGGTCCCTGAGCGAGAAAACGTTCAGTATTGTGTGCTCATCATGTCTCTCGCATTATAGCTCATTCATACCTTTTACGGTAGTCTTTCCGGGGCACGGTACATCTATTCCCAGCTGCCCGACAAGGTGTGCAGACATTGCCATCTGCCGTGACGAAGTCGCACTACCAAGATGAGTCTATCAACAAAATATTTCATCAAGGTCGCAGGGTTTTCTAGTACCTTAATCTTTCGGATCCTACAGACCGTACATGCTACGGTCGACCGCGGTCGACCTCTTCTCGACGTGGAACTCATTTTCCTTCATTTGCAGAGGGAAAAAAGAAAGAAAACACACTTCGATCCAGGTCCGCAGGTTGGGAATCGATCTGACACTGTCAGCCTATATGTCGAAGGCCCACGCAGCGCCATATGTAGTCCAAGCTCCAGATGCGTTACCCCAGAAAAAGAGGCGTTGGGGAAGGGGGAAGGGCAAAATGTCCTGTGTCTGGAGGGCGATGAAGGCCGAGGTCCAACGCCCAGAAACATATACTTTCTCCTAAGCGACAAGGTGATGCCACAAGCGGGACACGATCTCTCTGCATGCAGCTGATCTAGGTGTCTCAAGTGAATCAAGGTTGATTGCTAAGACCCTCAATGTTTCTTCTGCCATGCCTGACTTTTGTTACAACAATTCTGGAAAGGCCCTAGAGCATCTGTATCCGACTTCGGCAGCCTTGGCCAATGCCATATTGAAAGCACCCAGGCGGCCCGAGAAGAAAAAGACGCTATGGTCTTCAAGTTCCTTTCAAACTGTCTCCCCAGAACCAAGACTTTCTTTCCCCATATAAGGTAGCGATAATGCCAGTACCGGCCCCTCGAGGCAAGAACGTGCCGAAAAAGGGTCAGAAGACGACCGGTCCAACGTAAATACCCACCAACTCGTCCACGCCGAGATCCGAGCTAGAAGGAAGTGCTGCGATTTTTCGGAACTCCTTCCAGCTCGGAACATGACAATTTTTCCTCAGGCTGGAGATAGGTAATCCTCTAAGTAGTAGGACGGTCTTGATTGTATGAGAATTCAAGGTCATCTATCGAGATGTTGATGAAGCGAGTGAGCCCCAAGACATCGTGGGCTTGCATCGATTCGCTCTAAGCGTACTGATATTATTGTGAAGAGAAGATCAGGACTCATACAGTCAGCGAATGGTAAGATTACTCAACGATAGGTTGCTATCTACCCAGCAAGTAGAATAGGGGAAGGACGTCTGTCTCATTTGATCATGGGCTCAGCGCTCTCACCTGTAGACACGGGCACCGATATTTTCCACGGCTTCTACATACTTTTGAGAGTGCGGTGCTCCGAACTAATAGTATAATCCGCGTTTTCTATACTCATTAGCCATTCTATTCGGTTTGACCGCTCATTTCAACCGGAGCTTTAGCTTCATCCAATCTCCCAGTCGCTGGATCGTAGCGTCCGCTTCGGGAGCCCGTCCTGCCATGAATACAAAGTCGTGTTGCATACCTGTGGCAATCTCTAAATGAACATCGACGTCTTTCTCCTTTGCCAGTACAGCTAATCTTCTGGCATCATCTAGAAACACCTCATCGCCGGCGCCTACAATGTATAGAGAGACATAGCCGGAAAAGTCAGCGTACAAAGCATTCACCAGCGGCGACTTCGGAGATGCTCCGTTCAAGAGCATCGCCGCCATCGCTTCAAGTCCAGCACGACTCCCAATAGCATCCTTGTCGGCGTTGGAGTCGTATGTTTCCCCCGTCAATTCCATGTCTACCCACGGACATACTGCCGCGACAGCCGCAGGAAGATCGGCCTTGAGCTGTTTCAAACGGATTATAGAGCAAAGCGCAATGCCGGCACCTGCCGAGTCTCCAACAAGGGCAATATTTTCTGAAGGTATCTTCTTTTGCCTCGAAAGCCATTGGTATGCAGTCACAACATCGTCCAACCCGGCCGGAAATGGATGCTCAGGAGCAAGACGATAGTCCAACACCAGGGTTCGGACTCCTGAAGCCAATGCAATGTGCGCAGCAAGCTTTCGGTATGCACTTGGAGACCCTGTAAAGCCACCCCCTCCATGGACATAGAGAATTACATGCGAAGCAGGTGCATCGAGAGGCTCACACCAGATGGCAGGCTTGCATGTTCCTGGGCACTGGACTTCTTGATATGTGACTCGCGGAGGCTCCGCTGCAAGGACGTCGACAGTGTCCAGAATCGTTCGCCTTGTGTTTAAATCGAGATCGTACTTGGATAGGATGGATGACACCCTGGAAAAATGTTCGAAGATTGCTTGTGATGGGTTCGACGTCATATTTTGGCGAGGAGAAGAAAGAGTGTGCCAGATATCACGGAACAAAACCAGATGGACATGGAGGTCCGAGGGCTCTGTGAATTTTAAGCCGATCCTCGTGTGTCAAGATTCTTAGATCGCGGCAGTGTTACAGGCTGCATGATGTTTGGAATTCTGGTACCGAGTATTCATTATTGCGGATTTTTCGGCACCTGGAAGCCGAAAAAGAGTGAAGGGGGGAAGCCGAAAAAGGAAAGCGAAGGCAAAATATGGGGTGCAGTTCACAAGCGATCCAGACTCTGGGGAACCTTGGTTCTAGAGCTCCACTTCCTGTTAACCCAAGCTGTCGGATCAGTATACAAATATGATGATGTTTCCCCAGGTTTCTGGCCGGCGATGCAACAAATTTCAGTCCTTCAACTTGGCGGGAATCCTTCTCCAGATCTGACGGTCAACATGATCAAGCTCACACTCTACAGCATCGGCGTATGTCTGGTGATATGCGTCGGAGGCTTCACGTATGGCTTTGGCTTTGCTAGCTTTGTCACGAGCATGGGACAGCCAGGGTTCTATGAGTATTTTGATCTCCAACGTGAGTCTAGGCTCTCTCTCTCACGTTGAACAGACCTATTTGCTGACGACGGGAAAGCTGGGACGGCTTACACTGCAAGGTAGACGCGATCTCACGATCTGCGGATTGATTTTATATCATTTTGCTAAGACCGTTTAACAGCATCCTCGGAGCAGTCAATGCACTCTATTACTTTGGAGCCGCCGTGGGTGCACTTTTGCAAGGATACGTGGCCGACTGGCTTGGACGCAGATTGGCGCTTGCCGTCGCCGCTGGCTTTTCTCTCGTGGGAGGATCACTTGCGGCCGGCGCTGTCAATGTCCCTATGCTTATTACCGTACGGATCCTACATGGGATAGGCCTGGGCATGATCATCTGCCTGGTTCCGGTTTACCTGACCGAAATATCTCCAGCCAAATGGCGCGGCTTCATTGCTGGCTTGACTACCCTCAGCTTTTCCATGGGTTATGTCATGTAAGTGACCCCTCGAAGGGGTGGTAGGAAACCTCTGGAGAGCAAAATGTCAGCTCAGGTCATATACTAACCTACTGGACAGATGCAGCTGGATTGCCGTGGGCACATACTTTTCCAAGAACCTCACTCTACAGTGGAGGCTACCACTAGCATTGGCGGTTGCTCCTGCAGTGATAGTTTTGTTGGCCACAGCTTTCCTCCCCGGTAGATAAACACCTTTTGACTCGTCGTCTTTGGTGGGATTGGTAGCAGCAGCTGATACTCTCGCACAGAAACTCCTCGTTATTTGGTCTTTCGCGGAAGATTGGACGAGGCATGGGCACTCCTACAAAGGATCCATCATGATCCGAGTGATGCCCAGGAAGCCGCAGCGAAAGCTGAGTATACTCAGATTGTTAAACAAGTCGAATACGAAAAGGAAGTCAATGTTGGATTGATTCAGATCTTCAAGAAGCCCTCGTGGAGGAAGAGGGCTCTTCTTGCCATGGGTGTTCAGTACGTTGGCGATTCCATCATCCCAAAAAGTTGCGAGCACGCCGACATGCTGACGATTTGAGAAATAGATTTGCTTCACACTGCACAGGTGTCAGCCTCTCCTCCCAGGCAAACGATGTTTTACTGTGACTGAACTTGAAACCTAACTTTACCCATAGGTTAACGGTATTGCGGCCTATCTACCCATGCTTATGTCTTCGCTCGGTGTCAGCGGAGTAATGCCTCTTGTTCTGTACGGTAAGGAGGCTTGAAAGATCCATTTTTTGAATCAGCTCTGATATGAAAGTGCTCTAGGGCTTTACGTTACCATTGGAACTTCTTTGGTGGCCGTAGTCATCTCTTTTGTCGACAAAGTCGGAAGGAGAAGGCTGATACGTACGTGGCCACACATACACGCCGCAATTTCTTCACTCCTGATCACTTCTAATCTTCTGCATGTACAGTAATTGGATATCCGTTGTTGGCCCTTGTTCTACTTACCGAGGCCCTTCTACAATGGAAGTACCTTCATTCTGACAACCGAGGTGGCCTCGCAGCCTGCATTCTTTTCATCTTCATCCATATTGTCATCTATCAAGCAGTGGACGCCCCTACCTTTGTCTGGTGCGCCGAAATATTTCCCACCGTCATTCGAGCGAAGGGCATCTCTCTGTCCTTCTTCGGCTACTTTGTTGGAGCCATCACCTTTACCACTCCGTCCGGGGTGGCGTTTAAGGAGATGTAAGTGTCCCTCTCCCTGTCCCTCTCTTTGTCCCTTTCTCTCTTGCCGAATCCTGTTGAAACATAAAAGATCGTCCAGCTGACCGCGCGCGGGAAAAAAGCGGATACCGCATGTACCTCCTTTATATGGGGTTGTGCCTGATTGCTTTTATCATCTTTTATTTCTACGTCCCAGAAACTAAACAGGTGCCGATGGAAGAGCTGGGGGCCTTGTTCGGTGATGAGGTCGTTGTCCATCTCACAGCAGATGGCCGTGGCATTGTGGAAGAACAAGTCGATAAAGCTGTTCAAATCGTCGACACAAAGGAGACTGACAGTACCGTTTTCATAACCCACGATGAGAAAGCGTAGGGCGGCGTCCGGGGAATCAGTTCATCCGTGCTTACAGTATTGGGAGAGTGACGGACACAAACCCCACCGATGAACAAGGAGTGTTGGCAGGGGAAAGTTTTTCGATCTCTACAGGTGTATGGAGCAGCCAAGTGCAAGACAGAGTGGCGAGTGGACTTGCCTTCAATTTCCGTCTGCAGGTAATGGAAATCCCCTATCCTGAGTCTTGCTGGTAGGATCGTGGCGTCTAACCGGTCAATGCTTGAAGCGACTGAAGATGTTTAGGATATTGAAGGTTTAGGTTATTTGAGGGCTGATCTGAGGGGCAACGGAAGGCAATGGCTATTATGCACAACAACCTTGTTAGATATCAATAGACCCCGATGTACTGCAATACCCATTACCCTTACCCATCTTCGTTCAGGAAAGGGAGCGAGGCCGCTTTAATCGGGCACTTGACGGAGCCTCGTGAGAGCCTCGGCAGAGTAAAGGGGTGAGTGCGCTCCAGTACTGGGCGAGCCACAGGGAGCGCTGCGTGATGCCCATTGCCTATTTGCAGATGCCAGTTCAATCGAGGGAGTCCCCCTTTAGGGCCTCGGTTGATCACGAAGGATCTAATCTGGCGCCATGCGATCGGCGTACTATTTTGTACCTTGGAAGTATATTTGATTTTAGCGGCTCAGGGTCCACGAAGCACATGCCTTGCGCACTCAATTGCATAGACTGATGCTGCTCCTGGTCTTGGAAAACGAAGTTGATATGGGACCATCAAGCCTTGGTTGTTACCGTCTATGGCAGTTCTAGTAAGAGGAATCCGATAGGGACAGAGAACTGACTGTGGTCACCGATCCCTCGCGAATCTTGATCTCTCCAATCTCTATTTCCGCTTCTAGTTCCTTCCATAGCCGAGAAACTAATTGCGCCAAAGTCGTTGACATCCGAACGGTGCCGCCATGACTTACAGTACGTAAAACGAAGTTCATTGCTTGGTGAGCTTATCATTTTGGTCTTTGGTCTGTTCACTCCGTGACCGTATGTACTAGGATGAACAGCGAGCGGATCCAAATTCTACATCCAGGAGTACGAGCACTTGAATTGTTCTGTACTCTGTACGAATTGGGCTCGTGAACGGTCTCGGATCTCCAGTGTCGTGGCATCTCGCACCCTCGAAGAGACGGGCAGGCGGTGTTCGTCGCACTGTACCTGTACGGTATCCTCACATCAGTGCATGATGAGGACCACTCCGGAGGCGGCGCTGGCGACCTCAGCCACTATGAATTGACACTAATTCTAAAGATGGTCCTCAATGGCGTTGGACACATAACTTTTGGGCAGGCCCTTAGTTGGCACTACTGTCGCTAATCAACTCGTTGAAGTGTAAAGGTGCCACTGAGTACGGAGTACGGTAAGACTCTCGGTGCTGTGGGACTGACAGCAAAATTGACCCAAATCCACCCCCCACCCAGATGGAGGGCGCCCAAGGCGTGGGCCATGTGCTCTACTTATCACATCAAAACGTGCGCTGCCACGTCTTTGGCAGAGGCGACCTTTGGAGCTACTTTGTTTGCACTCATTCCAGCTTCTATCGCAATCACCTTCGACCATAGCACCAATGTCGTCCACAAGCGTCTACACCGGCGTCTGGACTGACTGGAGCCATGGCCGCGCTACAGGTCTGACCCTTACGCTGACCCAAGATCACTCCGGGTACCTGCAATCATTCCTCGCAATTCTGGTCACTTTCGCAGGCGCACAGTTATGGAAAACTGTAGCCTTTGTTCTGCATGACCTCGGCACGGGAAAGCCCCTCCAGAGGCACGAGTTGACCCATCAGCAGCAGCAGATCATCCTACGTAACTCACACACCGCTGGAAACACCATAGCAGATCTGGTTCTCCTGGTATGGGCGTGGAGAAAGCAGGGCGTCAGGCTGACGAGGCCTTATGTGTCGATTGCTCTGGCGTCGCTGATACTGGCTGGCTTCTCAGTTGCGGGTGTATTCACGGGCGAAATCACAAAGAGCGCAAGCAGACGTATGCTGGCGAGAAGCGGCACCTGCGGTACATGGCAAGCCACGGGTGATGCGACGACCTACGCCACAACCGCAATGTATGCCCAGAAAAAGGTCAACGACACTTTGAGCGCGGCCAACTACGTAGCAAATTGCTATGACAACACGTTGAACTCCTCCTCTCTCCAGTGCAACAGATTTTCCCGACAAAGCCTACCGTATACCTTGCAGCATAACGTTTCCTGCCCTTTTGACGACAGCTTTTGCATAGATGGTGCTACGAGTGCGATCTCATTTGACACTGGCCTTCTGAATTCACACGAGGACCTTGGGATAAATGCTCCCACGGAGAATCGCGTCCAGTATCGACGACGCACAGTCTGTTCGCCCCTCGTCTTTGGGGACAAGTTTTGCCGAGTGGAAAACGACACCCTCTCAGGCTTAGGTGCCGTGGATGAATTTATTCGTTGCTACACGGGTCCGACCGTTTACACCAATTATACCTTCGGTGTCGACACGCACACATACTTCGTCGGTACCTCTGGCTATCAACTGCAGGCTTATTACGCCGAAGCCGGGGCCAACCAGACCACATGGCGACCTATACCCGAGCTTGCTAGGACGGATGCAGACGTAACTGTTTTCTACCTCGCGCAGAACAATGTACTCTACGCGAACCCTGTCGACGATCCATTCTTCTCGGCTCATCAAGCAAGGACCACACCCTTCGGGACGAACCGAGATGCTCTGACAGAGGTTACAATGTATGCTTTTGATTCCTGGATCGACGCCATGGGTTGCATCGACCAACATCAAATCTGCAATCCGTCGCCACGCAATGCCTCAAGCCAAGTCTGCACACCTCTGACGGCGCTGTCTGGTGTGGAAGAGGCCATGATCGCCAACTCCACGGACGAGGATAGCTCGCACCTTTCGATGAATCCGTACCAACTCAGCACCGCTATCCGTATCTTCGAGGCGGTCGACGGATGGGCCATCTTCGACGTGGTCAATGCCGGTGGCGCTGCCGCGCTGAAAGCCAATGACGTCCTGGTTGGCCTCAGCAGTCCCGGACTGCCCATTGACCAATGGGTGACCGAGACAAGCACGTGGTTTGCACAAACTCTCGCGGCCGTCCAATCTGTCATTGTTCAGTACGCCACCGGTCCTGGGACGACTCAAGGCGAGGTCGTCTCTCCCACCACCAAGTATGACGCTGCCGGATGCAACAATCAACTTGTCTTTAGCAGCGGCGCCTACCAGAACTTTAGCGTGCTGGGGATCGCAATCGTCGTGGCCTTGTCGGGCTTGATCATCCTGCTTTCCTTCGTCCTCCGTCCGATCACCAATTTGTTGTTGTACAGGGGTAACGCCAGGCGATGGCACCGTCACCTCTGGTTGATGGAGGACAAACTGCAGCTACAACGACTGGCCTACCAAGGAGGCGGCGATCGTCAAGGGTGGGACAATGTTCATGGAACCATCCCCATCTCTGGAAAACACCAGCTGTTCGATGACATGACAGCCGTCGATGACAGAACCCTCCATTCACCACCATCGGTCTATCCGATGGATCCCTTGCCAAGTCGGTTGAGCTATGACAAGCTCCGACGACCACTGAACAGTACCCAGTCTATAAAGGAAGGCTCCTATCTCTTGAGACCGGAATAGCGAATATTTTGTGGGGATACTTAGAGACAACATTAGATAGTAGAATTAATCTGTGAGCTCGGATTTCGCTTTTTATCCAACTACCTATTGCCAAGTCTTTCCTTCGTCTGCGGGAGGTCTTTATTCCAAGGTCCAACGGCGTGATAATACAATCTAATAGTACATTTGGGTGGCGTCTACTACTCGTATCAATCAATTGAAGGAAGCCAAGGGGATAAGCGAAGAAGATCCTTGTTGCCATCCTCGATGGTGTCTATACGCCCTCGTTTCATAACCAACTTAGTCACAATGGCGTATATCTAGTCAACCTTATATGTTTGGTAGTATTCCCTTGTAGCAGACAGACCTGGCCTTCAGGCACGGGTACGAACCCGTGGCGACTGATGGCGAAATTAGGAAGAATAGCCGGCTCAGCCTCGCGACGGTAGCAGATCAGATCCCCAGGCCACACACCCACTGTTCAGTATTTGGACCGAAGAGATCAGCCAATTTCCCGAGCTATTCAAGGAAATGCCTTTCATTGGTCCGGTCTGTTTTTCCATTGCCTCCTTCTCTTCTGTGCCTCTCTGGATGAGAGCTTTGCTGTGTACGCAGTACAGTGGTGTCTCTTTAGGTCTGTCGCAACTGGAAAGATGACTTGGAGACTACCGATTCAAAATCTCGGAGACTCCACGATGGAGTCGGAAACCAATTGACAGTGTACCTGTGGACGTTCAACTTTGAACCATAGCATTGAATTTCTCGTGTGCACGAAGGAGGGAGGACTGATGCGGGGCCATTCATTCTGTGTAAGTACAGAAGATACTTCTGCGATGATAGTGGCGTGCAATATGTGTCATGCTGAACTAGACCCACTACCTTCAACGGATCTGTCTCGTTACCTGCTTTTCCGTTCTTCGCTTCTGTCTTAGTTCCTGGATTCCCTCCATCTCCTGGCTCGAGGGCACCGATCGCGCCACTGGGGGTTGGGCAATGAGATGACAATAGATCACAGTTGAGGTCCAGTGCATTTGTGGCCATCGCCGGTGAGAGTCCGAGCATTCGGAAATACGTGGGCCAATCGACATGTCTTGAGTGCGGGCTGCCGCTAGATCGCGGCAGGTCGACGGGAGCCTCAGCCTCTCTCGGCGACGTGTCGACTGAGGATTCTGTGTGGTGGACCTTTTTTTCCCCCAGGCAGATTGATCACCATTACCGGATCGCCCGATCGCCAGATCAACCGCCTAAAACTCTTGGCTCCCGAGACTTTTTATTGTGGTGACTCCTTGCTAAACCCATTTTCTATCTCAAGCGGTGAGACTGTTCAACCTCTTCGACCTCGTTGATACTCGCATCTCGACATATTGGTGTCTTCTACGAGACATTTGATCCTACCACTCATTACGGAGTGCAGCCCTTGGCGATTGCCGGGTTGGGTCTTCTTTTGCACCATCGTACTTGGACATTTTTGTTCTAGGTGTCATCTTTTAGAAGATGCTTCACCGCTCGATCTTTCCTCCGCCCCGCCCCCCCTCTGGAGAAGAGTATTCTCGACCGGAAATGTCATTTTCTCACACCGGGACAAGAACATAAATTACCTGGAGCCTCAAAAATCATAGGGTTTTGAATTAAACGCCTCGTCCTGGCGCAAAACCCCAGACCATCACTTTGGTAGGGGTTCGATCCCACCTCAATTTGTAGGCGTCAGCCTTTCGAAGCTCCTTTCGCATCTCGGTTGACGTGTCGATCCATCTATATATACGCTATACAGGAGAACATACCTCAAAACCAAAAAAAAAGAGAAACTTGTCTGCAAAAACAAACTCAACAATAGGGTTGCAGCCTGGCAGGGCAGGATGTATAGGCTGCATGCATTTTCCTCCTCCTACTATTCTTCTTCTTCCTCCACCCTGGACTACTTCTTCCTCTCAACCCAAACGTCCATACTATCGCCCAGTATTGTACCTTCTTTGTTCGCCACTACCTCAACGAGTCGGTCCAGTATGCAGACAATTTAGTCTAGTTCACTGGATCTTCTCACTCCTCTAACGGCTTCCATCCTGGGAGATTCAGATTCCAGGTCTGTCATCATGCATGAACACGGTGTTAAAGTTGACTTTGTTCACCTACTCGTACTGAGACACAACCTTCACTGAACGACAAGATCTGAGAATCTGAAACCGAATTCAAGTCCAAAGACAAGTCCTCACCTTGAATCCATTACAGGAGGTGATGAGAGCGACTGCTCGAGTACATCTTCACAAGAGCAATCAGTCCATCAATCAAACCACCAAACGACCAAAGCCTATTATCTAGGTACTTAATGATCGACAGCAACTCCAACAAGATATACATATATATATATATATATATACACGACATTGCTACTTCGATGGGAGGTGATATCATCCCATAGCAAGCTCCTCCTGATCTACCTCCTATCATACAACCCAAAACTTTACTCTCTTTAAGAGAAGATCCTTGGGGGTCTATGAAGCCTCGATCTATGGAATCCTTCTAAATGATTGACAGACCAACGAAACCCGAAGCTTGTTATAAATCTTCGAACGCTGGTTTCTATTTTTCTCCTCGCCTGTTAAATGACCCTCTCTCTACTTGTCTTCGCTGACAAACAAGAAGAAACTACAATCTACCATCCTTTTCCTCACTGAGAACGTCTTCGTCAACACTGGAGTTCGCAGTAACCTGGTCCAACAGAAGAAGTGGACAAAGGCCTATTTGTATCTCCCTTCCACTGCAAAAAGGATTTCTCTAGATGGAGACTCATCTCTTCGCTATTTCTACGGCCGCCTGCAGGTTTATCCAACTTCTGTCACACTGGAATAAGATCTTCTATCGGCATCAGCAGATTTCCTACTTTAAAAGATATATACTGAAGGAAGAACAACAAGACCCGAAGAGGAGGTCAAGGTCATCGTGCGGCCACAGCAGGACGTCGACCCCTTGCAAGTCGTCCTCATGCTGGTCATCAAGGATGAGAAGGAGAAGCAAGCTTATAATGTATACTATGAGGTTCTGGATCGCCGTCCAGATATATTTCTCGCCTTACTCATCTTTCCGCCAACTAGAACGCTACGAGACGATCGAGTTGAGATTCCACTCATGCCGGCGAGTACCCTATTGCAGCCGGCCGCACCGTGGCCACACTATGAGCCGCGAGCTGAAAGACGAACGGTTCAAAGCCTTCAACCACCCGAAAAGACAAGGAGGCGCATTTCATGCCCTGAATGGAGTAGGTAGCATTCTCAAGATCCACTCTCCATGCATCAAATGCCGCCTCATGTACCGGTCTGGATATATCGGTCAGAAACCGAAAAATGGACCAGACACTATGGCCCTATGGCAACTGCGCCGAAGACCTATGCCATAATTTGTGGGTCTGTTATCAAGGGAGTTCCTCACAACGAATTCTCTCCGGAGGTGTCCGAGGAGATGGTCCGAAGATGATGCGGCGATTGACAGGATTCAGTATTGTGCGAGACGAAGACGACGAGAAAGTCATGATATCCCCCAGTGCGGAATCCAAAGTAGACGAATCCGATGTTGTCAACTTCTCGAAAGCTCGCCACGTGCTTCGGGATAATGCCAAAATCAGTCTCATGGTCATCATCCACTTCAGGATGTTGCGGAGGGGCTACTGGCGGTCACGACCAACAAACTGTTGGAAGCGAGAACCAGAACCAGGACCGATCTCGACGAAAGATCCACGGACAGGCACGCCTGTTGAAGCGTTGCAGAAAAACCACCCGTGAACTGCACAAGGATCATCGAGATGTGACGGACCGAAAGCGCGTTGCGGAAGAGCGACTGAAGGTCGAGACCGACAGACTGTCGCAAGGCGAATGAAAGGCTGACCGCGGTCGAGGACCTACGCTGGACTTGCCGCAACGACGAGGTCAAGAATGCCTATCTGCCGTGCGGGCACGCTTTCTGTAAAGAATGCGTGGTCATACGGCTGGGCGACCACCCTACTTGTCCGCACTGCAGGGAGCGGTATCGACACGGCCAGGCCCGAGACCTTTACGTTGGTGCAGAGTTTGAGGATCTTGATGACCAAGACATGCCCGAGGTCATCGAGGCAGAATTTGAGGATCCGGCTGACCAAGAAATGGCCGAGGTCGTCGACCTGGTCGGCGACAGTGAGTAGGGAGGTATACTGACAGTGTCGGCGAGCCACGGCATAGCGCAGCTAGGGCAAAAATTCTCTTTGGCACTTCTGACGTGGTTCTGAGGAAATCGGCTCAAAGTTTTTGTTGTGTTGTCATTGTGTCTGTTGTTGTCGGGTCAAGACAAACGACGCAGGGATGAAAGATTTTGATCAGGTTTGGTCCTACTGGACCACGAACCTAATTGCGCAGGCACCTCGTCTGGCTATGCTCACGGTAGTACACTCTCGAGAAGCATCGGCGTCACAAGATACCCTATTTAAACAACGATTTCGACATGCCTCAGCATTTGTTCCCAAACAACCGTCCGAGACATGCTCAGAAATCAAAAAATACAATATTTATATATAATTTATATATACTATGGCCGATAGTCAATAGACTCGTGATGCCACAAAATTCTGCGGCGACAAGATCATTTGATATCGCAAAACCGCCGTCTATGATACGAGTTTTCACTACGAGACTGAAAGTTTCTACAGGAATAAAGAAGAACGAAGGTTTCGAAAAGAATACGGGATTTTGAAAGAAACAACACAAGGTTCTGCAGATCAGAAAAACCGTCTGCTTTTCCATCAAGGATTTGAAGGACGGTGCCCCCTTTTCTCCCCCCCCTCCCCCTTCCCCTCCCCCTTTCCCCTTTATCTCGGGCGCAGGAGTGTGAAAGGTGTATACTATGCCACGATACTATAGTTTCCCCGGTTGAAGGTCAATTGATCGTTGACAAAGCACAACCCCTTACACGTACAACACCACCGAACATTTCTCCAACATACCTTGATATCATGTCGACCCAAGGTTACCGAAAAGGACCGCAGGGACCGACGCACCCGTCACATCAAAGCAAACTTTCCCCATCCCGCAGGGCTACCCACCTGTCAAAGGCTTTAAAACTCCTCCCTCTTGGTCCTGGAAATCTTCTCTACATCTTCCTTTCTCATCACTCAAACTGGAAACTTTTCCGACTACTTTACCTAACCCTCTTTCACAAAACTGCTGTCGATAGTGTGTCAGAACACCACTGGCAGTACATTTCTTCGAGTTCTGTGACTGACTGGACTTTGTTGACTCGTCCGCAGCGCCAGTGTACCACTCTTGGATGGTTCGAGCAGTGTATCGAACATTGTGTTGAAAATCTGCTTGCGACATTGACACACGGAGGCGGTCGCGGTCATTGCGGCGTCTGATGCCATTTTCCATGGCTACTTTCAGATTTTTGACTGTTGACGCTTGACTGGACGTTGTTCGACCGAGCCCGTCTGCTATGATGTTAGCGAAACGAATACATGATCAACTGCACAGAATGAAAGATCTTGCGAGCCAGTTGGGGTTCAGATCTAAGACGTATCATCCAGATACTGTCACGACATGCCTCGAGGAGATTAATGCTTGCAAGACAATGACATACTGATGCCAGAAGCAAGCCAGTGATGCTTTGACCGACATTCTGAACGAAAAGGGCAAAGATTTTGGCCCCACGGCTCAAGGCATTAATGATGATACTATCGCCACTATAGATAGTCTCATCTTTCTCCTCGTCCTCCTCAGGAGTCAGCCTTCCAAACATTTGCACACTCGAGCTTGGTGGCGCCCAAATGGAGAGCTTCACCCCTCATCCTCAATACACATTTCAGAATTCTCCCAATTCTCCCCAACGTCGGTGTCAATGGATGAGTCCTCCTCCGTACGAAATGCCTGGTCGTCGTGTTCCAGGACATCTTGCTTGTTATCCTCCTGGTCATACTTCTCATCCTCGTCCTGGTCCCCATGCTGGACATACGCCTTATCCCCCTCCTGCTCCTCAAGACACATGGGATCCATGCGAAAGGCCTGCTCCTTCTGCTTTTGTCAAATTCGCCCACAGAGAGGGCCTCCTCAGCGATCCCTCTTTCGTGGACACGCCAGAGCCGGCACGGAGAGCTCCGTCTCCAGTCATGGAACCACCTGTCCAAGGCACCACGTCAGAGATCAGAAGGCGACACACCGAGTAGATGCTGAGTACAGCGACGTAGAGGGCATCATTGAGTATCCCGACGATGAAGAACACTTGTCGGACGTCGATGATGAAGACGTGGCAATGCCCGAGGTCATCGACCTGACGCCAGACAATTAGTAGTGGATGGGGCATACTGACTAGTTTGTCGTGCGAGCCCGGCGACAACTATACTGAAGCGAGAACTGGACATATATCTTCAAAACGAAAGATTACGTCGATGGTCAAGAAAATCCTACGTACCATCAAGGGGGGCTGGGAGGAGACTCTCCCCCATCGCGATGGTCGGCATGCAGAGGATGCACAGGAGACTCTGTGCGGTCATGCCAAAGGAAGCCACCGAGCGGGCGGCGAAAGTGGGTGGTGGAATTCTTCACCGTCCAGTCCGCCATCTCCGCGCAGGTGCGGCCGCTCCTTACATACCTCTGGGATTCATTCTCACCTTCGGGAGCGGAGCAAAGCCAAGAGAGCTTGGACAAGAAGGATCGACAAGATGCGTCGGTCGAGGAGGGTGTGGCATCCTCCGGTAAGCAAGGGTGTACGATTTGTGATAAGAAATACAGTCTGCCCCCCAAAAAATACAAAATTGCTTTAGACATTTAAAACGGACAATTCTGGCCAACTCCTTATAGGTTCTTTGACATTGACTGTTGTAGTACAATAGTGTATTTAGATTCTATCTCGCCTTTCCTCTCTTTTTTTGCTCCCGCCAAGAAGAGAAGAATAGCAGCAAGGCTGAGAACCCCCTTAACTAACGCAGTTCTGTAGACCACGCCGACTTGCACATACGGCAACACCCATTCAAAGTATAATCGTGATTGACAAATCATGGTTCTACTTTGATACAATACAAGAACGATTTGAATGTTACACGCGACAACTACACTTGGAATGAGATGAGTGGGTAAGCAGTGAGACAACTTCACATTCTATTCCTTGACAACCCTCAATGAATCTCACCATTGGAACCCCATGTCTTGTCCAAAGTCTTAGGCTCCATCACTCATGTGAATTGAGATCGGCTTCTTATCTTCGGGCAGGTCACTTGCTACTCGAGATTTTCGACCATGGTTGCGCCGAGCCACAGTATCAGGTCATCACTTGACAAAATACGACATCATCATCTCGAACCAACGCTGAGAATCTGTGACTTTGTCCTGATTCATCAAATATTACTTCTCGGCCACAGTAAGGAATTCACCAAGATAAGCACGGCAGGATTGTATATCTGATCCAGTGTCAAGGGCGAGTACGTCTCATTAAAGGCAGCCGCATCAACGACCATTCACCATACCCGTTGACTCTCTAACGAACTTTCTTCGAGAGCAAGTGCTTCTTGTACCCTTCCAAGTTCGTATATTTCTCACACACCACCGCATGAGTCACATCAAAGACATGGGGAAATCACTTTTTTTCATTTTCTCTTTGGGTGAAAAAACCTAACTGGCCAATGTCTCTGTCCGGGTGAGAAATCCTACTCCACCTTACAAATGACCTTACCCATGGTCTGGTTCGATTCAAGCAGGCTGTGCGCGTCCTTGATCTCGTCCATCTTGAACACCTTTTGCACGGGGACCTTGAACTCGCCCTTGACGAACCTGGGCAGGGCATGTTCGACCAGCATGTCCCTCAGGCGGCCTTGATAGTTTTCGTCGCGACTGCGCAACGTGCTCCCCTCGATGCGCAGCCGTTTTCTCAGGATCCTGCTGATGTCCACGTCGCCCTTGACGACCCCGCCGCCCATCATGCCCAGGTTGACGATGTGGCCGTCGCGCGCCGCGGCCTCGAGGTTCTGGTTGAAGTACCCGGCCCCGATGAAGTCGACGATCAAGTCCGCGCCTTTGCCGTCGGTGTACTTGAGCAGGGCTTCGGCCCAGTCGCCTTCCTTGTAGCTGAAGCCCTCGGTGGCGCCGAGGCTCTTGCAAAAGTCGATCTTCTCCTTGGTGCTGGCCGTGACGTAGACCGCACTCGCACCGTCGGCTCTGGCGAGTTGGATGCCGGCGATGCTGACGCTGCTCGCGCCGGCGTGCCACAAGACGCTCATCCCCGGCTTGAACTCGCCCACCAGGTACAGGGCCTGGGTCGCGGTGATCCACGTCTCGGGGATCCCCGCGGCCTCCTCCCAGCCGAGTTCCTTGGGCTTGTGCACGAGCATGTGAGTGCTGACGGCGATGTACTCGGCGTAGGCGCCGCCGTACGCGAGCCCAAAGACCTCGTCGCCGACGTTGAACCCCCGCTCGGGCGCGCTGCCGAACGACTCGATCACGCCCGAGAACTCGACCCCCATGATCGGCCCCGCCTGGGGAGGGAGCGGGTACAGGCCCTCGCGCTGGAGCAGGTCCATGCGGTTCAGGCCAAAGTACTTGACCTTGACGAGCGCCTGGCTCCCCTCGGGCGTCGGCTTGGGCGTCTCAGCGTTGATGAAAAGCTTGTCGATGCCGCCCTTTCCGCCCTTGATGTCGACCGCGCGCATGGTTGCCATCTTGTTTTTGGGAGTATGTCGGTGAATGTCGAAAGGTTTGTTGAATGGCACTTCACTGATCTCGAGGATTTAAAAAGGGTATACTCCCTAGAGAATAAGAGATTGAGAAATGACGATGCGGGAGCGCTTTTAAATGGTGATTGATGAGGAGACGAATCGGGGAATAGCCGAAGAGTCCTGATTTCTAATGGATCTGAGATTGTGCCTTGTGTTCGTTCCGAATTGAGACGAGTCCCGCAGGTGAATGGTCTCGACTTGTGTATGGTTTTAATGGAGGTGAAGCAACGGATGAAGCACTAATACACATGTAGTAAAAGGTAGAGGGTGACAAGGAAGATATTCTAATCAACAGGGCGTCTATGTGCGTGAATGTAGTCATGTCGGTTATCACGTGATGCGCATGTCCAAAAGATCTCAACACAGTACAAGAGAGACCATCCATGGTTACGACTAATGAAACTATTCATACTGTACAGCTCCAGAAACTGATGGTGCACTTCATTCCATACATAAAAACTGACTAGGGCAGCAATTTACCTTCGTCCAGAATGTGATTTTCGTCTTCGGGCTATGGCATAAAGAGGCCGTGGTCTCCCATGCACTGTGCCACACATAGTCGCGCGCAAACCCACAAGCTATCTCTAGTGACAGCACATACTCTCTTAATCCGTTCCATATTTCTTGATCAAATCGATGAGTTTCTGAGATTCGGTCACATAATTCAATGGCGACGCTGAGTTTATTTGGTAGCGAACCCTGGTCTCAATGTAAGCATATTGTCCAAGCAGAATGACTGATGAATACAAAAAATCACGTACCGTTGTTGTTCTTGGAAGCTGTCCAACTTGGCCTTGCACTTCCAATTCCAGGTTCTGCAGTTCGCCTCCGAGAAGATGTCGCCCAAGGCCTTATCATCCACCTCTTTGATCTCCATCAACTCATCTGCCGTCTTTCCCATAATCATCCTGCCTGTCTCATCAAAGCAGCTGACCCACAATTGACCGGTATGGTCGCTGACATTGACAGACATAATGTAGCGGTATTCTGGCTTTTCGTGCGTCTTGTCGCATCTTTCGCATCGCCATTGGCCAGGATCGATTTCAACGACCTTCTTGTTGCACCCTTCAGACAAACATGACGGGTAGCAGAAGTTCTCTTGTTTGATGTATTGTATGGATGCCTTGACAGAGAAGAAGTCAGGCTGGTCTGACATTCCAAGTTGCTCTTCCTTGACCTGAGAGATTGTTTTGAAGGGGTCACTGCGACCACCAGCACTACTCGTACCACCTTGAACATTGGCATGAGTTGCAAAATTGCCAGACCGGCCCTGTTCTTCATACCATCCTTTGAGTCTGTGTGCTTCTTCCATGTCAGGATTAGGTGTCACTGAACCTGAACTGAGCAGACTGAGACTTCTTCCACCAAAGTCGGAGACCTTGACACCCTTGAACGCCACGACTGACTCGGGTGGGATGTCAAAATTTGCTGCGACCTTGCCCCAGACTGTCAGACGCACTGAATATCCGGTGTTGTCAACCAAGGTAAGTTCTCGCTTGTCGTAGGGTTTGCTGGTTGTCTTGGAGGTGATTTGTGACGTCTCACCAATATCTTTCAGTACACCGATGACATCGATTGTCGTGTCTTTCTCTACCGCTTGGAGATCGGAAATACTGGTGAAGTTGTATCGGACTTGCGGTACTCCGTCCTGCTCTTCTGCCTTTTCAACGGTGGTGTCTTTCTCGAAGTGGAGTTCATAGTCGTTGGGCAGGTTCGAGAACTGCTTCTTTGCAAATGTCACCCTGCAGGGGCTGGAAATATAATAGACATTTCCTTCCTGGAACAGGTCATACAACATGTCGCACTGGTCGTTGAATCCCGTAGCACGAATTTCGCCGCTCTCATCTAGAAGATTGACGCTGAACAACTTGCCTTCACCATTACGATTGTGCCATGTTTTAATGTCTGACTTGCTTGTGCAGCGAGCTTTGATAGTCCACTTATTAGAGTACGGGGAGATTGCTTCGATGGGGTAGATATTTGCGTGAGCACTGGATGAAGATGGCTTCGGGTGGCTCGGCATAGACATGCTCTGTTTTTGTGGTTCTTGTTTGGCGCCATAGAATCCATTGCTTGAGATGGAGGTAGGGAAAGGCTTCTCTTCTTCTTCGGCTTTGAACTCCAAGGGCTTTGGATCTCCGAGTTTCTCGTGTTCGCCAAACTCTTCAAGGACTTTGATTTCCATAACAATGAGGATTCTAGGGAGCCGTGTCAGTACAGAATGGGTACAAATATGATCAGACCTACCGCTTCGTTTTGACTTTGTTCGCAGTGTAACCCATCAATTGAACCAGGACACCACGACGCAAAATCTTCTCTTCGACGAGATGATTCTGATGCACCGCCAGCATGGTTTGAATGTAATTTCTTGTGTCATTGAAAATCACTCTGTATCTCTCTGGTCCTCCGGAACTAGCGGCGATACCCTTGATCTGGACGCATTGCATGACAGGTTGCTGAATTCGACCGGGCTTGTCTTCAAAGATGTCTTGAAGGGAGCCGGCGTCGATGCGCGCAAGCGCAGCAGCTGGATTCGAACTCATGTTTGCGGATAGTTACGGGTTGTTGAATGATTATTGTACAACTTGAAGAGGAGGAAAAGACGCATTTGTTTGTTCTGTGGCGATATCGCCTGCGTTTGCCTGGAAATCCCCGCGCGACGCGTCGCGTGTAAAGTACCGCCCGAATTAGGTCTAGTGGCATGTTGATCCTGTACTTGCAGTTGTCGTTGATGTGATTGATAGCCATGGTAGTTCTGTTGGCCGTAAGAGATGCTAGGCATCTTCAAATTAGAACGTTCTAGTTACAACTCTCAAATGCTTTGAGCGCTAACACTTGATTTTGTCTCAACAAAAGCTCGTATCCCAATCCATCCAGAAGGAATGTGACTAAAACAGCAAGTTATTCGTCTTGGAAGAAACGTCACCCAAGAAAGACTCGACATTGAATCTCACTTCTAAACCATTCTTAGGTACGCACATCCGTGACTTTCGTGCACATGTAGCTTGTGCACTCGGAACGACGTCCAGGCAAAATAGAACGCTGCTAAACGGAACAAACAGCGAGGTTACGAGTACAAGACTACTACCACCATGTCTGATCCTGAACTTGCAACTAAGGCTCCAGAATCCGATGCCATGGAACCATCGTTGATATCGAACGAAGACTCCAAGGCACAAACCGGGTTGAGCATGGGCGAGCACTGTGTCACAGATAGACCGAATCCAGACGATCGTCAACCATCCGGCGAGCTGTCAAAGTTTGGCGACATCGATGTCTACATTTCCAAACCAGCCGACTACCCCAACTCTCCAGCTAAGTTGTTACTTTTGCTCACTGCTGGGACTGGCGTACACTCGATCAACAATCAGGTGCAGGCAGACATGTTTGCGTCGGAAGGATTCGTGGTGATCATGCCCGACCAGTTCAAAGGTGATCCAGCACCCAACTCGAAAGCCATTCTTGCAGAGGAGAACCCAGGGATCATCGAACAGTTCAAATTAAAAGCCGCAGAGACTGCCAAGTCCTTCTTGGTCGACATGTGGCTCGCCAGACAGACTCCCGAGAAGGTTCTACCCATTCTGCTGAAGGTCGTTGACTCGGCCAAAGATGAGTACGCAGACGCCGTGGCGCACGGTGAAGGCATCTACTGTATTGGCTACTGCTTCGGCGGAAAGTATGCTATCATTCTTGCAGGCGATCATGAGGACACGATGATTGGCGGGCAAGCTGCCAAAGATGAAGAAGCGGGCACGATCAAAAGAGGACCATTAATCAGAGCAGGTGCTGTGGCACATGCGACTCTTGTGACTCGCGAGGACTTGAAGGCTGTCAAGGCTCCTCTGACGATGGTTTGCGTCGGTAAGTAGCGGTGATGTATCTGCAGAAGTTGAAAGTTACGTTAACGAGTTGCAGAAAATGATCCGCTCTTCCCAGCAGAGATCTTGGAAGATGGCAAGAAATATTTCGCAACGAGCAACGTTGAGCACGAAATTAAAATGTATTCGGATGTGCCTCATGGTAGGTCGTGAAGCTATTTCGATTAAAAGTTATGTGGCTAATTACTCTAGGCTTCGCCGTCTATGGAGACTACGACTCACCTGCGATCAAAGAAGCACAAACTTCGGCGTTCCAGCAGATGCTCAACTGGCTGCAGTCACATTGAAGACCGTTGAATGCGTGTACGTGTTCACAACGGTTGATTACTGCAATCCAGGACTGCATGTTAGACGATGCCCTATGATACCCACGAATGATTCGAGCTTCACGAGGATCGAGCTGGAAGAGGGAACGGAGTTGTGAATAGGAATAACTCTGATTGTTTTCTTCTTGCCTAGCAAGTTCTCTGCTGGGAAATCCCTCGGCTCTATAGCAATGAAAGATGCGCTGCTCCCTGCCCGTGGTATTGGTGGAGAGACTCGTTCCATTTAGCCGCTCTAAAACTTCTCAAAGATCCGTGCTGCGCATACTTGATTGCTGGTCATCACTCATTTCTGCATCATCAATTGTACAAACTCGTTGTCTAAACAGGCCAATGTTAGAGTTCCCAGTTCTGAGGATGTTTAGACCATTTGAACTCACAATCAATGCGACCGTCACCGTCCTGGTCAGCTTCTCGAATCATCTCATCAACTTCGTCATCTGTGAGCTTTTCGCCAATCGAGGTCATGACATGACGAAGTTCGGCAGCCGAAATGAAGCCGTTGTTGTCGCGATCGAACACCTTGAAGGCTTCTCGGATTTCCTCCTCAGAATCGGTGTCTTTCATCTTGCGAGCCATCATTGTGAGGAATTCTGTGTGTGTGATATAAGCCAAAGTCACCTCGGGCTGTTGTGTACCGTCTCGTACCTGGGAAATCGATGGTGCCATTATTGTCTGCATCCACTTCGTTGATCATATCTTGCAGTTCCGACTCGGAAGGATTTTGACCCAGAGATCTCATGACAGTGCCTAGCTCTTTCGTGGTAATTTGTCCTGCAGCCTTGGTCAGTCCTCATGGGGAGCAAACGCTTGAAGTATCGGCGGCGCAACGTACCATCGCCATCTTTGTCCTGCATAGCACTTGTCAGCATTGGTCACGCAACCCAGAAAGAGATGTGCACATACGAAGAGAGAGAAGGCCTCCTTGAACTCGGAGACCTGCTCTTCGGTGAGAGAGTCCGCCTACAAATTCACAGTGTCAGTGTATGACAACACATGCAATGTTTCACAATTGCCAGCCGCAAGCTGGAGGGGGCCATAGTCAACAAGCCGCGCGTACCATATTGGGGGGGTGTCTTGCGAAAGAAGAATAAATTGTCGTGATAAGGGTGGTAGAGGGTTCACTTAGGGTCGAAAACGCAGAGTAAAGGTATCAAGGAGGGGTTCGTTGAGAAAGTCTGGATTATGACAGTAGCTGAAGGTGAAATGCAGTGAACCTGGACTTGGCTTCTTCTGGCCCCCCTTGATTGCATTATTTGGTGCAGACCAAACAGTCGAAGGATCCAAGGGTTCGCTTCGGCATATTGTTTCTCCGGCACCGGTGTGATCGCAGTCCCACCAACTCCCAAATGCTTGTGGACTAATATGGAGTTGCCATGCCCGTTGCCTGCGCAGTAGCCAATGCTTGGGAGAAACGACAACTTGTCATCGCGATATCCTGTCCAGATTGTCGTGCATTCACGGATGAAATTGGTGATTACTTCTATTGGCTGTTTGCTTTTACCTACCAGCATGCGATTCCCTTCTGTCAGATCACTCCCGAACACCGACACGCGCCTATGAAGCGTTGGACATTTTTAAGGACTGAAGATGTGGAGAGATCGCACTAATCTGTATGCTTCTCCTGCGCGCAATGATGGACTGCACTGACCCGCGCCCAGGTACATCTCCTACCGGCAGTCCTACACACACCATCCGGCCAAGAGGTCCAGGTACCCGGCGACCTCCAATGGCTTCGCCGACCAAGGTTCCGAAGAGACCAGAGGTCTTATGTCCGCTGGCGCATTCGACAATGACGGAGATGCTGTAATCGAGATGGATCTGTTGCCGCCTCGGTGGATCGACGTGCAAGATGAAGTCTCGGACATTCTTAAAGATATCACCCTCAAAGCCGCCAAGCTGGACAAGCTTCATTCCAAACACGTTCTCCCCGGGTTCGACGATGAGTCTATCAAGCAGCAGGAAGAGCGGGAGATCGAGAGTCTGACGACCGAGATCACAAGAGGCTTTCAAGAATGCCAGAAGGCAATCAAGCGTATCGAGAAGATGGTCGGGGAGGCAAGGCAGACAGGAAATCTACAAAAGGGAGACGAGGTCATGGCCCAGAACATACAAACTGCACTGGCGTCCAGAGTTCAAGAAGTCAGCGCGACTTTCAGAAAGAAGCAGAGCAGTTATTTGAACAAACTTCGTGCGCTTGGGGGCTTCGAATCACCGATCGGGCGGTCAGCAACTCCTGTACAGAACCCTTATACAGATCCAGCTCTTATGGAGTCCGAAGTGGACAAACGGCTCAGTCAATCGACGCTCCAACAGACAGCACAGAAGCGCTTGGGAAGGAATGATACTGCCATCGCCCAAAGAGAACAAGAAATCAATGACATTGCAAAGGGTATCATTGAACTGGCCGACATTTTCCGCGACCTCCAAACCATGGTAATCGACCAGGGAACGATGCTGGACCGGATCGACTACAATGTGGAGCGCATGGCGGTCGATGTCAAGGGGGCCGAGAAAGAGCTCACAGTTGCCACCAACTATCAACGCCGCAACACAAAACGGAAGATACTGCTGTTGCTTTTACTTCTCGTTGTCGGCATGTTCGTCCTACTGTTGATCAAACCGAAGAAGCGATCATCTAATTCACCTCCCACTCCTCCGCCACAGCCAGAAAATCCTCCTTGAAGGGTTCAATGAGACATGTCAAATGCAAGGTTATCCTTTGGTAACATGCTGAGGCTCACACCGTCCAGGCCGTACATTTGCCCACTGCCTCGGTATTGAGGAGGTTGTTCCTGTATTCAATCTCTGAGCGACCTGCAGGACAGTTCAAGGACAAATTCAATCTGAAAAGGAAATACAATGGCCATCAGGATCTGCTTCGATATGTGTCGAATGAAAATGACACACGTTCTGTCGGTCTGTTGGCAATGAAGACCTCAGCTGAATATTGGACGGAGATAACGCTTGGGAACACAATCTTGGACACGATCTGTCGAACTTCTAACTAAGAATGTCCTCTCGGAAAGTTCACACATCGTGGCAATCTAAGGCTCGAGCATCAGAGGAGTCATGCATACAGCACATGGTCGCAACCTGAGCCCTGAAAGATGACGAGGAAACGGCTCGCTCCAGCAAATGGAAGATGCGTCAGTCAATTCTGGCAAGGCTACGACTGGCCTTGGCCCCCCTTTCCTAAAAGTGCCCTCGACATGCGCATCGGGAGACGACCGGCGATTCTTGATCCACCGTCCCTTGAACGCGACAGGCATACGCAGACACAAAATACCCAAAGTCTTGCGAGGCTATCTTCAAAGTGTACTGTTTGGCGAGACTCCACCTTTACGAGGGGAAGGTTTATTTTTCTTGGGGGGCAGATTCGAGCAGCGATCGAGGACGAAGGCGACGAAAAAAAGGCGATGGGCGCATTGTCGCCTCCTGACAGGCAGCCATCACTCAACACGGTGAAACCATGTAGGCTACCTAACTACGTTTTCTTTTTTTCGTAGACCGTACCCTTGTACTTGATACTTGGTACTTGGTGACTCTGCGCACTCTCCACGTTCTAGATAGACGTGTATCAACGGGACTTGATTCTTTCCTTTGTGCATGACAAAAGAAAATTGTCAACCAAATGAAATATATCTCTGCTCCCATGTGAGTGCAAGGTGCAAGGTCAACTATCCTACTGTCTCGCCGTTGTGGTTGTGGTTGTGGCTGTGGCACAATACATTGGCTAAAGGATTAGACATACTGAAACTTCAAAACTTTCGTCGGCTTCTCAGAGGATCAAACTCTGTAATAGTCATTGCTATTGTCAAACGCTAGGTACGTACCGAAAAGAAGACCCGCCAAAATATATAATGGTATCAACATATCAAGAATCGGAAAACTCTCGAGACGCTAATCCCACGACTCAAGGTAAGTAACCTTGTTTGTAGCTCTACCAGATACTCCGCCCTCCCCGAATCGCCTGCAACATAGAGAAAAAAAGGATGCAAGCCCGCTATCACGATACAGGCGGAGCCACCACGAGCGTCCTCATCGTCGGTTCCTTGGACTCAATCTTCAACCTTCTCAACTTCTCCACGACGTCTCCTCCGGTGGCCCCATCACTCTCTGTGCCAACATTGACGCTGGTCACGGCATGACGACTTGACGAAGCAGTACCCTTTTCCATTTCTAGGCCTGCAGGAACCGGTAATTCAACGCACTGTGCACCCAATCGGCCCTTGATGTCGTCGAACAAAACCTCCATCGGCGCAATGTACGCCGTTCGACTCCGATCACCCCACGCCAGGACATGGCCACACAACGCTCCCGATATGGGATCGTAGACCCAGGCGCCGCTATCTCCGGGGACACCAAAGCCGCCCTCGACGCACCATGATATACTGAAGCTCTCGCGACCGTGCATCTTGACCAAAGCCATCGCTTGGGATATCCTGCCCTTTTTGAGCCCGCTGCTCCGTCCACGACAGTGGACCTGCAAGCCAGATAGCTTGGAGAGGGGCGTGATCTTGGTCAAGACGGGATGCTGCAACTGATGCCCTACAGATAATGGTCTCTGAAGACCTTTTGTGGACGAGGGGGCGGCGGCGGCGGTAGTCCTTTCAGGCATTGCATTCTCGGCCCTCAGTCGATCTTCCTGAATCCTGATCAATGCCCAGTCTACTTCATGCTTCATTTCACCTCGGACGACCCGGCGTATACCGCTGCTTGCAAAGACGTATCCGAACGTGTGGCTCGCTAGGTGATCGTCGTCGCGGTCTTCCTCACTGGGGAAGAAGTCATCGTCAACATCATCGATGGCAGGTTGTGTTACGCAGAAGTCATCATCACCATACGGTGCGATGCCAATCTTGTCGCCGATGCTAGCTGCGTCATCGATATCATCGCTCGACGACGAGGAGGCATCATCCCGGTCTGATCCATCATCTTCGTCAAGTTCAGGCGTTGAGTCTTCTAAGAACCAGAATTCATTGCCGTCCGCGTCCATGATGGAATAGTCGGGTCGAATGGTGCTTGCTTGACTTTCATCGTCACTATCATCAAAGTCCTCGTCGGAAATTTCCAGGTCGGGGAAGTGTGTAAGGTCATCCTGAGTTTGCATGTACCGAAGGTCGTCGGTAGATGCAAATTCGCTAGGGATTTGGCGATCCCCAGCGGACCTTCTCGGATGTTCAAGCGTGCCCTGGGCATCTTCCTCATCCTCGTCCTCACTGGGAGGGTCGAGCATGTGATGCACAGTCATCCCATAAGGCTCACCGTCAACGAGAATAGTGCCGCCGAAAGAGACAGGCGGCAGATGCTCGTCATCCTTGAATGCGCCAATGCTCGCCCCATTCGATGGACATTGTTCAAACTTTTGCTCTCGGCGTCTTCTTGTCGCGGATTTTGAGCTTTGTCGTCTTGAGCTGTACCCAGAACGTTTGGCGCTTCTTCCCTTGCCGCTTCTCCGAACCTCGCCACCCAGGAGAACAAGACCCCAGCCTTTCTTCAGCTTCAAGCCTTGTCGAATAATATCGCGCACTTTGGCGACTTGTGGACATTGTACACAGATGGTCGTCCTTGCCTTTTCGGGTGTGGATCCAAACATCATAAGACTCAGACCACAAGACTCCGAACAATCTTTTAATGCATTTTGCAGCATTCTTCCCAGCTTCGGCATTAAAGTCGTGTTCCATGTGTCGAGGTCTTCTTGAGGAATATCCACTTGCGGCCACTTTCGTAAAGATGGTTCAACCGGGACAGGCTGCTGAATAGCGTCTATCTTCCGTTTTGAAAGTTCTCTTCTCGGAAGGGGTGGTTTATATTCGTCGTCCGCCATCTTGGCCTTTGAATTCTCCTCGTCAACCTTTGTTTCGGCCTTGTACATCTGCTCGATCAACAACAGCTCAAAGGTCTCGATGTCAGAGGGCGGAGGCGAATCCTCGTCCAAAGCACAGCATTGCTGTAGATCTTTTAGTACTTGTAACATGAACGATCCTGCATCTTCGTAGTTGTTTCGGTATTGCAATTCGGTCGGTGCTTCCAAACAACGCTTCGCCACGCGCATATATCTACTGCCACATTTAGATGCGAGCTTCGGTGAGTAGATCCTTTGCATTCTGTCCATGAACAAGGCACGGTTGTATTTCGGTTTCCAAAATCTCGATAGTGGCATCCAGAGACCGATCTCGAGTAGGAGGAGTCCGAGGCTGTAGATGTCGTAGGCGGGAACCACCTCCGAGAGACGAGAGTCATGCTCAGGGTGTCTATAGATATGTGTTGCAAATGACTCTGGTGCTTCAGATCGCGACAAGAAATCTTGACATGACTGGAGCAGATACGGTGACCTCATTTCTTTAGGTAATGTTGATCGAGGTGCATGTTCATTGGAGCCCAGAACGAGGAAGTTGCTGCCATTAATATGCTGGTGTGTCTCGCCGCGTGCGAAATAGCCCATGATGGACAAGGCCAAATTATAAGCCAGTCGAAACCGATCTTCCAATGGAGGCTGAGCGGCGTCGTGACTCAAATCGCTTGCAGTAGCAGTGATGAGCGAGCTCAGTGTTCGATGCTGTTGCAAGCTGCGGTGGTCGTGACCTTCGGGCAGAGCGTAGACCATGGCGCAACGTGGCCCAGCAGGGTTGATTGTAAACCCCAGAAGTCTTAAATGGCCGCACCACGAGAGGGAATTATTTTTGCACAACTGTTCGCCTAGTTCATGCACCTCAAATACATCGTCAGCACTTCCAATGATGTATAACGGTGTGTCGGCAGGGAGGTAGTCGACCAAGACGGGCTGGGATGCAGTTCGATAATATGCACTGGATCTCTCCTTTATCGAGGCTGCACCGCTCGAGGGATCATAAGGCGGTGGGTCTGCTGCCTGCGCCGCATATTCGTTGAATTCCAGGCTCCCGAAGTCGATGTGAAGAGGGTGGTCGTAGATATCCGAGTTCGACCTCGCTTCGGAAGACTCATGGGCATGCTTTTGTCGTTTTACATCGCCCTTCTCGTCTGCTGCTCTGGTTTCCTCGAGGCTGTATAACAGGTCCAAACATTCGGTTAGTCTGTTTAATAAATCTCTTCGAATCCGGATCTCGTGTACGGTCCATTCAGGATCCCTGAGAGCCGCCAAGTTCTTCTCAGATCTTTTCATGGGATCTCCAATTCGCCTAATTTCATCGGTGATGCCCTGGATCTCGGTGATTACACTGCTGACAACGTCTCCCAGTCCAGCTTCATTGATCTTCTTGTCGATATCGACATCAGCATGTTTGGAGTCTGGTGGACCGTTGTCGGCCCAATGTAAGCCCCATGCCAATAATCGGTCCTGTTGAATCTGGAAGCCACGCCTCAATTCCTTGAGTTCTGGCGACTCGGCGATACTTGGAGCGGCGGGACTGACCCTTGTATTCTCGTATGATTGTTTGGCGTCGGAATACAGTTTCGAGAGGCCTTGAAGTCGGGTGCCGCGGCGAGCAAACATGTCGAGGGCTGTGATGTTGCTGATGGCTTTCCAACAGGGGATTTCCAACAGGGGATTTCCGTTTCAGCGAGTCACTCCATGCAAGAGGTGAAGTTGTGGTATGCCTCAAAAGAGCGATGGAGTAAACGACAATGTTCAGCTGTACTCGTAGTAGATGTGATGTTGAACCCTGGAACTCGTAATTGGGCTTGGTTGAGGAGCGGGGTGTGAGGACAAAGCCGCGTATATCCAAGTGCTGGGAATTCCTGTTGCCTGAGTTCCGATTCGAGGCAAGCTTCGCCACACCCGCACTTACTATTTGTACTACTAATAAATACTAGGCACTCCGTCCAGTAACTCGTGGTTACCTGGCCTATGGGGTCCCCTGTGACTATGAGACCCTCCCTGAACGAGGAAGCCTAGAAGCGAATCTCGAGCACCTATTGCGACTGGCTTCATCAGCCACACTTCTCCTAAAAGAATTCCTGCTGCCTTGCATCGCAATTTTCGCTGGGTTCTGATGGTCTGGATCTCTCCAATGAAGCACACCATCGATACTGATTGACTCGGTCCTATAAGGCCTCTAGCTACTCCGTACGAGTACGAGTACTTACTTGCATCTCTTCGCGCATTGATTCCTTGTTCATACTAGTCGCATGGGGTTCTATACCCAAGGGATAGTTGCAGATGCCTGTCTAGCTCGGGACGCTGGAGACCCAATGTCAGCCGAGTAGTTTTTGCACATTTCCATCTACATCAAAACCAGGCAGATAAAAAAGCAGAAGAATTTTCTTAAATGAGTTTGATCAACTTGATTTGGTTGATATTTATTGCTGTTACAATTGACTATGTGTCTTGATAGCCGATGGTCTATCAACCGGTGGGCACGGTGAGCTCGATATCTTTCCTCAGCAGCAATGATACAATTCTCTCCTCTGTGTGAAAGAACCCCCCATTTCAAACCCCATTGTCAAATGTCTTTGTGTGAATCCAATACCCATACGCCATTTCATCATTCCATTAAGCTCCATAAAAGATTGCAAGGTGCGGTCGAACGACTCGATGCGAGCATCAGCAGGCGAACGAGCTTAGCCACCGAAACCGTAGAGGGTTCTGCCTTGACGCTTGAGGGCGTAGACGACGTCTGCATCATCATCATATGTTAGTCTTTGTTCTGCATTCTCAACACACTGCGGTGTTCCGACTTACCGAGAGAAGTGACGGTCTTTCTCTTTGCGTGCTCAGTGTAGGTGACAGCATCACGGATGACTGATTCGAGGAAAGACTTGAGGACACCACGGGTCTCTTCGTAGATCATGGCAGAGATACGCTTCACACCACCACGACGAGCGAGACGTCGGATGGCAGGCTTGGTGATACCCTGAATGTTGTCACGAAGGATCTTTCGATGACGCTTGGCACCTCCCTTTCCGAGGCCCTTGCCACCTTTGCCGCCTACATGGAAGTTGAGTTAGCCATGTTGTGGTCTATATGTCTAATGTCTGTGTATGGGCAGGTGGGTGTTGTTGGGTGCTGACGTGGAGTGGCGTGCACACCCGTGTCGAGGGCGCAGCTGAGGTGTAGGTGAGGTGCGAAGATAACAACCACCCCAATAAATCATTGGATGTTGTGAGGGTATTTACTTACGTCCAGTCATGTTGATTGAAGTGTTTGAGAGATGAAAAGTGGTGGATGGGATGAGTTGTTGATGGTTGGTTGATGAAAAGTTGATGGTACGCGACGAACGATGGCTGTGGGGAGAGGTTTTAAAAGTAGAAAAGAAGAGAGAGATTCAAAAGCGGATGGAGGGATGAGAGATATAAGGGGGAATTGGCAGAGAGAGCAGTGAATGATGGATCGGGAATAGCGGCAAATGTGCAATGATTTCCAAGGCAAACACGGGCAGCTTTGATCACAGACTGCGGATCATGATTTGGAGTGTCGCAATTCCAGCACTTTTAACAATGGAACAATCCGCCGTTCTGATTGGCGGTGATGAAACTTGCAAGATCAATCGACCTTGATGACCTCACGTGACGAATAATCCCCGGAGCCTTGCAGGGTGAACTTCGGCACTGGGACAAGGCTGAGATATGCAGATACGAGCATAGCGCATTCACCTTTTTCGACTCATATAATAGGATGAATATAGCAGCTCACAAGTTTTCACGATTAGGTCTCACCAAGACAAATCCTCGGTTAAAGTTCATATATCTACCACCAGATATTCAGATATTCAAGGCTAACGAAAGAGCACATCACTGGACACAACAAACACCGGATTTCATTTTCTTTTGGTCATTCATTGTACATATTGACTGGCTATGCGTGCTACAGTGGAATCGTCTAGAATCCAGTGTATCGCTGCTTCTGCTTGTACTTGTTGTAACCCACGTATCCACCTCCAACAAGTCCACCAAACAAGATCAACTTGAAAAAGAACCAGCCCCAACCACCGGTCTTCTTATCAGGTCGTCCACGTGCGCTCGCTCTGTTGGCAGCGGCTGAATTTCTACCAGTGTTCGCAGCGACAGGGTTGTACAAGTTCCTCGTCTCCACGCTGATGACATCAAAGTTGTCCGTAAGCTCACCAGTATGCGCACTGAAACCCAAGTAAGCAGTGTTGGGCAACTTCAGAGGCATATTTGCATTTGGTTCCAGGCTGAAACAGTCGATCCAGGAATCCGTCGACTTATACTGCAACTGTAGTGACAACGACTTGTCTTGGAAATACGTCAGTTTGGCTTTGGTCGGGATCGATGCACCGCGCAGTCCTCGTGCCTGTGAATGAAATGCCGTGAGTTAGTCCAACAGAGGACGAGTTTCCTTCTCTTCGATGTTGTCCAAGTACTTACCGAGCATCCTCCAATTTCATTAGCCTTGCCGTCGTTGGCTGAATCGTAAGTCGTTTGCCCGTCTCCCATCATGGCCATCACGTATGGGAACACCACTCCAGGCCTGTTGTTCTTGTACGTGTCGAAGAAGATTCCGAGGCCTTCGAATCGATCCGCGTGACCAAACACCGGCCCCGGCTGGCCTCTCTCCTTGGTGATCCAAAGCGCGAACCCGTCACCGTGTAAGTGTCCCTTTCCTTGTATAGAAAACTCGAATTCCACCTCCCAATTCGTCGCCGTGAGAGGTATTCTCGAGAACAACCATCCTGACTGGGAGGGCACATCGGAGGCCAATCGGATGTACTGGTCCGTTCGTATTATGGTGTCGCCGCCAAAGTCGAACCATCGACTCGACATGTCAGAGTCGAGGTACGGAGGAGCCAGACTGTGCGTGCGCAGCTGTGGACAAGTAGCATTATTAGAAAACAGGTAGCAAGGAAAAAAAGGTAACACCACCAGCAAAGCAGATGCACACTACTTACAGGGATACTCTTCATGGAAGTATCGGCCTCGACTGCTGCTCGTGTGCCAATTGCACATGCAAGAAGCAGGCATATTGACGACCAGGCTTGAGGGAGCCACATCATTGCTGCGAGCGAGACCAGTAGATGTTTTGGTTAAGGACAAAAGTTGACAAGCATGGCACGTTTCTTTCCTGGTCAATCAGTCAGGCGCCTGCCAATTGATGTCTTGTTTAAGAACCCAGGAGTCTCGTGGTGCTTGTACTCCAAACAGTAAATAAGTGTTACCACCAGCGTGTCCAGTTTTAGGCGAGAAGATGTTACGAGCGTGATACTGCGAACGAATAAAACGCGGCCAGGCTGTGCGGAGAGCCTCGTCACTCCAACCGCGCAGCCCGCGCGCACTTCCAACGCCTAAAACTCAGGTAAAATAGTGAGCCTTGCGGTAGAAGGAGTGCCCGCAAAACCTGCCATTCTAGGGGCATTGACGCCATGGTAGAAATCTTGTCGGAGATTCTTCAGTTCTCTTTGAAGCTTCCACAGGTGACTTTGTACCACAACCATCCACAACTTCGCACCTACAGCATTGATCAAGTATTCTCAGCTTGTATCGCACGCCTCAGTAATAAGGCCTCGATCCACTACGAAATTTTGCGCTTCCAAAACACCTCGAGCCCCTCGAAAAGTCACAAACCTCGGTGCTCTCAAACCACTTGCCAACTCTACTACCTCCGACACATTTCTTCTGCCAACCTATTTCCAAACCACTTCACAACCCTTCTCACAATGGCATTCGGCGGTCTGTTTGGAGGCTCTTCCTCGTCCTCAGACTCTTCATCGTCCTCCTCATCCTCCTCATCCACAGACCAAGCCGCATTCTCATCTCCACTGGGCCAATCGTCCCCCTCGGGCTCCGGCAGCGCAACGCTCCAACGAATCCAATCCGCCATCAGCCAGCAATCCAACGTAGCCAACGCGCGCTACCTAATCTCCAAAGTCAACGAGAACTGCTTCGAACACTGCGTGTCCAACCCACCCGGGTCCAGCCTCTCCTCCGGCGAGAACAAGTGCCTGACGGCCTGTATGGAAAAGTATTTTGACGCCTGGAACGTCGTGAACCGAGCGTACGTGACGCGCGTGCAGAAGGAAGGCGCTCTGATGGCGAACACGACCGGTGGATCACCTGGCGGAAAGGAACTGTTCTGATTCTTTTTTGTTATGCTTTCCCATTGTTGAGGAGGTCGGGGAAAGAAAAGAACGGGCGCTTGATGAGAAGGTGTTCCATCGGTCGTGGCTCTGGAGGTAGATATGGAGAACGATACATACTCCCAGAGGCCCATCGAGTCTGCTTTCACCCTGGTCTGGTGACCGAAAGATCAGAGGACGAACAAGACCCCAAAGAGGACTTTGCGGCTGCATGCACACGGAACCTTCCAAGTCTGTATCTGAGCACTGTGGGGCGTGCCTTTGCAGAGTGACTTGATATTCACTTCACTGCGGCCCTTCTTGCCATTGCTCTCTCCCCTGAATTGATGAGGGGACATTGGCTCTGAGTGTACAAGTACAACCTCAGCTCCTACCCTACATGATAGAGGCACCAATTCTTGTATCTTGTACCACTACTTCAGATCATACAATCTGGCATGCTAGGGAGACCTTCTTGAATGCAGGTGACGTTTATGAGGGAAGATGCACCCATCAACTTGTCTCAGGCAGCGTCCACACCGAGCCATGATATGTACCATACCTGAATACATGAAAATCAAAAAATAGAGAAAAAAATGGCATATGAAGACTTCCCGTTCTGTAATTCGAAGTGATAGTCGTGGGTACGGAGTGTACAGATTGTGTTTCTTTCCCCCCAAATGGACAGAGGCACGCGGCGGATACTGGCAAAAGGTCCAAGTGATAAAAAATGATAAAAAGACCTGATTTCTTTGCCACGGCAATGGCGAGTACAGAACAGAACTAAGGTAATGAGGAGGTAAAGGAGGCAAGGAGGTACACGAGCACTCCTGGAGCAAACACACCAACACACCTACCCACCCACACACACACACATCTGCTGATACCATCGTCAGTCAACCTGGCCTGCCCGTCTCATCTCGTCTCATCTCGTCGTCTTATCGTAAACACTACTACTCAAGAGGCATCCCCGGCTCTCCTCGACACCAAGTCCATTCCATCGCTGTAACCATCTACTTTCACAGCCCCGGAACGAGAAACTCGTTCAAAACAGCAACACCTCCAAAAGACTAGGAATGTCGCGATACTTCAATCATAAGGTGCGTGGCCGGCAAATTAAAACAGTCCAATCATGAGCCCAATGCCAGCCCAAAAAACATACATGGTGTTGCAGCAGCTGCAGCAGGTGTCGTGCCTCAGGGATGCCCTATTCGTGTATTGTTGCAGGTATACTTTTCCTTCTGATCCTGCACCGGCCACTTAGTATGGTGTATACTGGCCAAGCGAATGTCGACGGATGATTCATGTACGTCGTATTGCTTTGCTTGGTAGTGTCTCATTAGAAGTCGGTGAAATAGTGTCCAAAACTAAGACCAATGGTTAGCAATTCCCCTCCCGACAGCAGGACATATCCATAAACTTACGGATCCTCCCCCCGAGACCCATATTGTTCTGTTTCCTCTGGATACTTGTCGAACTGGCTAGCATCCCCAGCGCCTCCTTTGACTGGAGGCACATATGGTGCATCAATATCCTTCTTGACCAGTCTCTCCCATGTTACCTCAGCAAACCAGGCATGGTTCTTGATCTCGGATGGACCACCGTGCAAGTTCCCCAGGCGCTTTGTCAAATCCGCTGTAATCAGCTGGACAAGGAGATCTTGAGCGTCGTGATGAATGTAAGGCGGATATTTGACACGTCCCTTCAAGATGTTCTCATAAATCTTCACTGGGGATCCTCCATCCCAGAAAGGAGTGAAGCCACAAAGCATTTCGAAGATCAGGATTCCAAGAGACCACCTATTGACGTGTGAGTCACAGACGGGTGAGCAAAGGCACAGAACTTACCAGTCCACAGACTTATTGTAACCCTTGGAAGCCACCACTTCCGGCGCAAGGTAATCTGGAGTACCACACAATGTCCAGGTAATGTCTGGTACGTCTTTGGCAAAGCCAAAATCTGTAATTTTGATATGGCCATGTCTATCCAGCAGCAAGTTTTCGGGCTTCAAATCCCGGTAAATGATATTCTGTGAGTGTAGGTATTCGAGCGCCAGGGTCACTTCGGCGGCATAGAACTTTGCGACTGGGTTCGGGAAACGCTACAGTCTGTTAGCCATAGTCTAGGTAGGTGAGGGACGGAACATTACCTGTGACTTGCGCAGGAGACTGAACAGTTCACCACCCTCAATAAAATCCATGACCATGTACAGGTTCTTGGAATCTTGGAAGGTGCCCCACAGAGTAATAAGGAAAGGGTGTTTGACTCGCGACAGCATCTTCCTTTCGTCGTTTGTGTGCTCGATCTGTTTCATCTTGACCACTTGAGCCTTCTTCAAGACCTTGATAGCATAGAATCGTGTGTTATGTTTTGATTGTACCAGATGAACTCGCCCAAAGGAACCCGTGCCGAGTGTTCTCTTCATCTCAAAGTCAGTCAAGGTATATTTGCCCTTGGTCTGCCGGGTAGCTCCTTTGCCATCCACCACGCCGCTCGCAGGGGGGCTAACGAGACTGGCTACGTTCATGTTGTTCGTGCCGTTGCTTGCGGGCTGTTTGGTGGTAGGCTCGGGAGTCGAAGTGACTTGTGTGGTGGCTCCTGAAGTGGCTTGTGTGGGAGCATTTGAGGTGGTTTGCGAAGCTGCAGATGACGACGCATCGGTTTTCTGTGACTGCTTGTATTGAATGGACGAATGATTGCCTCCGCTGTTTACCGTTTTATCCTCCGAAGACTCCTTGGTCCTCTTCTTCTTGAGGAGGCCTCCAAAGGTTGGCATTTGGACGCCCGGGGGAAGCGCACGTTCCCTGGTACTGGTATGCAGAGAATCCGCGTTATTCGCTGAGGTTATGGCACACCCCTTCGGACAGGCCTACAGGCGGTTGGGCTCAAAATTGACGAGGGAGGAAACGGTGGAGAGGAGGGGTAGCAGGGACAGATCGATAGAGGTAATTCGCTTCTTGGGGAAATGGGAAGCTGCAGTTGACACCGATAAGCTTGCCAATCCAAGGGTGGAGTAATGCAGCAATTGTTAATCAGTAAGTAGTGTACCACATGGAAACAAATTGTTATGAAGTGGTAGCAAAAGGTAAGCTGCGAAGATGGTCCACGGGAAGAGGCAGGCTGGGAAGGAAAGGTCGACGTAAGTAGTAGCAGTAGTAGATGCAACTGAGAGCTTGTCAAGGTGTGTCAATCGAACAGCTGGGACGGACGGGAGCCCTCAAGAGGCCCGAGTTGAGATGCAATGATTGGCGATCGCGAACAGCCACTGGTCGACCACCAGAGAAAGAAGCAGTCAAGAAGAGTTACAGCACGGAATATCCGTAAGACACAAATAGCGAATAGACGGGCCTCTTCTGCTCGTAGGGTGATGGGACTTCTCAACATCTCGTCTTCGACCTGGACGCGGGGAAGCTCTTTGGTGCTGCACACAACAAGATGCGACCAGTTCGCCCACTCACCGTCACCTCTTCAGCCACGTATGTCACTGCGAGTGTCACTCTTGACTTGATCGCAGATTGGGCTATTGCATCCCGAACTCATAGGTGGGCCAACCTGGCGAACCCCTCCAAACCGACCCCCAGCACTGACCAGGGTTCTCTGGTTATCCTCGGGATGAGGATGGTCATCATTCTCTACCTAAGTACGTAGTACTGTAATGGCATTCATACACATGCAGGTGACTGGTGCTGGTCATGAGTAAAGGGTACTCAAATATTCCATAGGGGATTTTCTATATCATGCCCGTGTTTGCCTCATCTCACGGAGAATCTCGTCCACTATTTCCTGGGCCTCCGCTGCCGTTCTCGCCTCAAAGTCATATCTCTTGTTCTCATTCGGCCTGCGAACAAAAACCCGGATCAACTTGGAGTGCTTCGTGCTGACTTTACACCGTAGGATATCGCTGAAGGGGAACGAAGTGAATTTCGAGTTCGTCCCAGCATCAGTATGCATGACATGCATCAGATCTCCATCGAAAACGAGTGTTCTTTGGCTGCCTTGAGCAAATGGCGCCATCTGCTTCCTGATCACGTAGTATTTCTTGAAATTGCTGGCGCTCGACACTAGGTCCTGTTTGTTTGCCAGCGGGTGATGTAGCTGACCTTTCTTGGTCTTCTTCGGGCCTTGGATGTCCAGCAAGAGGGGTGCATTCGGCGATGAACTGCCTGGGGAGCCTGTCAAAGCCGCCACGCCCGCTCCGAATCGTCTTCGCACAAGATCCAAGTCAGACCGAGTTCCTAGGGCTTCGACTGTTCTATCCAGGGGTGCAACAGTATTCGTCCCTGCGACTTTCAACACGAAACCAGCCTTCTCGAAATTCCATCTCTTGCACACATGGTCGAGTATTTCAGCTATGTAGCTGTCTGTAGAGACTTCCATAGTCATGGTCTGAGCCGCAACATCGACATCAAAATACCGTACTCGGATCGTCTTCGTCGTACCCATACGTGGAGTTGCATGCGAAGTGGAAGGGGCAGGCAAGTCTGCTGGTGTTAACGACGAGTTAGCTAATGCTGAAGTGAACGGTTGTCCTGCGAGAAGAAGGTTATTTCTGGCCTGTGCCTGCTTTGGTACCATCTGAAGCTGCGACTGCGTCTCGACTGGCTCGAGCGTTGGCATTGGTGCAAGTTCCTCTTCCGCCGCGAATGCGAACTGAGGCGTGTTTCTTTTATTAGCCTCGAACTGAGCAGGCGATGCTTCGACGAGAGCAAATTCGTCAAAAGGACGTTCTCTGGACCTAGCCCTTCCTCCACGATTGTTGTTGTATGTGAAGTCAGTGATAGGACGCGTACGAACAAGGGGCGGGAAGTCATCATCAATCTCTCCGTCCTCAACCATTCGCAGTGTCCACTTATTAACATCTAGTTGTTCTGGAGCAAGGGGAGGCTCTAACTTCTCTTCCTGATACCGCCAGAGGCTAAGGCCGATGGCTTCTGCGACAATCACGGAATTACCATCCTTGGAAGTTCGGGCCAGTGGCATCTCAATGGGTTCGTCCGCATCTTCCGAGAAAGGCGCATAGATTTTTATCCACAAAGGATTGGGGTTGCCTTTGCCAGACAAACCAGCAAAAGCCTGAAGCGGATTGCTAGGTGCCTTTTTCTGTGCATTCAAGGCCGCCGAAAGCAGACTCTTGGGCTGAATAAAGCTGATAGGTCGTGGAGGTGGTAGTTCATGGAGGACTGGAAGTGTTCTTTGTTTCCTAGGCGATTCTGAGACGGGAATTCGTGTAATTGAGGATCCAGAAGCGGTGAAACTGCTCAGTATAGGGGGCGAGGAGGGCAAATTTGACTCTGCAATGGTGTTCAGAATGGACGCGGAGTCGACGGTTTCACCTAGTTCTGAGGACATTGCTGATCCCACCGATTCTGCGTCCGAATCATCATGTACCTGATGCCGGTGTCCTGCTCCTGATCTCATAACACCTTCATCAAGGAGTGGTGCAGATAGAGATTTTTTACCGGCATTGACTTGGCGACGCTGGAAGTAAGTCGGGTCAACTTCATTTTCAGAGGATAGTTCACTACTTGTAGTAGTATCGGCTCTGGCACGAGCTTTGACGGCTTCTACAGCTCCGAGTGAGCCAGTCCTTCTTCTGTTGTCCGTTCTCGGTTTTGAAGGAGAGGTCGTTATGATGTCTGGCCCAGCACCTCGAATAGGAGATGAGTCCGCCCTGTTTCTAGCAGGCATTTTTGCAAAGCGAATCTGCTGAGCGGCGCGTTGCGCACCTTCAGCTTCTTCTTCGGATTCATCTGTAAGATCACTACTGTCGTCATCCTCGACATGTTCTTTTCTCCTCCGCCTCCTTGCATTGAATCCGGGGCCGATCGTGTCATTGCTGGTCCTGCCAGTTACTAATCCACCTTCGTCAACCTCGTCGCCTTGGTCGCCCAGGGAGTTAGAGAGTTGAAGTTCGAGTCCCGCCTGAAAGTACTCAGTGTTGATTGATGTCGGTATTGGCGGAGAGTAAGTTCGTTGAACAGGATCCGCAGACCATCCAGCAGCTCGGAAACCTGGAGTATTCAATATTGAATTGTTGACATTGATTAGACGCTCGGCAATCCCGTCTTTAACACTGGCCAGATACGAAGTCCGCAAGTACCATATCGCAAATCTGTTTCCGACTGAGTTAGCAAGGGCGAACCAGCAGAGTTATAGCAAACCATGTTGTGACACCCATAGGGGACAGAGAATTGAGGCCAACATACTCCTCGTTTTGTAAGAGAGCCATATTCGTGACAAGATGAGCCTGTTAAATGAGCGCCAGTAAATGTTGTTGTGTAATTGGCTTCGATCGTGGCTTCTTAAGCACGCCCAGCTGCGGCGTCGTTAGGCTGTTGAGTTAGCCGACATCTTTACGTTGAGTATGAAGAGTGGCACCACCCTTTTCAAGACGGTGATGTGAAAGCGACGACAGAGATGAGATATGTGGTGTTTGATGAAGTGTGAGTTGATGAAGCGTGATATCTATCAACCCAAACGATTCGAGGGGCCAGTGCGGACTTAGCGGACTTAGCCTCATGCACGATGGTGGACCAACCAGTTGCGTATTCTCGCCTGCGCAGTACATCATCACACTCAGCCTCGCCCGCCGCAGCCCTAGAACAATTGCCCTCGCGACTTTCCTCCCACCTTCATTTCTCGTCAAACCACAGTCCTTACATTCTGACACTTCTCTCTCTCAAAAGTCGCAAATATGGCATGTCCACATGTTCAATCAGCAAACCTACGACCTCCAGGTCCTACCCAGAGTGTCTATCGGGAGGATTGTACACAGTGCTTTGATTCCATTGACGATGAGGCCGGGCTCGATGTCTGCCTGGCCTGCTTCAACGGAGGATGTGCTGGTGAACGAAATCATTCTCTACTCCACTACTCATCTACGGGTCATCCTCTCGTCCTCAACATCAAGCGCACTCGAAAAGAAGTCCAGCGGGATGAACCCCCACCAAAGCTGACAAAACTGGCCATCGCCGCCGAAACGGAAGAAGACAAATATGACACGGCTACCAGGGTGAAGTGCTACTACTGTCAAATCGATGACGTGGACAAGAGTTCGGGAAAACTGCCAGAAATCGTTCATGGAGTACTGAATGCCATGACATTTGCCAGAAAGGAAGAAGTCAAGGCATGGGAACAAGAGTTTACACCGTGTGAGCACACGTTGTGTCTGGAGCAGCATGAAAGCAGACAGATTGCATCTCAAGACCTGGGCTCGTGTTCTAAATGTGATCTCAAGGAGAATCTTTGGCTCTGTTTGGCATGTGGCAACCTTGGTTGTGGTCGGGCGCAATTTGGCGGTGTTGGTGGCCATTCTCATGGTCTGGCACATGCAACAGAGTCGAGCCACCCTGTCGCCGTGAAACTAGGTTCGATTACTCCCGAAGGAAACGCCGATGTATACTGCTACTCGTGTGACGAAGAGAGGGTTGACACAGAGCTTGCCAAACATCTTGCTCATTGGGGGATCAATATTGCCGATCGACAGAAGACCGAGAAGAGTCTGATGGAAATGCAGGTTGAGCAGAACCTCAAATGGGACTTTTCAATGACGACCGAAGATGGTAAAGAGCTAAAGCCTCTGTTCGGGCCAGGTTTCACTGGGTTGAAAAACATTGGAAACAGTTGCTACCTTGCAAGTACCATGCAATGTTTGTTCTCATTGCCAGAATTCCAACAACGATACTATCATCCTGATCAACCGCCACCCACTACTAATCTACCTGCGGAAGACCTGGAAACACAACTGCGAAAGTTAGCAGACGGGATTCTCTCTGGCAGGTATTCTCTCCCGGACAACTGCGCCCATACTACTCCAGACACCCCCGAAGTTCCGCATCAGAAAGGGCTCTCTCCCGCTATGTTCAAGCATCTCATTGGCAGGGGCCATGAGGAGTTCTCAACGATGAGGCAACAAGACGCGTTTGAGTTCCTCCTTCATATGTTCAAACTGGTCAGTCTTTCGAACAACTCAAAACCGGCAGAAGATCCAGTTCAGTCCTTCCGCTTTGCCCTCGAACAACGTCTAGCATGTCTCAATTGTAAACGAGTTCGATATCGCAGCGACGAACAAGACAACATCTCAATACCAGTACCGGCCCGACGAAAACCGGTTGGCCAGAATGGGGGTGATGCTGGGAACCAGACCGAATTCGAAGCGGTACCGCTAGAAGAATGTCTGGACAATTTTACTGGAACGGTTCACGTAGAGTTGACCTGTCCTGCGTGTGGCTCTAAAGCTGGTTTCTCGAAATCGTCAAAGTTCAAGACGTTCCCAAAGAACCTCGCCATCAATCCCCTCCGGTTTGAGATTATCAATTGGGTGCCTACCAAACTTGATATCCCTGTTCAGGTTTCGGATCAACCCATAGATCTCAGCAAGTATAAATCCCTCGGGCTGCAGCCCGACGAGGAGGAATTGCCAGAAGATGCTGATGTAGGAGGTGCGAGCACATCAGCATCATTTGTACCCAACGAAGGCGCTCTCAGTATGCTGGAAGGAATGGGCTTTCCTCGAGTTCGTTGCGAGAAGGCGCTCCATGCGACTGGAAATTCAGATGCAGATGCAGCCATGAACTGGTTGTTTGCGCACATGGAGGACCCGGATATCGACGAGCCATTGAACCTCGGTGGTTCTGGTGGAGGTGGTGCTGGCGACGATTCAGAGAAAATTGCTCAACTGGGCGATATGGGCATAAGTGCCCCTCAGGCACGCAAAGCACTTCGGGAGTGTGGCGGCGATGTCAATCGTGCTCTGGACTGGGTCTTCAGTCATCCGGATGACCAAGGAGATTTTGGCGAAGATGGCTCCTCTGGTCCAGCCCAGCAGAAAGTATTGCCTGGGTCGGATTCCTTACCAGCCCGGTACGAGCTACAAAGCATTGCATGCCACAAAGGAGCCAGTGTTCATGCCGGACATTACGTTGCATTCGTTCGCAAGCCAATCCCTGGCGAGGGTGCAGAGAAGCAGTGGGTCTTGTTTAACGATGAAAAGGTCGTAAAGGCAGTGGATGCAGAGGAGATGAAGAAGACTGCGTATGTTTATTTTCTTTCATTACTGCCATGATGGAATGGTACGTTTTCTATGGATGGAAGAATAAAAAGAACGAATTATGACTAGAACAAAAACCATTTTGAGGTTCAACAGTGGCCTCGGAGCAATCCATAGAGACGCAGTGAGTCCATGGTCACTCTATTGACTGCAGCAAGTAGACAAGATCTTACTATGATATTACAGAAGAGCCGTAGGTCTTAGAATATCAAGTCGTTATGCATACTTCTCTCTCCTAGTGGTACCTCGCGAGTAAGAGGGGCGATGTATGCGAAGATGTGCCCCTCGGCAGTCTGGACTGGCGCTAATAAAAGCCCAAGATGGACTTGACATCACACCGGCGAATTCCTCATGCTTCTTGGTGAACTCAGCTATATTATTCTTGTTAATACGACTGAGGATGTGTGTATGTTGAAGAGAACTCTCCTTGAAAGTACTGAAACACCATTTTGATCTCTTTGACCTCAATTTATCTAATACGCCCAGTCCGAGGGGTTGAGAGTGGACAATTAGCATTCATTTTGCGTTGAGAGCGCCGACCACGGTGGGCAAAAACGCATGGTGGTTGGGCTTTGAAAAGCACCTTCGTCGCCGACATTTCTTGCACCAACATCTCCTCTCTCTCTCTCTCTCTCTTTCTCCCTTTCAAGCTGGGTAACAAACACCCACTGCCACCTCTGTCTCGCCGCAACCATGTTCTTCCTCTTCCGCTGGACCCTCTACTTCCTCGGCGGCTACATAACGACAATGTTGACCCTCTTCGGCCTCTACACGTACCTCCCCAACCCTCCGCAGATATTGGGGTTCATTGCACGATCGCTGTCCGCCTACCTCACGTTGATCGTCTGCGCGAGCTATGGAACAATCGCTTCGGGGATATTGAAGCTGATGGGCTTGCACTATGCCTACGGGCAGTGGACCACGGCCAAGGCGTTCAAGAATCTGGGCGTATACACCATGGGCATAAAGTTCGACATCCTGGACAACGGTGAGGAGATTTTGAATAGCAATCGACCGGCCGTCTTCATCACGAACCACCAGACCGAACTCGACGTGCTTCTTTTGGGTTGGATCTGGCCGCAACACTGCTCCGTGACGGCGAAAAAGTCCCTGCGCAAGGTGCCCTTCCTCGGCTGGTTCATGACATTGTCGGGCACCATCTTCATCGACCGGGTCGACCGAAGTCAGGCGATGAAGGCTTTCGAAGGTGCCGCGACGGCCATGAAGGAGAAGAGACAGAGCGTTCTAATCTTCCCCGAGGGGACGAGGAGTTACTCGGCGGAACCCATGTTGCTACCTTTCAAAAAGGGCGCCTTCCACCTGGCAGTTCAAGCTGGTGTGCCTATCGTGCCCATCGTGGCGGAGAATTACAGCCACGTGTTGAACCACAAGGCCAAACGATTCAACAGTGGAACGATACGAGTCAAAGGTTTGTTTTGTCACTCTGCTTTTTGTGTCGACGTCTGAAAATCACCGACTAACGGTGATGGTTATGGTTAGTGCTTGACCCTGTTGACACTAAAGGACTCACGTCTGCCGACGTCGACAATCTAACACGGGACACTCGAGAGAAGATGTTGAATACCATCATATCTCTTGGCCAGGACAAGGTTGAGTCGAAAAAGACTTCCTGATGGTCACCTGAGCGCATCAGCCTTCCCAAGGTATTGAAGTGACTTAGAAAAACAACAGAAAGAAATTCTCCCAGAATGTCAAGGTGGCACAAGCACTTCGTCGCCAGGAACTACACGCCGATATCTCTCGGTTGGCCATAATGGTACGCATGATCACCGATTCCTCCGGTACCGACCTGCGTGAAATGAGACCCGCGTCATCCACAGTTCTCATGAGAATAGAGTCATGCGCCGACTTGTCGACTATCGACCAGGGCTCAATTTCCGGGACACCAAGACGTCGAGGTTATATAGAGAGAGAGAAAGGAAGATTCTTGGCATGGCTTCGGAGCTGTCTGGATGGAAGGAAGGAATGAAGGTAGGATCAAAGCGGCATAAGCTCTAATGTAGACAAGACTCTGATGAGTTGCAATCACCAGAACCACCAGGGAGGACCACGAATTTTTTTCCTTTTGACGTTAACAGATAGCATGGGGTTGACAGATGACTGAGCATAGCGTTTTTGTGAAGAGCAATGAGGATGAGGAAGAATTGAAACCGTGATAGCATCCCTCAATGATATACCCTCGAGAATCGGGAGCGCCGCACTTGACTGATTGAACGGCAATAAAACGAAGGGGAAAAAAGCATGTTGTTTATTCAGCCTAAGCGTTTCTTTTGTCCGTTGAAATAGTAACACAACAAATGTTTCATCGTCTTATCTACCTAGGTAGGTAGGTGTATCACGGCTCAAACTGTTCGAAGGGTCTGACGAGTAACCCGGCCTGGCCGAGCTGCTCCTTGACTTGTGCGACTGTGTATTCTCCTCGGTGGAACTGTTTGAGAGTAAGTTGTCAGTGCAGGCCTCTTTTTTTTGTCTCCAGGGACACAAGAAGCAACAAAGAACAAAAGTCACTCACCATACCAGCTCCGAGAGCGGCGTCGACGTCGGTGGCGTTGAAGACCTCCTCGAAATGCCCGGGTTTCCCTGCTCCCGAGCTCGCAATGACCGGGATCTCCACGACACTCTTGACCAAGGCCACCAATTCCAGGTCGAACCCACGATTCGAACCGTCACGGTCGATGGCGTTCAACAAGATCTCACCTGCCCCCAACCTTTCACAAGCCGTCACGAGCTTGACAACGTCAAAATCCCTGACCTCTCTACCTCCCTTGATGGTGCAAGCGAACCAGACGTATTCTCGACCTTCGCTGTCCTGGTCCGTGGTCTTGATGACGGTGTGACCTTTTGTTTTGGCCGCTTGGGCTTCTTCCTCGGTCTTGACATAGATCCTTTTGGGGTCGACGCTCACCACGACGGCTTGAGCTCCGTAAGCGGCAGAGATGGTCTCGATGCTGGTGTCGTCGTCGCCGTCCCCGCCGCGACTCCAGAAAGCCTCGGCGGCCAGGACCGCGTCACTCCCGATCGAGACTTTGTCGGCACCACTGGCGAAGTAAAGCTTGGCCACGTCTAGGGCGCTCACCTTCTGTCCGCTCACCGGGTCCACCATGTCCCTGATCCCTCCTCCGATGGTCAGGGGTACAAACACCGTCTCGCTCGTCCTCCGTAGGATCTCGAGCATGGGCAGGTCGGTGATGGGACAATCTCGGAAGCTCGTAATGTTGAGGAAAGTCACCTCGTCCGCACCCTGGGTGTAATACCTCCGAGCCATCTCGACCGGTTTGCCCAAGTTTCTGACGTTCCCACCCTCCGACTTTTCTCGCACGTCGTACTGGTCGCCTTTCGTGACAACGAGGTCGCCGGCGTCGTTGGTCCTCACGTCGAGACAAGCGATGATGCGTCGTGTCAATCCGTTCGTCGAAGCCTTTACGTTTCTTTTCGTGGTTGCACCTGCGCGTACTGTTGTGCTGCCCGGAACAACCGCAGGTGTCGTCGAGGGCGTCACTTTGTCCCCGTCGAGGAACGCCTTGATCACGCGGAGACCAGCGGCGCCGGATTTCTCGGGGTGGAATTGTGTGGCGAAAATGTTGCCGCGGGCGATGGCACCAATGTACGTTTCGTCGCCGTAACGTGCCGTCGCGACCGTCCAACCCTCTCGTTCGAGATGACCGGGAGTGTAGGGTGCAAAGTAACTGTGGACGTAGTAGTATTTGGAAGACGGGTTGAGGCCGTACATGCTTGTCTGGTTGGACGTGCTGGCATCGGATGTCGTTGGGGAGGTGGATGTCGATGTGGACGCGTCGTTCCAACCTATGCAAGGCACGGATTTCCGTGAGCCGTCGGCGTTGGTCGGGCTGAAACGTTTCAAGGACGTAGGGATGAGGTTGAGACCCGGGACCGAGGGGGCTTCTTCTGATCCGGCGAACAAAGCTTGGAGGCCGACGCATATACCGAAGAATGGTTTCCCGGACGAGATATGTTCTTGGATGGCTGGGAGGTAACCTGCCGAGGATAGTGATGAGAGGCAATGACCGAAATGGCCTACGCCAGGGAGGATGATTTTCTGTTTGCGCCGTTGATTAATATCTTTGGTCCAGCGGATTTGTGTCGTAGGTCAAACCAAAAGACAGGGACGATAATGATCCAAGAAACTCCTCTCGATGAAAATAGGAAACAAAACGTTGTATATCATTGTTGAAGCAAGAAGAGAAAAAAACGCAACCAACTCAACTCAAGTTCAAGAAAACCACTGCGCGGATCATCCAGTCCATGGGTAAAGCTCAGAAGAAAAAGACACGAGATATACTCCCATACAGAAACACCACGACACAAGAAACAAAAAAAGAACCGTAACTTACATCTGCATTCTTGACGTCTTCTGGACTCTTGATCCATTCCACCTCATAACCACACTTTTCAATGGCATTCACCAGCGACCGGATGTTGCCCGCCACGTAGTCGAGGAGGTGGACTTTGGGCATGATGTCGTCGAACCGGGAGCTCTCGCTCCGGAGATCAGATGTGTATCAATCGATCGATAACTATACAACCGAGTTCAAGGCGATGGTTCCATGTTGTTGTTATGAAAAAATAATAGCAGAAACTGATTTTCTTTCTCGTCTCAAAGTGTCTCTCGTGTTGGTCGGATCGAATCTATGCCGTGTGTCTCTCATCGGCCGTCATGATCATGAACTCGATCGGGTGTGGAAATTTTTTTGTTTTTTATTCCTTGCATCTCAAAACGCCAAATGCGGCATGTGAGTCATAGATGCTATTGGTCAGCCTCGTTGGCCAACACCACCCAAAACTACATACTGCTTGTCTATCATCTTGGGAGTATTGAATCCACTCATTCATCCTTTTGTACGAGTTTACGCTACAAGTCCTGTCGGCATCAAAGATCGGACAATCTGTTTCGACCGAAAACATCTGCACCATACAATAGTATACTAGGAATTTATTGTTACATACCGAGTATTAATCGTCTTTTCCCCGTACTCTTCAAAAAAAAAGTGATCCCAACGCTTGATATAGAGACTTCTCAATAACTGCCGTTACAATACTATAATACACAAGACGAACAATCCGTTCTCATCGTCATCATCATCCATATCGCAATCTCACTGCTTCGTTGCTCGCACAATAAATCTGCCTAACGGTGTTCATTGCGTTGTCGCCCTGATAGCTTGTAGCATAAGAGCAAAGATAAGACCACGTGCCACATGCTGGAATTGAAGACAATCAAATACTCTCCCAAGAGCTTCACCACTGGCCGCCGCTCCCATGACACTCGTCAAAGCTTGTGGCATGCCTCGCTCCACGAGCAATTTGCGCGCCTTGACGCGTAGCTTCTCCTTTTCCTCCGCCGTCAGTTCCTTTGGCCATTTTTCCATCTCCTCTGGTGTTGGTAATGTGTTCTCTCTTAATTTATTGATATGCGTCGCTAGTCCTTTGTCCGAGAAGTTGGCTTCGAGCACACTCTCTTGCAGCAAGACCCGGATAGACTCGAGTTGGGGGTTATTCGGTCGCAAGAGAAAAGTCCTTGCGGCACCTAACAAGGACAACCTCAAGGACCAAGCACCCGCAAGCGAGTACAGCTCTGTCAGAACTGCAAAGATGAGCTCAATACATATACGAGTTTCTTCCTCGGAAATGGGCGCATCTTCTTTCTTCGGTCTTCTTGACGGTGTCTTGGTCAAATTGGTCGTGGCGGGAGTCTTTGTCTCTTCTACGTTCAGTGCAGGAGCTGGAGTGACAGGTTTCGCAACGATCGTATCCTGTCGAGGACGGGGCGGCGTCTCAGGCTTGGGTAGCGTGATGGGAGAATAATCGTCCGAGATCACACTCGGAGGTGGTGGGAAATACATGTTCTCCTCCGACAGACGGCTTGGCTCCGGAGCAGGTGCTGCTACAGATTGCTGGTCAGTGCCAACGGTATCTGTCCTGGGTCGGGTCGGAAGCGGGGGAGCTTTGAGGTCAAGACTCTCAGAACTACCTCTGGGGAGGTCCTGGCTAAATCTGTAATTCGAAGTCGTCGAAGAAGAATCGGTCCGAGATAGTTGCTGTGAAGGCCTGGGTTGTTTCTTAGGACCACCACCAACTCCCGTCGCCACGGCGCCGAAAACTCCTTGCACACCACCCAGAACGGCCTTACCGCCGCCAGCAATGCCTTTCCCACCTTGGCCCAAGACGTTGATGAAGTTCTTGCCGACGTTCTCCAGAGCTGCACCCCCTTGAACCAAGACGTTCTTACTTTGAGCAGGCGCCTTCTGTAGACCAGTTTCCTTGTCCAGGAATTTCTTCATTGCCTCAGTCTCGGCCAAAGGTTCGAACTTCAGGCAGAAGCGAAGATATTTCTCCAGAGTCTGAAGCAGGGAGACACTCGTCTGACCTTTCCACGTAGGGAGCGTCGCGTATAATTGTCCGAACTCGGGGATACCAGAGATACGAGCAATCGTCGTCAATGTCTGGTGGAGAGGTTCAAAATCAGCATAGCGGCGAGTGACCATCCATCCAGGATAGCGCTGCGATGCAGGCTCGATCTGGAGCAGATACTCGCTATTGGGTTTCTGCTTGAGGGTGGCCTTCTCATTACCATCGCCCATGTCGAGAATGGTTATGGAGGCGTTCTGGAGGGTCAATGGCACGGCAACCATAACCTCCACTGGTGTTGGAGCACTAGACACTGGCTGTGGCGGAGTCAGGACATTTTGACCTAACTGTTCAAAATCTGTAAATTGCCCCTGTTCTTTGTTTGGAGTCACTGGTGCTGACTTGTTTGGGCTGGGAAGGGTGGAATGAACCGCATTTCCATCAATGTCGAAGACCAGTGATGTATCAAGTGAGGACGTGGGTCGGTTTCGATCGCTATCCGATGAAGTTGGCGTAGCCATGCCTACATCGGTCGTGGCCACAGAACTGGTCTCTTCGTGCTCCTGAGGTGGTAAGCCTCGTTTGCGTCGGGCTTCGTCTTCGGCGATCATCTCGTTCAGTCGTTGAGCCTCGCGCATCGCTTCTTGCATCGCCTCTTCTGCTCTGCTGACTCGTCGGTTGTGACCTTGCCCGGGCTTTTTGTCCGGACGCGCTTTGGCCATGGCCTCACTCATGTCCTCGACTCCAGCATCGATTGCATTCAAAATCTCCGGCTCGCCGTCTTCCAATAAATATACGATCCATTGATTGATCCATTCCGGCTTTGAACAGGCTTCGACCGTGGACTCTAGCACCAAACCCGCTAGTACTTGCTGAAGGAAAGTCTTGACAGGGGGACAATTGTATGATTTTGAATCCAAAAAATTCTGCAAAATGTCATCGGCTACAAGCGCCAGTTTTCGTTCTTGCTGGTCTCTGCTCAAGACATTTGCTAAATTGCTGTCAGGCTGAAACTGCAGATACGTTGTGATTGCCGTTTCGGCCTCGCTGTTGGGAGAAGCCTTCAGGGCATTAGAAAGCTCGCTGAGGAAAACAATCACAATCGATGTTGAATTGGATAGAAAGTCCAAGAATGGGTCTGCAGCGCGTTTACGTGAAAGATGATTCGAGAAAGATATGATGAATCTCGTCAAAGTTTGCCTGCAGCTGGCCGGGAATGACTGCTCCTTGGGCAGTAAAGGGGTGTACCAGTACTTCACATAGTCCCGAATGACTGCATCGGTCAGGCTCGAGAGAGATTTGCTGGTCTCTGGAGGAAATTCTGAAAAGTCCATTGTCGGGGCTTCAGGGAGAGTGTCAAGGTCGGCGTCTTGAAAGACATCCTCATCTTTGTCGTTTATTCTCCTTTTATCCCGCCAATCTAGGAGTCTGTGTGCCACCTCGATCCCGAGCTCTTTCTTCCTGCGGCCTGCCTCACTTTTTTCCGAATCCGACCCTTCGCCATGTTGGCTGTCCCAGGTTGCATGAAGCACGATGCCACCAACTGCGCCGATCAAGACTAGCCCAACACGTCCCAGGACGAGATAGGTAGACGCGCATAGACCGACCGCGCAGGCCCCCAGTGTCTCATTGCTTGCGTTCGCGAAGAATCGCAGCGTCGCATCAATCGCAGCGGTTGTAGTTAATTGCTGGGTCGTTGGAGGATTCGCTGCAGCGACAGGGGTGGAATCGACCGACTTCTCTTCAGGGGTTTTGACAAGGTCAGGTTGTCCCTCCATTGTTACCATGGCGCATCCTGATCAGAAGGGCGACCAAGGTTGATACGGCGCTGTTGCGATACCTGCAAGATGATCAATGGCAAGGTCACCAGGATCGCCTCTTGATATGTCCGTCCGCATAAGCCGGGGTGTTGGGTCGCGAAGTGAAGGGTGCCCTGAAGCTTGTCCTCTTCAAGATTTGCCCGCATGTGAAATGAAACAATGCGGGTCCGTGAACACGCAGACGCAACATCCCTGTCAAAAAAGTTTTTGGCGCAATAATTTATCGATAACCACTTCGTACTTTCAACTGGCGACTACGAGAAATCTCACAGGCCACACCATCAACTAACCTCGATTGTCTTCACACCTCTCTCAAGATGGCAGAACAAATCTGTTCAAGTTGTCAGGAGTCCCTCTTCATTGAGATCGAGCCCGACAGCGACGTCGAGGACTCAAAAGCCGCAGCACAAGTTACAAGCGTACCAGACGATGTCGAATTGAGTTGTGGTTGTCACTATCACTGGTATGACTTTACGATCTACTACTGCTGCTGTTGTATACACATTAACCTTCTCCAGGGAATGTTTTTTGGACGCCTACACAATCACTGAATGCCCCAATTGCTCCAAGGACATCTCCTCTCTTTCTCCTAGCGGATCGCAACAAGTCTTGGTTACTCTTCGCAACGAAGGCGGTGTCCAGGAGGGTTATGATATCCTGCCGGCCGCTACAGAAGAAGCATACCTCCGAGCGTATCCGGAAGAAAGAAAAGGTCATGCCTACCTGGAATTCTGCAGAGAAGGCGACGTTGATGCCATTGTCCATATGATCAAGGATGTCGACGAGGATGATGAGACTGACGAGCACTCCGATATCTTAAGATACCGCGGGACATTCGAGGGTATTGAAGGGTCTGGTCTACACGTTGCCATTCGCTATCAACAACAAGAAGTCGCCTGGTTGTTGCTGGCCCTGGGATCTCAGCTCTCCTGGGAGAAGTTCCCCTCAATAGTTTTGCAGGCTATGGAAGGACTTGGATTGCAGAAAGAAGATCGAAACGCCAACCCGGACATCCGGAGTCTTAAGGACAGCGAAGGAAAGACGCCACTCGACTTGGCCAAAGAGGTTGGAGGACCGTGGACGGATTGGCTTAATCAAGGCCGTTTGTCACCTTGAACTAGGAAATTAAGATCTGATTGAAAAACAGACAGCGCTTCTGGATTCATTATATGCTGACTAGGGAGGTCGAGCCGGGAAGTCTTGCCGAATGGATCTTGTCTCACGCCATAATTCTCTATCTAACCCAGGGAGAAAGAGGGATTGATAGAGATCTAAAGCAATAGGTGTGATGCTGTTCTCCGGTATCCGAGTGAATCAGATAGCACGATGGAGGTGAGCCGTGCTTGATGCAAAGAAGATTCCGGTTTTTGGATGTGATGCTCCATGCCCCTTAAGGACCCCGTGGCCACAAAGCCCCTGCCAACGGAAAAAAAAACTTTCAGGTAGCAAGACTCTCACTCTCAGCCAGTCTTGCTCGCCTGGCGATCACGCAAAATGTACTTGGAATGAGTGCCATGAACAACAACACTCTTGTTATCTCCTTCTCCTTTGTAAATGGTTACCGTGGTAAATCCCATGTTCGTTCCGACTCTTGATACCTTGGCCTCTATGGTCAGGGTGTCGCCAACCTTTGCAGACGAAACATACGACACGTGTATATCTGTGCTGACGCCAGTCTGTTCAAGGCCGGTGGAAGCTATAGCCATGCCCCCGGCCCAGTCGACTATGGTCGCCGAGACAGAGCCGTGTAGACCTTTTTTAGAGTTGATGTGATTCTCGGTGACCTTGAGCTTCGCAACCATAGAGCCCTCTGTCGCGCCCTCAAAGACAACATCAGAGAGTGTGAGCTGGTAGATCGGCGAGGCCTGTGAGATGCGAGCCCAGCATGCCTGCACGCTTTCGAGAGGAGTTTTAGTCGTGGCCATCATGAAAAGCCGGTGATATAATTCACAAGCAACGAGGTTGCTAATGAGCGAGTACAAACGGGGACGCAGCCAGGGAGTGTCTTGGGCTAGGCAAGAGGCAACGCTAGAGAACGACGACGATGAGAGAGACAGCGACAAAAGAATGAGAGTGCTCTATGATTCCGAGTCAGGTAGTGAAAGAAAATGATTTTCATCAGAAGCTCGGCTTTGTCCGAGCAACAATCACAACCCGCACAGAAATTCTCCGCTCACCGCCTTCAACTTGTCCGGCAGAAAAAGTTCAAGAGAGACCGGCCAATGGAGATAGTGCCTGGCACCGACGAATTTTGTGCTTCATTCTTGCGTTCCCATTTTCAACAGAACCATATCTCAGGACCCGTTCTCTTTGCTCGAATACGCTATAGTCAGTCATCATGAGTAAACACAAACTCGACGACTCCGCGGCTCAAGTAGCCAAACAGGACAAGAAACGAAGGAAGAAGGATAGAAAAGAAGCCCTTCGCCTGGAGGATATCACTCCAAGTTCCACAGATGTTACAGCAGAGTCTACACCGGCTCCAGAAGATGATACCGACGGAGCGACATACAGGCCAAACCCTGCCCTCGGTTCCCTTCCTCAGTCGGAAGTCGACAACTTTTTCACGTCGCAGTCCGTCAAGACCGATGATCCTCAGAGCAGCAACCAAAGACCTATTCTCTCCTTCTCACACCTTCCTGCCGAATTGAGCAGCCAATTTTCGAGCGTGTTCTCATCCTTTGAGAAGCCTTCATCTATCCAATCAGCCGCTTGGCCGTTCCTTTTGTCGGGAAGAGACCTCGTAGGCGTGGCGGAAACGGGAAGTGGCAAAACTATCGCCTTCGGTCTGCCTCTTGTTGTCCGCCTTTCGGCGTTGAAAAAGAAGAAGGGAATAAGAGCAGTAATCGTCGCACCAACACGAGAGTTGGCCATTCAAGTGTACGAACAGATTGACAAGCTGTGCAAAACAGCCCACAAGTTAAAACCTGTTTGTGTGTACGGTGGAACAAACAAGGATGAACAGAGGCGGACACTCCAGGGCGCCAACATTGTTGTAGCTACGCCTGGCAGACTGAAGGACTTCATGTCCGACGGTACGGTAGATGTGTCGAAATGCCGCTATTTGGTTCTTGACGAAGCCGACCGCATGCTCGACAAAGGTTTCGAGGACGATATCAAGCACATCATCTCACATATGCCCTCCTCCAGCAAGCGACAGACAGCCATGTTCACAGCCACATGGCCAAAGTCAATCCGCGAGTTGGCTGCGACATTCATGAAACAGCCTGTAAAGATCACGATTGGCCGGGACGACACCGATGACTCTGGTGAACTCCGCGCAAATGCGAGGATCGTACAAAAGGTCGAAGTCATGGACGGGGCTCTCAAACAGCAGCGCCTGTTACAATTATTGAAAGAGCACACCGCTGGCAAAAAGCGCAACGATCGCATTCTCGTCTTTTGCTTGTACAAGAAGGAGGCCCTGCGGATCGAAAATTTCATTCGCGGACGAGGTTTCAACGTTGCCGGCATTCATGGCGACATGTCTCAGTCCGCTCGCATTGCTAGTTTGGAGTCCTTCAAGTCTGGCTCTGTCAGCCTGCTAGTGGCCACAGACGTTGCCGCGAGAGGGCTGGATATTCCCGAGGTCAAGGTCGTGATCAACGTGACCTTCCCCCTGACTGCTGAAGACTACGTCCACAGAATTGGCCGAACCGGTCGGGCTGGTAAGGACGGCCTGGCCATCACCATGTTCACTGAACAGGACAAGCCTCTTGCAGGAGCATTGGTCAATGTTTTGAAAGCAGCGAAGCAAGATGTTCCCGAGGATCTGTTGAAATTTGGGACGACGGTGAAGAAGAAGCAACACGATTCGTACGGTGCTTTCTATCGAGAAGCCGAGGATGGTAAGACTGCCACCAAGATCACCTTTGACGACTGATACGTGTTTTTGAATCATTTGATTTTCGCTGCATGACTTGGTGTTGGAGCTTGGGCCGGTGCTTGACCTTTTGATCGATCTGTAGTCATACCTGGTATTTTTCCAGCAAGGCGTTGTGGTATGATTGACTCGACAAGTTGCAGTAAGAATGCCCGTTCGGCCAAAATTCTACAATCAAAAGTTAGATTCCATCTAGACGGAGAATGAATAGACGAAATCAGAATAGAGTGACTCACATAGTCGATCCCAGTATGACAGTCCCTGCACCGAGTAAACCGAGAGGCTCTCGATTCAGCAGATCAAGTTTTCCATTTCTTCCTCCGGTTGCTGGGTGGACTTTGAGTGTCAGGGCGACAAGCCCGGCGACTGCAACGGAAGCCGACGCTGGCAGGCCCTCCCTGACCGTCGTTCTCACTAGTCTGCTGTCGCTGCCGGCAGTGTCATGCTCTTGCACCCATTGCCGCACAAAGACGATGCTCCACACGATCCTCAGCGCCATGTTGACCATGTTGGCGCCCACCAGGCCCGCGGCACCGAGGTCGAGACGCTTCAGCATCGTCCACGCCGCGACCCCGTAGAGGCCAGTGAAGAGCAGCATCCACGCGGACTGGGTGCGCAGTTGTGCCGGACTGGCCACAGATGTGACAAATGCGTCCAGGATGCCATTCACCGCCATGAGAGGGATATAGTAACAATAGGTCGAGAGCAACGACGCCGTGGACGTGCTGGACCATTTTGCCCCGACGATATGGCCGACGACCAAAGGGAGGACGTGTGGAGCGATACTGACCAGAGGAAGGGCTAGGATGGTGTAGAAGCGTAGTGTCTTGGATAGGTAGGCGAGTGCTTCTCGGATGTTGGCTTTTCTCGAGTCGTCGTCCAAGGCGGAGCTAGAACCCGACTTGCTCGAGGAGATCGTATTACTTGAGGTGCTGGGCGACGAAAGTAATCGTCCAAATGTATTCCGACTACTCTCTTCCACGGGCTGGAAGACCAGACGGGCCAGTAACCCTCCATAGTTCGAGGCCAGAGCGAACGCCCCCTGGTCGGCGAGAGAGGAGAGAAACGACATTATCAGGGTATCTCCTTGCGTGAGTAGGAGTTTGAAGATGGACTGCATGTACATGGTCGCGGCTAGACCTAGGATGGCCTTGTGGAATCGCCGTGCATAGTATCTGTCAACACCTTCATTGCCAGGTCTCGTTGGTCCTCCTGAAGAAGTTTCGACGATCTTGCGTGGGGCGAGGCTGAACTTCTCACTTCTCGAGATCCGTATCACGGGCAGGAAGTACAATGCCAACAAAACAAATGCATATGCCGACTGACCCGCGGCGAATGGCAAGATCGACGGCGCGAGCTGTTCCCCGTGAGCTACGACGGCCGTAATGCATGCAGCCAAACAACGTGCCGTGGCGGCGAGCGTCTCTGCACGAGCGCGGTCGGCGTACAGCGCTTTCTGCTGGATCACCACGAACGCAGGTTCCGCGAGCAGCTCGGTCAGCGTTGCGAAAGCATAGACTTGAAATGAGATGATGAAGTATGGACTGTCGAGGACCTCTGAAGGTGCTCCGCGTAGATACGAGTAGCCAAAAGCTGTCGAGATGATGAAGCCCAGCAGGACAGCAAGGTACGCGAGATTGACGACCGTCTGCGTTGCTCGTCCTCCTTGAGCCTGGCCGTTGGTGGTGGTGGTGGTATTCGAAAACGATGTGGTTGCAGGCTGTCTCTGTAGTGCCACTCGAAGACTCTCGCGAGCGAAATAGAGGCTAGTCACAGAGACGAGCTCGACTTGGACGGAGATTCCGAGAAGTGAAGGCGACAGGAAGCGTAGTAGGAACTGGTTGCCGATGAATGTAAGTGCTCGGGATGCCACTTGGATCATTATGAGCAGTATCGTGGCGCTACCACCCTGCGGACTCTCACCAGGGTCGTTCATTTCGACTATAGCTTGACTTGGAGAGTAGGACTCTGTACCGATCCTGAGTCTGGTGTTGGATGGACTCCTACCAATATTCCACCAAAGCTCGAGGAGGTAGTGTTGGATTTGGCACCACACGCAGTGAGGTTAATATGTCTTTTTTCTCAGTCCTGCCTAGTAGACGCCTCGTCCTACTCTGTAGATCACCCGTAGCTCGTCTACTTTCAATTCTCAATACGCATTCATATCCCAAAGAAATCACGTTTGTGGAGCTACTCAGAAGGAGGCCACGTGTCTGTGCAAATTGCATTTATCAACAGTTCGGCGCAAGCCTCGCTTTCTTCTTGCCAAGTTGCCATTCCCATCATGATATCGGAGACATATCTTTTTGCAGTGCTAGGAGCGTCGGTGGGAGATACCCACTGGACGAGATGTACCACGTTTCAGAGGGGAGACGAGGGAAAGCAGGAAGCGATCTCTACAGCACTCTCGCGGGTATGCCCAAGTTGGAATGATTACAGAGTCCTGAACGCCATAATTTGATTGTCCAGAGGCAAGGCCGACAATGAAGGCCGCATCCATCAAACGGTGCATTCTTCACGTCTCGAAGCGCCCAAGTCTAAAAGCGCAATATGCTGCCATAGCAATGGCTGATACACTGAACCTAATCCTGGCTCGAGAAGCATCAATATCCCTTTCGACGCCCGCGCGCCATTTTGATATTACAATGACGAAGAGGAATCTTTCAAGATTCTTCAGTTTGCTTGCCGCTACGCTTCATCCACGTCCATCTTCTCCACCACAACCATACTGTCAGAATCACTGCCACTGCCAATCTCATGCACCGTCACATACCGCCCAATCTCCTCTTTGGTGATGACCTTTTCGTTCAATACTGCGGTTGTGCCCTTGGCGAATCTGTAGTTGCGCTCTTTCTTGACCCTCTCATTAGGTTTAATGTAGTTTCTCAGCAGCTGCGTTGGCTTGTCTTTCTCGATGACACAAACGTCCACGTTACTTCCTGATCCTAGGTCGTTGAAGATACCAGCCATAATCGCCTCAGAGCATATTTTGACGGCCTCGTCCTTGGTGAGATTCTTCTTCCACGTTGATTCAAACACTGACATTGCTGCCAATGACCCAGAACCCATCGTTACGTAGGGGAGCTTGTCTGTTGATCCATGGGCATGAACTGTGAACAACCCTACTCCTGTTGGATCGACGCCTGCAACCACGAGATATGCACCGATATGACCTTGGTATCTGAATAAGTGTTGTTTAAGCAGCGTCATCACAGTCACTACTCGAGGCATTCGACCCGTGGATAGAGAGTGTAGCTCGAGGTTGGAAGAGATGAGGGCGGTCGTGAATTCTGTATCCGCGGCGGTACCCGCGCCAGCGCACCAGATGTTGGGAGAGATATAATGCAGCTTCTCACAGTTCTATTGCAGAGAGGTCAGTCAGAATGCTTCGCAGAAGCTGAAGATAAGACATACCTTGTCGGCGACGATGGGTCCGCTGGTGGCTCTTGTGTCTGCCGCAATCTATGACAAAGAGGATTAGTATAGTGTATAAAGCATTGAGTAGCATCGACGTACAACAACACCATTGTCATAGATGCATCCTACGATGGTTGTGCCTGTGCTGGTCGCTTTTGGGAGGGGAACTCCTCGAGCATGGAGGGCAGCATTGCGATTGTAATTGCTGAAATCGAAGCCGGGCATCTTTGCGGCGAGGGCACAAAGCCTGCGTTTTCTCTAGTCCGCGAGGGTATTGGAGGGTTGTGATTATTACAGGCTCGTCAAAAGATTTATGAGAAGGGATGCAGGAGTTTTGAAGATGTATTGTGGGCGAGAATGCGTGATCGAAGATGTTGGACTGGCCAAAGCGAAGGCAGCTTCACGATGCGCAATGCACTTCAGAGACGCGGCACGAGGCTGACCTTGGCATAGAAGACTAACTACTATAGGCTAGCGCAATAAATGACGAGGCTGCACTACATCCGTTCAGTGGGCCCGTTGCTATCAAGCCTCGTATCGAGACTTGGGACTGTTGGAAAGCATTTGACTGCCAAATTACCTGGCAGAGGGACTCTTCCGCCAGAGCTCAGCGACACTCTTGCGAACGCCTCCCCCGCCTACATCATTCACGGTAAATGATTCGCAGATTGTTGCTCGCATGGGCCTCGAGCAAGTTTCATCGGCCAGGATGACTTTCTCACTGTCACTATCTTTGTCTAGGCACATAGATGGATATTGAGCACAAGCATCATTGACAGCGTGCGGCTTGCATGACTTGACTTACAATTGGATATCTATGCCATCCTCGCAACTCATCTCCGGGCCGATCTCAAAAGTACTTGCCGGATGAGCTCCTTTTATATCATAAAGCATACATGCTCGAGAGCGCTGTGGAATTTGCATCATCGCAAGAAGATTAATAACACTGCCAGCACAGGTACCAGCACTCACACCATATCCCCGTCTATCCCGCAAGCTGAAAGACCTAAATTCTCGGCATGAAGCCGCAACCAAGATATCCCACGCTTGTTCAGAGTTTCATACGTGCAGACTTCTCTTCTCGTGATCTTGCGTTTCTCCTTCTCAGTGAAATACTAGTTGAAGTAAGCCAAGGTGGTGCACGAATCTTTGGCAGTCTACTCCAAGAGACCAGCACCCAACTACGGCGTTCTTGAATGGGTGACTGAAGAAAGCTGGTCTGTAACGTGATCGCATTGGAACTCATGTTCGGCTCCGTGCTATTGCCACCTGTGTCCATGGCTAATTGTATTCGTGGTGTGTTTGAGTATGTTGGCTGGCTTGGCTTTCCCTGAAGGGATCGTATGTTCGCCGATTTCTTGATGGGAATGAGAACTTGTTGCCTCGATTTCAAGATGAGACTGATCGTAGCTGCTGGAATCACCAAGGTCAACGCTCTAGTATGACTGAATGAGAGCCAGTTGGAGGGTACGAAATTAGGACACGAGATGGGCGAGGAGGTAAGCTCGAGACCTTAGATGTTAGCACCAAGCAGATAACGACTATGCACTCTGCAAAGACCTTGTCCCATGCCTTAAGAGCTATCTTGACACGCAGAGAATATTGTGCCTAACTAGACAAGGAGTGCGATTGGTGTCATGACAAACGCTGACCAGTGGTTTGTGCTCTTCGTATCGTTCCAAGCTGCATATATCATTCGACCCCCGGCATCGAAAACGAGCCTGGTAAATCATAGAGGTATTAATGATCGCTGTGATTGATGAGTCGCGGCATTAATTCGCTGGCAGAGTGTTGTCGTGGTGATTAAGCTAGGCTTGAAGTGGAATGTAAATAAGACAACGTCATTTTCCGCGTACTCCATTTTCAGCCTCGCATGCGCTGGTTAATGTCTCCCAGCCACACCACCAACCTCCACGAAACTTACAGTGAAGGCAAGAAACTGCGTGGATATTTCTGGGTGTTGTCAGTGTGAGTGCTCTCAAACTCTTAATCTACACATCTCATTAACAACTGTCAAAACTCAAACCTAGAGCACACAGACCCGAAGCCAGCGTGCGCTATAACCTAACTCTGCCCGTACCACCTCGACCCCATCTGTGCACCACTCGACTTCTTCGCACTGACCAGAGTATTGCTCGAGGGGCTTTGAGCTCTAATCTCGTCATCATTATGGCACCAGTGTCATCTCTTTCCAAATACCCTGACATCGACGACCTCAAATTTTCCTCCCTCGAACTCGACGCCCGATCAGCAGCAGAACTCAGCGCGAGCGCTTTCAACAAACGAGATGCGAATCCCCTCAGCAGCCCTCTCCTTCCGATCAGCGATGACTCTAATATTCTCTCCCCAATGGACACGTTCAAAGTCCTCACGGCACGAGACTCAAAGCCTACTGACAAGTTCAACCCGGGATCTGGATCTGTTCCGCCAGATGACATCAACATGAAAGGTCTTCAAGCCCTCTTCGCTATCATCGGGGTGGCTTTCGTCCTGGGAGCCATTTGGTTCTTCTTCTGGGCCAAGAATGGGGGTTTCAAATGGCGTAAAGGTGACTGGGAAGAATACAAATCGACCGTCCTTCGTCGAAAGGGCCCCAACGGCACCACACTCAGTAACGCCACTAAATCCACGATTCTGGGAGGTGGAAGTGTCGTTGGAGAAGGATACTCTGACAAAGATGCTCACACCAACGCAGACACTGAAGCCATGACTGAAACTATGACGGTGACAGACATGTCATCTGAAGCCCCCATCGTCAAGGAGAAGCAGTCCAAGAAGAACAAGAAGGAAACGGCTAAGGAACGTAAGCTGCGAGAAATTAAAGAAGCAGAGTGGGAAGGAGGCCATGACAACGATGTGCGAGCTTATCGTCACGAGAAGGCCGCTCGAGTCGGTGGTCTGAATAAAGACTCTGACGCAAAATTCTACGGCACCGACTACACTGCAACCGAGCGCAGCGCAAGTGACATGCACAGCAACAGCGAGTATGGCTACAAAGCATCTGCCGCTGGTCCTCCACCACCTCCTGCTCATCGATCCAGACAAGCCAGCCCGGAAAAGCGCCAGTCTCGCCGGGACTTCTCATACGGCCAGGAGGATGGGTTCAGTGTAGGCGCGTCTGACGCAGACACTGGTGCTTCCCGCCCAGCACGGTACAACTCACCCAACAAGTATGCACCTTCACAACGCCCAGTTCGAACTGTTCCAGGCTCCTTCACAACGCCTTTGGATTTTGACGTGCAGAGTCAACACACCAAAGCCTACCACCATCCCATCCCAAGCTTACAGGGTAAGGCTGGTGGCTACCGTCGAGACAGAAGGGATAGCTTGGACGATTGAAGCAGTTGTATATAGCAACTTGACTTTCGAAGCTTGAACAAATTACTATGAACAACGACCACTAAGAATTTTAGAAAAGAAACGAACAATGGACCAGGAATGAAATGTGATGATCATCAAAGTGTAAAAATGGAAAGCGTTATTGAAATGGGGCATGAAAACAGGGCGTCGGTCTGGGAAGTTTCGGGAATATTGACATGAAAAAAGAATCGAATCAATCTGGGTGAGGTCCGATAGAGTCACGGAGAGGTCTGCATCCTAGACTCTTTCCTCTTTTCTGTGTAAATAGCACAAGAAAACATCGATGCAATTGAGGCCGCTTCTCACAGCCTTACGTCCAACTTCCCATAATACTTGTAGTAGGGTCACATACTGTGCTCCAGACTGGAGAAGATGGGGAGGCCACTATTGTACTAATCGTGCTCCGTAGCGGTTGGGGACGAGTATCTATACCACCAAGTAGGTCCACCAGCCCACCAGCCCACGACCCCGTCGCTCCGGGCGGGCCTTGCCCACATTATTGGCTTGCCACGGGGCGCACAGATGTGCAGATGGGTGGTTGACATTCCGTCTGGAGTACGAGGGGGTGAGAAGTATCTCTGGTACTGTTGTAGGAAGACGTACTCATCGTGAGTACACCTGGGGAACAATCTTCGTAAAGGTGTACTGAAGCGGGCTCGAGATTCGACTTACCTAGATGTAGCCTCGTCGGGACCTGTGCTGTTGTCTGTCTCATCAATACCAGACAAGACGGAGAGCGCACATCCCAAGGAGAAGGATATCGACCTCTGAGGGATGGACTCGAGAGGTCTATTCACGAGAAACGGCGTGGAAAGACGACGAATTGGAATCGGTTGCATTCGCATGTACATGACTGCAACGCAGGTATTTCGACTAGTAACTATCAGTGTGCTTGTTTCCCGGATGACAACCACAAGATCCTGCGACACATGCTGAAAAAACCCCCAATCCATCGTCTGAACTCGTAGTGATTCAGCCTCGCAGTCGGCCAAAAAGAAAACAAAGAGGCACAGTTCGAATGCCTCCGACCACAAGTCCCAATGTAGTTTCAATTCCTGAAAAGGGAGAGCAAGCACATCTTCCCACGCCTGATACGACACACGCACACACAACACCATTGCATGGCATTGCATCGTCATCACATCACTTCCGAAAAAAAAAGGAAAAACCCAATATCTTGTATCATCTCGAGCGCCGACCCAATTCCTTCACACCAAGAGAGGATAGACAATGAACAACGGCAGGAGAATAGACGTGATCCCAGGAGATACCTGAACAGTGTCTAGATCTTCACTGCCTTGCTAGTCTTGCCGTCTGTTCCTTTGATTTTCTTTGTGCCTGCTGCCTTCTTGCCGGGCTTGCGCTCGACAGCTCCGGCGACTTTCTCGACTGCGCCCTCGACCTTGTCCTTGAGACTGGACTTGCTCTTTGCCGGGGCGCGCTTCTTAGTGACGCCTGCACCGGTGGTGCTCTTGGGTTTGGCAGTGCGCTTCTTGGTGGTGGTTCCGGCTTTGCGCTTGCGGACTGGTTCGGTAGATGGAGTGGTGAAGATGCGAGGCTTCGCATTGCCAGTTGCGCCACGTGTTTGGGCCATCTTGATTCTTTGGATCTTGCGTTCTGTAGGATGTCTAAGGGAGACTAGTCGACTGCGATAGAGGAAACAGGTCAGCTTTCGCGTTCGTCTGTGCTCGTCACTGGCAAGGTGCCTGTGGACGTATCCGGGGCGGGGCAAGGCGACACGGTTCAGCGAGGGTGAGATATGGGGATAGCTTTCCACAAAACCGTTGGAATGGAATGAAACAATGCAACATGAGAGGTTATGTAGTCGCGACAACAGGTGAGTCACACGGTTGATAGAAAGACGCGTGTGGCAGGTGATGAACAGGCAACAAGGCGAAAGGCGGTGGTCGAGCGAAGTGACGGGAATGTGAAGGATATTTACGTACCTTGTGATTGAGTTGTCGCTGTATCGCAAGAATTTGACAATAGTTAATTAACACCTATGCGACCGACGTCCGGCGATGTGTAGAGTGAAAAAATGGTGTTGTGGTGCGATTGTTGTTGGAATTGTTGAGACAGCTGAGGTTGGGTGGGAGTTTGGGCTTTTTGAGCCAAACCCGCCAACTCAGCAGGCCGGACGATCACATTCGAAACACCAACACCTCCTCCTTCTCCTTGTCCTTTGTCAGCCGCCACAATGCTTGCTACCATTTCCCATTGTCATGCATATTCCATCATCCCATGTTGACAGCTCGGTTGTCTCTGACATATCTTGGTTTCTTGCGCAATAGGCCAGCATGCCCTGAGAGGTGGTTGTGTCTAAGCGCCGAGATTACGGGGGCGCTTGTCAGGCACGCAAATACCAGCTTGTGGCGCATTTGGATTGCAGACACCGATTTCATGCGTCAAACATCGAACGAGAGATCTGGTCGCAGCTGTGCCTAGTCGTACCAGTCTTTCAGAGCTCGATCATCCTGAACAGGGCCGCCAGTCAACTGCAACGCGTTTCGAACCTCCCACTCGAATTCTGCCAGTGCTCGGAGCTCGGATCCAACAAAAAGGAATCCAATGAGCCCATCCACAGTTCCGGCCATCAGTCCCAAACTGCTCAGCAAGATGAGAAGGAAGGCGACGAAATTCCTTGGAGACCACCAGATTGCCACAAAACAACCAATCGAAATAATTGCAGATACAATAAAATGCAGGCATCGCCATCGTCGTTGCTTTCTCTCTCGTATATTATATTCTCGTATCATAGCTAGGATATCGTTGTAAAACCCTTGCCCGATGTGTTTATGTGTTGGCAGTTTGGAGATTGCTGCATTGAAATCCTTGTCCTCAAAATCGGCGGAATCAGTGTTTGGATCATCGCTCAATGTTCCCCGAAGCACACCATTCACTTCGACCGTCGTGGGCGTAGTTGCTTTTGTTTCGCCTCTTTCGATGGTGGCATGCACTGCAAAGTGGTCACTCAAAGAGCAGTGCAGATCAGGGTGTCTCTCAGTAAGTGCCACTTTGACCCCTTCAACCTTCCATCCCTTCGAGATACCATTAAAAAAGATATAGTCCAGCCGATACGCGTTAGGATCAGGGTCGGTCCCCGCGATATGCCTGTCGTGACCTTTCTCGAGACGTTTGCGAGCCTCCTTGGGCCAGCGCCAGGTGTTGAGAACCGAATCACAAGTATGCCCGTGGTCCTGTAGACTGCTGTTCACATCTGGAACTGGATCCTCCTTCATTCGCTTCCTGCGTTCGATTTCAGGTAGATGATGGCTTTTCCCCACACTGCTGTCTGGCTTGACCACACGCCAAACGTCCTTGACGCCACCCCGACTTTCAATGAGCACGTGCGCGAAACTCAAAGGTACCATGTTGAAGTCGCCCATGCCCAGAACGAGGCTGCCTCGGTCAGAAGCTGCTCGCATCAGCTTCGCAATCTCCCAAGCTTGGGCTGTTCGATGACAAATGTAGCTGTCATTAGGTTCACGTTCGTATGGTGCATGTAAATGGGTATTGAATACCTCAATCAGCTGTCCATCGGGCAACTGTATCTGAGCACAAGCAACGCCTTTACCCACGAACCAGTCACCCCTGAAGAATGCTGTAGGACGGCCATTCAAAGGATACCGAAACATAGACGAATCCCTGATTGGCCAACGACTGAAAATAGCTAGCCCTCCACCGAAGATCCCTGAATGATAGTATTTCGCATGTGGCAATATTGATCGCGTGCGGTTTCGAATGTTTAGATAGTCGGCAAATGTCCAGCACTCTTGTAAGCCAACGATGTCAAGCTGAGGTGTATAGTCGGCGATACGATTGCCTATTTCGGATAGTCTTTCTGTTCGAAATTTCGAGAGGTACTTGAGTCCCCAGCAATTCAGAGTGAGAACATTGATTGAGCTGGGACTGGCCTCGTCGGTCTTGGGCCGGACAACAGTCTCCATTTAACAGGGCTCGTGATGTAGTGGTTTTTTGCTAACAAATTTTGCCAAGCTTGCCGAAGGACGAAGGATTGGTTTGGAATCAGGGGACAAAGCGAAGATAGCAAGCATTCAGGGAAGGGAAGGACATGTCGAAAAGAACAACACCATAGAAGCAACAAATATCAGCAAGAAGGGAATCTTTTAGCAGACATGTCTGAACGCTGGTGTCGAAGAGAAGAATGGACGTGAAGTAATGTACAGATCGGAAGATCAAAGAAGTGATGGTCACGGCTTACATAAGACACTCGCCACTAATCCCTTTACAGTCTAGTGTTTTTGTATGAGGACTCGCTGTTTCCCTGAACTATATTGATTCCTTGACGCTGAACAAGACTTGTAGATTGCCAGTACGGCAAGCGTGGAGCATATCATTCAAGTGCAAGTGCGAGAAATCGAACGACTGAGGACTAAGGCCTGGAGAAAACTAACTAACGCGTCAAGGATGCCGCCGATGTTCTTCAGCAGACCATCACGAGAGATCATATGGAGCTTTACCATGAAAATGGTGGAGAGAGACTGCTGATCGGGTGGGCTCGAGTATCAGGCACATGGAAGGACATTTCTCCTGTCATTTTTACCTCAAAGTGATCATGGTAAAGAGTAAGTTTGCACACTTTTTGCCCTAAGTCAACACACCTGCCTGCGAAGGACAGAGGTGAAAGAATCCTTGGAATCTGCTCAATCCGGCACGTTAAAGCAGACCATGTTCGATTCCGTCGATCTGGAGAGTATGAAGAGACCCGTTTCGGTGCCAAAGTATGAAAGAACGTGCACAACATACACGATCGAAGGCTGTCCCTTCGCACTACAACCAGTCCTTCGTATTGCGACCATCACATGAGCTGGATGTCTTTCAAGGGCATTTGCGGAAGTTTCTTGCCCTTCTCTTGGTTCCATGAGAGCTGTCTTCTCCCACGAGATGAACAATACTGGCTTGAAAACGTGCTCATGCGCCATGTTGGCGGGATCTTGGCGTATTGAGCACATTTCCTACGGAACAAACTGTGGAGCCAGACCCCTGGCGACAGGGGCAGCTGTATACATCGCACCAGTCATGCTAGAGGATTTTAGCGGACATGCATGGCTAGGACATTGATGTATTGCCCTACAGGGTGTATGGCCTTGGCCAATGTGGTCTCAACCAACCCAGTAATGCTGCTGCAATTACCATGAAAAGCCCGGGTCGTACTTAAAGGCACCACTGAGCACCTCGTATCCTTGCTGGAACCCATTCCATCTGTCCAAATTATACAGCAGCAATGGCATCTCTTGCTACAATTCGAGTTCTTGCTTTGAGTGCTCTTCTGGGCCTGTCTCACTGTATGGTCTCAACTGGGCGCGATGGGCATGGTCTTATTGGATATGGTATCAAAATGTACTACCCCAATTGTTGCAGTGCATGTCGGAATGTTCTATCTAGGTCTCAATTGAACTGCTCCGAAAGCATGAACATGGACGGCATGGCAGGAATGCACATGAGCGGATCTGATTTCACCACATCAGCCGAGTGCTATGCCACTGACGATAATTTTCTCCGGTCGATGGCTTTTTGCATCAGTGAAAGGTGCCCCCATGACCCCAGTGTCAAAAACCTACAAGACTGGCAGATCGAACGGTGGTGGCGGATGAATATTCCTGGGACCGCTGCCGTTCAGCCCGAACCAAAAGAAACTTACCAGGAGGCTTTGGCAAAAGCAAAGACCACACCGTCGGAGACCATCACGTCGGGAAGTCCTTTGAATGGCACGATGCTTGTTTCCGATGATGACTACCAGCCCAATTGGAATGCTAACAATGCTTTTGAACATGTTGAGATTCTCCATGAACGATATGGGTAAGTTGTCCAAGGCGCAATCTCTTTCAACGACAACAATTGACACATCTGATCACCTATAGTCTCGTCGTCTTCCTCTCTGGAGTGGTTATCCCGATCGGATTCTCGCTCCTTCGGTTCTTGCCTTTCCCAACGCGCTGGACGACTCTCTTCAATGCCGTCATTGTCGACCCTCCAGCCTTTGGACACCGTCACAAAGTCCCCATCCTCTGGGGTCTCACCAACATGCCAACACGGGGTCAAGCACTTTTCGTACTATATCTGACCGTCATCAACGTCCTTCTTTGTTGTGTCGGCTATTCTTCTACACAGCCAAACGCCTGGTATCCTAATAACTCAGGTCGAGAGATATTGACATACGTCACCAATCGTTGTGGTGTCCTGAGTTTTGCCAACATCCCTTTACTTATCTTGTATGCTGGAAGAAACAATGTCCTGTTATGGTTGACCAACTGGAGCCATGAGACCTTCCTGCTGCTGCACCGTTATGTCGCCACCATTGCCACCCTACAGGCCATCATCCACTCTCTCATATACCTTCGCATCTATGTCGTCAATGGTAATCACAGCAGCGAGAGCAAACTATCATACTGGTACTGGGGTATAATTGCAACGATCGGCATGTCCATCTTACTGCCCATGTCAATGTTGCCCCTTCGACGCTTGTTCTACGAAGCCTTTCTGCTGTGGCACATTGCTATTTCTGTCTTGGTCGTCGTCGGCTGCTACCTTCACATTTACGACCGCTTCGAGCATCAATGGGGTTACGAGGTCTGGATCTACGTCTCTTTTGCGGTATGGGGCTTCGACCGGCTCCTACGACTTGCCCGCCTTGCTGGTAATGGCCTGCGATGGGCAGATGTCACCATCATTGACGATGACTATCTTCGCGTCGACATTTCTGGCGTCGGAGGCGATGGCCACGCGTATCTGTACTTTCCTACGCTGACGTGGCGCGTCTGGGAGAACCATCCTTTCTCGGTTGCTTCAACCGTGCTATCAGGCCCCACACAACGTGCGTTGGCGACGCCAACTTCTTCTTCGACCGACGTTGAAAAGAACGAGGGCATCATCACGAGCAACGTCGTCGTCGGCATGTCCGCCCATTCGCTTGATGGAGGGTCAGACAAAGAGCACGCCCAGGGACAACAAGAACAACCAAAGCTAGCCATGACATTCCTGCTCCGCGGCCGCGGTGGTCTGACCTCGTTGCTGCGTTCTTCCACACGGTTGCCCGTCCTTGTGGAATCTCCCTATGGGAGACAGAACTCGACATTCTCCAAGCATCCGACATTGATATGCGTCGCGGGTGGAGTCGGCATAACGACGGTTTTGCCGTTGCTGCGTTCCCACCCTGGTCGGAGTAAACTCCTCTGGGGTGTCCGCACCCGTAGTCTGGTCGACGCTCTTTCAAACGAACTGGCTGGCGTCGAGAAAGAGGTCTTTGTTGGGAAAAGGATGAATGTGTGCGAGGAACTGGAGAGGGAAGTCGATGGTGCTAATCCAAGGCAGCAGCATCCTGTCGTGGTGGTCAGCGGTCCTGACGGTCTGGCTGACGACGTGAGGAACGCGGTGTGTGAGATTGCGAAGAAACGAGGAAGGAATATTTCCATCAAGCTCGTCGAGGAATCCTTCTCGTGGTAAGCTTACTATCTATGGTAGTTTTCGATCGTGTGTGGAGTGGCGAGGGTTGATGTATTGATTGTCCTACTTTCTATCGGCCTCTGTGCTACTGGCCATATCAAAGTTCAAAGTATTACTGGGTTGAAGCCAACTGATCAAACTTGTCATGCTTGTGTGATATCTTTAGTGTCCGACATCATTGCTGGCTTTCGCGGGCGAGCCCCCCACCATCTCGTTCTTCCAGAAAATATATACAACATTGCCTGGAACCCCTACTTTCCCATTCCGACGTTGGACAAAGCCCTCACGACTTTCGGAAGTAAAGTCACCAAGTATGACTCCTTCTTGTGTGTATCCTTGGTGGAACAAGTGGCTTTGAATGAGAAAGACATTATGACACTTCTGTCTAGGTATGGCTGAGTAACCATGTATCCAAAATTTCTTTAGTACAGAGTCGGAGGTGGAAGTCCAGGCAACGTGTGGCACACGGGGTCTTGAGGTTCTGATCGAAACCCGTTCCCAAAACCCTGTGAACAAACACAAGGGTATCGTTTCTTCCACGACGCAAAACAATCGTGAGGGACTCTCAGTAGATGACGTCGTCCTCTTGACCCCTCTCCAGCTCTTCACCACCATGGTCGTCGTCTTTGTTTGCGCTGGTGGACCGTTGCTCCTCTTCCTTGACCTCCTCTTTCGGTGGCGGCACTTCTACTCTTGGAGTCATCTCAACGTCCTCCTTTTCAGGCTTGCTCGGCGGCGCATTTCCGTCACCGTCACCATCACCAGTTACCGGACCGGGACTGGGCCTGTTCCGTGACCGCTCCTCCTCGTCGACTTCAGAATTCATCGTCACGTCCTGATCTCGCTTGCTCTCGGGACGCCTCCTGGGTTCAGGATGTGGCTGCTGCCGTTTCGAATCAAACTCGTCCAGTTCTCGCCGAATGGTCTCCTCTGCCTCGTTTATCTGGCGCTTAACGGTATCTTCTTCGTGCTCCCTCAGTTCCCACGGTTTATAGTACTGCGAGACAAAAAGTTTAGCTTCCGAGTTCCCCAACAGAGTTCAAGTGTACATAACATACCAATGGAGGGTTCGTTGTCGTCTTCAACGACCGAGCAGTAGCTCGCAGATTTCCGTGTCTGATTCTCATACCGTCCGCGTCCCAGCTACGCTGTTCGATCCGTCTCGCGCGGTTCAGTTCCTCCTTTTTCCTACGAGCAGTGTCGGCCAACTCTTCATTCTCCCGCTTCAGTCTCTCTCTCTGCCGGTTCTCAATCTCCTCGCGCCGCGAGTTGCGTGCAGATGCTGCTGCGTTCGTGCCAGCCGTGGCCGCCGATTTGGACGGTCTCGACGATTGCGACAGTGTCCCCAGCAACGAACCAAAGAGTCTTCGGTTGCGCGACTTGTCCTGTTCGACGTCGTTCAGTGAGGACTTTCTGCGTCCCGAAGACTCCGCTTGACGCGGAGGAGACATCGCGCTCGCACCGTCGCCATTGCGACCGGTCGTTGGTGAATGCGCGGGCGCAGGGGAAGCCGCACGCCGGTCATCGGACGAGGGCGCATTCAATCGAGGTCGTTTGCTCGAGTCCGAGTATACGGACGACTGTCGTCGTTTGAGAGACGTGGTCTGTGTAGGGTTCTCGGGTTGAGGTTGGCTTTGAGGTTCGTCCGGTACGACGACGGCCGAGGAAATCATGGTCGAGGAAAGCGTTTCCTTGCTCTCTAAAAATAAGGTCGAGAAGATGGGCGTGAGTTCGATCTCGGTGACTGGGTTCTATTGATATTCACATATCGACTCAACCGTTATGAGTACTTGGAAACCACATACAGCCTTGGTATCGGGGTTAGGTAAAAGCTGCCGCCGTCGAAAAATATGGAGATTGAAAGAGTCCGTACTCCGTAGTCCGAGTCCTATCAAAGAGGTACAGTACGGGTACTCTTAAGGCTGGGAGGCGTTGGAGATGGCAGCACGTGCTCGCCGCTTTTATTACTTAAATAATTTGCGGAGAAGCTTTTCGCCTCACAGGGCTTAGAAATTCCTTCCGCAAGGCTGCCTCTACTGAGTCTATCTTTCCATACTTTTCTACTCGACTTCGACGCCCGTACGACATAAATACCTCCGCCATTCGCAGACCCAATCCAAAAACCAATCTCATCCCAACACTGTACAATAACAATGTCTCGCCATCACCCCGATCTCGTCATGTGCCGTAAAGCGCCCGGCATCTCTCTCGGTCGTCTCTGCGACAAATGCGACGGCAAATGTCCCGTCTGCGACTCCTACGTCCGACCCACGACCCTGGTCCGAATCTGCGACGAATGTTCCTTTGGCAACTACCAGAACAAATGCGTCGTGTGCGGCGGCGAAGGAATCAGTGACGCGTTCTACTGCTTCGAGTGTACGAGGCTGGAGAAAGATCGAGAGGGGTGTCCGAAGATTATCAATCTGGGTTCATCGAGGACGGATCTGTTTTACCAGAAGAAGAATTTCAGGACTCAACAGCACTGATGAAACGTCTTTGCATCATCAGGACCATCTTCTTCATCTTCACCTTCATACCAATATCAAAAAAGTTCGCGGGGAGTGGATAACATTGAACGACCTGATCACATTTTACGGCTCGGTCTTGGGAATACCGTCGCCACCAGCAAAGAAGCGGAGGTAGATGCATTCACCCTGTCGGATCCACGAGTCGACGAGCCAAGAAACCTCTGCGACGATTTACGATGGAGTTATGTCCTTTGTAGCCGTGTTTGGGGATGTCCGAGAAGGCCGAGCACATTCAATTTCGACGGACACGATATCAGAGCTGGTCGAGCTACATTTCAACCGTTCGATTCTGCGGCACACAGCCGTAGAGGGGGAAATTTAGTTCAAGCAACAATCACTCTCCGACGACCGATCCCAACGACTACTATCTGTTTCAAAGCATTGGTCACATATGCCCCCAGATACATCCGGGTCCCAGCACGCTTCCTCATACATTCCGCCGCTTGTCGCAGTTTGTTCGACGGTACAAGTCTCGATGCTATACCTATCGAACACTATGGCGCATCGAACAATGCGACACTTGGGGATTCAAGCCCGGGAAAAGGGGATTGGTAGCGCATGGTAGACCCCGGAGAATCTCCTTTCAATTCTGCATTGGAAGAGGCTATGCTGTTTAGATAGTCAACCAGATGACAACGGGGATGGACTATCAGAAATCAATCAAAAGCGAGAACCACATCAACCTTCATATTATACTCTTGTTCCATGTCCAAACTTGTTTTTCTCCGTGCAACGTGAACTACCTCAAGAGTATATTCCCCTGGGGCCGCCTTTCCATCGCTATGCTGAAGTGCTACCTCTCGCTCCCTAGAACAACATCCATTCAAGATCTAACTAGAGCCACCCTCATCTCCTGCCTGGCCTCTTTGGCCTCGCGAAACCACCCCCTCTAGGCGTGGCCGTGCCCGAGCCTGGTGCCGAGGTCGCCACATCACCATCGTCACCGTCTCCGGCCCCGACACTCAACCCTCTGACCTCCTCCTCCAGCCGGCCGTCCAGTTCATCTGGGTCTCCGGCCTCCAGCCTCTTCAAAACCTTGACGCCCTCGCCCTCGGCGGTGTGCAACAGGCCCCTCCGGGAACTGGCGTAGACCATTCGTTCCTTGACCCTGCTCACGCCAGGACAGACGTAGATGAAGACGGCGCCTCCGGAGACCGAATAGAACGTATAACTCGGCCTGTCCGTGGGGATCAGCCCGACGACCTGCGCAACACTCACACCGTCGTGCCTCGCAATCAAGGTCGTGGTCTCGCTGGCAACCTCGATGCCCAACTGTACGGTCAACCCTTCGGCCCCGTTCACCAGGGCGCCCAACGCCTCGCGGGCGTCGTCGGTGATCTTCATCACCACGCCACTCCTCCCCGCGCCGGTCCCGTCTCGAGAGCCGATGACCCCCCCGCTGCCCCCTTCACCCATGAGGTCCCGGCCCCGAGTACCGTGGCGCTCCTCCTCCTCCGCTCGCTTGACGGCCTGGAGTTCTCGCTCCTCTGTGCTCAGCAAACCCACATCGCCGGCTCCGCCGGCACCTCCACCGCCGGCAGGAGCAGGAGGTCCCGCTCGCTCGTCCCACTGCGCCGGGTCAAGGACCTCTTCTCTCTCCGTGAGGAAGACGGTCTCGTCGAACTTTTCGCCTCCGAGTTCCCGGACCAGCGTGGCCCGCGTGGACGCGAAGAGGGTCTTTTGCCGGACGGGCGCGCGGGACGGGATGTACGTCACCGCCACGAGGGAAGGGGACGACGGCGCCCGGCGGAGGAGGAGATAGAGCGGTGCGGTCGGCGTGAGGAGCGAGTCGAGAGCGGACAGGCTGGACGAGAAGGTCGCGGAGGATGAAGAGAAGGGCACGGCGTCGAGAGGCGTCAGGGATTCTTGGGTTATCGTGATCGGGAGGGCGAAGAGGGATTCGGTGTCTGATGTGAAGCGTGTGAATGCATCGTGTAGTTCGGCCGATGCTGTTGGTGTATTAGCGTCAGTATCGCCGCGGCCGCCAAGGGGGGGTTCAGCAAGAGGAAAGAGTAAGAGGTACCTGATATTCCGGACTGCATTGTCAATATACAACAATGGAAGATGGGTGACTTGGGTAGAGACGTGGGCGAAAGGTGGGATGATCTTTGAGGAATGGTTTAGGACCAAGGTACAGAGTGCGAGTCTGCTCGACTGGGGTCAATGTTCCAGGGTTGGTGTTAAAACTTGTGTGAGGAGTAAGGACATCCAACAGGTGCTTTTAGATACACAGGAGTCTTTCTCTTATTAAAAAGAACCTTGGGTTGAGTTTGAATGGAATATCGGCCGAGAGACTTGTCTCGAGGCCAAAAGCTGTTGTTGACAACGAGGCTCATTCAGGATGACTTGGACCCGAAACAAGCGGGGCACCCAACGATAACGCAGCCCAAGTATTAATACAGCCCACCTCTATGCGAGTACGAGTACGAATACCCCCTGTCCAAGATGCCTATTGTGGTTCATACGGACTGTATCCTAGTTGAATAGCTGTAGCACTCAGTGTGGAAACGATATGTACGGAGAGCGCTCAGAAATTGTCACCAGGCATCACGATTCTTTCGATTCGAATAGACTGGTGCCTACTCTGTAACGCGGTTAATCCTTGTCCTTACAGGTGTACATGATACTCTTGTTCTTCACATTGTCCCTTACTGGAGCAATCTATGTACAAATGTGCTCTGGAAATGACAACATCGCGGTGGTATATCCCCCTCAATATAAGCAAAGAACTGGTTCTGGCTTTGGATATCGTCGCTCCAGAAAATGCAAACAATTACCGGGCCTTAAGGTACCTGAGATATAGGTACCTAGGTAGGTAGACACTTGTGCTCTCCTTACTCTTCTCATCCAATTTCCCTCTCGCATCGGTATCAACCAAAATTACACTCCTACTCTTCGTAATTTCCAGTCCCAAGGTTCAACCAATTGCTGGTCTCGATATGGCTCTTCAAAAACTCATACACGGTAAACGTCACGGCCTGACCGGGCGCGACCCTCATTACTCTGGGAGTGATACCCTTGTAGAACGCTCTGAAGCCTTCTTGCTTGAACATGTCTTTTGAGATGGCCACGATTCTCGACACGGCCGTCTGCCCAGGCTCGGCGGGCGTCTTTTGTAACCTCGTCTTGATGGTGTCGATGGGCGCGTTCGAGAAAGGTCCCATAGCACCACTGATCAACCCGATCAAGGTGGTCTGGTAACTCGGCAGGTTCTGCCCCTGGTACTCGGGCTGCCACCGTTGCAGGATCTCCTTGAACTCTGTGTAAGCTGTGAAGTTGACGGCCTGGTTCGTTCCCTGTCGCAGCGCTGTCAACGATACACCACGGTACAAGGCTCCGAGTCCTTCCTCGCGGACAACGGTCAACAGCGCGTGCGGCGCGCTTCGATACTTCGGAACGTCGAGGGGATCGCTTAAGCTGTGGTATTGCGCCTGCATGCGAATCTTGACGACCTCCATCGGTGTCACGACAGCAACGGCTTCCGTTACACCGGCACTCAGTCCAGCTGTGCGAGCGCAGTTAGCAAAAACAATTCCAGCAGGCCCAAACCAACTTCAGCGACGCTTCACCGTGTCACGTACCTAGAAAAGTCGCCCTCGACGTAACAACCCCATCCTTGTCCGCTAATAATTGCTTGTACCACTCGTACGACGTGAACCGGATAGCCATTTTAGGTACGATACCCGTCAAGACGGCTCCGAGGCCCTTGTATAGCCCAAACACGGTTTCCCGCTTGACGATGTCTCTTCCCGTCGCGACAAAGCCACGCTTCTTCTGTCCTGGTGTCCGCCCTCTTCTTGACAGTTGCATTCGCACCTTTATTGTGTCGAGTGGATGGCACACGAGGGCCTCCATCATACCGGCACCGCCTCCGGCGATCAGGTTAACGGCCGCAGAGGCGGGCTTCTTGCCATGCTCGCCTTTTACGCTTTTGGCAGACATTGTGAGGAAGAGCTAGGGCTTTGCCTGTTATACTCGTACGACACGACGGTATAGTACTGAGCTCAGTCGTTCTTTTGTTCGCTCGCTCGCTCGACCGTTCAGAGGTAGAGAGGTATGCGATTCGAGACGCGCTTCGTGAGTAGCAGGTCTATACAGCATCCACTTTGAAGAGCGTGTCCAAGAGGTATAGAGAGGTAGGTAGATAGGTTTAACAGGAATGTTCTATAGACACAACAGTACGCGCACCCAAGCCGGAAACAAGGAGAATGATGTAGTGGCCAGGCCAAGCTGCCTCTGAGGAGAGGAGACGATGATCTCGAAAAAAAAGTGAGAGGAGAAATGTCAGGCAGAGAACACGAGGCACGCGGAGGGTGAGGTCACTTCTTCTACAAGTAGAGAAATCCAGCATCTAGTCATGTCAATCAATAGCAAGCCGTTCCACTCCGAATCCAAGGCGTGAGTCTGAGAGTTACCTTAGGAGCATCAAAAAAAGCCCTTGTCCTTTCCGCCGAGGTACAAGATGAGTGGCCAGGGATCCATCGAGCCGCGGGAGGATTAATTAAATGGGAGAAGGCTGTGGCGCTTTGGCATCATCCCGACCCAGGAACAGGACGAGGGGTGAATGGAGAATAATGGAGACACAAGAGTCGAATCGCTTCCGGTGGGGAGGGGGGACGAGGATGGTCGATGGGGTTGTTCATTCTGACGCATTATTCTTTCACGTAGAGCAGAGAAAAATCATGTCATGGCTTTGTCTGTCTTCCGATGATTGATGACTCTCTCTTTGTCCATTGCCCTCGTACAATAAGAACTGCTGCAGGTAAAAAGTGCGGGGGAATCAGCAGCGCAGGCAAGTCGAACATGTGATAAAATTCTATATTGTCGGCAAAATAGTTATTCCATGTTCCTTTCATGTGCCCTCGACCTCCAATCACCCCGGGTGCATGCTTTTACCTTGCATGATCACAAACACCTAACAATTATGACTGATTATTTGGACCTCTTCTTTCAACCATTATTCCCGTACTCGTCGTACCTCTGACGGTCTCCAGTCATTCACACGCACAGGGATCCTTCCTCGGTCAACTCCCAGATAATAATTTTCCCGGGGCCCATACCGAACAATTACCGGACAGCCGACCGTGATAGAATCTGGACCATCAGCTGCAGCCTTTCCCGAATCTCTCCGAGCCACCGGAAGGCCTCATGTGGCGTTGAAGCAGCGTCCGTATAATCAAATCGTCCTCTTCCGACAATCGGAACCGTGGACCTCGGATCCTGTTACCATGTGTTGATTGACTCATAAACAAAAGGTTTTCGTCTGGGAATCAAATGGTAAATCGTCCGTCGAGAGGCAAATGCAGTGGCCGAACAGGTCGACTTGATTCTACACCAAAAACTCTCATGGCAAGAGCCGAGACATGTGAAGAGCTGATGATGACATTGGAACGTATTCGTCTGAGGTTTAGTGCTTTGGTCCAGCAAGGCTATGCTATCATGAAGACATATGCGAGCGTACACACATATGGTCTCCTTCATATCTCTGAGGTCTTATCACCTTCATCTTGTTGGCTCAAGCAATCCCGTGTCTCGGCATAAACTGCCCTCTGCAGGAGCCATGACAATTTGCTCAAATTCCCAGGTTGGAGGTATTGCAGCAAGAGGAATCTCTCGTTCACGGGTACAAAATCGCGCCAGGTGAAAATATTCAGCTTCCTCGCAGTACTTTGAAATTTCACTCCAAACCACTCTTGATTTTCTACCAATTCGCTCACCACAGCCCCCACAGCCGCGACCCAGAACAACAAGACCTGCTCCTTTTCGCTAGGGGCCTGTTTCAGATGATTTTGCAAGATACTTCCGAGTCGATTGCGCAGTGGTCTCGCATCGATCGTGGCTCGAACTGTCGGCGCACTCTTGTCCTTTGAGGTTGGCGCATAAAAGGCACTAGCTGGCACAAAAGCCAACCACGCAATGAGTGCAAGTCTAACACAGTCTTGCAATCTTCTGCTGTGGTCATTCAAGGAGCGCCTACCTCGGGAAGAGGGAGCGGAATCATCTTTGAAAGCAATCAGCTCATCCGCGATTGACCACGCACGAGCCAGCGCCCAGTCGCGATCAGGCATTGTGGTGTCCTCAGGTACCCCGATCCAATGACACTGAATGACACAGCACAAATCCAGGACCTTGTCGAGCAAGCCTTGGAACTTTGGTGTAAACAATACCGATTCACCCACTTGTTGATTGGTCAATCCTCCACCCATCACTTCTCTCCCTTTTCCACGAACGGCGGCAGTTGCACTCACCCTCTGCTGATGAGATAGCTCGTCCGTCTCCCACCTGTCTTCAATCAACGGTGGAGTCTGGGTGGCGGCAGCCTGAAACCGGTCGGCAATCCACAGCATTCGTCGCAGGTCGAGGTCGAGTGTCTGGAATCCTCCCAAAAACGTGTTCGTCAAGTACATGATCATATTGCCATGTATGCGCACTCCATCCCAATTCCGGCGATAGCTCTCAACTGCCCATAGGAACAATATGCTCGTGATCAGCTGTTGGGTTATAGGTCGACCTTGTGCTAGATATGCTCTTGTCAGTCGCAGTGCAGCATCGGCCAATTGTTCAGGCAAATCAGCCTGGGCGAAGTATGTCCGGTCAACGTATTTCATGCGGGCACTTGCAACAGCGAGAAGCGCGAGAGTGTGCAGCTCCTCGTTGAGAGCGTTGCGTACGAACTGCAATGCTCGATTTGACGGTGGTAGCGTTGACCGCCTCGACAATACAGACATATCAGACCTCGTCACGGCAGGGAAATGCCTGAAGACAAAATACTCCAGCATCCGATACTTTTCGGCGTTCATGGACAGTTTGAATTGCGCGAACGGTTCCACAGATCCCCAATTTGGTATCTGCATTGACAGACTACCGCATTCATGTTGTGGCTGCTTGTCATCGTTTCGGTCATCTTCCTCCGGTGAAGTGGTAGTGGATTTAAGTATGGTTTGCTTGATCGTGTCCGATTCTCGAACCTCCGATACCGAGACCGCGGGACGCATTGCCAGATGACTAAGAGAGTGACATCTGCTTGGAGCGGGCGAAATGTATGTCCATCCGATCGGTACTCTTGATCGTTTCAACTTCCTTCTCCTTTCTCTCTCCTTGTTGTAATCTCGAGATTTTTGCGCATGCTGTTGGATCTCACGACGCCCGTCGACGTCATCTCGGCTATTGGTCAGAGACATCGAGGAGACGGTTTTGTTGACGAACAAGAGGTCCGGCCTTGTTGGTGGCGGGCATCTCGACTGGTGCATGACTACCTAGGCAGGTTCTGGTTACTAGGGAGGACGACCGGTGATGATGGAGTGGTTGTTGATATCCTCGCCACACGCAGACATGTTTCGAAGGGGGCAAATCTACTCTCGCAAAACAAAAAAATTAAAATGGTACGAAAGCCGCGGGCGACTAACAGTATGATTAGGGATTATACATGGTGATGATGGTGATGATGACTATTCGGGAGGCTATGTGAGATATAGGGTATTTGATGAATGTCCAGAGTAAGTAGTGATCATCTCGATGGACCGTCTTCCTCGGACGTTTTCCACCGAGGTGTCATTTTCGAAATCTCGCGCTTTTCTTCTCCATATCCACGAGGTCAAGCTGTCTCAATCTGTCCAACGTACACACCAATAACGTCCATGAAACTAAGCACTCGGCAGCCGGCATGCTTCGTAAGTAAGCTCGTTTGTACTCTGGAGGAGACGGACCTGTCCGCGGCCGACGCGGGGCAACTTCTTTATCAATATTAGCAGTCTTTGATTCCCATGTCCTGTACGGTACAGGTACTTTCCGTACACAACGACTTAAGGACATTGTCGAGACCATTCACATTTCAACATACAAAGACATACATGTGGCTTAGTCAAGCTGACCGGGCGATTCGCCTAGGTAAAAATTCAATATGTCGATCAACATCCTCGTCCCTAGAACAAAACCCCGAGGGACTTATCATTTCAATGACCATTGTCCGTATGGAAGCTACAGGACCTGTGACATACAGGAAAAAAGGTGCATACTGTACCCAGCAGTAGTTGGTGATGCTGGCCACCCACTCAAGAAGAAAACAAAAAAAATAACAGAGGTAATATGGTATCGATCCGTGATACTCCCTCGATACGGTGACGCAGACACATAACTAAGTACATAGATGTAAAGGTCTGGTTTCTCGGGGGAAAGTTTCACCTTGGGTACTATACCGGGGCAAGGTATGTTTTCTAGATGGTTTCCTTTGGTGATGAGCTTTCATCGGACATCTTCGGACGGACCATGGATGTAGAAACACCAGGTACGTCGATGGAGTCACAGGTCTTGTTAGTAAAAGTGAAAAGGTACAATCGAGCTTTGAAATAAGGCGGCAACCTTTGAGGCATGAGATACGCGTGCCCGATGCCAGATCAAGTTACAAATCAATTGTCGACCAAGATCTTCGAGTTGCTGTTCCGGACTCTATACTATGCCATCTAAGACTGTGACAGTATGGGTTGGTCATTTGCTCAGCCCTCAGCTCATCTCCTTCCATCGAAAGACTGCCACCCATAGGTAGGGCTCCGCGTTCGATCACAGAGAACTCCAAAGTCCGTATTGCGAGATTGCAGGTACGTTGACCATCCGGGGGCTGAAACTGTAGCCAACCTGGGCAAGCAGGTGCCCAGATCGCTCTCGGTACTAGAATTTTTTCCTCGCCTCGTCGCAGTAGCACCGCATCAACATGGTTCAATGTTGATGGCCAACGGACTGGAACCCTTGGGGACAATAGCCATTCAGCGAGCGGTATGATGCCCATCTTTGACCCACCGATCTTACATGACCTTCATTGGTCCACTTTAAGATTCTGGGGTACTCCAAGTTGGGAACCCCAAGTTGGGCCGCTAAGCAGGGCTTGACCCACTCCAAACCTCGAAGGGAACGAGTACGCAGTATGCGCATTCGATCAACAGAATACTTGTGGTAATTCTTACAAGCCACGACTCCCAAGATGGGGACAGATTACGGGACACCCTGGGCCTCGACCCCTGTCGCGTGACATTTGGCCATGACCCTCCGAGATACCCACAATGGGTCATCAATCGAGTTGTAGCTTGTGTATTGACATTGCCTGGTTCTCAGCCGACCGTGGACCGTGTGCTCGCTCAAAAGGCGGAGGAAGTACTCCATGACCTTCGTACCCTTGATCCTAACCACAGAGAGTCCTGCGCCAACACTTTGAGTAATACCTCCCAGGAATTCGCCGTGTCTTGTCAGCCTCGTCAGTCATGCGCGCCCAAGTACTTGAAGCGTTCAATGAGCCTTACAGACTGCGAAACATACCGCCTCCGGCGTCACCGGCCGGACAAGACCTACTGATCCGCGTCCTTGCGGCTTCATACTGTCACACCGACGCTGTTCTGGCAACGGGATCTCGATGGCCAGAGTTACCAAGGGTGGGATCACACGAATTGGCTGGGGAAATTGTCGAGATGGGCCCCGAGGTTTCGTCGTCCGTCAAATTGAAGATTGGTACCAAGATCGGTGTCCCGGCGAGAGCATACAGACCGTGTGGGCATTGTTACGAGTGTCAGAATACCGACGGAGACATCCAGGGCTTCAGCGTCTACTGTCCCAAGGCGAAGCATGTCGGTCTCTCGATAAACGGCGGGTTTGCGGATTATTGTTTGGTCGATTCGCGACAAGTCGTCGTAGTTCCAGAAGGACTTATGGCGGTGGAAGTGGCGCCCTTGATGTGCGCAGGTTTCACCATATGGTGTGCCCTCGAACGAGCTGGCATTGCTCTCGAAGAGAATGAAGGAGTCGGGAAAAGCGTGGCCATCATGGGTGCGGGAGGTGGCCTGGGCCATTTAGGAGTTCAGTTTGCGGCCAAGCTGGGGTGCCACGTTGCGGCCGTTGAAGCTGCCGATAAACCTTTGGCCTTGCTCCGGAACATTGTCGGACGGTTGGACTCCCCTACTCAAGATCGAGTCACCGTCGTGGATGCGAGAACACAGTCTGCCGAGGAGGTGCGAAACCAAGTGTGTGGCGAACCTAAAGAAGGTTTCGAAGGCGAGTCGGGTATTGACGCCGTCTTGATTCTCTCCGACAGTCAATCCGCATTCGACTTTGGAATGAAATTGCTCAAAAACCACTCTACTTGCGTCGTCATCAGTTTTCCCAAGGCTGGGTTCTGTATCAACGCCCAGGATTTGATCTTCAGAGACATCAAAATTATTGGCTCTCTTGTTGGACGAATACGACAGCTTCAGGAGATGATGAGTTTTGTGGTGAGGCACGACATTCGCGCACAGATACGGGTACATCCATTGGAAAAGGTGAACGAGCTGGTGAAGGATTATCACAGTGGCACAGGAGGGAAGCTGGTGGTAGACTTGTCCTTATCAGAGGGATAAAATCCCAACAGAATGGGACATTCGCACGAATTGAGGGAGTATATAGTTGTTGAGAGAGACATTAGCTCGTTCCTCGAGGGCATATTGGATCCAAGTCAACTTCACGCAGTGCTTCTACACTCGCATCAATGCCTGCTTCGGCTATGATTTGGAAGCCCGGGAGTTTCGTCCTTTGATACCTTGTCATATAGCAGGACGGCTGCTTTTTGCGGCTCTCTTCCTTACACAACGTTCTACTTCTTGATTCCATGCGTCTCTATGTCTATCTCCCGAAATATATCGCAGAAACCACAATGAGAAGAAATGAAGACAAAATGAGGAACAGAGTTGACGACTCCTGAGATTGTGTCGATAGCGTAGAGGCTGAATCCTCTTTGAATGCCTCTGAACTTTGCGATTGGAAGTCCTTCAAGCTGTCAGCTGATACACGTATATTTGATAAGGAATATTGTGCCAACCTCTTCTGCGAGCTTCCCAATCACAAATGTCTTCAGTAATTGTCTTGCATCATCGCTGTGAGCTGCATTCTCGAACAGATCTGTGACGATACTCGTTCCCGTTTCCAGGAGCTTCTCTTGCCCGCCACTGTGTTGTGTCAGTTCATTCCAATAGCTTCTTGGCTTGAATTTTGGAGAGTCAAATCATACGGGTGTTGATCAATAAAGTCGGTCACATCGTAGACATCTCCGTGTATAGAGAGGTAGAGACTGTCTTTGGAGTGATGTGCTTCGATTTCAGATAGTGAGTAGACCTTTGACATGGCTGAAGGCAGTACACTCTGGACGAAACTGTGAAGGGGGGTGAATATTCACTGTAAGCTCAGACTTGGGCCACAATTCAACCTGGGGGTTTCTAAAGCTTCACCGGTGCTCAACACTCAAAACTTCGTAGTCGCGCCTCCGGGTTATTTGCTCTCCACCGATGCGGAGGTGACACTCTCATCTCACCTCCAATGCAAGTAGTCACATAAGTCCACCCCAAGATATGCTGTCAGCTTGCCCTACATGCAAAAACAGTTGTTACAGAAATGTCGACTAAGCTTACCTCCAACTTGGAGTCGTTACAACCTATCGTATACGAAGCCGCTCCTCTCGGTGCCGAAATAGTGGGTCCGGGAAGCCTCTCACCTCTGCTGATTCTCCACGAACGATTATTGCGTTATACATGACGTCTCAGCAAGCATGGGAAATTCAAGCATATACATGAAGGTATATAACCATGCCCGGGGATAGGGGTAGTATTTCTGGAGAGCAGAAGAGAGAGACTTTTGGTCTGTTTAGAGATATCATGGCGGCTCCAGCAGTGCCCTTTATTGTTCTGGCCATCCTGTTTATCGCCATCAAGTATCTTAATCAGACCGATATACCCAAAGTCAAAAACCTCCCTGAGGTCCCCGGAATTCCACTGTTAGGCAGCCTCTTGAAGCTTGGTAAAAGCCACGCACGAAGCTGTGCCGAGCTGGTTCCGAGATATGGCCCCGTATTTCAGGTTCGTCTGGGCAATCGGGTAAGTGCCTAATCCTTGTTGAGACGATCTTGGGCACACACACTCATCCCGTGATACTCAGAGACTCGTTTACGCGAATACATTCGAATCAGTGAAGGAGCTATGGGTTGGCCAGCATCAAGCGTTAATCTCTCGTCCGTCATTCTGGACATTCCACTCAGTGGTTTCTGGCACCCAGGGGCCGACTCTCGGGACTTCTCCCTGGAATGACAACACTAAACGAATTCGTAAGGCGGCGTCGACGGCGATCAATCGGAAAGCTGTGCAAACGTACTTGCCAATCATTGATCTGGAAGCAACTACCAGTATCAATGAAATCTTGAGTAACTCTAAAGGTGGAACCAGGGATGTCGACCCCAATGGATACTTCCAACGCCTCTCTCTGAATATGAGTCTGAGACTCAACTACGGCTTCCGGATCAAAGGACAGATCGACGACCGGCAACTACAAGAGGTCATCCAGGTAGAACGTGAGCTTGGCAATTTCAGAGGCGTCGCCCATTGTTGGCAAGATTATATACCCATCCTACGTCTTTGGCCCAGCTACCGCAAGAATGCTGTCAAGTTCCGAGAGAGGCGTGACGCATACATCCTCCAGTTCTACCAAGAGCTTAAGCGTCATATTGCTGACGGCACCGACGTACCCTGTATCACCGGCAACGTAATCAAAGATCCTGAAGCTAAGCTGTCTGATGGTACGTATTGATGATTTGCCCGGGGGTTTCCACCATCTTTGGATTTGGCTAAAGAATTTTACACAGACGAGCTCAAGACAATTTGCGTTACCATGGTTGCCGCAGGACTTGATACTCTGCCATCGAACATCAACATGACCATTGCGTACCTCTCGTCTCCACACGGGCAAGAGATTCAGGAACGAGCCTACGCGGAGCTGACCAAGACTTACCCAGATGGAGACGGCTGGCATGCCTGTAAGGAGGAAGAAAAGTGTGAATATATGGTTTCATTCATCAAAGAGACTTTGCGATACTGGAGCACACTGAACTTGTCCTTCACTCGGCAAAGTGTGAAGCCTGTCACGTACCGGGGAGCCGTTATTCCCGCGGGCACACCTTTTATCTTGGTATAGACACTGACTGACCTTCCCTCTCATATGCATTTTTTATGCTGACTTTTCACTCAGAACAACTGGGGAGCCAATCATGACGCCACACATTTCAAGGACCCAGAAAAATTTCTTCCTGAACGGTATCTGGGTGTTCCCAATGTCGGGATCCAGCAGATGAGCTACGGAGCAGGAGCTCGGTCGTGCGAAGGTGCTCACCTAGCCAACCGGCAACTTTACATTGTATTCACCCGCTTGATCTTGGGCTTCCATATCCTCGAGACGTCAGATCTCAAGGCTCGCCCGAACCTCGACTCGATCGAATGCAACTCGGTGCTCACCGGCATGGTGACCCAGCCGAAGCCTTTCAGGGTCCGGTTTGTGCCGCGAGATTCGAAACAATTAAACAAATGGATCGAGGAATCATTCCAGGCCACCAAAGAATTCGATATCTAATAGGCCTTTAAAATGTATAACACATTACGGCAGCAGGTGCCTTTGGGTCATTAGATCTAGGGTCGCAGGAGAGTGTATCTTCTCAAGTATATAAATCTCCTACCAACAAAGTTTTGATGAGAATATGGAGATTCTATTCTGCCCTATCCAAAAATCGAAGAAATTGTGTCTGTCCATGAGAGGCTGAGTGAATACTCTGTATCGTCCCTGTAGATAGCGGTGTCGATGGTTTAATTCATTCTCCAGCACAACTTGACATTGATTACTGTTTCACCATCATCTTTTCCTCACTAAAACCAATCCTCTTTGGAATCTAGTCCTCGAAATAGACTATAATATACCTCATGCCTTCGTGAGACACGCTGATCTCTGTGAGGCCTACCCTTGCAGTCCCAGGGCACGTAATTCATGACCCGCTTCCCCGACCTTCTCCACAACCAGAGAGTCACAGATAGTATTGATTTACTCCATAATACTCCATACTTCCAATAAGGCCTCTTCCCCTCCCCAGGTTCTTCCGCTCTTTTTTTCTCTTGCTCGATGCTCTAGTCGACTTGGCCAAACGAGATATGGGGAGGTATCAATGTCATCGATGTCCAAAGGGGTTTGCACGCCTAGAACATCTGTCTCGCCATGAGAGATCCCGTACGCAAAAATATCCTGCGTTCTGAACAAGTTTCGGTGTTGGGTCGAATCAGCTGAAAGTTGTTATCTCTAGATACTAAAGAGAAGCCCTACTGTTGTCAATTATGCCCTTCAAGGTTCACCCGAAAGTGAGCTTTTGAGACTTCCAGCGTTTCTGGCCTTGACCACCAAAACTAATGAATGGCGAAAGGGACCTTCTTACACGACATGACCGATTCTATCACCAACCAACCGAGGGACAACCAGTCCTCTCCTTTCCGACTTGCGAACCACAGAGTAGCCGTCAGCCTCCCCTTGGCGAGCCTGAATTCACAACCGTTTCTACATCATGCACACAGTCGTCCTTGACTGACCTGTCAGCGCCGGTCAATCTGTGCATAGCACAATCTTCAATGGATTTTCTCGATGCTGGAGTGAGGACGGCACCCATATCGGGATCGAATCAACCACAGAATCCTGGTATGACTTCTTCTAGCGGAACCATGGATGGTGGCTCTGCCCCGGCCATACAATTTGAGGACCTCCAGGCCCCAAATCAGATTCCGCATTATCAAGTCGAGGACCTTTCGGTAGATATTTTCGACGATTACGACTGGTCCACCATGTTCCAGGATGAATCATTTGCCGACTTGGGTCCTTCTTCCCTCGCAGATATTGCACATTCTTTTCATTATCCCCTGGCAACAACCTCCGGTGTCCCAGACCAACAAACTGTGCCTGCGTCGCCTCTAACGCAACAAAAGCAGAGGGGACTCATCATCAATACGGAGGCGACCGACCTCTCCGCCTTTGCATCTCGCCTTCCTTCCCTGGAACCTGAGGAGGTACACCAGAGTGACTCAATGCCGCTCCTCCGTAGCAGCGACCAAACTGGAGGACAAGCACATTCTTCTTCTTCATCATCATCATGGACAGCTCAGAATCCTCGACGTTGCTTTTTAGAGGTCACCCACGAGTGTCGCCAAAGGGTCTTAAATGACCTTTTTTCGGACTTCACCAACTTCGTACCTGATGATTTTGTGCTTCCATCGAAGCATGCGTTGAATCGTTTCGTGGCAATATATATTGCGTCTTTCTACGAACACAATCCGGTTCTACATCTTCCGACAATGTCACTCAACAATACGTCCGTGGAATTGTGCCTGGCCATCGCGGCCGTCGGAGCTCATTACTGTGGCGAAGTCGACACCAGCACGAAGCTCTACCGGGTTGCCAAAGATGTGGCCTTTGAACGAATGGACAGACTCGCCGACTCAGCTATCTCGAACGCACCGCAAGAAAGAGACGGTGCACAACAGTCGAGACTGGTCTGCCAGCAAGGGGAGTGGCCAACGCAAAAGGATTTCGTTTCGCAGGCGCAAATTGAACTCATGCAGACGTTTGTGATCCTCTTTGGGTTCTCCCTCTGGTTTCTCAAGACCCCCGGGCCAGCCTTACGCTCAAAAGCTTTATTACAATGTATTCTTGAGTCACTGATTCGAGACGTGGCGCTAGATGCGGCAAAATAAGCGACCATACAACGCAACCACGATTGGCAGAGCTGGGTGCAGGCAGAGACTCTGAAACGAATCGTACTCGTCTCCTTCTGTCTATTCAACTTGCAAACCCTAATCCATGAAACACCACCTCCGCTCCTCTGGTCCGAGATCGACATGTGCCTGCCATGCAGCGAAGGCCGGTGGAATGCTACTAGCCCTACGGCTTGGGCATCTTCGGTCGAACAGCAGGACCTAGGTAAAGCCATGGTCCAGGAGACACTGCAAAATCTTTTCAACGAAGAAGGATCCGGCGTCCCGCACCCAAATTTCTCATCCCTGGGCGGTTACTTTCTAATCCACGCAATTCTACAACATATGTGGATACTCCAAAAGACACGCCTACTGCAGAGCAAGCCTCTGGAGGAGAGAAGCAGAGAGCAGGAAGCTGTAACCTTTGGACAATTTCAAAGAGCTCTACGTCAATGGCGTCGGGGGTGGACCAACGATCGAGAATCGTCCATGAGTCCAGTCAACCCTTGCGGACCTATCGCTTTTACTTCCACTGCTCTTTTGCGACTTGCTTACGTGCGGCTCAGTTTCTCTGCTCGCCTGATCCCTCTGCTCATCAATACTTGGAGTGCCGAGAAGATTGCTCGGGCATTCATCCAAGCACCATCCGCAGAGCGAAATGACCGCACCACGAGGGCGGCACTGCATTGTGCCCACGCGCTGAGCATTCCTGTCAAGATCGGTCTCAAGTTCGTAGCCAGAACTCAAGGCTTCTACTGGTCCAATCAACACGCCGTCTCATCTCTGGAGTGTGCGTTGTTCTTGTGTAAGTGGCTCCAATCCGTGACGAGCCCGGAGGACGCAGATACAAATGTTTCAACAATTACTGAGCAAGAGATGCTGGTGATTGATTTTATTATTGCCATCGTGGCCGAAACTGACCTCCGGGCATCCAAGGAGGTTCTGCTGCAGACGAGGAACCTCTTGAGTAGAACTGTGGTGAGAATTTGGTCCCGCTTATTCCCAGGAGACAGTGCCTGGAAAATTGTTGATCTGATCGGAAGTTCGATGAGGGCGTGTATCGACGCCCTAGACTGCAACGCAGGAATGCTAGGTAATTAAATAGCAGAGTTTTCAAGGTCCATCCTGAGATGCACGACGAGTCAGATCTCCGTTGATCGATGCTGGTATTTGTCTCCGCCATTCCACACAATAAATAGTCCGTCGAGTCTTAGTAATCCATACTGAGAAGGTCTTCGAGATGCGAAAACTGACTCCCCAATGTACTTGTGTCCAAGTTTTGAAACCATGACCACATGCCTCCCCCTTCGTTTATTTCCACCCACATAGGACGCGGCGGTGGTCCACTTTGAAGGGAAGAGACGTGTGCCTCTTGTTGCGGCTGGGCGACGCCGTGCAAGTTGTCGTTGGGAAAACAAGATTGCTGCTGCTGACATTCATTCAGTGATGTGACCTGAGGAGGAGGAGGACTCATCCACCGCTTCTGCTGCTGGCAAGATCACCGCTGGGATGTGGAGCGGTCTTTTTTGGACCGGACCCTGCAGTATAGCCTCTCAAGTTTCGCCGGGAGGGAAACGGCGCAATATTGTAGAAATTGCAAAAGGCTTCCCATTTTGATATAAGCCTGACCCTGGAGTTTTGAAGAATGATCCACATCACAGATTTGGGGACAATAGCCCTGTAGTACACCGCTGGATGTTAGTAGTGAGCCCTGTAACATACGGATGTCTCCAATAGGTAATCTACATACCCCATCAGCGTTGCTGAAGGATGAAACTTTTCCCAAGAGAAATCCTGGTTGAGCAAACCTGAACACCAGTGAGCATAGTGGCGTCCTTTGTTGGTGTTATAGTTACGTTCCAGCAAATTACAACATCGTCTATGCCATAAAGCCTACGGCAAGCCAAATACTGCAACCACAGTACACATCCATGCGTATGTTTTTCCTGCGTGGTGTCTTCGGTATTCGGCGCTAGAACTGTATCTGCCTTCGCACCCAGCATTCATCGTGGTCGTGCTGCCACTCTACCAGGTTGCACTCTTTTGGTTCAACTTCAGCTCAGCCGTGGTGCCATCTGATGATTTCTCAGCCTCATCGCCCTCTTCGTCACCTCCACTGTCATTGAATGTTCACTCAGTGCTTTACAAGTGTCTCTTCATCGAGATAGGAATCTTCTACGATCATTTAAACTTCGCCAATAGGCCCTTGCAGCTGGAGTCGACCAACCGCAAGCCGCCACAAATCCGTACATGAAACTCACCTTACAAAATGAGCATTCTCCAAATTGGCTGTGGCCTCGAAGCTGACGCCCAATCCCGCGTGCCATGGGGGCATGTTCAAGCAGGCTCAATATGTCCCGATAAGGCAGCAACCGGTGGACAGAGACACTTCTTCACACTAGGACCTTCTTGTTGCAGATTGTTCGGTAATGGCACTCCTTTCTCACCGTGTATCGGACTAATAGTTGCAGATAAGCTCAGCTTTCATGGTCCGGCCACGAGGTCAAGATGTTCGTTCGGGTAGGTACTATGAATTGTACAGCTTCTGTCAAGGTGCATAAGTGCTACGTATTTGTTTAGTTGGGTAGACACCTGGTGCTTTTGTCATTACCAAAAGGCCACGAAAGGACCCGTCCATCATCTCCTATCTTAGGAATCCACTTGTATCAATTATCCACTCTCGCGCATGACGTTGGGTCGTCCATCCTTGTTCATTCGACATACATTAGCTATACTAGTCTATTAGACAAATCACCACGTCCGTTCTATTTCGGCTGGAAACGTGTCTTCCTGACAACGAAAAGGCGGTACATGTTTTCTTGTCTCTAGAAGCTGTGCAGGCTCCAACATATACCTATATGTATCATCTCTCCTCCCGGCGGAAGTGCTTTCCCAATTTCAGTCTCAATAGGGCGCACATCTGGGTCAGCGAACGAGACCAAGCTGTATACAATTGCCCCAAAAACAAATCGAGAACAAATTGTCACGTTCTCAGTTGAGAAGCTCTATGAAGTTTTTAGTCTGCCGACCGTGATACCAATATGCGACTGATGAAAATCAAACCGGGGGGCATGAAATTTCTAGCAGAACTTTCAGCATGGATTCAGGAACAGAACATCGCCAAGTGGGCTGAAGGCGCGACCGTTGAAGAGGTGGAGTATTCAGAGCTGCCACAATGTGCGTACGATCTCTTGGAGTTTGTCCCTATAGGTATGTAAGAGACCAGTGCTCCTCCGTCTTTAACAGCTGAATAGAGCCGAACTGGCAACCTTGCGGTGTTGCCATCTTACCAATGATATCCGGGTCAGTCCACGTTGAGCAGGCTACAGTTCCACAAGCAACGACAGATACTACAGCTATCCGTGCAATGGCTCCGGAAGTCGACGACTCTAAAAAGATGGAAATTTGCACGTTCTGCAGCAAACTCCCGTTTCCCCAGCTTGGGACGCGCACTGTTGCGAAACCAGGGGCCAATGGCGCATCGCTAAATATTTTAGAAGTAACTAGGCTTCTACTGACACGAACTTTCCGCGACGTCTTTGAGAAGGCGGAAGCATGCGCAGTGTGCTTGGTGATAGCCTTGCAGGTATTGTCATCGACGTCAGACGCTGGAATTGAACCCTCGGCCGCTGGCTCTCAACCCCCTGAGTCCAATGTTGATCCTAAGGAACGCGATTTTGCCCTTCTGGATCGTCATTTTCAGTTTCTGTACACAGAATTGATGACATCACGCGAATCTACCCGAGAATGGAACAGGCTATCTATCCCGAATCGACTGGTTGTCGAATTGCAATTCATGGTCTCTCCGTCAAGAGGTCCCAAGACGACTCTCTCAACAATACAATTCCAGAAATGTAGCCCCGATCAGGGTATCCTCACATGCGAACCCTCAAGATTGTTTTCCGAGGACTCTGAAAATTTACATCTTTTCGAGGGACGGATCAGACCGGATCGCTTAGATGGGGGTCTGCTCCGCGCTTGGAAGGACCACTGTTTCAACCATCATGGAGAATCTTGTGCGATGCTTGTGACACCTCCTTGTTCTCAAATGCATCTGCGGCTCATTGATGTCAACAACGAATGCATCGTGGACAGCAATGAGACCGAGCAGTGGGTTGCACTCAGCTACGTTTGGGGCAAGTCGAACAAATTCGTTGTCACCAAGGAAAACATTGAGAAGTACCGAGAACCTGGTTCCCTGGCTGGCGCAACGTCTGCCACTATAGCTGATGCAATGGCCGTCACAAAATTGTTAGGAGAAAGGTATCTGTGGGTTGACAGCTTGTGTATTTTGCAGGATTGCTTGGAGGACATGCAATACTTCATTCCGAGAATGGGCTACATATATGGGCAGTCTTGTTTCACGATCATCAACGCACATGGCCTAGATGGCACGGCAGGTTTGCCCGGCGTCAGACCCTCCACGAGGGAGGAACATGCACACATTATCGTCACGCCGGACTTCGCATTCATGAAGACGTCGGATCCAGCACATTCCAGTAAATGGGATTGCACCCTGGGTTCGACTTGGAGCACCAGAGCCTGGACTCTCCAGGAGAGGCTTCTATCGAGAAGAGTCTTGATTTTCACTTCAGGTCTGATTTATTGGGAATGTCAGAAGGCGTCCTGGAATGAGGAAACCTTCAAAGAGGTTCTGTCTGACCATGTAATCTCTCATCACCCGGACCTTGGCGACGCTGACTCCTTGAGCCATCATATGTTGTCCAGGGTCCTGAGAACCAGGCCGTTCGACTTCGCAAACACTTACAGACACATAGCTTCTCGTTATACGGGACTTCAACTGTCCTTCCAGAAAGATGGTCTAAACGCAATTTCCGGCCTGGTGAGAAGTCTAGCGTATATGTCTGGACACGAATTCGTTTGGGCGCTGCCGGTAACGTTCCTTTCTACTGCACTGGCTTGGGAGACCTATTCCAGTGAGCGTCATTCCTCTTCTGTGCGCAACTATCGCAGAGCACCCAATCACTCCTTGGCGAACAAGAGAGAGCGAATGGATGCTTATTTCATTCCCAGCTGGTCCTGGGTAGGATGGGAGGGAAAAATTTGGTATCCTTCGCCCAAGGGCGGAGGGTTCACCCATTCCGAGCTCTGCTTCTATCACTTCACAGACAAAAGGACTCCAAACCTGCTTACAGGACTCGAACAGACGAATAGATCTTCAACCCCTTTCTGGGAGAGTCCAGGCTGGAATGTCAGTGGTGAGACGGCCTTGACAGAAGCACACATTCCGTCAGGGATTCCAAGTCGGCTGTTAATTGACAGGGTCCTCGGTTTCTGGACCAATACCGTTCTGGCAGACATATCTTGGAAGGACACAGACTCTCCATGGAGATCATATTTCCATGATTCTAAAATGCAAGCCGAACTCCACGTTGACGGAGTGAACATCATGTCTGCTTGGAGCCAGATCCCGACTGAGGTGAATCCTCATTCACAAGAGTCTGGAGTTTTGATTGTCATCGGAACGAAGCCGATATCTTGCTTCGAGGACCAGGGTTGGGTGCAAAGACGCCATCTCGACGTTCTACTGGTCAATATTGAGGATCAAGTGGCATACCGGCGTGGGCTATGCCACATCAGCGAGTCAGATTGGCTGAGGCTGGGCTCAAGGCGATGGAAACCGATCTTTCTGGGGTGACATCGAACAGTGAATCGATACCTTGTTGGAAAGGGGCGTGATGGAAAATCCTGAAATTGTGGGATACCTGAAGAGGTACTTTGTTGGACATCTGAAATAAGTGCTCCAAGATCCCTCCAGGATATGCTTGGTTCAAGTATTTCGGCCGTCGTATTTTCCGCCGCGCGGGAATGTTCTTGCATATATGTCGCCTCCTCATACATCCCCATGGATGAGGGAGGAAGGCCTCCTGTGTATGCAGGCTAGGAGAGGGCTTCCAACGAGTCCCATTTTGACATCCCTCTAAGTGACTGTGGTGTCAAGACTTTCCGCCAACCATCACTGGAGCCGGGTGGTCAGGGTAGACAATAGTGTTATATCAGCATTTTCGTCACGGGAGGAGCCTGGCTCCTGCAAAGGCTCAGGACTACTCAGCTAGCTGCACCCTCCTGTCTTCTCTTTGATAGACGAGACCGCCGCACAAGACAATAAGAGCTATTGCAGCACAGACCACCATAGGCGTAGACCCTTCCCAGGCCATCGTAGCCCAGGGACACCAGAACAGCGTCCACATCTCCACCAGGTGGCAATAAAAAAACTATCGAAACACTGTCGACAATGACCGAGTAAAGTGTTCAGAATTAGGACTTTCGGTGCCTGCCTTGCCTCGCTCAGCATTGTACAGCCACAGCTCAAAGTTGCTCCGTCAGTGCTCTGAAAAGACAACAAAGTGCTCGGGCATGGAAATTGATACAGATCTTGTGGAGGTCAAGATTCGGCGCCGAGTATTGTGGTATTCAAAGAGTCATGAAAGACGAAGATGTGATCTTGTATTGCCTGCCAGTGCATACTGTGCCTTTGTCCGAACCAATAGACTTGAGAAATGCGACTTTCGTGGGGTGTGGTGTCACCACCATGGCGTGATGACCCCCCTGGAGTCCTTTCTATGGAGCCAACCTGGACTCTATGTAGCCTTCCGGATTTTCAATCAAGTTAGGTTCCTCACTGACACCTTGTGCCAACAATCCGAGATGGATCTTCTCAGATACCTATATTACGTAGAACAACAGTTCTAGAATGAAATTTCCCAATGAGAGACCGATAGAGGCAGATTGGCCATCTATCGTAATCTTTAAGAGCTTCTCAGAAGAGGTCAAGCCTTGTCGGTTATGTATGGTGCCCTTGCCAGCATCGATTGCTTGACACTAATAAGGCTGCATGCTTAAAGTAAACAGTATCGAAGTGTTCAAATTGAGTAAAGTGAACCGGTTCAACCGAGGTAAGGATGATTTACAAACAAAATCTCCCAAAGGCACCGATGGCCCTTCAAAGAGTATCAGACTAGTGACTTTCGCAAATTGTACAAAGCCCCCTTTCCGGCCACTGTTCCCCATATTAAGTGCTCATACTTGCCGTGAAGCCGCTACTGTACGAGAGTCAAGACAGGTACAGATGAAGAAACTCGTCTGTTCCGCCATACAGTCCAAACAAAACACTACATAATCATCACGTCAAACAAGCAACCATCAAGGCCTCGTAGTGGCTGCGAGTTTCTCCCTTGACACGCTGGATCAAGTCCTTCTTGTACCGATGAGCATAGGCACGCTTCACCTGGTCCATGTGTGCTCTGTTCCAGTGGACACGAACCACCCGTTGAACAAGCAGGGTGTCTTTGGTGCCAAGGCCGGCCATCGCATCTTCCAACTGCACCGCATCCGACATGGCACGGTCACATGCGCGACGCACCATGAGCAGCAGGGCGTCCTTCATGTGGCCTGAAAATTCCGAGGCAATGACCTTTTCGAGCTCGCTGTGATACTTCTGTTGCCAGTGGTGACTCAGTGCTCGGATTTGGCCGTCACTTCGATTGGCGAGGATGCTGCAGACAGTGATCTGATCGGTGCCGATGCGTGCGTCCATGGTGCGATGCAGCTCCGACACGTCTCGTTCGAGTTCGTGGGGGATCACGGGAGCAGACTCTTCCTGCCTCGTGGCCGCCATGACCATGCTGAACAATCTCTCCGTCTTCATCGAGAGATCACCTTTCACGTCGTCTTCGAGAGTGCGTCTGAAGGTCTCGTGGTAGGCTTGTTTGATCGCGCGCATGTCTGCGTTTGAGCGTCCAAGGAGCACGTCGTTCAGTGTCGCCTCCCTTGTCCCCAACCCCTTGATCGCCCCGTGGACCGAGTGCACGTCGTGCATGAGCGGGCCCTGGACGATCGCCACCAGTCCTTCACAAAAGTACCTTGAAGTCTCGGACTTGATATCTCTTTCCAGGTCACGACGGTGTCGTTGATTGTATGTAGTTCTCAGCAGCGCTATTTGTAGAGGGTCCGGTTTGGACAGGATTCGAATGAGGGCGTTTTCGTCCGTGCCAAACCCCTTCATCGCCGCTCTCAAAGCGTCGGCGTCGCGTGAGGCGTCACCTTGCGCCTGCGCCCTGGGGTCATAGCCTGGTGAGGGCATTGCCGGCGGAGGAGCCCATTGCTGCTGTTGTGGCGGGAACCCGCCATGCTGTTGGGGAGGAGGGAATTGACCTGGGGGTGGTGGTCCGCCAAAGTGTTGTTGCGGCGGCGGCGGACCACCGTAACCTCCTTGTGGAGGGGGAGGATAACCACCGTGCTGCGGAGGAAATTGGCCGTAACCTGGACCTTGAGGAGGGTATCCTCCTCCGTACGGAGGTTGACCTTGGGGAGGACCGTATGACATTCGCAAACTGTTGTGGTTGTATGGATATCTTTTCGGGAAAACAGTAAAAAGGCGGGATGTGGAGGGGTAAGTTGAAAGCTCGGGAAGAATACGAGGAGTAGGGAAGAACGTCTGCCTTTTTCTTCCCAAGCACGGCAGAGATATTAAAGGTGTTTATTATCTTACAGCCAAGGCTGCCCGGCGTTGGAAAGATGACGCATGGCGGGAATTTGGTCTTTTGGTAGCACGAGAACTAGTATGTACACAGCCCTGTCAGAAAACGCCCCCTGATAAGGAACCTATCATCAACAAATGCGGGGAGGCACCGCCACATGGCGCAGCGTTTTGACGTGGCGTCCGGCGGTAATAGGCAGCCTTGGCGAATCACGTGGTCGGCAATGTTCTTCCGTTTTCCCCGACCCAAGTCCTCCTGAAGGGACCTTCATGATGTGATGCCATACACTATATCATTCGTATCCTCATCAAAGTAATACACCAAAGGATGTGGGTATATCCACCCTTGTACTAGTCATAAGTTTGCTACCCCCACACAATTTCTAACATCAAAAGCCACCGTTCATTCCGCAGGCTGATCCTCATAAAAGACCAGGGCTCTAACCTCAATACTCTCACGCGAGCTCTCGTTTACAGTTTCCGGGTTTACAAACGCGGTGTGGCACCCTCCTCGCCCTCCCATCCAACTTGGAGTCGAAGCACTTGATCAGCAACGTCTCCTCGGGCGTCTGCCCGTAGAGGTAATACCACTTGTGCTCCCTGTTCGGTCGGACAGTGTACGTCTCACCCTTCCTGTCAGGGTATATGAGACCGACGCCCACGAGGTCCGAGTCCGGGACGGTATGCGCATCCGCCACAGCCAAGGGGTCCTTCAGAATCTTCTTGATCGGCCTCCAAACGTTGATGATTTGGTAGCGGGTCGTGAGCAACCGGTCCGCGTCTTCAGGTAGGTGGTGAGGAACGCGATTCTTGGCCGCGCTGTAGCTCTGGTCGATATGGACCCGGGTGACGGGTCCGCGGAGGTTGACCGTCGCGGCGGGTGTTCCTCTCTTCTCGTCGTTCGGCGCTCGACGAATGGTATGGTCAAAGATGAAGATACGAGAAGCTCCCGTCCTGTCAAAATCCCCAAGAGATCGTTATCATGTCAGCCGAAATGTTCCACCGACAGGAAAAGGGATGGGGAAATAACCAACGCGTCCTTCAACAACTGTTCCGTTTCAGGATAATATCGTGCCTTGATCTGCTCATCATCGACGAAATCTTTCTCGACGCTCTCGTGACGAAAGATCTGAAACCCGTTCTTGTCCAAGTTATACTCGCCGTCTTCTCCTCGGATGTCGCGGACGGTCACTTCCAATGGCTCATAGGGTCTTTCATAAGTCTCCGGCTTGCCGACGTAGCTAGGAGGAGGAGGACTTCCGTCACCTGGGTCTTTGTAATAGTTCAAAGTTGTGCGAACATGGTGCTTCTCGGCCTGAGACGCTGTTGTATCTCCTTTTAATTGAGTCGTCAGAGGCTCGAATGAAGTGGAATGCCCACTGGGTTGCTGGACTGCTGCCGATGCCATGGTTTGTGCGATGTTGAATCATGCGACACTGAGAATACAGTGCTCTTTGATCGTTGATGTCCTTCAGATAAACCCAAGTGAGGAGAGTGCGTACTCTCCTACTTATGAACCTCATCACCGCACAGTCACTCCTGATTTGTCAGACAGCACGCAATATGTACCGTCTCACACACCATACCCAGGGTATACGAATGTGTGGGGAAGGTCATCCAGGAGGAGGGCATATACATAACCCCTCGTCCGCCAATGAAAATGGAGAATACAGGATGGCGTGCCCTTGGGACCTACATCTTTATGTCGATACAATGCTAAGCATGACACGGCATTTGCAACATATGTTGAGGAATGTCTATGAGTTGCTTATCAATCCAAAGGGGGTTCTTGATTAGAATTCCTTGCCCCCCCAGCTACATGGTCGTCGTACCAACACCATGGACCGAGGATATCAGGTTTTTTTTCTCTTGCGAATGCATACCCTTCTGTGCCAGGGTCCAACGCAATAGTTCAAATGGACCAATACGTAATGCCAAAGCTTCAGGTGGTAGCGTCACCAGGAAATGCGCGTAACGATGATTCATTGCATCTTTGGAATATGAGATGCTGTAGTTCTATGCCGACCCCTCGGGCCACACAATTGACCACCGACAAGTCTAGCTACTAGTGGTCCTATTGCTGGGAGCGATTCCGGCAGCCTCGAAAGCCTCCAGGAAGAAGTCACACCTCCTGTCCAACTCTGCGGCGGTCGTCTCTGTAAGGTTGATCCCATTAGTACCTAGCTCCCCAATGGCTGGTACCGGCTTCCATCCTGGTCCTCTGTACGGATGCTTTGCGAACCCAGCCCAAGCACCCTGCATGAACAGACTGAAAGATTTCTCCTCCGCCGTGGCACCTTCCTGCGGGTAAGTGCCGTATATGAGGCTGATCTCACTGCTGTGGAACACTCCGGCATGTGGCAAGTCGGTGAGATTGATGTTGGGAAAAGTCGCATTGTAAAAGTACCTCCAAGTTGGAAAACCGGCAGTGTGGCTGTCGTTGGTCAGGATGCCGACTTGACACTGGGTTCCGAACTCCGTCCAAATCTCTGGGACTTGCTGGGACGAGTTGCCCGGATACGACTGGAGAATCTCGCTGTTGACCTTGGGTTGATTCGGTAAGTTCGTCGCTAGAAAGGCACTGGCGTTGGTCTGTCCCACGGTGAAGATGGTTCCTTCATTGGCGTTTGTGCCTGCCAGGATAGGAACATGGGCCACGGACCGGTTGAGTCGTGCGTCCTCCGGATATCGGAGCACGGTGACATTGTCGGCCACAGGGCGGAATGCGAGAGCCCGGTGCTCGATGACACTCTTTATAGTCTCGGCGGTCTGATTGCGTAGGCACGTCAGGTTGGATTTGGGATGTGTCGTCGTGCAATTGAGAGCTGCTGCGAGTGCCAGCCAGGCAGTGGGGGCGTTCGTGGTGTTGACATAAGACGTTGCTTGGCCGGATTCGATGATGGCAGCACGGAAGGGTGGGTTCTCCTTCATGGTCGTGACTAGGACGTCGACACTGTAGTAATGTCAGCTGCCTTGAAGACTTCAAAGCGAGCAGGACATGGATATACCTCCCGCCTCCAGCTGATTCGCCGAATATAGTAACTTTCTTGGGGTCACCACCAAAAGCTGCGATGTTTCTCTGGATCCACTCGAGTGCAAACCCTAGAAAATTAGTCCGAATGTCTTTACCGTGCATGAAACGCTTACTCTGATCCAAAAATGCTAGGTTCCGCTCGGTAAGGGGGATTTCTGGGCTGTTTGGAAATCCGAATACTGGGAAAGGTTAGCAATGCACAATCACAATCACAATTTGGTTTGCAGAGCTACACTCACCATTGGTACGGTAATTCAAACTGACGACGATCACATCTTGATTTGCGGCGAGGATAGACCCGTCGTACTCAACCAAAGAATTGGCTCCCATCCTTAGGCTGCCACCCTGATCTCATGATTAGTATCCAAATCTCACTGCCCGAAAATCCACGTACATATATCCATGCCATGACTGTCTTGTTGCTGCCAGGCGTACCAGGAACGTAGACGTTGACATTCAGGCAGTCTTCACTCTCTCCAGCTGGAGGCGGCGGCGTGTTGAACCATGCAATGGACAAGTTCCGTGACGCCTCGGGATATGGAAACTGTTGAATACATGCTGGTCCATATTTTGTGGCTTGGAAAGGCTCCCTCCAGGGCGTCGGCTTGGTGGCTGGGGCAAAGCGGACAGGTGAAGCGGCAAAAGGTATGCCCAAGTATTTGTCTACGGTCGCACTCGCTCCTGGAGGTGACGTGGTAGTACCAACCACCGGTCCAGAGTCGATGGTGACCGAGGGAGCAGCCGACGTGACAATAGCTGCTGCATCAGCGGACAGCGCACAAATGGCGGCGATAGCCACAAATCCAACGAAGGACTTCATGATGCTTTGTGAGTATATGGTCAATTAAGCAGATCAGCGGCCACGTCGGTGATTGACCGGTGGCGGTGGTCTATATATGCACAGAGTATTGCGGAGGAATCGGTCTCCAGTTCAACAATGACGCTTCAACCCCGAGCGAAAGACCTACCGTTGCCATGAGTGTGAAAATTGGAGCAAGGCGGGTCGGAGTCGGCAGTGGTCTCTGGCCCATTAACTGTTCCTGGGCAAGGTAGAAGACACCAAGAGTCAAGGTATCGATAGATGTACCAAATATCTGGATAAATCCGTCGAGCTTTGCCTCATTGAAAGCGAACCCCGCAGATCCTACCACGAGCTATATCAAGCTATTGCGGTAGAGAGAGTCGAGGTTCGACCAAAGCAGCTCAATTTTCGGTATTCGGATCATCCACCGGACGAGAGAAATGGTTCTTTTAGGCAGGTATTGCGAGTCACACTCATGGCATGTTGCAATCGGGCCATTTTTACCAGCATTGGAGCTTGGAAATATCAACTGGTTGAGGTCTAGCAACTGCCCAAATGGACTGAACTAGTTCATCGCTTGAATGCCGGACCCATCGTCAACGTCGACTCAAGTCCCGGTGGACTTTGGGGTAAAATCGTGGAGAGCGAGGAAAAAGGCCGAGTCGGGAGATCGGACGGTGACTTTGGAGGATATTAAGGAAGTTCAAAGCAGACCTCATCACCATCATCATCATAAGTGTGCCTTTGAAGCATTTCATACAGCTTCTCGCCCTTCGTCTCTATGTGAGGCTGCGGTTATGCCTCGGCAACTCTACAGGAGAATTTCCCCGCGAAAGATTTGGCTTATGTCATCATGGGAACTGTACGGTAATGAACCTCGGTCAATGTAGCTTCAAAGAACATGATCTTCAACATGACTTGAATCAATCTCTACTCTTGAGGTCCTCAAACTGTTTCTGAATTTGTATGAGTGTTGCACTTTCAAACTCAAAGCTCCTGTCGCTTCATTAACCACCTGAGAAATCTCCAAGTTCGAGTATCATTTCGATTGACTCGATATTTAGATCCCTGCTTACTGTGGTTCAAACCAGCAGAGATTCTCTTGTGCAAAGACACATACAATTACATATTTTTTGATAGGAACCCCTCAACTCATCATGGCCGACAAGATCAGACCCTACAATGACCCCCGAATCTCCTATCGCTCCGCTCACCTCAACGGCTTCACGTATGGCTACATCTACAGCGAAGCCTCACCTTCCGTGCCGTCGCGGGGGACCATTTTCTTGGTCCACGGATTCCCCGACCTCTCGCTGGGTTGGCGGTACCAGATCCCCTTCTTGACCTCGTTGGGCCTCGACGTCGTCGCCATCGACTGTATGGGTTACGGCCGGACCGACTCCCCCCTCCACACCTTGTCCGCGTACACCTACAAACGAGTGTCGGACGACATCGCCACCTTGGCGTCTCAGCTACACCTCTCGGAGATCATCCTCGGTGGCCACGACTGGGGAGGTGCCATCGTCTACCGCGTGGCTCAATACCACCCCCGCCTCATCAAGGCGGTCTTCAGCATCTGTACCCCTTATTTCCCCCCCTCCCCCCGCTACGAACCGTTGGGGATCCAGGTACAGACGAAACTCCCCAACTTTGGGTACCAGCTCCATTTTGCTTCCGGCGAGATCGAAGCCCACGTACAACAGTCCAAACCGGCCATCCGAGCCTTTTTGAACAACATGTACGGGGCCCGCACGACCGACGACAACCAAGTCGCCTTCTCCGCCGAGACCGGCGTCGACCTGGCCAGACAGACACGTGTCGGCAAGAACAGACTCCTGGACGACGATGAGATGGAATATTACGTGTCCGAGTACGCCCGTCACGGCCTCAACGGACCCCTGAACTGGTACAGGAACCGAGAGGATAATTACATGAACGAGTGGCGCGATTTTTTCGACAACGGACGCAAATCGCCCGAACAGATCAAGAAGGACTTGACCATCAAACAACCCGTGTTGTTCGTGCTGGCCACCAAAGATCAAGCCCTCAAACCTTTCATGGCCGAACGCATGGGTGACCGCATCCCGAACCTGACCAGACGAGAAGTCGTCTCGGGTCATTGGGCTTTGTGGCAGCAACCCGAAGAGGTGAACCGACATATTGGAGAGTGGTTGAAGGAAAAGGTGTTTACCAAGCATGGTGGTGGCGGCGGTGATGGTAGTAAATTGTAATGTCCTCGAGTCTCATACGATTCCATCTACACAGATCATGGTAAATGGAAACAGAAATCATGGTGTTTTTGTTTTCATCTCGCTTCCTCGGCGGCCTTTTTGCTTCGTCTCGGCTGTTTCCATCATCTACCTAGGTGACGACTAATAGCTATCTCACGTCCCTCTAGAATCACTCAACAATAACTCTGCCACGGGTTCCGTCAACCGCTCGTCGACACTAAGACTCATCAATTTACCAATCTTGACATTGATCGTACTCTTCCGGTCGTCCACGATACTCCACAGTTTGTCCTTCAGTTCGAACTCGGTCTGATAATCGAGCAACAACTTCTCGATTCTGGGTCTGTGGTCAATCACGCTCAACTGAGGATCCGGACCGAGGGAGATTGTAATCGTACTCGTATACTCCTCCTCCTGGTGGTCAGAAGATACCTTGTACGGCGGCACATGGACCAGCATGGACGGCGTGTATGGGAATCTTTCAATCCAGACTTTTGCATCTGCCGTCCGGTCTTCCCCATCGACACACACCTTCAAGTCCTTGGGGACCTCGGTGACGGCCAGGAATTTAAAATCCCACCTTGGTATCGTGACGCCACGTGCGGACCGCGCTACTCGCGCGACCAAGTCTCCTTTCTCCTGGGAGTACTGAATCAGACTACTCCTGGGCCCTCCTGTGCTGCTCCGCGGCAATTCATCATCGTCCTTCTTCTTGTTGACCTGGTCCGGATCATCGGCGGGGTCCTCAAGAATACTCGTCTGCCCGTCGCGACCAATCACAACGAGAACCTCGAAGCGGCTCGGATTGAGGCCACCGTTCAAGGGCAAGACACGTTCGTCAAGTGGGATGATACTACCTTCGTGGGCCAGGACCGGCATCTCCTCCAGCGGTCTGTACATGTTGAGTTCTCGATCTCCATCGTACACCGTGCCCGTGAAGATGTCGACGTGTCGATACATGGGGGGCACCCAGACCTTGACTTTCCCCAGATTCGTCCTTTTGTCCCTCGGCGTCACGATCGGGGCCACCATCAGTTCCGGCCCGAAGAAATATTGGTTCGGAACCGAATATGCCTCGTCCCGTTCCGGGAAGAGCCAATACATGGGCTGGATGAGTGGCAGGTTCTCGGTGCTCGCAAGGACGTTCTGCGTGTACAAGTACGGGATCAAACGATGGCGGAGCCTCATAAACTTCTCAATCACCCTCTCACTCTCCTTTCGATACAGCCAGGGTTCCTTGGACGACCATCGAGAGTCACCCGAGTGCAACCTCATCAAGGGACTGAAGACGCCAAACTGGACCCAGCGCGTCACGAGCTCGTCGTCGCGACCGCCTCCGAAATGGCCGCCGATGTCGTGGCTCCACCAGCCGTAGCCAATGTTGGACGCCGTCGCCGTGAACTCGGGCTGGAACTCTAGACTCGCCCACGTCGTGACCGTGTCTCCGGAGAATCCCACCGGGTACCGATGACTCCCCGGCCCAGCGTAGCGGGAGAAGATGATGGGCCGTTTCCCATCGCGCGCGTTGTCTAGAAAATGGAAGTGGTTCAGCAACCACAGAGGGTCGATCCCGGGAACTTTTGTGTACGACCCCTGCTGCCAATCGATCCACCAAAAATCACACGCCACGTCTTCGAGCTTGCGGTGGAGGATGTTCAGGTATGCCTCCATGAACTTGGGGCTGGTAGGGTCGAACAAGATCGGATTCTTGTTGGTTGAAATGTCGAGTCCCAAAAACTTGGCCATCTCTTCATAGGCGTCTTCGTGGTGATGTATCCCTAGGTGCGGATGGTCGTTGAGCGTGATTTTCAAATTGCGGTCGTGCATCTGTTGTCCAAACTTTTTGGGGTTGGGAAACAGTTTGTCGTCCCAAGTGTACCCTGTCCATCCAGCATGGGGAACCCGGTCGTCGTTGACCAAGTGCCAATCCATGTCGACCACGGCGACCGACAAGGGAACACCTTCGTCTTTGAACTTGTCCATCAACCCGACATACTCGTCCTGGTGGTACCTGTAGTACCGCGACCACCAATTCCCCAGCGCCCACCTCGGCAACAATGGCTGTTTCCCACTGACGGCGTACAGGTCGTGTATGGCACCCTTGTAGTCGTGTCCGTGGCAGAACAAGTACCCATCAACCCTATCCCCGGGACGTCTCCCGGCTACGAACCCCCGCCCGTCAAACAACATGGACTTGCTGTCGTCGACGGCGGCGAACCCGTCGCGCGACACGACCCCGAACCCCATGTCGCAGCGTCCATCGCAGTCGTCCAGCGTCCTCGCGGTCCCGCCGAGGTTGCGACCCTGAGAAAGGTCGACGTTGTCGTTGTACCTCCATTGAGTGCCCCAGAGCGTGAGCTTCCCCGCAATCGTGCACAACAGCCCGCTGGGGCTGAAGCGTTTCTTGTCGTAACTCAAGTGAAAGTGCTCGTTGATGATCTCCAGGCCGTCCTCGTGGTCGACCACTTGGAACTTTGGTACCACCTTCTGGTGGAAGTCTCTGTTCACCGCAAACGTCGACGCGCGATCTTCAAACTCGCCGTCCTCGGACCACTCGTACCGGATCAACCGGTCGGTCAGGATAGTGAAGCGGTAGTTGGCCCCCGAGACCATGGCTTCTGGCCTGGCCACGGGCCTACTTTCGAAATGATAGTTTTTCATTCGGACAGCCTTTTTCTTTTGTTTTTGATTTCTTGCTACAAGAAAAGCGAGGAGGAAGGGATCGAGGAAGGGATCGAGGAAGGGGGGATCATCAACCCCCCAGCGGCATACCGAGAGATGAGTCAGTCGCCCTGTCCACGGAGTTTTAGTCGGTGAAACGAAAGTCGGTCCAAGTGACGCCAAAAGCAGTATGATGCGGTCATAGCGATCAAGGGACTCGATTGATTGATTGAATGACGGACCGAGCAGATCGTATTTGTACTTAAAGTACAGAGAGTACTGTGACTCCATATAATATATGCTATGTAGATACTACACAGTGGGTTCAGGAAATAGACGGACGGGCAATCTTCTTTTTTGATTCCTTCGACTAAACGTCCTTGTCTATCACGGTCAGTACGATATGATATATATGATCAACTTTAGGTCCTGAAAGGGAGGGATCCTCAGTGTGGTTACGACTTATATCAATCATCATTCAAAACCTCATCATTCGCTTTGTTAGGTAGACTTAATACAAAACAATGTTGTTCGTAAGCAATGGCTCCTCCTCTTCGGCATGTAATAATTCGCCAAAGTGCCTATGTTGTGCTTGACTCGATAAAATTCCATGTACCGTTGAAGACATATGTGCAGCAAAATGATACCAAAGAATAACGATGCTGATTGCTTTCAGAGGCATTCACTTCTCATGACGACGTCCTTGTGCATTTCCTCTGGCCCCTGGATGTCCCTGGAGACTCGATAACGCCGGTCCGGTAACCATATCATCCCAAATTATACCTGTTCGTGAAATCCAATCGTAAATCAAAATCCTAGACCATGGGTTATACCATGTATTCCAACTCTTTGAATGATCCTCGTAATGCTGTGTCCTAAAATTAAGTTGCTAATAATTATGAAGAATGTTCGTCCTCGCAAAGACGCTGCTCCAGAAATCCGATTGTCAACTGACGAAGCAAACGAATCTCCCATCATTCGGAATCTGTTTCCGTGTCTGGAGTCGCGATCTCATCTACACTTGCTTTTGCGTCATTGAGCATGGCAGTGACTTCTTTCAAAATGTCGGCGATGGGTTTGGCCTGATCAACAAGCGCGACTCCTTTTTTGAAGGGCTGTAACATGTGTCGAAGTTGGAGAGTTGTCGCACATGCCTGTGTAATTGGTCAGCACCCGCTACACATAATAATCAATATCAGACTTACCTCTACTCGGGTGACTTGGTGTTCGAGCAGATTGATCATGAAGCCGTCCGTTTGTACACCACCTCGTTCTTTCATTCTTGTAAGAAGACTGAGTTCCGGCTTGTGTAATCCAGCTGCACGCTCTGGAGCTTCGAGACAGCTGCATAGCATCTCCAACCGGAGTGCGATATCCCAGAGCTTCCACACCTCGTCAAGTTCTAGGTCTTTGAGCTGGGAATCTTTACCAAGAGCACCCGGTTGTCCCTGCTCTTCACCCGCAACAGGTGCATCTCCCCCAAGCTGGACTTTACTCTCCGCGCCAGGCGGAATGGACAAGCGGCCTGCGAGGGAGTGTGGGTACATCAGATACAAGAATTCGGGATTTTCGAGACCCTTGAGCTTCTTTTCTCCAAGGTCCTTGACTTCAAAACCTTGGCTGCTGAGCTGGCGCAGTTCGCGGCGGATCTGACTTGCTAGTGGATCGTCATTTACGGTATCATCAGACCCAACGGAATCACGTCGGTCATCATCGGCGTATGCCTCAAGTGTTCTCTGAACCTCGGTGATGAAGTCACTGCTCACAGCAATCTGTCCACCGTCGGCAACTGCGGATACTCGGGCAGCTTTGTTGACCATGGGACCGAAATAGTCCATTCTTCGTGTGATCGGGTCGAGGTCGCATACCGGTTGTCCCCAATGAATTCCCATTCTCACCGAGAGACCACGATATATTACGTTTTGGTCAGAGTCGGCCTTCTCCTGACAATGGACGGTCTCCAAGATTTCTTGAGGCCAGGGTAGCTCCAAGAGGTGACTTTGGCAGCTGAAACACCAAAGCAACGCCGATGTGACGGTCGGGAAACTGACCATGAAAGCGTCGCCTTCGGTTTTGACCTCATAACCACCAATGATTCGAAGCTGCCGACGCATTAACTCATTATGCATCATGATCGCCGATCTCATCGGCACAGGTAGAATTTCCCACAAAGCAGTCGAGTTCTTGATATCAGTGAAGACAATTGCAACTTCACCAACGGGCGGTTGTGGTTCTTCCAATCGAGCAAGACGAGAATCGCCCACGAGGGTTTCTCCCTTTCGTCTCGCTTTTCGCGAAGGGAAGATAGCACCTTCATCCAGGCCCATTTCTTTCGCCATGGATAGGCTCGTGCCACGGAACCGGTGATTGCCTTTCTTTCTAAGATCGGAAATACCAAGCACCATGACCATGATCTTGTCTCTTGCGCCGAAAGACATGGCAAGGTCCCGCAGCTTTTGAGCAGCGAGCATCAAATCATTCTTTTCTGCTCGAGTTGCATCGACTGCAACGTCTACCGTGACATAATCCCAGAACTCCTTGGTGGCCATCACAATTAGCTCGTCGGCGTCGTTAACCTGGCACTTGAAGGTGTGGGGCGCAGCGACGACGGATGGCATGTGGCTGTAATAACCAAAGGCTCTGCTGACCTCCAGTGTCTCGTTCAGTTTTCCTTGACGCGAGACATAGCCTCCAGCCTCCCGGATCCTCTCCCGCTCACTAGGTTCCGCCGGGTCATGCTTTCTGGTCAATTCTCGATGCTGGCCGTTAGACTGTATGAGAATTGCTTCAATATCACCGACATTAGCAACATGAATTTCCTGGCCACTGATATACAGAACCGTAGCGACACCCCCAGAGCTCAGATCGTCAGGCCCGAGGATGTTTGCCACTGTTGAACCACGGTGTCCATTAATCAGCCTATGTTCTTTGGTATCGTAGTTGCTGCTGGCGAAATTAGCCATATCTTTGTTGATCGCTAGGAATGTCCGTCGAAGAGCGTCAATTGGTGTGTCATTCGCTGCTTCAGCCCTTTTGATTTCGTCATAAAAGACTGATGCAAAATTCTCATGTAGATACTTCGCAACCCTAGAACCCCCAATTGACATGGTCTGTCCATCAAACATACCGATTAAGATTTCCCCATCGTGGCCTCGGAAGTTGGGTTTGAGAAGGTCCAGCGTTGAAAGATGCTCATTCTTACCGAGCGTATCTGCCATTCCGTACATCAAAGTCCCAACCAAAGAGGCAGACGTTCGAACGCGGCGATCTTCATTATCATCCGGTATGGTGTTTGTGAGCAACGTAACATCCATGAGGCCCAGTATACGCAGATATTTTAGCGTGTTGAAACTTGTAAGGTCAGTTTCTTCGCTGTCGCGATTCATGGCATTGAACTGTGACTGATTTTGATGTGCAGCCGGCTTGATTTCCAGGCGTTTGTTGGCCGAGAAATTTAAATACTTCAGGTTTGTATTTCTGTTCCAATTCCAATCATATGGCCAATTCGAGACGTTGTACTTGAGAGAATTGCTGCCAACATCCAGTGTAGAGAGCTTGTGAACATTACAAAGTTCAGCCGGCAACACCTGGAAGCGATTTGCATTCAAATGAAGCACTCTCAAATTGCTGCCATCTTCAAGGTCATCCGACGGTAATGAAGTGAGTTGATTTCCCGAGAGGTACAACTCGCTCATTTGTGGCCAACGGCGCAGCACACCTTGCGGGAAGTCATCGAGTTCGTTGTATGATAGATTAAGAACCCGGAGTTCCGGCAGAAGTGCCAGCTCCCGGAAGACATCATCCTCAAGGCGGTTGTCTGCCATATAGAGATATCGCAGAGATCCCGCAAAGGTGTTCTGGAATCTGGCCTGCGAAATATTGGAGTCCTTTCGCGTTGAGGTGTTGTTCATGGAATACTCAGATGTGTTGGTTCTGGAAACGACCGATCCCTTACGATAATTCGGAATCGAGGCGACTGAGTTCTTTCGACCACTACCGCCCGGGGAACTTCCCAGGCTCATCATACCAGCGGAAGCTTGACTGGGTCGTCGAGCCTGGAAGTCCTCAAGCTTGCCCAAATCTTCAAAACTTGGAGAAGTGGATATGCCTGGAGTTGTGGCTGGAGTGTTCTTCTCAAGTTCGCTTGGTGGCGGTGCAGCATTTTGTTTGGGAAAGATTTCGAGAACATTGGAAGAGAGGTTGAGAGTCTCCAGTCTCCGGCAATACCATATTTCTGGTGGCAGACTCTTGACATTACATTCTCTCAGATTCAAGAACTTCAGCTCCAAAAGACTTCCTATCGAGGGCGGGACAATGTTCAAGGGGTTTTTGGCCATGCTCAGAAATTCTAGCTTCGACAAGCGCCCAATTTGAGATGACATGTTTGAAAGATGGTTCTTGTCGAGGTTCAACTTTTGTAGATTTGGCATGAAGCCAAACATGCTTTCCTTGAACTCGACGAGTTTTGCGGAGGCGATATTAAGGCTCATCAGCGTCGGAACTGGTTGATCAAGTTCAAAAGACGTGACAGGGCAGTGGTCAACGACCAGAACGCGAAGTTTAGGAAAAGACCCTTTGAAGGTAGTGATGTTGTTGTGGCCAACCAAAATTTGTTCCAAGTTGGGAAGTCTGGTGAGATTGTCAATGTTCGTGATGCCATTGAAGCGGGCATCAATCTCCTTCAGGCTTGTCAAGCCTGCAAAGCTCTCATTGAAAGGGCCTTTCAGATCGTTGTTTGTCACCCACAACCGCTCCAAGGTCGTCAACTGAGAGATTTTGGGTAAAGAGGATAGCTTGTTGAAACTTATATCGAGATCAACCAGAGATTTTAGGCTGCAAATATGTTCAGGGAAAGTAGTAAAATTGTTAGATGACAGGTTGAGGCTGCGAAGTTGCCGGAAAGCCGAGAACGAGGGAGGGAGCTGAGAAAGTCTGTTGTTTGCCAATTTGAGGCTCACAAGTGCAGCGAGTCTGTGCAGCTCAGCTTGATCCAATTGTTCGAAACGATTGTTGGAAACATCCAGCACAGTCAAGCGGCTCGCCCAGGCCAGACTTGGCGGGAGTCTCCATGCTTCGTTGCCAGTAAATTTGATCTCTCGAAGATTGATACAAGCTGTTACGAAATCCTTGGGCACTTTCAGGGCGAGGTTGCGGGAGAGATTAATTGAGATGATCTCGGAAGCCTTGGTATAAAGGATAATTGGTATAGTGACCAGCGACTTCGCTTGCAGGTCGACATGGCTGAACTTTTGCATTTTATTAAAGGTCGGATCGTTATCAAGACCACTGCCAAAGCCCGTCTGCTTCTCGTGGCTGAAGGTGAAACGGATAAGATAGCTGTTGTCTTCTCGGCCCACGTCTTCAATCCGGTCGCGCTCTGTGTAACCCGCAAGTTGCAGGAGTTTCTTTTGCATAGCTACAGGCCGTTCCCCTGTGCCCAGTTGCCGAGAAAGTTGGTGCTTGCGCATCAGTAGATGATAGTTTTCTATAGAATCGTGTAGGACAGACTTCTTCGCAAGTGACTGTAGAACCTCACCGACGGTAGCGTTGATGGACATGGACAGGGTCGCAAATGTGCCATCAGACCTGAAAACTCGCATGAAGTATGACAGGCCATCCTCTTCCTGGATAGCAGGCAAACCATCATCGTTGGCTTCTGGCAAGCTGTCGAGCACCTCATCTTCCTGTCCTTTAACAGCCCAGCTATCAGGTACATCCCAAGCGGGGGCTGATTGCTCTGAAGAGGGAGTGGGAGCAGCTTTGCCCATCCAGACGCCCGATTCTCCGGGGGTCTTGGGTAGTTGAGGTTGAGAAATGATGTCTGACATGTCGTCAAAGTTGGTATCTAGGGTGAAGACGCCAGCTTGCATAGGTGCCTGCTGAGCCTGCGCGCGAGCTTTCTCCGACGTGTCACTTGCGTGACTCATGACACGATGTCTGGTGTGGCGACCAAATCTACTAGTTTTGGATGATGCTGTATAACTCCGATCAAGTTTCGGGGAGGGATCAGGAGCTTTGATGGTAGATGCACTATCAGCAGAGGCGACGCTGGTTTCTCGATCTCTTCTAGGATCAATAATATCCAGGTTTGCGGTACGAGAGGATGGAGTTCTGCTCTTTTTCGGCTCCTCAGGGGGCCTCACAGGTTCAACGTGGCTGCGGCTGGGCTCGGGCTGCGGTGCATGTTTATCCTTATGTCTCGACTTGAGCTTGTGGAATATAGAGCGCTTTTCGGTATGACCAGATCCTTCTTTTCTAGAGGAAGGGCCGGGGCTGGCATTGCGTGTCAACGTAGACGACGAGCTCATGGGTGTACCGTTGTGAGGTGTATTGCGGAAGTAGCTCAAGTTGGTAGTTGACGACTCCCGACTCGTTGCAGGCCTGGCTGGGATTGACGCTGAGGCTTGTTGACCTTTCGGAGGATCTTCTTTGCTCCGGGTATGACGATGGAGGAGACCACGGCGATGAGAGGAAGATGTAGAATTGGGCTGGAGTGAGTCTGACTGTTGCTCCTGCCTTATTGGCGCAGATCCGAAATTGGAAACATCCTCGAAATTCTGATATGCCCACGGAGTAACGTCGCTGGAAGGAGGAGGTGCTGGAGTTTTTGGTCGCTCCTCGACATTGTTCTGTGTTTGCACAGAGTTGCTCCGCTGAGCAGGCTTCTCCGACGACTGACCTTGTGTATTCGGCTCTTGTAAATTCGCCGTCGAGCCTTTGCGTGAATCCGTCGGATCCTCTCCAAAAAACCCCTTCAAACTCTTGTGGTACCGTCCATTTGCAGCGCTTCCTCTAGACCCGGTACTGCTGACTGTCGTAGCACTGGCAACAGATGGCCGTCTTGCATCGCCGTCATAGTCCAAATCAGAGGCATTTGTCCTTGCGGTTTCCGGTCGAGCTGGGAACCCTTGGATATCTCGACTGGGTTGATCATTAAAGAACGACTGATTGAACGGCCGGCTGCCTGCGATCTGTGCTTGGGGGTCTCGTTCCCACGGTGCTATCTCGTCCTCTTCGTTGGGAGGTCGGCTCATCCAAGGCGCGATTTCGGCATCTTTGGTGTACTGACCCTGCTGTTGTTGCCTCGACGACCCAGAAGTTCCATTGTTGCCGAAGATTGGCATCTTGGCCAGCACAGCCTCGTCGACGGAGCTCAAGGGTGGAGAAATCGCTTGGTGGCAGGACGAGGTAGAGGGAAAAGGTGACGGCTTGTCGAGTCTGCGCCAAAAGTCAGTAACAACTCATTCGAATCTCACATCTTGCAAAGAGCCAGCCCTCAGCATTTCCCTCAGACTGACAGCAAAACGGCAAATACTGAGTCTTTGAGTGATTGACAACTAGAGAATCAGATTGATGTTGTCCATTTCGACCGAGTGAGTGTCAGGGTAACGATGCGCAACATAATTGCTTGATCACGATGACTGGGTCGAGACTTGCCATACCTTTAAATCTTAACAGCACTTGTGATTGCTCTTTCAACACTTTGTCTTATTCCTGTCCTCCTCAACTCATCATGACACCCGAGCCAGTTGATTGTCGCGTCTGCGCTTCGTGTCACAATAACCATACTCCAGCACACACCTAACCAGCTGGATCGAGTCAGGTATTGAGACCGCTACCTTCACTGAGAGCCCGCAGGCCGATTGTGACCGGAAGTGTTCACACTGGCTTCCCAGTTTCTCAAAGTATTTTTCGGGATGGCTTCTCGAACATTGCGAGCGGTGCGGGAGAGGGATCTCAACGACAGACAGGCGTCAAACTGTCTCAGACGATTTCGTGGGACTTTAGGAGCTCGAACCGAGGTATTATTGTGGATGAGTAGCAGGCAGGGGCCAAAATGCGTCGACGACCACTTGAGTTTGAGTCGAGGGCATTCGAAGAACAGTCAAGTTGGTTGTTCATCGAGCAGCCTGCGCACACACGCACGCACACACATATGGACTGTGGAGATGATGGACTACAAAAGTGAGTGTCACGGTCTGGAGCGATCATTGGGTCAAAAGCGGGAGACTCGAGGGCGCGGCCCAGAGGTTGGCCAAAAGTCAGTGGACGAGCTCGCAGCCGACGAAAGTTGAGAATGACTGGCTACAGTGGCCGTAGCGGTCGGGTGTGGGCGTAATCATTAGCCCCATCATGCTGTTCGCTTTTGGCCGGTCAAGCCATGTCCCCCGCTTTTGCGCCCGGTGGGTTATACCCTACATTTAGGTGCACAGTAGGTACCTAAGTACCTATCGGCTCCGTACTAATGAAGACTGCCCACGCCTAAACAGGTCCCTGGAGGCGGGCGACCAGCCCATCTCCCGCCCTACGGTTAAAGTAACCTTAGTCATAACAGCAACTCACTGACCACTCACTGCGACCTGCGCCGCATCTTGTACTCCGTAGGCGGCGACGACAAGCCAATTTGCCTCGCCAGGGTCCAACCACGGGTCAGGACGAGACTCTCACTCTGACAGGTCTCTGATGGTTTGATTTTTATTTTCTGACATCCGTGGCGATCGGAACGTGTTACCCGATCTGTGAGAGAACTTCGGACGTAGTTTCTTACGGCAACATATACGGTTACGAGGTACAGGAAGCCTCGAATTTGTTTCATCGATGTCGAATCTCAGAATCCCGAGACAGTCTCTCGACGGCGAAGCACTGCATCGAAACAACCGAAGTCTCCTTTTGCTGATCCGTGGAAAATTCCAGTAATGATCATTAAAATCAGCAAACAACAATGAATTTATACGAAGTACTTAATGGTTAGGTAGGTCTCTATTATACTACACTGATAGTGCAAAGGTATATATCATAACATCTCCAAGGTCTCTCAAAACAGAAGGAAATACTACAAAAGCATGTGTCCTTAGGCCAACGAATTCCCTTTTCTCTTTTTCCGCTTCATGTTCCCTTTGAACCAGGGCACCTCCTTGCCTCCTGCTGCTGTTGCAGCAAGCATGTCAGGTGCTCGAGCAACGGCCTCAGAACTCGGTCGAGGTTTGATGGCAGGAGGAGCCTCGACCGTCGGTTGGCTGGTTGTGATCGACAGGCTGGGTCGTTCAACGCCTGCGGGACCACCGCCGCTGAAGAATGTCTTCCAACCACTCTTGCTCCCAAGGGTGCTTTTCTTTCTCTGCTTACGCTCACCCTCGAATTGCCCGGCACTTGCAAAATCCGGGTTGACCATTGGTCGGCCACCGGGCCCCGGAGGCGGTCGTGCTTGCGCCGGTGGCCCCAGGGATCGCGAAGACCGGTGCGACCACCGCTGTGCTGAATTCGTCGATGCCCAGGAATTAGACCTGGCGTGGATGGGCGAACCCGGGGGCGTGTGGGACACTGTCTTAATAATGTCGGCAACAGCCATGAGCCTGAGAGTCGAGGCAGAATTGTCCGTACCATGACCTGATCTGTTGTCCTTGACCTGTACAGGCACGATTTTCCCGTCTCTCTTCGCCAGCTCCAACTTCAAAGGGCGAATCGGTTCCTGGCCATCCGCCTCGTCAAAGTCCATTGGCTTCATCCCTGGTCTGAGTGTCATCTTACTAGGGAGCTTGAAGAAGTCGTCTAAATTGTGGATGCTGGCTCGGGGGACTTCTTTCTCAGGGTTCGTCACAGTTGCAGTTGGCCTCGGAGGGAGTCTGAAAGTTCGCTGCGGTGCTTCCAGCTCAGCAGGGCCAAACTCTTTATGGGCAGTTGGACCATGGGATACTGGGACTGGAGCCTCCAGTTCAGCCACAAATTGTCTCTGTGTGGTTTCTGTCTTTTTGGGTGAATCTGCTGCTGGGACCACCTGTACACCACCAGCTTTTTCCACCTCATTTCTTGTCGTCTGTGCCATCTTCGTATTGACATCGGCTTGATCTGCTATATCAGAGGTTTCAGTGACGGTTTGGGCATCGGCCTTGTTAGCGGGTGATTCCTCTTTCGAAGATGTAGTATCTACAGCCTTCTGCCCGGCGGCAGCGAACGTCTCTTCTTCGGCAGAGGCCGGCTGAACCGAGACAGTCACAACACAGGTATTGACAAGCAATATAGGGTCCGAAGTTGACCTTGTCCTGTTGGTTGCGCCTTCTGGCAACTCAGGGCCGGGTTCACCCAAACTTGAGGGCTGGGACTGTGAAAGTTTCCGGGCCTCTGATGCTGCAGTGCTCTCTTCTCGTGGCGATTCGGTGGGCAGCTCTGATGGAGGGGTGGCCATTGCCATTACAGCTGAATGTGAAGTGAAGGCCGGGTTTGGAGTCGATGAGCGGCGCGTTCCTGAGGCTGATACCACGATCGACCCAAGGGTTGAAGATCTCGTGACTCGTGGAGAGGTCTTGGTAGAATTCATTTCCTTCCGGCTGCTATTATCTGGAGTGACAACTCCAATCGAAGGACTCCTCTCATATGAACTATAGTAATCCGTCTCAGCATGAGACATAGCTGTTGGAGAGCTGACTGCATGCACGGCTGTGCCTTTTGCTGCCATCGATCGCGGTGTTAATAACAAGCCAGACATTGGCCGAGTCTTCAGGAGGTCGCCCAACGCCCTAGGGTAATAGATACTAGATATTCGATGGTCTGAATTATCTTTGGGTTTAAGGCCGAGGGTGATACTCAGACGGTTCTTGATTGACACAGGAGCTTGCCGAAGCACATTCTCAGGAACATCTGCTGGGAGCTCGATCGGGTGGAGGTCACCTGCTTGCTTAAGATACCCATTCAAGCTGCGTTCGATATCGTTATCATTCGCCGCACGGGACTTGTTGGGACCTTTGGAGCTGATCGCAGGAGGGAGGGATTGAAGGTCTTGTTTGGCAGGCCTTTTCGAGGCCGTTGAAGGACGCGATCCAGGCCCGAGAGAGGAATGCGAGGTGGCTCCTCGACTAGAATCGTGGCGACTATCAGGTCGACTTGAAAGTCCAGACATCTGAGTGCTGTGAGATGAGTTCTTCGACCTATGATGACGCCCAGGCTCAATCGGCAACGGCTTCTGGCTAGCGATTGAGCCACCCTGCGAATTGGCATGATTGCTCTTCTGGGCACTAATATGTCTCGATTTTTGAGCTCGTGCCTGCTCGTATTAGCATGTCGCTTGATAGTGTCCACGCGGATCAAACGTACCACCTGATTGCGGCTCACAATGGCTGCTCTACGTTCCATCTCTGCGACGACCTCTGCCAATTTCTTCAACGAACCTGTCAATTTGTTGCCCTGCAGGTGCAATTCGAGAAACGCACGCCGCCAACCCTCTGCATTGCCGAGCATGGCAACAAGAACAGCTTCGTGCTCTGGTGATTCCCTTGTCCAGGCTGAGTTAAGTTTCGTAAGATATTTCTCCAGAACATTTGTAGCATCGAACCCTTTCTGTACGTCTTTGAGCGCATCCTTTGCTGCTCTCTTCGTCCGGCTGATTACATGGTCGATCTTCTCATTTCCGTCCAGAATTGAGGCTCGAAATACACGGTCCTCCAACATACGATCAAAGACCTCTCCGTGGGATAGGGGCAATTTAAGACATCGTATCCGCTCATGGATGTCGCTCTGGGCGAGATCGAAATCTTCCGTCGTCCGCTCTAGAAAGCCGTCGATATCGTCGACGTGAGACTGCAGAATGCGCATGACTTCTTCTTCAGATATAGCCATGTTTTCGGCCAACAAGTGCATCCCGAAGGACATTTGCGCAACCAATTTCCAAAGTGGATGGTATTTTTCTCCTGGTTTCTGCCTCCATCTTCCTGCAATCACTCTTTCGTACCTTGTTCCTTCGAGCAGTATGGTCCTTCTGGCCATGGCATCCATGGGCACTTCTTGATCGGCCTGGTCATCAACCGATTCGACCATTGATTCTTCAAATGGCTTCTGAAGCTGCGGAACCGGATGGGTAGGTGGACGCACGAGCGTCTCGCCGCCATGGTTAGCTTTGTCGATTGACATGTCTCAGATAAGTCTACTTCTGAGATCCTTCCCAGCTGGAACAGGATATCAGGTACAACAAGCTGATGGTGTTCCTGTCCAAACACAGCGTATGGCTTTCCACCTCTTGTTCATCTTTGAAGCAGCACCATTGCTTTTCCCTCGACTGCTGCTGCTGCAGACCTCCAAATGTTCGTAATTCTCGTATCCGTGCTCTTTTCGATGTGCTAGGACGGACCGTTCTTCCAGATGAAGGTGGTGGAGGATGATGGAAGTTCTGCAAAGCCCCTGGGTCGACGTTGGAAGTAGGCTTGCCTCGACAATTCTCTGCGTGTGAGGACTTGAGTATGATCTGCCGCGGGTGGAAACGAAGGAATTCAGAGTTCGCAGTCGCGTCACAAGCCACAAGGGCAATGAGGAGGAGCACGATACAGCAAGGTACGTACAGCACCGCAAGCGAGGCCAAGGGAAATTGACGTGACTCGAGTCAGTAGCAGAGAGCGGGCCGAGATGTGAAGTCGTGCTCGGACTGCAGATCGTTCTTGTACAAACAGTACTCGTATGTCTTGAGATCACAAGCGAACACGGGTCTGGCGAGGAGGTCAAGGCAAGAAGAAAGACGAGGATCAACAACGAGATGCAGATTCGCCAAAGTCATCACTCCGTACTCCGTACATAAGCCATGGAGACACACACCGCGTGGTTCAGGAATCATGCAATAGATTGGCCTCACTAACCCTGAAAGGTTGGTCGAGGGCCATGTTACTAGCATCGTTTCAGACCTCGCGGGGAGAAGGAGGTTTTGGTGAGAGAAGCAAATCAATGGATTGGGCGGTGGATGAGATGGTGAAACGAAGCCTGCATTTGTGTGGCGTCCGGGATACGCTGGGAATCTCCCCGAGAAGAAGCCTCGCTCACATCACCACCGGCCTAGATATTAGTTCTCTGTATGGATACGACTAGTAGGTAGCTTAGGGTCTTTTGTCGGTCGATTCTTTGTATGCCATGTGCTCATCCTATGTTGTTGACACATGTCTGCGATATAAGAGGAGGGCAATTGTCTACCCTTCTGGAACTGGCTTGGGCGTGCACATCATGTAAGTAACCACGAGAGCCTCCTCTCTAATTCCTGCCGACTTATATCATGTACCACCGTTCTCTTCAGTACGGAGCACACTTACAGTCAATGCTGCCCCCAACCCCTGAACTGAAGCTTGACAACCATCGGTAGAGACTCTCCACCGGCATGATCCGCCCCCAACACTAATCAAAGCCCGGCCTATAACACAGCGTCACATTTCTCGCTCCCTTTGATGTGCGGAGCGCTGATGTGCGTGTGGACTTCCGGTCTCGCTTCGCTTCCTCGGAAGATTGCCAGGTAAGACAAACTCTGGACGTCAATCTATGTACGGAGAATCTACTGTACCTTTCCAATATCGTGCCAAGTTGTCTGTTTGTTCAGACAGAATACGCTTGGATTATTTCTCCCGAAGCCTAGCCAGGGTTGTCACCGTATCCTCTTACTCCGTACCACGCCTTGTGAAAATTCCTTGGCTAGCAGAGCCAGGTTCTAGAGAGCCCCCAAGAAATTTTCCAGAATTCCAGGCAGTATGTCTCCCGCCGATTTTCCACTGTCGCCAAAGGACAGCTTGAGGGAGCGCTATCGAGGTCGTACTCTCCATGAAGTTCCAGTGCCTGCCGCTGTCATTGATGTGGCAAAGGTCAGGGCCAATTGTCAGGCCATGCTTGACGCTGTGAAGGAGCATGGACTCAGTTTTCGTGCCCATGTCAAAACCCACAAAACTACAGAAGCCACTCGATTGCAAGTTGGAGAACATTGCGACGACGTGCGCCTTGTTGTGTCAACATTGATCGAAATTGAGCAGCTCATTCCATTGCTTCTGGAGTACAAACAGCGCAAAGCAAAAATCAATGTGCTCTACGGTGTACCGCTAGCCCCGTCTCATGTCGAACGACTTGCCACTATTGCTCGCGAGTTGGGAGAAGGGTCGATTACAGCGATGATCGACGATGAATCTCAATTGGAATCTCTCAAAACTTTTAAGAATCTTGCAGGTTTCCCAGCCTATATATTTATCAAGACCGATTCAGGATCCCATAGGGCCGGGCTCCATCCTGCTTCTCCAGAAATGCAAGAGCTTGTGAAAATGATGAGCCAAGCTGACCAGGATGGACTTCTCCATTTGTTAGGCTTCTATTCACACAATAGCCTCAGTTACGGTAGCTCAAATCCTGATGACGCTATGGACTGGCTGAAGACTGAAATTGATGCCTGCCGAGAGGCCTCGCAAAATTTCAAAAGCAACCACCAGTCACCATTGCTAGTCTCAGTGGGAGCGTCCCCAACTGCACTCAGTCTACAGAACGTCTTACCTTCAAACCCCAGTTCCACCAATTCTGCGAATGCTCTGAAAGAATCCTTGCAGTTGACAAAGTCGAATCTCGAGTTGGAGATTCACGCCGGTGTTTATCCCATCTTCGACATTCAGCAGGTAGCTGCGTCTAGCCGTCATGCAGCTAATGATCCATACGATACGATTGCGGCTTCAGTCATCACTGAGGTATGCTCGTTGTACCCGTCGCGCACCGAGCACCCAGAAGCACTCGTCTCTGCAGGCGTACTTGCTCTTGCTCGAGAGCCTTGTAAAGACTATCGTGGATGGGCTGTTGTCAGCCCTTGGAATATGCCAGCAAACTACAACATCCGCAAGGAGGATCGCCTCATTGTCACACGTGTCAGTCAAGAGCACGGCATAGTAGGTTATGACGCTCAGAACACTACACATCCACTTCCTTTGCAATATGGACAAAAGCTTCGCTTATGGCCGAACCATGCTTGCATCACGCTCGCAATGTTCGGCTGGTATCTAGTGGTCGACTCCAGCAGTGACAATCCAGATATGATCACAGATGTTTGGCTCAGATGGCGAGGTTGGTGAAATGACGATTTTTGCAGCAGACCTTCCAGATCATCTTGGTCCGAGCCAGCAGATAAACATAGCAGGACTCTTTCTGCTTCAGCTCAGGGAATCCAACGAGCTGAAGTCTTTTCCGGGTACTCTTGGTCCACGAAATCCACAAAGCTTCTTCGAAATGCAACTTAGACTTCCTTTTCGAGCACGATGTCGAAACTCAACGCCGTCTAAAGCTGACTTAAAATTGGTCCCAGCAAAAGTTTTAGAACTCGCCCGATACTTAAATACATCGAGCTCCAACTCCTTCCAATCCTTGTCCATTTATCAGCGGAACCACGCATCATCTCCAAAATTGACGACTGGAACTCTGTTAACTTGTGTCCGATGCGCACATACTTGCAATAGGTCCCGGATCCAGGCACTATTACAACAACCGAGTGCGCATTCCACATGTTCACAAAGCCCTCGAACGATTATCAGTGTTCAAATTGGCCTCGACCACGATGAAAAGCTTTCTCACGTAACCACCTCTTACGCTCGTCGGAATAGCTCAATACAAGTCATCCTGTTGTTTCTGCGACCTTTGCCTTCTCCGCGAAGGGCCCGTTCCAATCAACGTCTACATTTTGAAATGGTGCTAGCCTTTGTGCCAGTATGTTCTACCCACCACACTTCTACCCCAAGGCTATAGTGTAAGACAGGTCGCATTCCGATTTTCCAAGATCCCTAACGCTGAAGAAGCCGTCCAGCTGAATTATGCCTCCTGCAATCATGCGTACCTCGTGGATAGATGGCCTTCCATGGACGATGTCGCGACCAAGCGATTCATGGTGAGGCTGAACCTCTTTACACAGACAATCGCTATGTGTGCTTCAACGCTCCACACGATGATCCAGGATCAGTGTCTCTTCGCCCCTCAGCGCCTATACATCTCGTCGCCTGAGCGCCCTGCTGTACTCAATCGCCGTTATGGTGTTAACGCTTCGCCATTCTTCAAAACATATTTCTTCTCTTCCTCCTCCGCCAACTTTCTCTCTTTCTTTTTCTTTCTCCCCAGCGTGAAAATAAGACGGTCAAAGCAACAGAATTCTTTTTTCATCTCTTGCAAAACCAGACGGAAGATTTTTTCATCGTGACAAGTCATCTCTATCAAAGTCCAGGACCGTGGCCAGATCTTTGTTTTTCCACTGATCTCACGAACCTTCTCTGACATAGACGACTTTTCACCGCCCTGTTTTTACCCTCCAACTTCAATCACCGCGTTATCATACCGCCTCACCGCGTTGATCGGAATTACTTTCTTCCCTCCTTAATTCACGCCAGACCCTTACTCACCACCTATTTTTCGCCAAGCGGTCATAGAAAGTGAACTGGTCATCATGGCTGAAGATATCCCTCATTCCGATTTCTCTCTTCCTGATCCCTCAGTCACTCGATACCTTGTTCCATTTCCTGAAGACGTTCAAAAGCAACAACGAGAAGAAGAAGCACAGGCCGCTGTTCTTCGTGGACTTGTCATATCAAACTCTCAAGACTCTCCTCTCTTCTCTGACCAGTCGACGTCCTCAAAATCGAACATTGAACTCCTCCGCCCGAGTGGTGTCCCAGTCCAGTGTAACGAGAAAGTCAAACTTTCCGAGATACAGACTGTTACCCTTACACTCAACATTTACCACTCAAACGACATCGAGAACAACATTTTCAAGACTACTCCAGCGACTTTCCCCCTGCCAATCTCTTCTCTCACATATTCCGACCTCCTGGACCAAGTCCGTTCCGACGTCCCTTCTCTCGAAAGCTCCCCTCAATACCTATCAGCCGCAAGAATGTCCACCCAAGTTGGAATCATTAATTATGCGGTGGCGGCCGCCATCCCCGCCGTCCTCAACGAGCTCTTGGGACAGAACACAGTCTCTCTCAAACACGCCCGCGAAGCCTATTGGACCGGGGCGTCCCACATCATGGCATCATATCGATGCTACCACGGCACCGAGCAATTGGTGCGCGTGCACCTGTTTGAGGCGGGGTTGGTGGCTGCCATTGGGGGCACCACTGGGGTCAGTGCCCTACAACGGGCGAATCTGGAGGTGTTGAAGACCTCGTTGACAATGGACGAGGACGTCCACGATAGAATGTGGGCGAGGTTGGCGGGCTTGAGGGACGCGGCGGTTGCCAATGGCAGGTGGCCCGTCGCCCCTCAAGCCCTGGTCAACGATTGCATCAGGGTGGTCGCGTCTCGCCGACAGACGGTCCGATTCCTTGATGAGAGCGCGCGGCGAGCCCGCATCGCGGGAGATGGCAACCTCGAGGCCTTGCTGCGGGCGGCGGCATTGTCTCTCCAGAATCTCCCGGTTGCGGCGCCCGTCGTTGCTGTTGCCCCTGCCCCCGCCGCCGCCCAGGTGCCGGCCCCCGCTGGTGCGCCGCAGCTGGGCACTGACTACCTCCACCACCTTGACGGGAGGGTGGAGGCCTGGCAGTGCTTGGTCTGCCCGCACCATCGGGGTATCGAGCACAAGACGTCGCTGCAGCGACACTTCAGACGGACTCACAACTGGCCTGGATTGTACTAGTTCTGGGGGCGACGGTCGGTAGGGGTAGAAAGATGGAGGGTTGGAGGGGTGGAGGGGGGAAGATGGAGGGTGTTGAGGAGGGAGACTGGGGAGATGGGAGACGGAGGTGATGGTGGCGGTTGTGTTGAGGTGTGTTGTCTCCTGTGGTGGTGTTTGCCGGGCGGTGCTGGGGGTCTCTGCCTGTGCTGTTGTTGTGTGATTTGGATTATGTGTGAGCGTGGGCGTTTGGGGCCTTGGTTGGTTTTTCTTGCTTTCTTGTTTTTTGTTTTTTGTTTTTGGCGACGGTAGGCATGAGTACTATGCTCGTCGCGCAGCCTTAAGCTGCAGAAAGCCTGTAGAGCTTTCAATAAAATCCCCCAAAAAAAGAACCCAAGTTTCCTTTGTTCCGTGACATTGTGTAGTCGATGCCCAGAATTAATGTTGATTGGCCGTGAAATCGAGGAGGTACAGCCTCGCGCAGCCTTGCCTTACAACGAATTTAATTCCACCGCGAAACTTGGGAAGCAGCTATAGCAGAACTTGACTACTAGGAGATAATCATGGGTGTGGAAGGTAAGTACAGACGAGGAGGTATGCTTGAGTGACTCCTATCTAGATCTGACCAGTTGAACTCATTAGGGTATTGCGAAGAGATCAAAAAATACTCTACCCTCAACCTTGGCCGGCGTCACTTGACGAAAATACGATGAAGAGACGGGAAATACACGGATTGTTATCACCAAGGTGACAATGGAAGCGCAAGGTACCCAACATATCGACTCTGCCAGGATGCAAGTGTGAGATGGCAAGAGATGGCATTCCTAGCAACCGACCCGTCACCTCAAGGTATCCGATCGGATATTTATTTACGCCACGATCTTCTATGGCACGGACATCACGCTAAACGGTACATTTTTCAGCAATCTCAAGACGTCCCAAACTGCGAAATCTCTCATCGCGACCAATATCGCAACCTGAGCGGGCGGCTGCAAACGGTGTATGTGAGGGCGAAGAGAAAAGCAGTTGGTGCTGGATACAGACACAAATACCGCTCCCATATGTCCGAACATGACTGGAGCAAAAACACAAAAAAAAAGCCATTGGGGAAGAAAAGAAACATTGCCGGTGCTTGGGTTCGAACCAAGGTCTCTTCGGTTCTTGCATTTGACTCATCTCTTGCACTGGAAGAGTGAAGTGACAAAGCCAGACCACAACGAAACGTGCTCACCACTGCACTACACCGGCCATGAAGCAATGCTTTTTCACAAGATTTTGCCGGGTATGATATATCAACTAGTTTTGAAGTAGGTTACTATTGAACATGACTCACCTGTAGATCTGCGTCAGTGGATGATGCGAATCAGGCGGTCGAAAAGGGACACCTGCACTGACACGGAATTTCAGGGCGGCAAAATCAAACACTCCTTCTCCTGGACTTGGAGCGTGGCAAGTCACGAAGAGACTATCGACACGGGCTGCAGCATGAGTTCGGCAAGGTGCATGCCCCAAACAAGACTGGGACTGAATATGAAAATTGAAAACACCAGCAAGAGGAGGAAGAACGATGCTTTTAGGCCTCGACGCCCCTTTCAAGATCACATCCTCTTGCTGGGCAGAAAATGAGAATCGCCAGGGTCAACTTCGGCACAGCCTCAATCTCCTGCCCCTTGGACAGCGACTCGCCCCAATCATCTCCTTGACATTGATCATGGACTTCGTCACCCGAACCCTGGTCGACAATCAGGCTCATAAGGCCCGAATGGAATATTTCGTCCGTACGAGTCTCTAGGCGATTGCTGCCTGGAGTTGTACCCTTGCTGTGACTACCCTTCTTCAAGCATCACACCGCCATTCCAGTACATGCATCGCTTTCACATCTCGAAAGAGCATCATTAGAGTGCTTGATTTGCACTCCAACGGGGTTACTCTTACCTGTCCTCAAAAATGACAATCATCTCAACACCAAGCCTTGACCCTCCCTTTACAAAGGAAAATGCAATCCCATTCCCACCAAGGTCCGACTCACCATACAGCACCAACATACTCAAAAGTAATCAACCGGAATCACCTGCAACACATACGTTGAGTGCAAGACTTCCCGCCACCTACCACAGCCACGAAGATCTAAGTAGTAACGTTCGCCTCAAACGAGTCAACCCAGCCGTCGCGGGTTCTGTGTACGAATATCTCCAAAACTCACTTGACGTGAGCCGACTCAATGAGATCGAGAGTCTGTTATGGACCGTAGGTCTTCCCAAGATTGCTCGCCCACTCCACCGCCAACTCAGTAAAGGTCGCACCATTGTCCTCACCGAGCAGGCAGACTGTCATCTGGTCTGGCACGATACTAAGATCCTGATCAAACCACTTCCCGAGATTCTCCTGGACCATCAAGCATGGGAAATCTACCTCAACGAATCGAACCAGACACGTCGAGCAGCCTGCGGTTTCTTGCTCTCGTATCTCTGGCTGATCAGCGAACAGAGCGACTTCCAGATCGCCAAAGCCCACAACTTACTTCCGGCCTTTGTCGATTGGGTTGCCTGGACCGACTTTGCCTCGTCAGTCTACGATCACCTCCACGACACCGATACTGGAATTGTTAAAGTTCCAGTGAGTCCGAGGTACTGGTACGGCGAGCTGCGTCTGAGCCGGCTCAACAAGATCTGTCGGTTCTTCGTCGCCCTTCCGCGTGGAGACTTCAAGACGCTCTTGTTCGGCTACACGTACACTTACACAACTTACCAGAGCTTCTTCGAACGGAACACAGCATGGCTCGTCAGTCTGGTCGTGTACATCGGTGTCGTTCTCACGGCGATGCAGGTTGGACTTACAACCACCCAGCTCCGTGATGACTCGAGGTTCAACTTGGCGTGCTATATTTTTACCGTGTTTTCAATCTTGTCCCCGCTGATCGTACTCGGCGGTGGTGTGTTGACGCTCCTTGTGCTCTTTCTGTTTCATGCAAAGTACGCGATACGGAGGCACAGAGAACATACGGTAGAATGTCGAAGGTTGCAAAAAGAATCATAAACGAAACAATATAACAACAAATGCTATAATCCAAATCCAAATCCAAATCCGACTCGAATTGTTAACCATGTCAAAAGCTGTACATCCACCGCTCAACTACGCCGAGACCAACGCCTAGATTGACCTATATATGACCATCAAACGCCCTTGCTGTTCCATCAGTCCATTCCTTCCACTTTTCAAACATGATGCATCAAACGTCTTTGCTAATCCATCTCTCCTCTCTCTTTGATCATGTCAACATGACCCATCAACAACCTCGGTGTGACGATTGCCAACATCGACCTGAGATTGACTGAGATACACAAACACGCCCGCCGTCCTTTCGACCCATCCAACCTGAGCCTCTCTCCACACGAGGTAAGCGTGAGTACTCACCGGCCCATCATGATGGGTTGGGTCGCCGCTGGCGGGCCCATTGGCATACCGGGGGTGTACATCCACGGAGCGGGCGCCCCTCCGTGACCACCGGCGTGGTGCGCGTGCCTCTGCACGGCCTGTTGCACCACCCCCTCGATGAAGCGATGATGGGCGGCGTGGACGTGATTCTGCTGTTGTAGAGTCATTTGTTGGCTGTAGTCTCCCTGCATCGCTGCCTCGAGCATCTGGAACTGTCTGGCGACGATCTCCTCGGTGGGCGGCAGGTCCAACAACTTTTGGAACTCGGTCTTGACGTTCTGGGCGAACCAACCGTGGTCGGCGGCCCGGTGGGAGTTGAGGATTTCCTTCGCAAACAACTTCAACAGGGTTTGACAGTTGTGGTAGACGCTGTAGTTGCCGAGTTGTCGTGCGACGGTGGCGAACCTATCGTCCACCTCTGCCTTGGAGTGAGAGGTCCAACCGATCAGGCAAATGTAATAACCTTCCGCGTAAGGCCTGCCGTCTTGTTCGATGTACTCTTGGCGCATCTCCATCATTTCTTTCTCCTTGTCCCAGGCCGCCGGTGTACAAATGTACTGAGACGTCGACAGGACCGTCTTTGCAATCTTCTCCAGGGTCGTCATGTCCGACGGCAACCTCAGTTCGTACTTTGTGTGGTGGGTGTAGACCACCCAGTGGCGCAGGTTGCCGTTCTTGACCCAACGAGAAAACCACACCGGTGTCCCCTTTGTGGTGTCCTCCTCCTGGTCGCGTCGGAGGTCGTTTTCCTTCTTCATGCTCCTGCGCTTCTTGGCTTCAAAGGCTCGTGGGTTGTGGATCCATCCCCCGACCCATCTCGTCCCAAAGCCACGAGGCCCGAAGAAACATCTGTGGATGATGATGATGACAAAACAGGCGCCCACCACGGCCAGGATTATAGCAACCACGACGCCTTTGGACAACATGATGTATGGACTTTCTATCTCTGTGTCTCTCTCTCTCTCTCTCTCTCTCTTTCTCTCTTTTATGAACTGGTGTGTCGGTGAGTTGCTAAAGTATCACTTGTTTTTGGGTTTTGAAGAGTACTTTTACTTGTTTTCACCCCCCCCTTTTTCCTTTCAGAAAAAAAAAGAAGGATTAAACAGTGTTTTGGTTTCTCGGTACCAAAAAAAGGCTTGATGTGAATGTCGCAACTTGAAACAGAACGCAATGAAAAAAACTTCCAAACACTACGAGTTTGCAAGAAGAGAGGCAGAAAAAAAAAGAAGAGGATGCAGAATTTAGATGGGTATTACCTTGTGGTCATTCGAGAATATATACACCCTGTGGTACTCCGTACGGTATGTTGATATCCAGACATACAAAAAGGATAGGTCCGCCGCAGGATAAGACGCTCGTTCAGCATTTTTGCAAAGGGGGAACATTGCATGCAGGGGGGCTGGCGGCTGTGTCTGTATCAATTCGCTTCCCATGGGCGGGGGGGCTTGGTGACCAGGTGTGTAGTGTTAAAACATACCAATACTCTGTTTTAAAATACCTTGCAAAGGTGGTCAAGACTTTTTTACCTGAGCCAATCCCCTCACGGTCAGCGTATAATAGTGCGGTAAGGAGGACGACTGGAGGTACGGAGGTAGGTACGGTGCGGTCCTTTTGTTTTGGAGGGGGGGTGGAGGCTGGTGGCCATGAGGCGTTACATGGGGAGAGAAGGGTGTGTTTTGGGAGAGGGCCCAGACCATAATACAATTTGGGGGGGGGGGGGGGGGGGGGGGGGGGGGGGGGGGGGGTGGAGGGAGATACATAAACGGCATTGTATGCCAATGAATCCAAGGCTAGCGAATACTCTACTCCAACCCCTGTCGGGAATTGGCCAAGGACATGACTTGGCAAATGCTTGAACTGAACATCTTCAAATCTTCATCATTTTTACATACTTCCCAGTCCTGTCAGTGGCCTCAACCGCTACCCACCGAACAGTGTCGACAGGAAAAACCATGAAAATTCCTAGCCTTCACACCGCCGGAGATATTTACGGCACCCCCCCCCGACATGGTGAATTGGTCCCCCAAAAACTAAATTTAGAAATACCACACACGTCTGTTACAGAATGACAGGATGAGAGGATGTCCGGGGGGTTTATGGGCGACACACTCTAGCGAAGTAGATGGGCTCGCAACGTGAGAGCTAGAAAGAGTTGGTCGACAATAGCCGTACTTGAATCACACAAATCGACAGGGGCATCAATGCTTTAATCGACGTTGGAGTACTCCGTACTCCGTATCCGTATTCGCAATCGCCCTTTAGGCCAGCCTGACAACTGCATTGTGATAATCGAAATGGAGCCCCCATCCGCGCCCAACGGATTAGGGTCTTCCGGGCGGCTATGAAACGTCTACTCCCCTACCTACCAAAAATTTGGGGGCTAAACGACTGGGGGCTGTCTGGATGACATACGAAATACGGAGTACTCCTCTCACCTTACGGACGAAATTTTTTGGTCCGAATCAAGTTTTGAGGTCATGCACGGTAAGTAAATGAATACTTTCACAATGTGTCTGTCTGCTGACATTCATATGCTAGACTACAATGCGATGGATGACGATAATCGAAGAACCGACGATGACGAATCGTAAGAAGCAGTCGAGAAGTCCCTACTTCGTCGCTTCAGACTTCTTTCCCACCGCTGATCCCTGAGGACGCTTGTATTTCCTCTTCTCCTTTCTACTCATCAATCGTTTGTCCCGCGTGCCTTGACCACCTTCCCAGAAACCTCCAGCTGCTCTGCGTCGACGCATCAAACCGTGCCCGCAGATGGCGCAGTCTTCTGCCCTGAATCGCTGTTCACGACTGCACCATCCACAAACCATCCGATCGGCGTGCTCGTTGACATGGGACTCGGCCGCGTCGTGGCATCGGTCGCACGGGTAGACGCGGTTGCAGCATCCGAAGCGGAACCAGCGGTAGCTGTGTCTGTAATGCGGGCAGGTGCCCTTCTCGGGCAACGCAGTGCCGGCGGAGATCCCAAGGTTCTCCTTCTTCGGTTTACGGAGTGGCAGCGTGGCACTGTGACTGGACACTCGCAGGAACTTGACCTCGGGAATGGTGAAGCTCATCTTGGCATGACACGACCGGCACACTTGGATCGGCTTGTCCCCTCGGACAGACACCATTCCAGGTGGAGCGGCGAACGTGGACGAACACGACGAGCACGTCGGCTGGAACATGCTGGGGAGAAGGTCGCCGATGGTGCAACCTGCAACATCGATGGTGCCGGCGCGGATGGTGTTGGCGTGCAGTGGACTTGGTATGAAGGATATGGTGAAGGGAGTCGTGCATTTCAAGCAGGTCTCGGTGCGAGTGGTGACTGTGGTGGACTGTGCTAGATTACTTGCCTTGACGTTGTGGATGTCAAGTGGAGTCTTACAACGAAGACATTTGACCGAGATTGACAAGGAAGCAATGGTCAACAGCTCAATATTGTACAATTCCAGACCTGGAAAGGACAAATGAATGCCCTTGTCCACCGGGGCTGACGAGACAGGTAGAGCAGCACCTCCGCCGTCTTCCACTTCTTCAACCTCATCTTCTTCGTCGCTGTCTGATTCCGTGTATTCATCAGAGTCATACGAGGTATCAGAAGCCTTGTCTGAATCGGACTCGGCCTCGGGATCCCATTCAGGAGGTCTCGGAATCATTCTCAGATGTGGCCGATCGGGATCTACTATCTTGCGGCAGGCATCAATGCTGCTTTCGCCGGGATCGGCTAAGATGGCCTTTTCTCGTTCGTCTTGAAAATGTTGTTCAAGTAACGAAGGCCCGACAGGAATTGGCTGCGCCTTCTCTAGAGGCTGTGAGGCCATGGTGTGAATATTTTGAGTCAAGTAATTGATATGTGCCATGAGAGTCATTTCAGGATGTTCTCGGGAGTATTTTTCAAATGCAAGATGAACTGTTTCGATTTCTGGGCCATTAACTCCGTTCAACCGTATCGTGCAAGGCTCCAGATTGTAAAGCTTTGGCACAGACAGAGATACCTCTTTGAGTGATTGCAGGTTGACAGAAAGTTTGCCTGGTTTGGAGATCTGTACCGGAATGTTGTACAAAGTCGCGTCGGGGTTCTTCGAGAAGTGAGGGACACGTCCCATACGAGCCTCCAGCTGGCGAATGTCTGATTGTCTTTTCGCTTGAGCATCAGCCTTTTGCTGTGAGGTCCAGACAGGTGTTGGTGCGACCATCGGTACAGGCTCGGAGGCCGGTGGAGGGTGAGCAGGTACTGTCGTCACAGGTTTACGAGCTCTCCTCTCAGCATTGGCGATCATCTTGATGGTCAGTGTCTCTTCGAAGGCCAGGAATTTCTCTAGGTTTTTGTCCAAGTCATTCATCAATGCTAGCAGTGTTTTCTGAGGTGAATGTGAAGTGAGACTGCGGAAGCCATTTTCGACATTGATCTGAAATCCGCGTGGCAGGTGATCATTAGTAACTCGTAACGAAGGTCTGTCGCCGCCAGGATATGACTTTGGAATGGTCAGTTTACATTGAAGTTCACTCAAGTTGTATGGGAAGTCAGGATCAGATGGCGGCATTGCCAGGGAGAGAATGGTACAATCATCAAGCTCTTGACGTGTTGGAGAGAAACGTTTGAGGAGCTGACTTATTTGGAACTCCCGAGGATCGCGTTGTTGTAATTGTGATACCGGTTTCTGGACAGTCACCGGCTTGTTGGCATTTTGTTTCGATCTCTGGGGAGGGTTTTGACCGCTCGCAGATGAGGATGCATCCACGGCTTCTGGGTGTTGCTCATGCTTCTGCTTCGGAGTTGCTGTCTCGGCTTTGGGCTCAACGTGCCGAAAGGGACATTGAGAACCTGCTCGGCAACCTTTCGAGATTAAAACGATTAGTATTCGAGCCTCAAGTTGGTGGGGTAAGGGCAATATCAAATTGCCCAACGATCTTCGTATCGGATTGAGGCAAGAATTGACTTCAACCCGTTGATACGGGGGATTACTACCACTCGAGGTTCAAACTTGATCACATCGAAGCACAACTTACCCTTCTTTGTGTTGTAGAAGCGGCATACTCTGGACGGTTTCTGAGTCTGGCGAGAAGTTTGCGGATCTTGTGGCAATCGATTTTCTGGAGTCGAGGCTCCGTCCTCGTTGAGAGGAGCTTCTGAAGACATCGTTCACAATTGTTGGCTGGAAGAAGAATGGCGGTGAATGTCCTTTTCTCTCAAGAGAGCGTACGCAGTATGTGCAAATTTACTCAAAATGAAGTTGAGGGTAGACGAAGAGAAAGAAGCGATTAAGATCTACGAACAGTCTGGAAGAGGTGCGATGATGCTATTCACCGAGACATGTGGCGAAGACAAGGCTGTGTGAGTCAAGCCAAGGCCTGATGACTCATCGCAACGTGATCCGGGGTATTCAGCCTCGCGGAGCCTTGTGCCACTGCCTTGAGTGCTTCCCTCCAACATGCTCACGATGCGTGAGGTGCAAGTGCCACTGTATGACCACAGGATCCGTATGCAAGCACAAGGATTCCCAGCGCCGGCAATCATTCTGACCTGAACTCCAGATATCACCGCCGGAGGTGACTTTTCCTGTTCGCAACAAGCATAGTATCGATCCGCCGTTCTGAGAGGGACGAACTTCCATGATCCCAATAAGCCCCCGCGGAGCAAAGGGTCAAACTTCAACTCAATGCATGATCTTGAACAAAACATCTACCGCAGAGCCCATGAAACTCCAACGTCCCACAAACACTTGTCCGAGGGCCTGATCCACCAACCAAGCTTGTCATGAGGAGGGCCGACAAGATGTGTTGTACAGAAAGATCAAATGACACCGTCGCGGACGTTCAAAACAAAGCTGAAAATAGTCCTCGTCATCATAACAACCGACTCTTGAAGTAGTCAAGTTCATTGTCATGAGCTGAAGGAAGTCACCGTTTGATGAAGGTTGAATTTACCCGGTGCTTACTGACTCCATCTTTACTAGTCGATACAACACATCTCGTTGCATGATGAAGGTCGCAACGATGTCGCGGCAGGCCACCTAAAGAGGCAAATGGCCCTTTTGACCGACTTTGAAATAACATCACGCGATACCTTTCTTGCACAATATTTCATGTTGTCGTCCGCCCGAGGAATCGAGCAGAAGGGGGCCAAGGGTTGGAAGATGGGCTGGCACCAATTGTTTGCAATCAGCCTAAAGCAAGGCAGAATACCTACCTAACTTGATACTCCGTGATCGAGTAATCGCTCGGCGAGCGAAAAGGCAACAAATGCGAATCGACAAAATGCATCGTCAAGTGACTTGTGAAGTGATGAGTTGTCAATCACCGGCCACCACGAAAGGGGGGCTGATCAGGCTCCCATTTTCACAATTCAAAAAGTACGCGCCAAAGGGGGGCTGAGTACGAGACAAGTCCGAGAGGGGCGTGATGACTATGGTGACGGATTATCGAATGAAATGGTTGAGCAACACAAAGGACGGGTTTACAAGTTAGCGATTCGTCGTTATCGGCAATTAATGAGGCAAAACGAACAGTTCTGTCCCCTGTTTGTTTGTTTTGGGTTACAGGAGGCGAGGGGGCGAGGGGGGGGCGAAGAGAAGTACAAGTTGAAGGTGGTCAAGTGACTACTCTGGCGCGTAGACGTTTGGCTGATCTTCTCTCTCCCCTTCTGAATTGAAGGTGGCTGGAACATATTCCGAAACGCCCTCGGTTATTTATCCATCAACGGTTACTAAAGTTAATGTAACTTGAGCGGAGCGTTTGATCTTTTTCTGAACTCGAGGAAAATAAACCTCGTAGATTAGGGGAAAGTGATGTTTTCATGGAGCGGTTCCGAGGCTTCATACGAGTACGAGAATACGAGGTGTTGTGAATTGTGAATATCCCATAACGTAAACCAGATGAAACCAGGGAAGCCAAAATTGAAATGGTAAAATCATCATTCTTCTCCAGATTCCAGAGGAAGATCTTCTCGTAAACCCACAGGTGACATCATTGGGTCTTTACGGAGAGGACTTTGTTCTTGTTCTGTGGATAATGCCGATAGAAAGGCCCACGAAACTTCCCTCTAGTATGAGTTATACGGGAGGACTGGATTTCCCTTTTTTTTCAATTCGCCTTGTAGCTCGTGACTACGTAAATATGACTTGTTACCTGTGACTTGTGACCTTCTTTATACTGTACGAATGGTGTTTTGCGCCGATCACTGGTGGCCCGGTTCGTTGTAAGTAGGTTGTTTACAGTACGGAGTGAAAAGTATTCGGATTGCCATTACATTGTCAATACCATTGATACCGAAGATCAAACTCTTCTGTCTTAAGGACAACACGGTTGAAGCGAATCAACTCGTGATCCTCACTGAACCAAGTAAACGCCGTGTACGAGAGCCCATTGTACATTGGAATTGTGCAACGTGATTCAAAACTACTGGTCAGTTAGGTATTTCTTCCTCACTTGTCACCACTTCTTGTACCTTGTACACTTTTACGTAGTACTCATTACCCTGTAGTGTAGTCACTTTCTCTTCATCCCCTTGCCTAGTCTTATCATCCAATAAAACCACCACCAACAAACACCACCCACCACCTTTCTACTCGAGTAAAATTCAAAAAACACACACTTGCAACCACAGAATCCCACGTGGAACGTTACTAGGTCACAACACCTTCTTTCCTACACAACCAAAACCCCCACTTTCCGGCGGGCGGGTACGAGTATCAATCAAACCGTTGCACTGGGACCAACAGCCCGTTGTACATACTGTGTAGTTGTCTTCTCTCTCTCTCTCTCTCTCTCTCTCGGGGGCATAGTGGAGTTAGCCTGGCAAACACCTGTAGGAACCAAAGTAACACTTTGATACGAGTAAATCGCTTCTCACATGGAGGGTGTGCTTTCGAAACCCTCCTACTCGTACTCGTACTCGTACTAGTACGGAGTAGTTACCTTACAATCCTCCTTCCACATCTGGCCCAAAGCGTGTAGACAATGTTCCGTTATCATCTGCCCTGCCCCCCTTTTTTTTCACACCGTTTCCGCGACTGCCTATTCTGTCCGAGTACTCCATGCTTCATACTAGGTACATAGATAGTACCAATATGCGTCGCATGCCTGGCTTGTGGAGTTAAACACCATGTGCATTGCATTTTCCACGGGGCCTGGCAGTAAAGAACTCATCAAAGTATAATACCATCACATGATTTTTATGATTCGGCCTTCATATTTCCTTAGTTGCTTTGACCTACCGAGTGCAACCTTTACGAAAGCTCCCGTTGACAATGTTCCGTACCACTGATTGACTCGTTCTTCGAGTTGATGACCCTTACCTCACACTCAAGGGGAGGCCTGAAAAAACAAGGAATACGTACCAACTGTGCGCCTCCCCCCCCTCCCGGGAGCGGAAGGGAGCGTCCGCCTTTTCGATCAACATTCGGTACGACCTATTGGATGGATGCGTCGTCGCCTGATCACATTCCAATCACCCCTTGTGATAGGTAGATCTCACGGCCCGTTGTCGTCGATCTGTCCGACTCGGCTTCAGTTGACGCGTGGTGCTACAACCGCTCATGATCAGGACGGTGTGGCGATCTCGTATATGCATGTCTTGATTATCTATTCCTTGTATAAAAGTCCATAACGTGAACCAATATGATGGTATGTTTTGGTAGCAAAAGTCAACTCCGTGACTCGCAAACACACAAGACTCTAAGACCCCCAGTATGGGTCAACTGACGAGGTCAAGACGAGATTGACGAGACTCCTTTTCGCAAGTGGGTTAACCACCCAAACAGTAATTCTGTACACATGCCAGGTGCCGATATCTTCGTGGTCGGTCTGGTAGTCGAACCCCTTCTGTCGGCACCTTGGTTCGGCAATCTTTGGATGCCTCGGCCACCTCGGTATCCTCAAAGTCAGAAGGTTGGTTGGTAATTTTTTTTCCGATCTGTATGCAAAGCCTCGTTGTTCTCGTATTGTTTTCGGGGCTGTTATTGCCCATGCTGACGCCGACTTCGAGTCTTGTCTCCTTGCCATGGCTGATCTGCCATGGTGGATAACATCTGAACCCAAACCACCGGCGACCACTTCTCAATCCAGCGCGGAACCAAGTGTTTGTCCAAGATCTTTTTCCAGGACGAAACTCATGCTTCGTGCGGATACTGTTGGAAATAATGAATTGCCACCTTCCATATTCGATCAAAATGGGTAGGTCCCACCACCCGTGTTCCTCCTCTCGAAGAGTGCAATCTCGCTCACCCCGGCCAACTTCTTGAGTGATTGCATCCACGGAGCAGCTACGGAGCTCGTAGTAGGGAAAGATTCTTGACTCCCTGTCCTGGTCATGTCCCACATTCCTTTCAAGAAGGTCACATCGTCCTCCACGTGCTGGGTCACTGGTAGCGTGGTCGTTCCCAATACTCCGTGCTGTATCGTACCATTGTGCCGGTCCGATATGGATCTTTGGTTGCCGACTTTCTGAAAGTGGTAAGAACATGGGGCGTAATAGCTTGTGAAATATTCCAAAGGTCATTTGAATTTCAACGTTCAGCTACCATCATGCAAACGTACCCTGTAGACAAGTAGCTCGTCGTTCCCACGGCAAAATGAAGCGACGAAACTTGTACCAGGCAGAAAGGGACGGTCTCCACAGCTACATCAACAAGTCTCTGTAGCATCGATGGTCCTGTGTGCTCTTCAAAGCGACCTCTGCATCATTGCAGCGGTGTGGTCTCACAGACGCCCCCTTGTCGTGTGTGGGCCTTGTGCACTTGCCGTTCAGGAGAAGGGCGTCGTAATGCATTAACCATACCGCCGCTTTGTGTTCAGGGTATTGCAAGCAGTCTCATGAATTTCCAACCTGGGAGGTACAAAGATACCTCGGCAGATGGCCAAATGGAAGAAGATACAGCCTTGCGTTGCGGAGAAGGGGAGATGGTGCGTGACACACTGTTTCAAGTTCTGTTGGTGCTCCACAACGCCATTGGTAGCGTCTGTGAAGGTCTGTTTCTAGGCCACCGTAGGATCGACTGATGGGAGTATTCCGCTGATCCAAGGATGATGAATGTCACCGAAGCAGGAATGGTCACCGGATGTTTCGTACGAGTGGACCAATCTGACATGTTCCTGGGAATAATGAGGAGGTTATGGTGGTCATCAGGGGGCCTTGACCTGAAGGAGATGTACTGTTCCGACCCAGTACTCGTACGGGTGCATCCACAAAAATGCCCCGGATGTGTCCCCCGCAAAGGCTACTCCGTCTTGCGGAGTAACGGATCCTCTCACAAGTACGTACCCGTAATACTCATCCTCCCTCACGCCGTCGGTCCTTTGTGACTTCATGAGGTGGCCCCACAAAGTTGGGAAGCCTTGATGGGGGTAAGTTCCCACGACCAAGTTTCCAGAGATGATGGCTTGTATTTCAAAACGCCCTGACGTCGTTCCCGCGTGGTTGTGACAGTTTACTAGCTGTAGACCACAGATCATCTCCAATCTACGTCAGTAAAAGAGTGACCGCATCCTTGGTCAGTTAAGAGTAGATTAATGACGGAAACTGAGGTAGCAGGTGCTATATCTCGGCGGCGGGGCTCGCAAGAGCTACTGCTCAGAGACACCCATGCATGCTCACTGTCGTCGTGCCGGAGTGATTACCCATTGTACTGTCCAGGGGCAGTGAGGGTTTACGAGTCGTCCTGGGTCGTTAGCTCGGGTACAAAGTTCGAATGTCTAACCCCGAAATGGAATTTAATGACCCTCGAATGAGAACTTCCCTTCTTCCGGAGCAACAGTCTGTCACAAACTCAGCCTCGTCATATGTTTAGGTACCATCCCATTCGTCACCAGATTTCCCGGGTTTTGTGAAGCCATCCCTTGAGATCAAGGCCAAATGAAATGGGTCATTATATTCTCACGGCGACCAGGTTCCCAGTTTGGGGTCCGTTGGGCCGCACCGTCTGAGACAATCGCCAACAGAAGCTGTAGCAGATCGGCGCCAACCACAGTTCCATCCTGGACATCTCGGGGGGCGTTGAATCACCGAGGCTGTGAAGGAAAGCTGTTTCTCCCTGATGCTTGTGAAATCCTCATTATCTCCAAACGGGTCACGGTGACGTTGATCCTAGCGAACGGTGTTGCCTAGCCTCCGAGGGTCGAATTTTTTTGCCTTCCGGACACATGAAGCCCGAGATGTCCAGGGAGAATAGATGCCTGGCGAAATTGTCCTTTGCCGCATCGGCCTCTTGTGTTGGACCTCGGCCGACCGCCTCGCCTCACGAATATAATTCGGAGATGTGATGGAAGGAAGAGGAAGAAATTGCTGACCGTCCTCAGGAATACGCCGAGTCCACATGGCCAGGTAAAAAAAGAGTCGAATTCCTGAGGTACCTGGCGGTGTACCTCGGTGAGTGCAACAACATTACAGGGGTGTAGTGACAGAAGGGTTTGCAAGGCTCGTGCACAGCTAGTACAGTCGTAATCCTCATCCACTCGGATTGAATCATCAAAAAGACAAAAACGACGGCTTGAAGACCCAGTTAGGAGTACAGTGGTACAATAAACCTTGTCAATTCTGTGGCAAGTCATCCTTTGTACCATCAGAGGCAAACAAAAGAGACCACAAAGTCTTTTCAAATCCTGCAGATCCTTTTTTCTCCCATCTCAATGACAACGGGTATGGAAGGATCGCGACGTAGCAATTACAAGTATGGTCGATGGTAAGCGTTGGAAACTCGGCAGAGACCCTTGCAGGCGCTCAGGTACACAAGACTGCGGAGTGCGTGATGCACGTCGGTAGGGTAGAGGCCGAAGGAGACACATGATGAACACGAACCGTACTCGGGTTTCATCTACAACAGTAATTGTCACATGTTTGGTTACATCTGTATTCCTTCTGTACCTCGTCAGTTTTCAAACTTGAACCACCAACAGCGGCCTGTCAGACATCTTTTTCTGTCTGCGTTGCGGAGTCATCAGTGTTACACAAAATGATCATCAGGAGGAGGTATTGTCCATCCATGCAGTCCAAGGCTCGGTTCTGAGGCCTGGACCTGGACTTGCCAACAGTGCTGCAAGGGTCCGACTCGTTTGGAAGGAATGGGCGGTCATATGATTCACCTTGTGGGAACCAAGTTGCAAAGCCACTCGCGGGTTGATCAACGAGTTCTGCAAGTTCTCGCCAGTCTCAAGGAAAGGATCGTCCAACGACGTACGTACAGTACGGAGGGTCCTCGTAGGAGTCCAGTATCTCCAATTTCTCCAAGGCCAAATGCGGTGAAGTAATACTCCGTACGCGTATGGTGTTTTGGATTTGGAGCAAACGAATGCCCATATCTCAATTCGTGGCTAGATATTCACTGTGGCTGAGCGTGATTGTTTTTATTTTCAGCCTTGCCACACTTTTCAACAAGGGCATGTCATTGTCTCAATGCTATGGAGTTACAACAAGTTAATCTCAACAAACAACTCAGGTGCACTGCCTCTTGTCACCAAAATGTCAAATGACAGTACGGAGCACACTCAGGTATGGAGAACTGTCGTTCACATCTCAGCCCTCTGTATCCCTACGAGGTCCTACAATATACGCAGCCTGGCCCCCTCCCGACTCCATATTCGTACCTAAGTACTCCGTATAGACACCTAATTTATCCCCCAACGACTAGAACCATTGCTCCATAAAAAGTCGTGATTCTAGAACTCCAGACACGGCTGATCCCAAGAACAACAAACATCTGCTGTCAGGTCACAAGCTCAGAAATTATCGCCTACTTTGATCAACTAGTCTCGACCTAGTACGAGTCTTTGTCGTTTGTGTGTGCCTGGTGGCCCTAAAGGTACGGTTTAGGATTGAGAAAGTCAGTCTAGACCCTGACAATCAGGGAACACTTGTAAGAATACTCTGTACAGTACCCGGTAACTCTCCATCCCCGTTGACCTGTCATGCATTTCACGTAAAACACTGTGTACACGAGTACTCTCACAATGGATACATATATGGCTGATCACTTTTGCTTTACTTCATAACTCGTAACGTCTAGAACTTTGCTCATGTGAGTGTCTTTGTTATGTCCTGTCTGACAACCACCCTCCCGCACCTTTGGATGCTAGGTTATATACTACCCAAAAGTACGAGATTGGGACGGAATATGGCAAGTCACCAGGTGTTATTTACCTTGTTACATGCAACTCAAATCAGGCACCAATGACTATCTGTGAATTTCCTACTCAATTCCAAACACATCACCTCCAAAACCCTTGTCTTACTCGTACTTGTGACTTCCCTACTCCCCCTTGGTCCCATCGCATACTCTGTACGAATGGTCAGGTACATCCGTAAATTAATCCGCAACCCAGAACCACACGTACGGCACGCACCGTGGGATAGTGGTCGAAGAGAGGGACAGAACTGTCACGGCCTGGCCATGTCTCGCTTACAGTAGTAACCCACCGATGGACTACTAATACCTGGTAACGGAACAATATCATCATGCATGCCTCTTACCACCCTCTCTCAATCTCGAACGGAGTATTACCCGTCCACATCCATAACATAACGCGCTCCCTGGTACGATTTACGACGACGGACCGACGTATCCGGTCGAAGAGAATACAAAAAGAGCGAGTTACGTCCGCGCGGAGGGGGGGACACCTTTTACGAGTTATAGTCCTCGTTCAACGACAAAACCCTTGTTCAAACGATGGTTGTGTTTTTTACAATCCTCTCAACACACACGCGCGCTCTCTACCTCCTTCTTTTTCTCTCCTTCTCTCGCTTACATCACACAAGTCACGCCATCTGAGAACTCATTATTTCACAAGGGTTCAGGACGAAGTTGACAACAACAACAACGCGGCTCAATGCATTGCATTTTCCACACAATCTCCCCCCGGCTTACTATAGCATTTTCTCGGTCCGACTTTCGCACCTATTCTCTGTTCTTCCTCCTCCTCCTCCTCCTCTACTATTTCGTTCCCTTCTTCGCTTTTTACTTTCCCTTTGCTTCTTTCAATATCGAGAGTGAAATGATGACGAGAAACTCGTTAGTCACCGATCAATGGAGACTTAGGAGGGGCTCTAATTCCTTCCATACTTTCAAATCCCCTCGCTTTGCCGTGCCTTGCCACGTACTTTGTAAGCTTCTGGTAAAAAAAAAATAATGCCGAATACTCCGTTAGGATTTCGTCAGAGGGCACGAACAAGGTATTGTCACTGCCTTATTCATCTTCTTTTTCTCTTCACGGAAGCATTCCTCACACACTACGGAGTATTCTTTTTTCAAAGTATACCTAGATATATTCTTTCCTTTTTTTTCTCCTGGCTGATATAACCAGTCGATCGATCGGTCGATCGATCGACTGTACCGTCCTCGTATTTGGCAAATTCGTTGTCGTTTGTTTCTTTTCCTCACCTCAGCGCCTTGACCCGACCAGCTGATCAAGAGACTCCTTACCTAGGGCCGAGGTAGGTACAGGAGTAGGTGTAACATACCACCAAAAACGATTTCAAGTGTTGCGTGAGATAATAAATACCAAAAAAAAGAGTGACCAATAATCATTCAACACAGACGTTGTAATAATTCGTCCCCTGCTGCGTGACCAGAAAGAATGATCATCAAAAAAAAAGGAAAAAGAAAATTACTTGTTCACATGAGCATAACTTTTGATGCCTCGAACCTCTTGTGACCTTTTTGCCCAGGCGCGGCGGCCGGTACCGTCCCAAACAACATCGAGCCAGCCCATCGGTGTACACAACAACTCCACCCAACCAAACGTATTCGCTACCAAGTACGGAGTAGGTACCTACAGTACTGTAGATATCGAACAAGCCACTACGGACAAGGGACACACGTGATACGTTACTGCAAATATGGTTGCAAATACTTTGTAGATTTCAATACTATTGATACACAAAAGCTATTGTTATGCTTTCAGCATTAGGTCAGAGGGTGCTTCCCGTAATGACATATCGTGATATATAGTACATGGTTTGGGTGTTCCACATCATACGATGCAAAACAACAAAAACGAAAAACGTGACAACGTTTCCATCTCTCCCCTTCGGATTGCTCCGGGGGAGATAGACAGCATACGATGCAGGGTAAAGTGACCTCGTTGGGCATGATTCATAGATCTTTCTCTTCTCACTTTTGGACCAATCCCCGAGAAAACACCCTTTCGCAAGAGAATCCCGAGACATGTGTGCCTGGATTGGAACCGAGGGATGGGGCGTGGCCTCACCATCCACGTTTCTTTTTTTCCAATTTACCCCCCTTTGTCGTCCATTGATAAACTAGGTATCAAGGTCATGAACACATACATAACATCAAAGTCGCTAAGAACGCAAGACAAAAACAAACCATTCAAAAACAAAAAAACATAAACGTCGTTTTGGAATCTACCAGCCCTTGGCGTGATATTCCCAAGGATTGTCAAAGTAGTGATTCCAAGAGTTGTTCTTGGAAGTTTCCTGTAGGGCTCCTAGTGGAGGGGCTCGTGGGGGCCCTGTTTGTGGCATGGTATGAGATTGAAGGTTGGCCATGCTCTGAGCGGTTCGTCGCTTGAGGAAGGCGTTGGCAGTTTGGGATTTTTGTTGTCTTTCCCAGAGTAGATTTTTGCGTAGAGATTCTGTCAGCTCTGTTGACAACATATTTCTCCTGGTAGTCCGAGGGGAATGCGCCACAGATTTCGCCGTTGGATTAGGAGGTGGTATCTTTATCGGTCGTCGACCTGAGCTCTGCATCATCATACCATCATCTTCATCCGGAGAGACGCCCATTGTCTCTGCCTGTGTAGATGGAGCGCGAGCCCGATGGAGTGCAGGTTGTGAGTATGCGTGGTTAAGTCCAGTCTGTGACTTGTTGAGAGCTAGGGTCAGCATTGATCGTCGAGATACCAAGTCAGGACGACTGTCGACCCGTCGGAAAAGATGAGGTTCTTGGGCGACTCTTCCATTTCCGTCGTCTGAATTGGAATCTTCCCACTCGTCGCCATCTTCTTCCTCGTCCTCGTCGATGGCCGACTCAATGACTTCGTCAGTGTCGTCTTCCTCATCACTACTCTCGATGGCGCCCTCGTCGTTCTCCGCATCTTCTTGTATTCTTCTTTCCGCAACCACATCTTTAAACGACGTTCTCTTTGGCTGCAGTTTCGACTGGGAACCTTGCAAGGTTGTTTTACTTAGACTTTGGGACAGCGAGCTCCTTGGTGGGGGTGCCTTGTGTGAAAGCACTCTCTGCTCAAAGGACGACTCATCATCCTCCGACGATCCGCCGAGCGTGAAAATGCCGGCCTTGATTGGGGGAGGGGCTTTTGTATTCAGCTTGGACGAAGGCACTGGATGCATCCCAATGCTGGTTTTGCGCTGTCGGAAGGACGAGGTGGCTGGAGAGAAACCATGGACCACCGACCCAGAACGTATCAAGCCATCCGAGGAGACCGAAGTGTCGGAATCACGATGTTCGCTCTGGCGAGCCATCGTACTCCTCGTGGCGGTTGTCGTGGCGGACAAACACGACTCCGTCGAATCGTGCATAGGTCTGGACTCGTCTTGTTGTTCAACTTTCGGTATTGAAGAGGGCTCGGGTAGCGCAGGGACACTGGCTTGTATGGAAGGGGACAAGGGGCACAGGGCCGTCTTCTCTTTTATCGTTACCATGATCTTTTCAAGTGCATCGGGAGTCAAGTGGCGTGATTTCGAGAGGGAACTAGCGCATTCATCTTGTCCAAAGGATCTCGATCGGGTCGAGAGCGGCTTCTCGTTCAAGCTGTCGTCTGAAGAGAAGGAGTGGGATAACGAGGGCGCCCGTGATACGGTGGGCGGCGAATCGACTGGCGTTACACACAGGGACTCGCGAGACCATACCCGCCAGCTCATGTTCTCATATCTGTGGCCTTCTTTGATGGTCTCCGAACACTTGTTAAACATTGTCCACATTGCTTTTAGACTGATGGCGTTGGCAGGATCGATCTGGTGCATCTTCAGTGCGTCGAGTTGTAGGACTTCGGGCACCGGACAAGATGCCATTTCGAGCGGCATTTCTGGTGGGATCGAACCAGAAATCGGGGGAGGGAGGAGAGGGAGGAGGAAAGTGTAGTTGCGAGACCAGAGGAGCACCCTGAACTAAGAGTCGAGGGGGTTTACAATCGCTTTCGATCTCGATTTCCGCATACGATGGGAAACTGGGTGCGTGTTGATCGGCTTGTGACGCAATGCGGTGATCGGCTCCGTACGGTTGGGATTTGTGGAAGCGGGTGGGAGAAAGGAGACTGGTTAGGTGGTGTGCTAGAGTGTCGAGAGAGGGATGAAGTGAACACTTCGAGAGGGTGTAGAGCGGGAAGCGAGGGTGTAGGCCATGGAATCTACCATGGACAAAATGTGGTTTGTTGAGGAATTGAAGGAAGAGAATGCGCTTGGGGAAAGGAAGTGGTATAACAAAGCGGGAGCAAGGCTCGAGGGCAAGCCGGGGACCAGGGCAATGGACAGAGAGAGAGGCGAGGCCATGGGGCACAGGGCACGAAAAAGAATCAAGCAGGGGGGGTCAGCATTGATTCGGGTAAGTCTTGTCCCTACATGGCAGGGCCCAGGGCTTCTTTCTTTTGGGCCTCTAACGGTCCCTAGGCCGGGGCTAGTGGGCTCTCGCTGTAGAAGGGGGGGCTAGTGGACTTGGGACGAGAACGAGGGCGCAGGGGAAAGGATTTGCGTTGGGCGGCGCATGCTTCGAGACACGAGGGGCCGTCACGGACGTGTAATGTGAATTGCACTTGAAATGACAGGCCCTTTTGGATTTTGACCCGCCCGGCTATTTGACGGCTTCTTGCTTTCTCCCTGGACACTGATAAAATAGCCCCACAAGCCCAATAGCTCGAGAAGTTGTTGTCGTCGGTCACACCGTTACCGAGTACAAGGACTGGTTACGAACGACTTTGCCCAAAGGCCAGGCATCAATTTCTCGTAACGGCGCTCGAAAGAGAGACACAGAGCCAAAGAACCCCAGAACCTCTCCAGGAGTTTCCGGTGTCAGCAGTTCTGCAAACGTTTTCTGCCTGCCTTTACGAGACCATCAATCGGTCCCCTGTCTGTGTGCAGGTGCCTTTTTTGTTTTATTGGACTCCGTCAGCATGGACTGTAACACATTAGAGAAGAATTAATGAATGAATAGTAGCATGTGAGAAATTGTTATTATTGGGGGGAATATGGTACGTCCGGGACCAGCCAAAAAGGGTCATTCGGCATTGGTCTTGGGGGGGCTCAGTCAGTCACATGCACCGGCACGGATCTTTGTGTGCTGTCGCTCTTTTCAGCCACAACGCACACAAGACTGGGGGCGTTTTATTATTACTCCGTACCTAAAGCTTCTAGGTAGTTCCCAGGCCCCAGGCTGAGGGTCGACCAGGTACTCGTACTCCACGAGATACTAACTCGTTTCCAAAGGTGGCAACTGATTCAGAACACAATGTAACAACAATCCATCACCTCGCACGGAGTACGCAATCATCCCATATGATTTTGGCTCCCAAAATGAAGATGCGTTGTCAGAGCAGCTGACTCGAGACGTCCGTTGTATCTCGTAGCCGGACTAACTCTCGTAGCAACCCTCAGTTGACTTTTTGGTGACTTTTTGCTGGGGTATCCATTAACTGGACTCTGTTCGAATTCTGCCGGATTGAGCCAGTAAGCGAGTGTCAAATGTCTACAGTATTTCCATCCGTCTTCCCCGTTCAGACTAAAATGCCGTCCACGTGCGAATTTCTTTGAGAGCAAGTCCTTTTTTTCATGTCCAGCTGACGCTCTAGAGACGAGTGCTCCATAACTCACTCCCCTACTCTCCCGAGTACGTTACGGAGTAAAAACAAAAGTCATGAATTGTTTGATCCGCCTTCTTGCCTCGAGTGCGGTTACACATACTGTACGGAGTAGTACTTTACAAACTCTGGCGAAGGCCGGTTGATTAATTCAAGTAGTTTCTATTACTCTGATGTTGCTTTCTTGTGAGTACACCGTATGATCTAATTGAGTCTAATTTGATCTAGACAAAATCTAGTCTGTTTGGGTAGGTTTCACTGGCATGTGCAATACCAACCACATCCTACGGAGTACAATATACAGTAGTCATCTGTCGCCTTGACCTTCAACTATTTCACAGTACTTCGTACAAACATCGCCAGGCTGTGCCCCAACACTCTGGCTCCCGACTCCCGGATCTTGACCCGAATGCGGTCAACAGCCGATCTTGTCTGTGCCACGCAAATGATCCATTCTTTCGTTATTATTGTGCCCTGTCCAGACCTTTGCAAGTACAACTCTCGATGCTCCTGCAACCCTCCCCCTCGTAAGCACTTTGTTACCTTGTGTACTTGTACTCGGTACTCGGTAGCGGCATTGTCTTTTTGTTCTTCGAGCCTTGTCGAACAGTGTTACCCCAATCCTGTATCACCCTCCACCGTGCAACCTACCTTACCGCACGAGACATTGTATACGCCGTACGGTACTAAAATACTCGTTATCCCCTTTGCCATCCCGCAGTGCTACACCGAGTGCCGACTCCCACGTCACAAATGCACAAGTCAATCCGTTTCCTTCGGGGCGACATCCCACGGGCGTCGGCAATCAACCCATTAATTGATCACCACCACCACCACCACCACCATCAACAAACCCCTGCGAACGTGGCTTGAGGGGCGTCCATTGGGAGAAATAATGCGAGATCAAAGAAAAACGGTGACGGCCTTTTGTTGTAATGATGCGTCTTCAATAGGGCAAATCGCAACGAGGACAGTATTCCATTCGTCCCATTCGCATCCACCCCCATTCTTTAAGCCCTGGATTATCGCACTTTAACATACCACTACACATATTACTCCGTAAAAAAACAAAGTCACCAGGTCACCGGCAATTGAATTCGAATATCTCCGAAACTAGCAATGATCGCCTCCCAAGGGCCTTGCTACCGCCAGCCCTTTACCCGGCACCCTGTCACTCCGTAAAGGGGGTTTAAATTCGTACGGAGTATATACGGGGGGGGTGTGTGTGTGATGAACGTTTGCCCAGCTTTGGTTTGGTTGACCAACAAGGAAATGCCAATCCATCGGAACCGCAAGCAGCTGATCGCGCACCTTGTCCCTGGGTCCGAAGCCAAACGTTTGGCACGCTTGTCGAGCTTTCCCCCTTCCCTCCGTCCCTCCGGAAGTATCAAGCCTGTTGGTTAGCTTGTACTCCATACCCAAAACTATTGTCCATCGTGATCGATGGTTTGACGCTTCCCATCAACGGTGGCTGGCACGCCAATTGCTGCAAGCAGTAAGGTGTTGGCGCCCGCGGAATGCTATTCGCATATGCCGGGGGTGGGGTGGGCTCAAAACAAGGGCTGGGCTTCGTCAATAATTTAGGTACAGTCCGGAGTATTGTACGAGTAACAAGATCCGTCGGCTCCTAACTTCAACAGTGATCAGCCAGCAACCATCTCAATACTCATGCCTTGTCTCACCTTGCATCGGTTGAATGTGTGGTTTCCGCCGTAAATGACTTACAGTCTGCATCCGGGATAGATATCCTATAGGTATCTGTTTGATCCATGGATTACGGGAGTACTCGTCTGGAGTCCTGAGCCTCCGTACGTGCGTAGTTCGTCTCTTCTGACGCAGCCTTACCGAATGGCCGGGAATACCGACTTTTGCAATATTGTATGATAACGCTCGAGAGAGACACCGGTCAAATCTGGGACGGTTCAATGACTCCGGTCCGCCATCGCAGGTACTCGAACTTGACAACATGGTGTCCAAAGGCCCCCTTGTACATAATGTATCAGGGAGGGCACCTGTCCTCTCGAGGGCACGTCCAGCTGGCTAGGCGCTCTCGCTCGCTGGCCCTTGCAGTCCGGATAGGACGTTAGGCGTATCCGAACTTTGTGTTGCCCCCTTCGAGACCGCTCTCCTTGATCTTGCATCTCTTTTCTACCTTGTATATCCACACGTCAAATCTCCCATCAGTTGTTGCTCTAAAACGTACCAAAGGTCGGTGGATTGGACGGCCCTTTACGGTCCATTGCTTCCGCCGTCAAATCTGCCCTGACAGATACTCCGTACCTCTTCCTTATTCCTACACACCAATCGTTTGCCACTTTCGCAGCCTTGCAAGGTCGACAAGATTCCTTTTTGCCTTCAAACTAATGCATAGCGACATCGACACATCGCCTGACACCGAGTTTCTCGTACGACCAGGAGTCAGTCCTCAGCGGCGAGGAAACTACAGCCGAAAAGACCTACCGTCCATGCTATCAGGCTGACGTCGAGCACCTAAGTATGGGAAACTTGACACGGCGCAAACGCTTTCGCTGAAACCCCAAAAACTTCCATCAAATTCCTGCTTGCCGCATGCCGCATGCCCAGATGTGTCAAATGTCCTCGATATGTGTGCTTGAGAATGCAGATGGGCCATGACACATCCCTTGAGGTATTCATTCGCCCGGACGATACCACCCTGAGTGTAGCAGTTCCTGTCGCCCGGCTAGACTTTACGTCACTCTGCCAGTTCCGAGACCACTTCGGATGGATTGGTCATCCATATCAACATCCAACGTGCTGGGATGAGATACTTTCAAATGCTCGGTCGTTGCATCCGAAAACTCGTACACTTAGATCATTTCCACTTTTTCCAACGGTATCAATTTCCAAACCCCTGCAGCTCTATCAGGTCTTGACATTACATCTCAATACAATCATCCCATATGACCGTGTGGACAGCTTCATGTGTTTGCATCGCCACCACGGAGGCACTAGGTTTGCAATCTGGAGTGTGCCTCCAAATAGTGTCTCCTTTGACAGGACATCTTAACTGCAGATCTCCATCGATATCAATATAGCTGACTCGATAATGCAGCCACCCGTCGCCGAGACAGCTAGATAATGCTAAATGGCTAAATGGTACGCGCGAAGTGAGTTTGGCGTAGGCTCAGTCAGCCAAGATGTGCCCTGCGGATCAGTGGCCATTTCGATAAAAAACCCGATGCCCAAAAGAGGGCATAGGTGAAGCTGGCGTCGGCTCACAGCACTATCATACGAGTACAGTGCTCGGAAAGTCTCTCATCGACGATGGTGGTCTTTACTTCGTTGCGAGGGGGGTGACGTGTAAGCACGGGTGTCAGATGGACGCTCGGCAATCGATGCCCTGAATCTAGGTACCGGGGTATCTGGCGACCCCAAAGACCCCATACGCAACGTATTCAATGGTGGGTCTGTGTCCAAAGCTCCAGAGCGCCCTGATCACAAGCAGGACCAAGCCAGAGAAACTCCATCATGACAGCCTTGAGACTCACCAGACTGGGTATCTGCAAATGCATCAAGATCATCCTTACCAGACTGATGAAGAAAACCTCGTCGTCGGCGTTTGAGTGGCCCGCACCCATCGCGCCCATTACAGCCACCCACAATAGGAACTCTGTCCTCTTACTCGTACAGGTTGACACTCGTGCTTCGTCAGACTCGAGCCTCCTCCTGAGTCGTCCAATAAGCACCTTCAACGGCTCCGGCCTAGCCAGCGGATAAATCACTCCATACGCGAAGATCAGAATGGCCAATCGACAGAGCTCCGTGTGTCCCGTACTCTCCGGCAGCAACAGCAATCTATACTGGATCAGATTTCTGTAGACGTGTGTCTCCCACGACGACGACGTCGCCGGATTCCCTGACCCAGTGTCTAGGAGACGACAATACATTTTCATGTCCAGTAGCAAATCTTTGATTTCCTCATTGTCATCGTCATCATCCTGACCCGCTCCTTCCGGGAAGAACACACTCGCGCGCTCCCTCGGAGGGCGCACCACGCTGACCTGATGCAGCAGGACGTGTCTGTATAGCTGACACAGTGCGAAGTTGGGTTTCTTCAAGCCCAGACTCGCCTGCAATATGTCCGTTGACTGGACCTGCTCCGCTATGCCCGGAGTTGTGATCACATCGAGGTCACCGCGAGCAAACACGAGACGTCTCAATGCAGAAACATGTGCCTCTGCCCAGCGGAAGTGCGAGAAATAATCGAGCCAACCCAGAGAACGGAGCGGTGGGGCGAAAAGCCCGAAACATGAGCCTTCCCTCTCCTCCTCGTCCCTGTTCCGGGGAATTTCGTTTCGAACGCGACCTGGATTCGTCGCGCTAATGGTGAATGCCAGCACGGCGAAGATGACCGAGTCATTGACAGTGTCGTTCTCGATGTGCATGCGGACGCGACACAGTGAGCGGTTCTGACAGGTGAGCATAATCGCATCGTTCTCTGGGGAGGCAGGACAGTGCAGAGACATTTCGAGCGCGGCTGGCCAGATGAAGGAGTTCAGGAGGAGGTCATCGGTCATGCTGAGGCGAAAGAAGGCCGACGCCAAAGTCTCATTGCTGCTGAGGATTTGATGCCCAAATGCAGGCCAGAGGGTCGTCGCAGCATAGTGGTGAATGCGTCGGACATGTCCATTCTCAAGGATGGCGGCGCAAGATGGGGATGGGTGATGGTAGTTGAAGTGATCGAGAGGCTGTTTTATGAGTGCTGGATGGCTTTGGTTATCATGCTGCTGCTGCTGATCATGACGATCTCGCGGATTCGGTGAACAGGATGGTGGTGGTTGCACAGGTGGCTTCGATTGGGCCTGGGAGTTGTGCAGCGATTGCGATGAGAGATGACCCCGACGGGAGACATCGTGAGAAAAATACAGTGGCCATTCGCAACAAGGGGGTTCTGCACCAGGAGATACATCATCCGCCTGGACCTTGCTAGGCTTGACGTGCGGCGTCCGAGCTGCGAGAAGAGTTGGACGGCCAGTTTCTTTCCTGCACCTGGCTGACGCCCGTTGAGCCTCTCGCTGAGCAGCTCGTCTGCGGCCTAGATGTGGGAATAATCAACTGTAGGTTAGCCAGATACTTTCCCATCGAGTTTGGCCGGTGATATGCAATGCTGTGTGACTCTGGAGCGATGTAATCAACCTACGATATAAACGCTGATTTAGTCTGTTCTGAACTCTTTTCCTGGCTTTCGCATCTGTGACACCAGTCCAGTCGTCGTTCGCGGTGCGAGCTTCTCTAGGCACGTGTCTTTCAAAGATGATGCTTGATAGTGCGCTTTCCATCTCGCCGCACTAGATTCTGAGACGACACTTTTCTCTACTCCTTTCTATCCATTCTCGGTCCGCCGAGGAACCATTTCTGGTAAACGCCCATCATGCTGGAACCAAATTTAATCATCTTGGGCGCGGTCTGATCATCTTTTGCCAGCAACTAGATAGGAAGGGAAGCACTCTCCCTGGCGGCATCATCGATACCAAAAGAGTCAGAAGTGGATGCAGCTGGCTTACGCCTCTTGATCCAATTATGTCCAAGGAGAATGATCGGGTTGGCTCCGTAAGGTAAGCATCATCCCCGAGATATCCTTAAATCCGATAGTTGATGATACCAGCAGTTCTACGCACTCGTTATGAAAGATTCAACAGTCCTCAGAGGAGTCATCTGGTAATAAATGAGGGAGAGAAGGCATCATACATCGACCCAATCGGGGCGCACGCTGAACAGAGTCAGAGATGTCAAGAGCTTGATTGATTCTATCCCATTTCGAGTCCGGGTATCTTTTATACAGATTCATGAATCCTTTCTCATGCACGCTTTTTGTCTCTGACAGACGCCATAGAATACTGGATCGTTTCATAGACGAGCTTAGAACTCGTTGTCATCATCTCCGGACATAATCACATTGTTGATTTTGAGCACCTGGAGAAAAATCTGATCAGCGATATCTATAAACTTGGAAACCCTTGCTTACCATTCGGCAGAGCTGTGTCGCCAGCAAAAGTTGTGACCTCTTTCCGATCAAGGGGTCAATGACAAAGTGTTCCCGCATATCTACGAGGTCAATGTCAGCATAAACTAGAACAATATCTGGAAGCTCTTACCGTTGCTGCCAGTGCTCATACAATCCACACCTAGTCGTGAGTTCTGCTCCTTGACTTGTCGTGACTTGACCTCAGCAAGTGTTTCGATAGGACTTAGTCCAGAGTTTTCTGCAAGAGCCATAGGAACCGAGTCAAGGGCGTCGGCAAATGCCCTCATAGCATATTGTTCCAGGCCAGGTGATTTGTTGGCTGCATCTTCCACAGCCAGTGAGCATGCAATCTCAGCTGCGCCGCCACCATATACAACTCTGTTGTCTCTGACCAGGTTTCGTACCACACACAGGGCATCATGTAATGATCTCTTAGCCTCATCAATGATCATCTTGTTGCTTCCTCGTACAAAGACAGTAACTGCCCGGGTGTTTGCACATTCCTCAATGACCAGCATCTTTTCACGGGTGGTACCGAAAGTCATTTCTCTTACAATACCGGCCTTGCCCAACTTTTCGCTGCTTAAATCCTCGAAGCGGGGCACGATTCTTCCATTGGTGGCAATGGCTATTAACTCAATCTCAGGCCCGCCTACCCATCGAACAGCTGGCAAATGGTTTTGAAGAAGAAGATGGTTTGCTTCATCATCAAAGCCCCACTGGCAAATGACGAGGTTGGCTCCGGTGGCTTTGATCATATCGATCATCTCAACGAACTTGTTCTGCTCGTATTGTTGTAGTTTCTTGAACTCTTCCACGGTAGAGATATCCAGCTTGTGCTTGGTCTTCGGCTTGGGGGGTTCAAAGGCGCATGTTAAAATAGCGAGTTTGGCGTCTTTCACTTCGCTGGGCATCTGAGGGTGTGAGAAGTCCTTGTCCACGATGACACCCTTGACAAGCAGCGAATCCTCTATTGAGCCTCCGGCCTTGCCATCTACCTTGATAAGTTCGAAGTCGACATCTTTGCGTTCCAAGTCGGCAACAGACATGACAGCATCGACTGCAATTTTGGCGAACTGATCATGTGCTTTGCTGACGATTTTGCTGCCCAGGCATGTTTTGGCAACCTTTATTAGATTCTCCTGTCGTTCTCTTGTGAATGGTATCTCGTCGCTGATCTTGTCGAGTTGTGCAACTGCAACTTCGCATGCTTGATCATAGCCGTCTGCGATCCGAATTGGATGAATCCCCTTGTCAATGAGGTCTGCAGCCTGATCTAATAAAGCTGCGGCCAACACAACCACACCCGTCGTGCCGTCACCAATCTCCTCGTCCTGCGACTTCGACAGTTCGACCATCAGTTTTGCAATTGGATTTGTAAGTTCCATCTCAGACATGATTGTGCGGCCATCGTTAGTTATCTGGATGTCTCCATCGGGAGAAATGAGAATCTTGTCCAAGCCTCGGGGTCCCAAAGATGTCTTGACAATGCCGGCCACAGTCCTAGCCGCTACAATATGCTGTTTCACTGCATCTGTGCCATGGGTTCTCTTCTTCTTTCCTTGGTCTCGAACAACGATGAATGGTCGGCCGGTCTCGTCCTTCAACAGTTGGGCCTGTGACAAATCCAATTGCATCGCCATCTTGGGCACAAGGCCGCGTTACCACGATAGTGTTTTGGTTGGCGTTGTTCGGGTGTTTCGAGGACTGAAGTTTCCGATTCGTGATATGACAAAGCACTCGATAGGACTGATATTGTTGGAGTTGCGATTGGCTAGTAATTGAGATTTCCTCTTCCGAAGAGACAACCTATCCGTACCATGAAAATAATGAAGGTGTTCGCACGAGAATGAAGCAGGACGTTGGTGGGATGGCTACCTGAAATTTTTGGGGTTCTCCAAATGATGGACAGGGACTCACAGCGCAGCCAGATGTCACGCCAAGCAGGACAAAAGCAGCGTTGAAGGCTCTAAGTGCATATAATGCACCGAGACGGAAGGTTGCGCGAAAAGTAAGGGAGTCTGCTGTGTTTGCAACGTTTACAGATATCTCGGAATCCCAGCTGCACCGGCGCCTTTTGGAAACGGAGGGGTAAGCCGCCCGTTGCGATGCTCATCTTGCGAAATTTCGGCAATAGTTACTGCAGACTATCACTGCCCGGTGTGCGGAATCAAGCAATGTCAATTTCTTGTCGGGGTAGGTACCTATCCCTCCCCAGTTACACTCCTGATATAGTTCACAGAATCACGCATTCAAGCTGATCAGCTCTTCAACTACTCCAACGGACGTTTCCTCGTGAATGAGGAGTATGAATTATCAAGAAGACATGTCACCTTCAATGTGGATAATATCTGTGCATTAGTTTCGTCCCTTCCATCGGTCATGTCTCCAGTTTCCAGCATCGACAAGCAAGAAGGCGGCTTTAATAAAGCTCTGATCTTAACTGCGGCAAATGACAAGCAGGTGGTTGTCAAGATACCGTTTCCAGCTCTGGTTCCAGCAAAATATAGTGTTGAATCGGAAGTAGCGACACTGAAGTTCGGTACCAATTCCTAAATCTTTTGAAGTACGTCTTTAACATACGAGTCTAACCCAGTTCGAGCAATGACTTCAATCCCTGTCCCGGATGTCCTTGCCTGGAACTCTGATCCTTCAAATTCTGTCGGTGCAGAATACATGATTCTCGAAAAATGCCCAGGACGTCAGTTGCATGCTGTCTGGGGTGAATTGGACGAGTTGCGTCGGTTTGAGCTAGTCAAGACCATTGCTGATTTCGACGGTCAGTTAGCATCAATTGAATTTCCGGTGAATGGCAGCCTATATCTACGTACCTCCGGACCGCAAAACTCGGTGGCTTTCCATACGCAAAAAGCCCCCCAAGAGGACTTTTGCGTCGGCCCCGTGTTTAATGATTCCTGGATGAGAGGCATCAATCCAGCAAGGGAAAAAGAGATGGAAGCTGGACCTTGTAAGTTATCTATTACCTTGTTATAACCTGTACTTCCGGTTAACAGCCTTAAGGCCTGACCTGTGTTCTTTTGGTTTAGCTCGAGCTCGCCAAGGGGCATGGCATGTAAAGAACACGGAGTACCTGGGTGCACGAGGGCCATATTTTGGCACTCCAGAGTCACATTTGAAGCTTTTGGAAGTTGCTATGAAGGTCATCCCTATTTTGGCCAGGACTCCTCTCTTGCAACGATATGGCCGACCCACCCTTTGGCACACGGACTTGCATATGGGGAACATCTTCGTTTCGGAACAGGATCTTACGAAAATCGTCGGTGTGATTGATTGGCAGTTTGTCTCAATTCTACCAGGATTCACACAGGCAAGGTGGCCAGAGTTTCTTACTCCGCCAGAAGGCTATGAGACAGGCCTAATTGAACCCCAACTCCCTGCTGACTTTGAGGAAATGGAGCCGGACGAACAAGTCTACGCAATTTCGCAGAGGGACCAGGCTTTACAAGCAAAATGTTATGAAGTCGCCCTCGGCCGATGCCACCATGACTCGTACTTGGCTCTTACCAGAATCCACGACACCATCCGACGCTTATTTGTTTTATGCGAACGGACGTATAAGGACGGCATAGTGCCGCTGAGAGATTGTCTTATTGAGCTTTCTAGTAATTGGGAGAGCCTTCGACTTACGGGAAGCCCTCCTATGACGCTCTCGAAAGGGGAAGTAGCGACACACGATATTCAGCTGGCTGAATATCAAGACTGGGTTAAGCTCCGGAAGTATACGCAAGAGATTTTATGCTCGGATGATGACGGCTGGGTATCACCAGAACTAGATTTCGATAAGGTCCAGGCGCAGGAAAGAGAACTCTTCGAGCTTTACCTCCAACGGCAAGCGCCAGGCACCTCGGCTGAGGAAGCGAGGGAGCTCTGGTTCTACAACCAAAGACATCCATAAAGCTTCAACCAATGCAGATCCAATGTCAAGAGAGCAGAGAAAACATCGCACAATACTATTTTCAGACTCTATACCCCGGACACATCTGATAATGTCACTGGTCACTAGGTACTTCGAAATTTTCACGTTTGCCACTCCACGGAATATACGAGGTTCGGTAGGAGGTTAGTGACTCTTGGGATAGATCTAAGATTCGATTTTCGAAGCAGCATGCAGTCAAAGAACAACCACACTGAGCTCATTCCAATTCGGTAAACTGCGACTGGGGAATTCAATTGGGGTTACAAGACTACATTCTCCGAACCGATGACTCATGTCTGGTTACATGCCACAGCCATTACCAACAAATGTCCAACATTTCACAAGCAGAATCCGCAACGAGGATTGGTCCGCATTATAGGAATCTCAACCCAGATTATCCTTTGCTTTATTTTCGACCCTGGCCCAAAAAGTGTCGAAAGCAACCTTCTTCTCATCGTCTGGCACATTCATGTCCAAGTCCTCATACGCCAAGTTCGCGTCAGCCCCGTTCTTCTTCCTCCAGTCTTTGAGCTTTTGGTTGGTGGCCTGCGAGTTGACCTGGAGATACACTCGCTTCTTGCCGTGTTTCACCTCCCCAGCAACTTGAGCCATTCCCTATCTCACACAGCCTCCAAACGAGCATCTCTGCGGTTGGCCGTCCCTGAGACCGGCCAAGCCCAGGGGCTTTGGCCAGCACTTTCTGACTTTCAGAAACCGGTGAGGCCACTAGTCGCATATTTTCTCATAATCCTGCGAAGTGATGTGTTGCTATAGGATAAAACAAAGGGCGCAGCGTAGACCGACTCCGCGACCTAGATATCTCAAATCAACTATGACATCGAATTGAAAGACTGAGGCAAGCGCTTGCGGCAGGGTATGACTGACATTGAGACTTTCGACAATACCAGCAAGCTGGGTCACGTAATGCTCAAGCAGACGAATCCTGTGGGCCCGACAAGCGCTCAGCAGGACAGGGCAGCCGCCGAACTAATTTTATCTTGACGCCTACTAGATATTCCGTATACCAAAGGACAACGTTGCGTTCGAGATATGAGTTTTTGACCGTATACTGACGTCTCTCTGGGCTAATGGCTGCTCTGACAGAGGGTCTATTATCTAGATCTCGGCGGATGAACCAAGATGGTATTTCCCTAAACAGTCCAAGGCGCGCAGGATCATCTGGACGATGAGCGTTGTGTCGGTCGCAGAAAAAGGAATGGGCACTATGACAGGCATATGGACTATGCTGTCCTAGATAGTATCATGGCCAAAGATGTTCCTCGTTCACATTCTTGAATCTTGCAGTTCAAGTTTCCCAGTGCCACAGCTATGTATGGTTTAGGTGGAGAATCCATCACGTGATGCGGAGTAATCGCTAGGGCTATGGGGAAATCGCGTAAATGGAGCGCATGGCACCTGCTGCTAATTGTGTGTTTGCACGATCAGCTACGCGCAATTTCTCGGCCAGGTCTTGCTGCAAACCCAATATCTCCCAAACAGAGCATACTGAGCATCTTCGACTTCGAGGACTACTGGGGTGGTATTGGTATTGTCAAGATGCCTCGACCACTGTCTGGAGATGGTAAGTTTTGACCCTTAACTTCCTTCAGCACTAGAATTGACGCACGCTCTGCTCGTGAGTCGCATGACACTCTTGCACGCGTAGACTGACGAAAGCTTTCCAGAGGACGGTTTCTCCGACGGTGGCAGTGAAGTCGCCGACATCAGCCACGGCACACCTCCCGCAGACAAAAAATCCAAAACACAGCTCAATGGTGAACTTCACGATGAGGTCGAGAAAGGTTCCTCCCGCGCGCAAAGCGACGACGGCAGCGAAGCCAGTGATGATGATGACGAAGAAGGCGAGGAAGAGTACGTCGTGGAGGCGATACAGAGCCACCGAACCAGGAAAGGTGTCATAGAGTACCACATCAAATGGGTCGGGTACGACGAGGCGGAGAACACGTGGGAGCCTAAGGAAAACCTGATGCCGTCAGTCTATATTCTATTTTGAGAGGCGGTTGCTGGGTTCCATCATCGGAAGTTGCTGACAGAAGAGTCTCTTCTCAGGCATGCACGAATCATGCTGCAAGAATACCACAAAAGCATTGGCGGGGTCCCGAGCGCGAGTACCGTCAAGAGGACGAAATCCAGACAATCACTCAAACCTCAAGCGTCACAAGAACAACAACCACAGCGCAAGAGACAGAAGAGAAGCGCCGGCGAGTCCAACAACGAACAAGAATGGACACCGTCGGCAAAGGACTGGGAACCTCAAGTTGACAAGATTGAAACCGTCGAGCGCAACGAAGCCGGGACACTCATGGCGTACATTCTGTTTAGAAATGGCAAAAAGTCAAAAGTCACAATGGACAAAGTCTATCAGCATTGCCCTATACCTATGCTCAGATTCTACGAGGACCATCTCAAGTTTAAGTAAGTCCCTGGACTGCTTCTTCTGGATGATCTATAGCTGAACTGACATATATAGCTAGCTGAGCCCCCGGTCCCGATTTGGTCCTGTCTTGACCAGTTCTGCCCCCTACATGATGTACATCAAATGCTCCGAGACTTTTGCGAACAAGGGTGAAGGAAAGGTTTCTATGATATTTCTTATTGACTTTTGGGCTGGTGCTGCTGCTGCTCCTCTGATATTTTTGGGCAAAGTAGGTTTGTTACGCATGGCGCTGGGGTCGTACAAAAAGGAAGGAAGGGAGGCAGGCAGGCAGGCAGTGATGGTGGATCTTCAGTCCCCATTGAGACGTGTGCGCGACGTTGATTAACATCGGAGGGCTTGGAGATCAATCTTCTTCCAACATGCGCCCATGAACAGAGACTGTGGCTGGGAAAAGGTCTCCTTTTCGACAAGCGGTTCTTCAGGGGCCGCAAGACCCGCGGCTGCTGGGGTTAGAGTGCTCTGGATTGTCGATAACTCGAGCCCCCTGATGCTGATTCTCCTCGGGCAGGCATATCTCTGGCCAGGAGAAACTGCTCGAGCTTGGAACCTCTGACTGCAACAAAATCGAGAAAGCAGCAGATCTCGTCCAGCAAGAGTGTGCCTCGGGTAGATAAAATGCCAGACCACACTAGAGCCAGACTCCCTCGAGGGGTCTTATACTCTCCGTAATGATAAAGAGAAAGACGAGATGAAGATAAGATGAAATTCAAGAATGATCCGAATCACGCACACCGCAGCGCATCTGGGAATCCAAAACTGCAACTCGATGCTCTTCGTCGGAAGGACTGTAATTGATACTCTTTATATCCTTTCACAGGTTGGTTTAGAAAGGCCTGGCTGAAGTGGTAGGAGTACAAAAGTCCATGTCGCCATTTTCTCGCGTTCATGCGCCATCTTATTGGAGAAGTGTAACCGAGTATATACTCCGTGTACCTCCTGAGGGACAAACTACTCGGGGTATCTTTTTCACCATACAAGTCCTCGAATGAACCCCAAACCAAGAAGAAAAGAATCCGTGATATCATCCGTCATATCGTCATGTCTTTCCTTTCCTTTCCACCCCCTCCCCTTCCTCCTTTGGAAAGAAACTTCTCGAGTGTCGTGACGGTGGGACGGATGCCAAACCTTGAATGAATCTCGAAGCCCACATCGATGAGCGTCGCCCTTTTCTCCGCCATGTCGGCCAGGCAAAGTACCCTGTGCACATGAACATTTTCTCCACGATCGGCGAGCCACGTTTTCTCTCCAGGATTTGCGCCGCCAACACCTCTAGAGGTCCGCCACGCTTCCCCTTCAGACTTCGAATTCCTTGAGATACCGTAGGCGTCTCGCACAGGCATCCTGGCCGTGCTTGTCCACGACTCGTCGCCTCTGACCGGCGTCGGCGGACTTGAGCGACTCGTCGTCTCCATCGGTCCATACACCCGGCACGTTCGAGGGTGGCTCGAGGTCAGTCTTGGAAGGGCGTCGCCTCCCAAACCGATCCGCCGAAACGCGCTGCCTCTTCCGCCGCCACCGATCGAGGAAGTATTCGACCATCTGTTCGGTTTTGGGCCCGTATTCTTGGGTCGTGCAGTGCGCCGCTTGGAGCAGAAACGCATCAGGGACGTTGGGGATTCGCCCCTTCTGACGTCTGCACCACGTATCGATCAGAAATTCGCCAGGGCGGACGTCGTTTTCGAGATCTCGCCGATAAGCAGCGCCACCACCACCACCACCATCATCGTCGTCGTCAAGTAGTTCAGTACCGCCGGTGGATGCTTCATCAGCAGCACCACCGCCACCGACATCTGCTGCGGGGTCGGGACCTAGAATGCTGTCCCAACCACCTTCGGGCTCGACCACCTCGAGATACGCAGACACGTCCTCGTCAATGTCCGTCTGGCCGAATAGCGCCGGTGTGGAGAGTCGCCGACTCGGCTTCTTACGCTTTCGTGGTTGCTCCGGCGCTGTTTCATATTCTTCCATCGTGTCTCGACCCGTATGGTACGAACCCAAAGCGTCCCTTTGTGAATCTTCGTGACCTGGCGCGCCGTAGGGACTCGACCTTTCCATCTCGTCATCAGATTCTTCTCGAACCTCGTGATAGGGTTCACTCTTGGTGGGCGAAAATTGTTCTTCATCGCCAATCAGGCTGACCCTCAGAGGACTCGTCATGCCATCATCGTTCCCACCCTCTGATATAGCTTCCTCCTCTTCTCGAAGCGTACTAAGTCCTCCCATTACTTCTAGTTCCTCGTCGCCATTGTCATCTTGTGCCACGAATAGACGCGAGAAGCCCTCAGGAAGTGGCAAGGGTGAATCCCGTGAATTACTCCGAGGCGGCAAAGGGGGAGAATTCAATATCACATCTGTCTCTGTAGAGCTGTGAACCACCGGTGGGTCACGAGGAGGACCTCTGTCCGTGCTGAGGGAGGAGTTCTGCTGAATATCGAGATTGTCCGGTCCATCATGCAGGCGTGGTCTGTCACGGTTACTGGAGGTTATAAAGCTGAACGAGGGCGCAGTATTTGTTGGCCTTCCGTCCTTTCTTCTCGTATGCTCCTCAGAATTTGTCTGAACCTTCTCCTGTTGGGTTTCGTCAATTGACAGTCCATGAATCTGCGAAAAGGATTGGGTATTGCTTTGGTTGCTAGTTCCATTGGTGCTCTGGGTGGATTGTGACTGGGAGCCGCGGCCAGGTCCCGTGCTTCGTTTCCTGGCCTCGTTTGGTCCTGGAGCTCTGATCAATGTTGGAGACTCTGGCTGAAAAGAAGGAGATCTCATGTCGCGTTGTAGTCGCAGGGTTTTCGATTCATCGCCTGCAAAATTGCTCACGTCCGCAGGGAAGATTTTCGGAGATACTTTGATAGAGGCGACAATAGGGGTAATTGAAAGTTTTTGAGGAGAAGTACGGGAGGGCGTCTGCAGGCCAGACGGATCTGGGGTTCGATCATCCTCCGGGGCATTCTGGTTCACCAGGCCCATGGTTGAAGGTCTTGGAACTCCATGGGTCCTCAAAAAGACCGCACATGGGTTGCACAAAAGTCGTCCCTTCGTGTCGCGATGCCATTTCCGCGCGTCCATCGTGTAGCAGTTGGCGCACCTGCTTGGGTCTTCATCCGAGTCCTGGTCCTGGTACTTGTTCATGCCCGCGTCGCCGTCAGCGGGCTGATCATCTTCGCCATCGTTATCGTCATTATCACCGCCAGATGAGGTGTTCTCCTCCTGTATGGACATGTAGGGTGCGATTTGATCCATCGCCACTTGCTCTATCCTGCAGTAGTCTGGCAAAACGCGATACTCGAACCAATGTTTCCACTGTTTGGCGGTATGGTGCTTATAATCTTCTGACGATACCATTTGTCTCCATACATCATCGAATTCCTCGAGACCCATATGACTCAATTTCGGGACCAATCTGTAAAGCGGAAGAGAGTCTGCTTTGGAAAATGGACCTCGAATATCATCCAAAAATCGCTTCTCGTTTTCCGTGTGGAGTTCCTCGTCTTCAAGATGATCCTGAGTACTCCCGTTGCGCCCGCTTCTCTGGGACTGTTCGTTGTCCAACACGTCGTTTTGGGCCGCTGCGTCATCCCGGTTCGATGATGGCCGTGCGCGGCCAATCGAGATGGCAGTGGTATGCAGTTCAGGGCTCGCGAGTCTTCTTGGAGCCTCGGATGATTGTCGAGGCTGCTCTTCAGAGGCCGCGTCGTCTTGGACCGTTACCAGCTTTCTCTTCCTAGGTAGCAATGCAGTCCTGGTTGAGCGATCTGGCTCTGGTCTGTGTCCGGGGCTGTCAGGTAGAATCAGGGCTGGTCGAGGTTCTTCTTCTGGGAGAGAATATCTTTCTTGCTGCTCTGGCTCTGCGCGCTTCGTCACCTGTCTCTTCTGAAATCGGGTGGCCTTCAACCATCTATCTCGCCAACTCTGGTAGGTGTGACGTGGATTGACCTGCTCAATTTGTTTGTAGATTTCGTTTCCCTTGTATGCTCCTCCACTATCCTCAAAAGGCTTCATCCAATTCCACAAAAACTGATCGTCTTCTTCCGTGTAGGGCACTCTCGAACCTTTAGGAGCGGTGGTAGTGCTCCCGACTGGTCTCGCGACTCTTGTGGCAACTCCGACAGCATGATCTGCAAGATTTTCCAGCTGTCCACGCCTAATGGACAACTCGACATATCGATAGGAATACGCTCCGACGGGCTGATTTTTTCGAGTATGGTCGACAAGTTTGATATCTGCATTGGTGTCTACGTTGACGATAACGGCACCGTTGGCTCGGGCGTTCTCGATGAGCCACTTGCGTTGAGGAACCGAGTGCGAGAACCATAGTTTTTGGCCGGCGAACAAAGTGAGGCTCTCGTTGTTGTTGTTGTTGTTGTTGTCCTCGTGGTCATCGGCATCGGTAACATCTTTGCCGCGGTTCACATTACTGTATACGATATGCGACGACATCTTGACATCTTGTGACCCTGGGCATCGTTGGGTTTACAGTGTGTTCGTGGTCATGAACATCATTTGCGGGGTTTTTGAGCGCGCAGTCAACAATGGGTACAAAGGGTCACGTATATCGCGTCGGCACGTGACTTGCATTCCCCCGTAGAAGATCCAGATAAGGAAGACGGACTACGATCACGTGAGTACCTTCAGTACTCTTCCCACACTTCTCCGAACAGTCTCCGTATACCAGAGTATGGCGCAATAATGATCAGTTCTCTAACCCACTGGGGCCGAGGTGCGTCCATACTGACCACTTGTACGGAGTAATGAAAGGTGACTTGTAAGCCGCGGAATCGAGCGCATCCGATCGGAATCCAAAGCATGTGGGGGAAAAAGAGGCCGGGACAAAGAAGGCAACTTCGGGGCAAGAAATCCTGGGATAGTAAAAAAAACTCCCGTCCTCACGTTCCCTTTGTAAAGGGCCTTTTCCGATTCGTGGTGCCGATGAGCTGTCTTGTCGTCGAAGAGTGGTGCCGCCTTCGACACCTAGGTAGTGCCCGCGGAAGGCCCCACGCCTAGAGAAGTGCTCTTCCTAAGTATTCTCGTGATGGACCTGCGCGAATCGTAGCAACTATTATGGGGGGATAAGCAGGTGAAAGCTGGTCAGCGCACGCGGTTCCCAGGCCTCGTTCTCCCCCCCCCCAGTGCTAGCCGGGTCCCTGATCGGGCATCTGCACCACCCTTATTGGTCGGCCGTTGCTGTAGCAGGGGGTGGGAAACGCACCCCTACCGAACACACCCCGTAAAGATCGAAGACAGACCGAAGAAGACAGAACAGACGGACCACCAAGAGACAGGGAACCAACAAGGTGCCATCTGATTAATTTATTATTTTGTTTCCGTTCTGGCATCTTCCTCTCCATCAACCCTTTTCCCGTCTTTCCCATCAAACTATCGCAATCGACAACATCCTTCCTCGAACCTCATCTCTCCCTCCTTCCCACATTGTTCGCCATCACCATCTCGAGCTGCCAAACTTTGTCCGTTTTCACCGCCAATTCTCCCTCTCAAATCATCATCAACCATGTCTTCACAACTCACCTACGCCGAGGTGTCCAAACACAACAGCAAGAAAGATTTGTACATTGTTGTCCACGACAAGGTCTACAACGCCTCTACCTTTGTCGACGAGCATCCGTAAGTCTCATTTCCCATCCATCCACCCATCCATCTTCAACTGGCCCCCCGAGACTGAACCAGCATCTTTCCTTCCCCCACCCTATCTCTAATTTGCCCCACATTGGGACAAGTTGAGAGATCTAGGAATATGGGCGTTTGGCCATCCACGTGGAAAGTGATCAAAGTCTGGAACTGACATTGCGTTTTGTATACAGCGGCGGTGAAGAAGTCCTCCTCGACGTCGGCGGTCAAGACGCAACCGAAGCCTTTGAAGATGTCGGCCACTCAGACGAAGCACGTGAAATCCTGGAGGGTCTCTTGGTCGGCGACCTGAAGCGAGTCCCTGGCGACCCTGCCCCCAAGATCGGTTCTACGGACAAGGTCTCAGCCGGCCCCGGTGGAAGGTCAGACGCTGGCACCGGAATGGGAATCGCCATGTACATTGTCCTCCTCGCGGGTGCGGCCGCCGCCTACTTCGGATACACATATATGCAAAGCCAAGAGAGCAAGTAAAGTGTCTCCGTGTACGGGGTGTGTGCAGTAATCAAAAGACAATGTGAGAGAAGAAGAGATAGAAAGAGAGACGGGAGGCTAGAAGAAGGGGGGGCGCGTTCGCCGTGGCAAAGAAAGAAAACCTCTTGCTGGACTCGAAAGAATTAAGGCGGTAATAAGATTCAGAGCAACCTGGAAGATGCCAATCCAGCTTGACATCCATGCGCAAAGACTAAAAAAGAGAGTGGGCTACGGATTCTTTTGTACACCCCTGGCAAAGCTGGCGTAAATGAAACAACAGCGTGCATTGCAAATCTATCTAGAACGAGAAAAGAATACAACATCTTGCGCCCCAGCTAGCAAACAACCTTCGAGGCAAAATGCCCAGACATGTTCTATTGGGGCACCCCATGTCGCAACCTGGATGAATAGTTGTAGATGTACCAAGAACTGACTTGTTACAGTATTTCAGTCCCAAAGTGTCTCTTCCCGTGAGACTCGCTGACGGATCCAACACAGTCACGTACGTCCACACCTAGGCACCTACTGACGCGATGCGAATTAGGCAAAGAGGTCATGATTAGGTAGGTACACGACGTCCTGGAGAAGAAACGGTTCGAACGTATACTGTACATTACCGAGTTACGTTCCAAATGGACCCCCCGTCTGGATACCGGTAATGACGATTGGCCGACTCCTCAACGCAGTACACAGGTACAGAACTGCAAAATGGATACACATACTCCGTGGGATGCCGCGGTATCATAGTCGTAGTCTTTGAATTGCGGTTTCAATTTCATCGCTAATCGCCCCAAGGTACAACATAACATACCTTGGGGAGGTATAACTAAGCCGTGCCACACCGGACCTATAGCACCTACAGCACACGACCGGAGGAAAGATCAAAGAGTTCACGACGTTTACCATTTGACATGTTGAAAAGTCGACGCTTGCAATTTCCCACCCAATGAAACCCCTCTCTCTCTCCAACATAAAAAGACGCCCATCTGTCCTCTCCACCAGGGTCGGGAGTAAACAAGTTGGCCGAAGGGATAGATAGCCCATCCTAAAAAGCAAACAACCACAAGCCGTTCGAGTTTTATCGGTAGTAGCTGTAGCGTCCTTGATCCCCACCACCCACACCTGGAGCCTGCGGAGCTGCTGCCGCCACGCTCGTCGGCCGCTGATTGTATGCTTGATACTGTTGGGTGGGCTGGTTCGTGCCAGATCCAGGTGGGAAGACGGGGTACGGCGACGCCTGCGCCAGAGGTGTGATGGGTCGATCGGAACCTGCATTGACGCCTGGGATGGGCGGTGGGCCGTGATTCGGGGCAGGAGGTTGTGGACCATTGGTCTGGGATGGTGGAGGCTGCTGTTGCGAGTAGTCGTAGGGCGGCTGAGAGGGCGCCGACGGCGCTGGAGTAGGTGCGTAGCTTGTGTTCATCGGAGGGGGATATGGCTGCTGCTGCTGCTGTTGCTGCTGTGTTGGTGGTGGAATCTGCTGTTGTCGGGATTGGGGTGGAGGAGACATTCTCTGGGCGTGTAGGTCTTCCGAAGAATAGTTCGACGGGGAATAAGTCTCCTCTTGGTGCTGTAGGTGTGTGATGTTCGGAGGTTGAATGCCCGGGTACTGGGGTTGTGTCGGTGGCCGGCCATCCGTTGGAAGGGCATATGCCGCGTATTGTTCGGGCTGAGATTGTCGGCGGGCTGGAGCTGATGGGTAAGAGGGATAGTTGCTGTCCGGGGGAGGCTGAGACGGTGGCTGATTCGCTGGGGTTTGGCTTTGGGGAGGTGGTGATGCAACTGGGTAAGGAGGTTGGAATGGTGTCGGATTTCCATACGGCACAGCGTTGTTGGGAGGTTGACCATCTGAACATTACATCTTAGAAACAACATTGGAAATGTATCGAGTTCTAGTACTGACCAGGAGTGTAGAATCTTTGGGGTGGGTAACCTTGTGGCGGAGGACCTCCTCCGTACCCATAAGCTGCTGGACCGGGACGAGCATATGCTTGTGCTGAGTGAGCCATCGATGTCTCCAACAGAGCTTCGTAGTCCCTTCGAGCCTTGATGAACTTCTCGTTAAGTTGCTGAAAGTCATCTGTACGATCGTTAGCGTTTATCCCGTGGCTATGTATTTCCACAAGCATACCCTTCTTTTGTGTATACTTCCCGATTAGCTCGATCAACTTTGGCCTGATTGATAAAGTACTATGATATAGCTCCGTTATCTCCTCGTTGTCTCGGACGTTCGTGTCGCCTGTGCTTGTGCTCAATAGAGCCAGCAACTTTTCAACATTCTTTATCTGTCCGAAGACTTCCGCCTCCATCTGCGCCTCTTTTTGTAGTTCATCAGGTGTAGGATCTTGCAGCTTCTCGACGTAATTGAGTGGGAAAATGCCAGTTTGACCTCTAAGCGAACCCTTCCACCAGTCCTTATACACCGACTCGAGCACCGCAATAACGTCTCCCTTGCGGAATTGTAATTCGCCCGGCTCAGAAGGTTGAAAGTCGAAGAGCGCTCGTACTCGGGAAACGGTCGCTGCTGTCGTGCCTGAGGGAAGCGGCTGGTGAATGGATTGTGCTGCCGAGGCTGGCTGGGCTGACAATTCTGCGGCGGAGCCTGATGCCTGAGCGGCAGGGGAGGGTACGGATTTGTCTTGTATTGATAGCTTGAGGGCCATCTGAAGTTCTTCTTCCTCCTTTTGCCGGTCGAAATCAGTGATTTGCTTCTTTACCGGGGCTTGCGGAGGTTGTAAGTTGGGATCTAGACTGTGTTAATTCTCGCCTCTGCCACTCTGAGCCTGCCAACTCACTTTGAGCCTTAAGTCTCATGTATGCTTGTTCCATGATTCCCAGCTCGGTGTTGCTAGAGAAGTCCTTGGACCACGACTCCATACGCTCCAGGATCTTCGACTTCACTTGCTGATGTGTGTTCTGGATTTGTCAGGGACCCTGGACATGGCAGCACCACGGTCTCAGCCACTCACCCTGTCATTCGCCAGTCGCAGTAAAGCATCTGTGAAACTTCTTGAGGCTAACTCTCTGTGCATGGCAACCCCGCAGTTCTGCGCCAGCGAGTTCGCAAGTTCGAGAGTATAGAGCTGGACATTGGCATTCCGGTGGGCCAGTCTCTTGATCATAGCAGCCACGACGTCCTTCGCTCCACTGTCGCTCGCCGATACTTTATCACAGACATCGAGGATGAATTCCCAGTTCTCGGAAGTTAAGTTCTCGTCAGTCGCCTTGGCTAGAGCACGATCAGTTATGCGACCGAGGGAATTGTACAGATACGACGAAGCTTACCGACGACATCATCAAAAGCGTTCTGCTGCGCCCGAAACATATTGGGCACGGCAGTATAGGAGATCGCTTCGTGTCTCGTAGGGTATAATGCAAAAGGCGAAGGAGCGCTTGAGAGTAAATGAAGAAAGGGTTTCGAGTTGGTTGTGTTCAGGAAATGATTCTCATGCTTGTTGTTGGCCGCAGCCTAATCACCTGGGTTGGAGATGGAGTCGAACGAGTGACGCAAAGGCCAAAGGCGGGTGAACTTCATCAGCCACACCGAGAGAAGCTAAGCATAGCCACACACAAGCATTACGAACGACGACCAGGAGTATTGCGTACGCGAACACTTTAGAGTAGGTCTCTAGTTTTCAAAGGATTCGTGGAGATGGACAGTCTTTCCTATTTGCGTAGCTGTCTCGGTGAAGGTTCTTTTCTCTTTTCTCTTCTACCGTTGTGGTAGGTGCAAGATCATACCCATATTGCGCAGTAAGACCTCTAGATATATCGCTGAAGCGTTCGCTAGAACCCGAGCAAGGAATCGGCCATAGCATCCGATATCTGACCAAGAACTCCGTGCCCGTCATGGAATCATAAGCTTCCTCAGAAGACCGTATAAAAAGCAGTGTAAGCCAGCGTCCATAAGGACTACATGAAAAGTAAAAAAATTGGTCGGGACCACATTTCAAGCCGTCAAGTCATGAAGAAAAAAGTGCAGCACAAACTGCAGAGGCCTCGTCTAGCAACCACCGTCATGTTATAACACAAGAACCTCTTCAAGGTTTCAAGGCATGCTCAACGCCTGTAACAATCGCAGAGTAATTGAGATGCGGTCGGGATAGGCCAAAAACCTCTATCGCTTCGAATCTTGCCTATACATGCCAGAATCGGTGTAGTATTAGTTGTACAACACACAGGCAATCAACAATCGTTAGTTGCCCCGGTTCGCCTTTTCTGCGGCCCTACTTTCTCGAGCCGATTGCACGAGAGGAGCCAGGCTGGTAAGGGGAGCGCAATTGTGCATGAATGGATGCTATAACCGGGTTAGCAAGGACGGGCCGAGAAGCGTAGATACACTCACATGAAGTAGGTCATGAGCACTCGCTCGTTTTTCGGGCTCTACCTTCAGAGCAAAATGAAGAAAATCCCGGAAAACTGGTGACAGATCCGCCTCGTTCTTAATTTTTGGCGTGCCGTACTTGGCGATCAGATACAAAGCTCGTAGTGGCGACTCTGTGAGGTAAGGCGGCTCTCCTTCGATCATTTCGATGGCCATGATACCCAAGCTCCAGATATCAACCTTTCGGCCGTATTCTTTGCGAGTCACGACTTCTGGTGCCATCCAGTATGGGGTTCCCACCATTGTTGTTCGCTTATTCTGACTGTCGTTGATTTGTGCGCAGAAGCCAAAATCGGTCAATTTGATGTCGCCTCGTTCAGACAGCAGGATGTTGTCAGATTTGATATCCCGATGAATGACGTTCTTGGAATGGAGGTGCTGTAGGCCGTACAATGTCTGAGACAATTAGCATGTTTCAAGTTGATCGTCAAGGTACCACTTACTTCTCTGCAGACAGCCGCAATCTGTGCCTCACTCATCACATTGAAGGTCACAACATCGGTCAAACTGCCTCCTTGCATGTATTCCATCACGACCCACAGATCGCCCTCGTGTAAGTAGCTATCGATGAAATTGACAATGTTCTTGTGTTTACTGTCTTTCATGACGATGATCTCATTGATGATCAAATCTTTCTTGGGCTGTTGTTCTAGGTTCATTTGCTTTATTGCAACACACCTTCTGCTGCCAACCTCAAACGCAGTAAAAACACCTCCTGAAGCACCTTGGCCAATCTTGCTAAGGTTGCTGTATTTCGTTGTGGGATCGCCCGGGGTACAAATAGCCTGTAACCTGGCAGTGACATCGATGATATTGCTTTGTTGTCGTCTCGCTCGAGGTCTCGGGCCTGGAACCGGTCCCACTTTCGCCACTTGTGCTTGTCCTTGTAGATTTGGAGAGTCAGCTGTGGCAGCAAACTGCGTTTGAGGTACGTGAGGACTATATTTCTGAGGTAGAATCTTCGGTGGCACCTCAGGCGCACCCGGTGCAACTTGGCGTTGACTCCGGCTACGGTCAAGCTGTTTGCTTTGAATGGCTTGTTGAGCTATCAGCATTGCTTGTTCTTGTTGTTGCTGATACTGAGCAGGAGATTGTACGGGTTGTGATGGTCGAGGAGGGGATGGTCCAGGGGCTTTGGTGGAGTTTGAGCGACTGAACGCTTCTTCCTGCGAGACTTTGGGTGAGGAAGTGGAGATGGTTGCAGCTGGAGTCTGTGGCTTCGCGGGTTGTTCATGAGTCCGTATCGGCATGTCATGCTTCATCGGCGGAGGAGGTGCAGGTCGGACTGGCGCCAAGTCTCGTAGGTTCTGCGTAGGTGGTTTCGGTGCAGGTCTATTGGGCATCATGAGAGCAGGTGAGGGAGCGGGCTTGGAACCCATTGCACTGGCCGGAAGACCCTTTGGTATAGGCGGCGGGGCGCGAGGGTTCTCGAAGCTGCCCTCGTGGTTTTGAGGGAACCGTGGGCTTGCTGGTGGTGATATGACTCCGGCAATGGGCGAATATGCGGCCGAATTTGCACCTATGTTAGGTGTTGTGGCTACAGGACTTTGGTAACTGCTGCTGCTGCTTTGAGGCGAGTCCGAGAGTTTCGCATGATCAAATTTTTGCCAAACGCCGTCATCAAATCCACCCGCGAAATTGCTCTTGTATGTTTCCACAATGTTCATCATCATCTGCGGATTCTGGTCCTGTTCGTTCTTGGAAATCCCACTGTCTGATAGTATTCTTTGCCATTCCGCAGGAAGGCCCTAAGTGAGAATTAGCGAATGATTTCGTGATAATAACAGGATAGCATAGCCTACTGTAAACTGGCCGGTCTGATTGTCATAGCCCACATGGATCATGTGCATAGGGTTTTCGGGGGCAGAGATCTTGATAGTCCGCGGTGACCCTAGCATGTTGTTCATAAAACTTGAGAAGCCGCTCTTCTTGCGAAAGGGCCCTGGCGGTTTGGAGCCATCGCCAGAGAATCTCTTAGGGCTGAGGATGCCGGTGTCCGATTTGGGAGGCGTGACTTCCATCATGGCGATTCCAGAAGATCTCGACATGTGCGATGTGCCTCCCGAAGGGGTACGAGACTCTGGACTCGTATGATTACGAGCGAGCTGCGGAGGTTGTGAGGTCTGCATCACATCATTTTGTCCTCTAGTAAGACCCGCGGTCTGGAATGATGATAAGAGACCCGAAGCGTCAAACGGCGCGCCTATCAAGTCGTTGTGACGGTCATCCGAGGTTTGTGGAGTAGGAGGATAGGCTTGCGGTGGGAGGTAGGTGTCGCCGGTGGTAGGAGCGAAGAACTCGTGGGAGGGAATGATGGGCGAAGGGTTCGTGGTGATTTGCTCGAGGGAAGAAGATGAGCCGTAGGCGCTGGACTGAGATCGGTGGTGAAAGTCGCGAGCAGAGTGTGCGGCTCCTGGAGTACCACGCGGGTAAGGCGATGGAGCTGACGGTGCTCGTTGCAGAGTGGCCGACGACTGAGGTTTGCGTAACGAAGGAAGCTTGGAGGGATAGGCTGAAGGTGGAGGGTTCTTGGTGAGTGTTGCTCGACGTCGTTTAGTCGGAGCAGAGGCGTCAGGATGGATGTCGGAGTTCATGTTTTGAACTGGCAGGTTTGTTGAAGTTGGCAGGAAAGCGGGCAACTTGGAGCCAACCACGCCTCTGACTCGCGACGGGGTGGGCGTGAATGAGGCACACAACTTCGGGGGTGGCGCTTAACCAGGAACAGACGCGCGGACCATGCAGCTGTCAAGGGTACTGGACGGAGTCGACAATAACAAGCATCTTCTGGTGGTTCAGGATTCTAGAGAGAGGTGAAGGAATTGAACGAGAGGCGGCTTGGTGGTCGGTTTAGATTTGTTTTTGCAACGCGAACCAGCGAGAGCAGATCACAGCACTGTAACGGAGTACGGAGCAGTACCTCTTTACATGTTTAAACTGCACAGCACACCACGGTACAGAAGTTACAGCACACCACAACAACAATAACACGAGCGTGGCCATATTTTATTTCTCTCTCTTCAGCTATTTGACTACTTGCACAGCCTGATAGGAGGGCCACAAGTGCATCATCTGTACTTGTCTGGCGATTGCTTCACTTTCCATCTATCTCTCACCTGTCTGGCACAATACGTATTGTACCTCTCTACCTAGGTATACTTGCCGGTGCTAGCTGCGCGTATGCACTTCACTAAGCCCTCACGTAAAGCCACACCAGTTGCCTTGCCACGGAGTTGGGTTGGGCATCCAACCTCTACTAACTCGGATGAGTAGTTCTTCTCGCCCTATGAAATACTCCAGACTACGCCCTGTGAATACCGTACGATCGATCGGGCAGAGAGCCACAATAATGAATTCTTTTTCCACCTTCTTTCACTCTCCATGATGTGGACTACTCCTACTCCGTACGTACCCAATATCAAGACATTCCTCCGCCCGGAAAGTACTGTAGAGTACCCTACCGAGTACCATAGCCTGATCCACCTCACGATCCTGGCGACTGGGATCAGTGTTTGCTCAACCCTCGAAGATACATTTTGTTGTCGACGATAGTTTCGGTGACAGAACTGACCTGGGCTGTTTGACCAACCTACAGACAACTACTCCGTAAACAGAGGGAGTCAATGCTGTCACCACCACTCATGCTACAGTGTGCCAGCTGCCGATCTGCGCCTCCCCTGTGCCGTGATCTTCTGCTGTGTGCGTTACGCAGGTCGTGCATGCATGCAGCAATGTCACGGCCCCAGGCTTTTCGCCCAACGAATCTCCACCTCCACCTTGCTAAGTGGTCACTGCCTTACGGACTTGCTGCATCCCCGTTCAATCGATAACAGCCAATTCCTGATATCGATAGTTTTGCCTGATGATCACAGCCCTGATCTTCAGCCGATCACCGCCTGAATACAGCATCTTTGACAGCCGGGCACTGCCTCCTCCACGTGTCCTACCAAGAACAAGGCAACCTTGAACGGGTGCGAATTCACCACCTCAGATGGTTGAGAACTCTCTTGTGGCCTTGCACAGACTTTCTGATAGAAAACAACAACAATGCAAAGTTCTGGGTGCTCCATTCATCAAATTTAATCTCACCTGGGGAATAGTCACAAAAGATGTACTAAGTAAGCCTCAGAACGCTCCCCCGTCATTGTGGCCGGTCCACAGTGGGCATTCCATGGATGTTCTGAAACAACTGAGGGCGCCTTCATCAACCAGGCCAGCATCCTCTCCAATGACAGCCCGGTGTTTTCTCTCACTCTTGTCATGGTGTTTCCGGGTAAGTTCTCAGGACATCCGCTGTAAGCCAGCCTTAATACTACGAGCCTTCCGTAATATTAATGAGAACCACAATTTCGTCCTCCTGGTTTGACCTTGATCTCTTTGTGGAAGCTGTCATCGTGAAGCACAAAATCATCGATCCAGACAAAGTACAGAGTATTGGTTTGCAATCTACGGCTCGGTCCAGTGTCCACATCAGAAATAAAAATGTCCGCCGTTTGCGGGTCTTTGGACACTGCGAAAAAGTCCTATGTACTGTTTGTACGGAGTACTCGCGCAGAATGGTCGACTCCATGTCATTCCGTAACCATGCTACGGAGTACCATCAAACAATTCCCGCCTTCCTAGGCTTGCGGATGCAGCCACAGCAGGGTTCCCTTGACCTGTACTCCGTAAGCCCTCGCAAATCTCAAATTTGCTGCTACTACTGCTGCATTTCCGCCTTCCACTTTCGTCGTTTCAGCCGACTGCGTATCGTTCTGAACGGCCAAATCTCTGACAGGTCTACTACTGTGTCACTACCAGTTCCACAACCTCTAAGCTTGCGAGATTGTCACACGTTTCGAGAGGGACGAGAGGTGCCTTTCTTTTTCAAGTTCGTCACAAAAATCATCTCGCCCGGGCGGTTGCGACTTTGGTCCTCCCTTATACGGAGTAGAAGTCAGTCAATTTGTTACCTGTGATCTTCCAGCACAGTCTGCGGGACACTTCGGCGCAGCACAATATAATTGGGCATTCGTTGTCAACAAATTCTGGAGGTTGGAATGTCTGCAATTGAGAGGTGTAGGCGAGTCGCGCATTGACACGGTCGAGGCAGAGGAAACTCGCACAGGAGACGATACGATCAACATTCTTTGGGATAACAATGATCGCCCGAGTCTCCTGTGTATCTCGGCGCAGCCTTCGTTTGAAATAAGCGCTTTGCAGCTCCATTGAAGCGGATCGAAGAGACCTACTCTTCAATGGTAAGCATCTTTACTTGATGTTCTGAGCATTTTCAACGCGACGAGAATACTTCATTGATCGTACTGCATACGCAGTATCAATGGTCACAATGTCATCACAGATCCTTTTCTATATGTATATCAATATATGTTTGTCTTGCACCAGACACACTCAACGCCATTGCTGTTTCTTATTATCCCCCATGAAGAATCTTTTTGAGACCCTCCCACGCAAAAAGTCATCTGCGCCCTTTATTTAGCAGACTTTCCTCTAATGCTTTCCCTTGCCACCTGCGCGCCCTCCGAATCCCCAGCCGATCTGGTTGGCAACGTGAATCTCGGTCCCCAACTCTTCTGCAAAAGTCCATACCAGGCCGGGATTCTTCTGGAAGAGCCTCCCCACGAACACACCGTCGACGCCTGACTGGGCGATTTCCTCGGCCTGTGGACCATTCGTGATGGACCCGACGGCCGTGACGAGCATCTTGTCCCCGACGGCGTCCTTGACCGCCTTTGAGAAGGGCGCCTGGTATCCCGGTCCACCCTTGATCTTCTGACTCGGGTGGACACCGCCGGAACTCACGTCGAGCAAGTCCACGCCCAGGTCCGCGAGGATGGGCGCGAGCTTGACGGTGTCCCGCAGCGTCCAGGACTCCGGGAACTCCTTCTCGTCCTGACCCTCCAGCCAGTCGTCGGCGCTGATTCTCAGAAACAACGGCATGTCACTCGGGATGGCGGCGCGGACGGCCTCGACGATTTCACGCGTCAGTCGGGTCCTGTTCTCCCATGAACCACCGTACGCATCCGTGCGCTTGTTGCTCACGGGGCTGAGGAACTGGTGGAGTAGGTACCCGTGCGCGTTGTGGATCTCGACAACATCAAACCCGGCTTCGACGGCGCGCCTCGCGGCGGACACAAAGGCGTCCTTGATGCGGCGGATGCCCTCGAGGGTCAGGGCATTGGGGTGAGGGTAGGTCGGTGCGAAAGCGACGGCGCTGGGGGCGAGGGTGTCGTCGGGCCAGCCGTTCGCCTCACCGGCCAGGGCGGTGTCGCCGAGACTGAGCCAGGGTGCGACGGTGCTGGCTTTGCGCCCTGCGTGGCCGATCTGGATGGCGATCTTTTGGGATTGGCTGTGCGCGAACTCGACGATGCGTTTCAGGGGGGCAATCTGGCTGTCTTGCCACAGTCCGCTGTCCTCGGGCGTGATTCGACCCTCGGGCGTCACCGACGTTGCCTCCACCATCGCGAGCCCCGGCCCGCGCTGGATGATGCCGCCGAGGTGCGTCAGGTGCCAATCGGTCAGGTGGCCATCCTGCGCGGAGTACTGGCAGAGGGGTGAGAGCCAGATGCGGTTCTGGAAGGTGACTCCTCGGATTTTGAGGGGTTGGAATATCTTTGGGATGGCATGGTGGTCGGATTGAGGATCCCTCGCGGTCCCAGATGGTGGGTTCTGCGCGGGTGTGAAGTACGAGATGCCCTGAGCGGGCTTGTTGATTATCAGTGGTCTCTGATCTATGGAACCCATGATGGAAGTCGTGAAGGGAAAGAGATTTTGAGAATGACTAGGATTGCAGGAGGTGGTCGATTGAGAATGATACGATTCCGGTAGCAGTAGATGGACAGAAAGAGGTATTGTACTGGCGATGGTGGTGTTGTTTATCACGTACGGCAGAGTGAAGCGATTGCGACACTTTTATACTGGCCGACGGAGCACTTATGGAGTAGATGTACCGAAATCGAGTGACATTACCTTTACGTATTGTAGGTATTTTCTACGAGTACCGAAATGTTACCTAAGCATGCTGAACAAATGGCCGGATAGATGTCCCCCCAAAACGAAAGAAGAGATCCGTTTTTTTCCCTCAGTACGGAGTACGAGTAAAGGCTTTGAAATCAGAAACAAAAAGAAGCTTCCGTTGGAAACGATTTAGGAAAGACTGCCTATTTCATTCTACTCCCGTCGTCGTACGAGTGGATGTACAGTATGTACAGTACAAGGATCATGAACCCACATAAAAGACCACCTACAGTACTATCCGTATGACATTATTCTATGTACAAAGTACGAGCACTGATTCAACCGGCACATGTTCCCAAAGGAAAAAAAAAGGGCGATGACGTGATTTCAAACTGATCTCCAGAGTACGGCTAAAAGTTTTTGTTTTTGTTTTTTTGGCAAAGGACAAGGATAAATGTTCATATTACTAAGGTACGATATTGTTCTGTTACAGTACTTTGGTATTAGTAACCTACCTCGGGGTGTATTTCTCTTAATTATAATACATGGCCGAAAGGACTGGGATCATGCAGTCCCATGTCATTAATCGCTCCCGCCCTTCCCTCTTGATCGTTTCGTCAGACTTATACTCCCACTGTTGCCCTCGAACGTACTGTGTCGAGAGCCTGTCTGACACATTTCATGGTTCCCACTGTCCTCGCGCGAGCGCCACCGTCGTACTTCTATACCCCTCTACGAGTACTCCGTACCCATGACATGTTCACGTTCGTATGGCTTCACTTGACTTGTCATATCCAACATTCCTTCAAACTCGGAGGTGATTTCCAACTTTTGTACATGTGTGGAATAAGTTACGAAGAATGCTATTGGACACCAATGAGTACGGAGTACATACAGAAGAGTACATAAAAACATCCTGTATGGTGAGTTTTACATGACTTGTGCTTATGAACACACTATCTTAAATTGATGTTTTAATTTGATGGCATTCATAGTCATATCTGCCTTGGTACTCGTAGTGAACAAAACACCCCAACCCCAACCAACAACCGAACAAAATAAACCCCTTGTTTCTTGCTTCATACATCATCAATTGTCATGTTTCTCATAATTGGCATCCTAAATACTTCGTGTTCGATAAAAAATGGCGCTAATAACTCGACAAGGTCACCCAAGACCCAAAGACCACCTCATCATACGTACAATAGATCGATCAATCTTGTTAATCAAACGTTCCCAATGACGACCATATACCGGAGTTTATTGTCCTTGCTGGTCTTGTTGGTGTCCGGTCCACTCATCCCGTCGTCGAGTTGCATCTGGCTACTCTTCCAACCCCAGCTCTTGCTCACGTCGAACCGATCCGGAGCGCTCTCGTAGATGCTCAATAGCCGGCCGGCCTTGCTAGGTGAGTATATCTTGAAGTACGTCCGGATCGTAGGCCGCGAGTCCATATAAGGTGGCATGGTGGAAACATTGTATTTCCGGTTCCTGCGCACGAGCTCTTCATCCTCTTCATCTTCATCCAGCATTTGCGTGCCTGTGGCGCCCCCTTCTCCTCCAGAGTCCACCGTATTACCAGGCATTTGTGAAGTCTTGTTGTTGGTTGCTGCAATCCCGCCTATTCGATCCTTGGTGGGGGAGCTTTCCGTGTCGCCAAAGCGTACGGTCCCGGAGTCAAACTCCGTAGAGACCGACGATCCATCCTCGCGATCGGCTTCCGGCCCCCGAGCAGCTTCGCCGGTCCTCCAGATCTGATTGCGCCGTTCGTTCTTCCGAAGTAGCATCTCACGCTCGAGCTGTCCGATTCGATCGTCGACAGTGGCGGGGATGAACTGAGCCAGAGGGTCATCATTTGGGTCCTTGTCCTTGGCACGATGTAGATATATTCCGAGTTGTTGTGATTTCGAGTTGTTGACGCGTTGAATGTAGAGATTCCACAGGCTCCCTGCGTACCACACCGTCTGCGAGTAGATGCGTTTCTTCTCTTTTAGCGACCTCGGGTTGGGAAACTCGGCGGCGAAGCGAAACGGAGGATAATGGCTAAACCGGGGCGCATCCTCTGGCGAATAGTTCCTTGACGGAGGCCTACCACCTTCAATCACGTTTTGGCCAGTGAAGTCAAACGCCCAGGCCACATCCGTTGGTTCGAGACTCGCCGACAGTCTGGCTGCATTCGTGCTCCAGTCGGCGCCAATCGTCGCGTTCGATGCGATACAGGCTTCGCGGGTTCCGCCCATTACGCAGGACACATCATGGCTGGGAATCCAGAATTTCCGGGGCTTGCCATTGCCGTCCCATGAACCAGACTCCATCTCGAGACCAGCTTCGCTTGCCTCATCTTGCTCCCTTCCTTTCCCTTTGACCATGGCCGAGGCCTCTTGATCTGTGACAACCACTTCATAATCGTCGGCAACTTCGCTCAGCCCTAACTCAATATCTCCATCTCGAGCGTTGAGGACTTTTTGTCGAAGTTCCATGGACATCCACAAAGCATCAGATATAACCTTTTCTGGTAGTATAGGAACCCCGAGAATATCTCGGTGAGAGCGAATCTGTTGCAACTGCTCGAATCGCAGATGCACGTAGTGAATGCCCTCATCAAGAAGGACCAATAGCGGTGCAACTTCGGGTGTGGTATACAGAGCGATCCATGCGTCGTCCTTTTCGGACACATACCGATTGTTACCTGCAATCCTGTATGGAGCATCAAACCTCACCGCGAAAAACCGGAGGCTATTCGGCTTTGGATGAATGTATCGTCCTCCAGGAGAGACTAGACCATTCTCGACGGCTTTGGCCCGAAGACGGCGATTGAGTAGCTTCACCGCCAAATACCATCTGTCCCATTCTCCAGGCACGAAGAAAGGGTCACCGCCAACGATCTCACGAATGATCTCTGCGGGTATCTCGTCCCAGAACTCATATGGCATCTCCCAACCTTCCCTACACAACATAGCTTTGGCTGAGGCAAGGATACGATCTCCGGATTTGCCATAGTAATTGTTTGTGACGAGCTTGATGAGGCTGGCGAGCGTAGAAGGCTGCATTTGCCGAAGAATGCTTTCGACACATGAATCAACCAGGTCTGGTATGTCGAGCCAACAGCCCGTTGCGAAAAGTCCAATGGCTTCTTCCTCTTCCTGAAGTGGAAACTGCGTGCCATATATCCTTTTCAAGGCAAGCTCAAATGCAGTTTTTGTAATGTTTGCATCGATATCCTCAGGCAGAATGGTTATTTCTTTGGCACTACTTTCTGCCCATGATCCAGAAAATGCCGAGGCAAAGAAAGGGACTCGGTCGAGTAGAAGTTTATGAAGTTTATAAGCTTGTCCAAAGGCGTGCACTGTTATATCGGAGTGGCGTCCTTCTTCAAATCCAAAGTGGAATAGGTGGCCGGTCAGAGTCGAGGTATCACCAATACTCCGGCCAATACCCGAGATGGCACGGATATAGGATGGACCTCTCGACAAACTTGGACTTCGTGCATCCCCAGGAACGAATAGGCGAGAGACGGTAGCCGGGGTACTGGCTGAGGCAATATCCAGAGCATTTGTCGTCGTGTTTGTCGTTGGGTCATCGACATCTTTCTCTGAGCTGTTTAGAGGTTGTCTATTTGCAGTCACTGGTGTTGAAGGAGTAGTATCACCAGGCCGACTAAGACTTCGACGGCTGCCGCCGGCATGTGTCAATGCAGCCAAGGGTCCTGTGGTACTGGAAGAGATCGCACCACTCATTGATGCTAGAGCAGTGTTTGCCGATATAGAAGCGGTTGGAGGTCCAGATGCGAAGATGGATCGAAGCGGAGGCTCGAACGAAGTTGTCGGGATGCTTTGCTCTCCATAGTTACTTGCAAGAACCTGGTTCGCAGACGCGGCTCTTCGTTGCGATAGTGGCCGTGAAGGACTCCCCGTGGTCTGTGGCAGCGGTGATCTGATAACTCTGGAGGAGGATGTATCGGCTAGATATTGTGATGAATGCAAAGGTGAAGCCACGCTGTTCCGGTCACTCCAGGGCGACCTAGGGTTTTCTGGATTTGGGGCTGAGGGCTCGTAATCACTGAAGAGTCCTTCCACATCATCTCTGGAAGCACTCCAACCGGACAAGCCTTCTTGGTCCATTCTAAAAGGGCTCAATTGGCCCGACAGTTTATTGTGAGACGCTTTATGATGTGGCCAGCCGCTTCATGGTAATTGCCAGAAGCCTGATGGTCACAGCTTCGAGGGAACGGCAATGACCCTTGGGAACCAACGGCTCTGGTATTCTTGACTCAGTATCTGGGTCGAAGACTCGGCGACCACAGTGTAGATGGTGTTACTCCGTATGAGGTTTGGACGTGAAAGTTGGAAGTTGGCAGGTGATGAATGAGACTAGCTGATGTGTGATGCCTTGTGGCTGGTGGCTGGTGGCCTGGTCTTATCGATAACGAGCCGAGTGACTCTCTTTGGATGCCGCAAAAGTGACATCTTTTGTTTCTCGCAGGCTCTCCTACATTAGAAACCACTTGTTCACGAGCAGGACTAACAACTAATTACCCATGCGTGGAATTTTGTGCTGGATTTTCCTGAAAGCCCACTGCTCGTGATTGACTATATTCACCAAGGCCATTTAGTTCTAAAATCATGGCCCTTTGGCCACTCGACTCACTTTCAATTCTAGATGGACGGACATACAGATCACCCCTCCGTTCCGAACGGTAATACCGTGCTTTACCGAGAACCCTTGAATCCTATCGACCCTCCAAACAGTCTCGGGCACAATGCAGCCGCCCCGAAAAGACCAGAACCTCCAGTACGACGTTCACAGGGGGTGGCCTCCTCTCGAGATCAGAGCCCAATGGGTTTAACGACCAGGGATACAAGGTTGGACTCGAACGGGGTTGATGGACATAACAATGATATGAAAGGCCACAAACTCCTGAACAGTGCTTTGTTGCCTGAAAATGCCAATGAAACCACGAAATCACCCGATAATGGAGCACGCAAGTCCCCTTCGAACGGACCTGAGAACGCACGCAAAGCATCAGGGAGCGCAGGTCAGAGAGTGCCTTGGGGCACAACACCGGATGGATATAAAGGCATGGAATCTCCTTCTCATCCAGAAAATGTGCTCAAATTGTCGCCGGAGAAGTTACAAGACCTTACGGCCTCCCCAGAATCATTACCGCTTCGAGCTATTGATTCGACTGCGCAGCATCACAAAGCCAGACCCAGTCCCCTTCCTTCTGCACAGCTTTCCGATGTATTCACAGATGAAGGACCCGCGCCGGCGGTCGCAATCCGTTCGCCTCTTCTTCCTTCAGCCGATATGGGTGACTCCAGGAGACCACGACATTTAACCATCGAGACTGGTGGCCGGCAGCGACATCCCGAGATCACACCTAGCCCAAGGCCCGGTCTCCTTCAGCGTGCCATCTCAACACCTGGGTCGATCAGAAGTCCTCAGTCGCCGCAGAAGGGGGAACGGGTCCGTCCAACACTCGTAGTGCCCGACGGTTCATCACGCACTGAGGGCGCAGATGGAAGGCGATACTCATCGTCTGGACGTCCATTGCCCTCTCCAATGCCAACATCCATCCCTCTTCCACCATTATCACTTCCGACTTATCTGCAGCTGGAATTGTCTTCTCAACGGCCCTCACAGCTATATATTCACAGATCTGCTGCCAGCGACTTCCCCTATGAATCATCTCGTGCGAAGATTGAAAGGCTCATGAATTTCCTGTTACTCCCTCCACACCTAGAGGGCGTGCTTTGGTTTGGTATTCTGGCTTGCCTCGATTCATGGCTATACATCTTCACTATACTCCCGCTCCGGCTCCTGAAATCTATCTACATCCTCGTTCAATCCTGGACTATCAATCTGACGACTGAAGTTCACTTTGTTTCCAGCTTTGTATACCAAGGCACTGGTCGAATGTGGAAGAGACGGCGAAGCAGCATCCCTCCGAATACAGGCCGGAAAGTGTCAGAACCAAGTGCCACGGAACCCAGGTCCACGCAGAATGCGTCGTTACAGACTCGCAGGCAGAATCGACATCATCGGCGGACAAAATCAGTTCCTTCCGCGCTGCTACCGGATGACAAAGCTGATCTTTTGAGAGGCCTTTTGATCCTCACCACCTGCACAGTCCTATTGAGACTCGACGCCAGCAGAATGTATCACTGGGTTCGTGGACAAGCAGCGATAAAGCTCTATGTCATCTACAACATCTTGGAAGTTTGCGATCGACTCTTCTCCGCGATCGGACAAGATGTTCTCGAATGCTTGTTTTCTCGTGAAGCACTTGAGCGGAAACCGGATGGCCATAGCAAAATCTTGCGGCCTTTCTGGCTGTTTGTACTTGCTCTTGTGTACACAGTCATTCATTCGGTGGCTCTATTCTACCAAGTTATCACGCTCAACGTCGCTGTCAACTCATATTCCAACGCCCTCATTACACTTTTGATGTCGAACCAGTTTGTCGAAATCAAAGGCACAGTGTTCAAGAAATTCGAAAAGGAGAATTTATTCCAATTAACCTGTGCGGACGTGGTTGAGCGTTTTCAATTGTGGCACATGCTTGTCATTATTGCAGCTCGCAATATCGTTGAGACTGGAGGACTGAGCTCTGGACTCAGCGCATTGATGAACGCGGCTTCTGCGACAGCGTCAGCGCCGTCGGCTAGCAACAGCAGTCTGCCCTTGACAGGTGCAGTTCCTCCTAGGTCAGCGAGCTCGATCTTACCAAGTTCTTTTACTCTCCTACCGGCAGTGGTCAACTCGATAACTTCGTATGCCCCGGCTGTTAGCCAGGTACTGGGACCATTTTTTGTTGTGTTGGGATCTGAGATGTTGGTTGATTGGTTGAAACATGCCTACATCAATAAATTCAACAACACACGTCCTGCGATTTACGATCGCTTCCTTGACGTCTTGGCCAAGGACTACTACACGAATGCTTTTGGCGATCAGAATCTCACAAAAAGGCTGGGCCTTCCTGTTATCCCTTTGAGTTGTCTCTTCATCCGAGCAAGCGTGCAGACGTATCAGATGTTCATGGCGGCATGGGTTCCTTCAACTGCACCCAGTTCATCGACCAGCCTGGCCAGCATATACGAAGACTATTCAGCAGCACGGTCATCCTTGCCTCTGAGTACAAGTGCAACCATCTCCAGGACAGTTGATGACATCATCCGATCGATACCAACGGTGATCACAAAGTCCAGCATTGTGACTCACATGACGACTGTTCTCATGTTCCTTTTACTGTTTTTGATCTTGCTGGCGTGCAAGCTGGTCTTAGGAATGGTCCTTCTAGCCTTCGCCAGGTCTCGATACCACTCTATGAAATCACGGGAGAAGAACACTGTACACCATGTAGAAGGAGGCCGTCGGGTAGGAGGTTGGGGAGTGGTCGAGGTGGACGAGGACAAAAGACGGTGGATTTACGAAGACGATGCTGCAGGTCTCCGGGCGCTGAGAGAAAAGGAAGAACGAGACAAGAACAAACAGCAAAAAGAAAAAGAGAGAGGGCACGGAGTAGATGCCTTTGACAAAGTGAAACGATATGAAATGGTGGCCAAGAGGATATGGTGATGTGTACGGAGTTGCATAGTGTCCCTTGCACAATAGGCACTCCCTACAAGTATCCGCACCCCGTATTCCATGCAAGATAGTTCGTACTCTGAAGTAAAACTTGATCAGCGGCGTTTTGCGGTCTATGTTTTGGCTGCGGGCAAGATCGGCTTCATATCCATTCACAAACAAGCATCCGAACGGGCACAACGGGTTCCTGCATGAGCCGATCGAAGGTCACGAATGAGAGATCGGGGGGCTGACGCGTGGCGTGTTTGAGGATTCGGATCCAGGGGAAGAAGAGACCAAACCCTTTGGGCGTTGCTAGATCGTTGTAGGCATAGTCTTGTCAATTCTTGTTTGAGATGGGCGGCCTTTGGAGCCTCCGGGCTCCACGTAAGCTGCCCTTGAGCCATTGACATCTCATCTGATGCTGGGGTGGCTCCAGTTCAATCACTCTAGTCCCAGTAAAGCACCCATAACTCCCGTACAGTACACATCTCCAGACAAACCTCCTCCCTGGTCACGCATTCCCATTCACTCGTTCATCCCTTCTGCGCTTGCTATTCTCTTCTATTGTCCGTCCCAGCAATCAATCACTCTCCTTACAATTGTTGCATCAGATCCCTCGCTATTCGATACAACCAAAAAAATTCACCTTTCAGCCACTCCTTACTGTACCTCTCGGTTTCTGTCATTGTTCTCAACCAGGGTGCTCGGTCCACATCGAGCCCGGTCCATTCTTTCAACCCAGCCGCCCTTGTCCCTGTGCTTTTTGTCCGTCCGCAGTCAACCACGCGCACCCAGGCTCGTGATTGTTCCTCTGCGACGGAGTACTCATCCTCAATTCCTTGTATCCTCGTCGGTCCCAATAACCAAGGAGAATCGTTCGACGGGTTTCTCATATCAACAGTGATACTCCTGTCACCAAGGAATCTTTCAAGGAAGCAATGAAATAAAGCTCTTCAATACAAAGGCGAACCCAAGGCAATCGAGCTGGACTCTTGTCTCTGACCAGCGGCTGAGCCGTGCTGCAACACCTGCCACCAACATACACACGACCTGTGTTGAGAACAGTAAATACCGGCCACAAACCTGGTCATCCTCTCGTTGAATCATCATCCAGTTCCTGCCCGGCCGCAGCTGACTGCGAGTTATCACAAAAACCAAAATACCACATTCATTATGGGCTGCTGCGGTGGTGAAAGAGAAAAGTTCGGCGCCTTGAGCGCTGAACAGAAATGGGAATACATTGTGAGTGTTGGCCAGAGGAAGAGAAGTTTTATACCCTGACTGACCCGCTGTACAGAATCTTGAGGACTTCAAATCTTCCTCGTGCTGGACACCGTTTGCCTATGGCTACCTCCTTGTTATGCTTGTCGTTTCCATATCCGTCTACGCAGTCGATACCTTTACCGCCATCAACCTCCTCGCATTCGACCGGTGGGCTGGACAGATCAAACCAGAAATTCCTCTGAATATCTCGCGATGGATCTTTGCGGGATGTATCATCCTCTCTTTCGTTCTTCTAGTCTATCGGTGGTGGCGTGCGGTTAGAGTCATGAGACAAGGTGGCGTGGCTAAGAGTTATCTTGACCCGTTGGCGGTACGAGTGCAATCCATCAGATGGGGACAGGGAAAAGGATGGAAACGATTCTTGGTGTTTGCTGAATTGACCAAGAGTCGGAAGGGTGCCGACTACGTTGCCCTCTTCACCTACTTTTCATTCGAGGCCTGGTTACGAATTGTGTTTGCCGAAGGTCCACGACAAGTTATCAATGCAATTACCCTCTACTCAGTCTTGAGGTTGAAGCTGATCCCGGTGGGCGAGCATGCCCCCAACGACGGACACTCTCCCATTGTCCAATTCTTTGTCAATGTCGGCATCCTAGCAGATTCCAATCACCTACAGGCCGTCATTTTGTTCGGTATGCTGTGGACACTGGTCATCTGGGTTATCTCAGTCATCAGTCTGATGGTGTCTGTGGTCCTCTATCTGCTTTTCCTTTGGCATCATATCCCCAGTGGCGATGGAGGTCTTACGGGTTATTGCCGGAAAAAGATCAATCGAAGAATGGAGAGGATTGTGAGAACCAAGGTGGACAAAGCGTTGAAGAAAGAAAATCAACTTCGAGCTCGACAAGAAGCCCAGGCTGCTCGAGAAGGACTTGAAATCAAGAAGCAACCTACTCTGCCCAACCTCAGCACCGATAAATTAGACGCCTTCCCAGGTTTGTCTCGACAGACAACAATGACTACTCTGCCCGAATACACATCCAGACCAGGGACGGGAAGGAATAGCAACGAGTCACTGCCAACCTTACCAAATATTTCCTCTCGACCGCCAATGCCGGTGCGCACTGTCACGCATGGATCGACGGCCTCTTTTGAAAGCTTCACGTCGAACGCACCTTTGATGAGCTCCGCAGGAGAAATGGGCACGACACCAGACCGAGGACAAGATCCCAATGGTGCTTGGTATGGCAGACCATTGCCCAATCGAAATCCAACAGGGATGTCTCAGTATTCTCAGCGCTCATATAGCCCAGCCCCCAATCGACCAGGCACAGCGCAAGGAAATCGAAATGATCCTGGATCTTATCAAATGGATCCTCTCCCACGACCTGGCACTGGCATGTCCAACCACTCTCTCCCGCGATACACTCCGAACAGTTCTGGAGCTCTCCCTTACCCAGATGATCGGAGCTCTACGTCATCCAAGGCGCCTTCGTGGTCTGGATCGAACTCCGACCCAGCTGTAGACAGTATGGGACGTCGTGCGCCAGCCGCTGTTGGACCTGCCTTTCCAAGCATTTCCGAAGAACGAGGCCGCATGTCACCTCTTCCTGGTCCACAATTTCGGTCGCAAACTCCTGTCAGAGGTCCAGAACGATCATTCACACCAAACGGACCACCGCCTCGAGCCATGACAGCAGGTGGTCCACCACCAGTCGACAGGTCTTTCACGCCTAATGGCCTGCCTTCACGGGCTATGACACCATCAGGTGGACCGACATTACCTCGACTACAAAATACATCAGGTGCAGGATACGTACCGTATTCGGAGGAACCACGTTCAATGACCCCTGCATCCTCGATACCGCCCAGTGCTACAATTCGTAGTGTTAATGAGCCAACAAGAAGCTATTCACCGTTCAGACCCCAGGGATCTGGACCACAAGGAAGAGCACCACCTTCAAGACAGGGTAGTGCAGTTGACGATATCTTGGACCATTATTGACCGATCAACTAACCTGATCCCTGCTAATACTCCATATTTGGGCTCATGACCACGAATTTTATAATGATGATAAATAGCTAGCGAACTTGTGTGTGTGTATCAAGAGTGTCACAATCGATGCTTCAATCAATTACATTTGAAACTAAAATGATCGATTTGTCCGAGGATATCGATTCCTCGTTCAACCTTGGCATAAAATGATGTATACAGGTAGAACATGTAGTCCGTACAGATTACAATTGATCACCAGCAATGTGGTCTGACTTGAGCTGGATATTTTTGTAAGCTCTCCGATTGGTTAGAAACTGAAATGTACGGATACGAGGTTGTTCACAGGTAGATCCAGTAACAACGGTAGTCGGGTACTGCACCTTTTTCTTTCTCTCTTCTGTTTCATTCTCCTCTGTCTGCCTGCAGCATTGAACACAGCGTTGGCTTTCCAGTCATGCTGCCCGGCTCAGGCTTTGCGCGAGCTCTTCGCGAAGCCGCGCCAGGTTTGTCCAAGCGGTTTTTTTCCAACTGCGGTCATCCTCGCAAGGTTGAACAACATCTTCGTCGCCCGTTCACGCAGCAGACTCAAACCTTGACGACCGCGGAATCTACCACGAGAACGGCCGCCTCCCGACGACCCTTCGTGCAAGGATGCGGCACACAGCAGCAGTCGAGCGTCAGTAGGAGGTACGATGCGGCCAAGAGATTCGAGTCTACTCGCTTGTTCTCGGCCTCTGCAAATTCAAGAGCTACTCTACAAAAGACCGCGGCGGCGGCGGAGAGTGGTGAGGCTGCGCAGTCTAGCGATGGAGATGCCGCCGGGCAGAACAAGAACAACTCGTCGTCGTCTTTCCCGGATACGTCGTCCAACACAGTGGCGTACTGGCTTCTCGGTAGCGCCGCGAGTGTCTTTGGGATTGTGGTGTTTGGTGGTCTCACCAGACTCACAGAGTCAGGGTACGTTCAAGAAATATACGACAATGCTTATACGCTTTTGTTGCTTTGCTCTGGCCTACACTTGTTTCGAATGACTAACAATTGGTTCTTCTTTTCCAGACTAAGTATAACAGAATGGAAACCGGTGACTGGATCCCTCCCACCCATGTCCCAAGAAGATTGGGAATCCGAATTCGCCAAATACCGTTCGTCGCCGGAATTCAAAATGCTGAATTCGCGCATGACACTCGAGGAGTTCAAGAGTATATACTGGATGGAATGGATTCACAGACTCTGGGGTCGGTTCATCGGCCTCTCGTTCGTCCTGCCGGCCGCGTACTTCGTCGCCAGGCGGCGAGTGTCACGCAGCATGGCGGTGAGGTTACTGGGTATCGCCGGCCTGATCGGGTTCCAGGGTTTCATCGGTTGGTGGATGGTCAAGTCGGGACTCAAGGACGACTTGTTCGCCCCGGGCAGTCACCCACGCGTGTCGCAGTACCGGTTGACGGCACACCTGGGTGCTGCGTTTCTCTGTTACCTCGCCATGCTTTGGAACGGCTTGGACATTCTCAGGACGAACAAAATCCTCAAGGCTTCCACCGCGGCACCGGCCAGAGCACAAGGTGTTTTCGACACTCTCAAAACCCCCGCTCTCAGACCGTTCAAGCGGTACGTGGGTTTGTTGGCGGGGCTGGTTTTTATCACGGCAATGTCCGGAGGTCTCGTCGCCGGTCTGGACGCGGGTCTGATCTACAACGAGTTCCCTTACATGGGTCTCGGTTTGACCCCTCCCAGGTCGGAACTGTGGGACAAATTCTACTCCCGCGAAGAGGACGGGAGCGACCTGTGGTGGCGCAACATGTTGGAAAACCCTAGTCTGGTACAGTTGGACCATCGGATCCTCGCCACCACGACCTTCACGGCCGTCATGGCCCTGTGGGCTTTCAGTCGAACCGGGAACATGGCCAAGATCTTGCCCCGAGCCGCGAAGAAGGGAGTCCACGGGGTTGTGGGTTTCGTTTGGTTGCAGGTCACCTTGGGCATATGTACCTTGTTGTACCTCGTTCCCACACACCTGGCGAGCGCCCATCAAGCCGGCAGTCTGGCGTTGTTGACGTGGACCGTGGTCTTGGGAAGTCGGGTTTGGTTCCCGAAACAAGCGGCCAAGATTCTTGCTCAGCGTGCACAAAAGGCCGCTCTTCAAGGCGTTCAGGGCAACGCAGCAGCTGCTGCATCACCATCAGCAACTGCCGCAGCAGCCACAACGACGACGGGCCCAGTTTTGGCAGCGACAGTCGTGCCTGGCATCACGGCATTCGCCATGATGATGAGCAATCAAGCCGAAGGTGATTTGAGGGATCAACTCGTGTTGCAGCGGCAGAGGGGAAAGGAGGAGGTGGAACGACAGTAATCAGTGAGGGAAAGGTGGTGTTAAAGATGAGGAGCGGGTGACTTTGGGGGGTTTCCCTTAGTCCGTATATATACTCTCTGCTTCCTTGCCATCACTCGTTGTTGATGGCAACTGTACGACTACTTTGATATCATGTCATGTCATAGAGCAAGTAAGCCATGTTAAAACCCGGGAGCGTAAGGCCTTGAAAGAATAAAAAAAGACTCTTCGATTTCAATTCTCTCTTCTGACATATTGTTCGTGCCGCTGGTTATGCAAAGACACACACGTGTGTGATGGGACATGAGAAAGTTTCATCTGACCGTCTGGCCCCTCTCTGTCTCTTGTCTCTCTCCCCTTATTGTCTCGGTGTACATCATCACCCCAAAAAGGTTCCGGCTCCATTCCATGCCTCATCAACGTCTATAGCGTACAACTCGTATCTCATCCCAGTACGGTCTTTCTTGCCTCTCTTGTTTCTTCTCTCTCTCTCTTGGTAGTCTCCTTGAAAAGAAACCCCCACATGGCATCTCTCTATCCATCCACGCAAGATGCTAATTCTTTCCCAATATCTCTAGTCAGGTTTGCCAAATCCAGAGGGAGGCGAAGGTGAACTACTCTTCCCTTGAACAAGAGAAACAAGAAGGCGGTTCACTCGGTCTCGTTTACCGCTTTGATCAATCAATGCTTGACACTCACGTCCTCTTCAGGCATTGGCTCGATCCCGACGACTTCGGCGGCAAGTTGCTTGTCCTTTCCGGTGTTCTTCTCTTCCTTCATGAAGGGGAAGGCCAAAACCTCACGGATCGTGTAGTTGTCGGTCAGGAACATGACCATCCGATCGATACCCATACCCCAACCGCCCGTGGGGGGTAGACCGAACTCGAGGGCCGTGCAAAAGTTCTCGTCCACCATTTGCGCCTCGTCGTCACCTTGTGCCTTTTGGCGGGCCTGCTCTTCGAACCTCAATCGCTGATCGAACGGGTCGTTCAACTCGGTGTAAGCGTTGACAATCTCCTTCTTGCACACGAAGGCCTCGAAACGCTCGCAGATGCCGGCCTGGGAACGGTGGTACTTGGCCAAGGGGGACATCATTTGCGGATGGCCCGTGATGAAGGTGGGGTTGATGCACTTTTCCTCGATGAACTCGCCCACCAACTTGTCGAGCATGCGAGCGTTGGTCTCGGGCGGCGAGCACACGACGTTGACCTTCTTCAAGAGACGCTTGAAGAACTCGTTGGTCTCGGCGGTGTGGAGCTGGTCACCGGGGGGGAACTTCTCACCCGTCGCTTCTTCGAGGGCCGGGATCATGTCGATGCGCTTCCAGGGACGGGACCAGTCGACGTCGTACGTCTCGCCGGTCTGGGTGTGGAAAGTCGTCTTGTGTCCGCCGGTGACTTCCTTGACGAGTCCAGACACGAGCTCTTCGGTGCGGTCCATCACGTCATAGACGTCAGCGTAGGCCTCGTAGAATTCGCAGGTCGTGAACTCCGGGTTGTGCGTGAGATCGGCGCCCTCGTTGCGGAATTGCTTGCCTAGTTCGTACACACGTTCGATGCCACCGACCACGAGCATCTTGAGATACAGCTCCGGAGCGATTCGCATGAACATGTCGGTATCGTACTCGTTGATGTGTGTGACGAAGGGCTTGGCCGTGGCGCCGCCGGCGATCGAGTTCATCATTGGCGTTTCAACTTCGATGAAGCCATTCGAGTCGAAGTAGTTGCGGATGTAAGAGACGATCTTTGCCCGCGTGAGGAGGATGTTGCGAGAGCGGTCGCTCATGATCAAGTCGAGGTATCGTTGGCGGAAACGAGTTTCCACATCTTGAAGACCAAAGTGTTCCGAGGGTATTTGATGCAGACAGGGCGTGAGGAGGATGACTTCGTGCGCGAAGACGGAGAGTTCACCATCGTTGGGTCTGTTCTTGGGCGATGTCCGGCCTGGGTAGCCAATGACGCCGATGATGTCGCCTCGTCGGAGGTGTTCATGTTGTGCTTCGAATGCAACGTCGCCCTTGGCCTCTTGGGCTTGACACATGATCTGGACCTTTGTGCCGGCTCCTCTGATGTCGTAAAAGACCAGCTTGTTGCCCGACGCTCGCTTGGTGTAGACTCTGCCGGCGACTCGGATCTCGACGTCTTTCTTCTGCTCTCCTGGCTTGAGGTCGGCATGTTCAACGAGGAACTTGGGGATGTCGGTGTTGACTTGGAACTTGTGAGGATAGGGGTTTGGGTTCTTGGTTTCTCGCATGCGGTTGACCCGTCCACTCCGGATCTCGAAGTATTGCTACGAAGGGGGTAGGTTAGCAGGCCTGCGAAAATGAGCAACGGAAAAGATGGACCAACGTTCGGGTTGAGGTTGCTTTCGTCCAGTTCTGCGCTGGAAGCCTTCTTCTCAGGCTTGGGAGGCGCGGCGGCTGCCTTTTCCTTCTTCTTTTCCTCCTGTTGTCTTTGCTTCTGTCTCTTCTTCAATTCCGACTTGGAGACTCTTTCGCCTGTGACCTCGTCGAGGTGCAGGTTCGCAGTTTCCTGCGCGAGCGAAGTGTTTGCGTCCGCCATGCTGGAGGATTCTCAGTCGATTGTTTTGTCAAGACTTGAAAAGAAGAGCGGAGTGTCCTGCGTGGTTAAACAATCACTGCTTGAGTCATTGGGGCCGTTGGTGGGATGGGATTTTGTCTAGAAGTTTTTGACTCAATATTTTTCACGGTGCGGCACCACATGACTCAGGGACAAGAAATCGGAACGCAGGCTCGCAATTGCTATTTACTCTGCGCACCCGGACCAACCAATGTGTTTTAATGGTCGGTGTCTACAATACTGGTACCTAGTCGTGTGAAACTCTGGTCTACAGCATCTTCAAGCCCATGTTCACGCACAGTCCCCATATTCCAGCCTGCATCAACCAGAAACCCGATCCATACAGCCTGCCCTTGCCTTGTGCCTGTTGCCCTGCGATGTATCCATACGCATAGACGATTCTGAAGAATATCCAACCTGCTCCGAGTGCTGCTGTTGCTACAGGGTATTCGAGGCCTGCAAAAAGCATAGATGCAATAGTCTGAGGCATATTCTCCATATAGTTTCCGTGAGCTCGCTGCGCGCAGTTGAACTTGTATGATGCTTGATTCTCTTTCGCTTCCTGTGGCGTGGCATATGGGTTGGGATATGTAACTCGAGCTGGCTTTCGACAGATCCCTACGACGATGCCTTGGGCAAATGCCAATACCGGCGCCAGGCCTAGGGCCACGAGGACAACGTAGCTTGTCTGTCGTTAGGCGGTTATGAAACATTCGAACATTCCGGGAGAACTTACCCATAATTGTCGGGAACCGTAAAGGTGTGTGCCATTGTATGAACGGTTCGAGATTGAAGGTCGGAAGGTAGTGAGAAGGGATGTTGTATCTGTAGAACAGTGTTGTTTTCAAGTCTGTCGGCTGGTGCAATGGTGCGGTAGTGATATAACGAAATAGAGGCTCCTTCCTCCTGGACGGGGACGGCGGCTTCGGATGAACCTGGACTCCGACCCTCGGTTTGTGTGACGAGGTACTCACAATCAACCACCCACCTTTAAACAACACTTTGTCCTTGGTGAACTTGCTGTCCTTTGTCATAGTTCTCCTGTATCGTAGTGGAAAATCACAAGATGTTCAACAATGATGGCTGCTGCACTTGACCCCGCCCTCGCGAATGCAGCTCATACGTCCATTGAGTGGCGAGGTCCTCGCGTCGTGACGGTCTTTTCTTCATCGGCAAGCTTGGAGGCGGCCCTTCTGACTGCTCATTACATATGTGTCTTCTCTTTAAGAATGAGTAGCATCAACTGATGACAAAGGAAAGAAAATCCAGGAGGGGTATGACCCCAGTAGGCTATCAATTATACTCGCAGATCAGGGAGCATCAAGCAGCACTGAGAACCTCAGCACCTCATAAGGGTACGACGAAATATTCAGAAAAGAAACATTGTAAGAAGAGGTGGAAAACCACAATAAATAGAGTGCTGGCATAATCAATGTCAGTTGCGGACTACTAGTTGTAAGGAAAGGAATTGCATAATGGGACGCCTAAGAAGAACTACCTATCCAAGCACGACATTGTGCCTAGTGAGTCTAGTCCGGCTTGACGGAGCAATAAGTAGTAAGAGTCAGCAGTTTCAGCGATTTAGCATAGACACAACCTAAGCTCTCTGTGAAGAGCACCTATGATCACAATTCGTCCTGGAAAGCAAGTTTTCTCTATCGCCGTTGACATGAGTATCGAGTGCAAGTTCTTGATACATTCCGTCTATCGTAGCCACACCTGTGTAATGCGAGAGACCTGTATCACATAATGACTTCGTTTGCGACATCGCGCTTCAGTTCCTTGTAAGGTAGGCAGATGCAGTTCTGGACTCGAATCTCATCACCCACCGCACATTCTTTACCAAGAATCGTGATGGCCTGGACCTTGACACCATTCTTGATGATGCTAGTGGTATGGCTGCTGACCGGAGTGGGAGTGCCCTCAACTCGGGCCCACGCACCGACGCGACTATTCCAGCCAATGATTGCATAAAGGACACAAGCATCATGCTTGATTTCTGCCTCCTCAAGGACGATCGCCTCCTTCACACGAGCTCCCGCCCCGATGATGGCCTTGGGCCCAACGGACACGTTGGGACCCAGCTTAGCTGTAGGGTCGACGGTAGCAGTAGGGTGGATGAAGACAGGGGGTACAACGGTGGCTGACGGGGTTGCGATCTCCTCAGATTGAGACTGGAATGCCTTCGCTAGGTATAAAGCGTTAGCTGGGACGGCGGAACCAGCAGTCTTGATCTGGCGCCAGAAATCCTTAGTTTCGTGGACGTAGAAGCGGTTGCTATCGGCCAGATCGGACAAAATATCCTGCTCGAGGCGAAGAACCTCGTTCTTCTCGCCATCCTCTTCTGGGTCGGCAATGAAAGAGGACTCCATGTTCTCGGATGAAGGGTAGGAGATCATTCTTGGTCGCTCAGTCTTACGCTTGATAGCGATTCTGATGGATGGGAAGATACACTCGGTGGAGAAGAGATAGACGCCACAGTTGATCAAGTTTGAGATATGGCCCTCAGGTTTTTCGACGTAGTGCAAAACTCGCTTCGTGTGTGAGTCCGACACAATGCAACCGAAGTTGGTGGCGGCATCATTGCCGACACGAGTCCCGAGAATGACTGCTTCGGCGTCTTTCTCCTCGAAAAGCTTGAGCATAGCCTCGAGGGGGAACGAGCAGCAAACATCGGAATTGAGCACAAAAAATCGGTCTGGCTTGCCCTTGAGAATAGCGTCACGGAAGTGGTAGAGGCCTCCAGCGGTTCCCAAGGCTTGATATTCACGTAGGTACTGGATCTTGATTTGAGGGAATTCTTTCGAAGAGTCTTTGATAAAGTCGCGAAAGACACTCTCGTCATAGTAACCAATGAGAATAACCTCCTTGATATCTGGGACTTTGGAAACCGCCTTCAAGCAGTGCCAGATGATGGGATGGCCAGCAACTTCGAAGAGTGGCTAAAGCAGGGGCATTAGTGACTGTGGGCGACCTCTGAAAAGGCGGGTGAAGGTTGATTACCTTTGGAAGATCCAAACTCAGCGGCCTGAAACGAGTTCCTCGAGATGGGCCTCCCACCTAATCGCGTCAGCGGTGCGCAATCTTCGCTTTATCTGTAATACCAACCAGAATGACTGCTTTGGTGACGGCATTTGGGCCGCTGGCCTTGTTACGCGACGGGACCTTCAGCATCTTCGATAGCGATAATGTCAATAATGAAATTTGCTAAACGAAGCGTGACTCGCAAGATGGTTTAATTAGATTTCAATAAATCGAAATTGTGGTGGTCGTTCACAGATTTCAACTGAGGCCACGTTCACATATTGAGTGTCATTCACCGCTAACATTTACCTAAAGAGACCCTTCGAGGCCCATGGCTCTACTGCCAAGGCGCTATTCCTTATTTGGCCGTCATGCTTGCTCCTGAAATGTGGCGTTGTTCAGCTCGACAATTGTGCGTAACATTGACTTTTGCTCAGCCAGCCTTTTCAACACGTGCACAATACGTATTACAATGCGCTGCTATTGGTACAGCAGAGTGGTAGAAATGTGTGATACAAATGTGCACAATTGAGAGTCCACAGGCCGAAGAATGTTTCATATACTAATGCCGACTACCCTTAGACTCTCTCCTGCTTGATATCCTCCTCCAGCAATTCACGCTGAACACCAGTCTGTGCGACGCTGCCAGTCATTGCAGCTGTACCGACCTCCTTGAGGAAACCAAGCGAAGACGTCTCCTGCTTCCAATAAACGATATACTTGCTCTGGACTTCGATCAGACTCATTCGCGGATCCCTCCACGTGCCGTCATGCACGCCGTCCTTGAGATCCCCAAACCAGGCGCTGACACCAGTACTGTAAAGCTCTTTGATGCGTGGATCGTCATTACTCGTCGTTGTCGCGGTGCCTGAGATGCTGATCCAATCTTGTGTCTTGCTGTCCTGGAATGTGATCTGCACCTCTTTGTTCGCGTCTAGGTCCTGGAATTTCCTGCTATGCTTGTTGGCGAGATACAAGATATCCGGGCCCGATCGTTGGGCAACGGCCATGGATCGACCAACAGGCCCTACCGAGTTACGATACGTGGAGAGGATACTGATTTTCTTGCCGTCAATCAGCTCATAGAGTTCCTTAAATTGGACGTCTTTCGGTGTCTCAGTGTCGAATTGCTTGGACACGGACGGGTCGGTTTTGCTGTTGACCTCTTCGGGCTTCAATTGCTCTGGCATCTTGACTGATGTACTGGTGGATAGCTGCTTTAGGTTTGAAAAGCTGCTGATGCGATACTGACGTGGTCGAGATGTGCAGAGTACCGATCTTGCAAGAGGTAGGCGCAGAGGTGTGGTCATTTTACCAGAATATACACATGTCAAGATCAAAAGAGGGCCGCTTATAATAACCATAACCCGCTTCGACTCAATCGATGAAATCATGCTGGTTTTGACTTTCCTTGTTTCGTGGTGCATGATGACGGAAATTGGGGACCAGATCGCCTCGCAGTCGTGCGACTGTGGTACACAATGGACGAGTCATGCCGAGTGTGTGTTGAGGGACTTCGGAGTCGGACTCAGGGTATCCCGGGAGCACGCAACGACCACAGCATCTGCGATCGAAGACGATGTTCGAGGTCATAGTGGGTAGGAAACATGATCCTTGAAAAGTCGTGACGACAGAGCGGAAAAGTGTTTACAGATATGCAGTTTCCGCTGCCAAGGCCGGGACATCTCATTAGCAGTCACTTCTAGCCTTGTTCAACTCCTCACTTTTCAGCAGTCTCGGAATAGTATTGAGGGCGGTAGTCGTCGCTATTAATATCCTGCGCGTAGTCGAAGCTCCAATGTCACTGCATCGAAATCGCCATCATCATGCAGCACGGACCACAACTCTAACACCATTACTCTCTGGTCGATACAATGGGGTCACTCCGTCACCGATGATTTCAATGTCCTTGTAACTCGTGTCATACAACTCTAGATACCCATGGTCCTTTTCAAAATGAATCTCGCTGCTTCCGTACCGACTGAAGACAGCGGCCACCGCGAGATAGAGCTCTGCATATGCCAAATTCATGCCTACACATGCTCGCGTGCCACGAGAGAACGGCACCAGAAAATCATCGAGACTAGGATTGCTGATCCAACGCTGTGGTCGAAATTCCATGGGATCTTCGAAATAAGTTGGCGAATGGTGAATTAGCAGGCCAGTCATCGACAGCGGTATACCGGGACGAAGAACATATTGCTTTTCAACGGTACTGTTCTTGTCATCTGCCTCTTTTCTAACCGTATAAATGAGCGTTTCATCTGTGGCAATGCGCTGCAAACGGGTGCTGATGCCACTGCTCAACCGAAGACCTTCTTTGATGGTCGCTGTGAGGTAGGGAAGTTGCTCTAGCTTGGCCACATCTGGGAGAGTCGTGGGCTCTGGTATGGCGTTCACAAGTTCTTCTTTGAGAGTCCGTAATTCCTCTGGTTGTCTCAAAAGATGGAAAGTGATCTCCGAAAGGGCGGCTGCGGTGGTCAATGTGCCAGCGATAACGACCACTTGTCCATCTTGCCACAAGCGATCAGGGGACTTTTCTCTTTCTGGTAAATCACCCTGCAGTATGGCATGGAATATTGTTGTCTGCGATTGATACTTAGTGTCAGGATTGTCACGATGTGAGTAGATCTCGGAGACATGCTTGATGATGTCCTGTTTCACATGTCAGCAATTTCTACGCTGTGATCCAAATGGACTATTTTCGAAAATTCGGCGAATCTCACCTGATTGAGCTTGATGTAACTCGCCATCACTGGGTTCAAAGCAATCTGCACCGAGTCGGGCATCACCTTCATCAGGGTCAACACCCAAGGCATTTGTTTCACAAAATGACCCAACTTAGCCCCTGCTTCGCCTGCTTCTTTGAAGCTCGGGTCAAAATCGGGTGCCAGCAGGCGATTATCACTGCGTGCGAAAGCATATTCCATGACAATATCTGATCATTCATGTCAGCTGTCATCTGGCAAAGGCTAGAAATGCCCACCATTCGTGAGAGCTGCGTAAGCCAACGAGACCGTCATAGGCTTCCCGGACTCTTGAAACTCTTGAAATCTGACCAGCAGATTGTTCAGACTGGACTCAATGCGCGATTGGAGTACCCGCACTTTTGCCTTTGAGAAGTAAGGGTTCATCGCACCTCGACGCATGCGGTGAAGATTGTGGTCTGGAGTTCCAAACGCAGACTGAGGCAATCCACTTTGGTTCGTGAAAAAGGTCCATTTATTCCTTTTATGCGTCGGACCAGTGTACACCTGATCATAGTATTCGGGATCCTGGATGTGCACTTCTTCTGGGTTGATGCGCACGATCGGGCCGTACTTCTCGTGCATGGAGCGAACTTTCCAGATATATTGACCGCCGAGTACAACATCGTAGTAGAATTCGTACCTATACAGTGAGTTGTGTTGAAAGGACGAAGCATTTATCGCGCTGGAGGTGTCTTACCAATATGTGAGCTTTGCAAGAGTCGGTCCTGGTATCTCAGCCTGAGGGCAAAGGTACAAGCGCCACGCAGAGAGCCCAAGCAGATACGTGATCAGCAACACTGATCCACATACTATTAATAGTTCTCGAGGGAAGCCACTCAGGCTCTCCAGAAAGGCCATGTCTACTGCATGGGAAAGCTTCTGAGCCGCAGTGAGGGCTGTCAGTTGTCAGTGCACCAAGTGAAGGATCAAAGATAGACGAGGAGGTGTAGGCTGAAAATAGAGGGGAGAAAGCACATTTAGCGAGAGACAGGAGTCGTCGCCAAATGCGACTTGAGGACCGAGTACATAAGCCTCCATCCCCATCCCCTCCACGTTACAATCACACTTTGCAGCTGGAAGGGAGTTTCCGTTTCCTAGCGACGGTCAACTACTGCACAAATATGCACGCTACTGCTGTTGAACGATTGCACTGACCTACCAACTTGGTTCTTCGCTGTTGTATCTTTGCTCCAGACCTGCAACCTGCATCTAAAGTTGTTCTCTAGATGCGGGCAACATCCTTCCAGGTAGCGAGTGCAACGGATATTCTGCCGACCTGCATTCTCAAGGTCCTTTGAGCGGAAGACAGTTGTTGGTATAACACCCACGATTTCTGCTTTTCTCATGCCAATCTTGGATGCTCTTGTGTGTTCGCCGCTTCTCAGAATTAATTTGATGCTTGACCCCCATGGAGGGAGACGCGCATATTGATTTCCAGGTGAGTCGACCTGCCCCAAGTCGAACACCATTGTTACTGAAGCACTGCGCAGACCGCTGAAGATGAGGGCAGTGACATTGACTCGGCATACGTAAGGTATACATACATATGCCGGGAGCATATGCAGTGGTTTTTGACTCGGATTAGCGACGATGCTTCAATTACAACGTCTCTTCGTTCATCAGCCTTGAATTATGTGCAAGTCCACCTCCACTGCAACCACCGAGGCCTCGCTAACGTTAGAGGCAGCTATGAGGCGAGTCATGTAGCTCGCACGTATCCCAACCCACTAACGATGTCGGGATAGAATGGACGAAGATATCAGCAATTGGACCATAGCTCATACATCTTTGTACTCTGCCCAAGACAACCAGTATGTGACCTGTGCTGAGATGTATAGCCCAACGATGAACAAGAGCAAGAGAGATTGGACATGCTCCACCATATTTATCGTCTCGTCCAAGGCGGACAACTATATACTGCGCCAATGACCGACCCACGGCGGGTGTTGGATATCGGCACTGGGACGGGACTCTGGGCACTAGAATTCGCAGAGTAAGAGAACTTCACGTCTTTGTGGTGCTTAGGAGCTTATATGGTCCTACCTCAGTGAATTTCCTTCCGCAACTGTCCTTGGTAAGCCCTTCGCTACAGCCTCGAAGGAAACCGTCCACTAAGTACGGACACTCAACGGAATCTCCAGGTGTTGATCTCAGTCCAATCCAGTCACAATGGTAATCAGACACCCTATCTGCTATAAGGCAAACTAGCTGTCTAACATCATCTGATAAGGACTACACCGAATTGTTCTTTCATGGTTGATGACCTTGAAAAAGAATGGGCTTACCCGCAGAATCGCAGATTTGACTACATACACCAGCGGAGCATGTCTGGTAGTATTGGAGACTGGACGGCAATGTACCGACATGCATTGGACTCCCTAGAGCCTGGAGGTTGGTTAGAGATTCAAGAATTTGAAGTATGGTTCTACTCTCAGAACCCTGCAGGTCTGCCCGACGACTCGGCCATCGCTAAATGGCAGAAACTCATTGATGAGGGGAGTGTCGCGCTCGGTCGACGTCTGAACTATGCAGCGCAATTCAAGCATCACCTCGAAGAAGCCGGCTTCGTTGACATTCAGACGCACGTCATCAAGGTGAGTAATATGTTTCCCTTTGACGCTATGACTCGGTCGGATCCTTTTCTTATGGTTGAAGACTCCGATAGGTACATGGCCTAAAGATCGAAAGCTTCGAGAGATAGGAGCATACCTTCGGCTTCAAATGCATGATGCGGTGGAGGCAGTCACGCTGGGCTACCTTACACGAGCGCTCGGATGGTCACAGGAAGAGGTCCAAGTGATGCTAGGAAATGTGAGGAGGGAGTTCAATGATAGACGCAAACATCTATATACGTACTGCTGGTTCATTACGGCAAGGAATCCAGAGGGATTCTACGTTTCTGGTCAGTGATGGGATCATTGATTTTTGTTCGAGTTGTGGCGAGCGGTCACGAGTCAACGATCAGGTATGATATTCAGGAATGAAAAGTTGGTCTTGGTTCATCCCACCAAAGGAGGTTTTTAAGTGTCACCTAAGCGCTGCTTAGGTCCTTCAATTAGGCACTTCCCCGTAAGCTTGTAGGTCTCCCACCACTCTGAGCTAGGCACTATCTCTACATCATTTTATGTCAGAGTGACTATTTTGCGTGAGCCCTGCTCCGTACCTAAGATCCCTACAGCAATGGTTAATTTAGGTAAACCTACAACCCCAGACTGAGAGCTTCTCATCAAAACGCCAATCCTCTGTAGATCATGGATATGTATTGTTGACTCTCCCCGAAGGCAGCATAGCGTTACCCCTGCCCCAAATAGGGTTGTACCCGTGCTTGCTGACGAATTGACATGTGGCACCAGTACTAATCAAAGTCAACTAATAAAAGCGCATCGACTCTTCCTCCACACCGCAGGCCAAAGATGCCGATGATCCTTTACGTACAACGCGTCTAAGAGCCGCCATCGCCGCACTCAATACTCGCCATGGCCGAGGACGACAATGTCTTTATTTACGTAAAGGTGCCGTAGCCACAACCTACTTACCTTTGGATCCAAGTGCCGTTGAGCTTCCAACGTCGAACGTATAGCTTCATTTTTTCTTACATGAAAGCCTGTCATTATCACCGAATTTCGACGACGCGTTGGCTCGGTATAAGTATGGCGGTGTCTCTGGAAAATCTGTCTCCTGGCCTCTTGTCTCTTCTGGCCAGGCGAGTCTTGAAAGTAGGGCTAGATCCAAACCTCGGCGACATACACGATGACCACCGCAGACTCCACGTTCACGAGGAGGCAACTCCTCAATCATGTTGTTGACAGACGTGCGAGAAATACTCCTGACGCCATCTATGCTGAATACCCAGTATCTACAACGGGATACGACGAGGGCTTCCTCAAGGTTACCTTTAAAGACTTCGCAAATGCCATCAATGGCCTTGCCTGGTGGCTGCACAACACAATCGGCCCTGGCAAAGACTTCGAGACATTGGCATACATCGGACCACTCGACGTCAGGTACAATGGTCTCCTCCTGGGCGCAGTCAAAGCAGGTTACAAGGTGGGTTCAAAGTGGCTCCTTGCACATAGCAAGACCGTTCCTGATGCATAGTGTTAGGTCTTGCTCACCTCGCCGCGGAACAGCATGCCTGCGCACGTCAATCTTTTCACTTTGCTAGACTGCAAGAAACTGGTAGCGCCCAACCCCCCACCTCAGGCAGTAACCACGATCGCCGCCTCACACGACATCGCCGTTCTTGAGATCCCATCAGTTGCAGATCTTCTGAACCAAACCTATCCTGATTATCCTTATGACAAGACTTTTGACGAAGCCCGTAAAGATCCTCTCGTAGTCTTGCATACCTCTGGAACGACAGGCCTGCCAAAACCTATCATCTGGACCCATGACTTCGCCGATAGCTGGTTGTATTGGGTCAGCGTTGATGGGCCTGCCGAGTTCAACAACCAGCATGGTTTATGGTCTCCTGGAAGATTGTTTTTCCTGTTTCCTCCATTCCACGTACGAAGAACGAGAATTTGTTGAACCACACTGACCTTGTATAGGCAGCTTCCATGTTTGGATCGATTCTGGGAGCAATTTATCGAGAGACAACAATCATCTTCCCACCCGCCGGATTGATTCCATCTGCACAAGTACTAGTAGATGGGCTGAAGCATACCCACGCTACTTGTGCTGCTATTGTCCCCTTGGTAGCTGAAGAGTTGTCGAACAAACCAGATCTGTTAGACTTTGTCTCCATGAACCTGGCATCAATGTTCTACTCCGGAGGCACTCTCAGCCAAAGCGTTGGCGATAAGATTTCAGAGAAGATGAAGTTCTTCTCCATCATCGGAACCACTGAGACTGGACTGTTTCCGACCATTTACCCAGCTGATCAATGGCCAACCGCAGAATGGAAACATTTTCAATTCAACCCTGATTACAGGTTTGAATTCCAGAATGCTTCAGAAGGGGAATACGAGGCAGTTATTGCGCGCCATCCTGACAGCGACAAGGAACAACCCGTGTTTAAAGTCTTTCCGAACCTGAAAGAATATCGGACAGGAGATCTATATGTGCCGCACCCGTCGAAGCCGAACCTTTGGCATTACCGTGGAAGAGGAGACGATATCATTGTTTTCTTGACAGGTGAGAAGGTAGGTACCTTGGAAGTCTCATGTAAAATACCAACCGGGCATCTAAATTCTCTCAAATGTTACTGTAGATCTCTTCCGTAAACCGAGAAGTCCATACTAACACATCTCTTTTCATGACAGACAAATCCAACCACGATGGAGCAAATGATCTCCAGTCATCCCAAAGTCAAGTCTGTGCTTGTTCTGGGCTCAATGAGATTCCAAGCTGCACTCTTGGTCGAGCCAGAGGACGCAGAAGCTCTATCTGTCGCAGAACGAGCTGGCTTCATTGAAGAGATATGGCCAACGATTCAAGCTGCCAACGCGGACTGTCCACGACATGCACAGATCAAGAAATCACATATCATGTTTATCAAGCCGGGGAAGCCTATGCTTCGTAGCGCTAAAGGCACTATCCAGAGGAGACCTACGTTGAATCTGTACGAAATGGAGATTGACGAACTTTATGCCGACGCGGAGAAAGTCTCAGCTCTGGATGTGGAAGACCTCGATATGTCCGCGTTGTCGATCGACTGCAAGGATTCCAAGGCCGTCGCTTCCTTCTTGTCCGAGACTCTTAGTAGCTTTATGGATTCCAAGGACTTTGCAGAAGATGAGAACATTTTCCTCAGCGGTGTCGACTCATTGCAGGCACTTCAGATGACGCGCCGGTTGAAAGCCGTGCTTGCTTTGCCGGACCTCGAAATCAGCACAGTATATGCCAATCCGACTATCAAGATGCTCACGAAGGCCATTTTGAACCTCGCCGAAGAAGGCAACACAACAAATACTCTGGAGCAATCTTCTCGAGTTGATATCATTGAGGATACGATCAACAAGTACACCGCACTGGTCGACCACGTGGCGCAAAACGTCACCGAAACGTCTCTTTCCAAACATGATTCGGGTATTGGCCTTAATGGAAGAGTGGTCCTGCTCACTGGCTCTACTGGCGGAATTGGATGTTATATGCTGCAAGCACTCCTTTCGGACTCGTCTGTGGGACACATTTATTGCCTGAACCGAGCAGAGAATGCAGTCGCTCTTCAGCGAGCACGTTCTTCGGCCCGTGGTCTCCCTACGGCCTTCCCAGTCGACCGGGTGACATTTTTGACAACAGATCTAGCCAAACCGCAACTCGGTCTTGGAAACGAGCTCTACTCTCGATTAGAACGCACTGCCACCAACATTATTCACAATGCGTGGCCTGTGAACTTCAACTTGACTTTGCCAACATTTGAACCACATCTGGAGGGTGTCGTCAATCTAGTCAAGCTCGCTGCAGCCACTCCCGGACGTGCCCATGTCATGTTCATATCCTCCGTGAGCTCGGTCATGGGATCTCCCCAGAATCCTATTGAAGAGAAAATTATCACGGATGCCTCAGCTCCTTTGCCGATGGGATACGGACAGAGCAAGTACGTTGCCGAGCGCATCCTCGGGTATGCGGAATCCAAATTGGCAAATGTTGATGTCACAGTTGTCCGGGTTGGACAAGTCGCCGGTCCAGCATTCGCACCGGGTTCGTGGAATAAATGGGAGTGGTTCCCAAGTCTTGTTGTGAGCTCGCTGCATTTGGGAATGATACCTGATTCTTTGGGCAAAGGCAGGAATAACCATATCAATTGGGTGCCCATCGATGTCCTGGCAAACACATTGGTTGAGTTTTCTGTTGCACTCCCAGGTCAAGAGACACCCGAAAAAGGCATATTGAGAGTACTCCACCCTCAAAATCCGAGACCGACCTCATGGGATGGTTTGAGACCTATCGTGATCAAGGCTCTGAACAATGCCATCAAAGGCAAAGGGCGCACAGAGGAGATCCAAGAGGTCACATTGAGTACATGGATCGAACGGGTCAGGAAAGATGCAGCTTCACTCGATACGGCGGCCAAATTGCAGGACATGTTGCAGTTCAATCCTGCAGTCAAGCTTCTTGATTTCTATCAAGGGTTGCTTGTTGGTGATGAAATGTCAGCGATGGAGGGAGATAAGGCTTTGCAGGCAAGCGAGACTTTGGGAGGGTTGGGTGGAATCCAAGCAGACTGGATGCATAAATGGGTTCATGACTGGGTTAAGGCCTAGTGTCGTATTTGTGGACGTACTCGTGTTGTTGGTTTATTTCCGACTAGCGATTGTGTTGAAGAAATAGTGCTCGTCATTTTGTTGTCCAGCCCCTCAAGTATTTTGGTCTCATGATCGTTGTTGAATCCTTTGTACCTCTGTAAACAAAGCCGATATCGCGGGTGTTACGACACCCCAATTAGGTCTAGCTTCCATCGCAGCACAAGACACGTCTGTAGGAAGCCTCATCAACATCTTGAAGAGCTGACGGGACCTCCAAGGGTACCGCTTTCTCCCTCGCTCCAGCTGACCACTAGGATGATAATCGGAAGTCTTACGCATGCTCAATCCAGTGGTACCGAGGTACGCGAGATTGACCCTGCGTCAGGCCAACAACAGTCGAGCTCGAAGCCAGGTCGACATCAATGCGGAGTTTTTTGTTGTCACAAAAATGTGCTTTCACGATTGACACGAGCGATAGTCCTCTGTACGGATAGAATCAATAATCCCGCGGAGAATGCAAAGAACATATACATACGAGACGAAAGACAGCCTTATCAATGACCGAGAGAACAGCAGCAGATAAGAAGGATCCACCTTCTTTACTCTCCCTTACACCGACATGCACGTGGGAGAGATAAGCCTTGTCCAACCACATCATCATCACCACTTCGTTACCTTGTGCGACTTCACCCCTTGCGCCATCCATCAGGGTGGCCCTAGACATGGGAGTCTGTATCTCATGGGCTGTTTTTCCAGGCCACCATCAGCATCACCACCACCAGCATCAAGATCTTCCCAGAAATTGCCCGTCATACACCCAATCAATTTTCACCCAGCCTCACATCTAGGATAGATCTACTAGCCGCACTTACTGCTTCACCTACGTGCATCGAAACAGACGCTTGGGCATATCCCGGCATCTCCCCTCGACACAGGCAAGACCACAAGACCGTGTCGTTCCTGAAGCAGTAATGCCTATTAAGGTCAACGAGATCACCTGGTGATAATTATGCAGACTCTAAATACGGCGTAGGGTCTGAATGGGCCCAAGACTCTCATCGAGCAGAGATAAAGAACAAAAGCAATATCCTGGCTATGGGATCATTCTTGTACCAACGACTTCCGAGGACGCAGATTGAACAGACACGACATTTGGTATTTGTCCAAGTATTCTTGTTCGAACACAATATCGCTGTGCAAACGTTTCGCCTCGGAACTCACAGAAGATCAACTGGGTCTTGCTGAAGACCACCAGGACCCATATTTTGCACCGTTATCAGCAACACCCTGGCACCAGTCAAATGGTGGCTCGTGTTTGATTGTTGTTGATTCGTCCGTTGGACTTCGATCTCTGGAAGCAGATCTGCCGCGGATTTGCTGGTCTAATTGTACGTCCATACTCACAACGAGCCCAAGTTGGGCTATGCCCCCCGGAGAAAGCACACAAACATCGTATCAGTCCCAAGCCTGTGGTCAGCCACGCCGAGGGTACGTGGACAAAGCGAGTGCTTACTCGTTGTCGGTCTACATATATGTACCCGCTTCTCAACCTACCTTTCATCAATAGTTGATATTCATCGTCCATTCGACATCTTCCAGAAAGAGGACAACATCGACCTACAGTCCCGAAACCTCATCTTCGAGTGTCCATTCCAGCATACTGACACTCGGTGATTCGGTATCCTTTCATCATGCGCCTCGCCACACTATTTCAGGCACCGGAGGTCAACCCTATCACCCACAAGGCACGATCCATTCCACTTTTCAACGTCATCAACCTATATGGTCGGGTTTTCTTCTTTTCATGGTTCGGTTTCTTTGTCGCTTTCTGGAGTTGGTATGCGTTCCCACCGTTGGTAAGTCAGGAGTTCGTCATCATGGACATAATCAATATTGTTTTTTTAGGGGCTGCTTTTGCTAACACATCAATAAGTTGCACGATACCATTCAAAAGGACCTCCACCTGACCAAGACCGACGTGTCCAATTCGAACATCATCGCCCTTTGCGCCACACTCTTGGTGCGCCTCATTGCCGGACCTTGCTGTGATAGATACGGCCCACGATACACATTTGCCGGATGTCTCCTGATCGGCGCCATCCCTACCTTCCTCTCAGGGACCGCATATAACAAGGGCCAACTCTTCGCGCTACGATTCTTCATCGGTATCCTCGGTGGTAGCTTCGTGCCATGCCAAGTATGGTCGACGGGCTTCTTTGACAAGAACGTCGTAGGCACGGCCAACGCCATTGCCGCTGGCTGGGGCAATGCCGGCGGCGGCGTTACATATTTGTGAGTTTTTCTTCCTTGTTGTCCATGCCGCTTGGATATGTACTAAACAAATTCCAACCCCACCAGCTTGATGCCATCCATCTATGACTCCCTGCTCGATCGAGGGTTGACTCCTCACACAGCGTGGCGAGTCGCCTTTGTCGTCCCGGGTATCGTCATCGTCTTCACGGCTCTGTGCATCCTCTTCCTCTGTCAAGACACCCCGGATGGCAAATGGAGTGAGCGGCACGATGTCGCTCGAGCCAACCTCGCGGCTCACGGCGTCCAGACCACACTGCTCGTCGACGCCCCCAGAGCCGGCATCATGGACAGGCCCACCTACTACCCTTCTCCAGACGGCGCTTCCTCACCGCAGCCGTCCGTGCTCGAGACCGGAACAGGTGAGAAAAAGCTGCAATTCGACGACGACGCCACGGGTGAACGACAACGCAAGCCAGAGTCCCAGCAGTTCGCGGACCACGAGGCCCAGATGACGGAACAGCAAATGCCCGACACCGCGCGGGGCGAGGTCGTTGTCCAGCCCACACCCAAGGAAATCGTGACCGTCATGTTCTCCCCCCAGACGTTGGTGCTGGCGTTTTGTTACTTTTGCAGCTTCGGCGGAGAGTTGGCCATCAACAGTATCTTGGGCAACTATTATCAAAAGAATTTCAAATCTCTGGGTCAGACGACCTCGGGAAGGTGGGCAGCAATGTTTGGTCTGTTGAACATCGTGTTCCGACCTTTGGGCGGTGTCATCGCGGACTTGCTGTTCCGGAAGACCTGCTCAGGCCACGGGCAACGAAGCGTCTGGGTCAAAAAGGTCTGGATCCACCTGCTCGGGATCGTCACGGGTGTCTTTTTGATCGTCATCGGTGTTTTGGACCCCCACGACCAGAGCACAATGTTCGGGTTGATGGCCGGTATGGCTTTTTTTCTGGAAGGTGGCAACGGGGCCAACTTCGCCTTGGTCCCTCACGTCATCCCTTCCGCCAACGGGGTGGTGAGTGGTATGACCGGGGCCATGGGCAATTTTGGAGGAGTGATTTTCGCCATCATCTTCAGGTATCATCCCAACAGTTACGCGAAATCTTTTTGGATCATCGGGGTGATTACGATAGCCTTGAACGTGGCATTGTGTTGGATCCCACCGGTTGCAAAAAAACAAATCGGTGGGAGATGAACGGTATTACTATTTTGTTATTATTTGCATAGACGGGACGAGAATCAGAACTAGAATGAGAACTAGTATCACAACTAGAATCAGAATGACAATATCAAAGTACCTTGTCCTCAAACCTCAGGGTTTCAACAAAATATATCCATCACTCCCCACCCTTTCGGCCTCATCAAAAGCCTTTTCCCAATCGTCCAACCCAAACGTTCCCAAACACTTTGCCCCAATCATTGGCTCACCCTTTTCCGGATTGTGCAACTTGACGACACCCGTCTCGATCAAGTTGATCATCCTCTTGACGTCGACCGGCTCAAACATCCATTTGCCCTTGATCGTGATGCCCCAATGCATGATTTTCAAGTGTGGCAGGGCCACGTCCCCCGCAATGCCACCCATCAAGACACACCTCCCGCCCTTTTTCAAACTCATGATCCCGGCCTTGACGTGTGTCGACCCGGCCGCGGCGGGAGGACTCGTGTCGAAAAAGACATCTGCACCACCGTCGTCGGCAGTCGCAACTTTCAAAGCATCCAAGTCCGTCTGGTAATCACCCGTGAGTTTGACACACACCACTCTCTCACCACCACCACCACCACCACCACCGGCGACACTTTTGACCTTCTCCAGGACGTCGACGTTTCGACCCATGGCGACAACCTTTCCCGCACCAAGGCTCAATGCGACATGCACCGCAGCACTACCGAAACTTCCGGTGGCCGGACTCACGATGACCGTCTCCCCGGGCTTGACGTCGACACAACCGGGCCCCATGCCCCCGTAAGGCACCATGATTTTGGATATGTACATGAGGTCTTGGACATTGTAGCCTCGGGCCTTGAACATTTTGGTCTCGTCGACTCGGTGACAATTCTCGAGGGGCCAGCGAACGTACTCGGCGTAAGTACCGTCCCGCCAGGCCTGGGACATGAGTCCTTTACTCGCGGCACCGAAACCGTCATGGATGGCCGAGAGAAAAGTGCTGTTGGCGTTTCCGTCGACGTCGTCTCGACCGGAGATGGTGATGTCCAAGAAACACAGGTCACCGACCCGCAAGGTCGTGGCGTCGGGACCCAACGCGACGATGCGTCCGATGGCGCTGGATCCCAACGTCAGTGGGGTAGGGTAAGGGTACTTTCTCACCCCGTTGTAGATGTCCTTGGTGTAGGAGATGACGTTGGCAGCTTCGACCTTGAGCACCGCGCTGCCCGGTGTCGGTTGGGGAGTTTGAATCTGTTGGACCGTGGGACGCGAGGCGTACGTGTCCTGTCTGAGGGCGCGGTGGGTCGGTGGGAGTGCGGTCGAGGATGAATTGGTCGAGCGAGACATGGTGTCTGTATACCTAGGCACTGAATACTGCTAGACAAAAGGTAAAGTAGTACAAGGGGAGTATGAAGATGAAAATGTATTGAAGGATGGTTAGAGAACGATGAAGGGTGTGAGTACCATTTTCTCACCTTAACCCGAGGTCATGACTTCTTTATATACTCATAGTTCACTTCACCCAGCAGCATAGTTACCCAGGTCATACCATGCAGCACCTCCTTACATTCAAGCCTTCGGTCACCGGAGAAAAAGGGTGTAACATGTTTCTGTATCTCCGATCTTTTTTCTCAAACCAAAAACTCTCCATACGGAGTGCAACCGTAGGCAAGGCACCTAACTAGTAAGTACTCGTAAACTGGTCCTTCGTAAAGCATTGCAGTAGTACATTCTTCAAGAGACAAGGAGTAATGACTGGCTGACCCCGGACATGGATGCTAAAGTCCGGAACTCCGTTACTTTCAGATTTTCTCCGTTTACCAAGGAGGAATTGATTCTGCCGACTCCATCATGACCTCTTACATTCAGTAGCATCACAGCACATGAAACAACAAAACAAGAATAGATGGTTGTTGGAGTACCTTGCCGATGACCGCGAAAATGTATTCGAGGTCCGTATGGCTGGATTATATTCCACGATACTTGATTGGTCCTACATAGGTCTCTGAAGTACGTGACATGCCCATCGTCCGCGATCGCTTCTAGTGCCAATAAAAGTGGAAGGCCGCGTTCTGTTGCGTTCATGACCCCGAAGCTCTTCTAGGATCAAGTAGGATCGAGCAAAGAGACGTGAAAGCAGGCATCTTCTCTGCCAAATATTACCCTTGATCAACTAAACTGAAAAGGCACTGCCATTGGTGTTTCAAGATAGGAAAAGATGTTCGGTAACAGGTTCAGTGGGTCTGCGAACCCGACAAAGCCGTCGAATGAGCCACGATGCCGTGTTGGGGCGATTGGCATTACTGAGGTGAATCGCAGACGGAGAAAGGCGTCGAACGAGCACCGATGCCGTACATACATACATGGGTCTGTCTTTGCTGTAGATGGATTGCTAGTCTTGAGCGACTCGACTGTGACGCCACAAATGACACTACTATTCCTCGATTTCTTCTTGTGTCTTAAAGCGCGGGTAAATGGTGCACATACAATACCTTGGGGTCAGGATGGCATGGAAATGGATGATGATAGGTCTGGCCCTCAGTCTACAGGTCCATGCTGGCCATAACTACTACGACCAGGCTATCAAGCTGATGGAATCGAGTCCGCTGATTGACACTCATGTTGACTTGCCTCAAATCATACGATCTTTGAGTAGGTGCCGACACCCCTCGAGCAGCTGAAGAATGCTCACCCGGATATCGCAGATCGAAGCCCACTGGAAGCCGTCTCTCAGATCAACGAGTCGTATCCAGGTCATGTCGACATACCTCGAATGCGTGAGGGCCGACTTGGGGCAACATTTTGGTCGGTATGGACTCCATGTCACGAACTTGTGGGCGAGAATCCAGGCCTCGACTTTAATACACCAACCAGCGCAGTCCGGGACGCTCTGGAGATGGTGGACTTGATTCAGAACATGATAGATCGACATCCTGACTACCTGCAGTATGCACACTCTTCTCGCGACATTACAGAAGCTTTCGATGCCGGTAAGATCGCTTGCCTCATTGGCATGGAGGGTTCACACCAGTTGGGAAATTCGCTCGCAGTTTTGAGGATATTCGCACAGCTTGGAGTGCGATACTTGACCTTGACGCACACCTGCCATTCATCCTTTGCTTCCTCTGCTGGTGCTGGTGCGCCTATAAAAAAAGCGCATCATAACAATGGCCTAACGGAGCTCGGTCGTCAGTTGATCCACGAGTTAAACCGAGTCGGTATCATGGTGGACTTATCGCATACGTCGGATGAGACTGCGCGAGAAGCCATTTTGCTCTCCAAAGCGCCCGTAGTATGGACACATTCTGGAGCCCGGGCGTTATGGGACCATCCGCGCAATGTGCCTGACGAGATTCTGCGCTTGATTGGCGATGGACCAGGCCAAAATAAAGGCGTGATTCAGTCAGTGTTCTATCCTCCCTTCATTGGACCGACGGACACCCCCGGGGCCAACGTGTCCCGAGTGGCGGACCATATCGAGCACATAGCCAATATCGTGGGGAAGCAACATGTTGGCATTGCCTCGGATTTTGACGGCATGTACGCTTCGGTCGAGGGACTTGAAGATGCCAGCAAATATCCGGTTCTGGTAAGAATAAATGTGGCTTGATTCGTGGCTCTTGATGGCTGATCCTATTTAGGTTGCCGAACTTCTCTCGAGAGGCTGGACCGAAGAAGATACACAGAATGTCATGGGTGGCAATCTCATGAGAGTCATGGATGAAGTTGATGCTGTGAAGAAAGAACTGGCCGCTGAGCTCCCATCGACCGCAATTTGGGAGATGCGAACAGACCTACCGGCAGTGACCTGGGGTGGCCTAGGCCAGGCGTACTTTCCTCTTGAAGTGCAAAGCATTATTGCTGAGAAGTACACGCGACATGATGAGTTGTAAGGTGCGGGTTGTTGCCTTTTTTTTTGTACAGAGTCCTCGTTGAAAAGTAGAGACGTGACACATAGAACCATGTTAAGCCGTATTTTCTCAATATATCTCGAACTTGTCTACCTAGATACCAGGGTAGATATAACCAGGTTCATATAAAGCGTCTCAATATTAGTAGTTCAATCAATACCTTTCGAAAGAACATGATAAGGTGTCGAAAACCACCGGATTTGAGCTGACAAGTCCGAGGCAACTTAGCCGAGGCCAGCATCGCAACCTCAGTCGCTCTCTCCCTCGTCTTGAGATCAATGACGAGCAACATCTGCCTCCATCTGCGACGTTAACAGTGTGATCAGAGCTGCCAGCTCAATGACTGCAACCCCAAATGCCCTCATCTCCAGCAATGGATCGAGGTGAAGCAGCCATGGTTGCTGTCGCCTCCAGTAAACGCCGTTACATGAGCAAATCCCAGCGAGCCTGTGATTTCTGTCGTTCACGCAAAGTTGCCTGTCGAATTGATGCGGCCTTGCCATGTAAACTTTGCAGGTCTTACAATCGACTGTGTACCTTTGACGAACCCGCAAAACCACGGAAGAAGACTCCAGCGACATCTCAACCGGGAGACGCTCCAAGCGCCGCCGGGGTTGCCTGTGATGCTGTGTCAAGTCTCCAGCATGACTTTGGTGCTCGCGAAGATACGACAATGCCTCTGGACTTGGATAATTTTGACGATAGTATTGACATCTTTGCTCAGTTGGACGCTTTCACTCCCCAAGAAGATCCATTCGCCACTACCGCGGTGATGGCTGGATTGGACAGGTGGCCTACGCCCTTCCGGATTGACGCGGCTGATAACGAGAACACACGCAGTACTGCAGCGATGACGGTCGGGACCAGCATGTCGTCCCCTTCCGAGTCTGAGAAGACTTCCATCCCGGCAAACGCAGCCAGTCAATTATGTGGTCTCACGGGCGACATGGACCCCTCCAATTTATGTCAATATCGATACGATACCCACAACGTTTACTATTTCAAGCGACTTGCTATACACTCCGTCTTCGATGGTATTCATCCCATCTCATTCGTGGTCTCCTTGGACCGCTCCTCCCCGAAGGTCGAAGACAAAGAGAGAGCCGAACTCAATAGGATAGTCGATCCACAAATCGGGATACGGTTGATTGAGCTGCAAGTATAGCCCAAGCCCTGATCTCCATGACTGACCACGACCTAGATTTTATCAATTCATCTTCCCCCAATTCCCTATCCTCAGAACCACTAGCAAACCCACACCCACTGAAAGCCCTCCACATCTGCTCGCTGCCATCTATCTGCTCGCGCAACGATTTTCCGGCTTTGACGATTATCTATGCATCCAGATAGTATATGAGACCTTTCCCAGCAAGCAACTGGCGGGGATGGCGACAGCGGCACTGCATCGAGACTCCAACGAGCCAACCTTGGCACACGTTCAGACGGCGCTTCTCATCCTCTTAGCACCTCCAGAGAATTTGCTTATGCCTGAAACTGCCGCTAGATGGGCTCTGCACGGGACGTTAGTCGCCATGGCTCAAGGTTTAGGCTTGTTTCACGATCCAAGTGAATGGACATTATCACATGAGGAGATCATATTGCGAAGGATTCTATCTTGGGCTGTTCGCTGTGTGGATGCTTGGCTCGCCGCCGCTTTGGGCCGAATTCCTCTGATCGACGAGTCGAATTGGATGGTACCTCCGCCTCATGCGGCAGACTTCGAAGAATCTGAGCTCGCTCTCGGTGTCTGTGAGGTCTTTATACCGCTAGTGCAACTGAGCCAGATTTTGACCTCAGTGCTGGCCAACCTCTTGTGGGAAAGTCCGAGACAATTGTGACAATCTGCTGACGCGAAACCAGCTCCCTTCGTGCAGTACAAGCACTGGCCGTGGACTTCCGTCTCACGCTGCGGACGGCTCACCCTCTTATGGACCAGGTTACGCGTTGGTACCAGGACTATCAACAGGTTCATCTACCTACCTCAATGCACGATGTTGACTCGTCCGGCATATTGCATCTGGGCTACCATGCCATCAAGATCATGATCCTAAGAGCCATCTATCGACCCTTTCAGAACCTGGAACGAGGACATATTGCTCACAGCACCGACACTGTTGCAGAGAAAGAGGCGTTTTTGCGCTGGCGGACGGCTGCTTCACGCGCTCTTGCTGCCAGCACAGCCTTCACCTCTGCACTAGATCACACCCGTGTGCACGCATTTTGGCCATTCTGTGAGTTGTATTGCCATGTAACACGATGAAGGATGACAGTTCTGACACTCCCCACACCAACAGGGTCAGCGCTCTCATGGTCCACCATAGGCCAACTTGCAGTCCTGCTGCTAGTGATATCGGAATCGGAAGGAGAAGCGTTGCAGTCCAAGGCTGCTCTAGACATCACTCGACAATCTCTCCGTCTTCAGTCAAAATCATTTGATATATTACGCTTCCCACTACTTCGCCTTGACAGCTTTCATTGGAAGGGTTTTGGCAATATCTTTAATCTCCCTCCGGCGGTAGAGAGTGCGTTACAGCTCAGCACATCCTTACACTGAAAACCTCTAGACGCCCCCTCCAAACCCATTCGAAACCTATTTCATGCTGGAAGCTCACGCCTCACTCCTGGATGCCTAGAACGGTGATCATAAACGCCATGGTATGCACCTCCCACTGTTGGCTTGGCCGCTGCTGGTCACAAACATGCTCGATCAGACAAGGCCTTGGCAACCAAATCTGCAGCCGCCTGGGCACCTCCATAACTCGCTCGATACCCACATCTTCCGTGTCCATAGTTATGGACAATCAGACAGCCTCCCAGCCGTTCAGTCTGGAAACGAGTGCCTCCCTTTCGGACCGGCCTCAATCAGACACCGTGATGGGTACCTAGGGTTTTGCGACAAGAGGAGTGCAGTTGTCATGCCATTCACGCAAGCTCTAGGGTTTACCGAGTCGATTCAGTCAGTTCCCGGTCTATGATATTTTTCAAACGATGGCATGCGATGATAACGAACTCAAGGTTGGCACCTACCCGCCAACAACTACATTTTTTTCCGCCATGACCTTCGAACACAAAGGTGACTCCAAGCAGTCTCAAGCAAACTTGTTCTGGCGCTTTTTTCCAGTATCGTTTGCGTAAGAATGAAAAATGTTCGATCTTACAGGTGTCGGGCTTGTTCAGAGGAGACAAAACATCGTATCTGAGAGTGTATACGTAAGGCCATGCTCTCATGACCGTCCCTCATTACCCTGATGTTGTCTACAGCACAACGCGGTACTGATACCTTAAGCATTCATTTCAGCCACTTCCCATTTGCTGTTACGACTGGGGGCACTGGTCGGCGTCAGGCCTGAATGGGAGCATCGACATGCTGACTGTTTTTATTAAGGTCGTACCAGGTTCACAATCTCTCTGGAGATGCCCATATTACTTGGATTATGTACAGTGCCTGCTAAAGTTTTATACTTGGACGAGCACTGGGATAGCGCTCCAGTCGCAGCCGCTCAAGTTTTCCTACATTCGTCGACTACAGAGCGCCAAAAGACATGTTGTTCATGCAACCTTGCCGCTCAGAGGATCGGACCCAGCGGCACCAGGACCGTTAAAAGAAGGCTCCTCTGCAGCTTCCAGGCCTACAGTGAGTGGAACCTCGCCACTGATGGAGTGTCTGAAGCAGACGAAGAAGACACATCCCGCCACAAATGCTCCGATAGCCAAACCCGCATATGTCCAGACCATGTATGGATCTTGAGAGACCGGAGCTAGTGCAATACCAATGGCCGCCCCCAGGGCTATGGTGATCCAGAAAATTGATGAAACAAAAGCTCGAAGATTGTCTGGCGCTTTCAAAAAGGCCACCTCAAGGCCCGTTACAATCACAAAGATCTCCGATAAGGCTCCAAAGACGTAGGATGGAGCTTGAATCCAGACAGGGATGCTATTCTCAGGACGGTGGTAGATGAAGTATTGCAGAACACATGCATACACCATCCCAAGTGCGGCACACATGAAGCCGACAAAGATACGCAGAATAGGGTTGAATGATATTCCCGCCTTACGGAGGGCAGGATATATCATAACTATGACATGTTAGTTGCGGCAACAGTGGTAGAGATAATAGCCACGTACGATCGAGGATCGGAATGAAGCTGAGCATGAAAATCGTTTCCAGGTTCTGCATCAAGTCGTTGGGTGTGCCTCCAAGCTTCATCGATCCAGCCTGAGAAATCAGGTTGTTGAAGATCTGAGTCCAGCAGATGAAATAAAAGGGAAACAACAGAAAATACTAGGGAAAGACCCAAGTCAGCTCTTGGTTGTCTTCACCAACAGCTCTCTCTTGGACTCACCTTGCACGCCAACAAGCCACTCTTGACCTGTTCAACGTAGAGGTCGGTATATCTCTCTTCCTGAGCAAATTTGTAGCGATGAAGCCGCTCGCGGGCCCGCAGAGAGGAAGGCTTCGCCTTGTCAAATGACTTCTCCTTGAATCCGATCATCAGAGCCCTGGTAGCGTCCAAGATGGGCGAACCTTGGGGTCTCGACTTTTTGATTTTGTGGTTGAAGCCGACAAAAACCGCCAGAACAACCAAGAAGACTCTGGTTGCACGTCAGTAGCCGTTGGGCTGACGATATTGGTACCCCGCCATGTTTTCACTCACAACAATGGAACTAGGTAGGCAAGCCAGAAGCCCTTGTGGTTCTCGATTTCCACGGTCAAGAGCGATGACAAAGACCCGACGTTGGCAGCCCAATAATACCACATGAAGATCCTCGCCGTGGTCAGATCATGGTCGACCAACACGGTCTCTCCTGTTTCGAGAGTCTCGACATGCTGTCCTTTCTCCGTGTTTTGTTCTCCACACATTGGTGCAATACACGCCTTCAGACCGCCCGTTCCTATGCCGATCAAAATCATGGACGAAACCAGGCCGCCCATTGATGCGCCAGCTCGAATCGCCGCAGGTGTGGCAGTGGCGACGAGGAGCACCAGTCCCCCTATGTAGATGGGAGATGATGCCAAGATGGTTTTGTATTTCCCGAGATATTGGTCTGGATATCCAGTCATGTTAGCCAACGCTATAATATCCTCTTATCGACCACGGTCCATTCTCACCAGCAGTGATGCCGCCAAACACAACGCAAAGATACGACCAGAATTTGAAAAAGTCACTCAGGGCAGTTCCAACAGCCTGTCCCTTGCCGAGGGCGCCAGGAATCCGTGACCCAGGGTCATAAGGTTGTCTGGGCCACTGTTTAGTCGTGCGTGGCCAAAAAATGTCTTCCGTGGACGAACCTACTGGATATAATTCTGGAACGGAGCCGTGATTCCAAGATAGACGAATCGTTCTCCAAACTACAAGCCACATGATTAGACGCAAGGCCATGGCTCGCGCACGAGGGAAAGAAAAGGCTCTTTACCTCGATGACACAGATCAAAAACAACACCCATGGTATGCGGCCAGGCACACGGCGCAGCTTCCCGTGGCCTTCAGGCTCGGTATCGGCTGGGCGATTCATGTCCGAGACTTTGATGCTGCTGCTACCACTCATCATTGTAGGATAGTGACAAGACTGGGGGCTTGGTGGGTTTTCGCAAAAATGGCAGAAATGAGCCTGAAAGTGAGAGAGACAACCGATAGATCCAAGCAGGAGGTGCCAACCCTAGCTTTTAAGGATATGCGACTCACTCACTCCGCAGCCATGGCCCAATGCCCAGCATGAAGACGCTACGGACTTTTGAGCAGAGTGATAATCGACCTGGCGCAAGTATGAAGCGACAAGGATGAATCATCGGCAATCCCCATACTTAAGTGGATCGTCCACAGATATATCTTATCATTTGGTCCAGTCGAGGACCCCTATCGTACGCCGTCAATGCCACCAATAGTGAAGGAGCTGTGGGTATTTCCCTGTATGGGTGAAATTACTATTAGTACGGAGCACTGAAGCGACAACGGATCAAGCAACGTCCCCGTTGGGCGTATCGTGTGATCGGTATGCAGAAGGTTGAGCTCACAAAGACTCGTTTGTTTTGTTGGTCTGAACTGTTCCCCTCAACCGCTGCTCCTTGGAATTGTGCCTATGCAGTTTTGTCACCCTCGATATTCCCAGTTCAACATGGCTGCCACCACCCTCGATGCGTCCGTTGAACATGCCATTCCCGCTGAGTATGCCGACAAGCTGGATCCGGAATGGGTCAAGCTATGGAACGAACATGGCAGACATCAGCGAAGAGCAGATGAAGTGAAGATTGAAGAGTACAGGAAGAATCCATCCGCCTATAGCTTCACGTATCCCACCTGGCCTGGTAGATTCTGATCCGCAAAGACTATGACTTCGTCAGCTAACGAGGAGCAGGACCTGATGTACACCGAGTTGAAGACATCATGGTCCCCGTGTCACAGCCCAAAGGCACCATCACGGTCAGGGTATATTCTCCGGAAGGCCCAGGCCCGTTTCCCGTTCACATCAACATGCATGGGGGTATGTGGCCCTCAGTACTTTGGCAACACGAGCTTTTTGTCACTCTGACATTGATGGCTTGACTGCCCTTCTAGGTGGCTGGGTCCTGGGTGGTCTTCACTCCGAGGCCGCATGGTGCCGGAGCGTCTGCTCCAGAGTTGGCATCAAGGTTATTGACGTTGATTACCGCATGGCACCCGAGTTTTTGTTTCCAGTCGCCATCTACGACTGCTGGGACACGATCAAATGGGTGAGACAACAGATCTCTTGCGTGCTGTGGTGTTTTCCATCGTACAACTATGGAGTTTGCTGAGACCTTCTCTCTCCCTCCCCATGTTCTCAGGTCGGCGAAAACGCAGAAACCCTGGCGGTCCGTCCGGACAGCATCTCCATCGGAGGTCTCTCTGCCGGTGGACACATGGCCGCCGTGCTCTCCCTCATGGCCAGAGACGAGGGCGGTCCTGACCTCAAACTGGCTCTGATGGTCGTCCCGTCGGTAGATTTCCGGTGGTCCATTGCGCCTGAGCCCCTAAAGTCCGAGGTTGCGACCGAGTACCCGAGCGTCGAGCTCTTTGCACATAATCCGTGGGGCCCTCGTGGTCGCATGGACTGGTTCATGGATTATTGGGTCCCAGACATTGATGGTATGTTTGTGTGAGCGAGCGTCGTCTCTGTGGTTTTGGCGCTCTCCGTTGGCTCTCGGAGATTCGTTGTACTCCGGAACCGAAATCATTGTATCACATTATTACTGACGAGTGCTTGATTACTTCTACCGCCATAGGAGTCAGAAAGGCGGCGATCGACGACTGGAGAGCTTCGCCGATCCTGGCCTCCAACTTTGAACGTCTACCTCCCACGCACATCGTCACGGCCGAGTTCGACCTGAGCCGCGACGAGTCCCACGCGTACGGCGAGATTTTGAAGAAGCACGGCAACGACGACAAGGTCACGATGAAATGTTACGCCGGGATGCCTCACGCCTTTGGTCACTACAACCACCCCGACCGAGGTCTGGCCAAGAGTCGCGAATACGTCGACGACACTTGCGAGGTCATTAGATCAGCCCACGCGGTTGCTCAAGCGGCCCTGACCTGAGAGGGGAAAAGGGTCGAAAACGAACCAGGGTGCTTCGTATGTTCAGTTATATTCTCAATTGATCATGATGAAGTGAAAACAAAGATGCAGGTGCCATCAGGACCTTGAAACAAAACCCCAGGGCCAAAAATGACAGAAGAGGTATCCCCGTATGTATGTGCCACCTTCACAATTCTGCCTTTCCCACCTTTCGCCATAAAACTCGCTGTCGCTTTCAAACTTTCAAAATCAAAACCAACAATGTAACGCCGTGAACGTCCAGAGAGGTAGAGAGGTAGCAGTATGCTATGTTTATGTTCAGGCCCTGAGAGGAAAAGGCTTCAAATCTCTGGACACAAAAAAGCAACGACACGGACTGCCCTTGGATGGCATATCAAACACAACATCAACACTCCCTTTCCCCTCCAAACATTACGTTCTCCTTCTCAAAATCCTAGGCTTGGTAGAGGCATTCATCATCGTCCCCCGTTCACCACGACCCATGGGGACAATGCTGGTCTGTTTCGCGGCCTCCTCCAAGAATCCCGCCATCTCCCTCTCGGTACTCTCCCCCATGACGTTGGAAAGCAATGCGCTCGCCGCCCCCGTAGGTACCGGAATCCCCAGACTGGCTCGTCTCTTCGGCGCAGGTGTCCCGTTGACGGTTCCGACGTTCATCTTCCGCAACCGACGCACCTTTCTGGTGACTTGCTTCTTTTCATCTCTGGGAAACTCATCGTTTTCTCTGCTCTCCTCAACATGCTGCTCGGTCTGGTCCCGATTCTCCGCAATCTCCGAACGACCGGGCCCGCTCGTGTCCTCGGTCGAGGCCACGCACAAGTTCTGCCCTTGCGCTTCCGTATCATCTTCCATCAGATTTAGACTGCTATTCGACACCTCCTCTCCATCTTCGAATCTCGCGATCGTGTTGTCCCAGCTCACCACCTTGGTCCTTTTCCTTTTCTTCCTTTCGGCAGCACCGTCCTGTTTCTGCACCTGCTGTGGCGGGCGTACTTGTCCCGCCTGTGCCTTTTGTTCGGCTGCCAATTGGATCAGTTTAAGTTGAACATTGATCGCGTCAGCCTTGTTTCTCTTCGTGTTTGCTCTTGTCGTCATTGCTAGTGACTGAGTCTCACGTTGCGTTGCGATGAACTCGGTCCCGTTCAGCCTCTTGAGCGAGATGTTGCTTGGAACTGTGGTGAGGGGCTTCTGTGGCCGTGGAAGTCGAGTGGTCAATCTTGAACTCCGTCGTGGAGAGGTTGCGTTGGGCTCCGTATCTTGATCAGCTTGAAGTGTTGGAGTCCCATCACATGTGTTAGATGTGGGTACAGTAGATTCCTGGATATTTTCGACATGGCATGTTGTCGGAGTATTAGAGGATGTCCTCTCATCCGGTCCTTTAGTGTCCATGTCGTGCACCGGCGATGCTTCCTGGTCTGGGGACGTTGCCTCTGCTTGCTGTTTCGCTGCTTTCTGTGCGCGGGCGCGAGTAAGGAAGTCGTGTAGGTATGCTGTATCGTCGTGGTCTGTAGATAATGAAAAGATTTGATTTGCTGTTTGCGAAGTGTTTGATAGGGAATCAGCCTCGCACTCCTGGGTTTGCCGTGCCGGATCTAGAGTTTCATCTAGAGCAATCGAAGTCACTGCAGACTCCTCAATCTCAGCGGTCTCTTCAGAGTTCAACGTGGCTGTATGGTCCTTTTCTTCACTTCGTGTAGAAGAGTCCACACTGTCTAAGACATCGCGTGAGAGGCGATCCTCTCCTGGCTCTTCTGGAGGTAGAACTTCACCATCCGCACCCGCCATTTCAATGCGCTCGGAGCCATTGTTCACCAGCTCGACTCTCGTCACGCTGGACCCTTCAAGATCCACATCGACCTTTTCTCCAGCCACCTCGTCCGGTGGATTGTCATCGTCTTCACCTAGAGGCGCAGCATTGACTGCAACGAACCCACCGGCAGTATGCACCGCCTTTCGTTTCGGACTATTCACCCCCACGCCGTCTTCCCACTTCGACGGCAAGTACTGTATCACATTCTCTTTACCTCCCTCCTGAAGTGTAACTTTCAACCTCTTCACAGGCCGGCCGTTCACGTTCCCACCTTGTTGCTTTCTCCATCCATCGCCGGCACTGGCCTTGATTTCTCCGAGTGGCACACGCTTCCATATTTTCTGCACGTCATTACGAGGGACATATGGCGTGAGGGGCCGTCGCTCCCAAGCTCGAGGCAAAGACTTGATGCGCTTGGGCGTGAACGTGTAGGTCGGGCCCTTGAGTGATCGCGCGGGACTCACACTCGAGCTCCTTTCCGTAGGGCTCGACGAGGGAATGAAAGGTGTGGGTTCGAAGGACTGATGGCGGCGCGTGGGTGTCGGCGTCGTCATGGTGATGCGAGCTGAGAGTAGTTATTCCGTCGCGAGATGAGTCGAGGTTGATGGCGAGATCGTCAGCAGGTCATTGAATTGGCCACGAGTGAAGGGCAACGACGTCGACGAGTAATAATCCCAACGGCAAGCAACAAGCAATAATTTCGTCGGCAACTGCTGTAGCAAACAAGATGCAAATTGCTGTGCGACGCGCAGGTGGTTTCGGCCGATGTTGATACCCGCCCAAAGGGGCTAAGACCACCCACTAATATTACCTCGCCCACACTTGCCTCTCTATCTTACCCACTTCACAGTACCAGTACTCTGTCGACCAGATGTACTGTGCTCCACGATAATCACAAAGCCAACGGATGAGAATCAAAAAAATAAAGTATCAATTTTCATGTATTGCTGCTGTTGTTGCTGCGCTCTCGGGATCGCGTTTGCTGGTCGTCTGGCATATCATCTATGCTTCGTCAAATCATATACATGAACATAACCCCGGCTTGCTTCAAGTCTCCCTCAACATCAGTATTACTCCCGAGAGCGAGCCAAGTTTGACCAACTCGACTCCCAGAAAACCCTGCTTGCGTTGAAAAATGAAAACTGTCCAGACCAGCCAACCCATTTCCCCAAGATAATAAATCGCTAAGACATAACCCCATCTTTGGTGTACAGAGAATATTTGTGTACATGACATCGTTCTTCCTAATACATTTTCCCTTTTTTTTCCTGGTCGACGCCGTGACAATGAGTGCAATTAAAGAGAATACTCCCGTGCAGGGGAATGGGTGCCGAAAGACCCTGTGCTGAGCACAAATGATGAGATGCTAAGGACAGTCAAGAAAAGAAAAACGCTTGATTACTTGGCACGGTTCAGTGTTGCTGATAGTGCATTGGAGGCACGAACTCGTTGTTTTCGAAGAACGTGTGTTGGTACGCGGTCGCCGGAGCGCTGTGCGGAGCAGTGGTGACTGTGCCGGCATTGGCGAAGGCGAAGTCCATGTTAGGGCGGTTGATTGGTGCCGTCATCGGACCCGGGTGCATCGCCATGGCTCCTTGAGGAGTCTGGACCAATTGGTAGTAGTATTGGCCATTGTTATCGAAGGCCCTATATTCTGGCACTTGAAGTTGAAGCTCGGGGATCTGAGGTGGTGCTTGCATGCGCATCGGCTGGGGCGCCGTCATGTAGTGCATTTCGGGATTCATGACAGGGTAAGACCCAGTTGCAGGCATGTACTCTTGTTGAGGTGAAGGCATGTATCTGAAGTCGACCACATGGTTGTCAGAATACATTGAAGACGAGTTGACGACCGAAGCTGTTGAAGAATAGCTTGCGGAGTACTTGGAGATGATCTTCTTCAATGCTGTAGACAGAATCTTCCATGGGAATACCTTGACATCCTTCTCGATGTTGCGGGGTTTGGGATGAGGGAAGCCCATGATGACTTTGAAAAATTCCTCACTGTCTGGCTTGAGTTTGGAAACAGTCATCGGCCTGAATCCTTCCAGATTCCTGCGGATGCGGTTCTTTTCCTCGACAGTGAATCTCACTCCAACAAGAGCCTCGAGTAGGTAGATGGTGTCAACCGAGGTGACGTAGAATTCGTTCTTCTCTTTCCACCAGATGCACGAGATGCAGATGCTGCTTGGCTGACGGTCTTGTGGTGCGACAGGCTTGAATTCAGCCGTGATGGTGCTGTTAAGTTGGCTTCGTCGAAATTCCACGAGACGGCGACGAGCTTCTTTCTCATCCTGAGTCCAGGCCTCTTTCATGGTCTCCAGATCACCGCTCAACTTCAAATTCGCCTTTAGAGGGTGCATGGCATAAGGATTGAAGGCTTGCGGTTGTCCGATGGCCATACCAGTGAAAGAGCCAGGAGGAGACTGTTGCATAGTGGAGGTGCGAACCAACTTAGGGACCGATGACTTCAATGGAGAGCTCGTCGCTGGTCGAGGAATGGGCGTCACTGGTGCTTTAGGACTTTGCTCGCTCTTCACAGTAGCAAAGGAAGGACTGTTGAAAGCAGGTGTATGCGGTGACGGAGCAGCCAAGGAGACCTGGGAAGCCGTCGAGGTCGAGTAATGGTGGCCAGACGGTTTTGGTGATGCAAAATTGGGAGCACATACTGGAAGCCCGGTACTGCCGGTCGGGGTGAGTACGAATGGTGTCCCCGGCGATGTCTGACCGCTGAGGTCGTAGTAATCACCCTGAGGATCCTGAACTTGAACCTGTGCCACTGCTGCTCTCTTCTGGGCTGGCAAATCGTACTCTTCAGCAAGCGAAGCTTTCCGTTTCAGATTAGGCTGTTGAATACTGTTTGTTGAAGGTGCCCGAGAGTGTGGAAGACTGAAATTCCTCATATGTTGAACAGGAGGTTTGATGTCTTGTGATACGAATTGGAAGTCGACATCTTGGTTTGCAGTAGGCTGTAGAAGATGGTGGTGATTGTACGGGGCTTGGAGGAATGTGCCGTAGAACATTGGATTTTCAGCATCGGAAGGCGGGAAATCTACCATCAAGTAAGCGACTGTGGCATCTGAAATGTTCACACACATACCTGCGAGCTCTGACTTCCCATAACCAGACATTGGGAATAGCGGACCAGGTTTGGCCGCGAGGCCTTCCTGGTATTGATTGGCAAAATGCTCTCCCTCGAAGACTGCAGGATCGTAGGAGTCGTCGACTATGAAGGGGCCTGGCAAGTCTGGGAGAGCCTGAGATCGGTGTCAGTATTTGAATCATTTTGAAGAACCCCTGGGTTTTGAGGCCGATGCAACGACTAAGACATAAACAGGAATGGTAGATTGCACTCACCTGAAGATGACCGTAAGTGATCGAAGCCAGATTGACGGTATTGAAATGTTTGGCGGGTTAGAACTAATTTGGGATTTAAAAGCACAAAGCGAGTGACTGGTTACTAAACGAGTGTGGTGGATATGAGGCGGAGTTTCCTCAAATCAGAGCGAACGACTATGGGAAATGCTATCGAGATCCGACTTTGGAATTGACGGTCGTGATTCTCGTGATAAACATTCGAGTGGCAGTGTGGGTGGATGGGTAGGTATTTTGCCCCTAGGCGTGAGACGAGGTCTAGGAGGCTGTCCGGAAAAGCGACGATGCCACGATCTGTCGGTAAATCGAGCTTGCCGCGATTTGAATTGAGACTTGGAATCTTGTTGCGTGGTTCCAAACAGGTGAGAGGTTCAGTGCTAGCCTCGAGAACAAAGAATTCCAGACGGACGGAACGAACTATTCCATGGATTAGCCAAACTATTGCCAGACGAGTTTCAAATCCTTGACCTGGATAATTATTTTGCTTACTTTCTGGAGAAGAGCTGAGGTAAGAGGCTAGAGATGAAGGTGTTGAATATACCCAGGTGGGCAGAGACGCTGACAGAGTGAAGACTTGTCTTTTTCAACCTGAGACAACTGTCACCAAGGGATGTTAGCGAGATATTCAAGAGACTTCCTGGGCAGGATATGGATCCAATTTCACAGGGAGAAAAATTAGGAATCAAATTTGTGATGCAAGGGCTGGTAGAGCAATGTCTGTGCCGTGAAGCAGGTTCCAAATCTGGTAACGAATCGTCCAGGATATACGTACCCAAAAGTCTGGATTCCAAACCCGACCAGTCACAATATGACTTGCTGATCTTCTTGCTGCCCTCTCGAGAGAAGAAATTCCACACACCAGAATTCCCCGGGGTGTGGTAAGCGCAGCTGGTGCGGACGCTCTGCAGTGTAGATATACCGCACACGGGCGGATCGGTTGAAGTATTCGGTACCCAACAGAGAATTCTTTCAACCAGCACCAAGTTATACTGGTTATCCAAAGTTCAAAAGTAGCGAATGTCTTTCACACGGCGGACGGACTCGGAAATGGTCAAGTAGGTGGGTAAGGGGTACTGAGGCGAAGAAGGCGCTTTTTGAGTACTTTTCAGCGAACGTATCGAAAGCGTAGGACTCGAGCGATTGAAAGTCCTAACGAACGAGGATATCAAATGCGTCTGAAAAGCGAATGTTGGGTTCGTGTGAATAAACGAAAGTATGGTCTGCGAACAGAGCCGGGAAAAATGTCGAAGGAAGATGGAATGGGTTGATGAATAGGTGGAGCGGGAGTGTGAAAGAGGCAGCCGAGGAGGGGAAGGAAATGGCTATATCGGCCTCGACCAGCCAGAAACGCAAAAGGGCTCAAGAAGGCAGTGTTCGATCGGGTCACGCAGGAGTCGTACTCGGCGAGTGAACGGGAGCATCTTCCCCTTCGCTGTCTGGACGGTCACTGGTGAGTTGGGGATGAGGCAGGCTTAGTGGCAGTGAGCGACTAGCGGGCTGAATGGAGGAAAGGCAAGGGGAAGAGTACGTTCGAGGATGAGGATCCGACGAGGGGCTGCAGCGCGAGTGGGTTGAGAGGTGGATAACATGGGTGGTTCGATGATGGCACCGCAAAGAGTGTGTCGAGGAATAAGAGGATGGGAGGGTGAGCGACGAGGGAAAAATAGAAAAGCGGAGACACAATGCCTCACTGAGTGGCCAAAATGCAGCCAGCATGCGACTACGCTCTTTTCTGTCCAGCCTGTCCAGCCCGTCCCGCTGTCGATGCCTGCGTTTCTTGCCGATGTTCTTCTGGGACGCCGGAAGCCCAAACTATCACCAACAAGTGGTTTGTTGCTGTGCCTCGCTGTCTCGCCCATTTCTGCCTAGGTACGGAGTGCTCACCCAGACACGCCAACAGGGACAGTCTGGTGATCCCCATCACCGTCTACAGATTCTATCACGAATCTTCGTACCTAGTACCCTCCCTGCGTGGAACAAGGGGCCTTCCTTACAATCGGAGTGACAACAAGCCCAGGGCAAGATGAAGCGACTGGCGTTTGCGAGGTGCATAAACACGCCCAAGCCCGTCCACAGTTTGACCGGCAACTGGCGGCAAAGCCAAGTGGGAATCAACACAGTTCGACTTCTGCGTTACAAGGCCTGAAGTCGATGACAGTTGGCTCCAAGGCCAAAAAGTCCCCAAGCCAGTAAGCGATCCACCGCGAGTGAAAGGCGTGGCAGTCCACAAACAACCAGGGCGTCTGATCGGGCATGGCCTCGATACAAAAGGGAAAGGCTTCATGTGCTTGCACAGCCGCACAACGGCACGACAAGGGTCAGCTTTCCTCCCTGAAGCCTGCAGCGCTCACGGGCTTCCTGGTGAGGTCATCACCGGCCAGGAGCCCAGTCCTATCACTCCCTATCTCTGCTCCTTACCTCAACGAGTTTGAGTTCTCTCCACTGGCCTCATCGACCCACGTTACAGGCTCTTTCCTCTACTTGGCTCCCTGCCGGTTCCCCTACTCTAGCGCCGTGGACATCAGCCAGGGTCCTTGCTGCGTGTCCCCGCGCTCCAATGCTAAGTATAGCCCGCCAATCATCCAGCTGATGGCTTAGCGGCGAGAGATCATCACTCGTTTTTTTTGCCTCTCAAAAAGAGCGACACGCCCGAGCATGGGCTCGAAAAACTGTCAAAGCGGACACCTTGTGGCTAAAGGACAACTGGTTGGAAAGGAATGTTTTTCGCTTCGTCCCTTTTTCTTGACATGCTCCAAACACGACGCGTAGGGCCGCTTACACGATTCATGCATCACGGGCCTTGCATTGTTTGTTTGGTTCCATTGTATTTTCAGCAAATCATCGATGGCAGCGTGCGACCCCTTGCGTCTACATATCGTAAAAAAGTCAATTGTTGTTCGGAAACGGCATGCTGCAATGGCCCAGCGCAACTCCTTCTGGTTCGCCACTGCCACTGCCACAATGCTGGGGTGCGCATCTGCCCGATCATCTGGACATCGCTCCAGATCATTCGTGGCTGACATTATTCTCGATGCAACCCTTGCACAACTCACGGATTTTCTTCTGGCGGCAGTTCGATTCTGTTGCTCCTTTGCATGCTTCGTCTCCTGGACTTTCTGCTAATACTTGAGCCGCTGCTTTGGCACCTCGGTCTACCTGTTAAGCGAGGATGAATTGCCATTTTGTCCCACTTTATGGCCATTTGGGCACGATAAGCTAAATTTTCTCTAACACCGGTCAAGTCTGGGGAAGTGCCCAGTCGCCCTTTTCACCGGCGTTCTTGCCCAACCGAGGATATGGTGTCGTTGTGCATTGAACCAGGGGTTACAGGCGACCGCGCCGCGCTGACCCGGTACGAGTACGGAGTACTCGTATGATATTTTACTTATCAACTTTTTCGAGGCCTTCCAACCACCGCTCAAGTGGAGATTGCTCTCTACTAAGAATCCTTTTTGCATGATATGTGGGCGTTTACGGAGCAAACATAAAGGCGAGTTACCTGGAGCTCTCTCGTCCCGTGTCTGAAAGACTTCTGTCTGTATCGCAACGTTGTCCTCCCTTACTACGCGCCAGGCTCCATCGGTCGGGGTTTGCCGCGTTCGTTCTTTAGTCTATTGTCTACTTCGTAGTCGAGGCTTCAAACTACCACCCCGTGCAGAGGCTTGCGTTCAGGACAGGACCGTCAAGCTGCTATACTGACATAGCGTCAAATGTGTTCCTGTATGGAGCACCGGATATGTTTGGCCAGTGCTCCTGACTCGGCGCCACCCTTCAGGCTTTTTAGCGCATCACATGTGGTGACAGCACAATCGTAATTCATCTATACACATTAAATCATCTGTCTCCTTGTGCTCGGCACTGCCCGGAAATGCAAGTGAAACCCTCCTTCATTGCGAACTCCCTTCAAAATGGGGTGACGTGGACAAACAGGACACAGAGGCTGTTGGAAAATCACGTTCTGAGGCTGTGAAGCTTGCACCTCGGCCAATGGTGTTAAGTGGTTGGGTGAAACCCCTAACGTGCTTTCTATTTTTGCCCTGATCCTCTGGCGCATTCGGTTGAAAACAGCCTATCCCTCTACGAATGCGCCGGCGGAAACAAGACCGTTCTCGTAACCAAACTCTACTTTGTCGAGCCATATCACTTTTCGTGTCGGGTTTGGTTGGCAACGGGAACCCAGACTTGTGATGATCCTGACACACCCGCCTTGTTGGGTCCTGGGTCAGACGGCCGCCGACATGGTGTCTAGCTTTGTGCAGCGACGCGTTTTTCTATGTACGACTCGAGTGATGGATGCATCACACTCCCAAGCGCAGAGTTTCTAATTACGCTGGCGGCGAGCGCATTCTTTCGCATCACACACAGGATGGCTCCTGATTCATGCAGCGAAATGATATGAAACTTGTGTAAGCGTCCAGACATGCATTCATCACCCACTGGACCGTCTGGATCGACATTCGACATTAGGCCCTCAGCTCGTCGTCGAAGCTTGACCAGACCATTCGACGATCAACCCACTGATGGATTCTAGTCTGTGTCTCCCTCCAGCTTCTTCTGTCTCTGCGCCTGTCAGTCTTGCATGAAGTATTCCACGGGCGCACGATATCAAATTCTCCAGAATCCAGGCACAGAAGAACCTTTGTGTGACAGTCTATAGCCACTCATCCCGCCAAGGCCATTTTGTAGACTGCATACTGGTTCATCAAGGTCGACTATACCTGACTCGATTAGGAGACCTCTCCTTGCTTCGTACTCCCAATCCGGTTTTTCTATTCTGACCGCCCGTAGAGCGTGACAGGGAACAAGTTGCACAGCAGTGATGCTGTGATCGCCGGTTCCCTAATCCTGGATCGTCACTGCAACCCTTCCAGATGATCTGTTGGCTGTGCACATTTCGGTGACTTGCGACCTGAGAAGCTACCTGGGAATGTTTGACTTTTGCCACAGTGCTACCACTTCAACATGAACAACACGATCTACTCTATCGATAGTGCGAGACCCTGCATATCATCGACCACATCTGCAACAAAGCAAAAATAGAAATCCTGAGTTGAAACACATTGGGCATATTGGCGTTAGGTGTATGGGCGAGAAACGCAGAGGATACGAGAAGATGATCAGCACAACCTTGCATTTCCAGCGACGAAGCTGACCGGATAATACACGCTCAACACATCTAATTATATTCACAGCTTGCTGTCGGCACCGTCCTTGGTGAGCTCGATCACCAACTTGCCGAATTGGCTGGCCTTCTTCATGTCCTCGAACAGACCGTTGATGGCATCCAGGTCGAAACCCTGGACGATTCGCGAGACTACAGGCTTTGCCTTGTTCGCCTTGACGAAAGCGACCATGTCTTTGAATTCCTTTCTCGATCCCATCGTCGTCCCTCTGACCTCGATATTCCTGAGCACGGCCTTCATCAACCACGGCATCTTAGGTCCCATGGTCATGCCATAGACTGCGATTATACCGCCAGGCTGCAGCAGCATTGTTAGTCACCCATCGTGCAATCGTGAAGTGATCCAATACGTACCTTGAGCAAGGCCACGCCCTTGTCAACGATATCACCGCCGGCGCCGTCAACAATGGCATCGAGTTGCTTGTTCTCCGCAGGCAACATGGCCAACAATTTCTTTTCCCAACCCTCCTCTTTGTAGTTGATACCGCCCGCCGCTCCGAGTTTGATGGCCTTTTGGAGCTTCTCCTCGCTGCTACTGCTGACGTAGACATTGGTGCCAGCGGCTCGTGCGAATTCCAGAGCGAACAAGGCCACACCGCCACCGATGCCGGTGACGAGGATATTCTTGCCTGGGCCGATGTTTCGAGGCCCGCATTTGGTCATGACGGCTCGCCACGCGGTGAGTCCAGTCAGGGGGATGGCGGCCGCTTCGACGGCAGACAGATGGGCCGGTGCCTCCTCGAGCTCGGACTCGTCGATGACCATGTACTCTTGCAACGTACCGTTCACGTTGACCTTTGTGCCGCCTAGAATCCTGTAGCCGCCCTGTTCTTCGGGGCCCTCGGGGCTGTCGTGCCAGCCCAGGCCCGGGTTCACAATGACCCTCTTGCCCTTCCACTTTGGGTCGGCGTCGCTCCCCAGGGCGACGACCGTCCCGCACCCGTCCGACAACAACGTCACGCCGAAGGTGGTGCCCGGGTAGAGGTGCTGCCGCACGTACAGGTCTCGGTGGTTCAACGCGGTGGCGTGCATCTTGATGACGACCTCCTTGCCCTTCGGCGTCGGTTTGGCGACATCGTCGAGCGACAACGGATAGTAAACCTGGCCAGGCTTGCCTTCTACCTTGGACACGGAAATCGACTTTGGCATGATGATGATGATGTTGAGGACTTTTCGTTGTCAATGCTTGCTGCTCCCCTGTGACCGGCCGGGCGATGCTTCACTAGGGTGGACTCGCTTCTGGTTGTTTTTGATTTAAAAAAAGATTATCAGACAAGCAAGATCCAGAAGACACAACATCTGCTGCGAGATCTGTGTTTCTATCTTTCTACCCAGACATTCAAAACCTGCTTAGAAATTGGACGTCGGCGTTTTCTCGCGATTTCATTCACTCGTCAGTCTCATCTCTGATGCTAGGAAGATGCATTTGGCAATGATGGCATAGTCAAGTCAGCCAAAATGCCCATGACTCAGCACATTTCCCGACAAAATCCCCCGCGATCGAGCAAAGGACGAAGAATATTGAACAAGCCGAGGTGGCCAAGGCGACGGGACCAGGAACAACTAAAGATCCGAAGACGGTCACGTGCGCAGATTTTGATGAGTGTTGTCAGCGAGGTCTCTGCTTACTTGAGTGTCTATGGCTTTTAGGACGACCGATATGTTAATTTCCCATGTTCAGCTTCATTTCCCAGGTTGCAGTGAGGTCCCTAGAAGGACCACCTGACCGGGAACTGCAACGAGTGCGAGCTGAATCGTATATTTCCAATCACCAGAGTCGATCTGCCCAGACTCGGGCATGATCAAAGCCGAATAGTCCAAGGAATGATTGGTGTATTACCGCCCCGAAGATCCTTTAGCAAGACACGTTACGAGACACCCAGGCTGTTATAGGTAAGTAAGTGGAGTGGACCGAGATGTTCTTAATTCCACGCACAGGACTCGCCCGACCAGCAGAGTCAAGCTCCTGGTGGGTGCCGGGCATCACAAACTTTTAGGGCAACCAGAGTGTGTCGACTTGCCTTTTTCCGCCCCAATGCGTAACATATCAAATTTCGATTTTCAGCTCGAAAACCTGCGTGAATCTCTCGATTGAGATGATTTATACCTAGTTGACACAGGGTTGTTTTTCGACAGAAGAACGTTTGTTGCAGAAGACTTTCGAATGAGCTTTCTTGACCTCGAAAAAAAAATCTCGGACATCGCGCAATTACAGGTGACAGAAATCTTAGTCATTCAAATCACGGGAGGGGTATTTCTCCCTACCCGGTGCTCGGCCTCCGAATCCTTTGATATAGGACGACAGTTCCAGAATAGCAAGCAGCCTGCAGCAAAATGGGCTCCTTTGGTGAGGTGACTGAGTTTGGGCATGGTTTCAAGTCGCAGTTTCTGTTTGATCCCAAATATACCAATTTGAATCATGGTATGTGTCTGCTCTAATTCCTCGATCTGAATATGCCGTCTTGTGGGAAACACGCCAACCCCCTGAATGACCGTGGCGACTGTTGGCGCTCAACGACATTGCGATCGTATACTATATTGAATCACCGGGATCTAATATGGTTCTACAGGGTCATTCGGAACATATTCTCTTCCAGTCCGCAACGCCTTGCGCGGATACCAGAAATTGGCAGAAGCAGCGCCGGATAAATTTCTGAGATATCAATATGTCGACCTCTTGGACAAGGCTAGAGACCGCATTGCACGACTACTTAACGCCCCTGTCGATGAATGCGTATTCGTCCAGAATGCCACGACTGGTATGTATGTCCCCGACTTGTCTGAGCAACAGTGACTAATGGTATCGACAGGCGTCAACACCATCTTGCGGAATCTGCAGTACAAGGAAAAAGACTGCATCATTTATTTTGATACGATCTACGGAGCTTGCGAGAGGACGCTAGCTTCAATTGTTGAAACAAATCCTCAACTTCATCTGAGGAAAGTCGGACATGGGCAAGACTTCGGCTATTCGTTGCCCTGTACGCATCCTGAAATTCTGAATGCCCTTTCGCAAACGATCTCTCGGGTGATATATGATGGATACACACCCAAAGTCTGTGTATTCGACACCATTGTTTCGCTTCCAGGAGTTCGGTTTCCATTTGAGAGAATCACGAAAATGTGCAAAGAGTATGGCATTCTCAGTCTGATCGATGGTGCGCACGGTGTTGGCATGATACCACTAAATTTGGCTCAACTTGATGCGGATTTCTTCGTGAGCAACTGTCACAAGTAAGTCTGCACCCTGGAGGTGAGGATTCATGCTCACCATGCACAGATGGCTATACACTCCGCGAGGATGTGCAGTTCTACATGTACCAAAACGCAACCAACATCTCATTCGAACGACATTCCCAACCTCACATGGATATGTGCCACCTCCTGGTTCATCTTCTAGATTCCGCAACCCATTGCCACCAACAGACAAGTCCGACTTTGTCAACCTGTTCCAATTCGTTGCGACGGTCGACAGCTCACCATACTATTGCGTACCAGCCGCTCTCAATTTCCGACAGAACTTATGCGGGGGCGAAGAGGCCATTTACAATTATATTCGTGACATCGCTCAGCGAGGAGCCGACCTTCTTGCCATGGTTCTGGGCACAGAAGTCATGGATGATCTCGATGCTGGTTATGGGTTGAAAACAATGGGAAGTTACGAAGCAACCGATCGCAGAGATGGCGGAAGGACGGGCTGGTCGGGCGGTCTGAGAGATTGTGCCATGGCTAATGTCCTCCTTCCTATTACGATCGTTGGGGCGTCTGCCCGAGGAAGCATCAGCATGGGACCTGGTGGAGCTGGAAGTGCAGGCGGGTTGTCACCTGCACTACGACAAAACTCCTATGGCTTCCCCAACCCTGGCAACCCACAGTCTCTGCGGACACCTTCTCCCAGTGGGCTTTTGGGTGAGCCCAACATATCACGTTCCCCATTAAATTCTCCAGGAGCATATTCAGCTGGGCCCATCGTGGTCCAAGAAGCCGATGTTCCGTGTCATGTCGCATGGATGCAGAAGACGCTGGTGGATGAATTCAACACATTCGTGGCGATCTACGAGTACGATGCCAGACTGTGGACGCGGATTTCTGGTCAGATCTATCTAGAGCTCAAGGACTTTGAATGGCTCGGGGAAGTTCTCAAAGGACTGTGTGAGCGCGTTCGAGCCGGGGAAAGTCTGAGGGATAGGTCAGACATAAGCGAAAGAGTCGAGACGATGACAATTGCAGAGCCCAAACCACCCTCGCGGCAAGGGACCACTGAATCGTTGGCCGCTCGCAGATTCGATATCACACAAGGCGGCTGGGTCGAGGAATGAAGGGTAAAGTCGGTGCGTTCAGTATTTCCTCGTATTCCCCGGACCCCTGGAAAAAAGCTGGGGTCTAGATCGTACTCGCACGAATATCAAGTACATTAGTTTTGACACCCGTCGTTTTGTCCCGTGGTGCTTGTACGAGCAATCGGATGCACCCCCGGATCATCATGCCCTCCGCACTCACAGTTACTGTTACAGTTGCACTTGAGGGTTTGGGACGAGTACTGCTAAGGGCCGAGCATTCAGCAGCTGGGCGGTGGAGTGAAGACGGAGAAGGACGACATGGGAAATGGCAGTTGATGGTGGCACACAGTGTGTCAAGCACTGGAGAAGGCGCTGCCGCTATTACCTCACAAATACTGGGCAATAGATATTTTCCGCCCAGCAGGAAAACCTTGCGGCTGCACGTGAGCCACCTGTAATATTACCCCGGATTTGGCCCTGATTCCGGCTACGTAATTTCAACCTCTTTCTGACACCACAAAATCCCTTCCGCCTTCCGCCCTCTTCGCCTGCGGTCTTTGCTTTCCTGTTCAAAATTTTCACTTCCCGCCATCACCTGTCCTTGCTTGGTCATGGCGCCCAGCTCACCACATGACTTGACCTCAGTGGCTGGTCCGGCCGGTGCCTGCAATATCCGCCCTGCAAATTCTGGAAATCTGGGGAATATTGTGATTCATAGTTTGCCGTTAACTGCTTAGTCGACAAGAGTCTTCGTGGTACGCGTTACTTGATGGCAATATCGCCATCCAGGCCCAAAATGAAAACAATGACACAGACTACACTCTCTCCGTCCTTTCACTCGATTTCTATTACCCCCATCAAACACATTCCAAGCCCCTTCCCTGCAGCTTTTTCCATTCTTGTGGAGCAGCCTTGATTTGCATCGTTGATCCTCATCATACACTCTGCACTGTCATAAGCCGGCATGACCATGGAACCATCTGCCCTTTTGAGGTGCATACACATCAACCGTCGCCCGAATGATGATCTAGCCCCTCAAACCCATGAGAAGGAGATCGAACTCACACACAGTCCTCACTTACTACTCCCTCCAGAAGATATGAACTCACAGAGAAAGTTTTCCTACGCTTCGGTCAAAGAAGAGCAAGGTATGATGCAATATCCCGCCGTTCCGACACAATAACTAACTTGTTGCCACAGGAGAAGGTGTCCCCCAGTCATTCGAGTCCTCCCTATCGAGCCGAGACCTTGAAGAGGTCGAATGGATAGCGTGGCCATGCAGTCACTGGTGCAGGACGAAGGGACTCTGTTCTTACCATTTCGGTGGTTCGCATGATGAGTACATCCGTACGAGACTCGAAGGCTACGCTCGCAGCAATCCGAGGAAGCTGGAGAAGATCCTGGACGAACTGGACAAGAGACGGGCAGCACAGAAGTTGTTTAACCTTCCCGATGCCAAAGAGATCACTCAGTTCCATCCTCGCCCGGCCAGTTTTAGTCTCGAGGTTTGGAGGGAAAAGGTCAGAGATGCAGTAGGCACACACGACTTCACCCTCGACAACCTCGACGAAACGGCCATTATCGACGACGACGATACTCTGTCGCAAACTTCGTGTTCCAGACCTGCGTCATACCTCGAGTCCATGCCGATTGAGATCCTGGAGATGATTTTGTCCCGAGTCACAGTCGACCACACAGCCGATCCCTATGCACGACCACATGTCGATCTTGCATCCTGCTCACTGGTCTGCAAGAAGCTTTATGCTGCCGCAGTGAGAGTGATGTACAGACACGTTTCCATCCCTCAGTCTCGAGCCTTCTCCAAACTCATGCGCAGTCTCAACAACGACAAATCCCTCGGCGAACTGGTCCACTGGCTTGACTTTTCCCATTATTCAAACATGGGTTTCGGCAAGGCTCGCTCAGCACGCAATCAGACGCCCTTCCTCAAACCCGAAACACTCCTAGCTTGTCTAGACATGATCCCCAACCTTCAAGCATTCCTTGTACACGAGCATGTCGATGACGAACTCGACGTGGATATCTTCCGCAAGCTCTTCAGCATGCCGCTTCTGCAGGCTCTCGATCTATGCGCTTGCTCCTCCCGGCCTTTCGCTGATGCCTTCACCAATATTGTGACACAGGCAACACTCCCCTCAGCCCTTCCCAGTCTTCAACGAGTGTCCTTGCACGAATGCACTACACTGCAAGAAGAAGTTTTTGAAGCGCTTCTTCCACGCCTTACGAACCTCACACACCTTGACGTGGCGCACACACTAATCAACGACACCGCACTCCTCTCGATTCCCCCAACAGCCAAGATTACCCATCTCAATATCGAGCGCTGCACCCACCTCACGGGCTCTGCCGTTGTAGATTTCCTTACTACGCATCCAGCGGTCAAAGACAGCATTGTCTACCTCAACCTCGCAGCGGATGCCTCACGCCACAGGCTTCTAACATCGAGCGACCTGACACTCCTCCTTTCTGCTTTGCCGTCGACATTACGCTCACTCAACATCAATGGCGCGAGAATTAATCCAAGCCATATCTCAGCGCTAAGGATGCTAGCAGGTCACGTCGAAGAGCTGGGTCTTCGTGGAGCACAGCTAAGTCTAGCTAGCGATATTAAGCCTCTCCTCAAACAGCCCCATGCAATCCGGTACTTGGACCTAGCCGACATCAAGTCTGTCACACAGATGAGTCTAAGCTACAGTCCCAGCAGTCTTACCGACACCGATACGCTACCCTTGGAAGTGATCGAGCTAGGCCAAGATGTGCTCGGCGAAATCAAGCGTAGAAACGCACATGTGAAGAAGCCTGACTGGGTTGTCAAAGAGCTCGGGCGACGTGGTTGGTTCGTCAGGCAGCCGGTAGCTGTCAATGACAACACAAGCGAACAAGAAAAGGCACAGGGCCAGGTCGAAGTCGACGATGGGTCCCGATCATGGAAGATGGGAGCGCGATGGTGGGGAATGCGCAAGATTCCTGTCGTTGAGCAGGATGTCGGTGGTATGTACGGGTATTTCATGTTTAAGAGATCGTGAACAGCCAGGGTTTCATGCACACCAATACAGTCGAAGCATTACCTGTGCCTTCCAGTACGGTGGAATAGTCACGGTCAACATTACACGAATTTTGATTCTACGACATTGCGAGTTTTGGGTTCACGGTTACCAGAAAAAGTTTGGGAGCATTCGAATTGATATTTCAGCATCAGCGTTGCATGCAAGAGCCGTGAAACGGGAACAAATTTTGTTGGTTGCTATTCTTTCTCTCTTCGGCAAAGCATGGCATAGCATGATGAGCGATATTTGTGTTTGGGTTCTACAACGAAATGGGTTGCTTTTGGAAACATTTCTTGGCTGCATGGACACAGACACGATCTATATGAAATGGAAAGACAAGGGGTCACATGCATGGGGAAACGAAATAATGAAAATCGAAACGGACATTATGAGTATGATCATTAGGATGGAGTCTGTGTAGATGCATAAACACGGCAGATCATGTGTCGTGTGGTTTGTTATAGCGGATTATTTTTTCTCGTAATATGTAATCTTCTCGACTCTTGAATCAAGCCCAAAATCTACGAGTCTGTAGTTTTATTTTCCAAAGTGATTAGACAGAATCGTTTTCTCCCTTTGTCTATCAAGTGTGAATGGTTGGTCACTCATTCACTTCCGTATGGACACTGGAGTCTGGTATCGAAAGGATTTCACATTTCAGTATAGATATCTTATATGGGTACATCTGTGGTGGACATGCAATTTCCCCAGGTGTAATATAATAAGACATGATATATATATACACAACACTCTGTCCGTGGCGAATACTCCTCCGTACCGGGTGACTGGGTCGGACAAATACTGAAAGGGTTCATGGGGGTTGTTTGTGTTCCAAGGCCATGTGCAATGTTCCATGATGATACCAGTTACACAATGTGTTTTGCTGAGACGGAGTATGCGCGCGCAACATATACAGACTTTGAAAGTTCATCCCCCTTCCCCCCCGTGGTACCATCACATTCGACATTGGAGCATCCTCCGGCTCCTTACCGAATATCAATTCACATCACTCCCGGAAACTCTCTCGAGATGATGAATTGGTTTTGTTGCAATGTCTCTCGACGGGTTGAGCTCTCCTTACCGAGTATCTCGTGCCTTGAAGAATGGCCCCTGAGTCTCATTCCTCGTCACGAGAGGAGTGATTCATTCTCCCGGCGGCGAGTCGTCATCGAGAGTGAAGAGCTCACAAGTTCTTTCGGGTCATCCCAGCAGCTGTCACATCTTTGAGATTGAAATTTGCCCTTTGGGTGTGTGTCTCTCTCCCCCCCCCTCCCACAGTCTTCGTGAACTTAGTCTCGAGCTTTGCTTACAGCGCTCCAGCTCCCAGGTTTTTTTTTGGCGCGGGAGAGGGTCCACCTCGAAATATGATACAGGATAAACTTGGTGAATCACGTCCTCCGCTTTCTGGGACCAGCGATATTCGGAAAGAGACGGGCAAGGTGATGGTTGATTGGAGATTTGTCCTTCTTGGGTCCTTTCTGTAGTCGGCATGTAATTAGCATTCGGATAGAGTGAACTCGTGGGTTGTTTTGGCAAAGCTGAGGACACGGGGTGGAAAACGTACCGGCGCATCTACACAGTCCCGTAGAGCCTTTTCAAGGTGTCCACAGTCTCCAGAGGCAGCTCCGGCGGCCCAGCAGTCTATCAGAGGAACTTGTTAGCAAAGATATCTCAATGTCCTTGGCCTTTGTTTCTTTTCTCATGCGTCGTGGTCAAAGTGAACATAGTTCGCCCGACGAACCTCCCCGACTCAGATCACATCAATTGTCCGCACACTTTGATACAATGCATCTCCGGTATAACCACTGGATGTAAGGGGGTTTCGTGTCTGCGTCTCGGGGGAGATGTGTGAACGTACTCAACATGGCGCTCATGGGTCCTAAGCACGGATTCGGCTCTGCCTTGTCCGGGTGTCTGATCTTTATCCGGGACACCGTTTGTAGTCTGATTGGGTTTATGGCGGTGGATGAGCCTTTGGGAGGCATGGTGAAGAAGCTGAGGGGAGAACCGAGAGTTTAGAACCGAAGACTCGCTGTGGGAGAGCTCGTAGCAGTGCGATCGCGACCCGGGAATATTGTCGTTGATACCGAAGCGGGTGCCTGCACTGCAGAGGTAAGGCAGTGTTGGCGTGAACTATCCACCTGATCGGATCAAGGGGAAGAGACAAGGAGGGAATATAGTTGTTGATTGACTCTCATGTTGGGTTGTTTAAATGCTCCATCGAGTCCACCTTGTAAGTAAAATTCGCAGTCACGTGGAAGCACTTTACCTTCAGTTCCTACTGGGCATGATTGGACGGAGTTTGCGGAGAAAGCGAGCTGTGAACTGCGGCGAAACAGAAGCATTGCCATACGAACATCCAGAGATAGTACTACATGTATGCTCACTATGCTCTTCCATTCTTAATTGTCCTTGTCTGATTTCTATTTCCCTTTTGTCTGTCGCGGTTAAAAATGAGCAAGCCCAGTTCTCAATTCTGGACTTGCTCGCGTTGCCTTCTACAAGCGCAACGATTGAGGGGAGTCGCTTTGAAAGCCCCTCGACTCGACTATAGAGCCATAATCCGTTCAGATCGTACCTTTAGTAGCACGTCTTTTGTCGCCGATGAGAAGTCCTCCGGTTCGATCGAGACACAAAATCATGTCCGGAATGAGCAAGAGAAAGGTGCCATGTCCCGGCGACTGGCAGATATGGCGGAAGAGACTATGGATACAGGAAGTAAAAGCGACCGTAAGCTGATGAAAGAGGCCGGCTTTTCAGAAGAACTCAAAGCACAACTTGAGCAAAGGATAGCGCAGACAAGCTTCAATGCTGAGAATCAGCAGGCTATAAGTCAAGTCACTATGCCGGTACGCCCATGAATACTTCCAGTAATGGTGGCAAGCTGACACTTGCAATAGACTTCTGCTGGAAAAGGCACTCGTGACATGGCTGCCGCAGAGCCCTGGACAGGGTCAGAAAACCTCCACGATGCTGCATTACGCATGCTCGATGACTCCCACAAGAGACTACGGACACCGAATCGACTGCCTTCTCTCGGTGTAAAAGTCAACCTTCGCCCTGCACCCAAACCGAAAGTATCCGCGGCGGATCGGCTAGCCAATGCACGAGATAGGACCTCCCGTTATTCCATCAGCCAGCAAGATGATATGTCTGAGGATGAGAGGGAGAAATATCGCAAAGAATTGAAGGACAGATTTTCTCCTGGCGCGAGGCCTATGCCTGCGTCGCTCCAAGGCCTCACAAGTCTGGCGAATGAGAGGATAGAAGATGCTATCGCCCGAGGCCAGTTCAAGAATATTTCCAGGGGTAAAGGTGTAAATGTGGAAAGAGATTATAATGCGAACAGTCCATTCTTGGATACAACGGAGTATTTCATGAACAAGATCATCCAGAAACAGGACATTGTTCCGCCGTGGATTGAGAAGCAACAAGAGCTGGTCAAAGCAGTGGCGACTTTTCGTGGTAGACTGAGGAATGACTGGCGCAGGCATGCTGCGAGATTGATCTCCAGTTCCGGCGGCAGTGTTGAGAGTCAGGTCCGGCGGGCAATAGCCTATGCTCTGACGGAAGAAATCGTCAATCCTAGGGTACGCAAGGTGGAAAACCTCAGCTCAATCGCTCCAGATGGCAGTTTGACCAGCGTGACAGTTGAGGAGAGGATCGCTGCCGGTGTACCAGTCGAGCCTTCCGAGTCGCCGGCAACACCAACACCATCAGGGTCGCAAGCTGAGCAACCGCAGGAAGTGATACAGATTGAAGTTACAGAGCAGCCCGCGGAGACCGCGCCCGTCGCAGTCACCGAAGGAAGTGCCATAGATACCGAGTCGCCTACTACACAAGGTGCCGAGGAGCCAGCAGCACCTGTACCTGATACCTCCTCTTCCTCCCCCTCCTCCTTCCCACCACCATCATCTGCTTCCCAGCAGGCACAGTCTCGACCCCTGAGACCAGCGGCATACGCTTTCCGCGATCCAGATTGGGAAAAGGCAGAATTGTCATACCACACACTAGCTGTTCAGCAGCTCAACGACCTCACGCGCTCCTATAATTTGATGGCCCCTAAGATCGCCCAGAAACCGTACTACACTCTCGACCGAGAGTTGAAGCGTTGCTTCGCAGACGTCGCCCCCACTCTCGCCGACGAGATTCTCGAGCGTAGTCGTAAACCGCTCGTCAAGATCAGCATCATGCCGCATCAAGAAGGAGGTGTGCTGGAACGATTTGGGGCCGGAGAGAGATATCATGGTCACCATGGAATAATCCGAGACGAGGTTCACGGTAAAGAGTATGGATTTCGGCAATTCTGGAGGGATCTCTTTGGCGGCGGTGGTGACGGAAAGGAGAAAAGGCGCCAGGTTGCATGAACAAGTACTATATACCGAAGAATGTTCAAGACGACAGCTGCGATCACTCTCACAACAATCACAACAACGACTAGATTCAAATCTAGATGTATATCAATATAACAACGACCTACGACCACGATGACGATGAAGAAGATTTGGAAAATGTAAAATCATTGTTTCTTGTATAGCATATCATTCACTCGTTCAGATAATCTCAAGCAGTTATTTTGCATAGTTCAAGAAGGAATAATACGCAGAGCGATGCTGCTACTCATCAAATAGTACTTAATACGTGGTTCATATATCCCACCACCGTCGTCAACCGCTCATGCGTGGGAGTATCTACCGAACACGCTGGGTATCTTAAGGTGACCCTTAGACCTTCCTTCTTCAAACATGACCATCTGAGTAACGTCGTTCATGAAAACAATCCATCATAGATGATGCAACTCTCGAAACTCCAGCTCTATCCTGACGCGAGAATAGATTTATAGAGATGGTCAATTTCTTTTATCGTATCGGACCTCTGCAACATGGGTATGAGGGGGAGGCAGTAAAGTGATAGAACTGCCGCCGAGGCCAAGGTCTCGCTGACGAGGAAGGCTGGGGATGCCGGCGTTCGAGCGAGCGAACGGAAGGGCCAAGATTGATCGCCCTTTCAAGATGACCAGCAGCCGGCCGTCTTGCGAGAGAAGCCGTTTAGGAGGACTCCAAATCCGGTCATACCTGGGCGGCCTCAAAACCCACAAACAACACAGACAATACTCCCCTGATACCCATGACGCCACCTTGGAAGTTGTTGGTGGTCATGACATCGGCGGCCTCCTGTGGCCTTTCTCGGTCGGGTGTCATCGTTTGGTGCCCGCCTGGTTCGAGTAGGCTGTTGAACACCTCTCGGAGGGAAGATGTTGGATGGTCCGATCATGGCCATGATGATTTATATTTTGGGTCGGTCAATCGGGCGAGTGAAAGGTGTCATATCCCCTGACCAGACTACTACACACCCGAGTGGTCCGGTCCTGACCCCGGCTGCGGTTCCGGTTCACATTTGGAATCGCAGGTCTGTTGTATTGTACCGTATCCGCGGTACTCGAGGCCGTTGAACTTGAAGAAGGCGTCGACGCGCGCTCGCTCCAGAGCCCGTTCGGCGTCGTCCTCGCCGTCACCTTCGAAGCTGAAGCGGCGCGAACGAGTGTGGCGGTACAGTGGGATAATGGTCACATGTAGAAAGGCCAGAGAAAAGACGACCGCAAAAATGACCACGAGCATGACGAACGAGGCCATCACGACAGGACTGCGGCGTGTCTCGGCAGAGACGGCTGCCGAGCTGACATGGCGAGGGAGGTCGGAGACGGCGGCGAGGGGGTTGCATGGGTTGACGTGCTGCATGGTGGTGTGGGAGAGTGCCATGTTGACTTTCTCTGCGTGTTTGATGCGAAGAAAGAGGTGGTCGACGAGAACGCAACGAGAGTATTCTTGTGCTTGGTCTGGATGTCGTTTGGAGCCAAAGTCAAGGTTGAGGTTGGTTGGCCAGACGATTGCAATGTGCAGTGGAAGTGGTGTTGTAAAAGTAAGGCGGGCAAAGAGACCAAGATGGCGGTGTGACGGGCGAAGAGGTGATTGATAGATTCAGGGACAAACTGAGACTGCGCGAGGTTTGCTGATTTATATGCATGAAATCAAGAGGATCTGATGAATGGGTTTGGGGGTTGGTGGAGCGAAAAAAGAACAGAAAGCCCGTATGAAGACCCTCGTACCATCATATCGAATTCAACGTGGAGAAGAGATCTCAGGCAGTCAAGTTTTGACGTTGAAGTATTTGTGGAACAGATATCTGATCTTGTTGATCAAAACTGTACTGTCAAAAGTCAACTAAGATCTACTTCAGAGCCTGCGAGGATGAAAGTGTCATCAAAACAAGATCCATATGGATCAACTTGTTGTTGTGCGCTCACCATGACTGGCTGGTCCTTCTCCGTTGCAGTACCTGTCCATCTGGTATTGCAAGAGAGTTCAGTATATCTGGATCCTGCTTGAACTCGGCGCTGTTGATCACATCTTGCGCCTTTGTCATATTTCTTTCGATGACAATCCCAGGAATTGCCCCGTTGTTCATCCTTTCGTCCTCAAACCCTACGCTGCCGTTCCCACTCTCGAGCACTCTGGCGAGATACCTCATCAGGCTTGTCAAGGCCTTCTGTTTGCCGTCCTGGTCGGATCCTTTCGTATTTTCAAGCGTTGTCGAAATGATCGCGGGCATGTAATATGGTAGCACCGCAGTTTCATTGTCTTTCCCATCGATGTTGAGACCTCGAATGAGCTGGTCTCTGCTCCCCGAATCCAGCCCTTCAAAGGATCTCGAGAAGAGTTCAGCTTGTTCCTTGTCGGCCGTACGTCCCATCGCGAGCAGCCGTAGAAGAGCTCGGTCCTTTTCATCGCTCACACTCAACCTACGAAATCCCTTCAGAGAAAGCATATTGCCACGCTTTGTCAAAACCTTGTCGTAGCCTTGTCTGAGACTAGCCTTGCCAGCTATGATCTCCAAGGACACTTCGTGAACGGTTTTAAACGCCTGAAAGACGGGTTCGATCAGGTTTTTTGCACCAGACGAGTCAATGTGTCCAGCTGCGCCTGCGACATCAAGCACTTGTTCCATAAATTTGAGCTCAAAAGCATGTTCATGGCCCCTCATGGTCAGGAGGCCCTCCAAATTTACCGGAACACTCTCAGCCTGGGCTAGTTGACCTGCATTCAGCTCCGAGCCAAGCTCGAGTCCCAGCATAACATCCTCTCGTCTCTCAGGAGATAGATAAGATAAACATGGCACCATGCCAGCCTTTGCTGCTTCGAGTAAAATGGCGTCGTGGTTTTGGTCAGGTAAGCGCTGGTTGTTGACAAAATAAAAATCCTCCTCCAAATTGCGATCTTTTCCCAGGTCGTTGATTATCATGGATAAAATTAAAGTGAACAAGTCCTCCTCGGACTTGAGGCCATTCAAGAATAATTGGCAAAGCCATTCGAAAGACTCCTCAGTCAGGCGGTATTCTGGCGATTGTCCACGAGTAAAACGTTGATAGTCCTTGTTGTGAATCCATCTCAGGGCGAGAACGCCGACTAATGTTCGATTGATCTCGTCGTAATTTTTGCCATACAGTATCTGTGACGGACTCGGATCTTCCGAAGTGCCGTTTGCATACCGTTGCTGGTCGGTGCCTTCCACGGCCTTTGCACACTTTAGGCGCTCTAGTTCCGGTTCGAAGGCTTCTCGTATCTGAATCAAGACTGTGGCCTCGTCCAACTCAAAGAACTCTCCAAGATCTATGGTGTCTTGAAGAGAGCACCGAGGCTGGGATTTGGCCATCATCGAGAAGCTTGGTCAGTTGTCATAGTGCACAAATTTCCTTCTGTCGCAAACCAACCCTGCAATTGTTGGCATCATCAACGAGAGAGAGCTTCGTTCGCAGAGGTGATGAGGACCGTTTGTCACGAAGGAACAGTCATTTGCACGTTCTTGTTCGCCTTGAGTGGTCTTTGCCGGCCTTAGACGAGAGATCTTTTGGATCGAGGCTGTGCTTAATTTAAAGCGATTGGCCACGATCGGCCTTTCAAATCGAGAACAGGAATACCTCGTGGCCGAAAAGTCGGCCACTTTTCCTTCTCACGTGGGTGTCAATGATCGTCGGAGGGCGAAAGGTCCAATAGAAGGGGGCAGTGTGAGGCGTACTCGTAGCTTGTCAGGGTTCAACCTGTATCTGGGCGAAGCAAGTTGAAGTCTCACCAGTTGCGACCGGCATCGCCCCCTTTCTCTGATTGGCCAGTGGCCTATTAGGATATTCTGCTGCTCCAACGTCGCTTGTCTTTAGCTGCATCAACTTCAATTGCTCTTCTATTGCATCTGCCGACATCCGACCTCATCTCTGACTCATGTTATGCGTCTCCTCTATCCTTATGCTCTCACTGCGAAAGACTGCTCCCACGATCTCATGCCGAGTACTCGTTGATCCCCGGACGCCTCGATTGTGGTGGCACACATATGTCTGGGATTATTGAGCTAGACTACTTTGAAGAGCGAGGATCTCGTAGTATCAATATGGATAATACGCTCTGAGGCGAGGGACATATCAAACACCAGACATGTGAGAAGTGGAATTGCAGAGCGCAGCTGTCTGCCAACAGGATACTGCACTGGTTGTGACGCGCACTCTGGGACGACTTGGTGACGAGCGCTGAAGGCAGAACGAGGACAACGCGGGAATATCCTTCTAAACTGGGTATTGCTCATAAATTCTTCTAGCGTTGGGTCTTGACCTTGAGGTCAAGTTGTTGAAAATCCCTCCTATGCTACTAATGATATCCTTTTCACTCCAATTCTTCATACTATCAATTCACTTGTTAAGCAGGGGTTTCGCGTGGTCCACATGGATCGCTTGGTATTGTCTGTGAATGGGATCAAAGTGAGGTGAATGCCAGTGAATGTAAGTGAATGGGCTCTATGAGGCGGGTGTAATGCGAACACCTTGGCGCAATACATGCTGCACTCACACTCCGCGTTGTGGGATCTCCATCTGCGACTCTCTGCTATCAGAATTACCACCACAGTCGCGAAGACTTCTTCTATCTCGTTTGTTGCTCCCCAATTAGATTCCATTGTTGTATTACCATCTTTCTCGGCCAATCACAACAGTTAGAGTCTCGGCGAGATCATGAGTTCACACGATGGTGATGGACGAAGCCTTCGTCCCAATCCATACATGGCTTTTGTGAAAAAATCTGCTGGAAGACAACAAGCTCGCCGACCATTTACTCGAAATCTCACTAATGAGATCAACCCATACAACCCGGTCCCTGGTCAAGACACTTATCCAACATCCAGTGTTCTACCACGCGATCGAGGTCTCGGTTTCGACAGCTTCAACAGGATGGATCTTCCAGCACATCAACCTGAGACTGAGAATGAGTCTGCCGCTGCTAGCTCGAGCCGTCGCGATGGGAATGACGTCTACATCTGGGATTCTGACGACCTACCGAGCGATCTTCGTCCTGGAAGTGATAGTGATGAAGTACCGGTCCGTTCAAAGAAGAGAAAGCGGTCTAGAAAGTCCTCCAAGGGTAAAGGCAAGGCCTACGCTGACAGGTTAGTGCTCTTTTCTTCGCTCCTTTACCTCTTCTGGTCAATCCCGCTTTTGCATATTTACATAATAAGCGTCCCCTCCGCTAACTTGTAATTTCAATCTCAGCACAAACTCTCCAAGCGACTCTGAGTCGGAAGCTGAACACTACAAATCCAAGCGAGTTCAAATGACGCCACTACCAGCCACTCTTAAAGATGCCACATTGGGTGACCGCATGCTATGGTTCTGGAAACTGGAAGGAAAGAGCTGGGCTGCAATTCGCAGAGAATACGAGAGAATCACCAAGAAGACATACCGGGAAAGCACTCTGAGCGTGCGATTTCACCTCATGAAGCGAAGCTTTGCAAACAATGGCGCCTTGGAGGTAAACATTCTCCCCAGTTTCCCATGCACCTTCTCGTAACACTTTCTCAGTTGCCTGACGAGTACTACCAACAAAACCCTGAAGAAAGTTACCTCAAGAACATCTCTAACCGGGCAAAACAGTATGTCGAGTATTGTGAAGTCATGATGGAGGCCGACAAAGAGATCGCCCCCAAACGTTTCGAGGTCGCCGCTCGCATCTTTGAGTCTCGAGGAAAGAAGATGACTCCAGCAGCCATCAAGAGAAAGTTTGCAAACATGAGGGCAATGGGCATGGATGTCCACCCTTCCGAGAGACGCCGCCTGATGGCCGAGGAGCCGCCCAACCAAGGAGGCATGGCAGATCTGGTGCCGGAGGATCTGACCACCACCATCAAGGACGCGGTTGACAGAGAGGTCACCGAAGAGGAGGTGGTAGCTGCAGGAGCTCTGGTCGAGGTAGCTGGCTTGGTGCAGTACCCAGACAGCGAGTAAGTGTTGAAGAGAACACCATGCCCTTTACATAAAGGAGAAGAGTTGTATGATCGAAGTGGATGCAATAGGCATCAATTGTCAGTGAGATTCTTCCTGATTGTCCCTTGCCATTTCAACTAGAAGTGTTGTGCCTAGCGGGATTCTTACTGCCTATGGTACTTGAAACATCACCTAGCGATGAACTTGACGGCAGCCCAACACTCACGGCGTTGTGACAGGTTCAATCAAAGTAGCCGTAACGTCGTCTTCGTCCTCATTCCACAGTAGCGCGTACAAAAGTATTGTTGAAATCAGAGCCAGCACCAATGCCATGACGAGGTCAAGCAAGCATAGGTTCTGACATGGAGCATACTCCATAGATCGGCTCCAAAATAATGCAATGGGGATCGACAAAACGGCAGTGCGCTCGCTAAAGCAACTCGGGAAGACTGACGATCTACTTCGTAATGAGGCCCGAGATTTCCCTTGTTACCACCCTATGACACACCGATTTGGGGAGAACATAATTCACTCTCTCCGCATCTTGTTCCTTGCAAAGTCGAATCACATTTCATTCCTTAATCCTTGTTCTCTATATATGACTCGAAATCTCAGACTTTAAGAAAAAGGAGGAGCTTCTTCTCAGATCGCGCCGATGCGAACAGAAAGGGTTGAGTCCGCTCCTGAAATAGCAATCTCACAATGAACAGCGCAAGAGTCCACGAACGTACCGACGTCACCAGCGAGTCACACCAGTCCATATTACTCGTTGGCACCCAAGATGAAGCCGGTCTCGAGGAACGTGTGCCTCCTGAGAATGCACAGCCTGCAATGAGACCGGTGTCACGGAAGAGGCAGACGAGTATCCTCTTATGCGCTTTTCTAGATGTCTTTGTTACCATCGGATTGAATCAAGCCTACGGAGTCTTCTTAAACTATTACTTGACCGACGGTAGCAGTGAAAAGGATCCCTTCCTCCCAAAAAGCGAGGTCTCGAGTAAAGCGATGTTAGCCTTTGTCGGCACAGTCGGTGCTGGCTTGACTTGGGCAGGAAGCATTTTCGTCAACCCAATCATGGCGAGATCAAAGGATCCTCGATGGATCACAGGCTCCGGGGCCATTTTCATCAGTGCTGCCTACGTGATAGCAAGCTTCTGCCATAAGGTAGGCGGGCTTCGGCTGGTGTGCGAGACCATTTCACTGACCATTGCCCAGGTATGGCAACTTCTCTTGACACAAGGACTGATGTATGGAGTTGGTGCTTCTCTGCTATACTTCCCGATCCTCGCAGTGGCTCCTGAATACTTTGATACCCATCGCGGCTCCGCCATGGGCCTGATTCTTTCAGCTGCTGGAGTTGGTGGCCTTGTCTATGCTCCAGCTGCTCGCGCGATGTTAGCAAATTTAGGTGCAGCTTGGACGCTGAGGATATTTGGAATTGTGAACTTCGCCATATGCATTCCTGTCGTTCTGGCCACACCGCCGTCTCGAAGCCTCAGCAAACGACCTACACTGGTGGATGCTAGATTGGCAAAGAGACTGACATTCATCCTACAAGCTCTAGCTGCTATGTCGCAGGCGGCAGGCAATCTAGTTCCCATCACATTCTTACCAGAGTTCAGTACGAGGCTAGGTTATACTGCTGCATTGTAAGTGTGTCGAATCGCCTGTGGTCGGAGCTGACTGTCTTTGTTAGTGGTGCTGCACTCCTCTCAATCAACAACGCCGTGAATACAATTAGTCGAATATCAATGGGATTCATTGCGGATATTGCCGGGAGACAAAACACCCTGGTCTTGAGTGTGCTGGGAAGTGCCATCACAGTCGCCGCATTTTGGCTGTCCAGTGCGTACGGCAATGATATGGGCCTCTGGATCACGTTCGTGATCTCGTACGGCATCTTCGCAGGAGGATATAATTCCTTGTTCCCGACCACTGTTATCGAAGTATTTGGAGCTCAGGCGTACGCCTCAGTCAATGGATTTATCTACTTTATTCGAGGGCTTGGAGCACTTTGGGGTTCCCCTGTTGGTGGTGCACTCGTGAAAGGAGGAACACACCCGCATGCCTACATCTCCCTGATATGGTATGATTTTGGGCTTCTGATGTTGTCAAGTTTCTGTGTCATTGGTGTGAGGGTACTGGACGCTTCTGCAAAAGGCCAATTCAAGCTCAAAGCCTGAGGCATATCTAGGTATACGTGTGTAAGAGTTAAAAATGAACAAGTCTCAACTCCTGTCTCCGATGTCGGCCACTTCTGTCCGGGGAATCTGTCCGGGGCATGAATATCCCCGCGCCTAGCCGAGTTTAGCCACAATACGTCCTTCTCCAATTATCATACCACCTACGACTTCACGCCTCCTCGGTTTACTTATGATCTACCTCTAGCATCGTTTTTGGTTATTGCAAGACACCGCAACTGGATCCTTGCGAAATGAACAAGCTCCCTCTTCGTTGTCTTCGCTCTGTGCGGTCGAATGCTCGCACTTTCAGCACCTCCAGAAGAGTCGCCGCCGATCATGTGAGAATAGTGGAAGTCGGCCCAAGAGATGGCTTGCAGAATGAAAAGAAGACAATATCTCTGGATACAAAGCTAGAGCTCATCAGAAGACTAGCACAGACGGGTGTCACACATATGGAAGCCGGTTCGTTTGTACCGGCGAAATGGGTGCCTCAGGTCGGTTCCCACGGCTCCCAGTCGAGATTCCCTCAACACTAACAATAAGCAGATGGCCTCGACTGCAGAAATCCTAGAAACTATCCTAACAAATCCACCATCTGCGCCTCAAGGTATCGCTTATAATTACCTCGTCCCCAACATTCGCGGCTTGGACAACCTCGTCAAGATATTCCAGGCGAAAGGCGCAAAGAACCCTACTGGATACCCTACACCTCCTCCCTCCCCCTCACCCGAACAATCAGAGGGCCAAACTCCGGAAGCGTCCTCCTCGAGCCCATCGGACAACTCGACAGAGATATCCTTGTTCGCAGCCGCGACCGAAGCCTTTTCACAGAAAAATACAAACTGCAGCATCGCGGAAAGCCTGGAAAGATGCAAGCCAATTATGGAACTTGCGAAACAACATGATATCCGTGTGAGAGGCTACGTATCTGTGGCATTAGGATGTCCATACGAAGGTCCGGACGTCGATCCACACAAAGTCGCCGAAATAACAGCCAGTCTACTGGAAATGGGGTGTGACGAGGTTTCCGTGGCAGACACCACGGGGATGGGCACTGCCCCGCGAACGCGGAAATTGCTACAGACTTTGAAAGAGGCGGGTATACTGGATGAAGACCTTGCCCTTCACTTTCACGACACGTACGGAATGGCTCTGGTCAACACGGTCGTTGGACTCGAGCACGGAATCAGGATATTTGACAGTTCTGTTGGAGGACTTGGTGGGTGCCCTTACAGCCCTGGAGCAACTGGCAATGTGGCGACCGAGGACTTGGTGCATTTGTTGCACAGCTTGGGCTGCGAGACGGGCATTGATATGGCCAAGATGGCAGAGATTGGAGATTGGATCACCAAAGAGTTGGGCAAATCCAACAGCTCGAGGGCAGGGAAAGCCACGTTGAGCAGGTTGAATAAGTCATGCTCATAGTTTTAGAGAAGAAATCAGTGAGTACTCCGTGTATATATGCCTCTTTTGATCTCCCTGTACGTATCGTGGCGACCATTTCTTCCTCGTCTTCTGTCTTTGTAGTCACTTTTCTCGACGCAGGACCTTGAGGATTCTGAGGATTATTTGTACGATCATGGACTCGGCAGTCAATCCACTCGCTCGACTGTCGTTCCCCCTTGGTGCAGATCACAGCGACAAGCACTCCACTTTTGAACACCCCGTACGCACGGAGTCTCCCCTGAAACGTCCCACAGCCCAAAAGTTCATGGGTTTTACCGATGACCTCAAACCAGCATGCGACGACGTCGCACATACCCTGTATGAGCGCAGGGGGAAAGTCTCTTCTGAAAAAAATAACAAAACCTTCGAGAAAGTCCCATGCTTTCGATTCGCGAGCCACTTTACGGAATCCTCTCTGTGGTAAGGAGTACCAAATTTGCTACTCCGTATGAGTACTCTTGATGGTCGGTCGGTAAAATTCCAGACACTCCTTGCGTCGAGTTTCGACTGTCCGCGCCCTACATTTACAGTAAGAGAGTTCTGGAACGTACGGGGAGTACACAGCCTCGTTACTCCAAAAAATGAAGGATCATGTCATTGTGTGCCCTCGATGTAATGGGCCTCTGTATGTTCAATCTTACCTCTATGGAGTAGTCCAGGTATGGATACGGAGTCCTGGTAGCTTCAAGCAATGTATCCTCCTTACTCAGGAGGTACTCGTACATATACAAGGAGATCAGGCCTTGGATTTGCAATGGCCAATTGATATTCCTCTGGCCCTTTTGTTTTCTTCCTTTTCAATTCAATTCTTCGAACGGAGCTGGTTCTCTGTTCTCTTATGCTTCTGGAAACAGTATTCAATTGGACAGTTTGCCAACTACCAATACATATACAATCTCGAATGATATACGCCACAGAGACTCGGTAGACAAACACGGAAAAAAAGGCCGGCATGGAAGAAACCTATCCTCTTGTACGTTGTGATGCCAACGACGTCGAGTGTGACTGTTGTGTATGTTCATGTCCCAAGCTTTCCCTCTGTCCCCTCCACAACGTACCTACTGCATCCCCGACGACAACTCTATCTGTCTACTGATCACTAACATATGCTCGAGATGTACTATGTAGCTTACACTCGATGACCATCCTTCGCCTCCTAGCCATGCAATTCCAAAAGAGTCTCCACATCAACACCATGTCGACATACCGTATCATCGACGTGTTCGTTCTTTGGACTGGCATATTATTCATCTTCATCACGGTCGCTGCGGCCGCATCGGAATTGGGAAAACGTCTGACGAATGTCACTTCGGCCACCGCCGCCCTACTGCTGCCGAGACTGAACGTTTAAGGGGGTTTCGTAAAGGTGCGTTTTGCATTGCAAAATACCACTTTCGTGACTACCTAGTGTCAACCACTCTTGCTTTTTTTTCATGTCGTGTTCGACCGCTGATACAAGCCTTGTGTCCAGTCGTTTCTACAATTCGGAGCAATGCGACCCATGCAAAGGTTCGTTTGGGTGTCCTTCGAGATACTGGACATCTTCACCGTCCGGGTTATTCCCTATTTACTACATGAACGAGTGTCGAGAAGATGATGGTCCATCGAGCTGTCGCAAGTGGTGAGCTTGACAATTCTTCCCTTGCTGTTCAATGATTTCGAGGTCGGTCCTCTGTGTCAGGGCTCTGGATGGATGGACGACCCGCGGTTGAGTCGGATTATGCAATGACCAGAAACGTAACAACGGCGTGTATGAGTCCAACACATCATTGCCGTACCAAACACGACTGCGTTTCTCTGGAATTGGGGGCCACAAGTACGCGGTAGGAGGCGTCGCTCGTCGCAACCGCTGGACAATTTTGAGCTTTTGTCTCACATCTCAAGGTTTTGCATGTGTGCGATGAATGTAAAATTGCAACGACTGGCATGGCAAGGAAGGGGTTGGGATGTTGGAAATGGCACAACCAGTAAACAAAAGAGATCAAGATAGACCTTGCTCATGGATATGATCAATGCGGAATTACTCTCAGACCATATACTGTTGTCTGGCTTGGTATCGTTGGTATAGAGAAACGGGCAGAGGATCAAGATCAAGGCAAGGGGGCTTTCGGACTCTGGCAAAGCATGAGAGGTCATATCACTGGACAAGGTCTTGTGCTAGATGTGCATATCTGGTGGACTAGCTCTAGCTCTACCTCTGCTACAGCCCAAGTAATCTGGACGCTGAACGGAACCTGTTTCCAGCCTGTGATGCCGTCTGAAGTCGTCCGATTATGGAATGGCCGAGCCCACCAACATATGAGCCAATGTTGTCATCCAGCGGTCCTGCTGTGTACCAGGTGTATCAGAAATGCGCAATATGATGATTGTAACCTCACCAATTCATACCGGTCAAACAAACGACGATCGTAATGTGTTTATGTGTGTGTGAGAGAGAGGAAATCGATTGCAAGAGATGTCGATGGTAGCTCAACTCGACGGGCATTTAGAATTTGGCATATCAGACATAGAGGAAGCCGGGAATCTTGACTTTCTCGTTGTGAAGGCAGCCAGTCTTTGTCGATCCTCTAGAACTTGGAGCTTCAGACAGTTGTTGAGTGGCGAGGAAGAGTCTCCTAGAGCAATGTCTGCTCGACCGTGTTGTTTGCATATGTCAGTTACGAGTGAAAAACCCATGCTTGCGCGTTGCTTTCTGAACCATGTCTGTGGCCGGAGTCGGAGTCTTTCACGCGCTCATCCTTGGGCTTTTGTCAAAGATCCCCTCCTTTCATCAAGAGTGTATCCACCAGAGGCTGGCCGTGATTTCTAAAGGGAACAGCCATCACCCTAGTGGACTTTACTGAGCTCTGCCAATTCCAGACAGCCACCTCGTCCCGCAAACTCAAGAACCATTCGCCGGGTTGGTTGAGCTAGTTTATAGCCTCCATCACGAAATGCGTCGTCCTTTTCATTTCTCCAGAACTCCTCGAGAAATGCAAAGACCAGCCCTATCGAAGCTGCCTCGTGTTCCAAATGGTGTTTGTTGTTCGGTAGCGCTAGGACTGCGTTTTCCCTCGTGGATCAAATGCAATGCGACTTCTCAAGTTGATTATTAGTCACTGATAAGTGGCCAATTGGAGACCACTCATTCATCGACTAGCATCATTCACCGAGCAGGATCGCATTCTTAAAGAAACGAATGGAAATGGAATCAGAGTTTGGGTCAGAACAAGGTGTCGATGCGAGTACGAAGTGGAAACACGCTAATTGGCTATTTACTCTGCCGTAGCATATTAAATACGGTTGTGCAAAAAGACTTTTCTTGTCGGTGTCGCCACTTGACTCATTCTCCAGATTTGGTCGTGATTGACTCTTTCCATGCCTGCTACGCATGGGAACGCCTTTTGATATCCGTTATATGTTCACGCTGATATCAACAGCCTGAGCGCAGCATTTTCATGCACAACAGTCACGCCGAGCTGGATAATATCGTCCCGGCGTTCCCGCCTGCAATGCAAATTGAACCACGGCCCACATGGGAGCTTTTGAAGAGGCCAGTCGTGCCGTCGACGATGGTCTCAAGCTTGAGAAGAATGCCGGACTCTTGATGGCAGTATGTGTTATAGATCAATCTAAAAGGTCGAGTGAGTAATTAGCTGATGGTAATCTCAAGACAAATAATGCCACAATCGCATTTAAAGCCAATACCGAGCGATTATATTTGCCTGAGCCACATTTCTATAAACATTTTGCCACAAAGGCTCTTCAGACTTCTCCTGCAATCAATCGAGGATATTGGCTCCGAATGCGAGCGGTAGAATGGGTTGTCCGTCAATTTCTCGAGAAGCCCTCAGGCCAGAGAAAGGTCATTATCAATCTGGGCTGTGGATAGTGAGTCCTGACGCCACTATCCCTTCTGGTTTGTTGAAAATGCTGATATATCAGCGATCCAATGCCATTCCAATGGCTCGCTCGTGAAAAGCCGCTATGCTCAAACACGAAGTTCATTGACGTCGATTACGAGCTCCTGATGGAAACCAAACGCGAGATTATTTTCAGTCGCCCGGAGATGAAAGGCTTATTACACTCCGTCATGGCCAGCTCGAGCGGCATCTGCCCCGAGATCTTGATCGATAGCCAGGAATACTCGGCCCTTGGCTGTGACCTGCGGAATCTCCGAAAACTGGGCAGACTACTGACATCCGTCGTGGATCTAGAAGACTGCATGGTTTTGTGTGTAGCAGAGGATAGCACCTGCTTTATGCGAACAAATGATGCTAATGCTCTGATACAATGGACTTCTGGTCTCTCGAGAGGTATTAATTACACCACGTTGAGCTCAAAATCCAGCTCAATTGCTGACGTCTAGCATCACACTAACACCCTGCAGACGTGACTTTTTGCGCCCTGGAGCCGCGTAGTCCCGATCAACCTGACAATGCATTTACAGCGAAGATGACTGGCTATTATGCCAAACAGGGTACGCCCCTACGATCGATTTTTGAATACGACGGACAGAATACCCAAAACCAACGCTTTCGCGAAGCGGGTTTCCCTAACATTGAGTACCAGAATCTTTGGGAGTTATGGGCGGATTCGAGATTCTTATCACCATCTCAGAGAATGGCCTTGGATTACATCGAACCTTTTGACGCCTGGGAAGAATTTGCTCTCCACGCTAGCCATCACTGTCTCGTTGTGGCTCACAATCAATTCAATCCGTTTCTGCCACAGCGAATAATCTCACGTCGAAATTCTGATGCGAGTGACGCGTCCGACATATCTGCAAGAACCTCCTCTCCGTGTAACCCAGATTCACAATTGACAGCCTTCCGCTACTGCAAAGCCCCAGGCGACCTCTGTGAGCGCCATCATGGTTCCACCTATCCAATACCCGGTCAGGATGCGATTGCAGTCTATGGAGGACAAGGTCCTACCTCATGCCGAGCGACAAGTGCAGTGTGTAGGCCACGCTATCTTCGGGATGAAACGCCAACAGTTATGCCTCCTGAGGTAGGTGCTCGCTGCTGTCATGTGTGCACCGCCATGAATAATGGCGATAACATTCTGGTTGGAGGGCGTGCATTACCAAATCAACCACTCCAAGACTGCTGGTTACAGAAAGGCAATACGTGGCATCGCATTCATGACTTACCGGAGCCTCGCTATCGATGCCGAGTTGTCCCTGTCACATTGCCTGATAATCTTTACGGTGCGGTCTGTTTGGGTGGAAAGACAGGACCTGCAAAAGTGGCGACCGACATACTTCTCTGGGAGCCAAACAGAGGCTGGCGTGTTCTTCGGGCTTTGATCAATCAGCCAGTCCCTAGATTCGGTCCAAACTTCATTCGCTTGGGCTTTAACCACGGTCTGTTCTTTGGCGGAATGCGACAGGATGGAGTGATATGTCAAGACTTCTGGCGATGGAGGCTTGTCATACGCGACAACGTCGTAGTGGGCATCTCTTTCCGTCCGTCTCACGCCTTGGACGCTAGTGCTGGTGCTTACCCATGGTTCTCACGATTCGGCGCATCCTATGGCTTTGTCCAAGACAATCTACTCATCATCGGAGGAATTGCAAAGGGCGGCTGTATTCCCAAAACATACGAGATTCTGTCGATGACCGGCAGTTTTTCTATTCTTCACGACGAAGGAAAAGAGTTCAGCTTACGCGTTACCTCTCTTGAACCGACCCGAGACTCAGATTGCCCTCGACCGATCTTGATCGGACACTCAACCCACAGAACACAGGCTGGCATGTTCGTCATCATTGGAGGAGGAGTTACCTGTTTTCATTATGGTAATTATTTCAACAAAGGTATATGGGTCCTGCATGATAAGGAGGCTGGTATCTCAGCCGATTGGGTTATCGTCCCAACGCGACCTTCCATCCTTCCTGGAGCCGGCTCAGAGCCCAGTATCAACGGTGGTGATCACCACCAAGATGGTTTCCTCATCAAGAGAGCTTTGGTTAAAGATCAGCGCGAATTCCAACTCATACTGCGAAGGCTAAGACCTATCGTTATGCCAATGCTCAATTTTGGTGCATGCATTCGACTCTGGTCGTTTCAGTATCTTCAAGGTCATGACTGTCTTCTAGTACCCTCCAAACCACAGATAAGCACCGAATCAGAGGTTGGCGATGCCAAATCTCAAGACATCAGAGCAATGCTTCGCGAACACCTTCAACACATCAGCATTGTATCATCGGATTTCTATCCTCATGGACTCACTGCAACAGCAAAAGGACTACGGCCCCTGAACTTGATAGATGAATTGCCAGAATTAGCATCCGACTTTCGGCTACCGACAGAGATGTGCTGCATCAAGCCTCTTGTCCATTCCACGCTTTTACATGTTTCGAACGGTATCAGCACGTTTCCCAAACATGACGTGATGGCCACGATCATGGTGCAAGTTCGTGGGGCGAAGAAGTTGGTTCTTTTCCCACCGGGTGACCTCAACGAAATCGGATATGCCGCTGGAGCGGTACACAGCAACATGAGAGTATTCAGCAATACCGGCTCTGATCAGAGATATTCGTTACATCCTCCGCCAAGGACAAGCCCTCACCTTGCGGTTTTGAAGGCTGGGGAGTCTTTGTTCGTCCCGCCGTTCTGGTCGTACGCTCATGTGCCACATTTCGAGCGCTCAAACGCCGAGAAGCAAGGTAGCCGGCCTCCCCATCCCGAGGGTATTACAGCCAGGAGATTGAGTTACGCCGGGTCCGACACTTCAACGTCGTCTCTGTCAAGTGCGTCAGAATTCACCTGCGAATCGCCCAACCCCAGCAACCGAACTCCTCTACTGGAGGACAAGGCTATTCCAGAACAGGCCTCTCACCTTGACATTGCGCTTAGCATCACCTTCCGCAATCTAAAACCTTCGGCATATGCTTCATCCCCCACAACAGGAAACATGGGTCTTGTGGCGTATGAAGAGGGACGACGGGACGTGGAAACGATCTTGGAAAGGTTCAATTGCCTCAAGAATCACTCAAACAACAACACGATGCGTGAAAATAAGGTCAACGGCACGACCGACTTGGGCGTCACTCTCGAAACTTCACCGAAAGATGTCACGAAAGCATTGCTAGAGCGTTTAGGAAAGGAGCTGCTTTCGAAGGCGGACGCTTTGTGACGGACGACTTCTACGCTTTATCCATCATGGCTGTGCCACTGACGAGGTCAATACTGTCACGCTATATACCCGACTCAAAGTGAGCTGGCAGTGCATGTTTGTGTTTAATGTCTTACATCTAGTTGTGATATGGAAGCACTAGGATTAATAAACGACGCGGATCAGGGGTAATCAGTGAAAGCAGCACCCTCATCCAGAAACAGAATTTCAGGAAGTTCAAGGAGTCACTCTAATCGTATTTCAGCGAGACCTTTCTGTCTGTTCAGACCGAGGACTATAAATGACATATACGTTTGTTCTTCGTATCTCCTCCCATCCGCTGCTCCGTGGACTTGTTTGTATCGATACGTTGAATCCCTTGCATCACAGGATCAGGATCAGGATCATCAGCTACATATCGCAGCATGTCCTCGCCACGACTCACGAGCCCTAGGGGTGGTGGAGATCGAGCTCCTCGCCTCCCAGCAGGTTTTGAGTACGAGAGGGTGCAACTCCCCTCATCCCGTCCATCCAGTCGTGATCCTCGACAACCTCGTCAGTCTGGAATAAGGGGTCGCCGACGGCCACGACCAACCTCACGATCACCACTTGCCCCGGTGTTTGAGGATTCATCGGCATGGATGGATAACTACTTCTACGCGAGACCGTCAGTGCCGCGACCATCCTCAGCGACGATCCTCCGCCCTCCTCCGTCGTCGCCGTCGTCGTCGTCGTCACCACAGACCAATAATTTACACTGCACGCCGTGGATCCTCAACACGGAAACGATCAACACCAGCCATAGATGTTCCGACGCCCTTTTCTTCCGCGACTCGATCGACTTGCAACCGGGGGGTACGGCACGGTGGCCATCCCCATTCTCCCTCGTCCGGAACCTTACAACTTCGGTGTCTCGATCATGACAGTCACTCCGACCATGTACACTCCCGGCGCACCCTATTCCGAGCTGAACTGGCCCCTTATGGAGGCTCAGGGTTTTTCACAAGTTCGACATCCACCACGACGGCCGCAGCAGAAGCAGACCGACGCGGTACACGAGCATCATCCGACGCCGAAACATCCCCGGCGTGGATCCGTTGTGGTGCAGCCACGACCCAGGCATGAACTCCTCCTCCCGGACGCTCGTGTGGACCCCGGCGTTCGAGATGGTGGACATGCAGAGGTGGGCTCGGGGAGTGAGGCATGGAATCATCGGTCAGGCGGCGGACATGAATGGGAGGGTGGCATGGACCGAACCAGGTGAGGGAAGCCCCCTGGAGGACATCCTGTATGGGTGGTGATCATCAAGACTTTGGATATGCGTGTGTGGGAGTTCTTGATACCCGATTGGTTGCCACGAAAGTGACTTGCGACGCTGATGGATCTCTCATGATAGGTTGACCAGAGTACCCTCTTCAAACTGCAAGTATGATGGCAACAGCTAATCACAACGATTGGAAATGAGACAAGGCCGGCCTTTGGTATGTCTTTGAACGTAAACGAAAATCCTCGTCATCTGGGATTCTACCATCCCCCGTCTTTTGCTCCCCCGTCGCATGTCCACGTTCTGAGTGTTGCTCTTTCCTATACTTTGAGAGAAAGAGCTTTCCACTGGGGAACTTGTAGACCTGATTATCTTCTTCAAGCAAATGTAGAATTTATGAAATATGTAGCCCGGCTGGAGGGCAATGAATCTCACGCATGCATTCGCGACAGAGCAGAAATGGGGGAATAAAATTTGGATTGCTGCCTATTGTAAATACCACCATCCACCGTCTATCCAGCTCCAGGCAATGCAACCAAGACAACAAAAGAGTGACTATATCTCAGCCCTAGGAATTTGCCAGACCAAAGAAGACCTGGCCTGACCCCCCGACGATCAGTTCGATGGCCAGCACGCCTCGTCGCGTCCGCGTCCCACCAAGTCTTCGTCCCAGAAAAGAATATGAATCCAGTTCCACTCGTACAGGGTAGATCAAAAGAACGTCTCAGCACCGGTAATCACCATGTAGCTCGATTTGTGTCTGACGCCATGGCCTCATTGAAGAGACGCCGGGAGTCGGTTTTGGCTCCTATGGTCTCCTATGGTCTGGGAGGGGGTCGATTTGGTGGTGGCTTGCTGTTCTTCGGCTTGGTGCCTCCGTGGGGAGGACTGTTGCTGCCACTGGGTTTACTGTCTCCGCTGGACATGATGGGCGTGGTATGATATAGATTTAAAGTGGTTGGTTATTGATTTGATTTTGAGGTTCTTGAGGCTTTGTAAGATGTTCGAAGAGGAGTGGTAGTTGAGCAGAGGATAGTCGGGAAATCTCGAGTTTATATAATCCATCGGAGGCGACGCAAACAGTCTTTTGACTCAATATTTTCCAAACAGCTCGTTGTGATTTCAAACAGTTCGTCATAATTGCAAATATCTCGTCGTGATTGCCAATACCAACGGCAAACAGAGTAGTTCTGTTTTCCGGATATGGGTGACTGGAGAACGGTGTTTGATCCAAGTGAGCAAGATGAGAGGTTCGCAGCGTGCAAGTTGATTGACTAGAGTAAAGTGACTGATCCTAGTAAGTGATGTGTCAACAAAATTGGGTGTTGTAACCAGGGAACGGTGCTAACATCGCAAGCGCATCCGAGACCATGTATTGGGGAGTCGCCATATCCGTCCGACCAATTTGAGCTGATTTACCTGCATTTTCGTGAGGTCGTCAATGTTTGATGTGAAGGGTCATGGTTAACACCCATTCAAGACTGTAGTCGCTGTACTTTGGCATGACGACTGCCGCCCGTACCAAAGCAGCGCCTAGAGTGGTTGAGAAGGGAAAAGATATTTGAGTGGGAACATTTCCTAAGCCGGATATAGCGAGAGGTGAACCCATCAGAAAACGTACATTTGTTGGTGTCCATGGGCTGAGACCTTTGAAACCTTCCCTCAAAGTGCTGAGTAGCTGCCTTTGCTTGAAGAAAATTGGGTATCTCGATTCTCGAATATCTGGTCAATGCTAAATGTGTTGAGCCAGTCATCGTGCCCTAGCCATCACCAACTAGAACCAATGTTGTAATGTACAGAAGGCAACCATGAGCCGTAGAGGCCACTTTTTATTTTACACGCAAGGTATTATGCTTCTGAAGTCAATCTCTCCGCAGCTTCTCTTGCTTTCTTTAGTTCTGCCTGTTGCTTCCTGAGAGCGTCCATGCCGGCCTTGACGAGCATGCGATCTGCGGCAGACTTGCGGGCGATTCCTTGTAATTTTCGTCTCAGAATATCGTCCTGTGGAGTGATTGATACATCCTTGCATGCCGTCTTGTGTTCGAGCCATCTCCAGATTTCTCTTGAATGCTTGCCCTTCAGCCCCAGGATGCCATTCCTCGTGAAGATGGGGACTGATGTTGAGGTAGAGGCCTGATCAGCAGGTTCTTGTGGTTTGGTTTGTATCTCAGTCCATTCATCCTCCAGGTTATCGGAGTCATCTCGTTTTTGTAGTTTTTCTAATGAGGCTTTATCGGCGCTCTCAAACGTTAGCTCTAACGTTGAGCTTTGTGTGTCTTCGACCCTTATAGGTAAAGTAGGATTGTGGTATTTCAGTCGTGGGAGGCTGTCTTTCGCGAACATTCTGGGACCCTGGTTGCTTAAAGACCATTCGGTCCGTGGGAATCTCATGGTAAGTCGAGTTAATTGAGGAGATGGAGGAGGAGGAAGGACGGCTGCGCCTTTGCCATATTGAACCGCTAATAGCTGGAAAAGAATGAGCTTGAAGAAGATGGGTCAGGTCAACCCAGAACTCACTTTCTGGTTTTTGTTAGCAAAGAACACTGTCTTCAAGCCAGATCGGACTTACTGGTTGGAAGTTTCGCATGCGCTTTGCGAGATTCACCATTTTCGCTGATTTCTGTCGAAGCTGCTTGGGATGGTTGTGATGGTACAAACACAAAATGTAAACAAATATTACAGAAAATGAGGTTTACAATTCATTCACTCCGCAGAAGCAGAAATAACAACACGATATACTGGATTAATCAGAGCAACCTCGTGAAACCGCCATCAGTGCTTTTGCTCATGGGAATTTCCGCTATTCTGCAAACACGCCAAGCCAAGGCTGTGGCTCGGCGTCAGAATAGCGGAGACAGGCTCGGCAAGGCCAGGAAGAAAAGGGGAGCCATATTGTCTGACCCGCGGACCTGAAGACCCGCCTAATGTCGTATAGAGCAATCAATAGATGAATGTCTGGTCCATTGCCGTTTATGATTATATTTGAAGAGCTTGGTGAAATGCCTCGTGACAAGCGTTCTGCATATTCCCACTCTTTAGCAGCAAATGAAGTTTCTTGTGGACTAGTAGTATGGCTTGTGTCCCTTGTGTCCATCATCTTTCTCTACCTCATTGTGCATGGTAGCATGTCTTGTGCTGGGATTGTATACTGTTTCCTTCTCTTTGATGACCTGTTGTAACCAAGCGTTGCTAATTGTTGTGAAAGAAGCTTTGCGAAGGGAGAGAAATTCAGCCACTGCTTCGCACATGCAAAAATGTGAGGATGTGAGTGAGATTTTTCGTGCATAGGCTGGAACTCCTCGACGGGGATCAATAGATCTCTGGCGTCACATTGAGATACAGAGCACCCATCATTGTCCTCGACAAAGCATCCTAGGAGACGTTGAGGAAGATTTCATGGACAAAGCCATTCGACGGACATGTGAGGCTGAGAGACATCCTGTGGCAGTCAGTTCATTTTCTCTGTCAAAGACCTGGAATGCTTCTTCTGGCCGACGATCGCAACGATGTGCCTTGACGAAAGAGTATTGCACAATCCTGGGCTAGACTTAAGTGTAGCTTGCGATGAGGATGACTTTGCACAAGAGCCCTATCAAGGGAAGACATGAAGGTGTTCATGAGAGAGTCCTGTGCACGTGGTTATTCGAGGTGATGGGCTGCCTGTGCAAGGTGTAAGAAAATGATTCCACGAGCAGAGTATCCTCCAGAATATGCCACCGGAGCATAGTGAAATCTGTCCTCGATGCTCTGCCGGGAACCATAACGATTCAATTGAAGTACAGTGAGCTTTCAGACGAGGAGGGTGATTGTCTAGAGAAGAATAGAACAGCAGGGCAGGTTTCTTGAGGGCGTGGGTAGGTGGACAGCATGGAGGATTTCCGGATTGTCTCTCGAGAACTGTTGAAATGAATAAGCAGTACAGGACTGAAATGCCAGAAGAATCCAGTGTCAATACAACCGGAAAGAACCAGAAAAAGAAAACAATGACCAGTATTGTCGACTGAATGCAATGACTGTCCCAGTGGTATACTCTGGTGAGCGCAGGCATGGCCGGCTGTCCTTCCCTCCTCGTGATTCCAGCCATGTAGAGCAGCCTTTCCCAGTGAATTGTCTTTCACAGATCTTCCCTTCCCTCCTCAACCTTCTCTCCTCCCAACATCATCCTTTCATCAAACATTCATCAAGAAAAGTCCTTTGTAACTCTCTTCTCATCGTTGAAACCGTTCCAGATTGTCCCAGGCTATCGTCTGCGTGTCCGTGAGGACATCGTAGGAGTACGCTGCCGTCACTCTGAGCGATCTCCATACTCATTCCCTTCCCTCATCAACCTTGATCATCACAATCACACTTTCTCTTCCTAGAATATCTCTTCAAATCCTTTCCTACATCTCCCAGAGACTATATCCTTGAATACAGTCTGAGTACCTCACCAATCATGGCTGACTCCGACGCTGGCACTTACCAGCTGGATGTCACGTCTCCAGAGGCAGTCCGTATACTCAAGGCTCTGGACCATCCTAAGTATAACATCGTTCAACTTGGAGACAAGCCAAAGATGCCCATCTCTTATGTTGCAAATGCATTCGGCGTTCTTGCTTTGTTTCAGCTCTTCACCTACCTCACTCTTTTGTATTACAACATCAGCTTGAGTTCAAGAGCAGGCATAAACACCTTGGCTGCAAAGTTGTTCCTCACCGGACAATGTTTCGAGCACTGTGAGTGACCTTTAACAGCTTCTGTGAAGAGACACCTCTGACATGTGCGCAGTTGGAACCATCGGCGACAATCTTTGGAGACTTCTTGTTAGCTTCAAGCGATCCGAAATCCCACGTCCGACCCTTCGCCTCCTGGGTGATAAAGTTCCGCTCGTTGATCTCTTCATCGTCTCTTGTGGTGAACCAAGAGACATCGTCCTCGACACTGTGAAAGCAGCCCTGCAGATCGACTATCCCAGAGACAGATTCCGAGTCATCCTCTCCGATGATGGCAAGGACATGAAGCTGAAGAAAGCTTGTGAAGGTATCAAGATAAAATACCACAACCTTCACTATTGGGCCCGTAAGAAGGGAAAAGAGAACCATGGATACAAGGCTGGCAACCTCAACACCGCCATCAGAAAACTCGATAAGCCAGCTGAGTTCAAAGCTGTATTCGATGCTGATATGATTCCGGAACCCAGCGTTCTTCGTGTCCTCATTCCGCATATCTTGATCGACGACCGGGTCGGTATGGTGACATGTGCACAAGTGAGTGGCCTGATGTTCCTCGTAGCCATGGCATAAATTGACAATCAACAGCATCACTACAACATCCCTGATAATGACCCGTTGTATCAGGCAAATGTGACCGGCCCTGGCGCAGATGATGGTCTTCGTGACAGCGTCAATGCATCTTGGTGCCCAGGCAGTGGTTTCATCATTCGACATGATGCATGGTTTGACATTGGTGGATTCCCCGAGTTCTCCATTACGGAGGATCTGATCACCAGCTGGTTGCTTCACGGCAGAGGTTGGAAGATTGCACTCGTCCATGAGGTCCTTCAATGGGGCATCCAGCCTGACTGCATCATCAGTCATTTGAAACAGCGTCGTCGTTGGGTGAGTGACATAGAACATTGCCAGTGTGAACATGACTGACGAGGGTAGTGGACTGGCCATATCCGTGACTCTTGGAAACTGAAATTCTCTTTCCACGAACGCCTCCGAGGTGCTACCTTTGTGCAACGCTTCGCCATGTTTCATCACTGTCTTCGCCCATGGTTTTACACTGTCTGCAGACTGGGTGGTCTCCTTCTTTGCTTCATCGCCATGACGATCGGGCCAGTCGTTGCAACTCCTCGCGCGCATTCCTTGCTCAACGTGATCTTGGTTCTGGCCTTCCGCTGGTTTTTTTCTACGTGGTCGGACTGGAAATCCATTCACCATGGTATCTTCTGGAACTTGAGAAGACGCCAAGCGACAAACGTCTGGCTTGCCAACCACTTCTCCCGGGATGCTATACAAACTCTGATCCCCTTTGGCTTCTTGGGCTGGGGCAAGAAGCTTGGGTTTGAAATCAGTGGCGCCGACAAATCCTCCACTGGCATCAAGGAACGATATGTTGAAAAACGGCCTAAAGAACCCAAAGAGCGTCTTTTCGGCATCCAACGTCATGAGGGCATTTTGTATCACGGAGTCGTTGCCGTCGTGTACGTGATTGCCATCGTCGTTGTCCTGGTTCTCGAGGTGCGGAATCCCTCGCCAAATTTCTGGCATCGAATCATGGCTCGAATCGGATTCCCGGGCATGTGCATCATCGAGGTGGCACCTTTGTACCTGACTCCCATCGTCTATACCATCTATCCACCAACAATGCCAAAACGCCGTGACTGCATGGTGTATAATGCAGAGTTGAAGGTTTGGCGCGCAGCTGAGAAGTACAAGACCATCAAGTGGACGCGCGAGTCGTGGTGGCTGGAAGTACCACATGCTCTGGCCTTGACCTGGCTCGTCTCCTGCATGTTCTACCTCCACCGCCTTCAAGGTTCGGGTGCCAACGAGCTTGCGTAAAGCGTGGCTGACTGAGGTGGCAACAATTGTCGACAAGAATCTGCGTGTCCTCACGCACCACTGCAACCAACGCAATTGAGCCATCGGTCAGGAATGCGTGACAGGCTGAGGAGGGTACATGGTGCTCGCGTGGGATAAGATACAAGAAAGAGCTTTATGAAGAGGCATAAGTTGACCATTATACACTTTGCAATTGTGAATGTGTACTCGGAGAAAGTGTATCAAGAAAGAATGGCAACATGCATCAGTGTGGGAGTATGACACAGAAATCACAAGATAAATGCTTGCTTGGTAGCAGCATGGGCTCACGCAAAGAGACAAACGGAAAGACAGACAGATGTCGTCAAATGTACTTACAGCACAACAGAATTAGCTTATGTTCTTTCGTTCAACGCAATGAACAAAGCGGGAGTTTATTGCTGAATCAAGCACTCCTCGCATTATCCAGCATTTCCTTCGCTCTCAGGTTCTCTTCGAATTCATCAGGATCCTCCTGTGGTCTCTCCTTTCTCCTCTTTGGCCTCAGGCCTAATTCTGCCTGCTGGTCCCAGATCCGGTCATGCCTCTTGGCCCATCGTTCCCTTTTCTTCTCCATTTCCTTTTCAGATGGCCGCCATTTACTCTTGAGGATACGACGAATGGCTTCCGGTGACACTTTGAAATGCTCTGCTAATAGCGGTGTAGAGTATCTTTCTGGATCCTGTTCATGAAGACTGCGGATGCCTTCCATAGTGTCTGGAGACAATCTCTTTCTTGGATTCCATCCTCCTTCACCAAACTTCTTCTTCAGAGCGTCTTTTTGTATTTGCCATGGTTCTGACTTTTGTTTTCTAGGATCGACCAACTCTCTCAATTCCACCCGTCTTTTTCCTTCCTTCTTGTGGCCTCTCGCGCTTGCCGAGCCAGAATCTTGAGATCTAGGCTTGTCTTGTAACGACATCTCAATGAAATCTTCTTGAAGCTGCTGAGACTGCCCGCGGGTTTCCGAGGACGGCGAGATTCCAGAGCCAGATTGCCCAGCATTCCCACAGCTGAACCTTGAGCCTAGCCCAGATCCAGACTCTTCTAGTTGTCGGTGATCGAGTGATGCAGCTGCTGTACGAGAAGATGACAGCCTCCGCCTCTTTGATACATGGCCAGTCCGATTAGGTGCAAAAACAGAAGACGCAGATGAGTTGCGGAGAAAGGGAGTCGATGCTGAGGATATTGACGACTTGAAAGTGAGGATAGGCGAAGACGGTGTCCTGCAACGGATGGTGTGTAAAACGATACTGCTGGATTTGCTACTGAAAACCATGATGCCAGAATCTTACAGTCTGTGCTACACGTTCGACAGTAGCATCAATCCTCAGGACTCTGGAGAATACAGAATGCGAGATGCAGAACTACAATCATTTGGGCGCAGGCGATTAATTTGTTGTTCGGATGATTTGCATCATGACTAGCCGAATCGCCGCATCTAAGCGAAACTTGACTCGTGACGCTTCGTTGACATCAACACCATCCACTAAAAGGATAAGGTGACGGCTATATCGCCTTCCACAAGATGTTGTCCTTCTATCATCTCGAGGCAGGTTGCCGCCATCAAAGAGAGGACTCACTTCCTGAAAGAAAATGGCGTGGCCCAATCCATTCCGGCGAAGGGACGAGAATACTCGGACGTGCTGGGGCTACACATTTCAGTTGACCTCGGAACATCTTACAGCCGAGCAAGCCCATCCTATGAAACACACCTACGATGTGTTGGGTGAAGAATGCTACCAGATTTTGAATCAGCTGGATCCGCCGGCAAACAGAGCAGACGATGTCGTACCAACGGCACGAGCAGATGCAGAAAAAGCAGGCAAAGACGGCGACTCAAAGTCAAACCAGTCCAAACCCACCAAGAGGGACCTATACTTACTTCTAAGAGACAACAAGGACAAGCACGCAAAGCTCCAGCAACTATGGAACGAAGCAACGACTGTCCCGGATTGGGTCGACTGGGAACAAATCGCCCGTGGTCAGGACGTCTTTTATCGCTACGGAGGTGCCACCTTGACCGGTCTGGCCTTTCAGTCACTCCTGGGAGGCATGGGTGCCAACCGGGTCGTCGAAGTCCTTGCCAGAACAGGTGGATTCTCGGTCAAAGTCGCCCGCCACCGGCTCTTCGAAACGACCCAACACATTCTCGAATGCACGAGGTCGGTCGATTCGATCCAGCCGGGAGGCATTGGCTTCGCGTCGAGTCTTCGAGTTCGACTGTTGCATGCGGCAGTCAGACACCGAATCATGAAGCTCGCCGAGACAAGGCCCGACTACTACAGTGTTGAAAAGTACGGCATCCCCATCAACGACCTGGACTGCATCGCCACGATCGGGACCTTCTCGGGCACCATCATCTGGCTGTCCTTGCCCCGGCAGGGGATATGGCTCCGCGAGCAAGAAGTGGTCGACTACATCGCCCTCTGGCGGTTGATCGCACACTACATGGGCACCCCGACCGAATGGTTCGAGACGCCCGCGAGAGCCAAGGCGATGATGGAGTCGCTGCTGATGAACGAGATCAACCCGACCGACACTTCCAAGATCCTGGCCGCGAATGTCATTCGCTGTCTGGAAAATCAACCCCCTACATACGCGTCGCGCTCGTTCCTCGAAGTCAACGCCCGCTGGCTCAACGGGAGTGACCTGTGCGACGCTCTGGGCATCGGTCGTCCGTCGGCGTGGTACTGGGCGCTCATGGCGGGACAGTGTCTGTTTTTCATGTCCGTGTGCTATCTGTACAGGTCCATACCGGCGCTGGATCGACGGAAGGTCAAGGCATTGCGCAACGTGTTCTGGACCATCATCGTCGAGGGCAAGTTCGGGTTGGGCCGGGAAACCGTGTTCGACTTCAAATACATTCCCGACTACAATGTCCTCACGGCGAGAGGTGGCGATGACGAAGTCAAAGCCAGAGAGACAAGCGTCGAGCGAAAGTATCGCAACACACTCCTGATTGCGGTTGGTTGCATCACTATTGCTGGGTATGCTGGTCTGAAAATCACATCCATGCTTCTTGCACGCATATTTTGACATGACGCTCAATACATGCTAGAATAACGATGTTGATGATAATAATGTCCGCAGAGGCAAGACGAATTTCTTTAGGGCGCTTCAAAGTTAGCACCTCTCGTGTACGATCATTTGCGAAATCCCACCCATCCATACTGTACGCTTTTTATGACCCCGCCTCCATTTTGTCGGTTCATACGAAGTACGGCCTGGCATACAAGGGGGCAACATGAACGTGATTAAATCACGCTATTGTACTCTCACACGCCCTATCAAACGCAGGTTTAAGCTGATAATGAGAAAGTGTCGACGATTAATTGAATGAGTAACCCTTAATGCCTATTATTGACGTCTATGCTATGAGGAAATAGCATAACTAGAAGGAATTGATGCCTGTTGATGCTCACTCACTACCGCGTTTGAGAGAGAATAATATCAGTGTTAGACAGCGTAGGAAAAGCCCTTTCTCACACCTTAGTATATGGCTACGCGATTGTAATGGGCTGAACAGCATAAAACATGAAATATAAATATATAAAAATAAGTACTATAAATAGATACAGTGTTCTTTATAATAGGAGGTTTTTGTAAGGTCTATATCACACGTAAGGTAGAGAAAAAAATATAATCTATCTTGTCTAGTCCCTAAGTTCTCTAAGGATAGGAAATATGCTACCAGCCTACCATGGTGTACGTAGGTATATTAAGAGTATAAAAAGGACCTTTTATTATCATGAATAGAGCCTAGAGCAAGGTTTTATCTCGTGTTTATTATGATAAGGTCTTACCTCATTTTTATACTCACTTAAAGGATATGGAACGAGAAGTTAGCTTCATGAGAAGCATTTTAATGGAGGATAATGGGTCTATCCATATCTCCAAGTTCATATTAGCCTATTATGCCTATTATGGTTTTATTCGCATGGTTTAGCTGGCGCACTCACTAGATCTTAACCCTATAGAGAATATCTGGCGACTCCTAAAATATAGGATTAGCAAGCGTTTTCTAAAGACTGAGGCGGAGGTTCAACAATATCTATGCGAGGAATGGAATAAACTGGCTCCGGATGACCATATGAAATATATAGAGAGCATGCCAGCGTGTTGTCAGGCTGTGATCGATGCCAATGGAGGCCACACTCGTTGGTAGAGGAATAGGAATATGATGAGGGCTTTTTTGCTAGGAAATCAACAAAGTGGGGCCTGACCCGGGGGGGGGGGTGCCAGCCCGTTCATGTTACCCCCTTGTACGTGGCCATGCAGGGTTCAGGTGAAGAACGAACCCTCGAGTCAACAATGTACGAGGGAAAAAACCCTCCCAAAGTGCTCAACTCATTCGTCGACTCATTACTATTTCTGCAGTGTATCTTATACACACATGTCATCTCCTAGGACCTTATGACAAAGTCAAGATGCGACATCCCCTTCGTTCGTCCCATTCCATCCCAATACCCAAACATGTCCAGCCTCAGAAGGAGGCGTTCTGATAAATTTATATTTTCGTCCCCATCATCGTCGTCATCGTCATCATCATCCAAACCAGAACCGTGACCGTATGACGCAGAAATCTCTTTCTGATCCGAAGCACGCAGGGTGGTCATGAGGCACCTGACGCCTTGTGTGAATTGTGCTCGGAATACCTTGTCAGGGGAATCTGTTGTGGTCCTCTCCCGTACGGTCTGCTCTTTACGTCCATGGGCAGCGAATGCCAGAATGGTCGAAAAGAGATGTTCAAGCCGCTCCTGTATCTTTGATTGTTTCCTCCTCAAAAACAATCCGTACAAGATATTGTCGAGGGTCCGTTCGTGTAGAGCACGCAAATAATCTTGACTTTTGACGGCCCTCAAGGTCGTTTCATAGTCCTTTTTATCGATATGAGCCCTGACTTCCCGCAAAACGGTCTCAAATTTCCGCCAATTTACCCGAATCACAGTGCCGTGGTAATGATCCGCCAGCGTTGTGACCAAATGATGCATTTCAAAAACTAGTTTACGGTCACCACCGGAAATACAGTCGCCATCTCGAAGCATGGTTTCTGTTAATTTGTGTAGTCTTAACACACGCAAGAGCAGTTGAAATACACGGTCGTATTTGTCTAGAATTTGTGTCGTAAGCACTGTTCCCAAAACATCATTGTGCGGCTTGTACTGTAGCCTGAGAAAGTCAAGCGCATAGATTGAATTCGCGTCTCGACATCTCTCAAGCTCTTCGACGGGCATGTCTCGGATAGCGAATGAGATCGAATCCTCAAGATTGTGCCCCGGAGTCGTGGACAGACTGTCTGATAAAATGCTCATAAGCACCAATCTCAACTCGGAGCTCGCAGGGGGCCATGTATCTCGAGCCTGCAGTCGTAGTCCAGTAGCCGTCCCCGTCCTTCTCCGAGTTTCGCCAGTGTTCTGTTCAGGGTCGAAGAGTGCCGTGCCTAGTCGTGAACTGAATGATGAGTTGCCCATAAAATGAAATTGACATTGAAGGTTTATATGTCCGATAAGATCGTACTGCTGAAAGAGTAACTCAAGTACGGCATAAGACAGCACCCGATGTTGCGCTGATAGAAGAGGGCTGACGGAAAGAGGCAGAGCTTGCTCGATGTCAATTTGGAGAGGATTATCGTCATGGTCAGACTCCCTCAAATATGACAAGACGGAACTGTGCAGATCATCGTGATTAATACCTCTTATCGCGTCAACACTCTCGACGAAGAGGTTGTTATCAAACTGGAAAGGATCTCCAGGTTTAGACTTTTCGATGGAGAGCTCACCCAGCTCGAAACTTTCTGTCGCTGGAGTCACTAGCAAGCTCGTGGATATGGAAGAACCAGCCGAAGTGATTGACAATTTCCGCACTTCTTCATATGTAGAGGCACGGTTGTGTAGGATAGAGAGGCCATTGAATGTGTAGACGACTTCAAGAGTAGAGAGCTTCGAGTTTCCGTATTCTGAAGTGGACAACGCTGGACAAAGTGGATTATACAATCTCAAAAGTCGTAGACTCTCTTGTGTCTCAAGAATCACCCCTGCCATCGCTGTCGGTAAGACTGATGTCCACATATGATCGCTCTCTGAGATCCGCTCGAGGGATAAATCGTCGTCGGTCAGCCCAGGAGAGCTAATTCCGACTTCGGCACTAAGTCTTGCCAGTGTTGGCTGAAACGATCTGGATAATATTGAGCGTAGCACTCCCACCACGGCAGAGTCGTAGGAGGACACAGTCGTCCAATGCGTCATTAAAGCGGTCAAGAGACCATCGTCGGTCTTATAGGTTTGAATGAGATCGATACATTGTTTCAGCACTGTAACCAAGATTTCAACTTTCGTCATGATAGATTTGAGTCGTACCATAGTCGTGATTTCAGATCTTGTAATCTCCAGGTGTTCGTGAACGGTATGCAAAGCAGCTCGGATTGAAGCCAGAAATGCGATTCGACAGGGAGAGCCACGGCCTGTGAAAGAGGTACATGTCTCAGATATGATCTTCGTGGAGACACCGACACGAGAAACTGTCTCGAAAATGTCTTCCAGCAGCTGAGAGCTGTACCCAAATGCCACAAGATTACCCACTTCCTTTCTGAACCTGCGCTTCTTTACATCCCAGACGAAGACGGCAGAGCTTCTCCCCATGCCCAGCTGATAAAAAGCATTGAGCAATACATCTGGCTTCAACGCTCTCAGGGATGTGGCCGAATGGCTGGTACTAAGGACGGAACTGAAAGTACGTGGGCCTGCTTCGCTCAGATAGCCAGACACCGGTTCTGAATGATGTCTGTCCAAGAATGTGTCCCATGATAGAAGCTCCGTGATTTTTTTTCTTCTTGTCACATCTGGCAGTGCCCACAGATGTGCGACATTGTCCTCAGTACTGTCTGTCTCTTGCTCGCGAACTGCATCGGCTTCGTCTTCGGAGGTAATCTGGGAAATTGGCGGTGATAGATCCGGTAATGGCACATCTTCCAATTGCAACCGCAGAATGTCGGTCTTGAGGTCTGGTACTTCTGAATTTGTCTCAGTCAGCCGAAGGAGTCCACTCTCGAGTTTGCTATTGAACTGGAAGCCATCCCAGACGCCTTCCGCGCTCGCTCCGAGCGGAGGGATAACGTTGATAACATCGCTCGAAAAGGGATCGTAGAGGACGGGAAGTGCCATAGCGAGTATTCTTCAACCATATTGGCTGTGAGCGGTATAAGGTGCGCGCAACGTTGAGGATTGAATCGGCTTCACCACCACATATTTGTCTCCAACATTCATGTGTGTTCCGCACTTTGCACTCATTCTCGACGCGCAACGCGTCGATGAAAATAACCAAAAGCGGCGAGTTTTCTGGACTATCTCGGACGTCTGGAAAGAAGCGTTTGAAGATTCGCATGACAGTATCAATGTTAACGACAGCCAGCTCAAAAACTCTGTTTGATCGAGGAACGATTCTGTACAAATACAACGTAAGATTCAGAAGCAACCAAATATGGCGCGCGAGGGACAGCACGACTAGAGATCGAGAAGAACTCGACGCCCCAATACACGGAACTTCGCCAGACAGACTTCTTTATTGAGACGAACAAACAGTGATCCAAAGGCGACTACCAGACCAACTGCTCGGAGAATCATGACGACAACAGTAACAGAGACCGTTGACCCTAGTCTCTGGCCCTCGTTATGGACAGACGAACAAGAGTCAGCACTGCTGCACGCTATTGTCCGGTGGAAACCTGTTGGCATTCATAAACACTTTCGAATGATCGCAATACGAGACCATCTCCTGTCACAAAACGTGACTAGTGCCGAGGATCCGCATACTACAATAGCCGGAATATGGGCCAAACTCTCCACGTTATACGATCTGCCCAAGTTAGACGAACGTGAGAATGCCACGGTCGATATTTCCGACGACCCCGAGAACGAGACACTGTATTTCAGGGATTTCGAACTGCCGAGGGAGGATTTTGAGGAGATGATGTGGCAGAAGCGCCTTGCGCCCGATGGCACACAGAGCCCCGAATGGTCGAGAAGGGGAAGCACGGTCGCCGACACAGATGAGCCACGGTCAAGCCCGATCCCAGCAGGCTCAGCCAGAGGAGGACGCAAGACCCGCCGAGGACGGTCTTCACGGTTGCAGAATGAAGTTGAGACGGACCGAAGTAGCAGGCGAACGAGTAAAGCAAACAGTGCGGCGGATGAGGATCAGACCATGGATGACGCAGCTGATGAGGAAGAAGACGAGCAGGCCACCGGGGATGACGAGGAAAGTGAGGAAGAGGAAGAGCCAGAGGAGAAAAAAGGATCTACGAGAGGGGGCCGAGGCGGAAGGAGAGGCAGAGGCAGAAGGGGACGAAGAGGAAGATGATCTATCCATCCATTGACTCGAGAGATGTCTAACAAGTCTCATGTTCCAGTGGCTTTCCTCTCGGGTCGACCGCGATCCTTATCCGAGGGCCTTTGTTTCTTGAAACAACCAAAACTATTTCTACTTCCTTCCCGGAGTTTCTTGAGCACGACTCGCATGTCGCCCAACTCCTGCTGCAGCCTAGTTCGCGCTTCATTTGTGGTTCGCTTGTCCAGCTCCGTGTATATTTGTCCCTGCACTTCGCTAGCTTTGGCCGTGGCATATTGACTCATCGTTTGAGCTATGAATTCAGTGTCTAGAGTCGCCTGCATCAGAGCTGGGAGGGTATAAGTATTAGGCTTCCGCTCTTTGAAACCGTCAAGCAGAGCTTGTGAGATATTCTCGACAAGATAGGATAATATTTCACTCAGCAAGGGGCTGCTCGACCCTGTGCTAGAGACCGTTGTTGATACTTCCGTGTGCACCATCACGAGCGTCATGAGAGCAGCGTAGACATACGGCCTGACCTGGTCGGGTCGAGACGTTTTGGGGGCCCAGTCGGGAGTATTAATACCTTCTTTGATGATCTTGGTCAAGGCCGCGACCATTGGCCGCGTGTAGGAATGGAAGAGCTTCGCGTCAATCTGACCAAAGACATCTCTAATCGTCTTGGACTCTTCGGCTAGTTTGACCGAAAACGATGACTCAAAGACTTGAATGAGAGAGGGGACATGCTCGTTGCGCAAGGCTTTGAGGTTCGACATGGTGAGGAGCATGCGGACATTCCTGCTCGACGCGTTGATTGCATTTTGTGTGACGGTCTCGTTGGGGACTGCGCCATTCGTTATACTGTCAAGGCTTGTCACCAAGACCCAGTCATCCTCATCTCCTTGTCGCGAAGCTTCTGCGTTTTCTAGCATGCCACTGACAGCTTTGTAGACACTGCTGACGAACTGCGTACGAACCATCTGCAATAGTTTCGTAGACGGTGGCGTGATGATATCCCGGCTCCCTGGCTTGGTGTTCGTATTCGAGAAATACAAGACCTGCTGCATGCCGAGCAGGACCTTTCTCTCGAAAGCTTCGAAATATCCTGGCATACGTGTTTGGTCTCGCTTTTCTGGTGCTCTGACCCAATCCTCAAGAGACTTGCAGCTCTCAGCATCCTTACTCCAAGCTTCGCAGACCGCACGCATGCATCTCTCCCGTGCCCCACTGATCATGACTTTGATCTTCTCATATGATGCGCTGCTGTTGACTGGGCCAAGAGACGCCATTTCGTTGGCAGCAGCCCCCACAAGCGCAAGAATCTTCTCCAGATAATGCACCGCACTGAGTGCGTTCGAGTGAGGAGGCCAGAACGCAAAGTCTTCCCACGGTTCCCCCTTCTTTGCAGCGGCCGCTGGTAGGTTTTGAGGATCAAGCCTGCCGATCCGTCCATCAGTGGGCGAAAAGGCAGAACCAGTTAATGGCGTTGTCGGCGTAGCAGCGGAGCCTGGCGCTGGCGAGAACAAAGATGAAATGTCCTCAGTGGGAGGGTCTGCGAAGAGCGAAAATACAGCATCTCTGAGTTGGCCAATCAATTCAACAAGCCCACTACGCAGGGCGCTGGCATCTGATTCCGACAGTGTGTGATGTTTCCTGCTCTCTCCGTCCCATCCAGAGGGTAGATTATTCTGCTTGGTCGAATCGAGAAAGGATTGCGCTGACTCCCAGAAGTCCACAACTTCTCCCAGCAGGCCATTCGACACGGAAAGCATTTTGGTCAGATAGTTTTGGATACAATGCCAGAAGTCGATAACGTCATCGGTATCAAGAGCTTCAGGCCGATCCTTGGACGCTTGTCGCAGGAACGTGGCCACAACATCGGACGAAGGTGCATTGCCAGCGGCGAGACGCCGTCGCAGAATCTCGATCTCGATCTTCGAACGTTCCACCACTGCAGCTATTTTGTTCTTGAGATAATCATACCGACTTAACAGGAAAACCCAAATCGGGGATTCTTCTACCCCAAGGTGTAACAACACACAGATCAGCTCCATGTGCTCTTCAGCCTGTGATGCCCCCGGAAGCGGGCTTGTTGAAGAAACGTTGGACAATTTTCGCCAGATATCTCGTTTAAGGGCTTTGACTTGTTCTTCTGCATCTGTCCACATGCGCCCAATTGCCAAAATTCTGTGAACTTCTTCATCTGAAAGAGTGCGACCGTACTGTACCACTCCATCGCTGAGGGTTTTTGCATCGGCGACATACCGTCTGGCGGCATCATAGAGCTCGACAGCTTTGTCATAGTCCTTCTGTTTAATAGCATAGTTGAGATCTGAGCCAAGCTCATATAACATTCGATCCTTGGTCACGGCATCTGCAATCGCTTTGAGGTTGTTCTCACGTTCTTTACCTCCTAGAGCAGGACCCCAGACATCTTGTGCTTTCTGCGACACCTCCAGCAACGGAACTCTGATGCCCTGAACACCATAATCCGTCTCCTTTCGCAGTGCGTTCTTGCTCGGTTTTGGAGGTGGCGCAGACATACCAGCCGCACTGCCACTGCTAATGTTCCGGAAGTGTATACCACTGGTGCGTCGAGAATGTCTGGGCGAGGTCGGACCAGGTTGTTCGACGGGTTCCACACCTTGATTCCGCATTTCAGTGTATACATTGTCGATGGTAGCTTTGGCACGCACGAAGCGCTCGAAGTTGGTCTCCACAAGGGCTTTCAGGGACGATGACTTTTGGTCGATAGATCGGGTCAAGTATTCCAAGCCTCGTAAAAGATCCTCTGTGGATGCCTCACGATGAGTTACTGACAGAAACATTCCAGGAGAAAATGTTGTAGAAGAAAGCATGAACTTGTTTCGTAAGCGCGAATCGTCGTCCACTTTCATCCCCGCTCTCCTCAACGTGTTCATAACACTTTGATGAGCTCCCAGGGCATCCTGCTCGTCCTTGGAAACCAAGTTCGCTCGGCCGTCTTTGGTTTGCTGCGACCCTGGAATAAGACTCTTCCTTTCGCTGGTCGTTCTCTCTAATGCCGAGTAGCGCGATCTGGAGCGTCTGACCCCGATAGCGTCAGGTCCGTCATCATCATCGTCACTATCATCAAGTTCCTTGGGCCATTCAGTCGGATAGGCGGTCGGCAGGTTATAATGGGTGACAACTGTCCTCTCTCTGTCGTCCATTGTGGGTTGATTCACAGTTTCAATCAACTACATGACCATCAATCACCCACTCTGTCTTGATATGAGCTGAAGCAAACCAACAGACTGGGGCCAGTGTTCCAGGGGCGACCGATTCTCACTCATGAACGACGCGATATCTTGGCATCACGTGAAGTTTAGTCACGTGAAGTGCCGAAACTCTGCCGATGTCGCCGGTTGCTTGAGCTGCGCAGATTTGGCCCAGTCGCGGATGTGATGCAATTGGCTTCTGCTTGCTCCTGCTTTTGCTGCGTTTCTTGCGCAGATAAAAAAGCATGCTCCTCTACAGCTCCACCTCTTCCAGCACAACCCGACTCACAACAGCAGCTTCATTGTGCCCTCGGTTGCTCGTTCGATGCTGCCAGCTGTAACTCGGAGCCTGTCGTGAAGTTATCACATAACAATTTGTAACTTCACTCCTGCAGCACTCGCCGCCATGATCGCCTCAAGAGCATTTGCTGCCCCGGCACGCCAATGCTTGCGAAAAGCCTATCAACAGCCCAAATGGGCTGCTGCATCCTTCCAGGTTGGTTTTGGCGACTCTGAGAAAGCTTTTTTAAGCATAAGTAGTTGCTAACTTCAATATTCCAGGCACAGCCTAAGCGTTTCATCACCACGAAGGAGCAGGACAAGGTCGCCAAGTTCAAGGGTACCAAGGGACCGGATGGAAATTACACAGTCACATTGATAGAAGGAGACGGTATCGGTCCTGAGATTTCGCAGTCGGTCAAGGACATCTACAAGGCCGCAAAGGTACCAATCGTGTGGGAGTCCGTGGACGTCACCCCTCGCCTGGTAGACGGCAGAACAACGATCCCTGAAGAGTCCATCAAGTCGGTGGAAAAGAACTATGTTGCTTTGAAGGGGCCTCTGGCGACGCCTGTCGGCAAGGGACACGTCTCCCTCAACCTCACTCTCCGCCGAACCTTTAACCTCTTTGCCAACGTCCGTCCGTGCCGAAGCATCCAGGGCTACAAGACCGCCTACGACAACGTGGACACAGTGTTGATTCGAGAAAACACCGAAGGAGAATACTCTGGCATTGAGCACGTCGTTGTAGACGGCGTCGTGCAGTCCATTAAGCTCATCACCCGCCAGGCGTCAGAAAGAGTCTTGAGGTACGCGTTCCAGTATGCCCGGGACGTCAACAAGAAGAAGGTCCGCGTGGTCCACAAGGCCACCATCATGAAGATGTCCGACGGTCTCTTCCTCAGCACCGCAAGAGACGTGGCCAAAGATTTCCCCGACATCGAATTCGACGCTGAGCTCCTCGACAATGCCTGTCTGAAGATCACCACCGACCCCGGCCCGTACTCCGACAAGGTCCTCGTCATGCCCAACTTGTACGGTGACATCTTGTCCGACATGTGCGCCGGCTTGATCGGCGGCCTCGGTCTCACTCCTTCCGGAAACATCGGTGACGAATGCTCCATCTTCGAGGCCGTCCACGGTTCAGCTCCGGACATCGCAGGTAAGGCCCTCGCCAACCCGACCGCCCTGCTTCTCAGCAGTATCATGATGTTACGGCACATGGGATTGAACGAACACGCCACCAAGATCGAGACTGCCATCTTCGACACCCTGGCCGAGGGCAAAACCCTGACCGGTGATTTGGGCGGTAAGGCAAAGACACACGAATATGCACAGGCCATCATCAGCCACCTCAAATAAGCGAAGCAACGACCGAGCTCAAGAATGCTAAAAAAGCAAACTGAAGCAAACTCTTTTTTTGGAACAATTGGTGCCGCTGGCTCCCACTTTTGGTGTACAGCGGAAGAGTTATCGGGAATGAGCCATAATCTACCTGTCCAGCCTCAACAGAGGGAGAAAGTTATTGTATGCGCGTGGAGATGAGGGAGGAATGTATTATTTATCATGCTAGAGCGAGTACTGCAAATATAAATTCATGTCAAAAACTGTATTTGTTTGATTGTCAAGCCTCCAATGGCCCGACTCTGACCGTTTCTCGCTCCCTCATCGCTTGGGTCTTTTGAACCTTTTCCAGCTCTTTCTCGGCCCGCCGCTTCTTCATCTGCAACTTGTCAAACCGTCCTCGGGCCCCGAACTTGAGCTTGGTGATCATGTCGGCCGCCTGGCCTTTTGTGACGTCGTCGCCAGTCAGCGGCTCGACGTCATCGTCCGTGGTCACATCACGCATGCGGTTGAGGAACTGCAGCTGTCCTTCACTGGCGGGAGACTTTCTCCAGCTCGAACTCGTCGCGATGAACACCCTGTCAAACTTCGTGCTGGCAAATGTATCTGCTGCGTGTAGGGCGTCGGAGAGCGTGCTGGCGGTTGCGACAACCCTGGGCCGAGACCACGGCGATTTACTCGCCTCCGTCATGGCAAGGGAATGCTTCCATACCACGCTGAACTGAGGTTGGCGGCCGCTGTTCGAGGCCGTCGCGGGGATCCGAGACTCGAGGGTCAACACGCCACCCTTGGCCACGAGGATGTACTTTTGTGAATCGACCTGCACCCAGGCGTTGGGGGACATTGCGCGAACATGTCGTTCGCCAGAGGTGTCCTCGATCAAATCGTGCACTGTTTCGTAATGTGTAAAGTCGAGCCTGTGGTCGCCCATCGCCCCTAGGCCTCGTCGTAGGTCTGACGGGTCTTGCGTCATAGTAGATGGATCTTGATGGTGACGCTTGTCCCTGTCCTTCAGCGCTTTCAGTTCGCCGACTTTCGCGCCCTTGACCATTTCGTCTGGGTCGAGGCCAAAGAGCGTGGGGACCGTGACAATACCCGTCTCCAGACTCGCTACCATATCAATGACGTGGCAATCTTTCTTGTCCGGGTACAAGCGCATTCCGCGACCGATCATCTGCACGAGGAGATTCCTTGATTTCGTGGGCCTAGCCAGCAATACGCAGTCGATATTGGGCATATCCGTGCCTTCGGTAAAGACGCCACAATTTAACAGTACGGGGAATTCGCGGTTCCTGAAAGCGTCAAGCCGCTCGGCACGCACTCGCTTCTTCGTCGCGCCTGTTATGTACTGCGCATCGATCCCGTGTCTGCGGAATGTGGACGTCAAGCTCGAAACGTGCGCGAGATCGACGCAGAAGACCAACGTCGACTTCCGATCACCTGCTTCACTCAACCACGCCTTGACCGTAATATCGTTTGTGATTTCTGTGTTTACGGCAGACGAGAGCTGGCCGGGTTGGAAGTCGCCATCACGGCCTGCCCTAACTTTCGACAGGTCGGCTTTGGACTTGACAGTCGTGAAGATTACATCCGACAACCACTTTTCACCAATCATGTCAACATAGTCTTTGTGGTAGACGATGTGGTCGACCGCTGCGCCTAGTCGTAGGCCATCGAAGCGGGAAAATGTCGCACTGACGCCGACTAGTGCCGGAGACGTTGGGCCCTGTTCCTTGAGTCCAAAGTGAGATAGGATTTGTAGGTAGCCCGGAGCCACGATGTGGTGCGCCTCGTCGACAAGAACGAGCTTGAAGCGATCTGCACGGTATTTCGAAAGGCGGTCACCCGAGACCATGCTGCGGACTGAAGCGACGGTTATGTCTGCTGCACCTGAGGCATGTGTTTCACCCATTTCTATCTCAATGCTCTTGTGCGGGTAGGCTCGCTCGCAGTGCCGGGCAGCTTGTTCGACAAGCTCACGCCGGTGGGCGAGAATGAGGGTCTGCTGGGCATCGCTCGTAGGAGGAACAACACGGCCAATTAGTTGCGTAAAGATGACCTAGCAAGATCAGCATGGTTGCGACAGGGGAGGTAAGCACCACTACCGTCTTGCCGCTGCCTGTGGCTAGTGATATACCCAGGCGCTTGTGCCCTCTACCAAGGTATGAAAGGACGGACTGGATGCATTCCTCCTGGTACTCGCGAAGGCGTATTGCTTCCTCCCGAAGTACTGGCGGCGGAGCACTGGCAACACTCGCGAGAGCTCGATAAGGTAGCCGACTGTCTAGAAGATATTTCGCTGTATGTGTGGTCCTACTTAGCCACCGAGGACATGACAACATAATATTGACTTGGGCATTGTGCAATGGGTGCTCAAGTTGGGATCAAAGTGTGACAGACAACGGAGTTTCCATACGAGTACGCAGGCAAGGAAGAGGGCAAGGCTGTACTATGCCAAATTAGGGGATTGACGAGAAATCGATATGCATTGCGTATTGTACCACAGAGGAACCATCCCCCATTCAACGACCATAATCGCTGTATTTGAAGTCCGCCTGGAATTTGACTCCCATGCAATAGCAGCGCCTAGAGTGGTTGAAAGGCCCAAAGTCATTGGGGTGGTATTCAACGCTATTGGAGGCGATTATGCCCATGACAGAGTGTCCCTACACTTTTGCTTCCATAGTGTACGCGAATCAAAATAACGAAATGCATCGGTACGAAGTAGCGGTGCAGAGCGTTGTAGCAGAAGAAGATATCAAGGCTCATATACACTTCGCCCAAAGGCTGCAGAGTTCAAACAAATCTGCATTGGCGCCCCTGTGGTCGTGCTCATACTCATGGCGTGCCTCCTAGATGTATGCTTCGACGCTGAATACCTGTCTGTCGTCCCACGTCACAGTTTAATCGTTTCACAGGCCAGGCGAGACACTATGCTAGCCTGAAATCTGTCATCTCGCTTCGAATGTCTTCGATTGAGGATTACACCGCAAGCTTTGGATGTCTGGGTCACCAGCAAGAGGGTGTCATCGACACGAACAGCGCACATATCTAAGAGGCCGATAGATTAGACACATCATCCTCTGCTGGTTGGCATAATTGCTGATCCGCACACCGCACGCAGTTTCTCAGAAGGTATGATATCAGGCGAAAGTGTCGTAGCTGTGCAAGTGGCATTAGTAATGTTCTGATCATCGCTGGAAATTTAATTGTCTGGCAATTTCAGACGTCTGATGAGGCTCTGAGTTTTATGCTATTAGCCGAGCTTCTCTTGGATCTGGCATGACTCTGAATACCGGCACGAACTGATCGGCGAAGTGTTCAATCCCAGTCCCCTCGGCTTCCCGAACTCGTGGAGCACTGCATCTGATCGCAGTGGCTTGTGGATCTCCTCGAGCTTAGATGAAGAAACGAATAGTAGTAATGTTCTTTGAGGACTAGGTCTTACCGCCAACGACGGCAAAGAATGTAACCACGAGGCCCAGCGTAACACAGAGGTTGATGGGGTGAGGTGATGATGGAGGTTACGGTGTGTCAGACACACGCGGAAAGAGTTGGTGCCCATTCCAGGTTGTTCGCGTGCGACGACTCGTGCATGACTCTCACGTGCATAGACCACTTCAATGATAGACAAATTTCGCCCAGGACCAGTCCCTAAAACCCTAGAGAAAGGCGTCGCATCTTCTTCGAAATCTCAACTGACAAGCTTCCATAACCTCCACACGCTGAACACCTCAGATCCCTGTGCTTACTGACGTAGTCGAATCGTCGCAAGGAGAACCCTCAACTTCAATGAGATTGTCAATATGGGGACCTGGGCGCGGTTGCCGTGTGTGGCATGTTGCGCGTGAACCCTGTCGCGTGAGTGGAGAGAACATCGGTTCAAGCATATTAAAGGCCCAGAAGAGTCTTGATTACCACAGGCTTCGCTTGCCAAGCGACTGTACGGAGGTAGGCGAGCCCATCAGATGGTTCATCCAGCTTCACGTGTTGAAGATGCTATGGAAGGCATCGAAATTGCTTCTGTATCTTGCTCTCAAGGACGTGTCTCGATGCATATGGACTCCGTTCTAACCATTCTAGAAACAACTCTGCAGAAAATTCACGTTGGCCAAGAAGAGTCAGGTTGTTGTAGGGAGGCTGTGGTCAAAGGGCACGTGGTATATAATCGCTTCGGATTGGAAGAGGGAGTTGGAGCCAAGAATTCCAATTCCCTGCCAAGATTGTCCTCCCAATTCTTGGCATTGAAGTCCGCCCTTGGCACGAACCCGCCATCCTCTGTTGGTCCAACTGTCGAAGGTGGACTTCATATCGAGCTTCACTAGGGTCCCGAGAGGGTCATCTATTGCAACATAGTACTGCTAGGGAATTGGATTTTCACCCTCTCGAGGGGTATAAATGTCGCCCACCATGGCCTCCTTCCAGATGAGGTCTATTCTGTATCGATATATCACCTCTTCGTATAGACACAACATAGCCTTCCAGGCAGACTTACAACACCATGGTGCTCTCAGATTACACCTATGTTTTTGCCATTGGCACCATCTTTGCCCTTCTAGAGGCATTCAACAACGGAGCCAGTGAGTCTTTGACCCTTGCCTATGCTATCTTCTAGGCAAATGCTTGTATCATTGGTCACCAACCTGATCCAATTGTGCCCACCAGATGATGTTGCCAATTCATGGGCGACCAGTGTCTCCTCCAGATCGCTGAATTACCGTGCGGCCATGGTCTGCGCCTTTGTTTTCGAATTGATAGGCGCTTTGACTGTCGGTGCACGGACAGCCTCGACAATCAAGAATGGAATCATATCTCCGGAAGCCTTCCAAGGGAACGCTGGGGTACAACTACTCGCCTTTGCCTGTGCTGCTGCCGGTGCTGGTACGTGGGTCATGTGGTGCAGTATGAATAACATCCACGTCTCATCCACCTACTCGCTTATCTCTGCACTGGTGGGTGTGGGAATAGCAACCGTTGGCACTAAAGGCGTCACTTGGGGCTGGAATGGTGGCCAGGGTGTAGGCGCCATCTTCGCCGGACTGCTGATGGCCCCTTTCATCGCAGGATGCTTTGGGGCTATAATTTTCATGCTCATCAAGCTCATTGTTCACATACGCAAGAACCCGGTTCCCTGGGCTGTCTGGACGTCTCCGTTCTTCTTCCTCATTGCTGGCACAGTCTGTACCTTGACAATCGTCTACAAGGGTTCTCCAAGGCTGGGACTCAGCAAAAAGCCAGCCTACTGGATTGCAGGTGTTACCCTTGGTTCTGGTTTTGCCCTTTGTCTGCTGTCGGTCATCTTTTTCCTGCCCTTTGTTCACGCAAAGGTCATCAAGAATGTTCAAGAGCTGAAATGGTGGGAAGTCGTCAAGGGTCCGCTGCTATGGAGACTACCCGCCAACAAGGATGCATCAGCGAAAGTGCCAAACTTCGAGGTCGTCCAATATCCCGACGACAGTGACGCGGATTCCACCGATGTGGCTAAGCAGGATCTGAAGCAACCCACCGAAGCCGGAATCCCCTCTGAGAAGATCACCCATGCCCAGCCTAACACTACCAGCGTCCCCGAGCCTCACTCACTTCAGCATGAGATGGATTCCTCCGACTACAAGAAGATGATGAGACTGGCTCGTGAGCGACATCACGCAAACATTCGGAAGAAGGCAAACCCTCTTGGCTGGGCCATGCGCACGCTTCACGAAAATCCCATGGGTGCTGGCTCCTTGTACGAAACCCACAACATTCTCACGGCACTCAAAAGGATCCCAGCGATGCTTGTAGTGGCACTCCTTTACGGTACTCACTATGATATCCACACTGCACAAATTGGCCTTGAAGGAACTCCTGAGGGAAAACGTATGGCACGCACATATGCCCATGCAACCAAATATTCCAACGAGGTTGAGTATCTGTATTCCTTCGTCCAGATCATCACCGCCTGTACTGCCTCATTTGCTCACGGTGCCAACGACGTTGGCAACGCCGTGGGTGTGTGGGCTGGTATGTACGCTGCGTGGACCACTGGAAGACCTGCTGCTACTAAGGAGGATGTCCCCTTGTGGCAAATTGCGGTCATTACCCTGACCCTCTGTATCGGCTTCATGACTTACGGCTACAACATTATGAAGGGTGAGTTGTCTCCGTCATGCCCCCGACGATCCTGTACACTATGCTGACGTTACTGCAGTTATGGGCAACAAGATCACATATCATTCGCCAAGCCGTGGCTCATCCATGGAAATGGGTGCCGCTATCACTGTATTGATATTCTCGCAATACAAGTTGCCAGTTTCCACATCCATGTGTATCACCGGCGCCACCGTCGGTGTCGGTCTTTGCAACGGCAGTTTCAAGGCGGTCAACTGGCAGCGAGTTTTCCTGCTTCTTCTGTCTTGGTTCATTACGATCCCTGCTGCTGGACTACTCGGCGGCTGTACTATGGGTTTGGCCTTGAACACTCCTCATTTCAACTAAACAGATTTTGAACATGTTCAAAGGAACATAAAAAACTCGGTAGATGAAGCGTGTGATACAGGCTTGAAATAGATAGGATATATGATTTTAGTCCCAGAGTGGCGTTGACCCCTCGGCGCACTTTCCCGAATTGGAGTTATCTTTACTGATCTTGGCTTTCATCTATCTTGCTCCTTCACTTGTAAAACTTGCGCCGCTCTACACAGTTCCTACAATTAGCTAAATACACGGCGAACCTGCAAGGCCGCTATGCATGCCCCGAGGCAACCACTTGGTTACAGTCTGTTGCATGCTATGCCCCTCACGGTGCACCTAGACCCCGACAATGTCCGACGACGGCAACCAGGATGAAATGTCTATTCTGTGCAAGCCTAGTTCACCAAGAGATGGTGACTTCGCTACCGCAACAGATGTACAAAATACTGGACCAACTTCAGCAATATCCTTTCACGAGCGAAAATGGGATCGATTTCGACGACACTATAATGACAACTATCTCGAATTGTTCAAAAGGACTTTCGAAACGCCTGAAGACAATGATTCAGCACCTGAGCTCCCTGCCACTCAGCTTGGAGCTGTAACTTGGGAGCCTGCGGAGAAGGCCACTTTGTTCCAGGCTCTCTGTCGTAAAGGTAGACACGACATACAAGGGATCTCTCGCCTCATCGATTCGAAGTCCGAAGTCGAGGTCAAAGTCTACCTGGACAGTCTTCGAGACCAGGAGGCTGACCGTCAGCTTTTTGAGGCTCGACCTAGAAATATCTCACATGCCGAGATACCTGCCGCTTTCGAGATTGATGAGGGATGTGAGGTTATGCTTGACCAGGCCGCAGCAGCACTTGAGGCATTCCAGGAACACTTTGATTTCGCTGTAGCCCAACGCGAGACACAGACGTGGCTGATTGATGCTACAAAAGCCGCAGAGCTGGATGCCAAGGAGGATGGAAAGGAGACCATTAATAATTCAGAGTTGGGGTCCGAGGCCGAGGATGAACAAGAGGCTGAGAGGGTCTTGTCTCTCTACCATCTTTCAACCTTTCTAAGCTTGAGTGAACGATTTTTCATGAACTCGGGCCATGAAGATGCCACGACCTGGCATCAGCTTGTTGAGGAAGGGCAACGCCCTGCGATGACTATGGACATGGTGACAGAGATGCACGATCTTGTCACTAGTTTTACGCAGAGGGTGGTTCAGACTTGCATCTTCATGGCATGTTCCCGCATCCGCGCGTCAACGTCAGCCCACTACAAACCCAGTCGTCTCATCAGAAATGAAGATGTCTCCGCGGCACTTACTGTGTTGGGAGCCGAAACTAGCTTAAGAAATTTCTGGGTCAGACTTCCGAAGAGGAATCAATTATCAATCATTGGAAGCGGACACAGGAAGGGCGGCAGTGTGAGAGATGTGATGGCGTACGATGAGGTGGAAGCCGCCCTATCAGTCTCTAAACTAGAAAGGTCTACGTCCTCTGCTTCAGAGGACTCACGTCGAAGCCGCGATGATTCTCAGGCTAGCTCGACCAGCAGCAGTGTGACAGGTGACCAAGAAGAACACGAAGCTAGCAATCACTCCTCCTCGATTGCTTTGTCGGAAAATGACAGCGATGAGGCAACAGTAAACTCTTCTGCTCAAGATTCATCGACTGATGTCTCCGGAGAACCTTCATCACTTGATGAAGAGGAATATCTGGAGCATCTCGATCAATTGGCAGGACAACAAGAGGCGTCAAAGTTGCTGACGATTCTCGGCCACGCCGGAAAGCTGTCCAAGAAGGAAGACGACATAGCTGTCAGTACCAAGCCACCGAGTGAACCACGAAAAGCAGTCGAAGATAGTATGGGTTGGTCGGTTATCTATCAATCTGAATGGGAGCGTGATGGCGCTGTTCTTCCCTCGGCATCTTTTGCAGAGACTGCGGATTGTCATAAGAGACGGAAAATTGCTTGAGTTGAGAATTGATAGTGTAATAAGATCCTGTGCAATGTATACAGCCATCAAGTATTCTGGTCCCTCCATATGCTTCGGGGGCCACTACTGAGCTCTAACAGATGTCCACATTTGGACGCGCGTTGCCGTCTGCAAGGCAGCATGAACTACAAAACTACCAGATTCTCACAAACATATGCGCACAACTCCAGGTACTCCCTGTGTCGCCCAAGCTGAAGGTACAGTCTGGAGTCGAGTGGTGACCTTCGATAGCTTCTTACAACTGGGATCGGCTACAGCCGGAGCTAACTATCTAGTTGCCGATCTTCTATGTTAGCAACGTCTGATTGGCGAATTCCAGAGCCTCAACCATAAACAACCTTGAGCTCTTCCAACACACAACCAGAACTCTTTTGTTCTGGACAATATTCAAATTCTCATCCTTATGGTCGCGATTCGCACAGTCTATTCACCCGAACCATATGTGTATTCACGTTCTTGTACGCGTCTTGCACAAGGAATCTGCTCCATGCGCCTGTCCTGGTGGGCCGTGAATATCGTGTAGACGCGAACTTGACGCGACGCTCAGAGCCGTGGACTCGGACTTCAGCATAAGTCACGACTCTCGCTCAACAAGTTGATCATTCCTACATCACTGTTCACGCTTGTTGCAGTTTACTTCTGTCTGGCCGATATCTGCGACGACGAACGGGAAATAAAGCCCTGAACTCAGCGAAGATGGTCGTACGAGAGCTTATTCCCGGCGACGATCGACCTTTGCAGGAGATAGCCGATGTCCTCGCGAGGTCGCACAAGGTCCTTCTCGTGACCGGCGCTGGAATCAGCACGAGTTGTGGCATCCCGGTACCGATATACGATTTCCAAGCTATTACACAACTGACAATGCCTAGGATTTCCGTTCCAAGGACGGACTGTACAACATCATCCCCGAACAAGCACTCCTACCCACTCCTCCAGCTTCCCAACCATCCACCCCTTCAAAGTATTGTTCAGATACCGACGACTCTAACTTCTTCTCCTCACAATCATCAACTTCATCATTCACAAGCCGACGAGCATCCGCCAGTCCCTCATCAAAGCTGAAGGGACAGGACCTTTTTGATTCGCGAGTTTTCCAAAATGCAGCATCAACGACCTTATTCTATCAGTTCATTGCTTCCTTGCGTCAGAAGATACGCGACGAAGTGCAGTCTACGAGCTCGACCCACAAGTTCATCAGGGTTCTTCGCGATGGTGGTCGATTGGTGCGGTGCTATACTCAGAACATCGATGGTCTAGAAGGAAGAGAAGGGTTGGTGACTGACTTGACACGAGGCAAAGGCAACAAGCGACGATTCATGAAGAAACACTATGAAGTACCACGACCTTTACATACTCCTGGCACTGATTTCGATGGAGGTTGCGAAGTAGTGCAGCTGCATGGTGACTTGGAGAGGTTGCGGTGCAGCATGTGCGCCACACAATTTGAATGGACGGATGAGGAAACTCAGATTTACCTCGAAGGCGCCGCGCCAAGCTGCCAGCAATGTTACAGCAAGAGCGAGCAGAGACAGGCCAGCGGAAAAAGAGGTCTTGCGGTCGGATCACTCCGACCAAACATCGTCTTATACGGAGAAGACCATCCATCAAACACGCTGCTAACCCCGTTGATCCCCTTTGACGCCGGTAGTCAGCCTGAGGTTTTGGTCATCATGGGCACGTCACTCAAAGTATTCGGGTTGCAAAAGATTGTGCGAGAATTTGCGAAAGCGGTGCATTCCAGCAAGGGTGGCCAGGGACGAGTGATCTTTGTCAACCGCACAAAACCAGCAGAAACCACCTGGGATGGTATCATTGACGACTTCGTGGCCATGGACTGCGACGATTGGATTCACGACCTCAAATCAAGACGACCCGATCTCTGGCTTCGACAAGGCGACATCGGGTTAACAGTCACAAAACCGACACAACCAAAGCGGAAGAGAAAGTCGATGACCGATGAACATGGTGGCGCGAGACCTGTTAAGAAAACAAAAGTCACAGTCGAGGTGCCAGCGAACTCTGGAATTGCGCGACAAACACCTCCTAGTACTCCGTCGAAGAAGGACTCGATAACGAAGAGGTACAAACTACCAGCTACATACCCTGGTCGATCGGTGCTTTCGCCTTTAGCACAGGGCAGACGGCCACCAATATCGCCTCTGTCTAGTCCAGTCCGGCCAGTTGATGATGATGAAAAATGCACAACGCCAGCTAGAAGATGCTTGCCCGTTCGGCCGCCGATCTCACCCTTCACTCCAGGAGTGTTGACTGGGAGTAAGCTCAAGGTGGAAGTGTTTCGCGACGACGAAAACCAACGCGATGATCAGGAGGACAATGGAAGACCAGGATCGAAAAAGAATGGAAACCATCCCCAAGGCGCGACAGTGACACCACCCAAATCCAATTTTCTGGCGAAGGTATGGCAGCGACTTCCGGGCAGACATATTCTGCCATATTCGGAGCAAGTCGACACACAAGATGAAGCACTGGGGGCTGAAGATGATAATGATACAGTGATAGTGGAAACACCGTCAAGGGGTCCTCGTGGCCGCAAGATCAACGTGATTGAGTCATGAGAAGTCGTGGCATTGGCAGCGAATTTGGAGATGATGGATTCGATGGTAGGATTTCATGAATCAATGACTGTATGACATATTATAACACCGAGTTCCAAGAGACACCGCTACGGTGCGAGCAGTATAGAGAATGACTGCTCGATGCAAGTTTTGTATGACGATTGGAGCGGCTTTGAACAACGCTTAATTGTCGCTAGAAACAGACAAGAGACATAGAGGCGGAGACTTGATAAATCATTGGGCAAAGTCTTCGTGAAGAACAATTGTTTGGTCAGCTTATTTCTATCGTGCACCGACAAGAAGTATCTTGTACAGACAGACAGTAGTAATTCATGAGTCTCACGGGAGATGAATCTTCGTAACCTACACGAGTATCTGGTAGTCCGTCGTTGACCCGACACTCGTATTTCGTACTCGTACAGTTATCAACGGTGAATATTTTTTATTCTATGGCCTTCGCTGCCATTCCACTTAAGGGCCGGGAGCGTCGAACGATCTGGGCCCCGAAGGTTCCCGGCCGAAGCCACAAATGCATCACGTTGATTGATCATTTCGTTCCGCAGTTCTGGGCTCGGCTCTGACCAATTTTCTCGAGCACATGACAAATGGGCCGTGGCTATTGCTTGCTGCTGACCGAGGGAAGAAAGAGAGTTGTGTGTGTGTGTGTGAGTGTGAGTGAGGGAATGTCGTACTCGTAGATGTCTTGTTCGTAATAAGGCGGAGGTGGAGGTGGTGGTGCTATTCGTACTCAATCATTGAAGATATAGTGCCCGCCACTGCACATCATCCCTCTTATTTCCTTTCTACCTTGTAGGCCTCAATGTCGCGATTATAACATCCATCTTCACATACCTTACAAAAATTTATCTCCTTTGCATTTTCTAACTATCTACAGGACGTCGGCCTGCCAATCTGACACAAACTAGGGAAAAAAAGTAATTTCTCTTACTTACCTCGACTTGGAAAGAATCTTGTGTGCAAATCTGAAAATCGCGGGGTACAAAGAAAAACGCTTGGAGTCAGCAGCATCATCGCCAGGTTGAAGACGATAATTTTGTCCCGGGTCCCCAATCCTTCAACAAGTGCTTGAGGGATAAGCAGTAGAGCCTGTTTCCCACGACAAGAGAAAGGATTTGTTTCTGTGACGAGACAAGTCTCCCGTAAATACCTAAGGTATCCTTGGAGGTGATCGTCGGCATCTTCGGCACGAAGTAGAAAAAAGAAAAAAAGATCGAAGCCTAGAACGGCCGTACTGCGGGACTGCATCGACACATTGTCAGTCTACCAACACCACTACCACCACTTCGACTCGAAATTTCTGAACCCAATCGTCATGCCTTCTCGCAGCCCTCTGCCCAAGGGATTCGACTCGATCGAATCCACGATCGAGGCCTTCCGCAACGGCGAGTTCATCGTCGTGCTGGACTCTCAGGACCGCGAAAACGAAGGAGATTTGATCATCGCCGCCCAGGACGTCACGGCCGAGAAGATGGCATTCATGGTCCGATACACGAGCGGGCTCATCTGTGCGCCCATCACGTCAAAGCTGGCGGCCGAGTTGGAGTTGCCTCAGATGGTGGTGGACAATGAGGACCCGAACCGCACGGCCTACACCGTTTCCATCGACTCGAACGACGCCAGCGTCACGACGGGGATTTCGGCGCACGATCGTGCCTTGACCTGTAGAACCCTGGCCAGCCCAAAGGTCTCGGCGGCCAGCTTCAGACGTCCCGGACACGTTTTCCCGTTGAAAGCCCGGGATGGCGGTGTCCTCGAACGGACTGGCCACACCGAGGCCGCCGTCGAGTTTTGTCGATTGGCTGGGAAAGCTCCCGCTGGTGTCATCTGTGAGATGGTCGAGGATGGAGAACCGGTACAAGGGCAGACCATGATGCGAGAGCCGGGCATGATGAGACGAGACGCTTGTTTGGAGTTTGGGAGGAAATGGGGCCTCAAGGTCTGCACGATTGAGGATTTGGTCGATCATGTTCAGCATGAGAAGAAGGAGAATGGTGCTAATGGAGTTCTTAATGGGCATTCTTGAGATATTGTGTGATTTATGCTCGTCGAGACAAAAAACCACCCCAGACACATACCTTGATATCTAGTACTTGCAAATCTGTGTTTTCTTGCAAATCATTATGATCCTATGGGCCACCATGAGCACAATAGACTACGCTGAATAACGTACACTGGAGGTTGCACACTGTATCTATTACTCCGTATGTTCGGTCCTCGACTTGACATTCACTTGCGGAGTGTCTGCGTCTTATGTAATGTTCAAGGACCCTTTGTCGAGGACCGTCTTGTCGCTTGAGGAGGGTTCTCGGATCGGTGGCCGACTATCTACCTAGATATTTATTCCGTACTCCGTATTTAATATTCGGTACGGAGTAACGATGGTCATATTCCAAACGTCTCTGAAACTTCTCACATCAGCGCTAACCATTCCATCGTTTGAACAATTGGAAAGCTTGATCATCAGTTCAAACGCTTGTTATGGCCCAAGTATGCACTATCAAGCGACATCATCATCATATGTCGATAACTACGGAGTAGGTACGGTAAATTAAAGAGAGTCAATGTTCATTGCGACAGAGAGAGCAATAGATTAACCAGATAGTTCATCACCCAAGGTTCTTGTTGTCGTCGTAAGACAAACGAGACAACGACACGCGTTCGGAAAGACTGCGCCTCGAACAATGATTTTCTCGTTGTGCAATTTCACGAATCACTCTGGAGATTCGTAAGGCCAACCATCTTTTGCTACGAGCTACTCCGTACCTTGTCGGTAAATCACAAATTCTGGCCCCCCGTTTCGTCCGTGGGAAGACAGGCTTGCTTTTGCGGGCACATGGTCAGAATCCGACATTCCTACGAGGCGTTTTGCACCAGCCCCAGAAACCCGAATCGAAGGGTTGAAATGTGCGGTGTCTGGGGCTTATCAGTCACAGCCTTCAACTTCTTACGAGAACCCTTTTTACAAAGGGTTATGTGACTCTTTGAATGTGAACTGACGCCAGGGTTGTATGTGATTATTCTACTTTCTACTCTGTCACCGTCTGCTTTCAAACCTTCTCTTTTCTTTTTCTCTCTTTCTCGACGCTTGTTGTTGGACTCTGGCGCAGCACCTATTACGTGTCTTGTTTCACTTTACTTTGCCCAGTCAACAATTTTACTTCAAGGAGGTGGTTGAGACCTGTCTCTTACTTGCGTTGCCTTTGGGGCGAAGGTGCAGTGGCGGTACCTCCGTATCTGTCTACGATCGTTGTACGGAACATAAACCACTTTCCAATCGCATTTCCTTTGCTCGAGGGTGGTAGTTGTTCGCTTTTCTTGAATACGAAACACTCCGGATTGCAAACCAAAAGCCGGACCATCTACAACGGTCGGCGTTTGTGGCCATTCGGGACGCGAAGAGATATCACACCGTGGTGGGTCAATATACGAGGGAGGAACTATTACCATCTCGTCCGGGAGACATATACCTCGATCGAAATCCAACACGGAAAACTTATTGAGCACAAACAACAACAACAAAGCCCGTCATACACCCGATATATCTGCGTCCTACGTACCTACCTTGGGAGAGGTCGAGCAAAAATGGCACCCCGCCCACGAAATCGATTCAACAACAATTACCAACCCGACGACATCATAAGCCACAACATCGGTGACTCCTCGTCCTCCTCGCCGCTCACTGGCGCCAATACAATCAGTCGCAACAGGAACGACCACAACAACCATCTCAACTCCGGTTTGTCCAAGGGCGCCGTCATCGGTATCATCGTCGCTGGCGTGGTTGTCATTCTCGCCATCGTAGCCGTCGTGATTGTGCGCCTCCGCCGACGAAGAACTGGTGGGTCATACCGTGCCGCCGACGCCGGAGGAGGGTTCAACACCCGTGAAGCACCGATCAAGGAAACGGAAGAGCTCAAGCCTGGGCACGAAAACGAAACCGAAAACGCCGCGACCCAGGGACTCTTGAGACACGCCGACGCACCGGCGATTGTGGCATGGGACGCGGACGAAGACCGAGAACTCCAGAACGCGGGAGGCACTCAGGACGGGTTCGCCTACGGTCGGGGCGGGATGATACAGAGACCGAGACCTGCCAGCGTGGCGAGTTTCTCGAGTTTGAGCACGAGCGTGGCGCCCCCGCCGAGGTACGAGGAGGCGACGGCCTCGTCCTCGTCTTCGGGGCCCGGGGCGGCGGCCCGGAGGAACTCGGACGGTGGACTGAGGCCGTCGATGTTGGACGACGGCGATCAGGAAGTCGGTAGAGGTCGATCACCGTCAAGAGAGCGTGGACCTAGTACGGATCGAGCTGGTGGAGGAGGGTCGAGGCCGAGGAGCGTCAATGGGGACCGAAGACGGAGCGTGTCGAGGTTCACAGAAGAAGGAATGGTGGACTTGAATTTGATCTCGAACAGATGAGTGAAGCAGACTCAGCGCCTATACTAATATTCTATAAGATGACTTTTCAGCCCATGCTTGATGGTTTGGGAGTTTGGAGTTTTGAGATCAGAATCAAACATGGTTTGATTGGTACACCGTATGAAAATGATTAATTGACTTTTCATTCATTTTTGTTTTCCTCCTTGCAACAAGGAGTAGGTAGGAATTCCACGACCACCTACTCTTGTAGATGATACCAACTGCGACAAAACGCCAGCCAACGCCGTCCCGTCAAAGGGGATCTTGGGGTATCGATTTCTATTTAATATAACATTTTCCTTTTTCGTCATGCCCGGGCAGTAGGCCGTGCCAGTGTTGACCACCGATTCCATGGCCCTGTTGAAATAAATAGCATACTCCAGTCAAAAACTGCCGTAGAGATATCATCACTTTTGATTTTCCGCAGTCGTTTCCAATCCGAAAGACGACAACCCTATCTTCCTTGTGGTCTTTTATCCGAATAGTCCCTAAACAGCCCTTGCATGTGGGTATTTGTGACTTTCTGACCGCGCCTGGTCGCCTTCTTCTTGGTCTTGGGCTTCGCAACAACATCTGTCCGTGCAGGTTCACCAGTAGATTTGTGGTTCATCCGACGGAGTTCCCGGATCGTGTCTTCCTCGGACGGGAGGGCAATTTGCGACCAGATATCTTTGAATTCCTGATCCAGTGGCACGTGCAAGGTCGGATCATCCGCCCAGACTGTGCGTGGGTGGTTGTCCTTCCTGTTACGAACAACGAGGAGTTTATGCTGGGCTTCGAGCTTGTTGATTGCGGATTCCACATCGGGCCATGTGTCTTTTAACTCGCGGACGTTGATGCCCATTGCGGACTCTTGGCCTTGGAGGTACTTGAGCAGGTCATCCCCGGAGGCGATATTGTGTTCAGGGCGGTACCTGTACGTGTCCGTCTCTGTGTCGTAATCGGCCTTTGGGTTCTTACTCAGGAAGGTCCGAAAGTACATAATCTGCTCTTCCGTCCGACGGTACTGTGGAAGGACATATTCCACCAACTCGTTCCAGCTGATCCTGTCAGGGAACTTCTCCTTCAACCGCCCGAGTGCGTAGATGACGTTCGTGCGGGCATCGCTGCCGGCAACGGACGTTTGTGTGGAGGAGAGATAGGCAGACATGATTGTGGACGAAGGGCTTGTGAAGGAGACGCAGGCGACGAGGGAGACAGAGAGAGTGGCTCGAGTCAAAGGATCTCGTCCGGTTGCAGGATAATCTCAGATCATTATTCGAGGAAAGGAGAGACGCAGGCCAAGTCGAACGTGGGACAGGTCAAAGGACGCAAGGAACGGACTGGGCAGGTGAGTCTCTGATGCAGACCATCCAGATACAGTGAAATAATGGACAGGAAGAGTCAAGATACTGTTCACGATGATTTTGAGAAACCAGGTAATGAACCCCAGGCTGACGTTGAAATGAGTCCTCTATGAAGTGATCGTAATCCGGGGCATGAGATCTTCGCTGCGAGTAGGGAAGGTCAAGCGAGTGACTGGCTCTTTAAGCTTAAATCCCAAGGCTCGAATAGGCCGCAGCTGCCTGAAAACGTCCACCTTCCTGCGTGTCAGGTCACGTTTTCGTTCCTTGGACTTGCCCGCGCCGCATGTTGTTTATTGCATTCTCAATTACCCTTTACACGCTGTTTAACAACATTCCTCTTCACCACTTTCTCAACTTGCCTAACCGACTGGCAATTCAAGAATCCTCTCACGCCATGGTGACGGGATTCTCAATCATTTTCATATTTCCTTGATCCTTGGGCGCTTGTGGTGGGCGCGCAGACTTCTCTCATATTCAATCTATCCTCCTCTAATACTCATCCCGCCGATTTGACTTCACATCAACCATGGCCGAAGACATTGATGTCCGAGCCATCTCGGCCTTCTCCTCACTTCCAGAGAACACAATCACAACGTTGCGCCAGACTCCTTCACCCGAGTTGATTGACGAGATCCTTCGCGCTTTTGTTCCAAAGATAAAAGAGTGTGAACAGACAAAGGCAAAACATGTCAAGACGGAGATTGAGCTTGAAGCCTACACGCGTAAAAATGACTCCAAGGTCAAGGCTCTTTCAGAGTCTCGGGACAAGGCTCTCGAACAGGCAGGTAAACTGCGTGGTGAACTCCAGGTTGCTGGTGAGCATCCCCATTTGACCGATGATTGACCTTCCACTTATGTGATGTGCAGAAACCGCAAAGACCAGATTGGAAACCGAACTGGACCAGATGCGCTCTGCCACTTCGAATGAAAACTCTGAGATCAGCACGCTCAAGTCACGAGTCACCTCGCTCGAGGCTGCCAACCGCGATACTCTTGCTCTTCTTGAGTCCAAGACTACTGCATACGAAAGCCTGTCGCAGGACCTTGCCGCTCAGCATCAGAAGGCTGCAGAACTCCGGAAACAGATCACGACTCTCGAGCAATCAGTACAGTCCGCTAATGCCTCTGTTGCTAGCGCGAAGTTCAAGGAGCAGAGCCTTCTTCAAGAGGTGGACATGCTTAAGAAGAATAATGAATGGCTGGAGAATGAACGGAAGATTAAGGCCGACGAACATACAAATTTCCGTAAGGAGAAGAACGCCCGGATTTCGGAATTGTCCAGATCCAATGAACAATACATTGCTGATGCTGAAGCCTTGAGACGATCCGAGACTGCACTAAAGCATCGCTTGGAAGAGCAGGCAACGAAACTCGAGGAGACGCTGGAGGAAATGCAAAAGATCCGCGAAGAAAAGATCTCATCAGATGAATCGCACCGAGTTGATCTTGAAAGTGTTACTAGGCTTGCTGATTTGCAGGCTGCGTCCGCCGAAACTGCCAAGCAACGAGTTCAAGAACTTTCTGTTGCCTTGGAAGAGGCCCGCGAAGAGGCAGCGGAAGAAGTTGGCACCATTCGCGCCGAGATCGAGTCTGAGCATAACGACCGTATTGCGGCCGAACAACGAATTGTCGAGCTCGAAAGATCGCTCGAAGAGCTATCAAATGAGCTCGAACAAGCCCGAGCACGACCAAGCACCCCTCAGCGTGGAATGAACGGCTCGGGCATCACTACACCTATTCGAGCTGGCACGCCTGGTGGCATATTTTCCCCTTCCTCCATCTCAAGGCCAAGGACTCAAATGACAATGACACAACTTTACAATGAGTACACGAAACTCGAAGGAGATCTCGCCAGCGAGAGACGAGCGAATGAACAACTGCGCGAGAATCTTGACGCAATGGTCGAGGAGCTTGAGAACAACAAGCCAGAAATCGAAGAGTTACGGATGGACCACGATCGACTACAGAGTGAGGTTGTCGAGATGTCCAGCATCATGGACAGAGCCAATTTCGAGCGAGATTCTGCTGTCAAAGAACTCAAGCACTGCCAGGGTCACCTTGAGAGCAAGTCGAGAGAAGTCGAGGTTCTCACGCAGCAACTTCGCGACACGGGCTCTCAGATCCGCTTCCTTCTTATCGAACAGCATGTTCGAGAACAAGGTGGCGCTATGTCTCGAGAGGACTTTGATGAACTTGAGAGGCAGGCCAATGAAGCCATGGCCCAGGACATGGCCAACTTGTCCGAGACTCAACAGTTGGTCAATCAGCGCCTCATCGTTTTTAAGAACATTGATGAGCTTCAACGACAAAACGAGGATCAACTCAAGACCATTCGTAACCTGGTTAGTGAACTTGAGAGCAGTGTGGCAAAGGAGAAGGAACAACAACAACTTGCTATGAAAGAGGAGCTCGAGCAGGCTCGTGCTCAAATCTCCTCATACCAGGACGAACTTAAGACTATGGTGGCTCAGACCAAGAGCTTCGTCAAGGAGAGAGACATGTTCCGCAATATGTTGACACGACGTGGTCATTTGTCCGGTGCACAAGTACATCCTACCGACTTCTCCAGATCGCTGCCTGTCCCTAACGGGGAGTCGCCAGCTGGTTCCGTAACAGGCGGCGAGTCTGATTATGCCAAGCTCCTCAAAGACCTGCAACATCACTTCGATACGTACCGACAAGAAGCATCCACCGACCATTCGGCGTTGAAGATGCAAGTTGATGAGTTGAGCAGAAAGAATTCCCAATTACAAACAGAGATCAGCCGCGCCATGGGACAACTGACTGCTGCTAATCAACGATATGAGATGCTCCAAGCCAACTACAGCTCTCTCAAGACCGAGAACGGAGAAATCCAGAAAAGATCGTACGCTGTCATGGATAATGCCAATAAGCAGGAAGTCAAAGCGCAGCAAGTAGCCGAAGAACTTGTTGAGGCCAGAGCTCTTGTAGAGAGCTTGCAGCGTGATTCTGCCAACCTCAAAGCTGAGAAGGATCTCTGGAAGACCGTGGAGCGAAGACTGATCGAAGACAATGAGTCTTTACGAAACGAACGAGGTCGACTAGATCAGCTAAATGCAAGCCTACAATCAATCATCAACGAGCGCGAGCAGACTGATGCAGAGAGCAGACGTCGTCTTCAAGCACAAGCCGAATCACTAGAATCAGAGCTCCAGTCTGTGAAGAGGAAGCTCAACGACGAGATCGAGGAAAGCAAAAAGGCCTCCATGAGACGTGAATATGAACACGAACAGAGTCAAAAGAGGATCGACGACCTCGTTACAACATTGGGCTCCACCAAGGAAGAGCTGGCTTCGGCCAAGACAGCAAGAGATCATCTTCAAGCCAGAGTCGACGAACTTTCGGTCGAACTTCGCTCTGCAGAAGAGCGTCTGGAGGTTCTGACCAGACCTGCCGAACCTGCCGCCCAAGAAAAGGGTTCAGAGGAGAACAGTCTCACCAAGGAGCAAGAATTGTCTGTAGAGATTTCTGAACTCAAGCGAGACCTCGACCTCAAAGTTGCTGAGCTTGAGAGAGCCAACGAACAGGTTGAGGTCTACAAGAATATTAGTCAGTCGAGCGAGGAGCGACTTCAAGAGCTTGGTGAAACCAATGACCAGTATCGGGAGGAGACAGAAGCTATGCTTGCTGAGAAGGATGGCAAGATCAAGGACCTTGAACAACGCATTGAAGATATCTCTTCAGAGCTCAGCACTACCAACTCGGAGCTGTCGAAGCTGCGCGATGAACAGGCAGAAGCAGGTCGCAAACTCGACGAACAAAAGGCTGGCTTTGAAACTGAAATTGAACGCCTCAAGGAGGAAGCTGAGAAGAGCGCCGAGCAAGCTCAGTTCAACCTGGAAGCCTCCAAAGTGCAAGCACAGATCGCCACAGAGGCCCAACAAAATTACGAGAATGAGCTTGTCCGACATGCAGATGCCGCAAAGGCACTCCATACAGTACGAGAGGAAGGCAATCAGCTCAAGCTGGAGGCCGTTGACCTACGTACTCAGGCCGCCACTGTAAAGGCGGACCTCGAACAGAAAGAGTCTAGCTGGAACGAATTGAAGGATCGCTACGAGAGAGAAGTGTCTGATCTCAAGCAACGCCGAGAAGAAGTCATGCAACAAAACACTCTGCTTCATAATCAACTTGAACGATTAACACAACAAATCAGCACCCTCCAACGTGACCGGGCCGCTTTAGCTGAGGGCGAGAATGCTGAAGGGCCCACACAGTCATCTATCGACCTCGACGAGTCACAGGAGATGATCAGATATTTGCGACGTGAAAAGGAGATCATTGAGGTTCAACACCACATTTCAGTCCAGGAGAGCAAGAGATTGCGCCAACAGCTGGAGCTTGCTCAATCTCAATTGGATGACACTCGACTGAAGCTTGACCAGCAACGTCGCGCAGAAGTGGATGCTGAGCGTAACGCCATCAACCACAACAAGCTCATGGAGACCTTGAACGAGCTGAACCTTTACCGAGAAAGCAGTGTGACTTTACGGGCGGAGGTGAAGCAAGCGAAGGATTCCCTCGGTGAGAAATCTAAACGTGTGGAAGAGCTCGAGGGCGAGATCCACACTTTGAACGCTCGTGTTGCAGAACTCGAAAATCTCGTCGAACTTCGTGAAGGTGAGCTGAAGCTGAGCCAGGAAGATCGTGATCATTGGCAACAACGCTGTCAGAACATTCTTTCCAAGTACGACCGTGTTGACCCGGCCGAGCTGGAGGCCCTCAAAGAGCAGCTCACGACATTAGAAAAGGAACGTGATGACATCAAGATGCAACTTGAAAATATTGCTGCTGCACGCGACGAGGCACAGAATGCTCTGCAAGAGCATGTTGATGGCCTGCCTAATGTCATCAAGGTTGCCAAAGCAGAACAAAAGAATGTGCTTGAGACTCAATTCAAGGATGTCTTGAGGAAGAATCGCACGGCGCTTAATGAGACAAAAGCCGAACTCGACGCTGCGCTAGCTGAAAAAGGTGCCCTGCAGGAGGAGCTCGATTCTGCCAAAGCACAGCTTGCATCTGCACCTGCCCCTACTGAAAACACGTTGTCTACCCCTCAAGCCAACGGAGAAACTGAGGCCCCGATGAACGACGCACCTACTGATGGCCCAAGTGACACTTCCAATAATTCAGCAGTGGTCGAACTTGAAGCCAAAATCAAGGAGTTGGAAGCCTCTCTTGCCGCCAAGGACAAAGAAATCCAAGACATCACATCTTCACAGGATGAAAAGTACAACAACAGGGTATCAGCCATGGAGAAGATACTTAACAAGCGTCTTCAAGAAGTAAAGACTGAGGCCCAGCAGGCAAAGGCAGCTGCATTGGAGGAATTGCGCACTAAACTTGATGCTGAGCATCAACAGGAGATGGAAGCTCTGAGAGCCAGCTCTGTTCCTGTTGCCGCGGACCTGCAGAAAGTCACTGACGATGCTTCGAATGCTGCGACCGAGACAGCTACGAGTGCCGCCACTGAGCCCCCTGCACCCATTAGTCCTGAGCAGCTTACGGATGAAGTTCTGTTGGCCATTCCAGAAGATAAAGCCAGATTCCTGGTCCAGAACCATGAAGTTCTCCGCAGAATGGTTCAGACTAATATCCGCAACCGAGTGGAAAAGGAGAGAGAGAGCATTCGCGAGGCCATTCGAAAGGAGATCATGGAAGAAGGGACGACTCAAGGCAACGGTCCTTCCTCACAGCAGGTCGAAGAATTGGAGCGACGGTTCAACGACGAGAAGGAAAACATAATCAAGCAGAAAGAGTCTGAATTCAATGCTGAGAAGGAGACTCTGATCAAACAGTATGAGGAAAACCTTGCGCGAGAGAAGCAAGCTCTGATCGTCAGGCATCATGAAGAGCTGATCTCACAGAAACTCCAATTCGACCAAGAGTCGGAAAGGAAGATACAAGAACAAGTGCGCAACGCTGAACAAATGATGGAGAAGCGTGGCGCCGTAAAGCTCAATATGGCGACAAATAAAGCCGCAGCGGCAACTGCGAAATTGGAGGTTGTCAAGAAGGCTGCGGAAGAGACCCCTGAGAAGCCTGTTGGGGAAGTCTGGGAGATAGCCAAGGACACCAGACCTCCGCCAGCGGCTCCGAAACCAGCGGCCTCTGCCAACCCAGCTCCTTCTGCCGTGTCTGCTCCTGCTGCTGCTCCGGCTGCGGCTACCACTGCCTCTGCTCCAGCGAGCGCTCCCGCGCAGCCTCCCGCAACGCCAGACGGCAAAATTAATGGGAACTCGCAGGCTACATCCACCGGGGAATCTACAGCTGCCGTCATCAAGACTGAAGCACCGGTACAGAACCCTCAGCAACAGCAGCAGCAGCAGCAGATTGGAACACAAGCAGCCACGTCTGTGACTGGCAAGCAATCTCAGACTGGCGGAGCTGCTTTGATGCATCAATTGCAATCGGGTATTCCACGTGGTGGTTCCATTCGTGGTCCTCGGGGCAGCAGTATTCCTCGAGGAAGAGGCGCGCCGCGAGGTCGAGGTGGCGCATCACACGTACAGACCGGTGTTCCACAGCAGACTCGGGGAGGCGGCAATGTGGGTAGTCCGAGTCGAGGAAATCTGAACCCACAAGCTGCACAGTTTACTCCAGGTGGTAGCAACAAACGCGCGCGGGAAGATGGAGGACCTGCCGATGATGCCGGTCAAGGAAAGCGAATTCGTGGTGAAGGAGCGTCATCTTAAACTCATCAGGGTCTTAATTTCATTTGTTATGTGTGGTAATGGGGGATGGTTATATCTGCGATAAAAGAGAGGAGATCTTTGCATGGCTACGGCGAACCAAGGACTTGCATGATGTGGTTTTTTGTGTCTATTCAATCTTTACGAGACGGTCGACCTGAACTTAACTCGGAAAGATGAGTTGAGAAAATTCGAAGATGAGAAAAGGGGTCCGGTCGGCTTAGTCTAGTCTCGTCTACAAAATCTTTACTGTAGACCTTATGGATCTGTATCATACATGGCTATACATTCGGGATACCAAATGCCTGGGCGTTGCTCTGTGCTTGAAAGGTTTTTGCTTCCCTGGTTGTGTGGCGGTTGTAGATGTAGACCAAATGAATTGACCGCATGAGATCAGGCTACCAGACGGCGGACGTGACAAGGAAAGGGTATGCAATGTCACATTAGACACACTATTTAAGTAGTTTCAAAGATCGATATACAGTAAGTACAAAGGGGATTGAGGAATGTGTGTATATACTTGATACTGGGAAGTAAACAGACACTCCTACTGCACGAACAAGGTTACAATAACACATTGATGCTTTGCGTCTGCCTCACGCTTTCAACAGAATGTTGAACGGCAAGATGGTGCAGAAAAAGGGGTTGTCGAAGTCTGTACGGACCTCTATACTCTCCTTCAGCACCATCGTCGTCGTCGTCATCATCTTCATCATCTTCATCATGATCCCCATCATGTCCTGTCCTGCCTCATCTTTATGATATATAGATGTGTATCTTCTCAATACGCAGCGGCTGTGGCGGTAGCGGTCGTCGCTGCCTTGCCCTCCACATCCGTCTGTTGGAACCTCAACTGACACCAGTCGGCGCAGGAGATGGGTTCGTATTTCGGCGGGTTGTTTTCGTCGGTGCAACTCGGTAGGACACCACATTTTTCATTGAAATTGAATCCGAAAAAGAACGGCATGGAATATCTGTTTGTATCTGGTCAGTACCACGACGTACGTCTTCTGCCGGGGTGTCTTGGGAGAAAGTCTGCAAGGTCAGAGGTGTCCGACAAGAACGTACCTATCGACGGTGGATCTGTTGAAGACCCGGTGCACCGTCGACTTGAGACGATCGTTCGTCAGACGCATGAGGTAGTCACCTATGTTGACGACGAAGGTGTCCCGGACGGGTGACGCCTTGATCCACTGTCCGTCCTTGTTGAGCACCTGCAGGCCGCCGTTCATGTCCTGCCACAGCAAGGTGAAACACTGCAGGTCCGTGTGGGAACCGAGGCCGACGTCGCGGCTGTCCGAGGCCTGCTCGGCCGTCATGGCAGGATAGTAATTGAAGACCCCGTCGCTCCCCGGGTACGTGGTGACGCCGTCGAAGTAGGTCTCGGGCAGATCGAGGGCCAAGGCGAAGATTCGGACGAGACGTCGCGCCAGCTTCACGCATTCCTGCCAGTAAGTGATGCAACCGGGTTTGAAACCGGGCAGGTGGGACGTCCCCTGCCAGACGTAGTCTTCGCCTCGGATGTAAGGGAGGACCTCCGCGGGTACATTGGCAGGGTCTTTCGGGTCAGGGTCGTATTGCGGTTCGTAACGCCAACTGAAGGATTCTCGATAGTCCACTGTTGTTGTGGTTGATCAAATGGTCATTAGGTACGGAGTTTTCTGCACGCGGCGGGACAACAACCAAACCTCTGAAGTGATGGGAGCGAACACGCAGATGTGGGAAGTGGGTAGAAATAGGGGAGAGGGTCCGGGGTCATCGCAGAGGGGTAAGAAATAAAGAAGAAAGAAAACAAGGACTCACGTCCTTCAGTAGGACTAGCCATGGCGGTTCCATTCCCACTGTAGCCGTTGTAATACTTCCCCTTTGATTTCGAAACCAATTGTTTCTCGTCTTCGGGTTGAGCGAAGAAGGACTTGGAGGCTTTGAGTGCCCCGTCGATGGCGGATTCCGGAATGCCGTGGTTCTTGATGTAAAAAAATCCCGTGTTCTCCGCGGCGTGCTTGATCTCTCGAGCCAGGCTCTTCCTGTCCTCCAGGTCGTCGCTGTAGATCCGACCGATGTCGATCAAGGGGATCTCGTCGTTTCGAGCTTCACGTGGCGGACTCGCCAGCACGTCCCGATAGACTGGCCCGTAAGCGGTCCGTAGCTGGAGTTTGACGAACGAGGGGTCCGTCGTTTCGGTGACGACGGTCGCAGCAGCCATGACGGGCGCTTGATTTGTCGGTGACTCGGTTTTGTGTATCAGATTCCGTTTCTTTAAAAGCTTTGTCGTATGCCGTATGATTCAAATGATATTGACCTTTGGAATCCTCTTTGATATGTTTGGTCGTGGATATCAGCGCAAACAAACGTTTTTGTCTCCACCTTTCCTCCCCCAGGCACCCGCGATACGATACGAGGATGAATCGTGGAGTCAGTCAGAAAGAGCTCTCGATATCTCTCTTGGTTCGGTCGTCGGCGAGGGCCGAGACAAGAGAAACAGGAGTTCTGCAGTCAACTCTATACCTATGGTATCAGCAGGCTAAAGGACCCCATTGAGTACACGAGAATGGTCGAATTTACAAGTACTACGCTGGACGAGGCCAAGGAAACCAATCCGCCAATCACATATCAACATTCTGTCCCTGTTCTCACTTATCTGTAACTCTGTTGCACTAGATGGAAAATACTCTGCGCGCATCTCCATGGTACTCTGTTTGAAAGGCATTTGATCACTTCTCCGATCCGCCATGGTCTATTTTCCTGGCCAGTAAGGAACCTCTGATCGATTCACAGACGTACCCTATCAGGTGTCTGTGCTATTCAGCTATCAACGAATGCTTCTTATCAGTGGGATCATCATGGCATCGAGTAGTGTGCCAAGCTTCAGTAGGCCGACGATGCCATTGCAATCGCGTCGAGGCCCAGAGTTGATATATGACTTTGCCGGAGGAGCAGATCGTCTGCCAGAGAGCTCCATCGCTTCGCAATTCGGCGTTCAACAACAGCAATGGTATCATTCAAGCGAGCTCGACTCGTGGCAGCGGGGGCGGAAGAGAGTAAGGGGAAAGAGATCTGGCTAGACAATGATGACCTGCGACCATTGAAGCTCAAGGACCGGACTTGGAACAGGACCACGTACTTTGTCTTTTGGTTCAGTGCTTCAGCTACAGTTAGCGGCTGGTGCGTGGAGAACGACAGACTCACATCACATCACCAGCGACGAGTTCACTGACGGGAGTGCAGGTATGGAGCGTCGGCAGCTCAAGCCTTGGGTCTTTCCATGTGGGAATCGTTGGCCTGCGCATTCGGCGGGAATTGCTTGATTGCGGTCATCATCACCCTCAACGGCAGAGCCGGTGCCGTCTACCACGTCGGGTTCCCCATTCTCAATAGGTCAGCCTTCGGTGTCTATGGAGCGTGGTGGCCGACTTTCAACCGCGCAGTCATGGCGATTGTAAGTGCCCCCATTGGTTTGCTTCCGCATTACCGGCTAGCCGTTTGCTGAGTGACAACGTAGGTCTGGAACGGGGTCAACGCTGTCCAGGGAGGACAATGCGTCTATGTCATGTTGCATGCCATCTTCCCCAGCATTGCGCATGTCAAAAACACCATGGGCACCGGCAGTGCTTTGACCTCGGCGGGAATGATCGGGTTCGCGGTCTTCTGGCTTGTCACATGCTTCTTCCTGGTCATACCGGTCCCGAAAATGAGGGCGCTGGTTTATGTCAAGTTGATCGTCTTCGTCATCTCGGCCGTTGCAATGCTGGGATGGACTGTCGGTAAGGCCGGAGGGCTCGGACCTGTAGCGAGCCAAGGTTCAACAATACATGGAAGTGAAAAGAGCTGGCTGGTGAGTCGGTTGTTCTTCAGTGACCGGCAGTATCTGTAAACACTGACGAGACGTGACATTAGATCGTTCGCTTCCTTATGCTGGGAGCTGCCAACGCCGCGACTTTTGCAAGCAACGCCAGTGACTTCCAACGGTACGCCCCTCGCCCCAAGGACCCCATTCTCGGTAATCTGGTTGGATTTCCCCTTGCGAATTTCCTGGTCTGCGTCATCGGCAATATAGTCGGCGCCTCCTCACAAGTCATCTTTGGAGAACTCATCTGGAACCCCATTGATTTCCTGGACAGGTTGCAAACAACAGACTACACACCGGCTAATCGAGCTGGGTGCTTCTTCATCGCGCTGATGTTTGTGTACTGTGCCATCTTCTCATCCATCTTCGAGAACTCTCTGCCAGCTGGAAACGACCTGGCTGCGCTCTTCCCCAGATACATCACGATCCGCAAGGGTTTCTTCATTTGCGCAGTTGTCTCTTTTGCGATCAATCCATGGTATCTGCTGGGCAGTGCATCAATTTTTGTGTCCTTCATGGCCTCGTATCAGATCTTTCTGTCCAGCATTACTGGCGTGTTGTTGTGCAACTATTACATCATCACTCGTGGTTATATGCACATCCCGGATCTGTTTACTGCGGACAAGAATGGAGCCTACCATTATACCAAGGGGTGGAATATTCGAGCGTACATTGCTTATGTGATTGGGTAAGTCTCGTCTTCCGGATGGCAAGCTCGCCGGATTCTGACGGTTTTCTAGCGTGGTCCCGAATTTTTACGGCTTCTTGAACAACATGGGTGTCGATGCGCCAATCGGTGTCACCAGGTTTTATTACTTTGCGTATTGGGTAGGGCTGGCCGTGTCTGGAGGGACCTATTGGGTATTGTGTAAGCTGTACCCGCCGCCCATCATGTACCGTAAAGGCTGGATGGAGGTGAGGAATTATGTTCGGCCAGAGGAAGAGGAGCAGGTGTTGGAAGGTCAGAGTTTTGATGTCGAAGCTCCGAGTCCGGGGTCGCAAGAGAAGAAGATCACACAGGAGACTGTCATGGATCTCAAGGCATAGACTTCAACTCGTATATCAGTCCTCCGCCCCGGGAGCGAGTGACTGTTCAAAACATGAAGAAGTGCCCGATCATGATTCGAGTGTAATGGAGTATTCATGTCTGGGGTCTCCACGAGATTCCTCATCGCTGCGGATGCCCTGAAATGGATCTACCTGATTTCTCTGCGCTGTCTTTCAACTTGCGAATGGAAGGACATTGCGGCATGAATTCGAGTGCCCACGGAGAAGTCGGTCTTTGCTCTCGCTGTAAGTTCCTTGAAATGGTATAGTCCAGAAACGAAGCCTGCCTTAATTGGTAGAAATATCTCGCCCCTCTTAGAACAGGACTGACGCACTGCAACATCTGCTTATCGGAGAGCAAGTTGCGTGTCAGACAATATAAAACGCGGAGTCAAATTATGATCATGAATGTCAGACACAATCCACTTTTCTCTGCATTCAACTCAAGAGGTCGCTGCTTTGGTTGACCTTGATAACCAGAGGCCGGCCAAGTCCTCTATTTCAGGCCGCTGTCTCCTTTTGTATTCCTCAGTAATTCGACACTACCCTAGCATTCGGTATACAAGTAATCCTCATCTTCATTGCGGGTTTTCGCTGGTTGTAGCTTGATAGAATTCTCGTTTCCTAGAACCAACCTTCGCAATACTCCTTTTCAACCCAACACACAGTCTAGACACCTTTGAGGCTTCTGTGGACATCTCCGACTTCACCTCTCGCCGTGGGATTACCAATCCATCTCTGCACACTGACTGCTGACGACGGTCACGAAAATCAACATCGCCTTCACCGCAGACATGACATTCACCGTGTCAGAAATCACAGACTTACGAATTTATCCTGTCAAATCATGCCGTGGAATATCCTTGAAAGCTGCAAATCTGACAAGACAGGGATTGGAATTTGACAGAAAATGGATGGTAAGCGCTGCTGCTGCAGGCTGCCTTTGTAGGTCAGTATTCGAGGCTGACTGAGTGCGTGTTGTGATAGTTCGTTGATGGCAAGCATCAATTCCTCACCATCAGGCAGAAGCCTCAGATGACATTGATCAACACAGCTGTCGACGAGGAATCAGGCAATCTTGTAATCACAATCGGTCATGATGTTGACAAGGAGGTTAGAGTGCCTCTTCGTCCAGACCAAGCATGGCTCGACGACAATACCGAAAAGGTCACGGTCGACATATGGGAACACCTTACCGATGGATACGCATATACTGATGCTAAGCTCAAGAAGATTTTCTCCGACTTTTTTGAGGAAGAGGCAAGTTTGGTGATGAAAGGTCCCCAGCCGCGAATGTGCGCGGGGAACGGAGATGCAAGGCTGCTTGGTCGCGAAGAGACTGTTAATTTTCCTGACGTTTTACCTGTTCAAATTGCATCTGATTCTTCACTTGCCGAGTTGAACTCCAGACTGCAAGCGAAAGGTGAAAAGGCGATCACCATCGAAAGGTTTCGGCCGAACATCATCATCAAAGGCGGTGAGCCATGGTCTGAGGACTCTTGGAAGACTATACGCATCAACGGAGATTCTTCTCTTCTTACCACGATCACTGGTGGGAATCGAAATGCTTTGGATGTTGATGTTGTCGCCAGATGTGCTCGGTGCACGGTTCCCAACGTGAATCCGGACACAGCTGAGAAGCATCCGAAACAACCATGGGACCTGCTGGTGAGCTACCGGAGAGTTGACGAGGGGATAAAGTTCAAGCCTTGCTTCGGAATGCTCTGTTGTCCGAGAAATGAGGGCAAGGTTGAGGTTGGCATGCGCTTCGAAGTCCTTGCTGAGACGAAGGATCACAAGTACCAAAAGGGGTTTTGAGATTTGTAGGGGAGAAGTGTGATGTGTCAATCTGCAGTGTACGTACTGTAATTATGGGGTGACGATTGGCGACAAACAGTAGGACTGCGGTAACATACAGTATTTCAGGAGCATACTCCGTACAATCAATTTACTCAACACGTGGTCGACGGATTCAGGAATGCACATGCCATTGGCGAGAAGGAAGTTCCATGGGTGTTTAATGCTAGCCTCGATATCCGTTAGACAGGTTAGCCATTGCGTAAGAGCTTGGCAAATGAGAGTGGCAGGTGTTATGTTCAGGGATGAGCTTTGTAAAGCTCGAGCTGAAGGGATCAGAGCTCGAAAACTGCGGAGAAGGATAGCTAGGAGCTTGGATGCGCGCACTGACACCAAACAACCTTCAGAGAAAGTATCTTTTTTGTTGACCTGGGTTAGAGCTCGGGAACGATAGCTTGCTGTGTGAGGGAGGGCTCGTATCATGATTGTGTAAATGCTGTGATGCAATCATCGAGCTCCATTTGGCTCCAAATAGGGTGATTGTCGCTGCAGCCGTTACATCAGCTTGCTTCTTAGACCTGTCGCGGGTAGCCGAGGAGGTCCGGCTGTCAGAACCAGAGAAGGAGACTCTGATGGACAACTTGGCGACAGTTCTCCTGCAGCAAAGGTGTTTGACAGCTCATGTGGAGTGAATGATCTGACGGGGTGGCAGTTACCGATGGCTGTGGGAGTGGATGGCAGGATGATGAGAGGCAAATGAATGGAAATGGTCTGGACATGTCAACACGTTCCCCCCGTGAAGCCAGCGCCCTACAGTACCTGATCCCAACATGGGCTGTGCTGAGAGAATGCTGTCCTTTATCCCGAGTACCCAAAAGGCGGCAGAATGGCAGCTACTGTTGGGCTGATCCACATAAGCTGTTTGTGCTTGGAGTGATTGGCGAGTGCCTGAATGCCCAAGCAAAGATAACGAACCAGTGAGGAGATGGATGAAGGTTGTCATGGATCGAAGCTCTTCTGAGAATGGACTGATTGAATCGAACATGGTTTGGTGGACGGAGGGTGGAAAGATACGTGGTGATGCTGACTCGCCCAAGGTACCTTACTTAGCCAGTAGCTAGTGCCTAAAACAAACAACGATAGGGCGGCCCGGGAGGGATGATGCAGCTGATGGAATAGGGCATCATCATAGGCGCAGCCTTAACTGAATACCCTAACTAGCCGTGTCTGTTTAAGCCCCTCACCAGCGAAGCTCTTGACTTCCGCACACACGCCTATTGCATTGACACACTTCCTTCCTTCTCTATACTCACCGACACCAGCACCGCAGTCAATCCTCTCCTCTCCCTCGTTCACTTATCCTACCAGCCGCAAACTGGTGTTGTACACCATCAATCCCTACTCTTAATCTAATTCTGATCCCCCTGTGTCTGGCCGGCCAAACCATGTAAAGCGCCCCATTACGTCGAACCCGGGATTTTCCTTTTCTCTCAGCCAAGCCTGTGTGCCAACCTGTCCGATCGATGCCGCCGTCCTTTGTCACTCTCTTCTGAGTTTGTCCTCCTGCGGTGCAGCGCAGTAGGCCATGCCACCCAAAGCTGCCCTTACGAGCTCGTTCCCATTGTCGACCGACGCGGAAAATGAGGTGGTTTGTCCTCTCACCAACCAAGATGGTTCGCAGTGCCGGAAGCGATGTATCGGAGTGCGTTTGAAGCCCCAATTGCATTGCGCGTGTTCCCCGAACAGCAAACTGAGTGTGAACCACAGGAAAAGCGATACCGATCGATGCAAGAACACATCAGACGCGCCCATCCCGACTACTACATCCCTAAACTGCCTGCCACGGAAGAGAGTTTCCAGTTGATGATCAGTACGCCGCCGTCACAACGCCCACAACAACCCGCCGCAGCACCCGCGCCCGCTCGAAAAGGCCTTTGTATGTTTGGGTACTTGACTATATGAATTTTGCACCATACTAAGACAATCAAACAGCGGATGCCAGTGACCAGGGTCCATTACTGGAACAAGTTGGAGCCGTCACCGGCCCTCCTTCAGGTCCTGCGAATGCCGCGGTCGCCCTGGCTCAACTCCACAATTGGGATTCGGATTTTGTGAGTATTTGGACCTTTGACATGGAAGATGACGAGTGATCCGTACAGCCTTGCTCATGACCTTCCCAGGATGTGTTCCCCGACTCCGACTACAAACGTGAAGGGTCGGGTGGCTTTGAACTGCCTTCTCTACGAGCGCAATTTAGCGAAGACACTCTCCCACCGTTCCAAACGTCGCGTACGCGCGAACTGTTACCTTCTATTCTACAATCTCCGGGTAGTCGGTACTCGTCGTTACCGCCGATCCAGCGCCGCGAGAAGATGCAGCGGTCGAAGAAGTCGTCCATGGGACAAAACGCACGCAAGGGCAAACATGAACGCGGAAAGTCTAGGGAGTTCTCAGCCAAGGACTTCACCAGGCGATTAAGCGTCGAAGGCCGAAAGGCCATGTCTGCGGAACCGCCGACGGCGGCTTGGGTGCAAGGCAAGAGATGGGAAGATCTGATCGAGGCAGCGACGACTGCTACCGAGGTGGATGATGATCGTGATCTCACTCCCGTAAGTCAGACGACATTTTTCGATTGTCCTCTGTTTACTTGCTGCTGTCAAGAGATCGAAATTCTGTAGATGTACCTACCCTCCCCATGATGGAAGACCAGCCCCCTGGAGGGAAGCGCCTGTCTTGTTGTATTATTTTTACTGTCACTACTACTACTTCTACTACTATTGTGTCTTGTCTACTACCTCAAAAATTAACGATCTACGACGACCGACCGGTCTTATGTTCTGATCCCCCGCACGCGCGAAAGGAAAGGGCCAAAAATGAAGAGGGCGCGCAAGACTTGCCCTTCCGTTCTCGGACAAGAGGATGACCTCGGTTGAGGGAACTGAGTCCGCCGGGTCGAGCGATTTCAGAGGACTCTCCGATCAAATCATCATCGATGGATGATTTTTTGTGGCGAGGAGCGCCGATGACACCCGAGACCCGGTATGGAGCCCAGCGCAACTGGAGTCGGCGACTTGAGTCCGCAGAATTATTCAAGGGCGAGGCAAAAGTGTGTGGGCGTTGTTTTGTGTACGCGGTACGGAGACTACTACTACTACTACTACTACGTCGGTGGTGCACAAGACTTGGTCCAACACGGCGCGCGCCATTTTATTTTTGCCCACAGATTTTCGCCGTCGGCCGGGATCAGACCACAAGAAAAAGTTGGTCGGAAATCAGATCTGGGGCGGTGCGCCGGACCAGGGGGGTCTGTGACGGGAAAAAGAAAAAAAAAGTTTATGCGCACCCAGTGTAATTAATGTGTACACCACCAACCTCGTCTATTTTTTTCGTTCTGCTTGGGTTAGATCCTCGATAATCAACTTGGCTAACAGGCGCTTGGCGTTGGGAACCACAGATGCCGCAGTCGCCAAACTTTCCGCCGTCGACAGCCACGAGTGCGATGCAGGCCACGACGACGGCTGCGCGTCGGTTGTCCGCCGCGGACGCCTCATGGTCCAGTGGTGGTGTCAACAAGCGATCGTCTCTGCCGCCGGGGTTCCGACCCCTCGGCCACGCTCTGCAGCACTCTTCAGCTGGCAAGTACTCGTACAATGCCTCTCCGCTGCAGCGAGCACTGACCCCCCCTCCTCCTGACATGCTGGGACCCAATGACGCCGAACCTTTTCCCTCTGTCGAGTCGGTGGAGAGCGCGGGATCGGGAGCAAAGATGCAACCCACGTCCACCATGTCATGGTCTCACCACGAGCAGACTAGTCCGCTGCAGCAGTATTCCCATGGGGGTTACCAACACTCACAGTCATCTTCGTTTGGCAGCAAATCGGAAGTGTTGGAGATTTACTGTGCATCTTGTGGTCGGCCCTGGCTGCTCAAAAATGCCTTTGCCTGCACCGAGTGCATCTGTGGCGTGTGCAGCGACTGTGTTGGACAGATCATCAGCAGCTCCCCAGCCCAGGTGACTGTCCAACCAGGAATCGCGCCGATGCGCCGCGGTTGCCCCCGCTGCGGAGTCATGGGCGGGAAATGGAAGCGATTTCAACTGGATTTTCGATAACCTTGTAGGTTCTGTACGAGTCTGTACTGATGATACTGTGCAGAGCGTATCAAAAATACCGGGTAGGGGACCAGGGTAGGGATGCGGGAGAGGGGGGAGAGAGGGGAGGGGGTGTCCTCTCTCCTACAGCAGTACGAGTACGATCCTCTCCTGTCCACTGTCTCCTGAATCGGAAGATGGAATAATGGAACGTGCCCAGCACTTTCCGGAACCGAAAGACTGACTGAGACATTTTATTGTTCTGTCAGCCGTAAAATTACCGCAAACACAAGAGACTCCGCCCTGCGCCGAGCCAACCGGACGCGCGCTCTATTGAGCCTTTGCCTTACGGAGTGTTAGATCATCATCTCTACAAGAGGTACTTCCGTACAGAGGCGGAGTTGGACGGGTGTGAAACTACTGTGCAGGTCCTGAATAATAGACCTGCATGAGAGATGGTAAAAAGTAGAAAGTGAGAGTTGATTAACCAAGCTAGGTACTCCGTAAGAGGGTGTGTGATGACTTTTGACTAGACCATGAGGGATGAGACATGGGAAAAAAGAATATCCTAGCGATAGGATAGTATTCCATACGAGGATAACTCCGTAGACTGGTAAGTTTTTTGTCCTCCCGTGAAAGAAAAAGAGTCACGTTAGGTTAGAGAGAGAGAGAGAGAGAGAGAGAGAGCCGGGGGGGGGGATGTGCAAGTGCAAGTGTGGCAGAGAGAAAAAGTAGATCCAAGTCGTAAGAAGACCAGTGGGAAGTAAGGTGGGAGGGAAAGAAGGAAAGGGATGGGAGAGGGAGGGAGGGAGGGAGGGATGGCCGGGATTATTGAGGGAAATAGTCCAATGGAAACTGTCCGCTTGTTGTTGCGCAATGGGAAGAGTGCGGGAAGGGAGAAAGGAAAAAAAAAAGACAAGACCAGGGGGGGAGGAGATTTAGTGGAGAGGTGTGATTGTCAAAAGACCGATTTCGATTGTCACAAGTACTCCGTACTGTATCAAGGAATTCTGTAAAAGGATAACAAGAGAGATGTTATCCTTACACTTACAGTGACGGGGTATTATCGTCACAGACAAGTGATGGTATATGTACTTTGTAACAGAAAAAATCATTCGAAATCCCATTTGATTGTCTTTTCCCATGGTAACTCGTCATCGTTCTTTTTGGCACACCCCACTACGGTGGTTTCTTGTACAGTAAGGTCAGTCGATCATCTTTGGTAATATTGCCGAGTACCGTACATACGGAGTACATAAATGAGGACAGTACATACGGAGTACTCTTACAGAGGTTAAAGTAAAAGTAACCCAAGTAAGGAGTAGTGTCCGTTATCCGGAGTCCGTACATACAGTAATCAGTCAGTGGTTGTGGGAGAAAAATAAAATGTGGTTCTTGACTCGTCTCTACGGAGTACAAAAAACTAGACTATTATTGTTTAATACCTTCCAAAAGGTGGACTCCGTTCTGTATTTGTATGTACTCCGTACTCCGTACATACTCCGTTTTGAAAAAACGCCACAGTCGAACTAACTCAACTTAAACTACTTTACTGTATGTACATGTACGGGAAGCGAGTATTAAACTCGTTTCATCACAGTATTTTCCTTTCTTCTTACTGTACGAGTTTAGTCATCGATGACCTTGTCGCCTTTTGGTTTAACAGAGTACAACAAGAGGCTCATCAAAAATGATGACCGTTCGGGTAAGAAGGACCTCGTTTGGGGGTTTTTTTTTACAATCTATTTGTGGGCGCACTTGGCCTTTTTTTTCTTCTCTTGGTCTTTTGCAGGGATTTGAGAAAAATGGGCATGTGTACAATCAATACATTAATGTACGGAGTAATAATCACTTTGACTCGAAGTTTTTGGGGTTATTGCGAACCTTTGGTCTCAAAAAACTGTGCTAGCATTTTCATCATGTGTTCGACTCTGATAACGTTCTTTGGAAAATGATAATCCCTGCTCGTGAAAAAAAGACCCCCCCCCTCCCCCAAGGTAACCAAGTTCCGCCCCCCGCGCGAATGTTTGTTGGGCTCTCGCATGTGGGATTATTGTACTTCCGTAGTTTTTGTGTTGTACAGTATGTTCGTTTATTAGTCCGGGGGGGGGAGGGGGGGATCCATTGTCAAAGGGAAAAAACAACCGACAAGGTGGCGATATGAATGAACTTACAAGTACGAGTTACGAGTAGAATGATCGATCCCTGGTCGTTGATGTGTTTTGGCTGCACTTGGCGGTACAAACTCATCAGTGTTACTGTGAGGGTCCCAGGTACGGAGTACCAATTTTACTGGATTGTATTAGATGTATTAGATGGATCGCCGATTGTGACCATTTTTGGTCCATTCTACGGAGTAATTTTCTGGTTCAAAATTCCGCCCATGTACATACGGAGAGGATCCATTACATTGCATTTACATATGATTGCTTTTTTTGGGCCATGATGATACTGTAATGATTTGCACGTGGGATGGAGTCATGTGTCTTGTCATGGGTTAACCAACGACGTTGTATGTGATAAGATGCCATGCCTTTGCTACCTAAAGTACTTGAGATACTTTGTACTCATCAGTAAGAAATCTTTGTGCGGCACAAGTCATGTACGAAATCGAGGCACTACTAAAACAGGTAAAAGGTGTAATGATGTACTTTTTGGCATATCAACTCACATACCATCGTATGCAATGCGCATGACACAAGCCACCAAGTCACAAAATACGAGTACGTGAGAGTGAGGATCTAGGGAGAGAGAACAAAAATTAAGGTCTCATGGTACATTGTCCCGAATACGTATCCCTCGAAACTGTTCAATCTGACCCGTCAATCATTAACCACCTCGGTCAATCCCAAAGAGAAAAAAACTCACACACAGAGAGAGTACGGAGTACGGAGTCTGGAGAAGAGAGAGAGAGAGAGAGAGAGAGAGATTTGTTCCTGTCTTTTTTCAAATGTGGACAACGTGGACACCGTTGAATGAAGTACTAGTTAAATCTACCAAGAAGCACAGACACCGACGAGACTATTTTATTTCTCGATATGGGTAGGCAGCAAGTATATCCGGAGTATACTCCAAAACCACCAAGAACTCCATACCAAAACAAAATAAAAAGACTCCATTATATCATACAACCAACAAGTGCCCGTCGTAAGCGTTCTGAATTATACCGTGCAGTGCAGGGTGCAGCGTAGTCTACTTGTTCTGTCTGGGTAAGGACGAAAAAAGGCCGAAATGGTGACTTGGGCGGGTGAACGATGCTGGGGTGAATTCACCTCGATGAAGCCCGGCTTGTGGCTCCAACAACGCACCTTCGGGGAGCGTGATGTGATCGTGCCCCAGGCGTAGTTTAACGTAGCAAACCGTTTATCCCCGTTGCATAGAACTTCTCTGCTCTGTGGATGTTGATTCGAAAATTTCGACGGGCGAGTTCACCAACAGACCATTTGGTCGATCTGAGGTGGCAATGGTAGCATGAGAGAGACATGTTTTGAACGGGAGGCTGGAGCCAAGTCACAAACTCTGGCTTAGATTCATCGTCGTTCTTCTGGAAAAGATTCGTCTATCCCTCGACTCGGGAGATACCCTCACGGATGTCCGTCAGTGAGCAACACGAGAAACCGTGCCCAGCGCCGCGGCCACTCAACCGTGTCCGGCGGCTGGCTTGACTACTGCACTACCGTCGACCGTTTCGATGTGACTGCAACCGTAATGAGCAACCTCCTCGTCGACACTGAGCGACCATCGATCTGGCCTGTGCAGACAAGACTGCCGAAGCCTCTTTGCGGAAACACGCTTCGTGAACATTTCGTCGAGGTGATCGAGGGAGCGGTTGAAACACACGGGGACGCAGAAGGAAGACAAAAAAGGAAAGGAAAAATGGAAGATTCCGAACCCTCCGTACAAGAGGCCAATCTTGACTCCGAGATCGATCTCATAGGGAAGGATGGCCGTCCACATGACGGCCTCTCTCGACGCCGTGAAGACGGCCACCGATCGGGCCTGAAAGCCGGAGCCGGGTCGACGGTGACTCGGAGATCATGGTCGAGGCGAGGGCGACCAAAACAAATGGCGAACAAAAAGCTGTAGATGATCGTGACCGCGATGGGGGAGCTTGCTGGCCACCAGGTTCTGCGGGATGGCCGTGCCGACCGAGGAGAAGATGAAGAGGCTCGCGACAAACCCACCGATACAAGGGAGAAGAACCTCGAGCGAAGGACCCGTGCATTGTTCATCTGACCATATGTTGTAATGGCCATGGACATCAACAGTCTAGCCCTTGTACCCCGAGACGTCGAATCACTCGTACTCCTTTTGTTATTTCTCATCGATTCGTGAAGCGTAGATGGTTTCTACATACTTCATGTCAGGAACAAATGTCTTCTGGATCTTCGAGGTCGATCACGATTGATGATGCGCGTTCGAGTGTGAGTGTGGTCCTCTTTGGTCGGCTATTCCACATACGGAGGTCTCTTTCCCACTCCTAGTGTGTGGAGCAAACCCAGGACCTTTTGTGCACCCAGACATCATGTCCTGACCGGCAGTCGGATTGTTGACAAGTCGAATGGTCCAGAGTCTATGGGTTGGTCCGATGTTAAACGGGAATCTCGAAACTGCCCTCCCCTTTGAAGGCCACTATTGTATGTCACGACTTTCTCTCCCGCAGAAGTCTGAATACAATGTTAGCCAACCAAACTATTCCTAATTTGTAAATGTCGGCCTTTCTAATCTGAACATGAACTGAGCGACAGATCTCTACTTCAAGTATTTCCGATATCACTCGAATACAAACTTTCCATGCCCCACGGAATACAGTACAGCACAGAGGCGGCCCCTAGGAAATCGGTCAAGTCCATCGACCCGAGGAGGACATGGATTATAAGGCAATCGTCATTCGGAAAGAACTACAACTGTGCAAGGAAAGCCACCAGAGCATCCCCGATGCTCTCGGCTCCTTTGGTCCACCCCAGCAGAGGACCGGCTAGGAAGACATCGTGGGGCGCGTCCGGAAGCACCCAGTGGGTGACCTGGTTGCCAGGTACGCGCTTGAACCTCTCGACGAATTCGACGTTGGTGTCGAGGATGAGTTCGGCACCGCCCGACTGCACGAAGAGCGGCGTCTGGGTAGCAAACGGATGCAAGCTCGGAGATAGATAGGGACCATCAAGAAGTAGGGGCGGGGGTGCAAAGACCCGGTAGCCCCAGGCGGTCATGCGTCCTTCTATGTAGTCGGTCTTTTGGTTCCGGTGGCCATCGACCGCCCGCGAGTCGGCTTCGAACGTGGTGTCGACCGAGGGTGAGAACAACAGGCACGCCTTGGGGGTGGCTCGGCCCAGGTCCACGAGGTAGCGCACGAGGCCGATGGCCAGGGTGCCACCCGAAGAGTCCCCTCCCACCACGATGCGGTGTGGAGGAATGTGCAGCTCGTCGACGAGATGCAGGTACGACGTCAGGGCATCCTGGAACGGCCCTGGCCACGGCGTCGGGTCATTCTTGTCGCCCGAGAGTCGGTATTGCATCCACAAGGAGCGCGCCCCCGGCCCCAAGCAGGTGTTCAGGAGATCCGCCCCAAATTTACTGTCCTCCGGACGGCCCGTCATCCACATGAAAGATCCACCGTGGAAGTACAGCGCCACGATGGCCTGGGACCCTTTCCCATTTCCCCCTTCGTCGACAGGGCCGGGCGGTTCAGGATACCAAATCGCACCGATCCTCTGTGGCTTCACCACCTCGTGGGACAGTGCGCCTCGGTATGATTCCGCAGAGGCCGGCTCCATGACCACCCATCGTCGGCCGAGCTTGCCAGGCGCCAGGCTTATCGACTGCATCCAGCCTATGTCGGTGACGACGCCGAACGCGGCCCTCATGACCCAGGTTCGGAGGGCCTGGCCGTGGCTCCAGTGTATGTTTGGACGCCGAAAACTTGGAATGTAGGAGAAGGAGAGGAAGACTGATCCTAGGAGGATTCTGGCGACACTGAACAAGACCCATAGAATGCTTCCAGGCCGGCTTGTACGCCAGCCTCTCGGGATAGCATCTTCCTCGGCTATCTAGCGTGCCATGTTGGTTTCGTTGGGTCGCGGATCACCCCAACCCTGATTGTCGATGTCCGTGACCTTTGCTATCCCGAACTGTGAAAGCTATACTCGTATTCCGTATCCACCACTTGTGACCTCGAGCGCTGACCGGTCGGCGTACGGATTTCCTGCAACAGGCGTAGTAGGCGAAGAAGCCCCCTGACCCTACAGGAAAGACTCCGAGAAACTCGGAGGGCCTCTCAACCAGGTTATATATAGAGCAATCTCTGGAAGTCACTACTGTAGTTGACAAGACTCGATCTCCCCACGCGGACCGGAAAGAGTCTAGGGCGGCACCACCCGATTCCTAAACAGGAGCGACGCGCGAGGCCCGCCAGATCAGGTTTCCGTGACGCAAGCACAGCGGGCATCAAAATCTCTCCTCGACCACAATGCCCGACGTTGTAGACACTGGTGGCCGAGAGGTTGCGTCGCCATCCTCGTCCTAGCTTTCGGAATAACGCCAACACTAGGTACACTTTACAGTACGGTCACAGACAAGCGTCACCCACGAACCACATCTCTCGATCACGACCAAAAGCCCACGAGGCGGTGGCCGTGGCCCAGCCAGGAAGGTTGCCGATTCCTGCGCCCTGATCAGCAAGCCGACATCTTCTCCTTTCGACCCAGGCGCGAAGAGCAGAGACAAGCAGGAGCTGGCGGTCAGACGCAGATGAAGCCACTCGACTTCATCCGCCACTGTGACTGATCAATCAGGCCATGGCTGCCTTGACTCTTCGTATTGATTCATTGTGATCCCCTGCAGAGAGGACTCTTTAAGCCTCATATAGCTCTGTTCTACCTGACCGATAGCGGTTGTCATTTCGTCCACATCTCTAGCACGTCCACTCTCTCGTCCGCTTTCACGGAGGAGGCTTGATCTAAAGACCTGCTTCATTCTGCTCCCGATACCTGATGAGCTCGCATCGCTATGACAAAATAGACAGACGCAGACAATGATATTTTCAAGCCAAAGAATGACCCAAAATCCAGCCAGGCCAGATACAAAATCCAGAATCATCATGTCATGCATATCCCATATCCGGCCCAAAACACACCAAAAAAAACCAGTCGTCATATGTAAAGTATTATATATGTTGCGAACCCACGTTCAACATGCAATGCATCGCAAGTGCAATGTACTTCCGTAGTCTGTGTCGGAACTGGCTGTCGTCGTATTCTCGATCAAGTCTTTCTTCAATCGTCCCATCTACCATCCCCGACAATGACAGGTACCCATTCTTGTCCAGGATAAGCAGTGGCACTCATGAGTACTTCCTCATCACTCTCGTACCCTTCAGCTTGACTTCCAGGTAATTCTGCAATGACTCCGCCACCGGATCGATCCTTTGTACTCGATCCGGTCTTTTTGTTCTTGTCACTTTCCATCAAACTCACACCTCTTTCGAGTCCATTTCCCGAAGCGGGTGTAGATGTCCTAACATTCGACCCGGATTCGATACTGATTGGCGTTTCACTCCTCGCACCACCACCACCACCACCACCTTCCACTCGCTCTCTCAAGGTCGAAGTCAAGTCAGGTCTGCTGCGTTTTTGTTCTTGCTCCTGCTGCTGCTGCTGTTGTTGCTCCTCATCCAATCCAGGTACAGTAATATTAAAAGGTCGCTCCTGTTCACTCTCATCCCTTGGAACACCACCGACAGGACTGATACGCTTACTACTGAACGTACCTAACCTGTCAACCAATCCCATACTGGCACTTCCCCTATTGTCAACGATAGCCCCACTCTGGGCGCGTCTCTCAGAATCCACATTCTCGTCGGACGGTCGCCGACCCAATCTCGGCGATCGTGATCGTTTATGTAGATCCATCACATGGGCTCTGCCGTCTCGAGGGCGAGAAGCCGATGGAGAAGCAGAGGTAGACGCAGAGGCACCACCGAAGGCAGGACTGGTCGTCCTCGCTACACCGACAGTGGGAGGACTTATCGCACCGCCTCTACTCTTCGTACCTGCACCTGCACTCGTGGAACCCGCATGACCTGGTCTCGGTGCTGGCGAAAAGCTCGAATCTCGTGGAGGAAACGTCTGAGCAGGTGCCGTGTGAGCCACATTAACACCACTGCCGTATCGGTGACCACCTTGGTTTGGAGTACCGCTTGTATCGATCCGTAACGGCGAAGGTCTTTCACGTTCACGTTCACGGTCGTAGAGCCCTTGATGTGCTGGTGTACCAGGGAGACTAGAATCATAGTTCGTAGGCCGTCCTCCGTATGGTTGCCGGGGCGGTGAGGCCGTATCCCTCTCATACGCAGCTGGAAATCGTTGCTGTTGGTGTTGATAGTCGCCTGGTCCAGGGTACGTTGACGTTGAGGGATATTGAAATTGTGCCGCAGGATCCTCGTCATAGGAGTATCCTTGCGCACCCGCCGAGCTTGGATATTGTGAATACGCTTGTGGCGAAATGAACGTCTGAGCACGGATTTGTTGCTCAAGATTCTGATTAGACAATCGTGTCCATGTAATCGAATCGACAGGTGCAGAGTTTGCTCTTGAAGAATCCTTGGTCCCGCCAGTCTTGAAGATTCGTCCACCAAAACCTGAAAAGCGCTTCTTCTTTCCACTTTCTGATGCTTGATTTGGCTCTTTGGGTTCGGGTGTTGTCAACATATCTCGCGACAACCTCTTGCCGGCGCTAGGATGCGATGGAACCTGTGTGAGATGACTAAACTGATCATGTTCACCGTATTGGCTGCTCCGTTTGGATGAGATACTATCGTGACGACTGTTGCGTCGGAAGAGACTGCCTCGTTTCTCTCTCTTCTGGGCGTGGCGATCCCTCTCGTCAGCGCGCGATTCCGAGCGGTCTGTTTTCTGGAGCTTGTTGCGTCCTTTACCTCCAAAAATACTGCCAAACATGCCTTTCTTGCCGCTCGCCGGTTGAGGTGTACGATTCTCTTGTGGTGTGGGTACTGGTGGCGGCGGCATTGACTGGCGTTGAGCTTGAGCGTACATGCTTTGCTGATTCGGCGGTTGTGAAGGAGGAGGCTCTTGTGCTTGCTCATATTGCGAGTGATCTCCATGCTCGGAACCAGGCCCCATATCGTAAGGATGATCAGGCGTGGGGCCTGGTTCATATTCATATTCATAGCCATGCTGATGCTGGTGTTGGTTGTCTTGGTCGTACGAACGGCGGTGATCGTCAATAGCTCCAACAACAGACAATCTGTTCGGTTGCTGATGCTGCTGTCCTGGTTGGACTCTGTACGAATTTTGTTGGCCAAGATGAGTGGAAACCCGCGCACCGGGCATTTGTTGACCACTAGCTTCGACTTGTACTGGACTTCGTCCAATTCGTGGTGCCGTGACAGGCTTTGGTGATCTGTATTCCTGGATATATGGCCCTGCAATACGAAACTCTCCATCGCCACCTTGTTCAATCTCTGTACTGACTGGTTGTCCATGCTCATGCTGGTACATCTCCCTCTGTTGCCGCAGCCTGTCCATTTCCTCTTGGGGTCGCCTTGCGCTTGGTAGAGGGCTTTCTGAGGAATACATACGTACTCTATCCATCGGCTCCTCGAGTTGGTCTTCCTGATGCTTGAGTGCGGGATGATTGCGCACGTTAGGATCGACTCCAAAAGGTCTCGAATAGGATCGCGATTGTCTTTGCCCAGTGACGGCAGTGGCTTGATCAACAACCTCATCAACACTCACTTGGGACATCTCTTTGTTCAGGGAAGTGTTGCTGAATGTTTGACTGACCGGGCTCATGGGTGCCGAAGGGCGCGATGGCGGTGAGTGGTGACCTTCGTAAATATCTTCGAGGCCTGAGAAGGAAAAGGGGCGATGATGCTGAGTTGGACGAGCGCTTACATCGCGTTCTCGATCATTCTCCTGTTCTGGGGTCATTTCAGGCTTCTCTTCTCCTGCCTGTGCCCGTCGAATAGCTTCAGCATCAACATCCATGTTCAAAGGCACGTACGGCTCATCAATCCCCGGTGGAGGTGTGTCGTTCCTAGGCGACTCGGGCTGATCAGTCAGAGGAGGCCTGGTCGGCAAAAGATCAGAGTCAGGGAGCGCTGATGCTTGTAATTGATCTCCTGGCTGCTTTTTCGTGTATTCGGTGTCGGATACCTCTTCTGCATCTGCAGGTGAAACACTAGCCCTTGAATGAGCTTGCGACGCAACTGATCCCGTGGCAGGACTGGCACTGGATATCGCAGAAACGATTGACCTTCGTTTATCTTCTGGAACATGCAGACTTGCGTCTCCGGACTGTGTGAGACCATGTGCTAGGCCGGCGACCGGACGAGGCGGGGCGAGTCCAGTAACAGGTGGTTCGTCGTTCATAGAAGTCGTATGACTCTCGTTGACAAGCTGATTCGCAATGCTTCGATGATGATGATGAGTTTCGACGGGAGAATGTTCAGTTGTTGGTCGTGTCACCTGGCTGATTGACCGGCTTGGACCACTTTCGTTCTCAGGCTCGTTCTCTCTCTGATCACTGTCCATGGCAGAAATCGCCGGACTCGTTGGACTTGCAGGAACTGCTTGGTCGATTGAAGCGTTTGCCAGTATCGGACCAGAGAACCAATCGGATGGTGATGCTGGTGAAGAAATTGTCAACGGTATTTGCGGTGGAGCTTCAACTGATGCCGAATTCTTCTGCACTGAGACACGACTCTCGCCGGCCGCTTCAGACTCAACCACGGAAAGCGACGACATGGGACCCGTAGATTTGCGCCGTTCCGACGACGATGTAGGACCCTAGAAGAGAAAAGCGTCAACAGACAGCTCAAGAAGAAAAGTCGAAAGAAAAGTTTCTCTTTTTCATTACTATATGGAACAGAAAATGCGAAAAGCATTGCTGAATGCTGAATGGAGCCAGGTTCTGGGTACCTCTTCGTAGAACTCCTTGCATTTCCACAATAGATGAAGCAGAAACTACCGAGTGACAGAAGAAGAGAAGAAAGAACAAGGAAATGAAATCGATCGACTAAGGTACCTTTTCTCCATGGCTGACATGGCGCATCTTCTCTTTCCCTTTGGCAAACAAGCCCTTTGCGGCGGTTCCTGCTTTCCCACCAAACTTTCCAGCTTTCAACATCAACCTCTTGCCGTCCTCTTGCATTTGTCTGGCCCCTGCAGAATCCGTTAAGATTCTTCTGGGGGATGGTTTGTAGGGTGTCGCTTCACTAGCATCCTGGGACACAAGCCCGTTCATCGCGAAAATCTCAGCGTGTTCCGGGTTCTGCATTGATAACAGCCAATCTTCTAGTTGTCCGTCAGAGCTAGCGTACGCGGCCCTAGTTTCACTGTAGGCTTTGATACGCGCTTGAGGGGAATCAAGGCTCATAATATCACGGAGGGACGCTGGTTCCGGTCCGGGAGCTTTGGCTGACAGGTCCGTTTGAGCGGGTCGAGCGTTAAACGGTTCGCTGGGAGTTGAGCGGTTAGGTGGTGAGTGTATCGGGCTCTGCAGTGTGCTTGCTTCCATCGGTTGAGGAGGTTGTACTGTATTGTTTGAGTCTTGCAAAGCAGCCGTTTTTAGACCAGGATCAGCATCCTCAATTGATCCACGCCAAGAAGTTCCTGCAGGGCCTGACGGCGGTGGCATTTCTGTTCTAATAGTATCTGGTGAAGTCGTCGACGGCGTTGTAGCGGCTTGCTTGGGTGTCACCGCTGTAGGAGTTTCTTCACTACCCGTCTCCCAAGAAAACCGTTGCTTGAGAAAAGGTCTAGGCTCAGATGAACCTTGAACGGTAGGCTGAGAAAGAATTCTGTCGAACATATCAGATTGCAAAGCCTGGGACCCTGTTTCGCGGACGGGATCTCGCTGCACATTATGCACAACATCATTTGACTGTTGTGGAGGTGCAAACTGAGAATCAGGAACAGTCTGAGATTCTGGTCTCCCCTGATCTTGCGGCTCTGTGTGAGGCCCTGACGGCGGTGTGGTGCCAGACTCTGTTTGTTGGGAAAGTCTGTCACTCAGAAGTGACTGCGATTTTGACCCATCAAAGTCTGGTTGTATGTTCTGAGCTGGTTGTTCCAGTCTTGACTCATTGATTTGCCCAGACAGCTGCTCAGAGGGCATTCTTGGATCCTGCTGGGAGTGATGGTCCATTGTTTGTTGTGATGGAGACACCGGTCGGGGAAACCCAGTCTTCATAGCTTGCGCCGTGGGTGGCGACAGTGCAGGGGATTGTCTCCCTGCCGAGGACTGACCAACCGTTGTGGCCGGATCTGCTAATGATGATTCAATTTCTGCGAGAGCCTGAGACCCATGAGGTGCGGTCGTGGTTGGTTCCAAAGCTCTCTCTATCGGTGTTGGGTCTGAACTTGCAGGTTTCATGGCACCAAGCCCATTGTCTTGCCCGGTCACTTCTCCATAATATGTTGAACTCTTCGGTGTCAAGCTCTTTTCAATTTCCTCTTCCAGCCGCTCATTATCGGCTGCAGTAGGAGATTCTTGATGCAACAACACACCAGGCACTTTTGGTCGCGGATTTGATGAGTCCGAGAAATTCCTACTCGTACGTAGAGGCGCTGGTACGTAATCGTCCTCAGGCTCCATGGGTTCAGCATCGCTGAGGTCCTCTCCTTTAGAAGGATCGGAGGAAGATGAGGGCTTGTCTGCAGGTAGTCTAGTGGCTTTGGGCGTATCCTGATTTTGAGACTGGTCTATCTCTGCTCCCAAAGAGTTGTCACCGATCTTCGACTCAGCCTTGCTATCCGTACTTGAATTGTCCCATTCATTCTCGCTTGATTCTTCGGAAGGGACTTCAGAGTCTTGTGTGCGTTCACTGAGTCTATGACCAGCGAGAGAATTAGCTAAAGCAGTCCCAGCAGAAGCGGCCGCAGCAAATGCTTTGCCTTTGATGCCACCGTCCTCGTCAGAACCATGAGCGGGGGCTCGTGCTGTAGGTACGCTATCAGTGCTGTCCAAACGTGGGGGCGCGAATGGTGGAGCGCTACAAGATATAGGATCTTCAGAAGAGCCCGCAGCCGCACCGTGAGCTGATGGGCCCGCACCAGTGGTTGAGCTAAACGACTGCCAGCCTCCAGGGATAGCAGGCCGAAAGCTCTCGTTTCGAGATTGAACCGGGGGGCGTATTTGTTCAATCACAGGTGACGTGACTTGAGAGCCAGCATTGCTTGGGGTGGATCTTCCTGACTGAGTCTCTAACTTTCCAGCCAAATCTCGAACAGTGCCCTTGGCTGGTGTTTCTGAGCGCTGTAGCGGCGAAGGTGCATATGGAGTGGCCGTCCCGCTGTCAGGAAAGCCAGCTTGCTGGTTGAATTGTTTTTTATGTGCCTGCCATTCTTGCCATTCATCAGATGTCGTACGTTCAGGATTCGGAATATCAATGTCAGTGATATTATCTTGTCCAGCAGGTGGTTCTGGGAGTTGCTTCTCTGTCGACGAGTTCTCCGCCGTATCGTCTGAAGCATCGTTCCCCCTTGTACGTTCAACAAATCCCTGCTGTGGCTGAATGGGGGTAGAATGTTCGACGCTCAATGGCCGCCTCGCTGGGCTGTTGTCTCTACTGGGAGGAGTAATATCCCTACGATAGCCGGTACGCACAGGCTTTGCCGAAGAGAAGTCACTATCCGGAGAGCGAGGTTCATATGCTTTGATGGTTGCTTCCGATGTCTGGCGTGAATGGCCATATGCCCCTTCAGCAACTGATGGGGCATTCGTCTGAAGGTTGTTTGTAGGCAAGTGCTGCGCCTGATGATGTGTAATGATGGGACTTATGTCCGACGTCGCATCGCTATTTGACCTGTCGATAGTGTTCGAAGCCGATGCAGGGGAGAATTCAGGTTGCCTTTCACTCTGTTCGAATGCTTGTTGGACCATGGATCTATAGCCAAGTGAGGTTTGATGATGTAAAGAATGCGGGTCGAGACTCTGCGAAGCATTCGAACTTTGAATCCGAGTGCCTTTTGCGGGCTCAAGTTGACCAGAAGCAGCTCCTTGGCTGTCGCCACCATCTGGATCGAGGTCCATGCCAAAACCAGACATTCTATTGATGGTTGGAAGATCGAAAGTTGGTCGGCCAAGATCTGGAGGGTTGTGCTCGAAGGCACGCTCACCAACGGAAACGTTACGGGAGATCGTAGACGCAGAAATCGGGTCAGGTCGGTCGGTATAATTTGAGACTGAAGAGGCGTCAGTGGGCTGTCTTGTAACACCAACGGTTGGTGTCTCCTCAGGCTGCTTAGAATCATTCGTTAAATCGGTTTCCGGTGAAGCAGACTTGTCTGCTTGGCCCACCACGTTGTCGAAGCCATACTCACTCTTTCTTTCTGGTACGGTGTCAAGAGTATTCGGCTTCAAGCGACGTGTATTATCGATCTCCTCGACTGGGACCTGTGCGACGGTGGTCGTGTAGGCTTTGGAGTCAGGAAGTGGAGGCGGCGTATCAACAGACTCGCTTCTAATTTGGCCTGTGGTCGAATCTATACTCGGACGCTGTAAAGACTCTTGCGATTGGCGTGCTTTCTCCTTCTCCTCTTCCATGCGCTTATAAATATCTGACGGTCGTACAAAGACCGGTATAGGCCTATTGTCATCAGGCTCGACTGCATCTGGACCTGGGGCGTTGGCTGGTTGACTTGGGCGCATGTAATCTAGTTGAGGAGGAGCTTGCTGTGTAAGGCTTTGCTTCCGAGGTGGAAATTGTCTGCTTGATGCTGTTGAACCTCGACTACCTGGTCTCATAGGGCTGTCGTGTCTCTGGTATGGATCAACGGGAGGAGGTCGATTGCTCGAACCAGACCTTCGTGATGGTGGATAATTTCCTGGTGCGGAGAAAGGTGCCTCTTCATATGGCTGGAAGTTACGCCCTCTCGAACCTGGCCGGAATCCTGGTGGCATCGGACCTTGTCCATGTGTATCGACTCGCAAAGGAGGGGGCCCATTATAGTTCGGGAACGGAATATCATCGTACTCATGCTGTGGCTCGGGGAAAGGTGATCTTTGCGTGGTAGGGTATGCTGACTCGAAAGCACCCGAGGAGAATGTCCGTCTATCATCGCCGCGATCAAAAGATAGCTGTCCACCACTTTGCGAAGGAGATGGATTGGTCACACTTCGATTCGAAGGGTGAATATTTGGCTGCTGTCCCCAAGCTGGGTGTCTAGGATTGCCCGCGGAAACGGGGATGGGCTCATCATATTCATCTTCATCTCCCCAATCGTCTCCGTCATAGCTAATTTTGTTTGCATTCTTCCACTTCTTTGTTACCGTTCTACCCACATTGGTTTTGAACGAGGAGTACTGGCTTGGTGCGGCCATGGTGAGATTGTCGGGGGTTCAAATTGAAGCAGCGTGCAATCTAGAACCGGCGCATTATTTGGCGCATTTCGTAGATGATGCGATTGATGACTGAAGATCAAGTGAGTCGTTCTCTTCAGCCAGGAGGCCAGTGACACCACACAGCAGGGAGTGTATGACCTGGGATCGATGCGCAAGCGGGAATAAGCAGATGGTGTAGTCTGTGAAGGGATGAGCGTGGAATGGTAAACGGCGCAGTGGAATGGAAGCCGAGTCCAGGAAAAGGGGCAGTAGACCGTGATGATGCCAGCTGTACGCGTGCAAAGCAAGAGTTTGAAGAATGAATGAGCGTAACAAAGACAACGGTGCGTGAACTTGCACGAGGAGGATGAACTAGTCACCTAAATTCAAGATTCTTGCCTGACGACGGCATTGAATTGCATTTTGATGCGATGCGCGTCATTTGCTGCGCCACATCACACACAGACCACGAAGGACGCATCTCATACAGACGGGGAGAGATACGAGGTAATTAGCTTCTTAGCTCATGATACACAATATTGAGGATGATGATATACCAGCAGTCCTTCCTAGGTGCATATGAGCTGAGTATACGGAGTACAGATATCTGAGCATCTGAGACCTAGTATCGACTCATATTCAGGTTCCAAGCTGTCGTGCATCTATTTGAAAGGCATCAAAGCCTTGCCAGCCTTACCGAGGCCCCGAGATACAAGCCCCGGAAGCCCAGAGTTGACGATACATTAGGCGGTTACCACGCCTAATGACCCTAGTGAGTCTAGGGCAACTCGGCTGTGCAGTAACTGGCACTAGGAGCCCTGATCTGTGTGGCTGATGCAACTGCAGACGATGGAAAGGTGGCGGCTCAAATCTGCCACCTTTCAACACTCCATGTTTCTGTTTCCGCCCTGACGCTTGTCGCTGCGACGCTTTCGGCTGCGCTGGGACTTTGAAACACCCTGCATCTGGACTTTATTAGATCTTCCCGACCGCAGCCACAACCAAAGCACTTTCTCCATACACGGCATTACACTCTTCGCGAATCTTTGTACATATCCTCCTCTGTTTCTCTGCGCCGAATTTGAAGAACAACTGGACCTGTATTACTATTGACTTCATAGAACGGCTCGGTCAGGCCCCTTACCGAGTACAATCAATCCGCCTTCAAGATATGCCCTTGCTCCTCCACTAATTCCACGAGTCCCGATATCGTTCCGCATTCCTCCTCCTTGCGCAGGCGCAAATATCTTCCTCTGAATCACAATGGTGTCCACGTCGATACAAGACCGGACGAATGAGTTCCGCACGATCCTAGCCCAAGCGCAGAAACGACAATCGGCCACAAAAGGAGGGCCTCAAAGGCAGTCGCTCCTCAGTGAAAGCCAGAAAAGAGAAGCAAATGGAACGCCGAATGGTCCTTCAAGGAGCTCTCGGTCCGAGTTCGCTCGCAATGCCGCCCAAATTGGCCGTGGCATTACGGCCACAATGGGAAAGTTGGAAAGACTCGCCCAGCTCGCGAAGAGAAAGGCCATCTTCGATGACCGGCCCGTGGAAATTTCTGAGTTGACATACGTTATCAAGCAAGATCTTGCTGGCCTCAATTCTCAGATTTCTGCGCTGCAACAACTGACGCAGTCGCAACATCCAACCGCCTCATTACCACGATCAGCAGACCAAGAAGGGCAGCATAACAAAAATGTCGTACTTCTACTTCAGAACAAAGTGACCGATGTCGCCGCGAATTTCAAGGATGTGTTGGAGGTCCGAACGAAAAACATCCAGGCATCAAGATCAAGGACTGAGAACTTCGTTTCATCAGTCTCAGCGCGTTCACAATCGCACTTGGACGAAACCCGATCGGAGTCACCGCTATATCAAAATGGAAGCCGGCAGAGGACGCCTCAAACTTCGACACAAGATCTTTTGAGTCTGGAGCCTTCAAGCACATCGACACTGATGCGTAATGGCCCCCAGTCAGACCATCAACTTTTACTCATGGAAGAAGCACAACCGGCAAACACGTACATTCAGGAACGAGGTCAAGCCATCGAAGCCATCGAACGCACAATCAACGAGTTGGGAGGAATTTTCGGGCAGCTTGCGAGTATGGTTTCGGAACAGGGCGAAATGCTTCAACGCATAGATGCAAACACCGAGGATGTAGTGGATAATGTTCAGGGAGCCCAGCGAGAACTTTTGAAGTATTGGAATCGAGTACAAGGAAACCGGTGGCTTGTAGCCAAAATGTTTGGTGTGCTGATGGTGAGTCAAAGTCTATCAATGAGCTATTCAAGTGCTAACGTTATTAGATTTTCTTTTTGTTATGGGTTCTGATATCTGGTTGAACTCCTACCACAGGCAAATGGAACGCGTGTGATCCACCAATTGTGTGCATGCCGTCCTGGGCGTGTTCGTCTGTCGTGCAAATTCACATCTCTGATGCCTTCCTGTCGAGAGATCTGTCACGCAGGAATATCAGTTATGTCTATGCGAAGACAGACGATGTCCATCCGGATAGCCCCGTATCTTAATCGCTGTCTTGCTCAACGTTAAGCAGACGTCCATGCTTACGAGGAATGTCGTAAGGAGAAATGCAGAGGGCATGGTGTCCGGCCTCTATGGACACAATCTTATCAAGGACGACCCAACAGCAGAATTTGGTGGGGATACGTGGAAGACTCAGGATGAGTAGGAGTTGTAGCAACCGCATTTCAGGCACCACAGGCATCTACTTGGTATTTCCTCACGGCAAGAAAGGGAGATCCGTTGAGAGGATGCAAGGATGGCATTCTTTTGTAAAGCCCTTCATCGAGGCTGTATTTGATTGTGTGGCATCTAATCTAACAGTATTAATCCGTGGGTATCGCTTAGCTATGATCGACTTTTCATGACCCAAATATCTTTATGTACATCCCAGTGTGAATCAGCCACCGGTCACAACCTCGTCGGAAGTCAATCATCGCTGAAGCTGGGATTGATTGCGTCGGGGGTGTACTAAAGGAGGATACTTCGATCGTGCCCATACGGAGGCTGCCATTTGAGGGGAATCAGTTCGGATGATGCTGCCAATGCCCATGAAGACACTGCCATCTCATCAGCTTGGGACATTATAGAATGAACTTGTTTGTGCATACCTGAATGTAGCGCCTGATCCGACAATGTATTTTCCCAATGTTCTCATCACGCCGGCCTGGCCTGCGCCGTACTGGAAGATGGTAACGGTGCCTGAGGTAGACTGTTAGTAGCGGCCTCTGCGCATTTTCACAAAGTGCATCGCATCATACCATAGATGAACCCCATTATTCCACCAACAGCTGCATTATGTTAGATTGCTTCATGTCTGGTGTCTTCATACGGTGACTGTGACAAACTCACTTCCTCCCATGAGGGCTCCCATTTTCACTGTCAATGGTCAGTCCACGTTCTCAACATGGCTATGCTGTGGTGTGCCTACACTTATCGAACCAAGTTGGGCCATGCCTCTGAGCAGAAGGTGGCATAGGAGGCATTTTGGCGGTTCCTTCTCAAGCTAGGCTTTACTGTACAGGCAATAGATGCACTTCCGTGCTTGACAGTAGTTGAAAGCAATGCGATATGAGGGCCTCAAGACAATCCAGAGACTCTCGCCGAATGGCCGATGCGCGCTTAGAATTCCATCTCCTCGTGGTTCTTAGCGCTTTCCTGTCAGACGTGAATGATCCTGGGGGATCGGAAGCATTTAATGAGTGTTGAAATTTGTCAGACATTCACCTTTTCACCCACAGCCGAGGCGCTAAGCCCGTTGCGTCTGGCGCGGGAGATGCTCCCTCAAGTGTCCATCTGAACATGTCCTGAAGAACACGAGTCGCATCTCACAGACAATTTCAAGAGGCCAAACAACCTGCCCGACCACAAGACGACTAACAAATGTGACCGACTTTCACATTCTGTCCTTCCACGACCATATTATCCTGATGCTCTCCGTCTTTTGATCCCCGGCCCCCGACTGGTTCTGCGGTAACCGCCTCCCGTCAGACTCCCGACTTCTCCAGCACTGAACGCAAGAAGTCGAATATCTCCAGGATCTTATCAAGATTGATCCGTGAACGACCTCATTCAAGTCAGCATCGACTTCTGCATCTGTCTCGGAACTCTTAGCCTGTCGCACCTCTACGAAATCGATTGACGCAATTCAATCCTCAGATCGGCTACGATTTTCGAGTCCTTGAAACCCACCACATGACGGCTTCAAACAACACAAGTCCTTTGTTGCGTCTGTACCTAAGCCCTTGTTGTCTCTTTGCTCTGTCTAGACAATCTTGTTGAAGAGGAGGACCAGATCGAGTTATCTTTCGGCCATTGCATCCTCCGCCCCCATACTTTCCTCATGACGACCGCGGTGGCATCACCACCGAACTTCCAGAACATATCTAGGCTGAATTGGAATGGTGCAGGCAACACCGGAGGAGGGTTTTCTGCCATGAGCACGGACGAAGTATCCCGAATCTTCATGCCCCAGCGCAAAACCGTCCATCGAAGTAGTTCATCTTCATCCCTTTCGTCCACAAGCTCGACCGGCTCCACTGTGACTCTGACACAAAATGATCTCAACGCTGAGCAAGGACATGGGGCGAAGAAGAAAGCAAGAGGAGGGTTTTGGCCTGTCAGCAAAGCCGACCCTACTTCCAGTATTTCGACCGCCCGCGCAAACGGATCTTTACAAGCGGCTATAGGAAACTCTCTTGGCGGTAAAAACGCAGTACAACCGGCTCTACCGAGTCAAAATGCAGTCGGTCAAGCCAACGGGATGCGGGTGGTCAACGGACCATCTGCCGCAGAGCCTGCCGCAATATTGGCGCTCCTGCCGATGAATGGTACTTTCGAAAGAAAACAGATCAATCTCCCATTCTTCCCAGAGGTGCTCCGAATTGGTCGTCAAACAAATGCCAAAACCGTCCCCACGCCGGTCAATGGTTACTTCGACTCAAAAGTGTTATCACGACAACATGCCGAGGTCTGGGCCGACCGGAACGGAAAGGTTTGGATCAGGGATGTCAAGTCTTCAAACGGCACATTTGTCAATGGCCAGCGACTATCACCTGAAAATCGGGAGTCTGAGCCGCACGAGCTTCGCCAACACGACACTTTGGAACTGGGCATTGATATTGTGAGCGAAGATCAAAAGACCATTGTCCATCACAAGGTGTCCGCCAAGGTCGAATATGTTGGTCTGCCCGGGACCACCAGCAACGTTCTGGACCTAAGTTTCGGTGACCTGGACCCATCTCACCCACTTTTACCATCACCTGTTAGCTCACCAATGAGCCGTGGCAGACCTGGTGCACAGATCTCTAATGGACGTATAACCGCACCACCAAGTGTTGCTGGAAGTCAGATGAGTTCCGCCGCCCAGCAACGGCAGATGAACTTTTGGGGAGCACCTTTGAATGTTGAGCAATTGGTTAAGTCTCTGTCGGTAAGTGAATATTGACGAAAGGTTGGAAAAGGTATCTAACAAGATTAGCATGAAATGCGAGCGGCACGAGAACAAGCCGAAGAGCTTCAACAAACGAATACATTCCTACATTCATTAATCACCCCAGCAGGTGACATTCCTCCAAAGGCTCTGCCACCTATAAAGGAACCAGGGTCACAGAAACAGTCCAATGGAAGGTCGAAAACTTCCAAGATAGACCACTTGGCCCGTTTTGCTGACCCTCCAGCTCCTCCACCACAGCAGCCTCTGCCAGAGAAACCAGACTCGGCCAAAGCAAGTCCAGTCACTACATCATTTACTAATCTCTTGAAACGGTCCGATACGGCCAAACCACCCACCAATACCGCTCATTCTCCCACAAACACTCAAAACAGTCAGATGTTGTCGTTGATCGAGGCTTTATCGATTGCCAAAAAAGAGCTTGATTCGCAAGGGGCTAAGGTCAAACAACTAGAAGACATGCTTAAACAAGAACGAGTTGCACGAGAAGAGGCCGAGGAAAGGGCACGAAAACTGGAGCTTCATGCTACAGCACGACCTGTAGCAGTGGTAAAAGAGGAGGCAGAGCCGGAAGTGGATTCAACTTCTCTAGATGCCAGAGCTCCTGAAACGACAATAACGACCAATGCAGACGGAGCCGCCGACGATAAGGCGAAAGCTCTTCAACAGCACCTAGACCAAGTGCTCGGGGATATGCAAAGACTAAAATCTGACGTCGATCAGTACCAGCGGCGTGCCGAGACAGCGGAAGCTGATGCAGCCAGCGCAAGACAAAGCCTCGCCGAAATGATTGAAAAGCTGCGGCAAGAGAACGACGAAGCTGACGAATCAACTCGAAAATTCACCAAACGACAGACAGTGGATGGCGAGGATGCTCGCGACCATTCCCCAACCGACCAGGGTGGCGCAGCTCGGACCCAGTCCCTTATCAAGAAGCTGCCGTATGCTAATGGACATGTACGAACTCCAAGGCTACCTGAGCAGCTTGAGCATGCAGTCGCCACAGTCCTTCAAGAGAAGAACAGCAATGGTGAATCGCTTGCTCAGTCGGCGCCGTACGTGTCCATGTTAGGGGTTGTTCTGATAGGGGTGGGTTTAATGGCATATCTGAACTCCTGGCAGAAAGGGGAAAGATGACGCATCATATGCCGAACCGAAACGATTTCCCTTCGTTGCACATAATACCTTTTTTCTTTTTCTTGGTTGGGACGGTTGGTGACGAACGTCGATGCAGCATTTAGCTTGTCACTCGTTATTTGCAAGCGTTGCATTACAAGAGGCGTTCATAACATCTGGGGCGGTCACAGTGCTTTTCCTAGGGTGGCGTCAGGGGTTGCTGCACAGAGTTTTGGTTGTTGGACCAAGCGTCGAGAAATGGCTTGGAGTTTGAGCAGCGTACTTGTAACGCGAACCATACCGAACGGTAACTCATGACGGCTGAAGATCGAATTGGTACGCACACAAGACGCTTTTTGGTATATACGTCCAGGTCAAATCTGTTTTCTGTCAATGCCGGAGTGTGTCTTGATACATCTGGTCTGCCATGGAAACATAACATACACACTCTGCCGACGACCATGGTGGAAGATCTGGAAAGGGCAGATGTTCTTCTCAGTACGAAACATTCAATATGAGCAACACCATCCATTTTGTTCTCTTTCGGTCTGTTTCTGGGCAGCCTCTCGTATTCGTATCCAGTAATGTTGCGTGGTTGTGTTCACATAGAATAAGTATAGGGATGTTGAACTCCCCCTCGGGCAGTCGAACTCACCGGCATGTCGCGGAAAGAATATGGAGTCAATCCTTGTAGGGGTTGACAATGTGTTTATCATAAAAAGATGCCCGTATCTAAGATGTACTCTGTTGCCATATTTTCTTTTCCAGGATGAAAGAGCCCCCCACCCATATCTTACAGTACTCGTTACTGTACGATGAGGTATCTTGTGTAGTCCACTTTTTTTTGGTTTTGTTTATTTTGTACAAAGGACTTGTTTTTGGTGATGAGAAAAAAAAGGGCCAAGGTATGTATTTTGTCGGGTTTGCGGGCCGCGGGATCATCGTCAATCTGACAACTGGACATGATGACATGCCAATCAATGCCTTTCGCGTCATTTTTTGTGTCTTGTGCAGGGGATAATACTGTATCATCCACAGCCAAAAAGTAGTAGCGGCGACGGCGGCAATATCCATCCGGCCGAGAAACTTACGAAGAAACTTGTCCTCTCCTCCGCCCCGATAACATCACGAGGACTCTTTTTTATTGAGAACGATCGGATCCTAGGTACCTAAGGGGAAAAAAAAGTCTGACTCACGTACGGAGTCCCTCACCAAATAGTTAGTCTACTGGGCCAAGTATGTATGTATGATTGGGTTCCCGAAATCCGAGATCTGATGTAACTGGGCTTTGAATACCAAGAGCACACTCATCTAGGGTAATACGGATTCATTTGGTTCTTTTTTTGATACCTTCCAGCCGGTCTTTTTGTATATCTCAATGTATACCTAGTACATTAAACTGTATGATGATTTGAGAATACCTTTTGTATCATCTTTGACATTTGAACTCCGTATACGCTGTATACACCGGACTCCGTACGAGTTACCAACTTGTTCATCTATGATATGGACTCGCAGAAGATCCTCCGTGGCGGTCGCATGGTATCGTCAATTTATCAATCTACAAAAAGGACCAAACCGGTGGCTGTTGCTGCTGCTGCTGGTGGTTGGAGAATGAGTGTTGTTTTACAACAACAACAAGAAGATTGTTATTGTGGTCGTCGTCACCACCACCACTCCCATCATCGTCATCGTCCCAGCGGGTCTGGAATCACAACAGTGGACGTCAGTCACATTAGATCTCAATCGACACCGACACGGGTCCCTGGTGCGAGTACGAGTGTCGGTTCTAGACTTATCCGACCTCAAACCGTGACTGTGGGCGTGAGACAATATTTTACTGCCGCGGACACGAACGCCGTCACACAACCAGAAAACGAAGGAGGTGTTGACAAAGACGACAAGAGAGAGAAAGTTGTGATATTGGGTAGTGGATGGGCTGGTGTGTTTTTTCCCTCTCCTCTATTCCCCCCCCCCTTTTTTCCCCCCGTTCTTCAAGTGCGTTTCTGTACTCTTGAAAAGGAACTTACATGCTCATTTATTATAACTTACATCCAGGTTTTGTTTTGGCACATCGCCTCGACCCCAAAAAATATCGTGTCCTCGTGGTTTCTCCCCGTTCGTACTTTGTCTTCACTCCGTTGTTGAACGACTCGGCCGTCGGTACCCTCGAACCACGCAACGTCCTGGAATCGGTGCGCGGGCGTGAATCTTCGGTCGATTACATCCAAGCCTGGGCCGACGACCTGGACTTTTCAAACAAGACCGTCACGGTGGAACCGTCCGTGTTGGACCCTGACGTCGGCCACGCCCTGACGGGCCCGCGCGAGCACAACGAACAAAAGACGCCCGTGGGATTTTTTCGAGAGTCAGACTTTGATAAATCATCACCAAAGCAGCCGTCGTTCCGACTCGGCGGGACGGGGAAACATCAGGTGCCCACGTTCCCCATCAACTACGACAAACTCGTCATCGCGGTCGGGACGTACAGTCAGACGTTTGGGACTCCAGGGGTCCGAGAGAACGCGTACTTCCAAAAGGACGTGGGAGACGCGAGGGCCATCCGTAAACGGATCCTGGAACTTTTCGAACTGGCCCGTCTTCCCAACATCCCCGAGGAGACCAAACGGTGTCTTTTGCATTTCGCCATCGTCGGCGGGGGCCCCACCGGGATGGAGTTCGCGGCTTGCCTGTCCGATCTCATCCGCCAGGACCTGTCCAAGATCCACCCCGGGTTGATGAAGTACATCCGGATCAGCCTGTACGATGTGGCCCCGAAAGTGTTGCCCATGTTCGACGCCGCCCTGGCCGATTACGCCGTGAAGCAATACAAGCGGCAGAACATCGACATCAAAACGAGTCACCACGTCGAAGAGCTCCGGCGCGGGTTCCCCGACGACGAGGAGGCGAGACAGAACCAAGACAGGCAACCGAAAGGGAGAGTGTATACGATTCGGACAAAGGAGGAAGGGGACGTGGGGATTGGCATGTGCGTGTGGAGCACGGGCAACATGAACAACCCCATGGTCGCAAAGGCGTTGCACAACGTCCGCAAATATCCCGTTCAAAGTGCCGTGATGACGACCCCTCGGGAAGGTGCTGGAGAGGACATGGAGAATCCGACTGAACAGCAGTGGATGATCACGCGAGATCCCAAGACCGGCGTGTTGTTGGTTGACGATCATTTTCGAGTGAACCTGAACACACAAACTGCCGGTGACGGTGAAGGACGTGGTGGTGGTGAGGCGAAAAAAGCGACCGCCGCCAAAGCGTACATGAAGGATGTCTTTGCCTTGGGAGACACGGCCAAGTTGATCTCTGGTCCATTGCCCGCCACGGCGCAAGTTGCGAACCAAGAGGCCCTGTGGTTGGGTAAGATGTTGAACAAGTTCGACACCGCCGAGGAATTCGGCGAGGCAAAAGGCTTCACGTTCAGAAACCTCGGCGTGTTCACCTACGTCGGAGGCGCGAAGGCCGTTCTACAGGGACCCAATACAGACCGAGAGGGTGTCACGAAGGGCTTGAAAGGGTGGATCGCCTTTCTGGTCTGGAGAGGTGCGTACTTGACCATGACCTTGAGCTGGAGGAACAAATTCCTCGTTCCCATCCAGTGGTTGGCGGTCAGAGTGTTTGGTCGGGACATTTCGAGGTTCTAAAGATGGTGGTGCTCGGTCGGCTTGATGCGAGAGGAAACATGACGCAGGGGACCAGTCATTCTCTGTTTTCACTGTACAGTACATCTCACTTTTAAAACATGAAGCTTTTGTGGTATTCTGAACCAGAACCAATGTCTGGTGAACCATGATTGGCCAGCCTCGTAGTCCCTGCCTCCAACCCCCATAATGCCCCTTTTCGGGTTGCCCAACAACCCCTCACTGAATCGAGGACTTGCTTTTCTTTCTTTTCCTACTCACCAAGAAACATTTTCTTGGGGATTCTTACGGAGTGACTCGTTACGGTCAAGTTGTATTTTGAGACATCCCTATTGGTACTCGGCTCTGGGCCGTATAGGTAGTGTATTATCGCCGATGGTCGGTCTTTCTAATCGTGTGGTTATAACTCCGTGTGCACCCGCCACCACAATATATAAAATGATCGCATGGACCGCACACTTCCTCGTCTGGAGTTGTGTTCGACACAAGGTCTTTGTGACTCCGCTCTTTAATAAATCCCAAGTCAAATACATCTGTTATTCATTCAGTAGTATATATCCCAATTTGATCACACGATTCATTGATCTTGATTGATCATTCCAACCGAGAGTAGCGATATTCTTTCGGTCTTTGAAAAGTTGCAAAACAATGCCACCACCAACGCGTGCCCAACTCCTGGCCACGGTCGACAGGTTCTTCGACGCGTACAAAGTTTTTACAATGGACGCCATCCTCGCCGTCCGAAGTCCGACTTGCATCCACCACACTGGTCCCAAATCTCACGGAGACATGCACTTGAACAACACCCAATTCGTGGAGTTTATGGGTCCCATGCTCGGCGTCTTTCGAAACTTCAAGTTGTTCGTCGCCGACGAGAAAGAAACCATGGTCGACGTCGAAAAACGCAAAGTCTTTTTGCACCTGCAGTGCCACGCGGAGACGGACGCGGGCCCCTACGAGAACGATTACCATTGGATCTTGACAATGAACGAGACCGGGGATTTGATCGACGACATAATCGAATGGGTCGACAGTGCGTACCTGAATGACTTTATTGCGAGACAGGAGAGTAGCAAGAAGCAGTCGGCAGAAGCGACGACGTCGTAGGGGTTTCGATGCTGCCACGAGGGAGGGACGGTAGTGCGACGAGTTTGATACTCGGAGGTTGTTGTTATCACTTGGGGGGCCTGTATTTATTGGCAATGAGGAGCCGAGTAGGTGGTCGTGGTTGAACCCTGTATACAAACCCGTTGAAATGGACAATGGGCGAGTTTTGGGATGTCAGTGGCATTCTTTCTGTCTTGGAAGAAAAGAATGAGGGCAAATGGTGGAAAGTGTGAACGAGGTTGCCTTCCCAAACTCTCGTGAAAGGTGCAAAGTCTTTCTGAATTCCTTCTGCAGGCAGCAACTCATAAGTGCGAAACTTCACTTCACTGCACGCCAAAAGATGGCCATGTATTTCTGCCTCGTTCTGATTATCTCTGTGCGTTTCTGATTTCGTCTTGTCAACACACCATCTCACTTCATCCTCAAGTCGACTTGGCTCTCACTCCTGCGCGCAGGACAACCAATACCTTATGAATCCCTCACCTGACGAAAGAAGCACGGTAGTGCCGACCGACAGCACCGTCCTTGAGAACACCACACAACAACATATCCATGACATTGAAGGAGATCAAATTTACGTTTGTTCTTCGCCACACCCAGACGTTGCACTCGAAGCTCATCCTTTCATATTGGCTTCCGAGGACTCTGAATACCAATCAGAACTACCTGAGCTCGAATCTGACGACGAAGAGATGCCAGGCCAGTCCGGTCCAACCTTCCTCACCCTACCTCTCGAAATAAGAACAGAGATCTACCGCTACTTCAGTAACCCAGAGTGCGAGGCTGTGCGCAAGACCAGAGATTCACTGTTGATGCTCTCTCGCCGAGTGTCAATCGAATGCTCACCTATGTTCTTTCGCGAGATGACGTTCAGAATGCACAGCAAAGTTTGGCGGGGGGCCAACGTGAAAGATTTCGAAGAAGAATTTCTGGAGCATTTGCCAGCATACAAGTTGCATAACATTCGCAAGCTGATATATTATACTGATGGGGCCCTGCCCTTCGGCACTAGTCACAATTCTCGTCACTTGAGGGTCCTCCGGCGCATCTTACTCAAGTACAATGGTCTTTTCAAGTCTCTGGAAGAGATCGCAATCGCAACGGCACATCGACTCGACTTCGAAGAATTGCCCGAAGGCATTGATCCGTTGAATGATGGCGACGCCGACAAGATGTGGAGACATATTTGCCTGTTGGAACCAAGTTGGAAGGCAGCTGAAGATGGTCTCATCCAAAACAATTGCCTATTGCAAGACTGGCAGATCAAGAGGGAAATGGCCACAGACGGCAATTATGTTTACACTGAATTCGTTCCTCCTGATGAACTGGGAATTGTTGAAAGAGTATTCTTTAAAAGGCCAGAAGTTTTTTTTCATCAGGAGCACCTACAGCAGACCCAACAACGGCCAGACATCTACCTCATGAGGACCGGTTCGGACCGCAACAGCCGAAATCATCTAAATGAGTTGTCAGGGACCGGAACCTAGAGACTCTGAATGTGCCAAAGAGATATCTGGACGACTGGTGATTGAAATGACGAGACTTTCGGCAAGTCAGAGATACGCTGATGGTCTGGAATGATTTACTGTTGAGCTGAAGAGAAAAGACGAGATTTTGATCCAATGAAAGGCGTATGGAAGGATCCAAGACGTGGTGATTGCTTATCGTTTACACCACAAAGGTGAACAATTGAACCACAACTGCTGTCGGTAACCGGGCTTTCTGGAAGACATACAGAAAATGCAAGATATTCTCTTCATCATCTCTTCCGATCCACGATTTTGATAGATTTCGTGTGGCGCAGGGGTGGTCTTGTTCGTTCTGGCATTTGCTCGTACCGATCTCGTCCAAAGTGAAGGGGACCCATGGTAATCATGCCGTGCCTTGTCTGGATACTGTCGAGGCAATGCGCTTAGAGTACCACTTGTCCTCGGGCTTTGCACGTAGTCAAAATTCATGATGGTAACATCATAGAGTCGTAGACTGGGTGGGGAATCCATTGGTTCCTGCACGCGCTGGTAGTCTCAGCATCCTTACTCGGACTGTATCGTTATAGCGAAGTTATATTCCCGACCTGGAAACCTCCATGGTATGAGTAATTCGTCCTTTTCTCAATGCTGGTACAAATGCTCCGCGTCCTCCAATAAATTCCGTCCCTGGCAAAGGGGTCTAGTTAGTTAGATGATGGGATCCGCCGAGAGAGAGAGAGAGACAAAAGCTCAAACCCGTACCATGAGCGCTCGTGACCAAGTCAACATTGAATCACTCACATCTGCGCCACCATCCGAATTGACAGTTGGGCAATTTGGGTGCGTAAATTTTATCATACCGAAACGGCCTCTTCTGACATGGGCTCGGTTTGTGGTTGGGTCAGACGGGATCGCCATTCATTCTCTCTGCCTCCCCACGGATATTGATTTGTGAAATGTTTCGTGGGATGCGAAATATAAGTTCTGAAGTTGCTGTTTGTAGAAACAGTAAAAAAAAGGGGGAAGATTTAGTCTTCCTTCAGGTTCGACGAGATGGCGCGAGGAAGGGGCCCCGGCTGTCGCGCGGCCTTGTATGTCACTTTCCAACTTTGCAGAGGGACCTCTTCGACTCGGTCGAGCCGCCGTCGGATGTTGAAGTCACAGAGAACCCATACGTTCTTGCGCTCCGAGGTGTCGAAGTCGGAGGGAAGGTGTATGAAGTCGGTGGTATAAGTGAACGGCCTCCCCAGGTGACGAATTGCAAAGTCATTTGCGACCTTTTTGGCACGCTCGGTGGGTTGCGTGGGTACGTCGAGGGTCTGATAGCGAAGGGCAACTCGCAGTTCACCTTCTGGGCACACCCGTTCGGACATTGCGCCATATGAGCACCGTGGCGAGAAAGGAGGACAGAATGCGTCGGTTACCGTACGGAGAGGTTGGGTGAGGGTAGCCCGCCGAGGTTACACAAGACGTCACCGGGGGGGTGGGGGGTCAGTCCCTTTCTCGGAGTTTCCCTAGACTCGAGAACTCCTCTCCAGGGAATACCTCCGGACGATCTACGACCTATCGTTCTCTCATCAGGGGTCAGGTGTTACTTCCGTCCCACTGTAAACTACAGCTCAAAATTTCAGAGTAAAGCCGATGCAAAACTTCGCGGCGGGAAAACATGTCCCTGCTTCATCGACACGATCGTGGCCCCGTACAAGTAGGGCAGCGTCCTAGCACTTATTTCACGACGATTGTATCTTTGGCTACAGTCAACCTCAAGGTTGGTATTCAGCCAACATACCCTTGACACGGTGATGATGGCCGACATACAGTCAGAGTCAGGGCGGCGAATGACCGCCGCAACTTTTACATTCTCCGTCATGATCTTCATCTGGATATCGGACGCGTTCACGTGGAGGTGGACATGTCGCATTGTTTTGGATGGCTTGTTGGCTTCTTCGTATGTCCGGGTCGTAGTAGTGGCCACATCCTCTTACGTGCACATGAGCGTCCTCACACATATCGCAAAGACGGTATGACATTCAGCGTAAGAAGATGAGATCGGTCTGGTAATGGTCGTTGCGTAAATCGATAAAGAGTCAATTAGCGAAAAAAAGAATGTAAGACAATGTCGGAAATACTGACCTGCCAAAAGAAGGAATAATTTATAAAAAGCCAAAAGGACAAAAGGATGACAAGGATATCTCGTCCGTGGTGCTGGTGGAGATGTCCTTTTATCAGCACCTATGGACTTTTTATCGGAGCGGGGTAGGGTGTTTGATCAGGACATGTTGTGTACAAGGTATAGGTAGGGTATATGTGTCAATCTGTAAGGAACAAGGAGGAGTTCTTTGAGAAGCACACCAGCATATGCACCGTTAGGAACTCGTGAGACCTCTTCAAAAAGATCTTCTCTTTACAGTATAAGTATCACATTGCGTGCCAAAATCATCACCATGGGTTGGGAAGAGATCGCTGCCGATAAGAGGAAACGCATCGAAGAATCGATCCCAAAAGAATGGCGGGTCCAAGTCAAGGATCAGGATGGTTCATTCATGGACATACCAGCCAGCAGTGGCCTATTGACTGCCGATGAGCTCAACATTACCAATTCATCGGGGGTCGACCTCGTGTCGAAACTGGCTGCAGGACAGTTGAAGTCTGTGGATGTGACGTTGGCCTTTTGCAAACGTGCCGCTCTGGCACATCAAGCCGTGAGTAACGACAAGGTGTCCTCGTGTTTTGTCGTTTTCGCAAAGAAGTATCAGCACTGACGAAAAAATAACCAGCTTAATCTTGCTCTGGAGTTCTTCCCAGAAATGGCTCTCGCCCAGGCCAAAGAGCTGGACAAGTATTACGAGGAGCACAAGAAGCCAGTCGGTCCTCTACATGGCTTGCCAATCTCCTTGAAAGACCAGCTCAGAGTCAAGGGGCTCGAGACGTCGATGGGTTACGTTGCTTGGCTTGGCAAATTCGATCGAGAGGATTCCGTGCTGACAGCGTTGCTCCGCAAGGCCGGAGCGGTATTCTACATCAAGACGAGTGTCCCACAAAGTCTGATGGTCTGCGAGACAGTGAACAACATCATCGGAAGGACACTCAATCCTCGTAACAAAAATTGGTCATGTGGCGGCAGTTCTGGAGGTGAAGGCGCCAACATTGGCTTCCGAGGCGGCATCATCGGCGTGGGAACGGATATTGGTGAGAGACAAGCCGCGTATCAAGAAGATCAGCGTTACTGATGCGTTTCACAGGTGGCTCGATTCGTGTCCCATCTGCATTCAACTATCTGTATGGAATTCGGCCTAGCCATGGTCGAATGCCGTACGCGAAGATGGCCAATAGCATGGAAGGTCAAGAGACTGTGCATAGTGTCGTTGGACCACTGGCCCACTCAGTTCCCGGTAAACAGCCCCTTCTGTGATGCTCATGAAAAGGCTGACGATTGTGGTAGACCTGAAACTCTTTGTGACCTCCGTTCTTCACGAGGAGCCCTGGAAGTATGATTCAAAGGTTATCCCAATGCCTTGGAGACAGGCAGAAGAGGATATCATTGAAACCAAAATCTCGAGTGGAGGTTTGACTCTGGGATTCTATAATTGCGATGGAAATGTTAGTATCTGGGCCGACATGAAAGAGACGTTGTTGACCATCAATAGGTACTTCCACATCCTCCTATCCTTCGTGGGGTGGAGATGGTCGTGTCTGCACTGAAAAACAAAGGTCACACTGTTGTGCCATGGAAGCCGTACAAACATGACTTTGGTGTTGACTTGATCAACAAGATATATGCTTCGGACGGAGGCTTTGTCAGTCAGAGATATCCTCAAGTGGGGTCTGGGCTAATTTTTTCGAGCAGGATGTCTTCTCGGATCTCAAGGAGTCTGGAGAACCAGCCATCCCTAATTTCCAAGATCTCATTAATCCATCGCTGCCGAAGATGGACATGAACGAAATCTGGGAAGTGCAACGTCAGAAATGGGCATGGCAAGGCGAATATCTTGAGCAGTGGAGGCTACGTGAAGCAGAGCTGGGCAAGGAAATCGATGCTTTCATCGCTCCGATCACGCCTACAGCAGCCATTCGCCATAACCAGTTCAAGTATTATGGCTACGCCAGCGCCATAAACCTTCTCGACTGGACCAGTGTGGTCGTGCCGGTGACATTTGCAGACAAGGCGAAGGACAAGAAGCTGACTGACTTCAAACCGTTGTCTGACATTGATGGAATTGTACAAGCCGAGTGTAAGTCACCAGTCCTGATCGATAGCTGATAAGAAGCTGTGGCTGATGATGCATTGCAGATGACCCGGAAGCGTATCACGGGGCTCCAGTTGCCGTACAGATTGTGGGCAGAAGACTCAGCGAGGAGAGAACGCTTGCTATTGCCAAGGAAATTGGCAAGTTATTGGGCAATGAGATTACTCCGTAGTATGTATGTTATTGAATGTTCGTAGGCCCTCGTGGTCGACAAGAAAAGTTGTTGAGATCAGATTCTGATTACTCCGTATGGACATCATCCATCTGGTGTAATGTAATGCCTTGGAAGAGTCGGAGACATTTGGATCCGAACCCCCAATAATACTCCGTAGCTCGTATTCGTAAAGGGCTCTCGCTCCGGCCCCCGGTTCACGCGCAGGTTCAGGTTCAGGTTCTGGCTCATGCTTGGACTCTTCCACGCCAAATACTTCTCGATCAATCGCATCAAATCACTGGTCAACGAGCGGGATTTCACCAGTTTCTCAACCCACGTTCCCATCTTCCTGCCTTCCCTCGTCATCCTGCAGCTGTTCCAAGATTGGCATCCTACACGAGAGAAAAAGACCCTCTTACCAGCTCCCAAGGGGACTTCTATCCTCTGCAAGTTGGCCAGATTCCCCAACTGTGCCCCCTCGATACTTTCTGGACGCGTCACTTGAAAGAAGTTGACGACGATGTTGCGACAACGTCCATAGCCGTCCTTCCCGCATATGACGGCACCTCTCCTCGTTTCCCTCATCATCCGTCGCCATGAGTTCTCTTCTTCACCCTCTCCATAGCGCGAGCCAAAAGTGCCGGCCTAAGCACCAAGTTCTGGTTCTCAAATGCTATCCGCAATACCAGAAAACCGTGCAGGAAGTCAAACCGAACTCTTCCGAGCTGAGCTACCTCCTATACTATGCAAGCACACGCCGAAGTAAGCTGCAAAAGGTGGGCGCATTCTTGGAAAAGAAAAACGCCCACGATGTCTGGAAAGGAAGACTCGGGTAAGCAGACCGACTCACCCAGTCGAGTTTCTACTAACCCACGCCCAGCAATGTTCAAGTCACGCTGCAAATCCTTACCGCCATCATTGAAAAAGCCCCCCGCGACCTGTCCCTATACTCCGCCTCCGTTCTAACCATCCTGGGGACCGTTCTGCGCTCAAAGGACATCAACATGGTGGAAGAGACGGTGCCGACGTTCGAGGCGTACTGTAAACATGTCGATTCTGCCTCACTGACGGCCGACCAGCAACGTGCGCAACAATACTTGTCTATTGTGCAGCTGTATGCCGGTTACGCAGAAAAGCAGAAACCGGCTGGCAGGAGAAACGCTGATTCCATACCTTTATCCCTAAGATGGCGGACAGTCGGTTTACGAGCTATACGAGCCGTAGTGGCTTCAGATGCCCTGGCTACGGATTCCAGTCAGCAGCTGAACCTGGTCATGCCTGTCATCCTCGAGAACATGTCGCTGGAGGCCGAAGATATTTTGTCACACCTACAAGAGAGAGCGAGGACGTCGGAGAAGTTCGAGGACGAAATAGCGAGAAGGCGAAGGATCAGCTTGTCCACTGTCACAACGGTGGACACGACCGATGGTGATCCGGCTACGGCTGTTGAGACTACGGCTGGTGCAGACAAGGTGGCCGAAGAAGAGGTTAGAGCGTTGGCATTACGATGCCTAAAGCAAATCTTTTCAATAGGTATTGGCAGCACCAGAGGACAGACGAGGTTGGCCACCGCTTTGACGCTGAAGTTTATCGCTTCAAAAAACCCGCCTCGACCGAATCCAGAGATCGTAGGCCAGGGTACCTGGGCTACTTCACTTTTTGAAGCCATCGCGCGTTGGACACCCGTGCAAGATCGTTTCATCATCTTGATCACAGCCATGGAAACTCTAGTTCGAACGCCTGTTGCGGAAAATTTGCTCGAGAAGCAACTGGTTCTGGCCACCATGATCGACTGGCTCCTAAGCTCGTCCGTTAACCTGATTGGACTGAGCGTTATGGATGTCTTGCTTGGATTCATTCAACACATGCTGCTCTTGTTACAACTAGGCGGTCCTAACCCGCGTATCAGGGCATCCCATCCGAATGACACCATGGGGTTTTCTAGAGAAACAAGAGAAGCCTTTGACCCGAGCACGGTCCTGACAGCTACTGAGCTCGATCGAACACCTTCCAAGGTCGAACTTGCTGCATCGCCCACCCGCAAGGAGCTTTTGGTGAGGCTGCAAAAATGCATCGCTTCTCTGTCCAACCACATTTACTATACCGACCAGATCAGTGACATGATCACTGCTATCTTAGCCCGTTTGAAGCCTTCACCTCAATCGGAGGTTCCGACGATAGCCGCTGCAATCGACGATCCAGCCGCAGCTACAAAAGCGATAGCTGAATCAGCAAGTGTCCACGAAGATCCAAACACCTCGTCCTTTTTCTCATTCACAACGGCCAGAGTGGCGGCCCTACAAGTCATCCAAGCCATTTTAATCCGCGCCAATAGTAAGAGGAGCGTCACCGGTGGCCCGATAGAAGCGCGTGCACGGGTGGGTGTGCAGGTTTGGGAGGGTACGCAATGGCTTCTCAAGGACGAGGAGAAGGAGGTCCGCTTTGCTTATGTCGAAGGCTTGTTGACTTGGCTGAAGCTGGAGACCAACAAATCCGATACGTTGCTACCAAAGAACGGCTCACGAAAACATACTCCGAACAAGAAGCAAGGAGTAAGCGAAAACCTGGCAAAACGAGCCGTTTCTGGCGCCTCGCGGAAGGAACCAAAGCCTAATAGATCGACCTTCGTGACCTTTCTGCACCTGGCCATTTATGACAGTATTCTGGACGATGCTGAAGACGAAGCCAATCTTCTCCTCCTTCATCTTCTGCTGACAAAGTTGGTAGACCGGCTCGGGGTGAACTCGGTGCGGAGCGGTCTACCTATGATGTTGAGGCTTCAGGAGACTGCCTTGAATGGGGAGGTCATTTCGGCCACTGGAAGGGTCAATGTTGCCAGCGTTGTTCAGAGCTATCTATGGACTCTGGCGTCAAAGTTTGACTTTGAGATGAGTCCTGTTGGCTATGAAATCAATGGTGAAATCTCTCGCAGAAAACGGTTGAGCATCTGGTGTGAGAAGGTCAAATATCCAGCTGCGGGCATTGATGAAATACGCAACAACTCCTCTTTGGACGAGAAACAGCCGCAATACTCCGAAGAAAGCGTCGACACGTTGAAACCGTTCCTGTCAGTGACTGAGTTAGTCAATGAGATCGCAACGTCTTACGACAAGTCTCTGTTGACCCCCCCGAGCTCTGCACCATCATCACCAGGCCGTGTCTTTTCCGTTCCAACTCTCGGTTTTGGCTATGGCTACGGCGCTGCCCCAGTGTCTAAGCCTTCCAAAGAGGAGCAACTACCCGAAAAAGTCAAGGAAGAAATGGCCGCTGGCTGGAGTAGAGAAGCATGTATTGCAGCCGTCGAGAAGGAAAGCGCCACATCCATGACAGGATCAAGAACAGGTGGTTCTTCCCTTCCCAGGTATCATCTCGGCGTAAATGGAGCACGCAATCACGGTTCCGTCAGTGGCCAGGAGTCCCCAGTCAACGCCAATGGCAGTACTACCCCGACATATGGCCTGGCAAGTGGCCTAGGCACCCTGACAAAAGCGCGAAGGCCCAGCGCCAACGGGTCCCCCACCCGAGTCCCTACGACATCGAGCCGAGATTCTACCATGAGGGTGACAGATCTCAAGAGAGCCCTCTCTGGCTACGCCGCCGGGGGACGACGACAGAGCCCCTTGAGAAAGCCGCTCACCGGGTCACGACGAAGTACACGGAGCAGTATGACCAGCAGTATGGTCAGTTGGGACGAGGCGGATGACAGGAATCCGTCGTTTCTTGATGTGAGGACTGGAGGTGGACTCAGTAACTCTGTCAATCAGGTTTCGGGCGGTCCACGACCACCAACGTCTACATCTACCAAAACCGAGGGAGATAGGGATGGAAGTGTACACAATGCCGTAACGCTTCCTGCGACTGACCCTGGGCTTCGCAACGACATAGACATCCCGCCTGTGCCCAAGATTCCTTCGTCACTGAACCTCCCTGGGACATGGCCTCGCGATATATCTCCCGCCCGCACTGATGAGCCTCATCTCGGAAAAACCTCATCTTTGTCACAGGAACACGACGCAACTCCTCAGTCGAAGCGTGCCACCAGTGGTACATATTCGACATCGTCTGCAGCAGGAAAACAGAGCATCCTAAAGTCTTCGCGCCCCACAAGTCGGAAAGGTGCCAGCCCGACCATCGGTTCAGTGAATGGACGATTTGACTTGAACTCCTTATTGGCCGAAATCCCCTCCGCCACGGAAGAACGTGAGGAGGGACCTACAGACAATCGAACCAGTCGCCAGATCAGACCTCCTTACTAATAACTTGGTTCACATACAGAAGATATGAGGATAAATGTAATTCTAGTTCTTATCATACGAGCATTGTACACCATGGGTTTGGAGCATCATGTGTACCTTTTTTCCTTGATCTTTTCAAGCTTGGTGTCGTAGTATTTTGAGCGATGATTATGAAGTTCGGGGCTGCGTGTGTGCTCTTTATTTGGTTTGGAACACTTGGACTTGTTCATGAATCATAGTATAGAACTGATGGTAGATAAAATGAACGAGATATATACTTGTCGTTCAAAGTCGTATTCTGTGTCACAGTCGATTCTGTCTTGCCTGCCACTTCATATCAAATACTTCAGCACCTTCAGCCTCGTTGCGGAGAATAGAAATTCCGTTCCAGGATCAGACACGGCAACGTTCAACATCAGACGTCAATGGGCATTTTGCGCTTCTATCCCCACTGACAACAGAAGCCGGTCCAGATACGGCACATTTGAAGGATTATCAGTTACTGACTGACAGATCCCGAAACTTGAGAAAGATGTCTCGGACTGAACAAGCCCTCATTCAACAATGGCGCCGTCAACAGACGCTGGAGGATACTCTCTTGAACCCATCAAGGCTTTGACACTCCTTGACCTGGGAACGGGGCGCAAGCCAGAAGACTCATCGACCTCGATAACTCTCGAAGCCAATAAGAGGACAGGTATCTGGATTCGAGGTCTGGACACTCGATTCAGAGCGGTTTGGCGTGGTGGAAGAGTCGTCGGTATTGGGTCGAGGGATGCGGACGATCCAAGTCAGCACTTGGGACAGGTGAGTTTACGATGCGCTCAGCTTGGGATAAACTTGTTGAGAAAGGCACTCCATCTTCATATATGTCGTGTAGCTCGTCCTGTGAGCTGACATTGGTGTATCTTGCACAGGCCTCACTGTCACTAAATCTCATCTCTGCGGCACTTTTGAACAGGCCAGATTTGTCGCAGATCCTCAGAACGAGCTCCTCAACGGTTTCACCACCGCTAGGGCATTCAATCTCCCCAACGATCTACATCGTAGCGCCACATACAGCCCAGACAATTCCCTTACTCCACGGCAACCTTGCTAGAATGTTGTCCGACTCCGCAACCGCGATGGAGTTGCTCAAGGGTGTTCAGCTGTTACAGTACTTTGACTTCGCGGGACTTGTCGAGGCTGTGGGCGAAGTCAGCGAAGCAATGTATGGAAAAATACAGAGTTCCAAAAAGCCAGCCCCGAATGCCACGCAGGAAGCCGCCTCCACACAGACCCATGACATCGTCCTGCTTCAAGGTCTCAGTCCAACAGTGACTGCCACATATCGTCGAAGTGGACTTGTCCATGCGAATGCACTACTGGCAGCTTTGATGCGAAGCATCGTGCAATTATCCAGGCCAGCGGTAAATGCATTGGTGTTAGTCGATGTCCCCATCGGGTTTGACGGCCCCGGAAGCTTGAACGCAAATCTGGATCTCACACATAAGTCTTCTCATGGCGTTGTGCTAGGTTCTGCCTTTTGTGGCCCAACAGGAGAGAATCTGAGCTTAGTCTGTGGTCATGAAACGTTGTCAAGAACTTTAGAGTCCGGTTTCGACTGCATTGTCATCGTGCATGATGGCTTTGGCAGGGTAAAACAACGAAGCAGACATTCGAAGCAGTCTCAGTGCATTATCGAAACAGTGAAAGACAGAGTAGGTGACATAACTGGGCTCTGGGCCATCTGGAGCACCGATGGGCTAGAGTGATGACGCATCGCGTTGGTCTGAGATGCCGTTGCCAGCTCTTGACATGCTACTTCCTTGGATGAATCGATGGCTATGGAGTTGTGCCTGCCTTTCGAGAACACATCAACTCGGCAGGCCTCGAAGTATGGCCGACCTCATAACACTGTATTTGCTCCTCTGTGCGACTGGATTATTGGCAACATATCAGAAATCAGCATGAACTTACGCATCTTAGAATACCTTTTCTATTGCCTTGCACCTGTTACCAGTGCATTATTCAATGATGGGGATCGGCATGTGGACGTCAGCGTCGACTATTTCGAGCTTGCAGGCTCCTCTGGCGTTCCGGCAATGCATGCAGCAGTACTCCCGCCGGATGGAAAAGTCGTATTTCTCGACAAAGTGGAAAACTACACTGAACTCCTCCTGCCGAACAAACGCTACGCATACTCCTCTCTATATGATCCGATAAGTCACCAGTCGTCCCCGCTATCTGTCACGACAAACCCATTTTGCTGCGGAGGAGCATTTCTTCCAGACGGAAGACTGGTCACCATTGGAGGCAATGCGCCTTTGCTCTGGCTTGACCCTACCGTTGATGATGGCTTTGATGCGATCCGCTATATCGGATCAAACAGTTCGACATACAACTGGATAGAACCTGGGAACAAATTGGGCTCCAAGCGATGGTATGCCTCAGCACAAACTCTGTCGAATGGAGATGTATTTGTTGCAGCTGGAAGTCTCAATGGCTTGAACCCGGGTAATTACAGCAACAACAATCCGACATACGAAATCCTTGGTTCTGATAGGGTCAGTAAAGGGAAGAGTATCCCAATGGAAATCCTCGTCGAAACCCAACCGTACTAGATGTACCCGTTCCTACACCTGCTGAACGACGGCTCATTGTTCATCTTTGCGGATCGTTCGTCTGAGATCTTCAACGTCACATCGAACTGTACTATCAAAACTATGCCTGATCTGCCTGGAATGCACAGAACCTATCCAAACACTGGCGGAAGTGTAATGCTTCCATTACATATGGAAAACAATTATGAACCTGAGATCATGATCTGTGGTGGAGGACAAGCACAGGCTGTTGATAGTCGGTGTGATGCTACCTGTGGTAGGTTGAAGCCGTTCAGCGTGGAGCCAAGATGGCAGATAACCGCTATGCCTGAACCACGAGGAATGGTTGAAGCTGTATTGCTTCTTGACGGCACAGTCCTCTGGCTCAACGGTTGTCAGCAAGGAGCACAAGGATTTGGCTTAGCCACTGAACCAGCTCTTGAAGCTTTGATATACAACCCGAGAAGAGGCAACTGGTCGATCTCTGGAAGATCAGTCATTCCAAGATTGTATCACTCGGTTGCGTTATTATTGTTGGATGGGACTGTGCTCATTGCTAGAAGCAACCCCAACGAAATGCCGATAACGATGAGTCAAGTCGATGTTCGCGACCAGTCCAAGGCATTTCCCACTGATTTCAGGGTCGAGATATACACTCCAGTGTATCTGAGAGGTGCAAATGCATCTAGCAGACCTACTGACATCAAACTATCGGATCGAACATATACTGCCAATTCCACGTTCGAAATCGAGTTCATCATCAGGAGCAAACTCGAAACTCTGGATATCATTTTGTACTCTGGGGGCTTTGTCACTCACTCTGTACACATGGGACAAGTTATGATATATCTGGAGCATAGCGGCTGGCGGGTCTCGAATACCGGTCAAACGAAGGTAAAGGCTTGCATGCCAAAAGGAGTCAAGATTGCACCTGGACCGTATGTTGTTTACGTAGTTGCAAATGGCGTCCCTGGGATCGGCGAATTTGTAACGTTCAAGCTGTAATTTATGGCTTGGATAAGATCCTTGAAATATCATTTGTCACGGATAAATGTATCAAGCGGACAAGAAAATAATGGACAATCGAAAAAGACAAGTCAAAGAGACCCCTCAGAATAGATGCGCATTATGGCTTAAAACCCCTCCGTACATATAGTACGGTCGGACATGCGGCCAAACTTGTCTTCTATTATCCGCTTTCCTGACCTACCCGAGACTCTTATTCACGTCGACTTGTAAAGAGCACAGTGTAGTCTGCTACACATATGGTCCTTCAATCAATATGGCAGAGCCGGTGGCATCAGCGTTGCCTCCAAAAGCGCAATCCTTGACGTCGAATGTCAACGTTAATAAGGATTTGTCTCAAGATCGCACCTGGACATCGACCGCACCCACCCCAGCAGCGAGTAGTATTCACGAAGCCGACAATGATGTCGTCATGTCTACTTCTCCGACTACTGCCACGATCGCGCCCGCGGCCGGTGCCGGTGCCGGCGCTGAACAACGAGGCCCCGTCCCTCTCGACTCGCCCTCGCGCACGGCGCCCATACACCCTTCTGTACCCGCGGTCAAGATCCCCGCCAGCGCGGTCTGGAATTTGAACCCGATCACCCTTCAACCTTTCACGGACGAAGAACTGGTCAAGTACGGCTACGAAAAGGTCCGCGCGGAAGTGTATTCTGCGCGCGGGGTGGACGCCAAGGGGAAAGCGGGAGTCAAGGCGAAGGAGGAAGAGGTCGCAAGGTTGCGCGAAGAGACGGCCAACATGTTGAGACAGAAACTCGAGGAACGGGAGATCAAGTTGCGTGAGATCACGAGGGAGATGGAGGAGAAAGAAAAGATCCGCGAGGTGGAGAGGAAGGTGTTTAGAAAGAGATTGGATTCGAATTTGAAAAAGGATTGATTGCGAACTGGAGAACACTCTCACAGAGTCGGGGAGAATACTCGCACAGAGTCGGCAAAATAACGACCACTCACAAGATGAGCACGTCTAGAGTGAGGTGGACTGTGTGTTCCTGGCGATCGAGGACAAAGGCACGTCGAGGGCGTATTTCGATGCAATGAGAGGGACATATCGCTCAATAAGACTGGGACTCCTCGTGATTGGACCACGTTGCTTCGCTCATCGCGAGAAGTAACATCCCCGGCATCGTCAGGACCACCGGGTTATGGTTGTTTTGGTCGAACGGACCTTCCAACTTTTACAGAGGTGTTAATCCCACCTCAAGGAACTAAAGTCGACACGACACATGTTGTGATTGGTGGCCAACTGTGTTTTACGATTTCACAACGTGAAGGGATACATCGACAGCGCTGCATTTGAACAGCGGAAGATGCCATCTCCCTCAAATGATACCAATGATTTCCGTCCATGACAACGATGGAGACGTTGTGAAACGCCAGAAGTTGCCCGGCTAGGTCAATGGTTATGTAAGGGACCCCATGGTGCAACTGTTACGTGGCTACCTAGACTTCAATAAAACTGTCATTGGAGACAGCATGCATTTGCAAGAGAACCGAGAGGTGGACTGTGCACAGCATCGCTTAGCATCGATTGACAACAAGAGCCATACATAGCATAGATGGCTGCTCCGACGCCACCGGAGAGATGAGAGGTCAGGTTCTCCATATCTAGCTTCTAAGGTTTAACCCTCAGAGAATCAGAGAGACATGGTACAGCACTGAGTTTGCACCTAGTTCTCGTAATCGAGTTTGGAACTTTTCGTGGCAAGAAGATCATGAAACCACCAGGCATTGTGAACCGTTTTCTACGGAGTAAACGAGTAGAAACAGGTCACGTCGTTCTACATATGACCACGGAGGGAGTAAACAGAGTTCAAGATCGTGGTCGCGGTTACAGGGCAACGAGGTTTGCTTTACTTCTAGAACCCTTTCTCGAGTCCGGTGGCGATTCGTCGCTTAGCTCCTCGTAGCATTCACCTTTGCCACCACTCAAAGTTTGACATCCGACTCAAAGAAACACTTACAAGGTGACGAACCAGATGAACACGACTTCTGTACCGCCCGAGGCTTCTGTGTTGGTTAGGAGGAGGGGATAGTGTCCGGATTTTCAGACAGGTACTCCCTCAAGGGGGAAATGTCATTCGTTTATGTAGTCTATGTGAACCTATCAAATTGATCTGCATCTCCGAGTTGAAAAGAACTGGGAGGAGAAACAGTCTTCACATGTCAATCCTTTGGTTGTTGTCTTCGAGTACAGCCTTGCCGTGTCTTGGCGTCCAGAATCCACTTCAATCTCAGCCTTGTTCCGTCACTCTTCCAACTCCGCATTTCGCGTCTTCGAAAGGTGATCGATCTTCTTGCGTTCCTACAGTGAAATGTTACGGGGCATCGTCTCGACCGGTCTTATCTGTCCTTGCCTCGGTGCTGATGCTGTTTCGCCATGCCTGTAATATATCAACATCCCATGGCGTCTTCTTCAGCGGGCGACCTGTCCACCGCAGTGTGACCGCCTCGTCGTCTACTCTTGTTGCTTCTCGGCAGCCGATCCTGCACGGCGAACGAGGGTCTCGTCGCAATGCGGAGGAAGTGAGAAATCGGATACAGCAGCGAACAACTTGCCATGACTCGACGCAGTCTCAGTGTGGCACGTCTCTGAGGAGCGCAGACCGCCGTGAGGGTTCTGGTTTTTGTTCCTTCACCACAATCCGCTGCGGTCGTTCGTTCACCACCACCTCTACTCGACATGAAAACCAAGACCTGAAGACGCGCCGCTCTACCACACATGCCGGCGTGGCCTCGTCCAACACCACCACCAATGACCAGCATGCCACCGTAACTTCCACACCGGTGCCTCCGCGGTCCCCGACGCAGTCTCCCTCCACTGCTCCGTCTTCGTCTCACTCTACCCTCCAAACTTTCCTCGCGCACGCCGCTCGGACGGGCCTCTCTCCCTCCTCCACCGTCTACACGGGCACGGTCTACGAATACCTCACGGCCTCCACGCTGCGAGCCTACGGTTTCGACCTCCACCGCGTCGGAGGACGAGGCGATCGAGGTGTTGATCTCGTGGGACAATGGCACGTACCTCTCCTCTCACCCACCACGGGGACTTGGAAAGAACACACAAACCCCGCTGACGACAACGTCGTTGTCGACACCGAGACGTTTCGTGTCGTCGTGCAGTGCAAGCGACTCGTGGGGAAACATGCAAAGATCGGCCCCAACCTCATCCGCGAACTCGATGGGACAGTTCGAGCGGCGAGGTTGGCACCGCTGTTTGAGAGTTTGTTTTCGAATGGCCCGAAGGGGGAAGATGGAAACGATGGTAACAGCCCAACGAGTTCAAACACATCTTTCCCTACCATTGGCATCTTGGTAGGAACGAGACCAGCTACAAAGGGTGTGATGGAGAGCATGAGAAGATCGAATAGACCTTTGGGTTGGATCATGATGGAGGAAGAAGTAATGGATTGTCCGACCGAATCATCATCATCCCCACCCGGTGCGAAAGTTACAGTACCCAATGCATCATTCAACAACAGTACCAAAGAACAAGCCGTGTCAGAGATGCCTGTGGAAGGTTGGACATCCAAACCCTCCGAGGGGAGAACCTCGGATGCAGACGCTGACACTGATACTGATGCCGAGGCTGAAGCCACTCGCGATTCGGCACCTACTCTTGACGTTGGGACGAGCGAGACATCGACGGATGACAACATTCTCAGCGACAGTGACACACATACGACCCCCCAACTACCAATACGAGGCAGAGTTCGTCAAATTCTATGGAACCAAGCGGCGCGCAATCTGGGTCTCGACGACGTCTCGGTGGTTCCTCGTTACGACTCCTCGGGAAGGGAGGAAGTCGTGCTCATGCGCGGTGGACGAGTTTGGGGCGGATCGTGACGCCCACGTGTTGCAAATATTGTGCGGAGTAGAGAGAGAGAGATCGATATAATCCTGTCAATAGACAACGGTACGTTTCACTAGTGACAGCACCTCCTTGTTAAGATCTAAAGGACGACGCGAGAAGAATACCAGTATCCTAGAAATTTCCTTTTTTGTTCAAACTTTTCCTCTTTGTAGAAATCTAGGAAAGAGTCAAGTCTAGGAACAGAAGGCCTATGTACAATATGACCTGACCGACCATAAACAACTCATATCGTCGATATCGATAACTATAACCGAGCATATGGTCAAGCCAGCGTGCCGTCGTGCAACTCCTTGCGCAAAAAATGAGAACGACCATTCCTCTTCCGTCCTTGCTTTCCTCGGTCGCGGGCAAATGAAATCGGAAATGGTATGATGGTACATTTCCCTCTCCCCTCCTCTTCGACTGCCGATGCACCCCTTCCCCTAATCTATATGCCATGCAAATGCCACTGCAAGTAAGCATACATGAAAAAAGTCCTGATCTCTTTTGTTTCAGACCTTTTATAGCTTGGCCTTTGGTGGCTCCAACGACGGCAAGAGCATATCGCGGATATCGTTGGCGGCTTCATTCAGGTAGAAGCTCATTCTTTCGCAGCCGAGCTTCTTGGAGACGACGTTGAATTGAATACTGTTTTCATCATGTCAGCATATATTCCCGCATCTCCCCAAAACTAGAGGCAATAGCATACCTGTTCTCATTGATCATATAAGCAATACCCCAACCTTGGTCGATGACCTGGCTCCATCCGTAACCGTTGAAGTATTCCGAACTCAACTGACTCGAACTGATGTACCACGACGACGAGTACGTGAATGCTGGGTCTTTGAAGAGTTCGGGCACCTCTTCACCTTCTTGGATGAGTTTCTTGAGGCCAAACAAGTGTCGGTCCACTCCGTATCCGTCGCTGGCATCGGCGGTATATTGAACGTGGGCCTTGACGGCCTCGCGGAACAGTCGCTCGGTCTCTTCTCGGGAGATCGAGGCGTCTGCCATGGCGTCGCAAAACGCGACGGATTCGTCCGAAACGGTTCTCGTGGTTTCTGTTCGTCCGAGCTGGTATTTTCTCGTGGCTGCCGACTCGTAGGTGGGTCTGTTCTTGCCGTACATCTTGTGGTAGGCGAGTTGAATGACCATCTGAACATAGGCATCGGGGGAGCACTTGAACTTTTTGATCAAGCCCTTTCCGTACGCCTGGTAGGCTTGCACGCGCAGGTCATGTGCAGCAATGGTCTGGCGGAATTGGTTTTGTGCGCTGGCCACGTCTTCGAGAACTGCGGTGTTTGTCTCGAATTTAATAGGAGTAGGGTCGGACAGGTCAGAACGAACGCTCGGGTCGTCAAAGTCGAGCTTGTTGTGGACGATGTAGGCGTTGACAGTGTCGCAGAGTCGGTGGGTCGGTGTGCCATCCATCATACTGTGTTCACCCATGAAGCCTGCGGTGCCGTTGTCGTTGACGATGAATTGAAGAGGCTTGTCGTACCATCTGTTGGAACCATCACCATGCCAGTAGGCGTGTGCTCGTTCCTCCAGTGTCACGGGAGTTGCGGAGTCCAGGCAGACAACAAAGGAGGAGGCCTCGATCTCCTTCAGAACCCCCGCGTTGACAGGGGATGCGGAGAGCAGGTTCTCTCGTGCTTTCGCACCCTGGTCTCGTGGTAGGGAGGTGAGGGCACCGATTGGGTCGGACATTTGTGCGCTTCTATAGACCTTGTTGAATTGCTGTTCAAACTCGGAGGTGTTGAGCTGCTTTCCATTGACGTGCGTCTGAACCTTGAAGAACTGGTTGTTTCGAATGACAATGATGTACTCGTTTCCTTCTGCCGGGTATTGTACTGGGTAGTCGGCAGGCTCTGCGGCGACTCTGGAGGTGTTGAACATGTATTCGTAACTGCTCATGGCCATGGGCTTCTTGCGCATATATTCGGGCTCCAGACTCTTGTCATCGACCTGGCGCTTGAACTCGAGGGCAGCAGTGGTGATGGCTGCGGCTCGCTTGGCAGGGTTTCTCCTTCTTCGGTCATCTCGGAATGAGTAGAAGTATGAGACGTAAGGAACCACAGGATCCTTGTAAGCCAGGTATGCTGCTTCGTTCCACCAGTCTATGATCCAGTTTTTGACCTTGGGATCTTGCGCCTTTGCTATTAATCTGTCCTGCAGCTTCTGTCCCAGGCTACCTGGTTGATTGAACGCGGCGACGGCTTCTTGCGAGGCCGCGAACTCCTCCTTGGACAGCAGTGGGTGCAGACTCTTGAGGTATCGGGCGGAGGTCTCTTCAAGGGAGGGAACGGGGAGTCGGGGGAGGGAGTCCTCGAACCGGAGCATGGCTCCTTTGGACTTGTCTTCTCGGTATTCTGGCATTGCTTTAGCAGTGGTTCTTCTAGAGGGGGGTGAATGGCCATACCCTCGGTCACCCAGAATTGCTTTGTGGTGGAAGACTTCCTCTTGTTTGCCGGCGCCATTGTAAATGCCTGTCACGCATGATCAACAATTGACGTCAACGGGTTCGACAACAGATATACACACCTTGACAGCGAGGGAAGTTCTAGGAGTCCGTGAGATTGCAGAGAGTGATGAGGTAGCTCTGCCGACGGAGAACAACATTACCAGATCAACTCGACGAGGGAGGGGAGAGCAACGACAACTGGGTGAGAGAAAAGAAAGGAATAGAAAGGACTGTAGCTGGCCAGGACAGCAATAACAAGGCTCTACTTGTATGGAACTTTTTGGATCGGACGGGATTCGGCAAAAATGGTAAAAAAGGGCACGAGGATGGAAGGATGGGAAGCGAATAACCGCGGCGCGATGAAGAGGCAGATGGTACGGATAACAGTATGGAAGAGATGAACCCCGGGAGACTCTCTCTCTCCCTCTCTCTCTACAGAGACTCCGTTGAGCCGAGGCAAATCACACTGGCCGCAGTCCGAAAAGGGAATAGTGGCTCCGGCATCCCACATTCTCTCGCTGGCAACAATATGGAAATTCCCGGAGCACAAGAAAGAGATGAACAGGTGAGCAGATCCACGCCCGACGACTCCGGAATGATATGGGGTTGGCCATCCCTTACTCGTAGGTATGAGGACAGTTGTATATTATCATTGACTAGCATCAGGCTGAGGCTGTGTAACCATCTATTGCCTCCCTCTTCTCGTTCTATTGTATACTCAGATATGTAAGGTACTATTCCGATACGAATCTCTGTAACGCCTCACCAAGTGCGAGAGTGCTGCCGTCCGCCACTGAACTCGCATCTCCCTCCAGCCATGGCTGAAAAGCATTCAAACTGCAAACATGTCTCATCGTCGGTCGACCATGAGGGCAATTCCAAGGTTTGTCGATTGTACCCATGTGCTGTACGACCTTCTCCATTTGCTTCCTGGACAATGTTTTACCGATCATGATGCTGGACCGACATGCTCGCATCGCAAACATCTTCCGGACTTTGCTGGGCCGGGGAACATCGTGTCTGCTTTCCGTCCCAAGACCTGGAGCCTCTGCTAGCAATTGGATGAGCTCTTCTAGGTCGCGGGTGTTGAAGACAACCTCCTTGCTCAGCGGAAGGCTGATGAGTTTGCATCGCCGTCCTACCACAGTCTCACCACTTGTGTCAACTTCGACGAGGAAGCCGTTTTTCTCGAGAGCGTCAACATTCTCCAGCACAATTTCCTCTTCTACTGCTGTCAAGTCAAGTACCGCGGGCTGGACGAGCCTCTGATTGCCCACGACTGTCTCCGCCTGGAGCCTCTCGAAGTTGTACTTCTCATCGGAGGCGTGTTGGTCGATGATGAACAATTCGTCTTTCCTGGTTCTTGACCTGGTCTCATCCCCGTCATCGCCATTCCTCGTCGCAAGGATGAAACCGAGATTGAATTGCCCAACAATGTCCATCTCTGCAAAGTCCCCCTTGGACACGGTAAGTGAGAGTTGTGCTTCCGGGTCTTGGGCGACATGGCCGTGTTCTTGGCGATGTCTGAGCGCGTCCGTCGTGGACCTGATGTTTTCGAGTTGCACCAAGCCTTGAGCTATATTATCTAGCGAAAATTCAACTGTCGCGAGTGTGCTTGTCGTTGAATCCTTAATTCGACCTCCAGAAAGGGCCTTTGCGGCCCGCTTGATGTTTTCCTTACTGGCCAACGCCGAATCTTCCTCAGCGGCTCGAATGAGTTCCACGACGCGCGCTTCTTCGATCTTTTGCTTCTCTTCCTCATTCACGTAGTCGGAATCGTCGTCTTCTTCAGCAGGCCCGTCTCGAGTTGCAGATTCTCCTGAATCTTGAAGATCATCAGACTCGACAAGCTGATGAATTGCATCATCCGACTCTGGTGTCTCTCGGTCCGTATTTTCTTCCGAGCTACTCTGGTCGAAGCCTGACTCGGCAGCCGAATTTAATTCTTCTCCATCATCACCACCCCCTGCATCAAAGCGGCGTAACTTTTGTGAGAACTTCAACATTGCTGGTGAAGGCATCTCGTGCCTTGATGAAGACACATTGGTTCTAGCCTCGCTCGTCGATTCGTTTCCAGTTGGAGATTTAGGATACTGAGATCCAACGATGGTTGTGATCTTCTCTTCTCCAATCGTTACTGTGGCAAGCTCTGCAGGCTGCTTCCTAGGTCTCATTCGCTCGAAGGCATTGAGAACGATACCTTTATCCTCTTGGTGAGATTGCTGGCTGAGTGATGGGATCTCCGATTCTTTCCCATGCTTGGGCGAGGCTGGTTGATCCTTGCATCCAGATTTTACGTTTTGTTCAGCCATTCGTGCGTTAAAATCTTGTACATGAATCTTGATAGGGTCATCCTGTAACGCTTCCGTGTTTTGAATTTGAGTAGTCCCGACTGCATCGATGTCGTTGCCTTGTTCGAATCCTTCCCCTTCATCGTCCATTTGCTCTTCATCAAATCCTTGTTCTTCTGCTAGCTTCTTCGCCAAATCTTTCGCTCTTCGTTCTTTTTCCTTTTCAGATGTTCTTCGACCTTCACCATCATCGCTGTTCTCGTCTCTGGTGCTCGTAAACTTTCGAAAATGCTCAAGCATCAAGGATTTTGGTGCATCTTCATCAGCAGTCTCAGTATCCTCCTCGAGACCTTCTTCATCTTGGAGAATCGACTTGGCCGTCACAAACCCTTGTTGGATCTTGGGACTGAGCGAGGTGGATGAAGGACGCGGTTCAAAGTTCAATTGCCGGAAAGATGGCAATCTAGACGCGTGCGGCTGAGATTGAGGCACCGTTTGATCTTGCTTTTCGAACATTTCGTTCAGTGCAGTTTTCAGATTTTCAATCAGAATTGCCGCATCGTGTAGCAGTATAGTCCTCTTGTCTGGCGATACGTTGACATCATAGGCATTCGTATCCATTTGGAAATCAGCAAATATAAAGGGTGACTGAGAAACATTGAACGACTTGTATACTTCATTGATGGCTTTGGCAATTTGCGGCAATCCGCATGGTCGACCGTTGACGAAGAACATTTGACGATCAGGAGTTTGCCTTCCCTCTCCGAAAACAGGCTTCGAGATATGGCCTTTGACAAGTAGCTTGCCGCTGGACGTGTCATTATGAGCCATATGTGGCATGTTTGATTCGAAATCCAGGGTCAGATCCAACGGCATCAAAGCCGAAAGTGTCTTCGCGCCATAGACGTTCGCAATGTTCTCTCGAGTGCTGTCGTTGGCTTTCGTGGAGAAAACGATCGTGCTCTTACCCTTTGTGACAGCATGCTTGACCGTAAATTTGACATTGACGCAGATACAAGCATAAGCATGCAGTAAGCCAAGCACCTTGCCATATTCACGTTTTATATTCTTAGTCAGCTCCTTGCGACGCACAGGTAAACTCTCAAATAACCCCTCAACAGTGGCAGTTGTGCCCCGTTGACAAGCAACTAAGGTAGTTGAGCTGAGTCGCCCCATGCCATCGAAGTCGAGACGCTTCCCCTTTGGTGCCTCCTGTGCTTGTGCAGTTGTGACGGAGAATTTCGATAAAGCACAAAGGGACGATAGTGCTTCGCCGCGGAACCCAAAGGTCTGCAAACTGGAAAGGTCGTCATAATTGGAAAGTTTGGAAGTAAAATGCTTCAGCGCGACGTTTTCATAGTTTTCAGCAGAGATTCCGGTCCCATTATCCTGCACCTCAATTGAATCCAGGCCATGGTTCTTGAATCGTATTTCGATGGAAGTCGCGCTCGCGTCCAAACTGTTTTCAACCAGTTCTTTGACAACTGAGCACAGATCGACGATGACCTGACCGGACTGGATTTGATGTACGGATCTGGCCTCGATGGCTTTGATTGTGGCCATACCAGCCCATGATTGTCGAGACGGGAGGCCTACGATGGTTCACAATTGCTCATGCGTCGTCAAAACGAGAGGAATTCCGAGCGTGATTACGTAAGAAAACGCGAAGCAGAATGGCTTCGTTTCATTGGCTGCTTTTCAGCCTTGTGTACCCAACATGACGTCAATCTTGATGCAGCATAAAGCAGCAATCTTAATAAGTCCCGTATCTTAGTGGCATTTTTGCCTCTGATCATAGCGATAATAAATACTATCATCACTTGTTCCCAACTTTTAAGACCCCCAATTTAAGATCATAGTTCTGGAAATATATGCTACAGGTACTGCTCAGATGATTGACGGCCTCCCTGTGGAAGTGTTACAGCACATCGTATCTTATTTGCCCACCGCTTCATCCATCATCAGCCTCTCACTTACCAATCGCAAACTACACAAAATTGTATCCAGAGATGACTATATTTGCTTCCGTGATTTCGTCAAGAAGTCATTTCCATCAATCGAGACTCCCCCTTTATGGCGGGAGGCTGCTCGTGTTTTGACCTCTCGATCTCGAGCATGGGATCGCCGAGCATTTGTCGCAAGGGAATGCTGTCCACCTGTGGATCCTGGTGACCTGGGTGAAATCAGGTCTTGGCAACCAGCAAGCTATCGACCAGTTATCGACTGCTATGAGACGTGGAATGGACCGACTTGGTCAGAACGCAAAGAGGTCCTGGCATGGGGTGCGGCTGGAAGGCTCAGGATGAGAATCATTGAGAACGGTGAGGTTTCGTGGAGGTCTTTCACGGGCCCCTATGACCATTTCCCCACTCTTGATATCATCGATGTCAAGTTACTGCGTCCTGCCCAGACCGAGAAGTACTCTGGATGTGAAACGGCTATCTTCGGAAGAATAAACAGTGACGTTGGTAGGGTTGAGGTGAGAGGTAGTTGGGACTTGAACCAGCAATCGAAATACCATACAGGACCCTATGGGTGCCACCGTATGGATGTCAACAACGATCCAACCCCTCTCCTTGCCACATGTAACAATGATGGGATCTCCCTGTTTCCTGTGTTTCCTGCGGATAAGACGACATGGGATGTGTACCCAACGGACAAGGTCCCTTTGCAGACGAAGACAGACATCAGTAATCGAATCATATGCGCAAAATTTCTCTCCGATTCGGCATTCGCCATCTGTTTTCAGTACCTCGAAGGCAAAGAGCGCGCTCCAATCGACGTTTATGATATTAGCTCGACAGGGTTAACGAAACAGCCTTTTACGCAGTTTTGGTCAGACCCGTCCGAGGGTGCCTCCAATGATCGGCACAGCTCGAATGTAGTGGTACCTTTGGATGTCGTTGAGGGCATCTCCAACCAGCCTGGGCAGCTGTTTTTGTCCGGCTGGTCTGATGGTATCGTCAACCTCCATGACGCACGTACGCCTGATCGACCGGTTTCGAAATATGTTGACGTGGTGGACGATGGACAAATTCTTTCCCTTCTACCCATTGGCTATGAACGTTTCCTGGCTGGAAGCTCGCAGAATGGCTGTCTCAAAACATATGACCTAAGAATGCCTGGAATGCGGCCGTATTCATACCTCGAAGGGGCAGCACAGCTTTCCCAGTCTCAAGAAACGCGGGAAGATTTGGATCCCAAGCCGTCACTCTCTAGCTCGTTCAAAACGCGACGGGACATCAATATATTCCTGAGCCCGAGCATTGAATACGGCGAAAGACTGTGGCAGCCTATCAGATCACGTCACCGTGTGCGTCGCACCGAACGGTACCGAGGATGTGTATATTCTCTGGCGAGTCCGTCTCCGAGCTCGCCGACGGTGTATGCCGGAATCAAGAACCACACCCTTCAACTTGACTTTGTGTCCACAGATGATATCAGAAGTGGTGTCGATGGTTGGGTAGATCCCTCACTTGGGTTAAATGACCGGTCAAAAGACATTTTTAGTTTCTCGTGCTACGAGCGGCCTAGGGAAGGTCACGAGAGCACCGATCCAATTCTTTTGAGGAAGCAGCAAGGCTTGTTTGGTGAACGAAGAGAAAGCCAGATAGGCAAGAAAGAGAGCGAGGTAGCCACGGGGGTGTCGGAGCCAGGCTGGGACGAACGATGGCGTTTAAATATAAAGGGTATAAATCGTGGGGATGATACTTCAAGCGATGGGCTGTAAAATCCAAATCTATATGAATGTGCGTTTCTTGATTCTTCCATTTCGAGTACTCGTGTGTGGGTCGTGAATCAGAATGCCTAAGACGGGAGAGTCGGAATTGTGCAGTGGTTATTGCTCTCAGCTTTATTCCGTTGAGCATCACAAAATCAGACGACCTGCTGTGCTTCGACTCGTCCTATCTCTTTTCCGAACTCGCCCTTTGTCAACAACAACATCACGGTCTGCTCGTCAAGAGCAACCTTTGTCTGTCGTGGTACAGTCTGAACCTTGGCTCTCCAAGGACCCGTAGAGTTGTCGTCATTTGGATTGGCTGCTGGCGGCGAGATCTGTGCATCGACGTAGATCTCGGAGGGATAAAACACGACCCGTGCAACTGTCGATTTCGTGTTCAATGCTTCGGCGGAGAGTGTAGCAGGAGAAGGAGTAAACGTAAACTCGGCCATTTTCTTGTACGAAGGTGAAAATGGAACACTTGATGGCAAGAATACAGACACAAGATATGATCTCGGGAGATCGAGAATGAACAAGAGCAATACTCGAATCTTGTGTTTCCTGTACAGTAGTAGGGTCTGCAGTTGCGTTCAGAGCCCAAAGGGTGAGTCGCGAGCAGATCAGATGGTGACTAACTATCAGGATCTCAAATTATGAGTCTCTATTTGATGAAAATAACTAAATCAAGGACTAGGAACTAGGTACGGAGTACCGAGAGCTGCACGAGGAAGTGTCCGAGTCTTGGCGCTAGCTAGATTGGGCAGGTGTTAAGTCGACGTCTACTCCGCAACACTGGTTGCAATACCCTGGATGTGATAGACCCCCTAATCTAAGCTTTTATTTTATTGTAGCGCAATCTTTGCCATCTTTACGGCCTCGCTAGTTGTCAGAATTTGGACCTCACTATGCTATTATTAAGGATGTTCTCTTTGTACCATTGCACTTTTTACGACTCTCTCGAGGAGGGCAACCTGGACTCAATACAAACTCCTGGAATCGCTCATTCTTTATTCTCTTCGTTTGCTTCGCTATTGCTGTAAGGCTGTGTCGATTGAATTTGATTCATCAATATCGTGGCTTCATGTGCATATTTGCATTCCATCCTGATCTTCGAACCGTACCTGTGCATGACGAATGGAAACGGCAAGCAAACCAGTGTAAGAAAGGCTGGGATCGAGCATGCCCACGAAGTACCCAGTCCTCGAAACATCTGGCGCTGTTAGTCAGAAACTATGACCTGCAAGAATCCACTCACTTGAGAGGTGAATAGAGAAAACCCGGCTCCAAACAAAGCTCTGAGTATTGCCGTGGCCGCGAGCACCGATGCAGCGAAGATCGTATAAGAGTCTACAAGGTAGATGAGGACGGAGTTGAAGACAAGTACGCAGCCGTACCCAAAGGGAGTCGATAGAATGACGCTGGCGGACCAGTGAATGGAGGTAGACGTTGTCCAGCCAAAGGCGAACATGCCAATTGGCAGGGCAACTGCGCCAAACATTGCCGGAGGCAGACGATCTTCTGGCGTTACATCCTTGCCTTGCCTCTGGTAGCGTAGGCGGTCGTCCAGAATATAATGAATCATGCCAGCCAACATTCCCACCGCGATGCCGAGAAATGGGAGACTACCTATGCCGGCGTTCCACCCTCGTTCTTCGCTGTAGATGATGGGAAAAGCAGGAAGAAGCATGTATATTGTCGCATAGATGATAGACAACTACCTGCCAGTCAGCCAGATTCAAATTAGTAGTCCATAGTCGCCACTATGGACAATCGGTTAAGGCAACGATTGCTTACGTAGATGGCGGCGATCAGGACAATGGGCTCTGAGAAAAGCAACACCCATGGTCGCTTCGCTGCCTTGGAAAACACCGTTGAAGCCTTTAGCGATTGGTTGGACAAGTCAAAGGTGCTGATGTAGACTTTAGAGCTCTTTTGAGATAGTCGTCTCGCAATCTGCCGCAACACCACTGGACCGTAAGTCTCGGGAAGTAGGGCGCACCCAATAACGAAGACGGCGCCGACCAAGATGCAACACACCCCTTGCACCCATCTCCATCCAACGGTGATGGAGACGAATCCTCCGACGACCGGTCCAAGGACAGGGCCTAAGAAGGGAGCTGCTGAGAATAGACTCATGGCCAGGCCGCGCTTGTGGGGAGGGAACAGGTCTGCAATCAGGGCACCAGCGTTGGTGAGCGGAGATGCGGCGAAACTGTTCAGCCGATGATCTTTAGCATTTTCCCACCTGAGACAGGGAACTGACTTACGTGCCGGAAATGAAACGTAATACCAAGAGTGAGGCCATATTCTTGCAACCTGCAGTTGCACCGACGAAGGCAGTCAAGGCGCTGAGCGTGAGCACAAAAGGCAGTCGTCTTCCATACAATTCAGACATGGGAGCCCATAAAGGCGGGCCAACCGCGAAACCCAGCACGTAGAGAGCAATTCCGAGGGAGAACAACTCGCTGCTGCTGTGGAATTCGCGGGTGATCTCTTTGGACGACACCGAATACGCTGAGGATGTCATCGTGACCGCGAACACGGAAATGGTCGCTATGCCGATGTACAGCCACTTCCGGGCTGACAACCAATTCATTGGGTTCGCAGGGTCTTCGGGCTTGAATTTGACCACATAAGGATCTTCAGCTGTCCCTCGCCCTTCGTAAGGAGGCGAAGACTCATTATGCATCCCGGGGGATAACATGTCATGCTCTCGTGGGCTTGGGGCGATCAATGAAGCAACAATACGCATAAAGCTTGATAATTATAGTCTGAGGCGAATGTCACTTCTTGGATTCCATGGGGAGCTTCGGGGGAAGGCTCAATAAATACATATATCCTCATCGTCTATGCAAAGAACTCGTAGACTTCTCCCGGTCTCGGAGCTCTGTGGCCAGTGAGCAACTGATGAGTCCTTTCAGCTTCCGCCTATGGTTCCGTTCCTTGAGATAGGAAAGGCGGGATGAAGCAAAGTAGCTCGGGATGATTACAAGTGGCAAAACCACAGCTTTCGTCCCATGGGCTTTAGAACAACTTCGTCTGACGGATGCTGAAGGCCAGACATATTGGGATGTTAATCAGCATTAGAGAGTCAGACATCAGCTCCACTCCCAAACCTCGGGATGGTGATGACTATCATCCCGAGCTTTTGCTAAAACTCGGAAGAAGAGCATGCTATTAGGTAAGCGGAGAGAAGCGGGTCCTCTCCGTGCAATTATGTACAGATCCATGAGTAGCCGAGACATCCGCCGACTTCGTCTACATTGATTGACCTGCAAGCAAATCAACCGGATCGGTATAAGCAATGTCAGAGCCCGTCCGCACAAAGAGACCTAAGACGTCTGTTGCATGCAGCACTTGCCGAAGGAGAAAGGTGAAATGCGACGGCATTTTTCCAGCATGCAGCAGGTGTCAGAAAAGGGAACACCTTCGACATACATGCTCATATGCGCCCTGTACAACCAGCTCTAACCATGGAGCTCCGCCGGATCTGTCACGGACTCCTGCTTCATTGACAGAACCTAGCACAGCAGCATTTGGCATCTCCACCTCCCTCCGCGATGTCGATAGATCGCTTTCAACCCACGACGCGACTATTTGTGGTGACCCTGACTCGCGTGGGTTCATCCATGGGATCAAGACCGCCATAGAGACCAGATTCGGCCTTCCTATCCAGAAAAAGTTAGCCCCTATTCCATTGCTAGATGCTCCTTTATTCGGCGAAAACCTCAACCGCATGCCACCAGCAAACCAGGGCTCGCTTCACCTCATAGACAACGCTCTTCCACCACGCAATCATGCTGATCAATTGGTCGACGTATACTGGCAATACCTTGACCCAATATTTAGCATTCTTGACAGAGATCGCTTCTCGAGATCCTACCAGCTCCTCTTCAGTGGTGGTGAACTTGACTGTGACGAAAAGATCTTCATCAGTACAATAAATTTCGTCTTCGCCTGGTCGATACAGCTCCGCGAAAAGGTTCCGCCATCTGAGAGGATAGACGTGAGCCGAACCTTTTTCCAGCGCGGATGGTCGCTTCTGCGCCCCGAAACTATCATATGGGGCCCAGGTTCCCTCGAACTTGTCCAATGCCTCCTGCTTCTGGGCACCTACTTATCGTGTACCAGCAATCTCCATAATGCCTACATGACTGTAGGCTCGGCCACCCGCATAGCTCTGAGCATAGGTCTTAACCTCCCATCTAATGATACGGCTTTGGACAGTTGCCTACGATGGAAGGTCTGGAGACAATGTGTATGGCTGGAAAGGTATGAAAAGCGAGCCCATGAATGGCGCTATTGGCAGTGTCTGGTGCAGTCGGCTAGCTCTCACCTTCCTTCTTATGACGGGCTTGTTCGACTCTGATCAAATCTAACACATATCTTGTTTGGAGTCTTATAACAAGTTGAAGGAACAAGCTGGGCATACAACATCATCGGTCACTGCCGTCACCTCTATTCATTGGTTGAGCAGTTCTCTTCCTATGTGACAAGCTGACTTGATTAGGAAATACGCGTGCGTACTTGGAAGACCATCTCCGCCCCTGAGTCTTCCAGTCCGCGGAGTCATTTCAACGTCTCAGGGGAACGATCAGCTAGATACCTTGCAGAACACTCACGAGATCAAAATGCTAGAGCTCACCGAAATATTCACCCACATCTCCCTTTCACAGACAGCCACCAGCAACACCGTAGCACAAAGATTGGGGTTGCCACCTCTGCTACGAAACACCGATTTTTGGACCATCATGCATATCGACAAGTGTTTGAACAATCTGGTCAAAGACCTGGTACCACCGCTGCGGTGTGATGAAGACTGCGATATCCAACTTGCCATCCAAGAAGGCAAACTCGACGCCCAAGGTATCGCTCTAAATCTCCGGTCAGTACAAGTCATGCTCTTTTCATCCAACGTGATACCTAATCATACTTTTGGCTTCAGCGTTCTCCATTTGCGCCTCCACCTGTTTCGGCCAACGTTCTGCCGATTTTGTCTTCCACAATATCATGCAGGCCAGACTACGACCTCAAATCACTCTGACCTGGAGGCCCGCATGACACAAGATTGTGCCACTCTCTGCGTAGAAGCATCAAAGAGAATTGTCGATCTAGTATGCGATTGCTATAACCCGGAAGCAGAGATTGGGATCCTACCTTGGTGGGATCGGGTGGTTTATCTCTATATAGCGTGCCAACATCTGCTCGCGGCCATGCTACGGCCTGACATCTTCAAAACAGTGGTTCCAGGGCACTGGAGAAAAGCCATGTCCACGCTACACGCGCACGAACAACTTGGCCCCGCAGTCGCTGCATGTATTTCGGGCTTTGAGACTATGTGGCAACAAATTACCGATATGCAACATCCTACAGTAGGCAGTGACGCGGGGTTGCCTTCTACTGTGTTTTCGAACACAAATGCTCAAGATTTTTTGCAGAGCCTGGGTTTTGAAAGCGACGAGGCATTCCTCAATTTTGGGTTGGAGAGCACAGATTCCGCCAATTTTGAATGGAGACCCTGAATTGCGGGTCGTCATTATCGTCCTGCTGGGTCATTTTTGAGCGTCTTGCGGAAGGAAATCTGAGGAAATTCATTACATTCCCTCATACGGCAAGCTCTGAACCGAATCTGTTAAAGCGTAGATTAAAAAGCCGCTCCGGTATCAAAAAGCCGCTCAGGCATTAAAAAGCCGCTCCGGAGAACTAGTTTGACCCTTCATTGATGAGAAGACCGCCAATATCATAGAGTTGCGAGTCCAGGTCAAGCCCAAACCTGAAGCCGTAGATAGCGGTAGCATCAAAGTCTACAATGACACTTGCACATTCAGAAAGGTTGGGAATATCTCACCCATGACTTCGTCTTGTGGCCGCACAGCCGTTCTCTAGACCAGCCTAGTGATACGAAAAACATAGATCAAAGAATGGTAACTCAGCCATGCTGAACACCTTAGGTAAAAATGGCACAAGGCTCCTCTCTCTCACTGATGCTTTTCACCGTCTTTAACTCGGACCTAGTAAATTAGACTGTGGACATTCAAGGTAGCGCCGCGACCTATATCGAGAACTACATACTTTCGCTAGGAAGTGGAGATAACAAAAATCATCACACCAGCTCAGCTCGCACGCTCCTTGAAAACGGTCTAGAGTGATCGAGTTCAGACTCGTCAATATATCACATTGAACCCCCGGCTCTCGTTGCCCTATTTGTAATGCTGCCTGACAGGTACTACACCACGAGCGAGAATACGTTGTACTTCCGCGACATGATCAAAGAATTCAATCTTCGAGACGAAATGGACGAACAAAGATCAAACAACAGCAGACAGACTCTGAACTGCGAACTCTTTCGTTGATCCTTTACCTGCTCCTTCTTCTCCCGAGCTAGCAGCTTACAGCCAGATCTCCCCGACTCTAGCGGAACCGGAAGTGGTTTCGACTGGCAAAATCCAGGCAATACCCCCTTCGGGATCGTTGCCCTGGTTCAGCACATTCTGCATTCGGATCCACTTTTACTGAATGTTTGCAATCTCTTGTGCTTCAACAGGCTTCGGTCTGGTTCATGGCAATTTGCAATTCACCGCGTTTCGGTGTTTTGTCGTAGGACCGAGCAAAATCTCACGCTCAGGCGATATCGGAGGCATTTTCTGGCCTTGAGCTCAATGAAAGCTTTTTGATTTAAGGACGTGCTTCTTTGGTTTCTTGACTATAAGACTCCCGACTCCGGGCCGTGGAAGTGCAGACACAGAGAGCTGCTGTTCCAGGAGGTCGTTGATAGATTTATTTAATGACCGTGGCCCTTAGCCACCGCTCTTATCTGTTCTTCTACTTGGTTTTCAGACAGGGTTTAAACGAATCTAGCTTGACAATCCCATTTTTAGGACGACCGTCAATAATCTTGGGGCATAATTTGCCTAGTTCCAATATACTTGGCTAGTCCAAAAAATGCAGCAATCGGTCCTTCCAGACGCGGATGCATCCCTTGTAAGGGACACCATTCAAAAGGACGATATCAACAAGGATCTCTCCAGGCATCAGGGCTCCCTAAGCGAGGTGAATGCTCCACCTGGGCCTTCGAAACCTATGCTGCCGGGTATTGCCCGTGTCGAGGCAGCAGCATCCCAACTCACCCAGACGAAGCGGTGGACATTGTTTATCTTCATCTTTATCTTCGGTTACGCCTTTGGTCTGGACTCTCTCGTGCGTAACACCTACGTGGCGTATGCCACCTCTTCCATGCAGAACCACTCCTTGCTTGCGACTGTCAACGTCATCCAAGGAGTAGTAGGGGCGGCGATTCAACCTTCGGTGGCCAAGCTCACGGATGCATTTGGCCGTTTCGAGGTTTTAGCTCTTGGAGTGGCCCTATACACGATCGGGACAGTGGTACAAGCTGCTGCCGTCAATATCACTGGCCTTTCAGCTGGGGCGGTGTTGACTCAATTGGGGTACAGCATCTTTTTTCTGACCCTCGACATCATTATCGCGGACTTTACATCTATGAAAACGCGACTATTCTTCTCATACATACCCAGCCTCTCTTTCATCATCAACACATGGGTCAGCGGGGACGTTACCTCCGCCGTTCTGGCACTGACGTCCTGGAAGTGGGGAATAGGAATGTTTGCCATCATCATTCCAGGCTGTGCCATGCCTCTGATTTGGTTGCTGTTCATGCTTGGGTATCAAGCCAAAAGGACACAAATAGACCAGAACAAAGAACATCTTACTTTGCTTCCATCTTTGGGAACACTGATCTGGGAATTGGATTTGATTGGAATCCTATTGCTGACAGGCTCCCTGGCTCTCATTCTCATCCCTTTGACACTTGCAGGAGGCAACAGCAGCAAGTGGAACCAAGCTGGCATTCTGACTCCCATCATTCTAGGGGTCCTACTTTTGCCGGCCTTTGTTGTATGGGAGCAGAAAACGTCTTCACCTCTTCTTCCAGGGTATCTCATGACTGATTGGACGGTCTGGGGGTGCATCACTATCAACATCTTCTACGCTTTCGGCCTCATGTGCCACGAAAGCTATCTTTTCACGCTCTTGATCGTGTCATATAATTTCTCACTCTTGTCTGCCACCAGAATCGCCTCTCTATGGACCTTTTCTTCCGTCGTCACAGCCTTTATTGTTTCACTGGTGATCATCAAAGTCCGTCGCCTCAAAGGTTTCATAATTGGAGGAATATCTTTATCCTTTGTGGGATATGGCTTGGCCTATCACTACCGTGGCGACACGAGCTCTCAGTCAGGTGTGATCGGCGCAGAGATCGTCATCGGCGTCGGGTCAGGACTCTTTGCTTATTCAACGCTTGTTCTGGGACAAACTGCTGCTCGACATCAAGATATCGGCGTCCTGATTGCCACCTTGTTCACCTGTAACACCGTCGGAAGGGCTCTTGGCAGTTGCATCTCTGGCGCAATCTGGACTCAGACATTATATGATGAACTCAGCCAAAATCTCGCCCCATTTGGAAACGCGACCCTGGCATCGGCAATCTATGCGGCGCCTCTGAACGTCGTGCCTGACTACCCCGTCGGAACAGTCGAACGCGATGCGATCATCCACTCTTATCGATACATCCAGAGGCTCCTCACCATCACTTCTTTCTGTATTTACGTCCCGATGCTCTTGTTTGCGCTCTTCCTACGAGATCCACGGCTCTCCGACCTTCAGATGCAGCCGGAAGCCAACGCCAGGGCCGCAGGAGGCGTCGAGAAGCCCCGGTGGCTTCACAACCACTGGTTCTTACCGTGGCGGCGACAGTAGAGTGGTTCGAAGATCAACGATTACCTAAAGTAAGTCGCAAGAGATCTAGACGGTTGCCAACAGAGTCAGCATCATCCGCATGTCGTCTGGCACTGATGTCGGTGGACCCGAAGTGGCCAGATGCAGTATCGGCCAATCAATATTGATCCCTTCCGAGGGGATAGAGTCTTTGGATATCGTAGGTACTATATACTCCTAGCTATTATGCGTATTGGTTTTTTTGTGATAACACTAAGACATATCTATATATCTATATATTTAAACAAATGTCTTCTTGAGCGAACTCTCTTTGTGCTCAGAGCCCATGTGGCCATCCCGGCAATCAGGAAGAGAACGTTATCCCCAGCGGTCGAGATTGCAATAACACCAGATTTATTCGATGAAGTACTAGCGGTAGCTTGTGAGGCGATTTAAGTCGTGGTAGCTGACAATGCCAATCCGGCCCCATGGTTAACCGTGGATAGGAAGTGATACTGTCTGCGTGAGCGTGGCGAGAGCTCTCGGAGCAGTTCGATTATTGCTTGTGCCGCCGACGCCTTCGCCTCCTGCTCCTCTCCAGCGGAAAATCCTGCAAGGTTTGCATCCTACATCGGCTAGGTTCAGCACGTAAAATAGTAACTAATAGTTATCAGGAAAAGAAATCGGCATTACTCCAGCGAGAAAAGCTGTCTATTGTTGCGGCGGTTGAAATAAGTACCGAACCAGGCTGGGTCCCAAAAAGTAACTGGCCCCATTATGACAGTTCAACTCGTCCAGGCTTCTAGCTCGTTGAGATGTTTTGGATAGTACTACCAATAGTCTTGCCACAGTTTCCCGTCATCCCGGTGTATGCAAGACCTCAGAGCTTGCGACTGACAGATTGCCAATGTTGGCAAGGGTATCAGGTCTCAGCCTGGGAACAATCCTGTTCCTTTTACCATATGAACACCATGCAAGCTTTCCAGCAACGAGCTGCATCACATCTTCCTCGGCCACCTCCTTTATCCCAGGAAGTTCGTTGTCCGTCTCATCATAAGCGCTTCCGTAAACATCACCGGCAAAAGCAGTTGCCTTCACGATGTTCATGATGACCAGCATGCTGAAGTCGCCAACGCTGAGTGCATCCGTGTTTCCTTTCATTATAGCACTTGTCGAAGCATTGCTGAAATCCCACTTGATGTCCGGTCTCACTCCTTTCGCCATGCTCAACACTTTGGTTTGCGCCAAGATGGCCTCGGAGATTCGCACGACCTTGTTTCTGGTAGCCTCGTAGTTCTGCAGGATTGCAGCAACCGGGTTCGCCGATTTCATCGATCGTCCCGACTCGCAAACGAATCCATGATGGTATCATACCATCGTTAAGGGCCGGACACCATTTTGTCACGGCCACGGTGAATGACACTGGGATAGGGATGACCTGAAGTTCCGTATGGTCGGAGCAGATGCCGAACCTCTAGCAATCTGTATATTTCTTAACATGGCTATATACAACATGAATTCGAAGTAAGGACTAGGGCTAGGAAAGGCGACAGTCCCCTCAAGCGAATTGCAATCCCTTCCATCCAGCAAGTTTGGAAGCCTCGCAGCGCCTCCGGTATTCGAGAGCGCTTCCGGCGTATCTGGCAACGCTCCGGGTTTGCTTTCCAGAGACATTGGTGTTGATACCCGTCATCCAGCTGTCTACCTCGTTGGACAGGGACCCTTTGCCGCACTCCACGACGTGTTCGGTCCATTGTTCCACCGCTTCAGGGGTCGGCTCGACATAGTTGTAATTGTTATCCTTGCAGTACTGCAGCAGATCGGACACGACTTGTGCGGCATGCTCTATGCTTCGAGTGGCATTTCCGAACGGCTGATGCGGCCCAAGGACCATGAACATGTTTGGCATGGCGGGCGCCGTGATGCCCAGGAAGGTCTGTGGCCTATGGTCTACCCACACGGCTCGCTGTCCTTTCTCTGTGTCGCTGCTGCCGAGGAGGGGTCGGCCGTCCTTAGCGCTCCATTCGATAGCACTGAACGCACCCGTGATGGCGTTGAATCCGGTGGCAAAGATCAAGACATCCAGGTCGTATTGCTTCCCATCGGAGGTCAAGATCCCTTGAGCGTTCACCGCTTCGATGGGGATTTCTCTAATATCGACCAGGTGGACATTGGGCCGGTTATACGATTCAAAGTAGCCACTTTCCAGAGGCACGCGTCGCGTACCGAACCCGTGGTTTTTGGGAATGAGCTTCTCCGCCACCGCGGGGTCGTGAACCCTTTCTCGGATCTTGTTGGCCATAAAATCCGAATAGAGCTTGTTGGCCGTCCGGTCGGTATACGTATCGCTAAATGCTCCTAACCATTTGGCAAACCCGGGCCGGGCGTACAGTGACTCCCAAAATGCGAGTCGCTCCTCTTCTGGGACATCGGCAGTCTTCCGCGGGTCGGCCTGATGGAGGAAACACATTGGCGTCGATGCGCAACGTTCAAAGATGCTTTCGTATTCGGCCTTGTATTTCTCCATTGTCTCGGGGGTGACTTCTGAGTTTCGTAGGGGAGCGGACCAGTTTGCTGTTCGCTGAAAGACATGAAGAGATTTGATGCTTGGTTCCTTTGCGATTTCGGTGATGGCCTGGATGGCCGTTGCGCCGGTCCCGATGACACCGATGCGTTTCCCAGCAAAGTCGCGGCTCAAGTCGAACTCCTTGGGCCAGTGAGATGTGTGGAACTTTTCGCCTTGAAAGGTGCCGATTCCGGGAATATTGGGCAGAGTCGGCGTCGATAGAAAACCGAGACAGCTGACGAAGAATGTCGTCTTGTATTCCCTGCCTGATTCGTCTATGAATTGCCAGGTATGATTGCTCTCGTCCCAGTAGGCTGAACGAATCCGGGTGTCGAATTGTATATCTTTCCGAAGGTCATTTCTCTCAGCCACGCGCTGGATATACTTGAGGGTTTCCGGCTGTGGAGAAAATTCTTCCTTCCAATGCCATTCCTGAAGGAGATCTTTATCCCATGAAAAGCCGTATGAGACGGACTCACAGTCGAAACGGGCGCCCGGATAGCGATTCCAATACCATGTGCCCCCAACGTCGCTGCCTGCTTCGAGAAGTTTGACCCGCCACGACGGAAATCGTTGGCGGATATGATAGAGGCTACAGAGTCCGGAGAGACCCGCGCCAATGATCAGGACGTCGTAGACTTGTTCTTGCGGAATGCCAACAGAGCCCATGGTCGCACGGTCACTTTTCAATGATTTGGGAAGGTTCGATAAATGTATAAATCGGTCGGTCTGGGGTGATAAAATCCCAGGGGTCTTATATGGTAGTCTTGAATGCACAGTAAGTGATCTGAAATGGCTTCGGCATTGTGACAAGTCTAGAGAGAAATCATGAGAGGTTGGTCCCTCGGCGTGAACAGTTAGGATCCCTTCCGCAGGACGGGCAGGCCACGGCGATCACGTGAAGCAAAGACTTGCCCTGTAAGTTGATCTATTACGGGTACGGAGTGCCTAGATAAACCCACTGATCAACCCGGGCGCTAGATTTCCCCACCCAAGCAGTGCAGATAAGCGGATCCATAACTGGAAAGTCTTGGAGATGGGCCGACTCGAGCACCAATGGTTTTCGCCGAGGGCGCAGATAGCTAGAGTCCACCCAGACGACAGCATACGAATAGACCTTGAACATGCCTCTGCTGAAGCAGGGCATTCTGCTTCTGGGGTATGCGCGTGCAAACGAAGCATATAGATGCCACGCTGCGCTCGCCTCCCGAGACGATGAATCTCCATCCTGACATTCCTCAAGGTCAGCACCCACCTCTGCCTTTGAAGTATTGCGGCCCCGAACCATGACTGGCGAACCTACAAGTCACCTCTCCGAGAAGGAGACCTCCACCAAGAACATGACCGACGCCGACCTGTCCAAGGTCTCAACCTTGGACAACGCCGAGCATTTCCAGCTGCTTGAGCATGCCGGCACCAAAAGAAACATCAAATCTCGCCATGCTCAGATGATAGCCATTGGCGGAACCATTGGCACCGGCCTTTTCGTGGGATCAGGTCAAGCACTTGCCATCGGAGGCCCCGGTCTCCTGTTTCTCTGCTACAGTCTGGTTTCGTTGCTGGTATTTGGCGTCATCACAGCCGTGGCCGAAGTTGCGGCATTCTTGCCCGTCTCTGGGGCCTCCATGGCTTACTTCTGCCAACGATTTGTCTCACCCTCGCTGGGGTTTGCCCTTGGGTGGCTCTACTTCTACTCGTTTGGCATCATCGTGGCCTACGAGATCACAGCGGCGGGCATTGTCATTGGCTACTGGCCCAACAATGTCCACATCGCCGTCTGGATCACCATAATGTTGATTGTCATTGTGGGCCTCAACTTGTGTCCCGTCGGAATCTACGCCGAGACCGAGTTCTGGTTTGCGGGAATCAAGGTGGTCATGATCACGGGTCTTTTGATCTTGTCCTTCGTCCTGATGCTCGGGGGAGGTCCCAACCATGACCGACTGGGTTTCCGCTATTGGAACGACCCGGGCGCCGTCAAGGCGTATATCATTGACGGTGCCGGTGGACGCTTCACCGCCTTCCTTTACGTCTGGGTCTTCTCGGGGTTCTCCTTCTACTTTGGCCCGGAATTGATCATCTTCTCCACGGGCGAAATGCGAAACCCTCGCAAGAACGTGCCGCAAGCGGCTCGTCGGTACTTTATCCGACTGGTCATCTTCTACGTCCTGGGTGCCTTGGGCATCGGAATCATCACCGACTCTGACTCGAAAGGGCTTGTTTCCGGCGCTGGCGACGCCAATGCCTCGCCATGGGTGATTGCGATTCGCAATGCCGGCATCCTCGTCTTGCCCTCGATCATCAACGTAGGTATTCTGACCAGTGCGTGGTCTTCGGGCAACTCTTACCTCTACATGTCGAGCCGCGCCTTGTACTCGCTGGCATTGGCGGGTGACGCCCCCAGGATCTTCACCCGATGCACGCGCTATGGATTGCCCATTTATGCCGTCTTGGCCAGCAGCTGCTTCTCTCTCTTGGCCTACCTCAACTGCGGTTCTTCGGCGGGGGTGGTCTTTAATTGGTTCATCAACCTGACCAATACGGCCGGCTTCACTTCCTGGCTCGTCTGCTGTGTAGTCTACATCCGCTTTCGAAAGGCTACTGAGGAACAGGGTCTGACGGTGCCCTACCGATCGGTATTCCAACCATACGCCGCGTGGGTTTGCATGTTTTTCTTTGCGTTCCTCCTCCTCATGAATGGCTTTACCGTCTTCTATCCCGGTCGGTTCACGCCTAGCGGTTTCTTGACTACGTATCTGGGGATCCCGATCTTCGTGCTGCTTTGGCTCGGACACAAATTCACTTGGGGTAGAAACGATCCCTGGATGTACCGCACCGCCCATGTGGATTTGACCACGAATCTGGCCGAAATCGAAGCGGATGCTGAGATGTGGACGAGGATGGAGGAGACCAAGGCCGAAGAAAACAATCGGCGCGGGGTTTGGAGAAGGATCACAGTGCTATGGTCCTAGAGCAGAGCGGCTTGTCGGAGGCATATCCTTTGATCATGAGAAGATTCGAGATCAAATGTGCTTGGTCGAAAAGATGAAACGGAGCTGCTCGCGAGTCAGAAGCCAGCTATTATCTTTGATCATGTGAGCAACGCTACTTAGCTAGCTAGCCTAAGGACTACTCCAGACCACAAGGGCAAGATCGTTGCTATGGGAATTCTTGCATCCTTTGAGAAACGTTGAGAGCTCTGCCTGACTGTGGGTCCGTGGAGGATTGTGGTTGCTGATGGACAAACCAGCCGATGTATGGGCGTTTCAGGGGCTTATTGAGATACAGTACATATCTTTAGGTCCAGGCTATGTCGAAAACAGTACCCCATGTGCTTCTGTACAGGTAGGTACTGTAGTCATGAAATACAGCATGTCTCCTGTCCCGTTGCTGCGCCTTCGATGTGATTTAAAAGCGTCTCATCAACACATCCAGCCCCCATCCACGTTATATACCGCGCCAGTCACGAAAGACGCCTCATCGCTCAACAAGAACGCAATCACGTTGGCCACTTCGACTGCCTCCGCCCTCCTTTTCTGTACCGTTTGTTGTAAACCACGCTTCACATCCTCGGGATCTTCGCCGGCAGACATGGGAGTATTGACGGAACCTGTGAATGCATGGTTAGTCGGGCTTGAACCCTACGTTAGTAGTCTCAAGAAGGAAACTTAGAACTTGCCTGGTGCAACACAATTAACCCTGATGCTGGGGTTTTCTTTCGCTGCTGCTCTTGAAAGCCCGATCACAGCCGCTTTGCTGGCACAGTATGGCGCAACGCCGGGTGAGCCCATTTGGCCAAAAGTACTGGCCGCAGAGACCTGTTCGTCAAAAGAGTCAGCACATCTTCCAAATACAAGCATGACGGCAGACTGTAGATTGTGTAGCTCGAGAATCTACCAAGGAGCTGGAGACTGACAATGCTGCCGCCAGCTTTCAGCATCTCCCGAATCTCAGCTCTCATGCAGAAAAAGACGCCACGCGTATTTACGGCGAAGTTGAAATCCCACGTCTCGTCCATTTCTTCGGCGACCGGTTTGGCTGCTGTGATGATGCCAGCCATGTTCACGGCGCCATCGAGTTTGCCCAGTTTTTGCACGGTGGACGTGATCCAATGGTTAACGGAACGGCTCTCGCAGACGTCAACCACGGTGTAGATATGCTTCTCGCTGTTCGTCAACGATTCGGCGGCCGCTTTCACGGCAACCCCGTTGATGTCGGCGAGAGAAATGATCGCTCCTCGTGATGCCAGCAGCTTGGCGGTCGCCAGGCCCATGCCAGAGGCGGCGCCGGTGATGGCAATCTATGGAGGTGAGTAATGCTGCATGGGCTGCCTATCACGGTCGCTAATGGGTGAGAGACGCACCACTTTGCCCTCAAACGATGACATTCTCTACGCTTACACAGTACACCGAATGCAGTATACAGTAGAGATTACCTGTCCGTGAGGATTCTAAAATTCCTATGGGAGCTTCGTGGGACGACCGACAACCATACTCAGTAGTCTAAGCGGATGATATGCCCCTTGCCACCATCTCGACTCCCGCGCCGCCCCCAGCGCCGTTATCCGAAGCCTCCGCCAAAGAGGAAAGCAAGGCCTATTACCCGTCGTCAGGGCCCTTGTCATGTGGCCCAGACGCCCGTCAAGACAGGAAAGTCAACCCGAAGTGGCTTAGAAAACCCTCCTTCGAGACTCTTAATTGTGTGACTTTCCTAATTCCACTCGCCACTCACCTCAATTATGATGAATTGATTGTCTGTGTTGGACGTGGCTACGAGATCAGTTACTCAATACTGTTTAGTATGCCCTTCTCCGCGTACCGTCATGTCGATCCAACTAGCCAAGCCCCAGGCCTCGAATTCGGGGTCAGGCGGTTCGAGAAATCGATCATTTGATGGATGCGCCACTGTATGCACCCACCCCGTTTCAAGGCCTGCTGGGGCAGCTTCACTGATTCTTTGGGGCATAGTGTCGCAGTCGACATGTCAAGTGCGATGAACGTCGTCCTGCCTGTTCCATGTGCGAGTATTTCGGCTTAGATTGTGCTGGGTATGAGAAGGGCGTCTTTTTCGATGGTGAACCTGCCACCGATGCGACGGGCGAAGGAATCGCTCGCTTTCGCCGGCCTTTGCTGACTGAGGATGAACGCAAGCGTATGAGTGCGTGGCTTGTGTCAAGCGTGCCTCACCAATCGGTTTTGTGTGTCCTTTCTCAGATTGACGACGAGTGTGAGGAGTCGGCCGCTGAGCAACAGGTTCAAATCCAGTGCGGTCCGTTTGGCGCCTTCAAATTGACTCTGCTTCCGTGGATTCATTCTGACGAGAAAGCTACGACCGAAGAACTCCTCGATCTGAGTTCTCCGACGGAAGAGTTGGTGCGGCTCAATGACGAGCGTCTCGTATCGACTGAGGCATCCCTGTCGCCGTGGACCCAAGATCTGGTCCAGGCCATTTTCAGTCAATCCGAGCAGATCTCGGTCCCAGCGTCTCCGGACTTTTGGAATACGACCTTGGACTCAAGCTGCATCCCGGAGATCTTCGACGAGCAGGTCCTCATGTCGGGAACTCAGGAGGTGTTCAGCACCCCATTGTCATCGACGACCTACCACTTTTCAACTTTCATGCCAGGGGCTGCGGCTCAGCTCAATCAGTCGATGATCATCCCTTCCGTTTCGTCCGTCATCAGCCCCAATGACAGCATTCCACAGGACGTGGTGACCCTGCTTAAACACTACACCACCACCGTCATCACTTTGCTCACGCCGCTCCGCCACACCAAAACACCCTGGCACATTCTCTTCATTCCTCACATCCGATATTGCCTGGCGGCTCTGACCCTCGGCGAGCAGTTGGACCACGCCAGCCTGACCGCCTTCTATGGAACCTTGGCCATCAGCGCCTTCAGCCTAGGTGGGGTCTCTCAGTCTCAGTCCTGGCGCGACAAGGGCAAGACTTTTCAACAAAGCGCGCGAGAGCACGCCCGCCTGATGCTGGGAACGGCATATTCCGTTCCCAAACCCGCCAAATACAAGTCTATCTTGATGGCGCTTCTCGCAATGGTCCAGCTGTCCATGTTCGTCGGCACTCGCGATCAAACCGACTGCTACCTGTTGGAGGCGGAAAAATTTATCCGGCTCAAAGGCCTCAACCGCAAAAAATCCCGCAAGGTTCGACTGCTTCATCATTGTTACGTCTTTGAGCGACTATTTCACGAAAGCATCTTCATCTGTGGAGCTAACTCCACACAACGTCGACATGTGCGCAAAGCCATCGAGTCCAGTGGGCTGGCGGTCCACAGCCGAGACAGTCTCTCCTTCCGGCTCCCAACGTGGACGAACTTGGACGAGGAGTGGTCCACATTGAAAAGCCAGGAAGCCGGCGAAAATGACCTGCATCTGGAACGGCCTGGGGAGTTCCCGCCGACCCTCTACCCCGAAATATTCGCCTTTCCGGAGCCGTGGCTCCTGTTGCTGTCACTCACTATTCGTCTGGGCAAGGAGAAAGATTATGCTGAGGCTGAGGGCGTGACGGATGCGCTCAGCTTAAAGGTCTTTGCCAGTCGCGCTAAAGCTGTGGAACGACGCATCCATCATCTACAAGTCCAGCGGTTCACCGACACGGCGTATCCTTCCAGCAGCTTACAGTCACCACGGGATCGGGACGTGCTGAACAATATGCTCGATGCCGTCCAGCAAGCGTTGATCATTTACTTCCACCGACGCATCCACGATCTAGACGCCTCGTTGTTGCAACAGAAGGTGGTCGGCGTGCGGGATTGTCTGCTGCGCTGCGAATTTGCGGATCCCACCGTGGTACACGGCTCCGCAGGGTTTCTCTGGCCGGCCTTCATCGCAGCATGTGAGGCCGAGGACCCCGAGGTGCAAGTCTCCTTCTCTCATTGGTTCAAGACCTCGGCGCAGCGAAGTGGTCTGTCTTGCTTTACCAAAACTCTCCAAAGTATTGAGCAGATTTGGCAGGAGAAGCAGACTTCGAGCGGATCGAGCATCACTTGGCTGGATATTATGAAGGGAAATATTTTGACAGACTACCACCTTTGAAAGATGGCGGTGGACAGACCTGTTTTGACTCTATTGCGTAGAAATGGTGGATGAAATGTATGATTGTATGATTGTATATATAAATATGCCAGAAGGCCCAAGTCAATTTCGAGTGACAGACACGCACATTGAAAAAGTCCCGAAACGTGTGGACGAGATGTCGCAGAGTGTTACCATGGCCATGACCCTCCGCTTGCCATGAACCTTGGCTGATTGCTCTATCGCTTATCGCTCAGTATACCCGCCGTCCACGAAAAGCGTCGTTCCTGTGACAAAGGAGCTTCGTCCCCCCGACAGGTAGACCACCCCGTCCGCAATCTCTTCGGGTTTTCCCATGCGTTGCATAGGAACCGCAGTATCAACCCTCTCCATCATGGCCTGCAAGACCAGCGGCGATTTCGTCGTCATGGGCGTCTCCGTATACCCGGGGCAAATGGCATTGATTCTCAAGCCGTCTTTGGCATAATCTTCAGATGCCGTCCGAGTGAGGCCGATGACGCCGTGTTTGGTCGCCGTGTATGCCGTGGACATGGGAATTCCCACGACGCCCTGGATCGACCCGAAGTTGACAATCGATCCCCGCTGCAGTGGACGACCGTCGATGTTGGAGAGAATCGGGTCCTGCTTCAACATGATCCTCGCGCTCGCCCGGAGGACGAAGAAAGTCCCCGTCAAATTGATGTCCACAATCCTCTGCCAGTCACTCGTTTCCGCGAATGCCGCGCCTCCCTGGTGTTTCATGGCGATCCCCGCCGCGTTGATCACATAGTCGAGACGGCCGAACTTGGTGGCGATGTCGGCCACGGTTTGGTTCACTTGATTCTCATCCGTGACGTCCACCACGTACACGTCGACTCGACATCGCCGAGTTTGGTCTGGCTCGGCATTTTCAACCTCCTTCTGCACGGCCACCAGTGCATCGTGATTCACGTCCAACAAGGCGATTCCCGCCGCACCGTCCTTTGCGAACGTCTTGGCACATGCTCTGCCAATGCCCGACGCGGCACCAGTGATCAAGGCGAAGCCTGGCACATCCATCTTGAGTCAAACTGGCAGGAAAAGCCTGAGGCGTTGATTTGAAGAGAATTGACTCGGGAGATTTCCCAGCATGATTCTGTGTTGAGTTACTTGTACTCCGTAGTTCGAGTCGGTGGAGGAGTGCCCGCCGAAACCTCATTGGCCCGGGGAAACTTGCCTAATACCTTACAAGTCCCGCAACTCAGTATCGCAGAGCTCTGGCATGCTCGTGATAGCCAGTGGTAGAGCATAAAATGACCCAAGACCTCATGGGCCTCCTCTCGATGCGTTACATTGAACACCGATCCACACTTGTTGGAGCAGGGCTGCACTCTTGTTGCTGCCCGAGGCATCTACCCATCAAGCCAAGTGGTGGCTCAACGCGGCGAAGGCGGCATCACCCTGTTACCCGATTGGGGGTGAGGCGCGACGCAAATGTCCCATCTGTTGGCCCATCGCCCCAAGCTGAGAAAACCCCACGATTGTTTCTTAGTTTTCTGGCGCGGCACTTCAAGAGGTCGTTCACGCGGCCCATGAATGCTCATGATTTTAGTCAGGCTATGGGAGATCGAGAATGGAACTAGAGCAATACTCGAATACTGTGTTTCCCGTAACAAGAGTAGGGTCTGCAATTTTGTTCAGACTTTGAGGGTGAGTCGCAAGCAGGTTGCCTGAAATGCTACACCGTGATTATTGTTCTCAGCCTTGTCCCGCTGGAACATTAGAACAGAGTGATGCCGCCCTTACTCATTTTTATCTTATCAGAGATAAGGTAAATTCAGATAAGATGTCACAGTCACTAAGGCTTTAATGGCGCGACACACTAATCGAGATACTTAGGCTCGATTTGTGAGGGCAATAAATGCCTGCGGATACGCACCAATAATAACCATGTTGAGATGTAGATTGGCCTGCACTGTACGCTGTACTTTTCTGGGGAAAGCTGAGGACACCGCTTCGGACAGACGGTCTTCTCAGCCTCAGTCTTCAATTGGTGCTATTTTGATCAACGCAGACACCGAAGAAACCAAGGGTCTCTTTCGGAGATTCCAAAGATGCCACATCTCCGTTGAAATGCCTGACCTCGGATCCGGTTTGTCAGTTGCTTTCAGCTCGCTTTGGCCCTAACTTGGTTCATCGGCGCTCTCGGAGAAGTCCAGTGCAAGCGAACAAGAAGGAACTTGTAAGAGAATGCAGGTCGGCACGCCAACAATAGAGCTCTGTGATGGCGCCTTCGGAATTAATGGCTAGTCGAGGCTGTCATTACCTCGGACGGTCAGACTGCAGCACCTTGCCCACACACAGGTCCAGAATAAGATAGGTGGGTCCGTACAAACCGAGGAACGGAGAAAGATGAAGTGATGGATTGTTCAAGACACGCTGGAAAGAGCTGTAGATGTGCATCGATTGTCAAAGTCTTATTCCAAAAAACAAAGAAAATTATCTGAGTAGGAACGAATACCGTCAGACTCTCCCAGCACGATGATTGCTGCCAACGAATCGCAGACTGACTGGTCGACACCCAGCCAAAAGTCCATCGATGATGACCGCCCCATCAAAGTGATTTGCATAGGAGCGGGTATCTCTGGCATGCTTACTGCCATCCGATTTCCTCAGAAGATCAAGAATCTAGAGCTTGTGATCTACGACAAATCGGACGACATTGGTGGGACGTGGCATGAGAATCGGTATGGTCACCCACCCATAGTGCTATACAAGTTTCCCACGCCATGGACGCTAATACATGTGTTTCCAGCTACCCTGGTGTGGCCTGTGATATTCCTGCCCATAGTTACCAATTCACATTTGCGAACAACCTCAACTGGAGTTCTTTCTACGCTGCAGGCCCAGAAATTCATCGCTACCTGAAAAATGTAGCTCGGCGATACGATGTTGAGCGCTATGTCAAATTGCGGCATCTTTTTCTTGGGGCCCAGTGGCAGGCGTCGGACGGGAAATGGGAGGTCGAGATTGAAGATCTCGAGAAGGGAAGAGTACGCAAACCACTTTCTTCTGCCAAAATAAGAATCAACGATACAAATAGCCCCACAGGTGCTGACAGGGGCTTTAGAAATTCACTGATCGGGCAGACATATTCATCAAAGCTACCGGAATCCTGAATAGGTGGGAGTGGCCAGACATTCCAGGCCTTCGCAATTTCAAAGGAACTCTACTACACTCAGCGGACCGAAAGAGCTGGGAAACTCCGCTGGATCCCAAAGGGAAAAGAATAGCTGTCATCGGAGGGGGCTCATCAGGAATTCAGATTGTGCCTCAGCTCCAGCCTACCGCGGCTCGAATCGACCATTACATGAAGGGTAAGACGTGGGTGTCGCCTGTTGGCTATGGATCCGACAAATCCAACCGAGGAGTGACAGATAACTGTAAGTCTCCTTCTGTCCAGGAGATCCGGTGGCACAAGGTGACCAGGTGAGATTGACTTGCGTCCAGACAAATATTCGGCCGATGAGCTCAGGATGTACCGTGAGAAGCCCGAAGAGTATCTCAGATACCGTCGGGAAATTGAACGAATCATGAACGCCAAACCCGAAATCTTGTTCAAGGGCACCGAAGAGCAAAAGGCCTTCTTTGTGCTTAATGATGAGTCGATGAAGCAAAAACTCTCCAAGAAGCCACATATCTATGAGAGCATGCGGCCGGACTTTTCGCCTTTCTGCCGCCGGCTAACTCCTGGTCCTGGCTTCTTGGAAGCACTAGTCGAGGACAACGTGGATTTCATAGGTTGTGGCATCGACGCCGTCGTGGAGAATGGTATCAAGGCGAATGATGGAAGGGTGCGCGAAGTGGATGTCATCATCTGTGCCACGGGCTACGACACGTATGTTCTTTATGCCCTTGGCTTCCTGCGTCGGATCAGGTGTTATTTGCGCTAGCTGATTGACGGTGAGCAGATCCATGGAAAACGAACCACCCATAGTCGGACTCGACGGGACGACCCTCGCCGATATGTGGGATCCAGACCCAAGAGCCTATCTTTCGATTTGTGTGCCGAAAATGCCAAACTTCTTCATCTACTTTGGCCCCAATGGTGGCGCCGGATCCGGGTCGGCAATCTTCTTCCTCGAATCCGTGACACTCTACCTCGTTAAGCTTGTGAAGAAGATCCAGCGAGAATACCTAAAGTCCATGGTCGTTACGTATGTAGAAATACCTCCCATCACCTTTTTCCTTGACATGCACCATCTGTTGGACCTCAAGCATGAATTCAAAGTCGCGAGCATATATGACTGACCTTGTGTGAATTGAGCAGTGAGAAGGCCACCGGAGACTTTGTCAGACACGTCAACGAATACTTTTCCAAAACAGTCTTCACCGAAACCGTACGTTCCAGAAACCTCTGTTTCCTTGTTGTTCCATTCCTCCCTCTCTCCTCCTCCTCCCACTCTCGGTGCCCCCTCCAGCTAACAAAAAACAGTGCAAATCCTGGTTCAAACGCAACAAGGAGAATGGACGTGTTACCGCGCTGTGGCCGGGTGCCTCTATACATACCCAGAAGGCTCTGGAAAACCCCCGCTTCGAAGATTTTGAATACGAATATCTCGAAGTCTTGGGCTCCAACACCATGGCGTGGCTGGGCAACGGAACAACCGTGGCCCAGGTCAGTGGGCAGGATACTACCGCTTACCTAGTTGACAATGACACACCACCGCCCATTGTGGAGGGGATCCATGAATGGGACGATGATGGCCAGGGGTGCTTGCCCCATGACCTTGCGACACATCTTGAAGTCGATGCTCCGGAAGCTGTGGTCGGAGGAGTGTAGGATATTCCGCCGGACTATTGACGTGATGCGGAGAGTGAAACTGGCAAAAAACCAGATGGAACCTCTTAAAGTAGGGAATAATACACAGTTTTATGGGTGAAAAACCTCACCGATTTTATACCTACCGTAATCTTTGACCGCGATGAATTGGTCTTGACTTTGTGAAATCCTTCACGTCAACCGAAAAAACTGCTCATTCCTCGACCAAATGGCCTTTGGTCTTTGTTAAATTTACTGAAACTGATTTCGTATGTCGCATTTGAAACAAATCTGCAGACCATGACTGCCTCCCACTAACTGTCTCTGGGCCAATCTATTGCTCC